AACCAGAACCAGAACCAGAACCAGAACCAGAACCAGAACCAGAACCAGAACCAGAACCAGAACCAGAACCAGAACCAGAACCAGAACCAAAACCAGAACGGCAACAACGGAGAGAAGACATTCATTACCGACGACTGCCAATCCGATGACGACTGCGCTTCTGGCTGCTGCGGCTTCAACTCTTTCAAGTGTGCTGGACCTGTTGTGGCACAAGAGCGCGATGGCGGCTGTGGTGCCGGTGATGCTCAGCCCAACGACAACGCTGCTCAAGCTCTTCAAGGCCGTAGCCTTGGACGAAGGGGTCCCCAGCATATGTAAGATCATCGGTGGTTGTATATCGAACCTTGGTCCATCAATGATCTAGTTCATGGGTTTGGATAATAGTGCAAGGGATATCAGGACGGAAGAGGATATGTAACACTACGATAGTATGGATTGGGTGCCTGTGTATACTACAGGAAAAAGGGTTTCATTGTATTTAGAGTCATATTATTATTGATTTGTTATGGTCGCTCAATCACAAGATTTTTCATCTTTATGCTACTACAAGCAAGTGCGGCGATTCCCATGTGAGATACGTCCCTGAACTAATATCGGCAAACCCTTAGACTTTGGAAGATAAGTTTACGGACTTCACGAGTCTCTAAACGACAAAGAAACAGCCTTGACTTAGGCAGTACTAGGGGTCGGACTTTGCATGTGGTGAAACTGCTTCTATCAATTCAGAGACCATACCTATTTACTTAATCTCGGCCAACAAGGTTAGAAACGACAGTTACCATAATCAATTGCATACAATCGCTTAAACGTACTCCACAGTCGGGATCGAGAGGAAAATAAATAACATCAAAAAGCTCCCGGAGTACACAGGCCGACTCAAATCCGGCGCAATTCCATTCAACGCCAAATCCCAATGCTCTTACATAAGTTACAGGATATATACCGACTTGTGTCGTCTATTGTTTTCTTTGCGCAGCCGGACCCATCTCTTTGCTGAATGCAAAGTAGGACACCTCAAGGTTGCTGATGGCTCTCAAGCCAACAAGCAGGATGAGCACAAGCGGAATCATGGCAGAGATGCCCATGAAGAGTCCTGGAGACAGATATTGGTATCTCTCGAAAAGTCCTCCATCATCTTGAGATCCATCATTGTTTGCCCTTCCGTGTAGTGACAAGTCCCTCTTCAGTTCCATCTGCACGGCATCTCCAAAAGGATCCTCCATCTCATACGCAGGCTGATGGGATACTACGGGCTTCTTGGTGGGAGGTGTCGTAGTGTAGATGAGCGTGAACTTGCCGTGGGGCGCAAGCTGTGATATGGCAGAACTAATGAAGGCATCTACATCACGAATTAGTGGAAGCAAAAAGATGACAGTAAATCAAACGAACTGGATGTAGACAATTTGAGGTTCGAATCCTCGCTCGGTTCCGAGAAGGTGATCTCGTAAACACGTGGAGGCGTGTCGTCGGAGGACAGCGCCTGGTTGAAATCCGACTCCTTCATCTCGGGGTCCAATTTGACAAGCCTCGCACCACACTGCTGCTGTAGCGACTGTGCGATAGACTGAATCTTCAAATCGCCCACGACTTCGGGTATCTGCATGGTGCTCTTGATATCATGGGGGCTGTCGCGTAGCAATGCATCGGGCCGTCCAGCAGTGTCGCCATGGTAGTCCGCCGAAGATATGCCCTCGTGGCGCACGAGGAAGTAGGCCTCAGAAGGACATTCCTTAAGATTAGTCTGAAGCTGCGCAGAGATCGCACCAGACTGAGCAAAATGCGCGATGCTGCCGTCGAGTTTCAAGCTGGAATCGTTAGCTTGGGGTAGGTGGCTGGAGCTCTGCGGGCTTACTCTGATGTCGACAAGAGAAAGAACGGCGAGGTATTGCGAAATGCAAGCGCGGAAGGCAGCGATGCGAGTGCCAGAGCACCGACCAATGTCTTTGCCATGATTGCAGGATGGGATGAGTCTTAATGACGATGATGTTGCGAATGTCGACAGTCTACAGCTCCGACGTCCAAGGTAAGCCTTGGCGACCGGGGTGCGTCGGAGGCTGTGGTTTTTCCGGCACGATGACGCGCAGAAAGTTCAAGAGTCATTAACAAAATAATTAATTCAACGTGTGCTCCAGCGTGCTTCGCCACGGTCCTTCGTATGATTTGTACTTAGGTCCTAGGGAAGCTTTCTGGACCCGTTCCTGCTGCGCGGAGGGTGACTCATTCCCCACAGCAGTGCAATCTAGCACTGTAATCCAGAGTGTATATTGACTGCCTCGCCACTGGCCCCAGAAGCTTTCATCTGATATACTCCGTTTTGACTTTTCCACTCTGTTCCACAGGCCATACATTTTCGCCGCCTGTTTTCTTATTCATATTCGCGACTATATTCTCTTGAGTGTAAGGCAGGTCTCCACACTTGTAAATCCTCCAGAATTCACGAGCATCACAACGCTCTCAACATGTCCAGTACCGTCGCAGAACCTGCACCGGCCGATGCAACGAGAGGCTCCCAGCGTCGAAGACGACCACGAAATAGAGGTGGTGGCCAGGCCACTACGACTTCAGAAAGCGCTCCGCAGCAAGGCCAGACTGATACCGCAGCATCATCATCACAACAACAATCAAGGCGGGGTGGGAGGGGCCCCAGAGCTTCTCAGGGCCAAGGGGGAAGGAATAATAGGAATCAAGAGACAAGGACTCAGATGCAAGATGGCACCTCTCGAAATAGCCCAGCGGACGGTTCTGCGGTTTCAGCGCGAGGTGGTCGTGCCGGCAGAGGTCGAGGAAGAGGTGGGCCTCCTGCATCTAGGAATATGCAAACAGGGCCCGGTGGACGACGATTTGGCGGGCAATTGACGGATGAAAACGCGTCACAAACAACAGAACCGAAAGATCTCCGCGCCGATGCTCCCGCATTCGAGCCCGGACAAGCTTCTGATACCATTCCTAAGGGTCCCCGGTCGAAACCCCCGGTAGCACACTCGAGAGTTAAAGCCCCCAAATCTACGGCGACAGACATTGCAACACGAACACATGAAGATATTGATAATGGCTACTACGAGTGCGCGGTCTGCTATCAAGAATTGAAGAGACGCTCAAGAGTGTGGTCATGCCGGACGTGCTGGACAGTCTTCCATCTGGGCTGCATCAAGGAATGGTCTGGTAAAGAGGGCTCATCTGTTGCTCGTCCTCAGCTAGCAGATGGAGAAGAGCCCGCACCTCGACAATGGCGATGTCCAGGCTGTAACTTGCCTAAGGATGTCCTCCCAAAACACTTCACTTGCTGGTGTGAGAAGGAGGTTGAGCCGAAACCTTTGCCTGGCCTTCCACCATTCTCTTGTGGCCAAACCTGTGCAAGATCGCGCATTGTTCCGAAGAGATGCCCACACCCATGTCCTGATATATGTCACGCAGGCCCTTGTGCACCATGTACGCAGATGGGTCCCATACAATTCTGCTTCTGTGGTAAGAAATCTGTTACTCGGCGCTGCATTGACACAGACTACGAGAATGGATGGAGTTGTGGAGAAGACTGCGGTGAACTTATGCCATGTGGTATACATTCTTGCACGCGCCCATGCCACGAAGGTCTTTGCGGCGCCTGCGAAGTCCGCGTTCCTGCACGATGCTTTTGTGGTCAATTATCGAAAGAAATTCTCTGCTGCGACCGGGAGGAGGAGGCAGAGAGCAGTCAATCGCACATTTCAATAGATGGCTCGATAACGATCGAACACTGGACTGGGTTATTCCAGTGCCCTGATGCGTGCGGCCGACTCTTTGATTGCGGGAAACATCGTTGTGAGAAACCTTGCCATCCGCAAGACTCGGACCAATCGCACTGCCCTCGTTCTCCAGATCTCGTCTCACATTGTCCATGTGGGAAAACACTACTAACTATGATCACCGAAAAGCCTCGACTTTCCTGCGAAGACCCAATTCCGAATTGCTCTGAGCCCTGCAACAAACTGCTACCATGCGGGCATCGTTGTCAGAAATTATGCCATCAAGGCGAGTGCTCGTCTTGCCTACAGTCAATGTCGATCCCCTGCCGTTGTGGTCGTACGCAGTCCCTTACCATCTGTCACCAAGGCGTAGAGGAACTTCCACAGTGTATGCGAGTTTGTCGCGTCTCACTCAATTGTGGGAGACATGAATGTGGCGAACGATGCTGCTCCGGTGAGCGAAAGGCATCAGAACGCCAAGCTGCCCGGCGCAAACCACGATCCTTGGACGCACCCCGTCGACCTGCAGAAAACTTTGAAGCCGAGCACATATGTACACGAAGCTGCGGGCGACCGCTAAAATGTGGCAATCCAGATCATCGCTGCCAGGAGCTTTGTCACAAAGGTGCTTGTGGTACCTGTCGAGAAGCAATTTTCGATGAAGTCAGCTGCAATTGCGGACGTACAGTTCTGCAGCCGCCGTTGCCATGCGGTACCTCACCCCCTCCTTGTCGATATCAATGCGAGCGTTCTAAGGACTGTGGACACCCCCAGGTTGCTCACAATTGCCATCAAGATGAAGAGAGCTGTCCAAAATGCCCATTCCTCACTACCAAGCATTGCCTGTGTGGTAAAAGCACACTAAAAAACCAACCCTGCTGGCTCAGCGAAGTTCGTTGTGGTGAAATATGCGGACGAACGCTTAAATGTGGGGTTCACAAATGTCGTAAACAATGTCACCGTTCAGGTGAATGCGAAGAACCTTGCAGACAGCCTTGCGGAAAAGAATTGAGCGTTTGTGGGCATCCTTGCATGGCACCCTGCCACGCTCCAGCTGCCTGCATGGAGGATACTCCGTGCCAGCAGAAGATGCTCGTTACGTGCGAGTGTCAGCGAATCAAACAAGAACTCAAATGCAACGCATCCAAGAATGGCACTGGCAATTTGAACAATGTTCTCAAGTGCGATGCAGAATGCGCTCGCCTTGAACGTAACCGTAAACTCGCGTTGGCCTTAAACGTGGATCCGGAAGCTCAGCAGAATGACCACATTCCCTACTCGGCTGAGACTTTGAACATGTACCAAGGTAATTCGACTTGGGCAGCTGCGCAAGAAAAGATATTCCGCACATTCGCTTCAGATCCAGCCGAAAAGCGCCTCCGCTTCAAACCAATGCCTGCTAACCAGCGTGCATTTCTACATTCCATCGCCGAAGACTTTGGTTTCGATCATGAAAGCATGGACCCTGAACCGCATCGACATGTTTTTATCTTCAAAACACCTCGTTTCGTTATGGCGCCCATGAAGACATTGGCCGAGTGTGCAAGGGTCCGTCAAGTACAACGTGTTGGTACTGCAGGTGCCAGTACGGTGTCTACCACCGTTCCAAGTACCCGACCTAAGCCACTGTCTGGGGACCCTTTCAACTCCTACTTGATTACAAAGCCTCGTTTTGCGCTCACAGTCGAAGAAGTCAATTCTGCGGCAAAGGCAGCACTTGCGAAAACTCAATTTCCTCTTGAGCTTGAGGTTCATTTCCTCCCAAGCGAGGATGTTGTTCTTCAACTTCCTTTCTCGGCTCGCGCGAACATCACAGATTCCGAGATGCAGACCAGACTCGAGTCTATCAAGCCAGTGCTCTCTCAAACGATAACATCACAGAAGATCGGTACGCTCCAGTTGGCTCGAGTGGACTCTTCTCTGAATGTCATTCGTAAGGAAAATGATGTGAACGCATCGGGTAGTGGCTGGAGTGAGATTGCAAGGAAAGGGGCACCCGCAAGGCGAGCGGAGAAATCCATGCCGGTAGGAAACCGTGGAGGATTTGCGGTGCTCAGTCTGAGTAGTGCGAAGAAGAAGAAAGAAAAGGCAGCCGAAGTAGTTGATGATTGGGAGACAGCAGAACTACTTGAGGAAGAAAAGGAGAGAGTCAACGAAGCCAACAGTGCAATTGCAAGCGAAGACGAAGATCGAGGATCCACTAATCCGGCTCGCAACGAAGGGTTTGGCACTGAGGGCAGCATCGGCGAAGGCATTAGCACCCGACCGACTGAGGTACGGTGGGCCGACTTGGACGAAGAATAGCTGTACTCGTAGGCTCCAAGCGTTGGCACGTAGCTAAATGCATGTGAAGAAAATTTCGAAATGTAACTCTGAATGCATTAACTGTTCGTTGGCTGTGCACCAATTGTGAAGGCTATCCACACGCACGACGGGGTACAGTTGGAGTTAGCAGTTAGCGGCGCAACGACCCATAAGTAAAAGAGGACCATTATTATTGTGACAATTTCATGAATTGGTGAGGCGCCCATACCAGTAACTGTAGTACGAGGGTACAGTTTGACGGTTCTACGATTTTGTTGATGTTGATGGGGGACGAGAGGTACATGTCTCTGATCCCAAGATGCCGTGTTCTTGACATTACGAGGTTGTGACGCCTAAACCATTGACCAACGACGTCATACCCAGAAGCGACACACATGAGGCGCCCACCATTGACAACATAGGCAGGTATCCTCAATGAGGAGATTCTGCAAGTCTATCGTTTCGGGCGTGCCGACAGAAGGTTGCATTTGAAGAAATGCAATTATTCACGATCGAAAACAACTCAACTAAACAAATGGTGTGACTTGAACTGTGCTCTTAAAGAATAGAATAAAATGGGGAGACATGCAGAAGCTTGCCGATAGTTAGGGGTTTCGTCGCCGATATTCGACCGTTTTCTGGGACCAGCATACAATCGCGCCATGGCATTGTCTTCTACACCAGATCATTCCAACCGCAAAACCTACCGATCAACAGCGTCTCCCTGAACACCACGATGCACCCCAGAGACGCCTCCGGATACCATCTCCGCATCCATGAGCGGATGGATGTGCGGGGGGATACTATGACCGAGTTCCGCTCCACGCTGTCATGCTTTTTATGCAAATAGCAAGCAGCAGGCAGACTATTCCAAGTACTTGGTTAGGAAAGTCGACAAGCAACACAAGGCGACTATCCTTACGAAAGATCGCCCTCTATGTCATCGGGCCCGTTGGTTCTCGGTGTCCGTTCGCCAGGCGCTGCACCAAAACCACCGTTTCTGTACTTTGCTAGGTAGATGTCACCCTTTGACAGGGCTTGCAATGTGCGCATTGATACCTACGACAAGCCGCTACAGCGCTCACACGACAGCGATATTCGAATCTGTTCGATCTGAGAGGCTAGCCAAGACTTATTATGGCTCTCACGGCTCATCCAACTCTGCAACTTGCTTGGACTTGCCTCCCCGTTCTCCATGCAATGACGTACCAGGCCGGTAAAGGCGTCCTCGGCACGTGTCTGGGCATGACACAACCACGTTAGAGGAAGTGCAGTGATGGCCACCCATGTTTATAAAAGAGTCGTGATCCACAATTCAATAACAGTTCATTTCTTAAATCAGAAGATCCCAGTAGTGTGGAGTGTGGGTGCCCTTCTTGCATACTTATAAAGTCGCTGTAACGCTGTACAACTTTTGCGCCTATTGATCAGGGTCTTTTTCGAGAGATTCTTTGGAACATTGCAGTCAATATGGGTCTAGGCAAAGTGTATGTTCGCCTTGATAAAATTTGATGTGTGGTGTATTCAATCAGCTAACACTTTCATAGGAGAGTCAAAATCAATGGAGCCGAGTGCGGCATTGAGGCCATCATGCTGGGAGTGGTGACCTCGATAGGTGGATTCCTCTTTGGTTATGATACTGTAAGACATTCAAGATGTTGACTGTAGAACCATGCTAATGATCTGTGCTAGGGTCAAATCTCGAGCATGCTGCTATTCACCGATTTCATCGAGCGCTTCGGCCAAACTCAAGCCAATGGAGAGAAAGCTTTCGACGACATTATTTCTTCGTTGATTGTCTCGCTCATGTCAATTGGTACACTCATTGGTGCACTTTCTGGAGCATACACTGCGGATTGGTGGGGACGTCGTCGCAGCTTGACCTTTGGAGTGTTCATGTTCATCATTGGCAACATCATCCAGATCACAGCCATGAACTCATGGGTCCACATGATGATGGGCCGATTTGTCGCTGGTCTCGGCGTGGGTAACCTCTCCATTGGTGTGCCTATGTATCAGTCCGAATGCTGTCCTCAACAAATTCGAGGTGCTGTTGTTGCATCCTACCAGCTTATGATCACCATCGGCATTTTGGTGTCAAACGGCATCAACAAAGGCGTCCAAAGCATTCAGGAAACGGATGCATCCTGGCGCACTGTCATTGGTCTCGGCATCTTTTTCTCGTTGCCTTTGGGAATCGGTGTTCTGTTCACTCCAGAGTCCCCACGTTGGCTAGCTTCGCGAAATCGATGGGAAGAGGCGCGAACCTCTCTGGCTCGTCTACGTGGTTTGAAGGATGACCCGAACCATGAGCTGGTCATGAATGACTTCGACGAAATGCACAAGTCCATCGAAGAACAAAAGTCAGCCGGACAAGGTACTTGGCTCGAATGCTTTACAGGCAAACCTTCTGGCATTCCTCGATTGGTCTACAGAACCCTCCTCGGCTGCGCAATCCATTTCCTGCAGCAATGGACTGGAGTTAACTATTTCTTCTACGTGAGTATTGAGTCGATCAGCTACCATGCACCACTCGCAGGCTAGCATTTTACTGCCAAATGGATCACTAATTCACCTCACAGTATGGAGCTACCATTTTCGAGTCTGCCGGTATCAATGACCCCATCTTGACACAGCTGATTCTCGGTGCCGTCAACGTTATCACCACATTCCCTGGTCTATACATTGTTGAACGATTCGGCCGCAGAATCCCTATGATCATCGGTGCAGCATGGCAGTCTGCCTGGCTTCTTGTTTTTGCGTCCATCGGTATTGCTCGACCGCCTCAGGATAATCCTAGCTCCGGCATTGTGATGATTGTCGCAGCTTGCATGTTCATTGCATCCTTCGCTATGACTTGGGTAAGTTCCACCCAAACTCTGTCCCGACAACAACGGAATGCTAACATGTTTTAAGGGACCTTTCTGCTGGATTGTGGTTGGAGAAACCTACAGTCTAAGGACTCGTGCAAAGCAAGCATCGCTAGCTACAGCATGCAACTGGCTCGGAAATTTCATGATCGCATTTTTGACACCGTTTGCCAACACTGGAATCGGTTTCGGCTTTGGGTTTGTCTTCTTCGGAACCAACCTGGCCGCAGCAATCATTGTCTATTTCTTCCTCTTCGAGACAAAGGCTCTCAGTCTTGAGAGCGTCGACACCATGTACTCGGACATGTCACTGAAAGCGTGGCAGAGCAACAAGTGGATCCCAGAGGGATACATTGACAGAGATACGCGCGACCAAGCGTTCTGGCAGCGCCGTGGTTCTATTTTTGACAAGGACCATACTACCCATGGCACCGGCAATGGAGTCATGGCCCAGGAGGGTGATGAGAAGACCGTCGCCGAGAAGAACGACACCGCCCCTACCCAGCGATCGGAGAACATTGCTGGAGACGAGCGACGAGTGTAAAGTGCTCTCAACTTTTATGAATGGCTGCATTGCGCAGGGGACATAACAATTTCGAGTATTGTATTTGGAGTCTCCATGATGCGATTCTAGTCTGTATGATAGCTATTATTCTTTGTAAATATCAATCAACTACATGTACAAGTCAACAGTTGTGTCACACACTTTTCCCTTAGAATTGAATAATTAGCACTTAGGGGGTACGAACTTGTCCGAAGCCAGTCAAACCACTTTGAGAGGAAACCTACTAGCTGTACACCGCAATTTGTCTATTTAGAAGAAAGCACAGGAATCGCTGGGAAGCTATAATAGGATAGGTATACATAACCAACTATGTATCATTAATGTAAGGTAAACAAAGAGAATCGCCACAGCAGCCTTGTGCCGACTTATCCTTAAATTTCCCATAGGTCGCTAATAATAGGCTGCGGTGTGGCTCAGCATGTGCCACTCAGCTTTCGTGGCAGAAAGTCTGGGCGACGCGTACGTCACCTGTTTGATCTCCCATTTCTTAGACCAAACACCCTCACAAAACTTTTACAAACACACTTTTCCACATTGCAATCATTGAAATATATACACTCGCTACGTGCTTTCCATTCACTTTTCTTCGATTTGCTGCATTATGGCGCCTGCAGTACCTTTGTCTAACCGTCAGACGCTGGGCGCATTCGCGAGACGGGCGCTTGTCACTGCCGGTCCCGCGCTTGCGCAACCCCATCTCCACCATTTCTCTCGCCGTGGTCTTTCAGTCAATCATACTCAAGGTGTGACTTTGGGTGTAATCGGAGCTTATGTTGTTATTATTGCTCTGCTATGGAATCTTCCATATATACGATGGGTCCTGTGGCCGTTCAAGGTATGTAATGATCATTCAGCTGCTGCAATCTATTTTTCAAGATTTCAGCCTCGTCGTCTATCATCATGGCTGACAGAAGTAATTAGATGCTGGTTATCGCATTCCATGAATTTGGTCATGCTATAACAGCCTGCTGTACTGGAGGTCGTGTTGAGTCAATTTCACTCGATCCTCATGAGGGTGGTGTCACGCACATGCGTGGCGGAATGCAGGCCATTACTCTTCCCGCTGGATATCTGGGTTCCAGCTTGATCGGTGCTCTATTGACATTTTGCGGGTTTAACATTGTCGCAAGCAAAGTCGCAAGCATTGTCCTTGGTGTCTGCTTCCTCTTGACTCTCTGGTGGGCAAGGAAGGATTGGCTTACCATCGTGACGATTCTTCTTGCTGTGGGTCTGCTGGTCGCTTGTTGGTTTATCAAGCATGCTGAGCCACTCCGTTTTGTCGTGGTATGTGTGCTATATATCTTGTATGCCTGGGTTCTGCTAACCTTCCCATCAGCTATTTATCGGTGTCATGTCATCGCTCTACAGCGTGTGGGATATTTGTGATGACCTAATACTTCGAAAGGTCAACTCATCCGATGCATCAGTCTTTGCAAAGCGTTATGGCGGTTCATCGCAGTGCTGGGGTGTCATCTGGTCGCTCATCAGTTTGTTTCTGATGGTTTGTGGTATTCTGGCCGGTCTAGCTGCTTTCAAGCAGAGCTTCGAGCAGCAAGAGAAGGATTCTCAGGATTTCATTCCTACGAAAATGATGATTAGGTTATAAGGGACTTCAGCATTTGGTTCCCAAAGATCATGTAGCAGACGATTCTTTCTTAGTTGATTGTTTGATAAGGCGATGGCAAAATTGGAGGTTATACCCTTTGTATGGTTTAATGAACATTTCAGTCGATACACAATTTGTGTCTACTTTCTACACTTCCTTGGCTATTCCTTGATCTTCACGAGATATCAATCTCCATGTTCTAGCCCCGACCAACTTGAATAACTCCAAGACATCATGTTGTGGGGTAAAGGCCCACAAGACGGTTCCTGAACACACCCCGGAGATGCTTACCCAGAGCCAAGGTTATTAGTGCCACTCATAACAACACCCCATCTTGCAGAGTCTCAAATATAAACTCAGTCTGATTGATATTGTAGAAGTATCTTACTCTTTCCTACTTCCTTCAACCCGACAAGTCTTTAAGAAAAATGGATAAACACGACTTCAATTTTCCCCATCTGCGACCCGACCAACCCCAGAACGACCAGCCATATGTACGACTAATGATATTCTTCAACAAGCGTGCAGACATCACCGAGGAGCAGATGAACGACTGGTGGAGGAGCGTGCATGCAGATCTGAGCATGTCTGTGCCAGGCTGGAGTGCTCACTGTTCAAGATATATCCAGGTACGCTTTACCTTTCGCCTTCCACACGAAGACAAGTCAGTTCAAGAGGCCATGTAGACTTACATTTGAGTAGTTTCGGCAACCATCTAAACTCAGAGAGCAAGCTAAGTCATGCGGGATGGACATATTGGAGTACGATGCTATGGGAGAGATGCATGTTAAGAGTCTGGACGATTGGCTTGAGTTCTCGGCCAGTCCCGCCTTTTCGAAGAAGTTAGTCGGTACGTGAAAAGGGTTTGCTCGTTAAAAAGAATCTCCAAAAACAAGTTGACACTAATGGATTTGTAGAAGATGGTAAGAACTTCATGGATGGAAATATTAAAGTCATGATTGGCCACGACAATCTTGTATTCGGGGCCACGACGGCGAGGAGTAGCGGGTCAGACGGCATTCTGATTGACGACAAGAGATTGAAGCCTGCTGAATCGAAGCTTTAGACACTGATGGGGACTCGAGATGTTTGATTGTCTAGCTGTTCAATCTTTACTGCATCAATTCAAGAAAAGTCTTGGCAATGCTTGTTTGGGAAGATGAAGCATTCGAAGATCTCATGGACAATTGGAACACAACGAAGGCATATGCGAAGCTTTCTCGAGATCAATCAAAGTACTACGAAATGTAAGAGGTGGTTGGTGTCCTCTCAGGGTCTAAAGCTTTTGAAAAGATAGCATCCTTTGTACAATCCGTTGTGCAACCCGATCCAGCAGAATCACGGATAAAGCAGATTCTTAGTTCCTGTACCATTGCTGTATTGATCTATATGACATGCACGCTACAAATGCTAATAACCCAATTAATGATGATCATCCCATTCAGTGGAGATGTCGCGCGCGTTTTCGTACGTAAACGTAAGGTCTATCGACAACATACGTCATAGTTGCGCACCTCGTACTCCCACTAGTTGAGATCGCGTATCCTGTCGATATCCTACGATCGACACAATTCCGGCCCGCCGGCGATTCTCGACGGAGAAACAAAGGAGGCTCTCGTATCCTGTGCACTTCTCATCGTGAATCTTGTAAGAAGGAAGAAATTGACCGCTAAATAGCCTTTGTTGAGGCTGGATGAATAAATGATGCAAACTGTGAACGGAGAAATGAAAACTCTCATCATATTCCGACACGACCACCGTCAATCTTCAATGAACTGCCGGTCATGAATTTCGAATCTTCGCTGGCGAGGAAAGCGACAACGCTAGCGATGTCATCGACCTTCGCCAGTCGTCCAAGGGGCGTTGCTTCCTTGAGCTCTGCGATCTCGTCTGGGCTCGATGGATTCCTCTTCATGAGAGTGTCGATGTCACTTGGGTGGATGGTGTTGACGCGGATGCTGTACTGTCCTAGCTCTTCTGCAGCGCTGAGTGCAAGACCCCGAAGTGCGAATTTCGAGGCTGCGTAAAGAGAGAAGTTGGGTTCGCCATGAAGACCAGCAACCGATGAGGTGAGGATAATGGAACCTCCATTTCCAGCTGCTCTCATTGCTGTTGCAGCATGCTTGACGCCCAGGAAAGCTGCGACCTGTTAGTAAATCTATCGGCTGATGTTTTTCACAATATCACGTACCAGACTTAACATTCATCTGCATCAGTCTCTCGTAATCCTCCTCTTGGATGTCAAAGATACCGGTTGATGGAATGTTGACGCCATAATTCAAAAAGCACGTGTCGAGTTTGCTGAAGGTCTGAACGGTTCTCTTGATGTAAGACTCGACATCTGCCTCAGAGCTGACGTCGGCGACTATCGTAAGGATCCTTGAGGTCACGGGTTCGCCAGTTCCCAGGACCGATTTCAGTGCTGATACTGCGGATTCCAAACCCTCCACGTCGTCGTCCACCAGGCTGACCTTGGCACCTTCTCGGAGCATTCTCTTTGCTGTCTCGATGCCAATGTCGTTTCCACCTCCTACAATGATAGCAACCCTTCCGCTCAGACGATGAACCGGAAGTGGTCGGCTTTCGCTGAGATCTACCTTCTTTGGAGTCTTTCCAGCATTGAGAGATGCAGTGTAGGAAACACGCTGTAGGGGAAGAGGGCGCTTGGGTGGAGCAGCCATTTTGTCGTGATAGTGATAAGATCGATAAGCTCTCAACTGTTGTTTCCGGCGCGAGGAAAGTCCTCAATAGAGATAATGAATGTTGTAGTTACAGAGTTTCTTGTTGATGGTTGGGAGAAGATAGTGAGATCACGTTCTGTCGGGAGCAGTCTTGAGGGTGTCAATGTTGGCAATTGAGACGATATCTTTCAACCAGCAAACAGCGCAGACAATGCCTTAACATCCGGACTACATCATATATCTGGGTCGTGGCGTTATTACCCGAACCGGCGAAAATCTCTGATCTAAGGTTTTCCACATCTGATCCTGATGCAGCGTAGTCAAGACACGTTAAGGGTCCGGCTGCGTGCCACTAACGCTCGCTCCCGACCAGTGACGTCAAAAGCCGAGCTCATGCCGGCGCAAATATCCACATTCTATCCTCGACATCTCCACAACTGCCTCCATATTAAATGAGTTTCGATCCCCGACGGCGGGAGACGGCGGTGTGAAGTATGATAAGAAGGGGTCGCTGGACTTTCTTTTCGCGATACGACATTGGCCTGGGGAGGGAATCCGCGGCCGATGATTTTCGCAGTAGGATTCCGGGGGAGGCGGTGTGAAAACATATGATTCTGAATCCAACATATACCTGCTGTATTGGAGGATTTATCTGGAACAGGCGATAACACCACATCACTCTTTCATTCAAGAAATGCCGATTTGCTCGTACAATCAAAATCGACTCATGAGACAGACCACAGAATCACGCACGCAGGGACAGGAGATATCTACACGTGATTAAACTTTGACATTACATTGTATTTCACTAAATTAGATGCGACCGCCCAACGATTACCAGTCTAGGAAATAATCGATACCATCAGACAGCGCAGCACCGCCAACGGCGGCATGATCGCTAAAGGGGTACTCGTGTAGTTCCACGTCTCTCAGGGCGGGGCTGTCCTTGATGGAGTTGTACAGCTGATTGGTCAACGTAGTCATCCTCATCGGTTCGAGGATGCTCTTTCGAAATTCAAAGGCTTCAGTAGTCTCTGTTCGTCTTTTGACAGGGAACTGCTCAAGCGCGCCGTAACTTATCTGGAAAGCAGGCTTATCATTTTGCGCATCCCTAGCGCCATTGGAAGCGGCAAGAGGACCAAGGTTATCGAGGATGTAATCATTGTTCCAGAAAAGTGCGGGAGAGGCCGAAAGGAAAGTGTCGAAGAGATCGGGACGGGCAATGAGCGCATAGAGGACGAAGAGACCGCCAAAGGAGTGTCCATAGAGCGCATCACGGGAGAAGTCAGCGTTCGGGAAGGCTGTGTCTTGCACCCAAGGGCGAAGGACAGTGTCTATGAACTCGATGAAATTGTCTGCGCCGGACTGAACACCAGGGACCTCTGGCAGCGTGCAGGTATCGCATACTGGGGGCTGGAAGTCAACGCTACGATGCGTGCTGTATGGAGAGTCGGCGATGGTTTCGGGGTACCCAATGGAGACAACAATGGTGTCTGGCTGGGCAAATTCTACAGGTCGACGTCTGCGGAAAGATTCTGTAGCACCCAAACCCAACGCATTACCGTCCAGCACATACCTGGCATCGATTGTTAGCTCAACTTCGGATCGAATGGTGAGAGAAATATGGGGTCTAGATCAGAGCAGAACGTTCACTTACATTGTGTCAACGACACTGTCGGCCGCTTTCGATGTCCAGTTTAATGGGTAACCTATTTCAACCTGGTACTCCCATGTTCCGTTCGTTACCTTCCAGAATTCGACATTAGGAAGGACGGTTGAAGGGAAAGAGGTAATCAGGGGAGAGAACGACCAGGTGCCAATCGCAGACATGATGGGTGAATGTATGCAGTAGTGTATTGAAGAAGTGTCGAAGTTGAGGAAACCTGTGTCGATGTCGTTACTCCACGTTCAGCCTCTGCCTTTTGTACTAATGGTCTCCTTCGCGCTTGTAGAACTTTGGAAGTCGTCAAGCGAGCAGCGGTTGGAGAAGCATCTCAAGAGCTTGTGGGGAGCTCTTAAGTTTAATGCACGTGGGAGGCGTCCTGGTTCGCATGCACTGGCGCCTCGTCCACATTGTCAAGCTGTGTTGCGTTAGCATGGAAGCCGCTTACGCACTTCTAGCCACGGCACTTGCAGTTGATATCCCGGACGTTAGTGAGGATAAGGTTAAAGAGGCCGCCAAACCACGCCCATGACTACGCGCGAGATCCCTCTAAAACCGGCGATGTGGTGCTTGGAATAAGCGACACTATCAACTTCCCATCTTCAACCTACGTTTGGGGAATTTCCAATACGCCAACATATTTCACTGCACCTTCTAACGAGGATGGGAGCAAATGCGAGTCAGATACTCAGGACCAGGAAGCGGGGAAGTGAGAATCAGACGCGATCCAGGGAGACATGCCAGGGCTTCGGACGGAGGCGGCGCAAATGCACGGGGTAGATCAGGTTTCTTCGAGTGGTCTTATGCGCATCAAGTGTTCTTGTCCTCTCAGGCACTGCGTAGATTTGGAAAGGGAGGGTATAATATCACCTACACTATGACCGTAGGCTTTCATTCATGCGGATTCCAGCACGCCAAGATCGTATTTGGAAATATCGATGACAACGACATGCATGAAGCTGGACATCGTCGTCATGAACACATCCAGCCAGGGGAAACTGTAGCCACGACTCAGGGCCAAGTCTAGCTGACCGTTCAATTATTTCGTCGTTCGCGCTGTCGGGCGTCGATTGCGACAATTTATTGTAGAACAGCCGATGGCGCGCTCATCTGACCGATTCCGTTCCTATTCCCTACGACTCTGTCGTTCTGATTCAATCACCAAACCCAGAGCTGAGTTCAAGCGTTCGCAATCAGACCCAACCTGTGGGGACCGCCAGTTGACAGGGGCTGTTCACTTTCGGCGCCTCCCTCCCGTGTGCACACTGCATGCAAGGTGCAGATACTCGTGGACATCGCAAGCGACCAGCCACCGCAGCTGTTTAACGATTCACCATTACTTGGCCATCATACATTCACACTCATCACATAGTTCTCATCACCAAAGATATATTTCCTATGTCCTTTAAATTTCGCTTCGTATCACAAATCGCATGGGATATTGCACGGTTCACCTTTCCTAAGACGGGCCAATGTACTGATCGAGATTGGCTCAGGTCCCAGTAAAGATAGAATGCACCGAATTCCACAATTACGGCCAATAACGTCTGCGCTTGGCAACGTATTGATTTTAAATTTGCGATCCGCCTCGGGCTCTCGCTCTTTACGCTTTGGACTCCCGGGAAGATGGTTGCGACTCCAAAACGGGTATCATGGTTCTGCCTACAACGCAGAGGCATGGGCATTCGGCGTGAAGCCCGAGTCGAGCATTTCACAATAGCTTGTTGTTTGGCCCACCTCATTTTTAAGGGGGTGCCTATGATAACCGTTGTTAGTCCTTTGAATCCTTTCCCTCCACGTTCATGGTTGTGTGTGTGTTCAAAACAATGTTATGATTGATGAACGACATATAACTCCATCTCCAATCGCGGCTATTCAAGTTGCGGTATTCCGCACATGCATGCCCAGAGTCCACCTTCATGTAAGCTCCACATTTCCAGCCAGTTCTGTCCATATTGAGACGAGGCTGCATTGATCTTGGTGGATTTGACAAATGTTTGAGACGTAAACAGAACAACGCTGGCAAGACATACCAATCTGTCCAGGATAGTAGAGATCAGACCTGGCAAGGCGAGTCCGTAACGTCATGCTATGAGATGAATACACTTGGTAGCGTAGTGGCTACCCTGAAGAAAAGAAGTTATTGACGCTTGCATCTCTTCAGTCCAAATAACTGGTTCGAATCAGTGTTGATTGATCATGCATATACTACAGGGGATGATCCAGTGTTTCCAAGATTGGAGTTGGCTAGAGACACAGAAAGTGAATCATGGTCAATCCTCTCAAGCAAAAACGCGGTTCACAATCACATGCTTTTTGAGCTTTCCCTGGGGCGCAAAACTCTTGGTTGTTAGACTAGCACTCATTCATAAGATCCGAAAAGTTGCGGTCGGCAGCATGATCACTCATTGTCTCCTTTGGAGAGCTACTGATGCCTGAGAGAGATGAATAGCTGGTGCGCTCAGTGTTTGTCGCTCACTCCGTTTCTGCCTTGAAGCTTGGAAGATGTTTCTCATAAAGTTTGACAAGTCTCTATCATCCTAGCTTGTTGTCTATCGCCGGTTAAGTGACTCTATCAGAGTTCCTTCTAAAATTATTGGTTGGTTGCAAGACCTCAGTCAATGCATCATCCACAGACTGCCACGATACGAACGCCGAGACAGTTGGCAATACCCCTTCGATCAACCCTATTGCGTCTCTCCAGCCACCGATGCCCATCTTGCTCATCACCATGGCAAGCCTTAGCGCAAATTCCCTTCGCTCAACCTGGTCTTCAGACTCACGAACGGCATGTGCCAGGGTCCAAACAAGCAATACCCGCAACTCCCTCCAATCGGCAAAGTAGTTGAGTATTGTACTGGAAAGGTTGCCTCGGAGCTTTGCTGTCCGTACCGGTTGAGCGCTGAATGAGCGCCAAATCGGGGCTAGGAAAAGTAAAGTCCCAACACGGCAGACCTCTTCGATGATTTGAATGTTCGTGGGTTGATGGTTTTGGTTCCCTTGCATTGGCCGAAACGAAAGCAAGCCATGTAGTATTGGATTCATCCAATCGCAGGGCAGTATGTTGGGGGCAACGAGGACCGTTCTAATCTTCTCGTACATCGATAGCCAACCCTGAGCATCAGGGAATTGTTCTCGCCAAGTAACAGATATTTGTGCTGAAGCCCCTGTCGCAAAGCTTGCGGTCGACATGTTATTGACAAGCGGCGGAGTCGGACTGAGTTGTTGCCATTGGATGGGAGGTATCAGATATGGCACCATGTCTTGAGCGAAAGACCCTACGATATTATTCCTATACCAATGTTTAGTCTCCATAGTTATTTCTATCGATGAGTTTGTGGAACTCACCATGAGAAATTTTCCACCAGACGCTCTGCCTGTTCGCAATCTATCGACCGTTTCATGGCTATAATTTGTAGTAGAGCTTGCATACGTCTGTTCCATTGATCGTAGTCTCCAAGCACATACTAATTCGAAAGAATCATCAGCCGCTTATCTCGCAAATCATCATGGAGAGGAGATACATTACATCACGGGTCAGAATCTCGTCCATTTTCTCCAGCATTTTGTCCTCACTACGATCCTCTGTACCATCATTGAGTGAACCAGTAGCCCTGGCGTCATCATTTGCCGGTCCCAAGGTATCATATGACATTCCGTGCTCGCTATCGAGCCCCATGTGGCTGTGAAAATCGTCGGCTGAGGTGTTCGAAAATGACAATCCATCGAAGGATAATGGGGAAGAAATGGCTGACGGTGGCGCCGTAACGTGGGGTTCATGATCACTGAAAACTGTTTCAATGTAAGTGAATAGATGTATACAGAACAGTTGATGGTAGTGAATGAGAGCTTACGTTCCGCCCATGCTCCACTATTGTCAACCTCTGCCTGTAGGGACTGGGCCGCCGTCGTATCTGTTGTTGCTGGTCCAGCACGACTGGGTCCTGCAGCGTTCGGTGCTTGAAGCTCAAATACGATCTCATCTTGCGCCACTTTCTTCTTCCGCCTCCGCCTCTGACGCCCAAAATTGGTCATTGCGGAGGACCGAATATGGTCGATCGTGTCCTGATCTTTCAAATCATCAGGGTGTGATAAATTTATAAAGGTGAAATCAGTGTCCTTGGACCCTGACATTGTTTTTTCAAGTCGGCACAACGAAGCTTACGGAAAGAATGGCATATCAGTTGCAGGCAGAATGTTTGCAACGAAATTATGGCAGATGTTGTTGATTACAGAGTTCTTGTCGCGGACATGGCTTGATCTTGAACCAATATCGTTGAACTGCTTGCCTAGAGGGTTCCTTCGTCTTAATCCACCAATCCACCCTAGAACCTATGCAGAAGTTCGCCATCGCAATTTGCGGTCAGAGACATGAACGATGAATGGCTGTAGGGCTGTGAGGCTGATGATGCTTCTTGATGAGCGGGGAGGATCCGTTAGCGACATGCACGAGCAGGGAAGACCGCTTTCTGAAAAAGGATAAATAGTGATGATGCCGATTACAAGGCCGATGTATTGTCCAATCAAATATGAGACAACGCTGGCTGTTGTAAGCTACAATACCACATGTTCGCCTCCCAAGATCGAGCGAAGAACTCATCCCACGCTTTTGCCAACCACATCACATAGGGCGGCATAGCGCGTGCGCCTCCACGACAATGCAAGATGACTGCATTTCTAGACTCTTGAATTCTTGTTGCCTATCCATTGTATATTTCTTGATAGAATTTGTCAGCTCTGGCTGCCGGCTGTGCCGATAGGTGGTGTCTGCAGGCACTGTACCGGCGGCCGACTCAAGTGGCCGATATGCATCCAGGGATAAGCGATCCGAATCGTCGCTCATCCCGTATTCGGACCCGAAGCATCGGGTTCCTTGGGGATGGTAAGGCAGGAATGTGATCAGGAACTGGCGAATTAGATCGCATTACAACAGTATAGAATGCATGGTATACGAGATATCATGATCGTTGATTGAATCGGCATTAGTTGGATTGCTCGACGGCATGTTCTTATACACTTCCATGTCCTCGACTTCGTTATTCCTCGCAGTCTTCTCAAGATCAGGTTTTCCATTGTTATAGACCAAGGTGCGGCAGTTGGAAGTGCCGTAGCCTCGGCTTCCCCAATATCAGGTGAGACAAATGCGTACAACGCTGTTTTCGAGAATGATATTCCTATACCTCCAGGAGCACGACGTACGTCAAGAATTTCCATAACCAGACATTGCAACTCACTGGACTCGAAGGGTTATCCTCCCAAAAGTACAGATTGGATTCAATCAAAATTACTTTCCGAATGAATACATGCACAATCATTGCAAAACATCCCCTCTTTCCAATAATACAATATTCTGGGACAATGAGACCTAGCTTTCCCATTGCAATGGTGTTCGAAATAAAATCCAAACGCACGATGGCGGGCTTGAAGATTCACGTTGCTGCTCTGTATAATCAGGGGACCTAAAAGGTAATTTGCGAACATGGGAGTGGAAGCAGTAGACCATGAATTGATGTTTCAGAGCTCGTAGCATTAAAACAACCCCGTGACGCATCATGCAAAGAGACAAAGTTATAGACATACGATTACTTGAACCAGTGGCTTTTGGCAGATGGATTTGGCCAAGTCAAAATAGAAATTTACATACCATGACCGAGACCGTGGTACATCTCGGACGTCAGAAGTGGCAGGTACTATCTGATGGCATACTCGACATACTCGACATACTCGACATACTCGACATACTCGATACACTCGATACACTCGATACACTCAATATGCTCGACATGCTCGATATACTCGAGACACGAATGCACGGCGCATATCACAGAACCGGAAAAGCCGTCTGGACCCTCATTCAGAGCAACAGTAATGTGAATAGTTTTCTGGGACGGAACTTCGTGAGAAAGGATGCATCTTGTCCCGCTAGATGTTCATATCTGTTTTGCAAAAGCAATGATCTATGCAATCAAATGATTAATGGGATGCTTACAGATTTTGGTTACGGCAATGTGGATGCACGCTGCACAGCAACTTCTCTGTAGTTACAATATTTGGCCTCCAATGATGGCAAGTTTATACATAGATAATTTATCAGAGGAAAAAGTTGGCGAACAAGGCATGCTTCTTTTACCATTGCGACTATTAGTGTTGCTTGTAAGGATAGTTGTGCAGCACGGGATACATTTCCCCACCAACGTATTAAAACAAGACGTTATATCTTCTAATGTAACCACCTGGCTAAAACCTTTACACTTTCAGAATTCATTGCCTCGAGTTTGAACACGATAGAACTAGGGCAATCGAGCAACTTTTGTATTTTACAAAGTACATGCCGTATGGGCATCGATGCTTATCTTATATTACATATTATATTATGTGATGCTAATGGTAATGTCATAATTTTACTTTCCTCGTCGAGAACATTTTTCGTTTATTTTCCCATTGATTCTCTTAGAAACCACCCTGTCCTGGAAGAGGGTCGTTCTTGGCAGGGCATGGAGCATCGTAGACGGCAGGGTTGACGAACTTGGGCTTAGGGTCGTTGTTGTAGGCAAGGAGAGCGAGAGTGTTACCTGGTGTATTCGTTAGTCCCCAGATTTCAATTACGCAAATATCTGATCTCATACCATTGGGGTTGAAACGAGGCCATCCCATATTCTGAAGGCCGTTCAGCGAGTCGCGTGCGAATGTTCCCCAAGCCTTCTGCATGTACTTGATGGTTTCATTCTCCGCGGCAGTGTTGGTAAGACCGGACACATCTTGTGCAGTTCCGAAAACCATGTTAATCTCAGATCCGTGGTAGGCACCACTTCCGCGGGGTCCAAGTCCAGCAGTTCCGTTGTACATGCGAATGTTGTCCCAGTCGCCATGGTACCTGTAGCGGTAGGTAGCGACACCGTACTGCGTTCGGTATGTGGCAGTATACTTGTTGGGGCAAGTGAATGCACGCTGGTTGAACAGGTCCCATTGTGCCTCAGTGAGGTTGATCTTAGCGCCAAATGCACTGAGCTTGTACCAACCGGACTCGAAGTCAGTGTTTCCAAGAAGCATTGGGATTCTGGCGAATTGGCCAGTAGCAGTCAACTCCTCATAGTTTCCAAACACGGTGACGTTGTCAATGGTGGGGTGGAAAGTAGCCTGAGCGAGAGCAATAGTTGGCAGCGCAGGAACCTTGGCGGCAGCAGCAAGGACTGTCTGAACGTCCTTAGAGCGAACACATGCGACCACAGAAGCGGAGTCATCACTGGCACCGCCGCAGCCGATGGTCTCGGTGACGTTGAACCAGATCTTCTGGGCGTACTCGGGAGTATTGGGGTTGAAGCTGAGCGAGGTTCCAGAGTGAGGAATGAGCCCAGAAACGATTGGGTCATTCTTCCAGGCAAAGGAGAAGTAGTCGACAGATGATCCACCGGCACTTTGACCGAAGATGACAATCCTTCGAGGGTCACCACCAAAGCCCTCAATGTTGTCACGAACCCACTCAACAGCAGAACGCTGATCGAGCAGAGCAGCGTTTTGCTGGAGACCAGGAGCACCAGAGAATCCGAAGATACCCAGGCGATAGCTAAATCATATTAATTGACAATTATTGGATAGGAATTTTAAGACATTCTTACTTGACAGTCACGACCAAGACATCCTCGGCATCAGTGAGGTACTGGCCGCTGTAGAAGGGGCTGTGAGGGCCAGGAATGGTAAAACCTAACCGGTGATCAGCGAAGGTCAGAACATAATGTTACAGACTGAATACTTACGACCACCGTGGAACCAGACAAGCACAGGCTTTCCCCTACCAGGAAGCACTTCAGGCGTCTTTGTCCAAATGTTAAGCTTCAAGCAGTCTTCCGCTGCTGGGTTGCTGTTCTGTGCAGCAAAGTTCTTCCAAACCCTCAACCCTGATGGCTGAGTGAAATTGGGGAACTGGCTCACTGGCGGCTTGTTGGAAGGGCAGTCACTAATTCCTATACTCAGTTGCTGATCGGATGGAGGATGATTGGCGGGTGATCTTACTCTGACCAGTTCGATGCATCATACACAGTGTTGGCTGGTGCATTGTAACGCTTTGGGGGAGCAAATCGCTCGGCCGTCGCATACTTAATACCAAGGAACTCGGTCACACCTGTCTTGTTTGATGCCGCATGGCCAACGATGACACCGGAGGATGTCTTAACCCTAGGTGCAGTGTATCCTGCAGGGGCCGCGAAGGCCGAAGGCAGGAGGGATGCAGCAGCAAGTGCTTGGACAAACAACTGCATATTGACGAACGAATGAAAGAACAGCACAAGAGGAATTGAAGGTGTGCGACTGCGTGCGTTACTTCTGCAGGAAACAGGGTCCTGATGGTTTTATGGGCACCTCACCCCCTCCTAGAAGGAGATGATCATGATGAACGACTACGTAAAGGGTTGGGGCGGGATAGAAACGGCTCGATCTAGTATTGCCTGGCAAGTATTACGGCCTAGGAAATCGGTAGACTGTTCGTACTGCGTAGATTCCATTCTGCACAGACATGGAGCGCCACAAGGTCCGCTATGCCCGTAACAGTGATCAGATTCTGTCCCATTATTCATGCAAGTCAATTCTTGCAGTGATTCCCACGTGGGCGAGTATGTGCAGCAGATGGCGAAAGTTTGCCTTCTTTCGATCCGTGTACGAATTCAGGGTTACCAAGCGTAGGGGTGCATGCGAGCACTGTAAATCAGCTCATTCGCGGCCATGCTAGCTTTGCGTAGAACACGGGCCGCAGTTGATGGATCATTACTACTGTGTATTCCCTGGCCTGTAGCGAGCCTTGAAAGCAAGCCAGTACCTGCATTGAATCCATTCGGGGGCAAAGCGGACAGCGCGGACGAAAGTTTACATTTAGTGACGGTATGCTTGCACACAAAGGTACGATTTAATAGACACGGAAACGATCTACGGCAACAAAGTTCGGGGGAGGGTCCAGAATGTCACTTAGTGTAGGAGAATGGAGATTTCGGGGGAAGATTGTATGCAACTTTCCTTGAAGCAAATGTCGTATTCAAAGACGCTATTCCATAGTCAAAAGGTAGCGTTGGATTGTTTGAAAATCCCATAGAAATGCCGTGGATACGAGAAGCGCTAATTTGCGGAGAGAAGGGATCATCCCCTGAGCCCCGCCGGGATTGGGCACACTACTTGTTTGCCAACAGACTCCCCTAAGCCCTTGCAAGGAGATTACCTTTCTCTTGCCTCGTAAGGTGCAGAGAACGTTGTGCCTGGGGTGGGATTTGTACTTACCTAGGTAAGTGGACGTTGCCCTTGCCATGCACTTCAAATTATTCTGCTCCTCCTCCGTTAGTTAGTTAGTTAACATTACTAAACCAAACCCAAGAGACCCCTCGAGCATTGACAATGGAACAATTCCTCACCCCGGATGCTCACAGCCGCCCAGTTCTATCTTTACTGTAGCTTTGTCTAGCATCTGTAGCTCTGTCTATCATGATGAACCGTTCAGTGGAGAAAGGTCCAATTATTCTCAGCCTTCTCTCTACATTGGCAAGAAGTTATGAACACGATCAGCAATCCCTACTCAGACAGGCAAGAAGTTTGACACCTACTTCGTATCCAGTAGAAGATGTTACAAGTACAACAATCGGTCCGCCTTATCAGCACGCTAGCATTGTAAACAGCTACAACACTAGGACAAATGTCCCGTTCCGCTGGGTAGCGCTGTCTCCTGCACAGCACGGTCCGGGCAGTCCTGGAAGTTCTGCACCTAGTTGTAGGTATCCTTGAGGGAAGCCCAAAGTCGAAAGATGCATGCAAATACACTATATCAGACCAAGGGCCTTCATAATTCGAAGGGTTTGGCCCGTGTTACTCCGTATGTCTTGTCTCTAGACTTTAAACCATGATATCTCTCTCGAATTCCCACAAGTCCCAATAACACTCGAACACCTGCCATCGACGGACTCTTCACGAACAGGATTTTCCCCACGCATGGCGCCCAGCGTAGGACTTGGGACCGAGGGGCCCGTTCAACGCGGGTGGTCCCTATGGCTCGCTAGTGTGTTGGGTGTGGTCATCGCAGCTTTGTTTGTGGCGGCTCGGATTGTCCAGAGACTTACGAAAATTGGATTGGGACCCGATGACTACGTGATTGTCGCCGCTCTGGTCGCTTCAGCGATGCTTTCCATGACGGAATGTCAAGGTTCGTCTATGCATCATCTACATGCATACCGGCTTCAGCAGTCTGACATCTCGCAGCGGTGGTGTACGGTTACGGGAGAAAGTACAAGGACATTTCACCGGAAAATCGCATTTTGGCTCGACAATGGTTCTACGGTGCACAGATCGTCTACAAGATCGTCCCTACGTTGACTAAAGTCTCTATCGTCTGCCTCTATTATCGCATTTTCGCAGTGTCGAAGAGTTGGTTCCGCACTGCTTGCCACCTCATGAATGGCTTCATTATCGCGTCAGGATTAGCGTTTACGATTGCTACGATGTACGTCCGAGAGTATTTCACGACTTGTAGAGTTCACGAGCTAATTCTCAATCAGTTTTCAATGCAACCCGATTGCAGCGTTTTGGGACAAGACTATTTCCCCCGCTAAATGCTTCAAAAACGAACCATGGTGTAAGTCTGTCTATCTCAAAGTCTGAAAGCAAAAACAGCTGACCATGGTACAGGGATTTCCTTCTCCGTTATCCAAATCGTCACTGATTTCGCTCTGCTCGCCCTCCCAATCTCCAGAGTCTTCCATCTTTCCATGACCAAAGCCGAGAAATTTGGTCTCGTTCTAGTGTTTTGCACCGGTGGTTTGTAGGTGTTTACTCCACGCATGGGAGACGGGCGACTTCAGCATTGCTAACTATCCTGACAGCGTTACTTTCGCATCTATCTATCGTGCTACGACGCTCGCAAGCTCTGCTGGAGATCCCGACCCGACATGGGGACCCATCCCGGCAACCGTCTGGTCGGTCATCGAAGTCAACGCCGGAATCGTTTGCGCCTGTTTGCCTATGCTCCGACACCCCTTCCTCAAATTGCTCAGCCCAATCATTGGATCCGTCCGCACCACCACGAATCAACACAGCCGCTCGTATCAACTGACATCACGGAGCGGGGTCCGCTCGAAAGGCCTGCATAGCGGACTGGAGACTGGGGCGAGAGATGACCTCGAAGATCTTAAGAGGGAGAGCGAAGAAAGGATCATTCGCGCAAACGGTGGACAGGTTGGACTTGTGGATGGCAGGAATTCGCCCGATGGCATAATGATCAAGCAGGAGTTCAGCGTTATAACCAGCGAGCATCAGAACGGACACTCTGATGCAAAATACAAGGGCAACCAACTCGATCGGAATCGCACAGGCGGAGCAGAAAGCCTGAACGAAGACAAGAACAGCAGTAAGAGCACTTTTGTGTACGTTTGAAAGCAATCACGACCGCATATTGAAGACTGGGCGATTTTGTCACAGCTTGGAGTTAGACTAGAGGGCCCGATAATACCATTCAAATATTTCGATCGATAACCTATTTTTCCCCCATGAAACTGGCTGTTTTCTGCAATGCGAGTGAAGATCTTTTCAAGGCTGACATGATTTCGACTTCAACGCAGTTTCTTTTCGATAATCGACACCAGGTACACGACGATTTTCTCCGCATCCTCTGTCGAGTGTGCTGTGCCCCTTTCCCGAGCCAAAATGCATGTCTCATTGACCAATGGTCAGGGTTTAATGGCGCCATCAACGTTTTCCCTCCCGCTTTTGCAGCCTCGGTAATACAACCGAGTAACTTTCTTGGTAGCTTGTCAGAGTCAGTCTTGCGCTGTCGAACCCATGGTAGCGGGACCTACGGACCGAATGACACAGCCCGGTTTCTAAGAATTGCAAGTCCCTGTTATCAGTGGGGATGAATAATTCCGTGCTTCCCCATACGAGCTATTTGATCTAAGTGGACATCGCATAGTTTAGAGCGAGAGAATTTGCAATGTGGGTGGGGGCATCTAAAGGAAGTGCAAACGACCGCAGCCATTTGAGCAAACCGAGGCCATCTCTTCGCTACAAGCGAAGGCACTCGACGAAGTGGGACCAAGGGAATGGTTGTGGCACCGTTATGGCTTGATTAAACTTTAAAACTATGGGTTGCGCGGCATGCCGACTGGAGGAAAATAAAATAGTTACCTCTGCGGAAGTGGGATCCGTCTCGGTGGTATTGGAAATGAGGCATCTCTACTTACTACAAATACAAGCACGATAACCTTGGAATATAAAGAGGAGCAGAGGTCTAGAGCTGATGTGCGAGAGGGATGTAAGATTGATTCGAATCCTGTGGTGCGAGTGCAAACGATATCGGCCAATCAAGAGGATCGGTCCGAATCGAAATAATTCCAGATCCGTAACGCAGCCCAGCGAGCTACACCCAGAGAGAGTCGTATTCCGAAGAGCAGAAGGTTCGATGATACGAGTCTTGGATTGCTTGATGATACTCCTTCCGTGCCACCCGGGACCCGGCCGTACGAATGGGGGCGCGTCTACTATTCCCCGTGGACGTGGCGCGGGCATTTCTTGACTCGAATGATTCGCACATGGGTTACGCTGTTCAATAGTGGCTCACTTGTCGTATTCTCAGGTTCATGACTCCATAGTCAACAAGCCAGACCACTACTTGTACACATAATCACTTCGGCAAGAGGAACTGCTGCAGGGGGACTCGGGAGCAGCGAAGCTCTTGCTCATCCCCCACATAGTTCTCACTAAAAGGTAGTCGCCACAAGTGGAGTTATGCTACGAGGTATCTAAGTAACATGTGCCCCGTATACATCGTCTTGCTTGCCACAAGTGATCATCTTCAAGAGGGGCAGTATACCTTTTCAACGTCATGGTATTATGGAGTAGCATCGGGTGTATGCATACCGTAAGGCTTTCTCTGCAGGCCGCTCCAGGATCATCCTGCAATCCAGAACTACAGTGTCCCGCGCCCCTGACCGTGGAGCAGAGACGTCCGAGCCTGGCTAGTGACCTTGGAATACTTACAATAGCCAATGTAATAGTGATGTGGACGAATTATTCGTCTGGATACCGTATAATTGGAATCTCCCTTGTTCATAACAGGTCTGGCACGCCTCATATCTCTGTGGACCATGAAAGAGGATTGGGTACATGAATCAGTTTTGTGACAACTGATGAGTTACTCGTCTCGAGTCGCGCTGTCTGTCTAGATGAGATTGTGTTTTATGCGAAGGCATTTGACTTCATTGCCTTCTGGCCTTTCTCTTTGAATGGATGAGCTCGTCTGTGGTGTTGCTGTAGAGGTACAATGTTATACAGCATCCCACACTCACATGCCGCAGGTCTCGGATGCCAGTCAACATTTGGGTAAATACTGACTTTACTAAGTGCGACAGACATATGTCCTTGTACGTACGGCACATGCGTATGTGAGTTCTAAGCGTGCCCCTTTGGACGTCAAACCATGGCACATGGGAATGATTGATCACTGTCATTGCACCATGGTTGGACCTTAACCAATAACGATGACTTGTTATTCTTTGGCAGCGTAGACTGGCTATGCAAGCACTGATGGCTTCTCATAGGTATTGTGTATCACGGTGACTAGTTATCTTGTTAGTCTCGAATGACAGAATGTGTTCCAGTTCCACTACTTATCGGAGGTACCAAAGCCACGGAATTCATCGGTCTAAATCCATGGTTAGAAGTGAACGAGATGTCGTCCTCCAAACTCCAACAGATGACTGGTAGTTTTTAAATATTTCCTTTATAATCATTGGATTTTGAACTGTCCCCTGATGACTTTGAAGAGGCGCCACATTCCCACATCCTTCTCAACAGCACACCGAGCAACAACGCTTCATCAGGATCACTTGCTCTCTCGATCTGTCTCTATAGCTCCCTTTGTTTCTCACCTTCCCTTCCTTTGCTTTCTCTTTCACCAATACCATCACCACCTTTTACAAGATTAAATATGGACGCTCGCCGCCTGCCCGTATTGCGACCGTATCGACGTGTGATTCCTCTTGAACTAACCGCAACACTGTTTCCCACGGCACACATGATGCTATTTTCAGAACTACCAGGCTGGCAAGGCATTCAAGGGTGGCTTCTTCAACCGTCATACATCGAGGGAGAGAAGGCCAAGAACCCTGTTGTCACTCATGATCATCCTGGAATGTTCCTCATTCCTATCTTTCTTTACTCAGTGCAGTCTCTCCAATACATCGGATTCCTTCCCGAGACCGCGAAGTTCCTATATGACACTTGGATGCGCTACGAGCATGACCAATTGAGAATGGGGATAAGTTTCTTGGAAAACATCCAAGACTACATGGATTCACGCATGAGACACGAGGATTGTAGGAACGAGGAAGCCGTCTTGAGGAGGATAGGTGTCGACAACTCCGTCATCACGTCTATAATGCAACACCACTTTACTTCGAGCAGAGGTGAGGAAACGCTGAGCGGGTTGTTGAATGATATTTTTATAAGGAGATACATTTGCTTGTGGAAAATGAGTGAGCGGGTTTGCGCGAACCTGAGGGTGCGTGATCCTTTACTTCCCGACTCTCGTAAAGACCTCGAGGATTCGGATGACGAGTCATTCCCCAAGGTCTATACGCCAGTAGAGTCGGATGTGGACGAGGATTTCATTCTTGTCAAAAAGCCAAATGAGCCAGTCGCCCAGAATAACACACCAGGAGAAGTCGGTTCGGAAGATGTGTATCAAGACCCTGGAGAGTTAGATGAAAACGATACGTCCGGGATGGCAGATTGAGATGAATCTCTTGTTTATGACAAGACAGGAAGATATGCTCTCCCTAGGACAATGGGTCAAAAGAGAAATAGGTTGTATGCACCATATAAACATTCTTTGGACATAGCTTATGGTCACGTAGAACGATAACTTTCTTACACATCTCAAAACCCCACCTTTACGACTTCCCAGCTTTGCACACCACAGCGACCTTGTTCACATCTTCAAATACTCACAAGCCTCGTCAATCATGGATACAGTGGAACGCAAGGATACGCTTTCACCCTTTACGCACGCCTTCAGCTGGCTCCTTGCATTTGGCCCCATTGATAGCTTGCCTCTAGTCCTTTCTGCTCTATTTCGACCCATCCCATAAGGCAGAACTGTGCAGAGCATAGCCTCTCTGATATACCAAGGGTAGCAAGACACACAACAAACACACCATGAGCGACTACTTCTATCCCTCCACATAGGTACGCTAATTCCGAAACGATCCAAGACATGTTTGCACCGCTAGGAACTTAAGTTGGAAAGGGAGAGAGAGACATGAATGCGCCTGACACACTCATTCGTGTGGAATTGGCATTGGCTATGCAACACCTTCAGCGCGTTCAAACACAAAAGAAGAAAGAAAACGAAGAAAGAATCCTGGTAATTGTGTTCAATGGAGGATTGTCTGATGCGCAGAACTGATTGACCAGCAGTTCATAGGTACTACTTGTAGCATGCAAAGACGGGCTGCCTGCTCCTTTCTATGTACTTCGCGCACTAGTAGCTTGAATTGCATTTCTAATTGTCTCTGAAATGTTGTTTCATTGTATCATTATCTAATTACTCCTAAGAAGTGTAAGTGCTATCAATCCAATTCGACAATGATCCCAAGGATCAAACAGCTGGTGGTGCATTAATGTACCTCATATGTAGTGTATGTACTGTACATGCATACAATGTTAACAGCTGACACAGAAAATACGAGAACAGGAAAATAGAACCCGATGCATGTGTGATGCATAAACAAGACAAATGCAGGTCACAATCATCATCATATGATTCATATGAATGTAGCTCATAGTAGGTCACATGATGGATGCCCCTCACCCAAGCCCACCAAAGAGAGAGGATCATTCCCTCTCTCAGCTGCTGCACGCAAAATTGTATGACGTCTGAGGATTCAAATCCCACCAAAAAAAAAATTCCCTTTTCCCTCTTTTCTTGTGCTACCCACTGACGAGCCACCCACCCACTCACCCACTTAATGAGTGGCTCCTTTGACAAGCCCGTTTACATCAGATCAAGAACCGCCATCCACCACTCGGCTTTTTTTTCCCTTGGTTTTTCGTCACCGCCGCTTCCAGCTTAACCAATAGACAGCTATGGACCCTCGTCGCCACTACTCATGCGAGTACTGCTGCTCAACAACAACATCAACAACAACCACCTTCACCGTCTTCCTCTAACACCCTTTACACGCTCATAAATACACCAACTACTCCGTACTTCTCTCCTTCTCCTGTCGTGAAAAACAAACAAGTAATTTGGTCAACGCCTCATACGTGCGCGCCCTCCAAAGGTGCAGTCTGTGACTGCACAAACACTCCTCTCCCACTATGGCCACAGACAACGTTGATGATGGAGGTCTCGCCACTCCCCCAACAACACCACCCGCCCTCACAAGAGCTCAGAAGCTCCAGAATGTGATATCCCTAGCTACCCAATTCAGCGTCTGCGTCGAAGCATTCAATCAAATTCACCCCTCCAAAGACTCGGACCACTCTCAGAAAGTCGCCCTCGCCAAATTGGGAATCCAGCAGGGTCGCCTGCTCATCTTTGGCGATGCAGTCGGAATCTCCTCGCCGCCTGCGACAATCGCAAAGCATATGATCCCCTCCCATCCTGGAGCTACCAATCCGGACCCCCACCTGCCCGTCAACTTCGGCGTCAGACATCCCAAGCTCGACGATGCGGACATCAACGAGAAGGTGCGCGCCGCACTCACAGAAATCTCGGGCCGCCCGTCGCAGATATCTCGCGAGGAATTAATGGAGAGATACGGCCTTAAGACTCCAAAGAGCTTCAAGCTCATCGACTACCCAGCATTGGACACCAACCGCCTCGAGGCCTTCCGCGAGAAGTATACTCTATTGCAGGACCTCGCGCGCCAGATGGGATCGAGAGCTCCCGTGAGGCGGAGCATGAGCATGACGACGCAGTACTGGACCGTCAAGGACACGCACAGGTTCGACTCGTTCGTCGCGACTGTGCGCACAGAGGTGGACGGCCTCATCGACCTCATGGATGCTAAGGACCAGGTAGATCGTGGAATGAAGTCTGACATTCGCTCTATGGGCTGGCATCCCGATCTCTCCAGCATCGCCGTCAGGCAGGATTGGGAGAAGCTGAGATTGATAAGAGAGGCGTGTGCGGAGGACTACCCCGAGTACGTAAGCGCGACAGATACGGCGCTCAAGTACATTAGTGAAGAGTTGAAAGGAACTACCCTGGCCGGTTTCAGAGAACAGATGGAGTTGAAGGAGCACCAGGATGCTGCCAACGCAGCCGCCAGGCGCAATTCATCCGATGTCAAAGCTGGTTCTGGCAGCGGCACCACGACCCCTACGAAAGGGAAGAATGGAACTACCAATGGCCACAGCAACGGAAAAGAGAAGCGCCCTGGCTGGCTATCGGCGTTCAAGTTCAAGAGTTGGCACAAGAGCAGTTCCAAGACGAAGCAGTCCCTCGCACCTCCCGGTCAGGATCCACCGCGCTCGATGTCCGAGGCTATGCCCAAGGCTGAGCCTCTGCATGCAGTTGAGGACGAAGAAGAAACAAACACGCTAGAGCCTGTGCGCTCCAAGTCGTTGTCTGCGTTGCCTGATGAGGGTCCACCACCTCTAGATCTTGAGACCAGATTGGAAAACATACCGACGATTGACGAAGAGAAGGAAAGACAGCAGCAGGGTGCGTCATCTACGGACGAGCATGCTGCAGGAATCAATGGCCTTGAGCCCGCAAGCACAGTAAATAGTCTTATCGACAGACACGACATGTGGAAAGGCGTCGGTAGGGTCGAAACGAAAGATATCAGAGGAAAGGCTCATGATTGGGCAACTGGAGGATGAAGCCGCATTTCCTTTCTCTTTTCTGTTCTCTGTTTCGGAATTCACCCTACTGCAATGTATATCGCGACGAAATCGAGAATCCATAGTGCGAGGAAGCATTGCCGTTCAATAAATAGTATATAATACCTAATGTATCCCAATCACCTCCTCTCAAGTATTGATCAAGCGTCCATCGCCTACCGAAAATTCCTCCTACACTTCCACATAACTCTATTCAAGCTTTCCAGAATGTAAGCTTGTCTTTCTACGACTGAGCACAATCGCCTGACAGAGTCCGATCCACAAGCACCAAATTTATCCCTATTCCCTCCCTCAGCCTTCAACCACCAACCCCTAGAAACCCTTATAGCCCCAATGATGTAACTCGCCGGATCAGGATATTAGATATCGTCGCATTGGATGATGATTGTAGTCATATCATTTTCACGTCGGTACGTCCAATCCATCATAGTCGATGATGGCAAGGGCAGTGATCGCGGCATAGTGATTCAACATGGTAAATCAAGAGGGAGAAAGGGAAAGGAATGGATTCAAAATTCTCTCATGATTACAGTTGTGGTCAAAGGAAGGAGATAAATGTGTAAATGTACAGAAGATGGCCATGTACTTCAAACGAGTTACTTTGATGGACTGGACACCAATATAAATGAAGATATTCGCCTGCTACAAAAGAACGGCACTATCTCTTTACTCTGAGCAACCAACCTTGACAGCAGGCCAATCACATACACTATATTCCCTATGAATAATCCAACCACCTACCGTCGATGACGGAAAATACCAAAAATGTATGGACTAAACAGACAAAGAAAGTCCACCACCACTCCACTGCTTGCTAGAGAACTCTGAAACAAGGGTTCACTCAACCACTTCCTCGTCACAAATTCCAGTAACGACAATAGCTAAAGACCACTTAAGCATGTAGAAATATCCCTCGTATCAATCCCCGCCCACAATGGCTGACAACCAGATCGAACAGTACCCTCCATAACATTCATGCACTCCCTCACTGTCTCAGTACTCACAACCTAACCCTTATTCCTACGCATGAAATCACATAGAATTACCCCACTGTCCTCACCTCAATACATACGTCCCTCCCATCTCCTTCAACGCTGTCATTCTCACCCATCTCACCCATACCCAAAAGAACACCATCAGAACCACCGAACTTGACAATCCCATTCGTCCCCTCGGTTCCACCCTCCGTTCCTTTCTAAACTTCTGGCGCGTCACATTTCCTTTTCTTCTTTTCAAGGGTCTAGAATGGAGGGGAGGGTGGAGTTAAGCGCGCGGCGCCAACCGATCGGGCGGCGGATCGTCCTCTCAAGGGAAATTGGTTAGGTCCAGGCCCAGGTCTAAGGGTGTTTCTGCGGTATGGAGGGCACGTGGGGAAGTGATGCTGTATCGATGTTGTGCTATGGCGTTTTATATTTCTGTTGGGGAGACGGGACGGGATGTGTGAAATGGGTTGGGAGGGTGAGTGGGAATTGTTGAATGGTAAAGGGGAGAGAAGGACCGTTTGAAAGGTGTGTTGAGGAGGGGATACGAGGGAGGTTTATGGTTTTGTGCTGTGTGGTTTGGAGGTTTGTTACTACTGCAGGTATACGAGGTAAGTTGATTAGTTGCTTTAGGGGTTGGTACTATGAGTATTGGTTTTGTTGACTATGGTTTTTGTGGTTGTCAATATTGTGATGGGATAGTTACGGATGCAGTGAGCCAAGATTGATACATGTAGTTTGTCTATTTTTTCTCGCTCTACTCGATATCGAACATATCGTACAATACGTTGGTATATACAATCATAAATCATGATACGCTCAAAAGTATACATCCACACCTGACTGGCATATTGCGCAGTGGTGTGGATTAGCAGACATGTGATGCTATGCGGTGCGTAGCACTTCCAGAAGGAGAACTCTGGGAGAATCTCAAGCTAGATTGTGGTAGAGCCCAGCTATTAACCTCTTGTGCACTCAGTAGTGCGCTTGAGTAAATGTGTAGACCGGACGCCGTCGGAGGTTTGAAGTCTTTTACCTATGACCATCACTCTCTCGCCGGCCGACGGAACGAGCCGCATGGTGGAGGTAGGGAAATCGTCCACATTGCTTGCTACTCGCATCTACGATTCATCTCTCCCTGGCTTCTGCCTCGAGACGATGGCTCTGTAGATTTTTCGACAATCGTCAAGTTGGAACACGATCGATGACATTCGTCCCAGAGATCACCGATTCAAACTCTCCCAACCGCGTTCGACTTTCCTGATCCTCTCCCAAGCATGATACCCAGGCGCGAACTACGACGATAGAACATCAATCGCTGCTTCACCATCGATGGTGTATCATGATCGGTGAGAAAACCATCCATCCTCTTCACCACCACAGCCCAAGGCCCCAAGAAAGATGAATGTGAAGAAAGTTTGCTATGATCGACAGCACCAGGAGGACTTAGATGGTTTCGAGCGGTCGACGAATTGGAGTCGATGGTCGTGGATTGGGGGGTCGAGAGTGGTGGAGCTTGCGGGGGTGGCGTTTCGTTAGTCGGTGGGCGGCGCGTGGCTGACGGCTGTTGGACAGACCCTTTTCCCTTTCTCTTCTGTACGGTAAGTTGGCGATTGGGACAGTGTGGGCGCCTTCCATCACCATTACCAGAAGGCTTTACCCGCCCTTCGCCCAATACTACAACATTGCCGCAAGTCCGACCTACGGGTGGCTGCTCTTCTTATACTTAGGCTTTTGACCTTGGTGTCTCCGAGTTGTGTCGGGGTTCCATCCGTGGCACTTTTGTAGGAGGCCAGCAATGCCTTTTCTGGCTGGCACGCTGGGCACCAAGCGAAACGCAATATCCTCCGCAGCGTCCCGTAGGTCGGAGCCAGAATGTTGTAAGCTGCCGGTTTCTTGATATTGATTTGCCGGGCATTTTGGTGGTTTCTGGCTTTCCAAGTGTTTGTACGCGAATCTCTCCGTGTGGTATTTGGAATGCCAGGACCTTGGTGGGTTAAGGCGAGAAGAATACGTGTGTTCTTCTATTTTGTTTGAATTATTGATATTTTTCATGGCTTGAAGCCTTCCATTGTTCTTTCAGCCAATATTGTGTTTATCCTAGTGTAACGTGTTAATCAGAGTTGTTGCATATGTAGAATCGTGAAGCGTGAGTCGCAGACTTACCATCTCCTGGTCTATCCAATTCTGTCCCCTTTGCGCCCTGCTGCTCCTCCTCCGCCACTTATCCCGCGACTCTACCTCCCAAGCCTCGTTCAAGCTCTCGATCGCGTCTTCGGGCGGAGGGAAGTACGCGGGCTCCGCATGCGTGATGTCTGGGCTCACATATCGCGGGTCTACGAAGTCAGGATATTCTTGGATGACGGTGGTCGGGGAGATGGGTGGAGACCTGGCGAGGCTGCCCGTGTGACTGCGGATCTTCTCAGGGGAAGAAGAGAGGATTGCGTCACCAGTTCCACGGCGTTCGCTCTGGCTGGAGCCGCTGAGTCCGCCGCTGAGGTGGTTTCCGGATTGCGATTTGGTGCGCACGAGCTGGACGAGGCGACTCAGGACTGCGAATTCGAGCTTGAGTTTTATGGAGTAGACGGCGGCTTTCAGGCAGACTTCGACGAGGTAGTAGTTGGCGAGTTCGACGGCGAGTAAGATGATGTCCATGGCGATGATGATGGCATTGATGGCGAGTAATTGATACATGACCTTGCGCATGTGTCTGGTGTGTAGCCGACTATCGGTAATGGTTCTACTGCCGTCAGAGTTGGCTGCGGCCTCTGATAATCGGAGCAACCGAATCGTCTCTTTGATATAGATGATGGATAGGATGAGTTCCTGCAGGAAGAACCCAACCATTTGAATCTTCTCCATAACGGTGTATCCATTGATGAAGGTTTTGAGCACTTCCGGAGAAAAGTCGTTGGCATTGGCGCCGAAGCTCAATATACTTGTAGGTATGTGGAGGACGATGGCATCGACGATTATCATACCCAGCGTCCAGTTTAAGATGCGTCGTGAGTTGGTGACCAAGTGGAGTCGGGACCAAAGTACGACAGATTGACCTGTTACTGGATGTCAGCTACTACCCATATCACCTACTGATGCCTTTCTAGGGGGAAGTTGAATGTACCAGTGATCATAGCCCACCATCCCACGGAAATCATGGTCACAGCAACGAATCCAATGTTCTTGTCAGGATCCAGGAGATGGAAGAACTTGACTACGAAGCCAAGCGCATACGGGAAGATACCGAATCCGGCGACCATTAGGCTCCAAAAGTAGATCCCCCGATATTTGTTGAAGGTGATGAGGATTATCGTAATGAGCTCGAGGGCATTATAGAGACCAAGACCAAGAAGGAATGAGATGATGATCTTCATTCCAAGTGAATCGCCAGTGTAGCCTATTGATGTTCGATTAATTGAAATCCTTTTTTTCTTCTTGAATGAATTATTTGGTCGACATACCTCCAGTAATACCAGCGCCTGCTGCATGGGAGTTTCCCTGAGAAGACGCTGTCTGCTCAGGGAGAGCCGACGTAGTTGACGATGCCATGATATGAACCGGGATTGATTCGAGACCTCGAAAGCGGCTATGTTCGTACAATCATGATTATGGAGTATCCAGACCACACAAAAAGGGATGAAGCCGGAAGACGGGAACTTCTATTCAGCAAGTCGCAGAAAGAGTTGTAGAATTTGATATCGTCGTCGGTGTGTGTCGCGATATAACGCATGTACGTCTGAGCCGGCACCGGGGTAGTGGATGGGTATTGAGCGGTCTGGGTGGATGGTGGATGCAGGTGGAGAATTTTCAGGTTTAAGCATTACAATAGACTACAGGACTCGTAGCATGAGTGGCTGCTACTCTTAGAAAAGGACCGAGAACTTGGACAGCGGAAGATAAAATTGAATCTAATGATGTCTAGTGTCCAGACTTCATGACGTTTTGGGGCTCCACCATCTACAAGATCCGTTCCCTGGCCTGGCACGCTTGGGGGGCACATGCGTGTATGTGGAGGGGGCCCAGCTCTCAGTTGTAATCGCCTACGCAACCTAAACGAGGACCCGTCTAAGTGACGGAGAAACTATGGGGAAACCTATTGGGAAACCTAACTAAAGGACGAGGGCGTGTGACAGTTAAGAGTAGACTCTGAGACTGAGCTGGCTTTCCTTCCGTGATTTGGAGTCTGGGGTAGTTAGCTGGATCGGGGCCGCGAATCGCACCAGACACTGCACGCCCCAGGTCATCGTCATTCGCTGCCAACCCACCCATTCACTATGTAATGGCTTACAATAGACAACCTTTGGATTCGTTTGAACCTTTTCAATTGATCTCTTCCGGAATTATATACTCCGTACTTACTTATCGTACAGCCACTATTGCATGAAACCTCATTACTTACAACATTACTTCATACCCGCGTGCCGCCGTCCATAGCAACCACCACCATCTCCACGTGCGAACTCAAAACTCGACAGGGACATTGCCTACCACATCCCAGCCAGCGCCATCGAAACTGACCTCGCGCACCGCAGCCCCTGATTGAAAGTAACACCGAGAGAGTTCCGTGCCCGCCGGAAGATGTGAATGTGATTTTGGAAAAGTGAGGCCAGTCAAACATGCCATTGCAGTATTATTGTCCGCGCTGGCGAAGGCTTGAAAGGAACGAGGACCTGTCCACTCGCCCTCGTTGTCCGTCCAACTCATTTGCACAGTGTTGTTGGCATCATTCTGCCAGAGCAGATACGTATTCAATTTAGATTCATCGCGTAGCCCGATTCGAACAGTCGAGAATGCAGACAGCGACGAGTCCCTTGGTACGCTAGAGGAGAAGGCATCTGGTTCCACGTGAGTCTCGAGTCTAGGACATCCAAGGGAAAATGGGTTCCTCCAAGGGATGAGCAATAAGAAATGCCGTTCCGCAACTTACCGTTGGACCACAGCTCAGCTGTTCCATTTCCATTGTCCTCTCTGTAGATTACGACTCGACCACCGTCTTTTTCTTGATAGAACAGGCCAGCGACCGTAAGCTCGTTTTGCATCGGCGACATCGCCAGTTGGGTTCCATTCTTCGCCTCGTTGGTGTCCAGCACGCGGTCATGCCAGCATTCGTTCTTTCGATGACATTCGTAGTATGCTTGTCGTATTTCACCGGAAAGACCCTGATAGCTGAGTGTTGGCCAGTAGTAGGCTAATTTGCTCGCCTCGTGCGCCATATACTTTTGCTCAGTTAACGGTCCGGGTTGGCCCTCCACCGGACCGCTATCGGGAAAGATCCATTCCAGGAGGTAGTCTGGCCAATCGTTAGTGTTTATACGTCTGAGAATCTAGATGCTCTCGTTTCACACTCACTGTTGTCGTTTAGGTACACCACAGATGTCTGGTAGTCTACGCCTGGGAACTTGTAATTCTGTTCGTTGTAAGCAATTGCACGTGTAAAGACCCTCTTGTCACTCGCATACCGGCTCGCCATCATAGTACTTGGATCTTAGAGACGCCACCCCCAAAGGTGTACCCTGTTTTGCTTTGGCAAAGTTGGAGATACGAGTCCAATTCCCAGTGCTGGAGTTGAACGTGTGTCGGTTCAGGTAGCCCTCCGTATTCTGCGTGACCAGCCACACAACATAGTATCCCGCTTCGCCGGGGACGCTCCACCCCGAGGCCCCTATGGATTCCAAGTGAGGTGGGAACGTGGGCACTGGAGACGCTCCGCCTGGCGTCGAAGTTGGTGTTGGGCTCGGACTGGCGCCGGCGGGGATCTCAGTGACGGAAGGCTGGGGAGAGTTCGAAGCACCCCCAGGACTGACAAATGTGCCTAGGACCGCACCCAATACCACAGCCAGAGCAAGAACGATGACAACGATGAGGACCAACCATACCATCATCCGAGAATGGCGAGGCTTGTCCTTGTCCGCGGCGGGTGTACTTGCACCGGACCGATCATTGGCAATGCCCCTTTCAGTATCCTTCTCGAGCTCTGGCTTCTCGAATACGACATCCGCGCTTCTGAGTTTTGAACGTGGCCGAGTGTGAGCCTTTTTAGGGCTTTGGAGGCTCGACAGTGCTGTCCGAGGTCGTGTCTGGATCTCGTCCCAGGAGGGCAACGCAGTCAGGCTGTCGTGAGCTGAAGATCCGTTCTCTACATAGAGATCGGACGACCCCTGTTGTATTCATATGAGCCTCTCTTAATGTACAAGTATGATCCAGTGTGTCGATTACTTACCGCCATGCTTTTAGTATGTTGGCTGACTTCCTCTATCGTGTACAGATTCGAAACCGCAAAGAAAGAGAAGGGGTTCCCCCTAATCAGGGACCTTCGAGAACCGTCTTGGTTCATTGCGAAGTGGTCTTTCGAAGTATGCTGGCTTCCAAGCCAAAAGGCTATACAAGTTTACCTTGCTGTACGCATCAATTGCTTGCGCAAGTGGGATCTATAATTGAACCTTCCATAAGCCCGTGCTCTGCGCATAGTAGATGGACATATATACGTACCTAACAACCCCAAGAGAAAAGAAGTGAAACGGAGATCAGTGAACACAGCGCAGCGATATGCCAGATCCCGACAATCGCACGGACGGGGTGTATTTAACACCATTCTCAAACCCCCCTCCCCCTCCATCAAGACGATGGCGAAAATTCCTACCTACCCAACCACGTTTGTGGCGACTTGGAAAGAGAGGGAAAACGGGAGCCATGCTCACGACGCAGGGCAAGGCCAGGATTGAAACGACGCCAAACCATGGCGCGATAGGGCAGGACGGCCAACCGGCTAGAACCGATCAATTCCCCTTGGGAAACCCTTGCATGTCGACCGGATTCTGGGATTCAGGTAAGTGTGGAGAAACCATGGTTCCCCATGATGGCGAGCGGTTGTGATTGGGGTTCGTTGTGCGGATAAATTCGATGCCCCTGCTGAGGCACGCGCAGGCTTGCTGCAGGCTTTCGATATGCTCATGCAGCGGTGAAAATCATGAAAGATGTTCTCAGTTATTGATCGCTGTGCTTGACAAGAGGGCATTCGCATGCTATGACTTTCATACTATAAGCAAGCTTGCGCTGAGATATAGACCATGGATGATGGCGTACACAAGTCTCGCCAATGAGCAACAATGGTTCCAACAATCTTTCACTCAATACAGTTGACCAAACAGCAGTCCAAGGCGCACAATAACCACCATATTTTGACTTGTATCAATTGTTCTGCGCGCACTCATCCTGCTCGTGGCATGAAACAACGATCAGCACCATCCAGTGGAGGCAAACCCCAAGCAGGATGACCGCAACCGACTCAACCTCATCGTCACGACTCGTCCACTGAATCCTTTCCCTCGCCTAAAACGCCACCAGTACGTCAACCCTCAGCCCTCTATCTTAGAAAAAGGCCCACCATGGCAGCGATCATGGCACGAGCGAAGTTGAAGAGGATCGACATAGAGGAAAAAACGTGGTTCGGGTGGTCCGGTGCCAATCGACCTGTCGATCGCAGGTCGGCTTTCAGCAATTGCGACTCTGCAAGTTCTGTAGCATGCATAAGCTTTCCAGGGATGGCGCTTGGCTTGGCTTGCTCGAGGTGAATGCAGATCGGGACGTTTCATGAAACGTGGGCGTGGCGAAAAGATGTGTTTGACATGTTTTTTTTCTACCCGTAGCTTGGTGTTGATTGATGGAGGGCACTTGGTTTATTTCCATTGGCACAGGTCGCCGTGGTACTTGTGGTGTTCAAGTGCAGTAAATACAAAAGATCCTGCACATTGGCCTGATTTGAATATTTTAAAAGGCTCCATTTCCACCCCATTCAAGTTCTCATACTTACGCCGTACAGAGAATAGAAAGTCCCAAGGAACAAAACAATCATCTTATTGGCGACAAAAGGAATTTATGGTAGGGCATGTCATGGGTCGACAGAAGTTGCCCAGCCGGAGAGAAGGAAGAAACGCGGATGCACACTGCCTGCGTGTGGCGAAGCGTACTGATCGATATCCACGCGACCGAGGGATTGAATCAGGTAGATGCATGCATACATGACAAGTGAGTCTGCAACCACAACCGCTTCGGGCTGAGAGCGCTTCACTGTTGTGCGACTGGATCGCGCAGATTGGCGTTGCGACGCAGCCCCGAGAATCCTGTGTGTACCTCATACCAGGCTCATGGATTGATTTCACCACTGAAATTGAACATAACAGAATTGTACAAATTATCATTACGAATAGGAAGCCTCTCTCTCTCTGCGTGTGATTTGACCCCCGTTATGTACACCATCTTGCAACCTAAGCCTCGCATTTCATTATCGAATACCTCGTACCGGCAACCTTATCGTGGCCAGGTCTGTACGTTCCTGTCCCAACCATTGTTGTTTCTCTGGCCATCTTCACCGATCTCCTTTGGGTCTCCATGAACGGGTAGCTCGTATGTCTTTTCTGCACTCAATTCGACTGCGCCCCTGGTGCTCTTCCTCTTACTTGCATTCACGAATGCAGCAAAAGGATTGATCGAACCCCTTCCGAGTGACCTGTTCGTTACCCCTTCTTCTGTCACTTTGCTGTTCTTCCTCCTACGCATGTAGATGAATATGCCAACAGCAAGGATCAGAGCGACACCAACGCCAACTCCGACTCCCACACCAATCGCCGTTGTCTGGGTGTGATTTTTCCAAACAGCATCAGTCTTGATACTAGCTGAGGGAGAAGCAGCATCGGTGGGAGGTGATGTGTTGGATGGGGGTGCTGCTGTCGATGATCCCCCTCTTCTGATCGGAGTGGCCACGATTTTCGGTTCTTCGAGATCGAATGTGACGGCGCCTTGTCGTGTGCAACAGTCGTCTCCATCGCAACAGTAGTTTCCATTGCCGCAGTAAATCACATGCTCGTCGCGATCCGGCCAGGCGGTGTAGCAAACACTCGAACATCCAGCTCCCCAAGTGTCGCTCGTGCATCCTCCTCTTAGCAATCGTTTGAAGCCGGGGTATCGCTGGTCGGCGCAGAGTCCATTGCTCAGGCATGCAAACGTGTCTGCGCAGCACGATCTTCCGCCTTGTTTGCCAGTGCTGGGGCATTCCAGATGGGTCGAGTCGATGTTGGTCCCGTTGGGGAAGAAACATTCTGCGGTAGCCAACCTCGCGATCGCGGGCAGCAGGAAGATTGAGAGACGCAGCATCTTTCCAGGGCCTTTCCAGACGGACTTTCGAAAGTGTCGAGTCGAGGAGAAATGGTGAAGAAACGCAACCCCCGCCGCGACAGAAGATTATTACTACACGAACATCCAGTGAGCGCACGTGCGAAACGCCCTACAGTATGTATTTGGGCATGATTCAATAGTTCCCGACGCCAAACGTAAATAGGGGGGTTTCCGCGGGCCGTCGAAGGTGTCCGCAAGGAATCATCGTGAAGCGAAGCCATACAGATCCCTGCTCTGCCCCGCTGCTATCGATTTTACCGTAAGCTTTGGGGGCTGAACAGGCCTAGAAATGGATAAATGAGTGCAGGATGAGTTCTTAGATCGTTTGCTTTCCTCCGTATCGTATATCTACGTTCAAATTGGGTGTAACGTGAGGGCCTAAAAGTGATAGTGCATTGGCCTGTTGTTGTGATTATTACTTGGCTTGCAACCACTCAGTGCAGTTCTTGTTACTATTGGGTGACTGCTTGAAGATATCAATCTCGTGTGTATTGCGCACTATGCTCACCCTGTTTAGGTAGACCGTTGAGCGCTGCTAGTCCTTATGGTTCATTTCATTGCGGCTCATATCATGCGAAATGAACGATTCATGTAGTTGGAATAGGGTAGAAAGTGGTTCTCCGTCGATAGGTGAGAAGATCAACAAAAAGACTACTTCCAATGAATGCTTACACCTGGATGTAGAACATGAGGAAGCTTATGATATTCTTGTAACGCCGCATCTGCCGGTACCACGCCTCGAGCCACCGCCGTGATGCTTGTGAATGCACTCTATCTACTTAGGTCATTAGCATCATCAGACCATTTCACCTACTGTGTAGGATCTTCAGTTGTGCTCTGGTCCAGAGCTGTCTCAGGCGGGAAATCCGAGTCTTGTGGGCCAACGAAGCCTCGCTCACTTCTTCCCATGCCTCCACCCTTCTCTTCCGTCTCCTTCCATTCTTTCAGCACGAACAAACCCTTCCCGTCAATACCCTCCCCCTTCTCTTGACTCTCCCTCAAGACTTCTTCATCGAAGTCAAAGACACGCCAATCAGCATTGAAGAAACGCCGATTGGCGACACCGACACGCAGAAAACCGGCATGAGAGACCACAGCAATGACCTTCTCTGGGCGTGAGTAGAGTGATGCCAAGACGGCTTGACCACGCGAGAGAATAGCACTGCGAGTGAATGCAAATGGATTATGGGAGAGGTCGCTGGTTTTGTCGGGGTAGAGTGGGTCAACTGAAGAGAAGTCATACTGCGGGAATTCGGCCTCCATTGTGCTTATGGGTGATCCTGTGTCGCACGGTTTGTCGGAATTCTCTGCAAACATCAGTATGCAGAATGAGAGTATCATATTGACGAGGCATCGTTGGAATGGAAGATAATTAGGGTCGATTGTGAACGAATACAGCGGGCATTATTGGACTTGAACAGTCGGTAATGTTTGTAGTTGTAATGAAGACATCGCGCAGGGACCTACCTTGCCACCCCGCGTCCGGCAGGACTAGAATCTTCTTGTCCTTGATCAAGAAATCCAACCCAATTGTCGCCGTCTGCAACGTTCGGCGCATGGCACTCACTACAATCAGCTCGACCTGATCTGCGATTCCACTATTCTTCAGCGACTCTTGTAACTCCCGGCATTGCTGTTCACCAAGTTCTGTGAGTGGCGGGTCACGGTGCGACCAGTCGGAGGTGGCATTGTGCAGCGCTTGTGCATGGCGAATGAGGAGTAGAGTTGGCGCCATTAAGAAGATGTAGTTATTGGTGTTTGAGGTCGTGAGTGAAGGGTTGATGTTCGTTCGATGCTAGAGATTGTGAGTCAACCAGTGTCGACGTCGATTGGCCTGGCAAGTGGGGCGAACGATTCACAGCAAGTGCATTTGGCCGGGATATCAGTCAAGGTCATTTCTACATTTGAAGTAACAAGCAACCACGCCTGCAGCGTGGTTGCAAGTTTAATATTCGTGATTCCTTCATGCATGGATTCCTCAAGGGTCAGTCATTATGTAGTAGAATGACACTCTATCGTCACGTTGATCAATGCGCGCATTGGCTCGTATCGAAGTCTACTCCTCCATCTTCTCGTCATCCTCTTCGTCATCGTCATCGTCGCCCTCTAGTGCCTTCTTTGCTAGCCGCTCAGCTTCCTCGAGTAGCTCTTTGGGAACTTCCTCGTGCCTGCCCTTGGTCGGACCCTCCAGATTGCTAATCCAGGTCATTTCGAGTTCGAACTCCTTGTCTTTGTTGTCGTCGTGGGCAATGTAAATAATACGTGCAGCCTCCTTGACTCCCTCCTCCAGTGATAGGTTGCCTTCCGAGAGGTTCAGCTTCTCCAACTCAGACTTTGCGATTTGACGACCTTTGCCTGTAGCAGCACCATAGTAACCCTGCAATATTGTCAGTCTGTTCCGGCCAGAAGTTGACATCCGTGGTTCTTACCCAATAGAGACCACTAGGCTCGATCATGTACAGCGAAGGGCCACCATGCTTTTGTCCTTCCTTCTTGCCGCCTGAGCCGACTGCGGGTCCCGAACCAACCTGTCCATCGACAGGTAGTTCGGCCTCAGAGTCCCAGCCTGCAATGATTGATGTGACACCGAAGGGGCGGACGCTGGAGTAGAGAGTGTATGCCTGTACGTAACTTCCCATGCGGTCGGCAAGCGATGAGGCGGGGATGGGGGCCTTGTAGAGTTGGCGCCACTGAGCGGCTTCGTCGCGGGCCCTGGAAACAAAGTGTCGGCCGTCTGGAAGAAGACCTGAAGAAACCTGAAGAATACCAGTCAGCGCTTGATCCCCCGCCACATCTAGAGATATCCCAGAATGGACGTAGATCCACTTACAATGCCCATATTCCGATCCACAGTTGATATCCGCTTGTTCGCACCAGCCTTGAGTAGTTTGCTTGTAACAAGTTTCTCCAGGGCCAATATCACACCGTCCTTGCATCGTATTCCGACAGCTGTACCTCCATTCTCTACCGCCTTTACTGCGTATTCGACCTGTGGGAACGTGAGCGGCGCCCTCTGTCAATTTTGAATATATCAATACGAACTTGGAAGTTGCGACCGTCGGGGGAGAAGACGGAGTTGGACAGGTCATAACCTGTGCCTATTGAAGTCTAGAAAGCGTCAGTCAGATTGAGAACGCTCGTGGCCGTCGAAGGGATCAACCCACCATGGTGATTCCGAGTGAGCAGAGACTGGTAGAAGTATGATATTTGAGTCAAATTGCGGGTGACGGCCGTACGAGGGGATTCGATTGTAGGGTTTGTTGATGTTTGGCTGGGGTTGATGTCGTCCCAGGCTCCGGTTGCGTTGCGTGTAGAGCTTCCTGAAGCTCAGATGCGCTAGACCTATATGAGGCTAGACTAGATCTAATCACTTGGCGCCTGCCTGCATCATCGAAGGCAAACCAATCCTCAAAGGCCAGTCACTCATTGACAACAACTTTTGAACACATCTCCCGCAACACCTATATTTTATGTGTTGCTGCCCGTCTTCTCTTGAACCTGTGCAAACTTACGGCCCCTTAGTTTTGTCATTACGAAAAGATATCATAGCGCGGTCTATCGAGTCTCCTTAGCCGTTCGCGCTTCGCTCCCACTACTTGATCCGACATTAGGCGCTCCAATCGTCAACGACTACAAATCCAAGTTGCATACACGTTGATGAGTTGTCGACCAAAATTTGCAAAGCTCGGTTACCAATAGACCTATTGGCTATTCTAAGCATTAGCGGGACGATTTATGTTTCAAGTGTCCATTCAGTGGATGGGCGAACACATCATCCCGCTTTTTTTCTTCGTCGTAGGACCCCTCCATCAACACACACATGACCCTGTTCATCACGCTACATAAAGAACAAGTACTCCAGCACAATCAAGTGTTCGAGTATTTATTATCCTCTTAGATCTTGTCAAAGTCTTTCAGGATTCTTTTAACTCTTCTCTCTCCCTTCTCTACACTTGCTTTCTCTCCAAACCATATCTTGCATATTCCCACTTACAAGGAAACTTGTTGCGAGATCGTCGTCAGCGCCCAACGCACTACGTCAATCAATCTAGTCACCGGGCACATACTCGTAGAGTAACCGGACTCATAAAGGCTTCGCAATCTCGAGCTGTCCGAACAACAACCCAGTACTTTTTGCTCTACGCAATACATACGACTACGACTAACACACAGCTACTGACCTTCTACCCCTCGCCACTTGCGCTTCGTTCCGGCCCTTGTTGAAACCCGACGTTCAATGCGACCTCTGCTTGTTCATTACTGCAACACCTGCACATATAACACTACTATCCCTTTCACAGCCTCTGTTTTCTCTCAACCTAATTCCTGCTCATATGTAAGCCATGGCTCTCGATGTTTCTCTTGTACATGAACTGACAATTACGTCATAGTGTGGTGCTGTAGTTATCGGTATCAACAGTCGATCCAAAGCAGAAGAAGAAGCCAACATGCAGCAAGAAGAGCTCGCAAGGCTCTTTCAAGCCAACCTTAACCTGTCCCAAGCCCCTGCGAACCATGATGCCCCCACTCAACCCCAACAGATTGCGCAGGAACCTGCAGTGCAACAACAACAGTGGGCAGACGATTCACCACAGAATGTGCAGCCAATCACGTATGCGTCTACACACTACACGCATAGTCATCATGTAGTACCTTCCCGAAACGCCCCATCTACTCCCACCAAGACTGAGATCGATGTGTCCGAACTTGGAAATATATTCCTGCGAAACAGCATCGACCCGTCCCTCCTGTTCCCTTCCCAGATTGACCTTTTCCAGAATGCAGACGATGATCAACGCCTTCGCCTCCTTGAACTCTGGCGCATTTCACCCCCACAAGGTAGACAAGGCTATCCGCCGGGCGTGGACTATAACATTTCAAGGCAGCTGTATGATTGGCCTCCTACAAGCCTAGCACAAGAGGAAGCCATGGCCAAATTAAGATATGAGAGAATGGTGGAAAGCAATGCCCAATCAGAGAGTATCAACAGCCATGAGCAACATCTTAATCAGAGCATGGATGCAGCCAAAGAGTCTGTATCGGCTACGCAGACTCAGAATGATCGCACTGCTTCTCCTGATGCAGCACAAGCTGAGCCTTATATTCTCTCTGGGTACGACATGCTGGCAAGGCGAGAATACGACGAGTCCGCCCGTGCTGAAGAGCATCCCCTCCGAGAGTCAAACAGATATAATCAGGCTACGGATCCTGTCTTCAACCATCCCGCCAACAATGGCGGCCTCTGGGAGAAGAACGTCGGTAGCATTCTAGATATGGAAAACAACTATGGTGCTTTCGCTTATGCTAGGGAGCATGACATTCGCCCCATCTATGCGGACGAGGAAATGGTTATGTAGGAAGAGAAGTATTCACTTCTGATGAGGCTAATGCCACTGTCATCGAACCCTACAAAAGGCAGGAGTTGTGAAGGAGTTTGAGATTACACAAGAATGAGTTTAGTGTTTTAGGCATGTACAGCACAGCAAGATCATAGATGATTGTATCAGGGATCGATAAGGCAGAACCAGGCCACACAATCGTTTGGAGGAACCCGACTCTTTTGCGCGACAATGGTTCGTTGTTAATTAATCAGATACCCCACGCTCGCAATAGTATTTCATCAGCAACCTACAATTAGCCCACACATGAATCTAGTGATGTAATCCGCCCGTCTCTCTTGGCGTTATTTCATTGAGATGTTTTGTGTACAAGCTAATCATTATTGCTTGCCAGTTCTCCCATACTCCGCTTAAATGCGCTCGTGGCGACCTGTACATGCGTAGGTATACATAGCAGATGTGCCTGCTTATTGAAAAATACACGGCGGAAGTAAAACTCCACCTGATGAATTGTGTTCTTGATAAATTGTAGCACACAATCATTTCGGCCACTTCTTCCAACCGCGACCATGTCCTTTCTGCTGTGGTGTTAGCATTGCACGTTGTGCAAATCTTTCGAATAAGAATACGGACCTGCTTCCATTCCTGTATCAACGCTGGCATATTCAACATAGCCTCCCTCCTCTTGTCTAATCGTCCCTTGAGCGTTCGCTCCCACAGCTTTCCCTTCACCTTCTGGCCCACACCAGTACCCTTGACCATGAGACCTCTCTCTATCCTCCTCTTCTCCTTCTCGCCTGGCTTCTTAATTGTGTAAGGAAGGAGATCTAGCACGCCGTACTTTTGCGCAACCTTAACAAGGTCTGCCTGTTGCCGCAGGCCATAAACTGGGCCATGCCATTTTCCGGTTCGGTAGTTTTTGCGGGGTTGGAAAGGATTGTGGTATGGTAGTTCGGGCTCAACAGGAGCTGAGAGAGGAGCTTCTGGCGTGGCAGATTCTAAAGCAGGAGCATTTGGGTCGGCGGAGGAGGTGGTGGAAGCAACGACAGGGATTTGCGACGGCTTTACGGGTCGATTGGGTGTCAATGCTGGCGGGGGGAACCTTTGGAAAAATCGAAGGAGCCGTGGCGGAAGGGTTTCAGCGAGTTGTACTGCTGGCGGAGGCATTGTGACGGTTGGAGTTGGTTACAAAAGTTGTATGGAGTGCGGAGAGATTCCAATCTCGAAGAAATCCGCTGTCACGTGATTGATGGTGGTCAGAGCTCAATGTGTCGGAGCTGTACGAGTACGCGCGGGTCAAGCTGCCTACTGGCACCCACCTCTCCATCTAAAGCATTCACGACCACTCTCAACGTCCACTATCCTCCACCTCAGCTTCTTCTTTAAGAAAGGAAGGGAGCTTTTATCATAAGATAGACCAGATCTCCGTCATTCTACATTTGCAGCCATGGTAAGCTCCCCTCATGAGATAGTTGTATATCAAGCTAACCATCATTGCTAGTCATCGCCCTTCTCAATAAGTACGATTCCCTGCAACCGTCTTCCATATTGCATGTCTTAACTGTTGTCTAGATGGTGGTGCCTGCGTGGCTATGGTGGGCAAGGACTGCGTTGCGATAGCCTGTGATTTGCGCCTAGGCATGCAAGCCCTCACAGTGTCGAACAACTTCCCGAAGATCTTCAGCTACGGCGACGTATACCTTGGCCTCACCGGCCTTGCTACCGATGTCTCCACAGTCTCCGACCTTTTCCGCTACAAAGTGAACATGTACCGGCTGCGAGAGGAACGCAACATTTCCCCGCAAACGATGGCAAACCTCGTGAGCTCATCGCTCTACGAGCGACGATTCGGCCCCTACTTCGTATCCCCCGTCATTGCAGGAATCAACCAGACAACAGGGAAGCCTTTCATCTGCGGTTTCGACAGTATTGGATGCATCGACTTTGCGAAGGACTTCATTGTCAGTGGTACAGCGAGCGACCAGTTGTTCGGTACATGTGAGGGTCTGTGGGAGCCAGATCTAGTGAGTGGAGTCTTTTGAATACTGTGCAAGGTAAATTGAGATGCTAACAGCAATCTACAGGGCCCGGAGGACCTCTTTGAGACAGTGTCTCAAGCGCTGCTCAACGCCGTGGACAGAGACGCATTGTCTGGATGGGGAGCACATGTCTACATCATCGAGAAGGACAAGGTGACCAAGCGGTTATTGAAGGGACGACAGGACTGAGGGGTTCAACAATTATACGGTGGCACTGATCTCAAGACGAGCAGCCAGGGGACATGGATCTGTGCAGTCAGAAGGCTAGCTCTCAATACAAAGGGCTACTTCGAGGGTCCCCGGCCAGCATGTGCGCTCTGCATCATTTAGACTACAGCTGGACTTCACGAGACAGAGCGGCTTGAGTAAGCGTGGCCGTCTCAAGCCAGTAATGACGAAATCCAAAAGATACATGAATATCTATAAACATAACGGACATCTTTCTTCTATTATGTGACTGAATCTCTGAGGAGCTGGTTTCATCCGGCTGAAGATCTGAAAACCATTTCCGATTTGCGTAGGCCAGGTATTTGTACCATTTTACCAACTTGATCGATAGATACCTCCCTTCCAAGTTCTCTGTAGAATTACCATTCAAGTAGCATCACAACGAGTTATCCGTTCCCGGTTGGAAATTAAACCTTTCATTAGTAAACCCTTCGTCAAACATTTAATCATAGCAAATCTTCAAGAGTAAAGGTCTTAATGAAGTCATGGTTCCCTTGATTGCAGTATTGAAGGCAGCACCTTGCCGACACGTGATGACGTTCCTAGCTGCCTCATCATGAAGTCTTGGCACTATTTGTTAGAGACCTGTTGAGATGGAGCATCTTGCAACCTCACTCAGTCACAAACACAAAACACTATGAATAGCTTTCCACCACCTCCGCCGCCGCCGTCGACCGACGCGATCCCTCCACCTCCTCCGAGTTCTGATCGTATACCTCCTCCACCACCGACAGACGAAGAAGCTCTAGGTCCGCAACTCGTCGCAAAGCCGAAAAAGAAAGGATGGGGCACGACAGCGACCAAGAAACAACCTCCGAGCATAGAAGACATCTTGCGCATGAAGCGTGAGCAGGAAGCAGCAGCAGCAAAGGTTCGTTAAACTATCCAAGCATGCAATGGGCGCTGCAAGCTCTGGGAGAGACTCGTTCGCGGCAGTCGACAAGTAAAATCACAGAACCTTGTACACGAACGTGTATACACTGTTCGATAGATGCAGTCGATGAGTGGTCTCACGGAGCTAGCGCCGCACCGTATGTTCGTCCATGTATTATTTGAATATGCCTACTGACTTCTTTCATTCACAGCCCAAATTTCTTACGAAGGCGCAACGAGAGCAGATCGCGCTCGAAAAGAGACAAAAGGAGGTTGAAGAGGCCAGGAAAAGGAAAGAAGCCGGGAACAGCACAGTTACAAACGGGTCGAGGCCGAGTGGCATATATACCAATGGGTCTTCATCGAGTCGCGATGGCGCTGGTTCCTCCGTGCCAACGGGTCCTCGTGCGATGCGAAGTGGCGAAGTTCCTACCGGACCGGCGTCGATGCGAGGGAAGAACTCGGAGATGCCGCCACCGCCAGTTCCAAAGGCTGGTGAAGGACGACCAGGAAAGAGGCCCAATCCGGCAGACGCAGAGGCTGCCTTGATTCGAACGCGATACATGGGCGCCGAAACAAACCAGTCTACTTTCTCGGCGAAGAAGAAGCGGAAGCGAACAACTGAGAAGAAGTTTAACTTCGAATGGAATGAAGAGGAGGACACTTCTCCGGATTATAACCCAATCTATCAGCAAAGGGCCGAGACAAATTTCTTCGGTCGCGGTAAACTGGGTGGCTTTACCGATGAGGTGGCCGAACAAGGAACCCAAAAATTCACCGAGGCAATGGCCCAACGCGACCCAGAGACTGGTAGGCAAAGAGCTGAAGCCATTCTCGAAATGGAACGCCGGCGGAAGAACGAGGGCGGACGAGCAGCTTTGGATAAGCATTGGAGCGACAAGAAACTCCATCTCATGCGCGAGCGAGATTGGCGAATCTTCAAGGAAGATTTCGAAATCAGCACAAAGGGAGGATCAGTACCAAATCCAATGCGCAATTGGCAGGAATCTGGTCTTCCAGAGAATATACTTCGCATTGTCGATCAGGTAGGGTACACTGAGCCATCCCCCATCCAGCGAGCTGCCATTCCCATTGCCCTTCAATGTCGAGACCTGATCGGTGTTGCCGCCACCGGTTCAGGTAAAACGGCGTCCTTCATATTGCCTCTCCTGGCATACATTCAAAAGCTTCCGCCATTAGATGCCATGACTAAGAATGATGGCCCCTATGCACTAATCCTAGCACCAACTCGTGAGTTGGCGCAACAGATTGAAGCGGAAGCTCGCAAGTTTGCCACTCCACTCGGATTCAAGACCGCCGTCATAATTGGTGGTCACTCTATTGAAGAGCAAGCATTCGCCCTGAGAGATGGAGCCGAAATCGTCATTGCAACAACGGGTCGTCTCGTGGATTGTCTAGAGCGCCGTGTGTTGGTCCTCAGCCAGTGCTGCTACGTGATCATGGACGAAGTGGATCGTATGCTGCAAATGAGTTTCGAGGATGACGTAAACAAGATTCTGGCTACTTTGCCGTTAGACAACGAAAAGCCTGACACAGACGCTGCCGAGGATGCCAACAGCATGATAAGAGGCCACTATCGCCAGACCATGATGTACACTGCGACAATGGAGGCGGGAGTAGAGCGAATCGCGCGCAAATATCTTCGACGACCAGCCATTGTGACTATTGGAAATGTCGGCGAGGCCGTGACTTCGGTCGAACAGCGCGTTGAGTTCATTCCAGGCGAAGACAAGAGGAAGAAACGCCTCAACGAGATCCTCAATTCCGGCGAATTCCAAGCCCCCATCATCGTCTTCGTCAATATCAAGCGAAACTGTGATGCAGTTGCACGAGATGTCAGACACGCCGGTCTCAACTCAGTCACACTTCACGGAGGCAAGACCCAAGAACAGCGTGAGGCAGCGCTTGCTTCATTCAAGAACGGGTCTGCAGACGTCCTCGTGGCTACAGATGTTGCTGGTCGTGGTCTTGATGTGCAGGACGTGTCTCTCGTCATCAATTTCAACATGCCAAGCAGCATCGATACCTACACTCACCGTATTGGCCGTACCGGTCGTGCGGGTAAGTCCGGTGTGTCGATCACTTTCTGGGGTAACGAAGATGCGGATGTATTGTATGACTTGAAGCAGATGGTGTCCAAGAGCCCAATGGGCAAGGTTCCAGAGGACCTGAGAAAGCACGAAGCAGCCCAACAAAAGGGCGGAAAGAAGGGCAGGGAGCAAAAGGCTGTCCTAGGTTGAGGTCATGCTTAAGAATAGGTCATAAGCTGCTACAACCCTCTTTATACGGCTTGTATTACCGGTCGTTATCTTCCAGGCAAAGTAAGCATATTCTACCTCGCTGTACACTAGATTCATAATAAAATAATGACAAAGATATTATCCTGAACCCATGGTTGCTAAAAGAAATATGTGATGTCTAGTTAGAGTTTCGGAAGCCATGCTATCACACGTGAAGAACGAGTGTTGATAACAGAAAGATCGTTGAATACCAAATATCCATCAAGAACTACTTTGCGAAAAACCTCTTATATCGAGGTCTCATTGATGGAGTTCAGACATCAGTCAGTGAGCAGGATGATGAACCGAACCTTTGGTATCTTGGTACCTGAACCCATGATTTGGTGACGAGAAAGCCAATTATGGTTGTCGGGATTTTACTTTGGTCCCCACGCATGCCCAACAATACTCTCAGCAATTTCGCCGTACTTCTTGTTATTCGACTGTCCGGTACACACACAACTTGCTCTTGCACTTTTCACCAAGTCTCAAGCAAGTGCATCTGTTGACAAAGCGATAACGCTCATCCTCATCATCAAGACTTCATCCGCATCCAGAGATCCGCCCGAACGTTCACGGAGCATCAAGTCAGCACATCATTCAACTTCACATCCATATCAAACTTATCATCGCAACGAAGACCGCAGCGGCCGGTTCCCCGTCCCCAGCTACATCCTCAACATGCCACGAAACAACAGGTGCTCCAGCAGCACCAACACATCTCAAAATACCAACTATGGCACAATCACAATATCATACGCCCCATCCGCTACATCCTCGACGTCAACCGCAATGACAGAAGACATGCCGCCATCCCCACCAACACCCCACAACCCCAACGAGCAAATTCCGCTGAGCCCGGCGGAACCACACACCAGGAGCAAACGTCCCACGCGCAACTTCGCAGCGTCGAACATGTACTACGACTTCTCGGGCGGCCGATCGCAAGCATACCTAGCGCTCGAGATCGAAGGCGACGAAGACGGCAGGGGGATGTACGAGCATTCGGACGACGCGGGGGGTGAAGACGACAGAGATGATGAGTTGAAGGGGGTGGAGAAGGGGTTGATACTTGTGCTTGTTTTGGTGTCGTGTGGGTTCGTGGGTCTGCTTGTTGCGTGCGGGCGGCAGGTGGGCATGTGAACTACGAAGATGGGAGATCATTGCATACACGATGGATTGTCAGTGAGTGAGGGTTTTGGAAGGGACTCGGAGAATTCATGTCACATTTCTGGTTTACTTTGGTTTGCTGAAGCATGTAGGAAGCACGGGGGTCGAGATAGTCTTTTTTTAGGACATGATAAGTCTAGAAGGATGGAATGGATGGTTGGAATGGATGGGATACCGCTCGGGAGCTACTGCGGGTGTGGGGCAGGCACCGCACCACGTTCATGTCTCCATTTTTTTCTCTGGCCCTTCGAGAATTCAATCGCAAACAATGACATCATTTGAATATTCCAATGGCCTGACCCTGAGGCCCCACATTTACAATGCACACGTCAGTCTGATACTCTCGTTGTGTTGCGTTCGACATCTAACTTTCTAAACACTTCAAAAGCAAAGCGACAACACTGTGTAGTTGTATCTGAAGATTCAAGACTTCGCTAATTGAATAAACACATTGAAAATGGCGACCGGAGGACAAGATTTGACGGACGGTGGCAACATTGGTGTGGGCATGAGCTCGTGCTGTCTATCCGGAAAGGTCAAGGAGGGAAAGCCTACAGGCATTGAAAAGACCATCGGTGAGTAGTCTTCACTGAAAAGAAGGACAATTCATATCCTAACTTGAGAAACATAGCTGGACTCAACACCTATGTCGCCGAGCCTGAGAATGGATCCAAGGAGAAGAGCATTGTGTTCCTAGTGGACAGTAAGCAGCAACCTTTCCTACAAGCACTCACCTTTCATCCCCCAATATTGTCTTGTCCAGACACTGATAGCTCGCACAGTCTTCGGCTGGACATTCCCCAACGTCCGCCTCCTAGCCGACTCATACGCCAAAGCAGGCTTCACAGCCTACATCCCCGACGTCCACCAAAACGACTCCCTCCCCATTGAATTCCTGCAGGACGTCGAGCCCCCGCTTCCGGTGCGGGAATCGCAATCCGTAGTGCAAAAGACAGCCGCGACCGCCAAAGTCGGCGCCACACTGGGACCCTGGCTGCTCAACCACCGGGAGGCGGTTTCCAAGCCCGTCATCGACGGCTTCATCCGCGAGGTGCGCAAGACTCCCGGGACCGACAAGGTCGGCGTCATTGGATTTTGCTGGGGAGGGCGGTATGCGATTCTCGCGGCTCATGCGACTGATCCTGCGGTCGCGGTCGATGCGGCGTATGCTTGCCATCCGAGTTTGGTGGCCATACCGGGAGACTTCGAACCGGTGGTGAAGCCGCTGTCGTTGGCGTTGGGGGATAAGGATAGTTTGCTGGGTGAGAAGGAGGTCCAGCAGATTCAGGAGCTGTTGCAATCGAAGAGGGATGAAGGTTTGCAGAGTGAGGTCAAGGTGTATGAAGACCAGGTCCACGGTTTCGCGCTCAGGGGAGATTGGAGTAGTGAGAAGGATAAGAAGGCCATGGATGAGGCAGAGAAACAGGGTATCGAGTGGTTCAAGAGGTTTTTGGCGTAGGAGAACGGTAGTGTGAATGTCCGCTCATGACAAGCGGCGGCAAGCATCGTAGACGTTCTTGGGCCATGAAATCAGTAACGAATTTAATGATGAGGATGTCGAAGAGATATGTCGAAGTCCAATGCACATTCAAGACAAACTTCAACACTTACAAGATCAACCAAATACATACTTTTCCCCAATGCAATATCCACTCATACAAACCATTTCCATCCATCTATCAAACCCACTAAATCCAGGGGTCTGCCATATCCGCCATCGTGTGAGAAAAAAACGCGACAACCACCGTCTCATGAGTCGTAAACACAAACCAATATCCCCTAGACTACCTTCTAATAGGCAAATGATAAATAAACAAGTAAAGGCTTGAAATTATGCCATGGCAGCGCGAAGGAGCTAGTCGACAGCCCTACGCAGGAGAATTCGAACCGAATGTCTGGGCGATCGACCTTCTTGTGGAAAGGGCCTGGAGCTAGCTAGAACAGCTCGAAGAAAGACATAGCAGTACTGTATGGACTTTGGAATGTTTTATTTTGCATATCGTTAACTACAAAAACAAATTATCTGCCTATGTAGCATCTTGATGTATTTACGGAGTCCATACATACAAGTACTCGTAGTTACCTAGTACAGCACAAACATATCGATACTAAGCGCCTCGATACTACAAACCCAACCGAGAACATACCAAACAGAGGAAACCCCATCACACGCGAAGCAGGGCCCCCATCGAACATCAATTCCGGGAATCCTATCGGACAATTTAAAAAACAAAAATAAACAAAAAACTCCCGCCAATTCCTCCACCAACGCGCAAACTTTCCTCCGACGTCCCTTTCTGCCCCGTCCGTTCCCGTGTTCGCCCGCGCGCGAAGGACCAAGACAGCCCGGCCTTGGACGATGTCATTCCCGTCAGACTTGTGCTTGGCCCTTTTTCCTCTCACTCCTCCTCCCCCTCCTCTCGTCTCCCGGGGCCGAACGAGTGCTGCTTTTTCGATTCCGGCAATCTGACCACCAGACCAAATACTAAACTCGTAGTTTATCTTTTTTAAATTCTTGCACTGCCCCCTTTGCCCTACGAGTGCGTGCGTACTTTATTCGCTGGAGTTAGCTGTGCTATTTTGTCCGGCGAGTTTTTATTCTGCTAAATATCTAACTGACTGGCTGGCTGGCTAAATCGTACTGAGTACGTAGTAATAGTACTCATGTGATTGAACGAAAGGAAGGCAACGGCAAGAAAACACTCCGAAAAGGCTTGTGACAGTGAGGTGGAGTGATGGGGGAATTACAATATTGACCACGCATGCGTTGGGTCGGGGATTATTTCGTTGTGTTGTTTGTAGTTATGGGTGATGATGGGATGTGGTGTGGTGAGGGTTACTGTGCATGCATATACGAAGGGTAGGGGGGGAGGGAGGGAAGGCCCTTTGCCCTATGAATAGGACCGAGTGAAGTGTAGGGACAACGTATGTACGCTCGTACGACGGACGACGGTGAGCGGGGGAAGATAACGGACGGCGGGAGGACGCGTGTGGCCCTGGGATCGACGCGGATGGGGTTGGATGTCTTGATGTCATGAGATTAGAGGTGAATTCACTCAAGATGGATGCGGTTCTGGCTGTAATTGTCGTGCTTGCTGTTGATTTCGCTGTCATGTTCATGTTGCGGTTATGTGTGGATTTTTTCGAAAGGACTTTGAATAGAATTATATATAGCCCAGCTTCTTGCGAAAAAGTACTTTAGTTATAGTGGTATCTAGAAAAAGATAAGAAATGTCCTTTAAATATGTTTTTCCCCTCTCCCCGTTTTCAACCTGAACAGGAAGACACCAGCGCCATGCTAATAGATAGTCTTACAGAGGGTTCGCAACTTTATGATTTACTACAAAGAAAATTGGTTGTTTGTTTTTGGATGCACGATGTCGGGACTGTCTTCGATTCAAGCCTTCCACTTGACATTGGTCCACTGTTCGTACTCCTGCTTGAGGCTCCTTTGCACCCAAGGGATCGTAAGGGCGGTCCAGAGACCTGCCCAGACGAAAGGCAGAGTCCATCCAACCTGTAGATGTTAGCTTTCTGTTTCAATTTTGGCGAGGGGAGGTGAGTACATACAACGTAGGCAGCATCTCTATCGATGGTAAATACGATAGCAACGGTGACTGCAGCACAGACGATGGCGCCAATGGCCCAGAAAAGGGTCAAACGGTGGAGCATCTCGCGGAAGGCTTTGCTGGCCTGGTAACGGAGGTTCAATCTCTGGCGGAACTCGGTGCCTCCAGAGCCATCTACTGCGCAGATATCCTCGATGTAGGCGTAGATTCCTGGGCGGAGAGGAGCGCCGACGGGGAGCGAGGAAATCCTGCATGGGGCTGGAACACCCCAGATGCGGAGGATATCGACGAGGAGAAGCTCCACGCCAATGGCGAAGATCATGGTGGACGCGGGAATGGCCAGCAGACGGATGGGTGGATCATGGGGACATGTGCCACTTGTGTTTGGGTTAGTTTGTGCAATTCAATAACAATGAGACATGTTGTAGAGCAGAACTCACGCAATCAGTTCGATCATGACAAAGAACCATCCAACAGACAAATTCCAGTGAAACCAATCCAGATACCATCTGTGCGCACCAATGACCCGGCAGCTGGAATTCTTCTTGAACAATCGGTGAAAACGGATAAAGTATTCCACGATCGAGACGGTTCCGAGAAGGGCAGTACTGATACTGAAGACTGCATTTGCCGACAATTGGTCGCGCGTTGTGCCATACCACATGCCAAAGTAGAGTCCAATTGGCATGAAAACGCAGTCCAGGATGATCAACAGCCAGAACCAGAAGATGGCCTTCTTCCTCGTCCGCAGAGAATAATTCAACGGCGGCGGCCGCGTGAAGTCGGGATCATCATAGGTGACTTGGGTGTGAGGGAATAGGGCTGAGGGCAGCTCGGAGGGTTGCGGCGTTGTTACTCTGCTGGGGACGTGATCGGGATTTTGGCTTCCAGTTTGGCTTGCACTCTCGGCGATGCTTCGCGTGCTGGGATCCTCATTGGCACTGCCGACGTGTGCTTGGCCCGGGACTTGAAGGGTCGTAGCGTGCGATGTCTCCGTTTGTGGGTGCGCATCGGTCATTGTTGTGGTTGTGGTGGTCGGTTGTTGATGGGTAGGTGAGGGAGCCCTCAGGGGCTCTGTTGAAGTCGCTGGAGTTGCCATAAGTTTTGATGATATCGAGAGGAGAGGTCCAGAGCGATGAAGGGACCAGAAAAGTGGGCAAAGGCAGGGACAAAATAGGTGTATGGGATATGGTTTCGCCCAGCGATTACGGATGCGGATGTCAGCGGGTAGCGTCACCTAGCGTGGTCGTGGTGGTTAGTGTGGTAAGTAGGTAAGTATATGTAAGAAAAGTCAAGAGAGTGCCGAGCAGGTTGGCAATAAATAAAGAGAAGAGAAAAAGAAGAGAGAAGAGGATGACAAGTGCGTGTTAATACTTGTAAAAAGTTCTTGTTCAATTCAGGCGCGGTAAATCTCATCGGCCGATGTTGTCTTGGATTGCGTGTTGTTCATGTTCTGGTTCAGGTTCAGCCTTTCCTTTCCGTTGGGGTGACTTTGAAAAGACACAAGAATGATGTCATGAGATGATCTAATGGCCGAGACCTTGTATTCTGTCCACAACGGGTTTAGTGCCAAACAGGGCGGGAAGCTTGGCGTAAATCACACATGATCCCCTTCCTCTTGCCTTTTTCCCTTCCCCTTCCCCCCTTCCCCTTCCCATTTCCCCTTTGGTTAGACAGTATTATTGTACGAGTATTAACTAGACCCTTCATTAATTACTCGTAATAGACTAGACCCCAGAGTCTCTAGCCAGTCGGCAGACCTATCCTATGATTTCTGATTAATTCATCATTAACTCGAGTCGATGACGGAAGAGGTGCAAACCGCCAAAGGGTCATCAGCCAAGACACTCGAGTGACTCCATTTATCCTATCGTCACCACCAACCACCACAACCTCACCTTACCTCATCTCTTACACATCCCCGAGCTCAATACCTGATATTCCCGCGCTTGGCTTCACCATCACCGCCTGTTCCACCCTCCTGTCACTGCGCCATCATTAACTCACAGGCTATGCGATAGTCGCCATCCATGGCCACCTTCTCAGGCCTCTTCCTTTCCCTAAATGCGCTTCTTGCTCTGGCTGCTGGCGGTCTAGCAGCCCCTACACAAACTCCCGTCGTAGCGCATTCCAGCAATGGATCGGCAATCTCGGTCGCACTTTTTAGAGAATTAGAAGAACTCGCACGTATAGTCGATATCTCGTACTGCGTAGGAACAGCGGGACTGGGTATCCAGAAGCCGTTTCAATGCGCCAGTCGATGCGGCGAGTTCGAGAACTTCGAACTCATTGATGTATGTTTTCGGATGCGCGGAGGCTCCCAGATCTCCTATTAGGTTGAACGCAATCACCATACTAATTTCCTTATATTAGACCTGGAATACTGGACCACTTCTCTCCGACTCCTGCGGCTACATTGCCCTGTCGCATCCACCGTCGCCTCCGCGCATCATCCTCGCCTTTCGCGGCACCTACTCTATCGCGAACACCATTGTTGACTTGTCGACTGTACCCCAGGAATACGTTCCCTATCCCGGCGACGACGATTCGAAGACGTCCGACTTCGTAGACCCCAGGATCGCAAACCCGGATTCAAGCGATGAGACGCCCCCGCCCGCAGATCCGCCCAAGTGCACAAACTGCACAGTCCACACCGGATTCTACAGCTCCTGGCTCAACACACGAAATGCCATCCTCTCCGACCTGACAGAGGCGATCGAGAAATATCCAGACTACCAGTTGACGCTGGTCGGGCACTCGCTGGGCGGTGCGGTCGCCGCTCTGGCCGGACTCGATTTCCTGGCTCGCGGATGGCAGCCCCGCGTGACCACCTTTGGCGAGCCGCGCATCGGAAATAAAGCGCTCATGTCGTACATAGACGACCGTTTCAACATCACCTCCAACAAGGATGCCAATTCGTTCCACCGGGTCACCCACGTGAGCGATCCCGTCCCGCTGCTCCCGCTCGCCGAGTGGGGGTATTCCATGCATAGCCAGGAGATATTCATTTCCGCACCCGACCTTCCTCCCTCAGTGGACGATCTACAATACTGCAAGGGTGACGAGGACCCAGATTGCATTGCCGGGAAGGAGAGCGATGGAGCGTCGTGGGGCATCCCGGCCCGATTCAAATTGTGGGAGCTTTTCTTCGCCCACAGAGATTACTTCTGGAGAATAGGACTGTGTGTCCCCGGCGGTGACCCGAAGGATTGGTATCGCAAGTACCCAGACGCCGTTCCTGGAGACGAAACACCAGTGGAGGAAGAGAATCCCGAGCTGTAATGGCTATAATGTATCATGAAAATGTGGAATCGACGATGGTTTTCACACACTATCCTTGGGGGGTTTGGGCGGACTTCTTGACATTTTTGGCGTCATTCACAGGCAGACTCATGTTGTTTAACGGGTCACATGCGGCGTTTTGTATTCTAGCATCACGAATTGGGCATCATTATTGTTAGCGAAATATACATGTATGTTTATTCATTGTTCTTTGTTTCTTATCATTAAATCGTAATGGACCAAAACTCCGAACCAGTTCCAAGGTTTACAGAGTGTGTCCTTGTATATCATGTCTTCCCATGATGAGCATATACAAGAAATCGTGAGGGACTCAATCACAGCCACGCCCATACCAGCAGGTCGTGCTGTATGCCAGCCATGCAACTCGATCATCTGCCCGGCCCGACGTTCACCCCCTTACAACAGGTACACCCTGCCCTCATACGCCGCCAACTTCCCCTCCTCATGTTTCTCGACCGTCGAAACCAAAAGCTCGCTCTTCTCCTTCTCATCAGCAACCTCAGCCGGCCACTTGACCTCCCTCGCCTCACCCGTGAAATTCAACACAACGACCGCCTTCCCCCTCTTCCCCTTCTCTCCATTCGTCGCACCATTGGTCCCATTGGTACCATTCGTTCCATTCACACCATTCACAACCTCCCCTCCCTTCGCCGTCTTAACAAACCAAAACACGCTCTCATCCCCCCTATCCAGCACATCAAAATCCCCATGCACAAACAACCCCTCATACTCCTTCCTAATCCTCAGCGCGTGCTTCCAGAACGAAAGGACGGACCCCTTGTCGCCCTGCTGCTGCTTCGCGTTGCAGACGAGCGCCTGGGCCGCGTCGGCGCGCATCCAGGGCTTCGTCGTCGGCGAGGGCGAGAATCCCGCGTTCGGGGTGGGAGCCCAGGACATGGGGATGCGGGCGTGGTCGCGCGCGAGGTGCTGGAGGGAGACGTGCGCGGCGTGCAGGGCTGTTGGGTCGGCGTTGGTGCGGGCGGATACCATTTTGTACTGTGGTGGGTGTTAGATGGGGAATGAAGAGGGAGGGGATGGGGGAAGGGGAGAACGAACGTAGTTGGAGGAGTCGACGTCCTTGTACTCGCTCATGTCCCAGTCGAGCGGGAAGTTGACCATGCCGATCTCCTGGCCCTGGTAGATGAACAGCGTGCCGGACAGCGCGGCCTCCATGAGGGCGAGGAGCTTCCCGCTCGCGACGCGGTGCTCGGGCGCGTCGCTGGCGAACCGCGAGATGGAGCGGGATTGATCGTGGTTCTCGAGGAAGGCGGTCGTCCACCCGTCGTTGCCGCGGATCAGGTTCTGCGTCCGCTCGATGGCGTCCTTGAGGGCCGGGAGTTTCCAGTTGAAGGGCGTGGTCTGGAATTTGTAGGGTCCTTGCCCGATGTCGACGACGTCCTGGGGGCGGCGTGTTAGAGACTGGGTCACGATGAAGGGGAAAATAGTGGTGGGGAACTCACGAATTGGAACACCATGTTCAACTGCTTCTCTTTCGCGCTCACGTACTCGAGCACCCTCTTCATGTCCGGCGTGTTGGGGCACTCGCCGACGGTCATGGCATCGTACTTCGCGAGCACCTGGTTCATCTCGCCGAGGAACTCCGCCATCCTGGGTCCATTACAGTACTGGTAGCCCGCGAACTGCCACTCCGAGTCCGGGTCTGTGATGGGCGCATCCCGCATGTCGCCCTTGGAGTACATGTTGACGGTGTCGACGCGGAACCCGTCGACGCCGCGCCGCAGCCAGAACTCCATCGCGCTCTCGTAGATGGCCTTGCGCGTCTCCTCGTTCTCCCAGTTGAGGTCGGGCTGCTCCGGGCAGAACAGGTGCAGGTAGTACTCCTGCGTGTGGTCGTCCCATTGCCAGACGCTGCCGCCGAAGTTGCCTAGCCAGTTGTTGGGCGGCTTGCGAGCGCCTGTGACGGGGTCGTATGTGGCTGGTCGCCAGATGTACCAGTCGCGCTTTGGGTTGTCCTTCGAGGATCGTGACTCTTGGAACCATTTGTGCTGGATGGTGGAGGAAGGTTAGCTTCTAGTGTCTTCTTTCGTTTTCACATCTTGAGATGTTGAGTTTGGGGCTCTTTGGGCTTCAATTGCCCAGAAGGAAAGCCAGCGAGCAAAGGCTCAGAACAAAAATTCAAGCAAAGAGAGAAAATTCAAAAAAAAAAATATGGCATCGTAAAGTTTGACCTCAACTCTCGGGTCTCCCTCAACATTATGCAAAGTGCAGAGTATTCCCTGTCCCTTAACGTGGAGTCTCCACAAGGCAACCAGGAAAACATTCCTCTGAATACGAATTGAACAAGAATAGAAAAGAGAAACGAGGCGAGAGAAAAAAGATGAATAAACAACGCATTGCAACTCTCTCCCATGCAGTGATGTGCATGACGTCCCCATGCTTTTCCCCGCCGTTGTATCCGGGGTAGCGTCGCCAAAAAAGCGTACATAGTCACACGACATATACGGTCGGAGTTCGCGAAGGGGAGTGGAATATGGGGATCACGGACAGGGGTGCAACCAGCGATTTCTTGGTGTCCAAGACAAAAAAGCATCATAGGTCCTTGGACCACAAAACCAACGAACTTGAAAGTTAAAAAAAAATGATAATGGACTAACCTGATCACTAGTATGATTGACGACCAAATCCAGCACGACGCGCATCTCCCTGCGATGCGCCTCCTCGATCAGCCTCTCCATGTCGGCGACGGTGCCGTACGGCGCATATACGCTCTCGTAGTCCCGCACGTCGTATCCCATGTCGACCTGCGGGGAGTCGTACATGGGGCAGATCCACACGACGTCGGCGCCCAGCGCGCGGATGTAGTCGAGCTGCGAGATGATGCCCTGCAGGTCGCCGACGCCGTCGTCGTTGGAGTCCTTGAAGGACGCCGGGTAGATTTGGTAGACGACGGCGGACTTCCACCATGGGGTTGAGGAGTGCTGCTGCTCGGGGACGGTCATTGTGAATGCTGTGTTGCGTTGTGGAGGTTATTTTTGAAAATTTGGTATGTGCTGTTCAAAAGGATTGGATTCTTTTGAGCGGAGGCCGCGATTTGGTAACGAAACCCCGGACTTTTTCCAACTCTCAATGCGACGTCGAACGTCGATGTTGGTCTCTCGGGATATGAGGGAGCTTACTAAACCGAGCAAACAAAGCCTCCTTGCAGTAGCTTTGAGTTATGAGGCTGAAAAGATGAATGCCCAGACGCAAGAAAATGGGTATTCGGAAGGGAGAGGGGAAGAAAAATCAAGGTACGTCTAAACGTGGCTTGCTTGCACGTATGCCGGGCGCGAGAGTTGTCTCTTATACCTGACCTCGGCGTTTGGATGCGTGTGTGTGTGTGTGTGCGTGTGGATTAGATTAACTTATGAGATCCATAAGCCGTAGATAGATGATGTTGCGAGAGCGAGAGAGGTTGAACTATCTACCTAGGTAACTAATGATTCTGATAATGGGAAATTCCATATCCTAGATTATAGTACGAAAAGCATAGCTCCCCGCGCCGTGATTCGCCCGTAGTCGTTCCGACATCGATCCATCATATGTTCGAGTGGGGAGGACCGAGGGCACGAGACACGCACGAGGGAATAATGAGTGGAGGCGGAGAGGGGAACGGGAGAATTATGGGATCACAAGTTCATCTACCGAGTTACTTCCATGTTCCATGCACAATACAAGGTCAGGCTACCCTTAGGTACGGAGCGGAGGATAGATCGAGTAGAGGCCAGCAGGCCTCAAGGATCGATCACATTACATTAGAAAAAACCACGACGGACCTTGGTATTCAATGCCCTAATATCCCCATCATAGCCTGACACTTGATCCTACGAGTAATTACCTAACCCAACGGCATTGTAGAAGAATGGAATTTGTACATGATAGTTCCGCTCGGAACAATATAATCAACTGTGACTAACGTCCAACTCTATGCCCCAAAGTCCCGAGTCCATTCCGCCAACAACTCGGAAACTCGGAATCGAATGACAAAGTGTATGGAGATTATTGAGAAGCAAAACAAATAGTTTGAAACATAGCTTACCTCGTAGTTTGTTTAACTAATGAATTGGTCTAGTTAGCTAATACCATGATATTCTTGGTTGTATTCTCGTTGCCCCATCCCATTCCATTACTTGCGCAGCCTTGCCAATTCCCGCCAACAAGTTCAACAAACCTTCGTATTCCAATGAACCCCGGGCCGACAATGGACAAATGATCATCGTCGCCCCCGTCGTTTCCCCATGTCAACCCAGCTACCCCAGGCCCGTTAGGATTATCGGGGCTGGAACTCTCGTTCTTGTCCTTCCCTTGTCCTTCTTCTTTTTGAGCCGCGCACGTCAACCCCCGCCGTCCGCTGCCAATCCCCCTCCTCTCCCCTGGTCGATGATGGGGAGACTTTCACTTCTATCGACAGATGCAATAAATGCACTAAGAACCTGAACCGGGTTTAATGCCCCGATCCAATCCCTACACGGCCCCATCTTCGCCAGCCTTCGAGGGTATTACTCGCCACATATTGTACGAGTACTTGTAGCAAACATGACATGTGATCTACCTATGAACCTATCCTATCCTTACCTTGTTCAATCTCTACGTCTGTGCCGTCGTCGTCGTCCCCAGGCCCAGGGCATTTGGTGGGCGTACATAGTCACATCGCAACCGTGTGTAGCGAGCAACCCTAACGAACTTAACCAACTAATCACTAACCGGCAGGGTCAAGCGCGTTGGGTGGTGGATGTGCTCATGATGGATCATGATGGATGGATGGACGATAACCTTCTTTTAGTCCATTCCCGCCCTCGCGGACCGACACTGAAGCCAATGATCGACACTCCCTCCTGCTCTATTGTCCTCCGTGTGGTCGTGATGAACCTGCTATGCCTGCATTTTACTCCACAACGCAAGCCCATTCCCCAGATCCAATCCAATCCCCGATCCACAATTAATGTGGTCTGTCTGCTCTCCAGACAGACGCTATCGTACCTCACCCATGGGGATTTTTTGGGGGCGCTGAAGCTCGTGCAATACTGCTCAATACTGCTCCCGCTTGGTCGCATGGTATGCATTGGCCTCCCCCAGTTGCGCTCCCAAGCTCCGTAGCGCCATGTTCCTCTCCGCGCGGGCGCGCCATTTTTTTAGTCTAATGTTCATTTTCTTTCCCCAATCCCAATCCCTACTCTCCGCATCCTATTCCCTTCTCAGATCATCACGACCTCTTACCACTTCGCGCCATCCAGGCTTGGCCCCTACTCTCGCTTCGCGGTAAACGTTGGGGTTGTTTTGTTGGTGTGTGTGCCTGTGTCGTGATACCATACCTTGGTCTATCCCCATACCCATACCCACTCCCAAGGGGGGCCCCAGGTTAATGTATATAAGTACCCGGGGGTGGATCCTCTTTCCTGGAAACCCGGCATCAATTCGAAAAGCAAAGTTCCACTCTTCTGCTTCTTTTCCAATTGCACATCAGGGCAAAGAGATAAGAAGACGAAGGAAAAGAGGGCCCTCTCGTTTTGGACCTCGTGGTTGTGTTGTGTGTCTTCTTTTTGATTGACTTGCATCTGAAGTTCAATCCCCACACTTTGTCCCCAATTATTTCCTACATATCCCACCGCTATGGATGCCACACGCCGCAACAGCAGCATCGTCCAGGTGGACGGCGAGCAGGCCCGCAAGATGTCGCTCGCGAACGCCGACATCAAAGAGCTCACTCGCGACGCCGCGAAGGCCACCGAAGCCGAGCAGAAGATGGGCCTGATGGAGGGCTTGCGACTGTACCCCAAGGCCGTCGGGTGGTCAGTCCTCTTGTCCGGCGCCATCATCATGGAAGGGTTCGACATCGTGCTCATCGCCAACCTGCTCGCGGTCCCCGCGTTCAAGAGGCACTTTGGCGAACAGCTTCCCAACGGCACGTACGAGATCACGGCTGCTTGGCAGTCGGGTCTTACCAACGGTGCGTACGTTGGTGAGTTCCTCGGTTTGATGATCAATGGTATCATTGCGGAACGCTATGGCTACAAGAAGACTATGATTGGCGCCCTGACCGCGGTAACGGGTCTTATCTTTATTGTTTTCTTCGTCCAGAGCATCCAAATGCTCCTGGCTGGTCTCATTCTTCTCGGTGTACCGTGGGGTGTCTTCCAGACGCTCACCACTACCTATGCCGCTGAAGTCACCCCCGTCCCGCTCCGCCCGTACCTTACCACCTATGTCAACCTCTGCTGGGTCATTGGCCAGTTCCTCGCATCAGGTGTCTTGAAAGGTGTCGCAGAGCGCCCAGACGAGTGGGCCTACCGAATTCCCTATGCTTTACAATGGATCTGGCGTAAGTTGACCCATACATCTTCACTTTTGAGCAATGAAACTAACAAATCACGCAGCCGTTCCTTTGATCATTGGCATTGCCTTTGCTCCCGAATCTCCCTGGTGGCTCGTTCGCAAGGAGCGATACGAGGACGCAAAGAAGCAACTCCTCCGCCTCACTTCCCTCGAACGCGAGTCCAACTTCAACCCCGATGAGACCATTGCCATGATGAAGCACACCAACGAAATGGAAAAGGCCGTCACCACCGGAAGCTCCTACATCGACTGCTTCAAGGGCACCGATCTCCGCCGTACTGAGATTGCTTGCTTCGTGTGGTTCACCCAGTCCTTCTGCGGTTCCTCCTTCATGGGTTTCTCCACCTACTTCTTCGAGCAGGCCGGTTTGGACACTGCCAATGCTTTCTCCATGTCTCTCGGCCAATACGCTCTCGGTGCTGTCGGTGTCTTCACTGCTTGGTTCTTGATCCCTCACTTCGGACGTCGAACACTCTACATCTCGGGTCTAGTCGTCCAATTCTGTCTCCTCCTTATCATCGGTTTCGCAGGCATCGCACCAAAGGGCAACACCGGAGCACAATGGGCCATCGGCGCTATGCTGCTCATCTTCACATTCGTCTATGACTGCACAGTCGGCCCCGTCTGCTACTCCCTGGTCGCTGAGTTGCCTTCCACCCGTCTCCGCCAGAAGACTGTCGTCCTCGCCCGTAACACCTACAACATTGCCTCCATCATCGGCAACATTTTGACCCCCAGGATGTTGAACCCTGGTGCCTGGGCGTGGGGCGCTAAGTCTGCCTTCTTCTGGGCAGGCATGTGCTTCTTGTGCTTGGTCTGGTGCTGGTTCCGTCTCCCAGAGCCCAAGGGCCGTACTTACGGAGAGTTGGATATCCTGTTCGAGCAGGGCGTCCCCGCCAGGAAGTTCTCTTCCACTGTCGTTGATGAGCTCAAGTTTTCCGATTCCGACTCGTATGACGAGAAGAAGGAGGCCAATGCCCACCTCGAGGCTGTCCCTTCTTCGACCGTTTAAAGTTCCCACTTGATGTAAATTGGGTCAAAACTTGCAAATATGACGCCGCCTATGATATATATGATATAAAGTAGATGGCGTCGGTGGTGCGCACTTTCGATTCTCTCCTCTGCTTCAAATTAGCCTAGATACTTTTTTTTGACAATGAACAATGATTCTGAAAACTTCTTCTCTCAATGAAATGCATGTGACAAAATGCAATAACGTGGCGTGAGATGCAGTGTGATTTGCCAATTGCGTAGAAGGGTTCACTCCACTTACCACGTGTGTATGGTTCCCGCGCTGACGCCCAGCAGATATTGGATATTAAGCCTTCCCCACGTTTTGAAGCTATATACTGCTTGGCTGAATCACATAAGAGCTTATTTTCCATATGCGAGTAATGTTCCAGGCCATTAAAACCAAGTTGAGGTTAGACCCTATATGACCCCGGTCGCGAGCCATGCATTTTGTTCCGACTACTAGCAAATCATTGTAATGTGTACAACGCCTCTCTCGGCAAGGCAAATTGATGCCCATTTCAATGTGTTGGGAACGTCACCATCGAAAGCCGCCTCGAAATTTGGTTCCAAGCCGCCTTATGCGTGCCTCTTGGATCTAGTTGGGTGGGTTCCATTTCCTGGAGAACCCCTTGGCTGTCAAACCCCACGGGGTCGAAGGTGATGTCCGGCATTTTAGATTGCGTGACGTGATACCAAGGGTCGATTGTTGGGGATTGCGCGTCGAAGTTTCCAGGAATGTTCGGTGAGCTCGTGGTGCTGCATATTTCGGGAAACATGGCTTGTAGCCTCTCGAGCTTCTCCATTAGTATGCCTCGCCGTGTTTGGTCGAGCGTCGGAAACAGAAGCACAAAGTCCAAAATGAAGATGAAGTCGTCGATCCTCAGGGCTGTTTCCTCGAGTGTGCCGGCGGGCACATGAATTAGCACATCGACGATCGTATCCGTTATTTCAAATAGCTTCTGTACGATGCTACTTCCGTGCACCTCTATGTCTTCGCGGGACATGCTCGTCACTTGCTGACGAAGGGATTGTGACAGGCGCACGGGAAATAGCAGCGAGAGGCATTCTTTGTTGGAGCGCGAGGAGAGCAGAGTTTGCGACATAGCCAGGCGCCAGACGAGAGTGCGAAGCCACTCCCTTGTGATCGTCAAGTCCGCCCTTTGCATCGTTGACAAAAGCGCAAGGCCTTGAGCCTCCTCCTCACCCTCCCCTTCGATTTCGCGAGATTTTTCTTCAATCCATGTACTAGTGACATTCCCGTGGCTCCCGCTCCTGCAGAAGGGTCAGTAAGCGCTTGCGCTAAAGGAGTCAACGCAAACAAATTGTGTCATGTCCCTCCCCGCATTGCAGCGTAGTAAGAAAAAGAAGTCATACCAATTACGCAGAAAGTCAGGATCCAGAAGGCGGAACAACTTGATAATCTGATTAAAGCCTTCATGGATGGTGATTGGAATAGTAGGGTCCTCCTCTGGTAGATTATCGAGCGGAGGCAATACGGCCTGTCTGTAGTCCAAAATAGCAACGAATCGTTCGTGAATGAAACCCTGCCAATACAATCTCTGCCGTCTTGCCCTCTCCGGTGGCGAAAGGCCCGCCATAATCTCTGGATTGTCGATCCGCAGGAGCTGAATGTGAGTTATGGAGTCGCGAATGTAATAGAAAGCAGCGTCGGTGGCTTGCATGGTCATCAGGCAATTGTGCAAAAACATTGATTGCATCGCCCTCAGAACCGAAGACCGGAAGTTCCCAAGGATCGGTCCGAGGGTCTCGATGGAGTAGTTCATGAGAGCCTCGATGGTTTGATTCACCTCTTCAGTTCGCTTGTTGCCCTGGCGTGTGAGATTCAACGTGCAACCACCGAATGCGTAAATGAACGATAGTGCTTCCTGGTCGGTGTCCATGATGTGAATGTAATTTCGGAGTTCATTCTCAGTGATGACCGGCTGCACGGGATAGACAGCCTCCATGTAGTCAGGAATCAGGTCCAGGAAGAAAGCCGGGCTGAACTTTGGACGATGAGAGAAGACATTTTGTACTAGGACTTTGGGTCAGCGCAGACATCTCAATATGCAGAGGTATTCAGGGGGAAACCGCATATTGAAAGATCGACTGCGAGGTATACCGACCTTCATTGAATCCGCCTGGTGATTCCAATGGAGAATACGACGGTTGAATGTTTGCTTGAGCTGGGCTCGCAGCAAGAACTGGAGGCGAGGTGATGTGAGAATTGGACGTCTTGTTTTTGTATTCTGTGATAACACGGCCGCGCTTTCCTTGTGATCGCTTGGTGCTGGTTACAGAGTAGATGCATCGTAAACCTAGATGACTACACTGTTGACATCTTTCCTGGCCGTTGCACTTGACTTTGCGGAGCTTGCAGGCGTCACAGGCCTTGGAGACTCTTTTCGTAGCAGGCGCCTCCATGATGAAGAGAAAAAAATACGAAGATCGGTGAGGTGAGCTGGATTATTGATTGTAAAAGGGAAAGGGAAGAGCAGCCCGAGGTCTCGATTTGAGGTGAGGCACGCAGCTATAGCGAACCTGGCATAGCGCCCGGAAGCGGCAGAGGCGGTAGGTATTACCATAGGAAATGACTGCTGGACTGTATACGCCTCCTCCTCCATTGCCTTCTTTGCTTTAAACGAGTAATTGACCTACAAGGTGCCTGCAAACACTCGGCGGTTCTCATCTGCATGGCTCATAACAATCCTCTTTGGGTGGCCTGAGCAATCGGAGCAGGCGTAATTGGCTATGGATCGACACCTTGGATGTTCACCTCGTATCGTATGCAAGTTCGTTAAAAGATGTTCTCCAGAAGTGTGCTAGTACTTTCTCGAGTCTCGAGCGAGTAGCTCGCTAATGTCATTGTTCATTATGCAAAGGCGTCCTACAGTTCTAAATTGCTTTTTCCAATACCTTAAAGAAGCATCTCCAGATCTCCATAGAAACGTCCAACATTTTATTTATTTCAAGCTGTAGTGTTTTTCCTTCTTGCGATTCGTCTAACCTGTTCGAGAATTCTCAAGCTTCGTAACCATGATGTCCTCGGCGCCGACAGCAGTCAGCTCATCCATAGCCACTGCGACCCTCTTCCTCTCGATCATGACTGACACCGCGACCCAGTTCTCCTCCTCTAGGGTCGTGACGGTCGGTGCGCGTTTGCCTGGCGCGATCTTCTTGGCCTCTTCTAGCTTACTTCGGTTGATGTTGTATGTGCAAAGGACGAATTTCTGGGCAGCTACAGATCCAATTAGCATTGTGGCCGTCCCGAGACATGCGGGGAGATCGTATTCGACTTACTGATGACACCCTTGATACGTGCTGTGATCAAGTCGACGAGCTTGGGGTCTGATGCGTGTTTTGACTTGATCAAGATGGCCGAAGTGTTGACGACGGTCGAGATGGCCTTCAAGCCTGCTGCGCGCATTGTCTCGCCGGACTCGACGAGATCTACGATACCGTCCGCGACACCGAGAGCGCAAGCTGCCTCGACACTTCCTCCGACGTACTTGATGTTCGTCTTCAACTTCGCGTCTCCGCTAACCTCTGTTCCGGCCTGTTGCGCCTCCAATTTGCGGAAGTATTCCTCAGTAAGGGCGGTGAAGCTTGTGCAGACATTCTTTCCGATCAGATCCTCCGGCTTAGACAATGCGCCGTTCTGCGGCACCTGAACCTGGAGAGCGCATTTTCCAAAATCAAGGTCGAGCACCTCGACGACACCTGATGTTGCTGTCGGTGGCACTACGGCCTCGTGCTCGCCGACTTGGTCGCGCCCTGTGATTCCGAGGTCTACACGGCCCTCTCCAACGAAGGTAGGGATATCTGCGGCGGGGAGGAAGATGAGAGCGAGGGGTAGGTTCTTGACGAGCGCGATGTCAAGCCGCGAGTGGCGGTGGAACTGGATATCTGAGCCGTGAAGGAGGTCAAGGCATGCCTGGTGGAGGCGGCCCTCTGGAGAACGAGTGTCAGTGTTGCTCGAGCAAGCAGGGGTGGATGCGCATACTCTTAGGGACCGCGAAGAGCAATCGATCATTCAAGCTGTTTCCCAGTACATCAGTCATGAACGGCAGAGTTCTACTCCCACTTCGCGGTTTGTTGATCACACCATTGGTGCCGTTGACTCCATTTGTACCGTTGGTGTACTCCATGTTGTGCGGCGCAAGAGAGGGGGGTATGGAGGAGTGAGATGACGAGGGACGATTACATACGAGTTGACCAAATCCATCCTTCTTAAACAAGCACGTAATCTGGGGGTGCAGAGTACAAAGATCGGGCCAGGACCGTCAAGGTGCGTGTCGAAATTGACAGGCGCAGAACGAGTGCCCACGTACGATGGTCTGATTGGGTTTGGCTCCGATCGGAGGTGGGTCAAGATTACACCGGAGGATAAGTAAGTAGGTTATTACTATGAAAGATGACTTGGTGTAGGCGAATTGGTATGCAGAAATTAAGTTGTTTTGGGGGTTGAATGGTATTTGGTTCAAAGAAATTTAAACTATTGCGGATTCCGAAGCGACCGGACTGTGACTCAATAGAGAGAAGAGGGGCCGGGGGATGAGGTTTGTTCCGACACACAAACTATGGCCACCAGTAAGCGGCGTGGGAATTGACAGATGTAAGGGCACGATGTTTGAAATGTGTAATGATCCCTACAAAGAGAAAGAGAAGAAAAAAACAGGATCAAATATAGAACGGACAGTCATTAGTATTTTTGGTTGCTACATGGGATAGATGATGTATGGCATTTGGCGTGGGATGAATATGATGGATTGATGGGCGAAAATTATCTCCGATGTGCGGGAGGTTCTTTACATGCCCCGCCCTAACGCCCAATCCGGTATCGCGTCCGTTGTCCAGTCCATCCACTCATGAGCAGCAGCATCCCACGCGTATCAACTGTTTCGTTCTCATCCATGCCATACTATTATAACGGCATCATCGTTTCCAGAAAAACACATAATTAGCTTGAGCCATTATTGAGAGAGTGGCCCGCAGCTGTGCTTTCCCATTTTCGAGTCTAAATGTTACTTCACAGGAACCGCATTCGTAGCATGAAGCATTGGTCAGATCAGGTATTTTGCCTTCGAAGGCCTTGAGTAGAAGAAAGGTGTAGTCTAATCACAGTTCCGCACTCATGTGCAAACGGCAAGGAGCATTTGGTAGAAGAGGTTCCACTGTTGGGAACCTTCTTATCACCACCGCAATATGGTCGTTTCCATCGTCTCCATGCCATGTCCATGCCATTTCCATGCCATTTCCATTGTCTAATTCAGTGCTTCATTCATGTCGTCATAATACATCGCATGCAACCCTGATGGTATAGTGCTCCTTCAAACGCCGGGGGTCCATCGTGCAAATGTGTTTGGCAGAAAGGAAAAGGGGAAGGTGTGTGTATCATTACCTCATGTAGTCATTCAAAGTCGAGCGAGCTTGTTGAGCGTGTTGAGGAGTCCTAAGCCACTGGGTTAGGGTATCTGTGGATTTGGGCATCTTCACAATGCAACAATTCAACTTACCAGTTGTTCCTTGTGGCAAGGTTGACATGGCCACCGTGTTCCTGTTGCCCACGCTCACAGTCGTGGTCTCGGGGACGACCCCTTTCTCGTTCAGGTTCTCAGCCCATCGGAAGACGACTTCGTCGTCTCGGTCATTTCCAGCCACCATCAGGAAGTTAGGCCTGTTGGCCGTTCCAAGTTCATGGAAGATGTGAGTAGCCGCCGTCGCTTTGTTCAAGTCCATGGGCTCAATGATGACCGAGTCTTTCGTGGGCACAGCTCGAACACGAAGTGACTCACATGCATCGTTGATGTGAGTTGCGCAGTCGCCTGCCTGGCGATTCGCAGAATCGGTTTCGGGCGTGTTCTCATAGTGGAAAATGAGCGAGCAGTTGCGCTCTTCCACCCAACTACCCTCAACACGCTCGCGATAGTACTGGAGGATCGACTTGACCGAATCCTTCCACTTGTTTGCCTTCTCCTCATCCGCGAAGGCAATCCATTCGTCCGAGTTTAGCGGGCGCACATAGCACCCATTCTCGGCAATCAGGCCAACGCCAGGTACCCGGGCGAAGACCATCTGCAGCTCCTTCATGGTGCGACCGCTCATGACGTACACCATGTTCTTATTATCTTGGAGGAGATCATTGAGAGTTTCCGTAGCGCGTTCGAGATTGGTTATGATGGTGTTGTTGACGGAGCCGAAAGGAGCCAAGGTACCCTCATAATCCAGGAGGAAAAGGCGCTTGTCACACTTCTGGTATGCTTGACCGAGTTTGACATTGCTCAAGCGGGGAATCGACATTGTGTCGCGGCGAAAATGCTCATCATGGACTTTCGTCAGATGATTGGCAAGCTGGGTGAACCAGAAATCTCCTGTGTGATTCAACACCTTGTTACGAATTCTTTCGAATCGAGTGGCCTTCTCTTCATCGCTCATATCTAGCGCGACCTTGATGGTCTCGGCACACCCTTTGTAGTCCCAGGGGTTGACAGAAAGTTCAGCTCCTTCGAAGAAGGCAGCGCTGCCGGTGAATTCACTCAAGATTACTGGGCCATGCTTCTTGCCAGAATGTTTTCCATCTTGGCAAATGGCAAACTCATGGACTCCAAGATTCATGCCGTCGCGGAGGCTGGTGACCATCAGAATGTCTGCCATCGAAAGCAGCGCCAGGTATTGGGTGAAGGCGATATCCTGTCTCAAGTAGACCAGAGGATTGTGCGACAGGCTGCTGTGTACAGCATCGATTCGAGTCACAATCTCAGAGACCGTAGCAGCCAAGTCGTCATTCTCGGTAGTTGGCGTTGCAACTTGAATCAGAACGACCTATCTTCTGTCAGCGTCGGCTCGCACTAATGAAATGAGCGCAGTTGCATTACCTTGTCACGCCAATCCGGATACTTGTTTAGGAACAACTCGAATGCTAGTAGCTTTTGGCGCACACCCCGAATGCCATCCAGCTTATCTCGTGCTACAATCAGCTTCTTGCCAGGGTAACGGTTGCGCAATGCTTCGATCCACTCCAGCACTGGCTGCTCATCACGCTCGAGGGATAGGCGAACGGGATCGATGCCTATCGCGATCGACCAAACATTAACGAAGTTATTTTCCAGCTGAACTCCATCCTCGGTTGCTTCTACTGACAAGATCCGGCTGCAAGTCTGTAGGAAGTGGTGCGCATACTCATGGGTTTGGAAGGCGACAAGGTTGGCTCCAAGCATACCCTCAAGCAAGTTCTTGCGAGCGGCGAGGCAACGGAACACTTCGGACGAGGGAAAGGCAGCATGAAGGAAGAAGCCAATTTGGGCATCGGGCAGCTTCTTGCGAACCATCGCGGGTACCAGACAGAGATGATAATCATGGATCCAGATGGTGTCGCCGCGCTTGTAGTTGGCAACAACCTTGTCGGCAAAAGCCTGATTCAGATTGACGTAGAACTGATACGAGTGATCCTCGTAAGCCTTGCTCTTGGGGTGATCGGGGATCTGATAATGGAACACTGGCCAGAGAATGGTCTTGCAGTAGTGAGAGTAGTGGCCGTCGAGGTCAGTGTCACTGACAAAGACCGTCAGGCACTCGTGCTCTGCCTCAAGCTTGGACTCAATCTCTTCTTTCTTCTTGTCACCGAGTACGTCGGTGGGGAAGCCAACAAGACCAACGTTCAGCACCTCGTTCACAGAGCCAGCATCACGGGAGGCTCGGACGGCGTTGGTCAATCCGCCGTTGCCTTGCACGGCTGGAACCACAGACCAGTCCGCTACCCAACGGGGATCTCTGCTGTGGTCTCGAGAGCTGTGTCTTTGGGGCAGGGACAACCTCTCCTTACGAACGTTGTCCGTACGCTCCTTGGAATTGGCATACTCTAGAATGGTGTCCGGGGGCGGTGGACGCGCCTTGGAGCTGGGCTGGTTGAAGTACGGCCCATTGTTGCCCCATTCAGGCACGTGGGAGTCGCTGCGTACCAACGTGCGCGGATCAGTGGGTTTGGCAAAATGAGTCGCAGCACTGGGATTGACGGCAAAGAAGTCAACATGCTCTACAGCCGGAGTCTTTGGGGGAGTTGGAGCGGTCGTCTGCTGGAACAAACTAGCTTGCCTGGTAGGCCCTGGTGGACGAACACTCTTAGTGTCCGAGGCTTGTTGCTCGAGTTCCTCTACGACAGCCGCTGGTTCTGGATTTGCGCGGCGCTCATACTCTGACAACTCATTGAAGTCCACCGTGACCGGCAAAAACCTGTGATTTTGTTGATCAGTATTTTGTCGTCACGGGTCCGCCGTCTGGCCTAGGAAAACCTCTTCTTCAACTTACATAGATACTACAAATGTAGTCATATTGGGCGTACGATTGGCGCATGCGCAGTTGGTGGGGAGAGGATTGTCGCGATGGAAGAGTGGTAAGAGGACAGAGGTATAGATAATAGCGACAAGTGATCAGAGGCGCGCCGAGTGAGAGCGAGACGAGTGTGAAGGTGAAGGTGAACGCGAACGTGAAATAAAGGTCTGTGCAGGCGAAGGATGCGAATATGATGAACAGTGGGGAAAGCTCAGAGGTAAAGGCGGAACGAAGTTAAGGAGGAGGAAGAGAGGTAGGTGATAGTGATGGTGGTGGAGGTGGTGGACAGGGGATGAAGAGGGACGGTGATGGGAAAAGAATGGAAAGAGCTAGAAGAAGCCTTGGAAGCGATTGCAACTTTACTTTGATGTAGAAATGAAGTAATTAGGTACTTGATGCATGCACGAAGTGAGAGGGAGTGTGTGTGTGTGAGAGTGAGTAAATAAGTTGAGTCTGTATGTTGAAGGATTGATTGAGTATGGTGGTTGTTTTTTTTCCTTGGTTTTGGGGCGGAATAGCCTCTACCACCCAGCGAGTAGGCAGGTACCCATGGGCAGGTAAGCGGGTCCTAAGCAACAACCAACCCAGCAACAAGGACATGGCAAGGGTTTATTACTTTTTGGTGCGTGGTGGCTAGTGACTGGTGATAGTCCTGTTTTTATTCTGCCTCTATTACCTTTATCCTCCTAATGGGCCATTCCAATACCCTGTGTCTTGTAGCAATGAAAAGGAAAAAAAAATTGACCAAATAGTTGGAGTATCCGCGCCCCAACTATGACGTCGTGTTTCCCCCAGGAGGTGGGGACGCACGAACCTTCAAGAACACTCCCGTAGATGATATGGATTGTACCCAATTATTAGCCATCTGGCAGAAGCACAAGCATATTCAAAATTATAAGCAGAAGCATCCATCTACAAGCTGTCGCAGAAGCCACGTCTGGTGTCTCATCCGCGCCACCAGGAACCACATGCTGAAGGGTGTCAAGAAAACAGGCTGATGAAAGAACCGCTTATCGCACGTCCGCATGTTTCAATTCCGATTCGTCTATTCTCACATCATTCTGACTTCACAGCACAAGCAGCAGCAGCTCACGGAAAAGTCCCAGCTGCAGCCAGATCAATCGTCGATGTCGTGCTCAGCTTCTATATCCCATACAAGGCCATTGCTTGTCCGGGCCAATCAAGCACGGAAATACTTACCTAGGTAGTGATGTCAAAAAGACATTGTAACGATAGCGTGGAACGTGGAACGTGGAACGTGGGCGCTACCTACCTGGCACCCTGGGTACCTCTTAGGCACGAGTGTTCCGAAACCAACCAGCTGGTTACGACCGAGTGACATGATGATTTATTGCAACGTCTGTCCTCTGGTAACTAATCCTTGGTTGCCAACCCATTAAAGCCTTGTCCGGTTCCTTGCCGAGCGGTCCATTAATTATTCCATTGAGGATTGGCTTTCGTCGATCTCCATGTCTTTTGGCGATGCTGAATGACACAACAATCGCATCGCGTACAACATGGGGAAAACTGAGAATGCCATGTTTCCCCCTTCCCCCTCCATCACCACCTTAGTTACCTTGAGGCATGCATCCCCCTCCTATCCGCGCCCTAACATATATTACAGTTTTTGGGTTCTAGAACCCTTCCTTCTATCCATCCATTCGTGGTCACAATGATTTCGAGATAACAATCATCTCTTATCGAGTGCCCAGCCCAACAATTCGAGTCACGACCTTTGTTGGGGGCTCTCAAGTGAAATAACGTATACATTAGGTAGGTGTCATCCCACCAACCAAGAACCAAAAAAACAACATAATATCACTATCCTCGGAACCCTAATATTGATACAATGATTCTGGGAGTTCTCTTCTTGTGTGTATTGTATTACTGACATCAAACTGACATGCTAACGCAATAGAATCAAGAATGTGGCTTCACTAGCACCCACAGACTTGAGTATCCATAAGTATCCACCCTCGGGATCCCCTCTACGAAGTATGCAACAAGAACAACATGAGCCGAAAAGCTACCATACATTGGATGTACTACTTAAATCCCGGACCAAGTCTGATTGGCAATAGCCGCATTCGCTGCAGCTACTGCGCTCGCAACATCTCCCTTGGGACTATTCACCCCAATCTCGAAAGAATCATATCCGCAGCTCGAGGGGGCGCCTGGCTGTGAGCCGTCAAGTCCCGGTACCACCTGCCAATAAAGCTACACGAAAGGTCAGCAGTGTTCCCACCATCTTGGTAATCGCATCTAGTAACTTACCCATGGAACACCAGCGTCGTTGAACACCTGCACCTGCGTATCGAAATCTTCCTCAAAGTCCACCGAAACTCCCCACTCCTCTACCATTACGAGCTTCCCTGCGGCATTTCCGTCGCGAAGCGTTGACTTGTCTCCGGTGATGAAGTAAGCCCAGTCGCTGGCCTTGCTCATGTAGCCGTGGACGCTCATGATGTCCAAGGCATCGCACTGCAGGGCTTTCTCCAGCAGGTTGAATTCATGGTCACAGCAATATTGTGAACCACCCACCCCGCCGGTCGACACTTTGATGGGAGAGTATCCCAGTAGTTCGCGGATTTTTCCCGCCCGTCCACACAGCCAGTCATCGGGGTCGTTTGCCTGAAGCTTGGCGATTTGTCCGATGAGTGGTTCGTTTTGGAGGTTGAATGAATAGATCACCTCTGAGAGTTGTTTCCATGGCTTGTTGAAGTTTGGAGATTGATAATTTAAAATTGCCTCGAGGCGGTTGTCGTAGTCTGCCTTCGCCTCTGTGGACGAATAGAAAGTCGTACCGTCCGTGTACTTATTGCAGTACGCGTCGCAAAGATATGCCTCGGTCAGCGAGTTTGCATTATGAGGTGAGATGATAGCCTTGATGCCGTTCTCGTGCAACAGCTTCAGCGTGTCATCCAGCTTGTTGAGGACCGTTGTGTCGTAAGTCCCGACAATGGCTTCCAGTGGCGGAACAGCGTCCACAATAGTGCTCCCTTTGAGACAACCAGTGTCAACGTTCGTTACTAATGGCTCATTAGATGATGAATTCATAGACGATGCCTTTCTTCGCAACGCCTCACTCCTATTAGGGGATGCTCACCCCAAAGTCTGACCAACTTGACTCCCCACCCAGCAAGGGTCTGAACATACGTTTCTTGTTCAACCTTGGGCAGTGCGTGGAGGAAGTACAGATTGGTGCCCGCAAAAGAGTTGTCTGCCCGTTTTGTCAGGGAGCTTTGGGCATATGCCACGAAAAGAGCCAATACAAGGCCGAAGATAAGAGCTGGACCCCGCATAGTGTGATCAGCCTGCCTCAATGGCTAATAGATGCAGTAATGAATATGTATACTGCAAGGCCAGGTACGGAGTACATTGTTCAGCTCGGTCTCGTCGCTTTATACTATCTCGACGACGATCTCAAGTTTACTTCGCCTCTCCGAGAATAAATCCTTTGCATCATGGAAATAAGCGAGGCTGAGACCTGGCGTTCCGTCAATGCATATATGGCGTTCTTTAACCAGCCGAGAGAGTTGATCTCATCGAAGACAGCAAGGAATTCAACTACATAACTTGACCCTTTGGCGGTCTTTCCGAAGCCATTCTCCACGGACCCCACTCGCAAGCCCAACTCAATGTCCTCAACTTCGCAGTCGGCCTTGTTATTCCGGTAGGGAGCCTGAGAGTGAATGCATGTGCCGGATCTGGGCTAGCTTCGCATCGTTGGCCCTCCACTAGGAAGTCGCCATGGATGATCAGAGCGAACATCACAACCCTATTCTAACATCTCCTCCCGGCTCTCAGCGCCATCAGCCTGGTTCAAGTTACACAACTCCCAACTACAAGCGAATCACAGCAGTATGACCATGCAGTGTGCTTGTTGGCACAGGTCAAGTGTGCATATTTGCACATATTGTTGATCCTCAAATTACCACCACACGCAAGGCTGAAGAAACAATTTCTGAACAGCTCTACAGTGGACGCCCACCCCGAAGCAAAGACGTTTACTGCGTCAGCAGCAAGCGAGCTGTCAGTTGTTATCACTTAAGCCACTATGTTTCCACGCCCCGTCGTCTTTCTCCCATTAAGCCCTTTCTCCTTAGTGCCTCCTTAGCACCTTTCTGACAGCCGTCATGTCTTCCCTCTTGCTATACGCCCTGCTTTTCATAGTCAACTCTTACATCGCAACTGCTGCAGAGACCCTGAAGATCTTCATCGATGAAGTACCCGACTATGCTCTCCTGTCGACATGTGCGGAGGCCCAGCTCTCGACCATCGTTCGAGACATGGCCTATGGTTGCGGTGACGACTCCCTAACGACATCGTACATATGCTTCTGCTACCTGAGCTCCGCAAGCGTGACGAGCCAGATCAGAAAGCATGTCGAGAGCGCATGCTCCGAGCAGCCCGCACAGAACGCTTCCATGGCTCTCTCGGTGTTCGACAGCTACTGTCATATAGGCCATCTGGAGCAACCTTCCTCAAGTACGAATCTGGCAGGCCAACTATGATGTAGATAGATTCAGTAGCTAAGAGTTCGTTGTAGCAGTCACGTCAGTAACCGCCCCGCCCACCTCATCAGCAACAGCATCACCAGGCTCGACTCCCCTCGGCACTCCCCCACCAACAAATACTCCAGCATCTCCTTCGTCATCAGACGACAACACCAACGTCGCCGCCATCGCAGCAGGTGTCACCGTCCCCGTGGTCGTCCTCTCCGTAGCTCTAGCAGGCTTCCTCATCTACCACCGCAAGCAGAAAGCAAAGAAAGCCGCGGCCGCCGAACTAGAGGCGAGGAACACCTCAGAGAACTTGTTCGAGGTCGAAAGCAAGACATTTCATGAGATGAATCCCGATCCACAGAGTCCGGTCGTGGCGTCTCCGGTCGAGATGGGTCCTGGAGTGAATGAGAGGGGTGGGCTTTGAAGAGGTTCTCCCGGTAAGCATGGGACGTTTTCAGAGCATCCACCGCTCATGAAGCAATCCGAGAGATCGGTTCGTCAACAGTGTGTGATCCGTGATACTGGGGATAAATGTAGAAATTACAGTCGATGGTTTTCTAATGTCAGGTTGTGGTTCAGCCCCCCTTCTCTCATAATCATCTCTCTCTCCCCCTCTAACACAAACAACAAAAAAGATCGAACGTTTTGTCACGATTAGCGGTGAAATATGACTATTTTCTAATTATCCGGTTTCTATCATCCATATTCTGTAGTGCATACTCATCTATCTAGATAGCTAGTTTTTAGACTTTAATATTCAAAAGTGTTTATTCTTGGACTATCGATCTGCGCTGCCTTTCCTTTCGACTCCCCAGCTGGACACTGATATCGTCTCAAGGATAGTCGATCCGCCCAAAGTAAAGGGATTAATATGGCGAAGTAAGGTCTCGAACGAAAACAATGTTACTATTACTTGTGCCTCCCTGTTCTTTTGGTCGCGCATCTATAGGTACGAATCGAATCGACGACCCCAATCGATCTATCCCACTCCACTATGATGCTGTTCATGCATATCCCGAACCTAGCTTTTCATTGTCCCCCTCAGACTGAAGGACCTGTGTGTGAAGACTAGACACGTGCTCGATGGTGACTATTTTGTGTACCGTAGGATAAGCAGTGTCTGCCTTTCTGCCTTGTGGCGAGGGAATAAAGGGAGGAAGAGGATGGAAGTGAAACCACGTCTGGGTTTCAGGCGGTTATTTAGATCGTTGATGCGATTTATCTAGACAACAAGAGGGACATGGATGCTTTCTTGTCGGTGTGTTCACTTTGTCGCTCGCCTCCTTACGGTTCTTCGAACGCAGTCCGTGGATTACACAGACGGGTTTACCAGCTCAACGATCATGAAAACAAGGTCAAATCAGCGACCACGACATCCATCTCATCCAACTAAATCAAAGCAGTAATAACAGACGCAGGAAATTTTTCTAATCGACACATGCATGTATTACTATGACATCCAGCTCCCTTTTAAATAATTTCAATCTGCAGTTCAAACCGGCTCTGAAAATAACTGTCGTCGTTGTTCTGTGGTGCTGATGCAATGCGATGTATTTGTTTACATAGATGTATTTCTATTGTATTTGATGCTAATGAGATTATTGTATAGCAATCGATATATGTGTTTATTTCTGTGTTTTCTTGTATCTAGATTTATTATCCTTTTTTTGTACGATTTCGTAAAATGTTTCTGTAAATCAGAAATGTATTTTATAGACTATAGACATAGAATCTACAAACAAGATTAAAGGTAGACTATAGTTTTTCGAGGATTTTAGTGGTACTACTGTGGACGAATGGCAGTTATTATAGATGAATGCGTCGATAAAATATGTGATTGTTGAGGGTTGGGTGGTTGTCGAGATGGGAGGTTTTTGTAAGGCACGGGGTGTCTTGTGGAAATATGCGAAGAACTGTAAGAGTCTGGTTAAGTGTGTTTGTTCGTTGAGCATATTTGTGTTGTCTGATTGTTGAGCATGTCTGTGTATAATCGTTGAGCGTGTATGTTCGGTGAGCGTGTATGTTCGTTGAGCGTGTATGTTCGTTGAGCGCGTCTGTTCGTTGAGCGCGTCTGTTCGTTGAGCGCGTCTGTTCGTTGAGCGTGTGTGTTTGTTCGATCATTCACGTTTCATATCAGAGGCCAGGGTTGTACAATAGAGGTATGTAGCGTACGATTCTATCCATACTCGTCAAGTTCATTTTTCTTCTTGACTTCTTTTAGACTGGTGCGAAAACAAGGTGTTTGATCCCACCACCAGAGTCTTGCGGACACAGAGGAGAAGCGTTTGTAGCCCAGTTGAAGGCCAAGCATGTGACAAAATCTCGGAACGAGACAACATGGTAGAGGGAGTGCTTAGAACGTACATTGTTTCAACTGCTGATTAATATTGAAATTTGACAAACAACAAGCTACGGTTTTGTGATGTGTAGGAGTCCTTGATGATATACACGATGTTCACAGCCTGTACCACGTAGTAGTAACAACACGAGTAGAGATATGATCGACTGATATAGTTTGTAACAACAAAGAATTGGCACATGACAGTTTGACCACGTAGACTATCACCACACCGATATGTCCAGTATGAACTTCCGCCGTCTAGCACTGGTACTAGATGTGACCGTAATACGGTCAAATCAGGAACAGGTGTAGGAGTATATTTGCTTGTCTACCAAAGTTTGTTGGAGGGTTGTATATGTTAATAGTTTGTCTCCTGGAACACTGGTTCTACTTGAAGGAAACGTTTTGATCTTCAGTGCTTAAGAGATCGTCGCGAGTTGACTTCAAGTGTTGGTGTTAGTAGCTGATATAGAGACTACAGTGCTCTATCTCTCCCTCCTAGTGAGTGTATGTTAATAGATACCTAAGTACGTACACCTTGTTTGTGTGAGATTATCTGTACTGGATCGCCTTCAGAGGAGACAGAAGAGGAAGAGCCCCATCCATTGGTAACATAGTGTAGAGGGACGTTGTTTTAAGCCTTTCATAGCATGTTGCTATTATTGGTCACTTTTTGGTAGCACACAGCTCTGAAAGCAGTGTTTTTAATATATTCGAATCTCTCTATCTCGTCCCTAAGAAAGCTGGGCCTGTTGGATACTCTCCCAGTCAGCGAATCACCATTAGGTATTACAGAGTGGAGATGGTATGATCATGCTGTTACATGTTGGAAGAACCGCCACGTCAAGAATGGAAACCAGTTGATAATCACGCAGTTGCAGTGGGTCATATTGAGGCACAGTTCCCACTAGCGGAGATCGATTGCCTAGAATGAACTGCATTGCATCGTGGTACGAGTCCACACATTCTTAGGCAGCCTGGCGGCACAGTATCGCAATGGCTGACGGTTGGGGCCGTCGCGGGCCGCCATTGCGACGCCCAACTGCCCTAACCAGTCTAGCTTTCCCGTCCTTCTCACTCCCCCGTTTCCCCCGTGTCCCCCGTACCTGAGGCTGGTCTGGCTGGTCCCTCACCCGAAACGCGTAGCACAAAACTTTCTGCGAACCGATCTGCTAGCAAGACGCCATTTCAAACTTTGTAGAACGCTCTGCACTCCAACCGCAAAACCCTACTCAGACGTCACTCGTTGTCCCTGAGAGACACAGATTCGAACACGCATCTAATTCGATCCGAAAAAATAACCTGAAGTCATCAATTGGACCTCTCATTATGGCGTCGCTACCCCATATCCCATTGCTCTATCGCATCATGTTTCTCTACTTCGAACCCTTTTCCGCCTTCAACGGTGCGCTCCTCTGCCATTTCCGCCCTGCCAACTTCCTCACCACAATGTCCGCTACTGCGACCTACTCGCCCTCGGTCCAGGTCATCTTCGACCAGGTCGCGGCGTGCTACATCTTGTTCGCGTTTAACGAGGCGGTGGTGCTGCGGATAACCAAGGAATTGCGGGTGTGGAAGACTATGATACTGGGCATGGTACTGTGCGACATGCTTCACATCTACGGCAGTTGGCAAGCACTTGGTACCGAGGTATCCCTTCGCCCGTGGCTATGGAGGAGCGAAGACGCGCTCAATATGACCATACTGTACGGGTTCCTGCTGCTGAGACTCGCATTCCTCGCAGGCATTGGCCTCGGTAAAGGGGTATCAGAGAAGAAGCAGGCATGAGAAGGGTGTCGTCGAAGTTACGTGCATGAGGGACGATGAAGGACGAGAAGAAGCATTTGGCGGAAATATGTATCGACTGGCAGATGCAGACAATGCCATTACGTGCAGATAGGATTCTGAGGGATTGTGCTGTGCGACCCTCTCGATCGGATACCGTTCGAATGATGCCCCAGCGGCGCAGCCCACATCGGTTGTGGAACGGAAACCGTAGATTTATTAACAGGGTCCCAATCCGTATAATTCCTATGTCCATCTCGGATTTCGCATGCCTGCTGCCAACCCACGCTATCTCCCATCACGCTATTCGATCCAAGCAAAAGGGCATGCAGCATGTCGCCATCTCAACCTGTGAGGACGCTCGCAACCAGGGAGAGAAAATTACTTACTTACTCAGCTGACTGCGACGATAAGCGCCCGTTGCAACGACACGGGCGGGATCATTTGAGTTGTTTTGGAGGGGCTGGCCGGCTAAATTTGCACCAATCAGCCGCCATAGAGTCGCTCACATGGGATGGCTAGCGCAAATCCTTCAAATATACATGCATGCACCTATATCACAGACTATGTGGATACTACAAATCACCTCTGCTGCAGCAGTGCAGTGCAGGCCGCTGTTGCCCGCCATCCTGATGTCTCAAATCACTATTGAACGACGGTCGGAAGCCCTTGTATGTTGACGTTGTTGATGCTGTTGGAGATGTATGACGATGATATACTTGCTGTTTGCTGATCTCAAGTAGATTGCATCGACCTCCTCAATTGCTACGAAACAAACACCTCATGCAGCTTTGATCTGCTGCTGCGGCTGCCACATCATGAGCGTCTCGATTATCTGAAAGCTTTCAGCTAGCGAGCCCTGCCAACACCTCGAACTGGAGGTTGTATCCCTGTGCGGGTATCTGGGCACCCGCACCCTTCCGCTGTTCGTCCAGGATAGACAAGGTCTTGGCTGACTTGAGCAGATCTTCGACGGCCCAATCCGGGAGAGTGTGTCGAGGTCTTCCTTGAATGAAACCGCTCATCGCAGTGTTGATGATGCCCAGGGCGATTGCACCCCCCAGGAACCGGGATTGATTGAGAGATTGAGAGCACCAATGGCCACGGCTGTTGTTCGCAATTAGCAAGCGCTGAGGTTGGATTTTAGAGTGGAGGAAAGGCAGACTTGCATTTGTCAGGTGACTTCTTCACTGATGATGGTGCGAGCAACGTCAACAACGAATTGCAGGTGCCAGAGCCGAAACCCACGAGAACTTGATAGCCGGACTGTGCATGAGAGATCCGTGTCGACAATGATAGAGTACCTAAGAGCACGAGACCCAAGACGCGCAAAGCAGAACCGAAGAGGAAGATGTAGACTGGCGGTACGCCCTTTTTCGCGATGATAGCTGCGACGAGCGAACCTACTGGAGCGGTAGCAGAGAAAGGGATCGTTTTAATGCCAGCTGCGATGGGCGACTATCCATGGTCGATTTGGAATTTTTGTGGTATCTGGAAAAGCCCACCGATCCATGGCATGCCTTGAGAGAATCCGGCACTGACTCAGGTTATTCCTGGAACGAAAAATGATCGCGAGGAACTTACAGGAGCAAACCCATGATGATCCGGTTTGTCGCAAAATACCAGGGAAACACAGGCTCGGTAGCATCCAGCCTCTTCGTGACATAGTACTCCCATCTAAAGAAACCTATCAGTATAAGACCGCCGACGACTAGTAGAGCTATCACCAGTGCGGAACTCCATCCATGGGATATTCCAGCCTCTTCGAATGTGGTCGTCAGCGCAATCACTCCTGCCCACAAAGCTACGACACCGATGAGGTCGACTCTAGCTACGGTCTCTTTCACCAACAGGTTCTTGAAGGAGATCTGCGCATAGCTCTGCTTTCCATGGAGTGGGAAGTTGCTGGGAAGAAAGAACAGAACAATGACGACCGCCCGCACTGCTACAGGAACACTGAAGATGAAGATCCACCTCCAGTGAGTAGAATCACTGATTGCTCCGCCGATTATAGGTCCCGTGAATAGCTGTACCATACACCCACGCGATGAAGCCCGTCATTCCTGCATACCTTGTCGGGGGAATAATTCAAAGGCCATTGCATAGAAGACTGTCATGGTACCACCTCCCCATATACCTTGGAATGCTCTACATATGATCCTACGTACTGTGGTCAGCTGGAGATCTCTACTCGGGTACCGAAGCACAAGTATCAGCATACAGCTGCTCCACAACCAGCGGAAAAGACTATGAACAATAACAGTGATAGAACGCATTGTGATTTTCGACCGAAGATGTCGCTAAGCTTTGTCCATATAATGAGAACGCCGATATATCCTAAGAGATAGGCAGAAGTGATCCATGTCGCCTTGTCGAAATGCCCAAGATCGTTTGTTATAGTAGCAACAGAGGTCGTTACGATGGGTATTCCGATACCTGTAACACAGCCTACCATGCAAACCATCTATCAGCTGGCTGTCTAAGTCGCTCCGTGCAACCAGGTGGCAGAATAGACTAACGCTGCCCCAAGGAGGTAGTATCGCGCACCGTTAAGGTATACGGGTTCATCGATGCTATGATCAGCCTCGTGCTCCAGATCTACAGGCGCCAATGACGGCTCATCGTTCTTTCGTCCCGGCTGAGGATCATTTGCCGATCTTTCTACCGCTTTCTTTGATTCCAGATCCATCTGAGGAGCCCAATGTGGCACAGCAGAGTCGAGAGATGTCGGTCGCAAAACCGGTCATCATCAACATTGTGCGAAATGTTCCACTCAAATATTATTTTCCATTCCTGTGCCACTCTTCGACAGCAAATATTTACCAAAATGAGGTGTGTTCGTTTGCCTTCTCACAGATTACTGAAGTCAGAAGCATGGGGCGAGCCACATACGATCCACGTCGTACTACAGGGGGGCGCTGCCATAACGCTACCCGTGTGGGACGCCTTGGTCACGAAGCGCTGCGCAAACAGTTGTAGACGAGCTTCCCAATGGGGGCCTCCCAAGACCGTTATATTGCGATAAAATACCGGAGGATGCTCGAATAGGATACCAACAACTCCCGTGCGTGAAGCACTTTACCGGTGGGGTGGCCGCCCAGTCGATTGGTGAGTACAGGTGCCATCTTCCAGGACTTAATTCTGCTGTCTGTTTTCCCTGCCACTCAGGCCGATGTCCGTTCCCTGTTGCTGGAGGAGATATATTCACACACATGCGCTGCTGCATCCCGCGTCATGTCCTAGCTTCGCCATTGACCGTTTGATACTGCGCGGTCTACCTCTCCATTACTTATGATCCCACCCTGATGCTTCGCCGCAATCAGTTTTGTGCCACTGATCGCGCGACTGGTCCTCTCCTCGTCCCGCGAGGTCCCTTCGCTCATTATAATGAGCCCGATCCAATATGAGTCTCTGCTGGATCAGCCCGCGCTGAGCCCGCCGCCTGGTATTGAGCCACAGTTCGACAACCCACCCAGTCTCAAACATGCGGGTTTTGGCATAACGGTGACCCTCTTGGTTCTCATCACCTTGCTTTTTAGCATGCGAACGTTTGTTAAGGTTCGAATCAATCATCACCTAGCGTTAGAAGATTGTAAGTCTTAGCGCCCTTTTACCCCGGTCGGTGGCTTCAGCTCATCCTTCCTTGAGACCTTTTGCTTGTATCGTGGGTTGCCTATAGCGGAGGCTTCACCGCGATCGCCTTTCTCATCGCCGACAAACATGTCGGCACTCACCAATGGAACCTTACTGTTCGACAATATATAGATTTTCTCAAGGTAAGTGACTTCATTTATATTCTTCCCGAATATAATAACATCGGGCCTTTTAGGCTAATGCAATCATGATCAGACCTTCCAAGTTGGATCCATTTTGTACAACATCGTCGTTCTTCCACTAAAAGTAGCCATCGCGCTGCAAATGATACGTTTCTTCGTCGCGCCTGGCATCAGAGACCTAACCTTCTGGATTTCGCACATGCTCATCTGGATTAATGTCGTATTCTACATCACCGCCACATTCATGCTCATCTTCGCCTGCAAACCTGGAAATCCAAATCCAAATGGACGCTGCCTGGACACCGGCGCTCTCCTCATATCCACTGCATCTCTCAACACCATCTCCGACGCACTCATGTTGGTGCTCCCCCAACGAGTGATTTGGGACCTTCGAATGCCTTTGAAACGCAAACTAGGACTGGCTTCCGCCTTCCTGGTCGCCTTACTGTTAGTATTCTCCACCGAACGGTTGGTCAGACTGCGAACTACCCACTAACGACCTTCGCAGTGCACTTGGCTCATCCGTTGTTCGAGTCTACTTCGCCATACAGATCAAGAACAGTCCCGACGTCAGCTACAACGTCGGTCTTCTAGGTCTCTGGTCACTACCAGAGATGGCGATCGGTTTCCTGATCGCCTGCCTTCCCTACTTCCCCAAATTCCTGCGGTACATGGGCCGCAAACCCTTCGCCGCCGCGATACTAGCAAAGTGGCGGTTGATATTCCCCTCGTCAGCAGCGACGAGCCACAAGTCCGACGAGCCAGGAGCGCCGCCCGTCGGTGCACGTGCGAACGGCCGAGCGTCGAGAGTCGTCGTCACCGACATCGAGTTCGACGAGCTCGTCGCACGCTCGACGGGATCCGAGATATTAGACAGGCCCGACCTTGTGTACCACGGTCCCGCGCGCTGGGCCCAGCGAGTGCGTCGCTACCGGCAGGAGCACCCAGACGAAGAGTGGCCACCAATAGAAGAGGCATCTGCGACAGTGGCATACAGTGCGAAGGAAGCGAGTCCACCAGCATCACTGGCATCAGCATCGGAGGGCGTCACGATTACGAATAATAGCACGCGCGGCACCCGCGATTGATGAAATTCACCATTGGGAGTTTTTGGCTTTTTGTTGGCTTGGGGGAATCGTTGATTTTGGGCCGGGGTGGGAATAAAAAGAAACGTTATTGTTTTTTGTTCTGGCATCCATCCGACCTTCTGTTCACGGGTCGAATCAAGCGCGCGTCGATTGCATGGAAGGGGGTTGGCATGGCATATATTAATGAGACCACGACTTTCCTAGCCATATTGTGGCTTTTGAGCTCTTACTATCGCGCGCCCGTCGCGCAATCATGTTCGGTAGTCCAAATCTAATACTTCTGTCATACTGATTACTTGTCTCGTCCAATGCCACGCCGGGATCATATCAGAGTTTTCCGGGTGGCACTATGGATCGGAAGGATTTGATGCTTACGGAAGTTCCGGAAGGGAAAAGGAATAGATGGCTGAAGGTTTACATGGCTGTACATGGCTCTACATGGCGTCGTCGGTTCTCGATCTTGCACATGGAAGGTCGCTTGACCAAGAACCACAGAGCAACCTCAGTCCAGCCCGTCCAGCCCTCGGTCGAACTGGCATTGGGAGTGGGGTAACAAGCCTGATATGATTCGGCTCCGTCGTAAGCGTCCAAGGTTGCGAGCCGTGGTCGATTTAATTGGGTTGAATCGTGTCATCCAACGCGGACAGGGGTGGTTGGTTTCGGGGGTAGTGTCGTAATTTATAGGCATGCCAATGCAAACGAGGGACAGACGAGGGACAAACGGGGGACGAACGCTTAGATTGCACGACCCTGTTAAGGAGTACGCAGTACACTCGTACATACCTTACTGCTTTGCTGGGTCACTCCTAATATCAACGCATTCCGGTATTTTGTCTCAAATATCCACTCGATACAGAATTTTGGATATTCAACTGTGTGATATGCCACGAGGCATTCCCTGTTCCCCCCCAGGCTAGAGAGAGCGTTTCGCTCGGGACTCCACGTTTTGTCCTACTTGACATTTCGCACCCAGAACCGCCCGCCATGGAACCTATCGCAGTGATCGGCGTCGGTCTGCGGTTTCCCCAAGATGCGGTCGACTCAGAGGCCTTCTGGGAGATGCTGATGAAGAAACAATGCTCTACTTCCGAATGGCCCAGCGACAGACTCAATGTGGATGCGTTCCACAATCCCGCACGAAGGGAGACCAGTTCGGTGAGCCGGATCGGCTTCTTGACTTGCTGCTTGCGCTGAACTTCTGCTTTCCAGATTGCCGCCCGCGGGGCGCATTTCCTCAGAGACGATCCTGCTCTTTTCGATGCGTCGTTCTTCTCCATAACGAGCGCTGAAGCAGCCGCACTAGATCCTCAGCAGTGCCTATTATTAGAAACCACTTACCAGGCCTTTGAAAATGGTACGTTTGAATTGCGCTTGTCGTGTTCTTCTTGACCTCTTTGTTTTTTGGGTAGTGGGTCGCAAAACTGATCTTGGGGAATTAGCTGGAATTACTCTCGAAGCGCTGCGAGGGTCCAAGACAGGGGTCTACGCTGGTACTATGTGCAATGACCATAAGCACGAGAGTCTCAAAGACGTCGATAATATACCCAAGTATGCTGCGACAGGGTCATCTGCGGCCGTCCTAGCGAATCGCGTAAGTTGGTTCTTCGATCTCGCAGGGCCCAGCTTGACCCTGGACACTGCTTGTTCCAGCAGTATGATCGCACTACATATTGCATGCCAAGGATTAATGCTCAATGAGACTTCAATGGTAGGTGGCCTCTCTCGTCGTACTAGGTCACGTTTTCTCGTGGTCGATGCATCATCCGTTATGTGCTTACATAGTCCATCAGGCTGTCGTTGGGGGCACAAATGTACTGCTGGCGGTAGAGGCCCCCATATCGATGACGCGAATGGGTTTCTTGTCGCCAGAGGCTCGTTCCTACAGCTTCGACAACCGAGCCAATGGCTACACGAGAGGTGAAGGTGTCGGCGTCGTGGTCTTGAAAAGATTATCGGATGCCATAGCAAATAATGATACCATTCGTGCCGTCATTAGAGCGACTGGGACTAATCAGGACGGCTATACGCCGGGCATCACTGTCCCTAGCCCAATCAGTCAGTCCAGACTAATTAGGGAAACCTACGAGAAGGCCAAATTGTCGCCAGGCTCGACAAAATATTTCGAGGCTCATGGTAAGAGCATATTTCAATTGATTGCTTGCAACAAGACTGACTTCCGATTTCTTAGGTACTGGTACCTTCGTCGGCGATCCATTAGAGGCTGCATCCATCGGTAGTGTATTCCGAACTCATCGTTCTGAGAGTGATCCTATATATGTGTAAGTTATCTTCTTGTAGTATCGAAGGAAGCAGTGACTGACATTTTCAAGTGGCACCCTGAAGCCAAACATTGGTCACTTAGAGGGCGCCAGTGGTGTCGCGGGATTGATCAAAGCAATCCTCGTCACAGAGAAAGGCATCCTCCCACCCAATGCGAATTTCGAACGTCTGAACAGCTCGATAGCTGCAGACAACTTGAACTTCCTTAAGGTTTGTCGCTGTTAGATCCTCTTGATGCAGGGAACTGATCACATTTCACTAGTTCCCTACAAGCCCGGTCTCATTCCCAGAGGAAGGAATCTTCCGGGCATCTGTCAGTTCATTCGGATTCGGTGGGTCCAATGCTCATGCCATTGTGGACGACGCCTTTGGATACTTCCGTGAACATGGAATCGTAGCGCACCATTCCAGCTCTCGCCAAAGTGGGGGCATCTTCACCAACGGCATCCATGTTCCCGTTATTCAAGAGAAGATCCTTGTCTGGAGCGCGAACAATGAGAAAGCACTCACCAAAATGAATGCATCATTCGCAAAATACTTCCAGAGCCAGGACAAAGCAAGACTTTCCGAACATCCTGAAGAGGACTTGGCCTACACTTTGGCAAGCCGACGCACACATCATGATTGGAGATCATACGCTATCATTGAATCATACGACGACTTAAAAGACCTTACTCGAATCGTATCTAAACCAGTCAAGTCAAAGAGAGGCTCGGGAATTGCGTTTGTGTTCACCGGTCAAGGAGCGCAATATAAAGGCATGGGCTTGCATCTCTTGAAATATACGGTCTTCCATGCAACATTGGTTCGATGCAATGCAGCTTTCGCCAGCCTGGGATGCAAATGGTCTTTATTTGGTTAGTCTACCCGTTGAGTATTGATGTGGGTACATGATACTGACTATTTTGCAGATGTTTTACAGGGCGACGAAACAATGGATATCGACCATCCGTCCTACAGTCAGCCTCTGTGCACAGCTCTCCAGATCGCTCTTGTTGAACTGCTAGAAAGCTTCAACATCCAGCCGACACATGTCACAGGACACTCGTCTGGCGAGATAGCTGCAGCCTATACTTGCGGTGCGATATCGTTGGAGTCAGCTTGTAGACTGGCTTATTTCCGAGGACAGTACGCTGGATCACTTGTAGATTCCACGTCCAATGGATCGATGCTTGCAGTTGCTCTTTCTCCATCAGCGGTACGCCCCTATCTGGACCAAGTCAACGATCAGACTCAAAGTTTGGCGATCGCCTGCATCAACAGCCCTCAAAACGTCACAATTGGCGGTCCTCGATCGCAAATTCTCCTACTGCAGACTGCGCTAGATGCCAAGCGGATATTCTGCAGGGAACTGAAGACTGGTGTGGCGTATCACACTTCCCAGATGGAACAAATTGCTGGCATGTATCAGGAAAAGATTGCCGACCTCAAACCCGGTACAAAGGATAGTCAACCTACATTGATGTCATCCTCGGTCACAGGAGATTGGGTCTCCGATCGTGAAGTGCTTCGGGAGTCTACCTATTGGGTCCAGAATATGGTACAATCGGTACGCTTCGCAGATGCCATGAGTACCATCTTTCAAGAGCCATCGGCAAGCGGTGGCAAGATAGAGATCGCAGAAGTGATCGAAGTCGGGCCACATGCCGCTTTGCAGCGACCGATAACCGAGAACCTATCGTCTACGCATCATGTTACTCGGTATACTCCGGTGATATCCCGATTCGATCCTACCCTGCGATCGGTATTCGAGCTCTCTGGTCGTCTGTTCAGCGCAGGATTTCCGGTTCGACTTGATCAGGTCAACAGCCTCGATCTAAGTCAAGAACACAAGTACAAGTGCCTTACCAATTTACCTGAGTACGTGTTTCATCATAAAGAGTACGCTCCAAGGCACACCCCCCCGAGAATAGCGAAACTTCGGCCGCACTTTCCTTCTCCACTTTTGGGAGCCCCTACCGACTGGTCCGCTATCGAGCGGAAGTGGAAGCGGCATCTTGACATCCAACAGTTTCCATGGCTTCCAGATCACAAGATGAATGATGTTGCGCTCTTCCCCGCATCCGGCATGCTTGCAGTGGCCGTCGAAGCGGTGTACCATACTGCGCCACAGAATAGCGAGATAGCTGGAGTTCGCATTTCAAACGCTACATTCTCCAATCCCATCATCATCGATACGACGCCCGACATTGGAGGAACACAAATCGAGACTACTTTGCGATCTTGGTCAGGGGTAATCGGAAAGGAGTCTACCTACAACGAGGTCTCGATCTGTGTGCAGCAAGGTCAAGACTGGATACAGGCGTTCCGATGCACAATTCGAGCTGAGTATGAAGAGTCTAAACTAGGCCTTGAACTCAACTCCAATGGTCATCGCAGGCGAGAGAAATGGCAAGAAACATATAACAGCACGGCCGAGGCATGCAAGCATCATGTCAAAACGTCACAAATCTATTCACATCTCTCAAAGATGGGGATGCATTACAGTTCGGCTTTCCAGGGCTTGGACGAGGTGTACTGGGATCGCAAACAATCGGCCATTGGTAGAATCAGTGCGGACAAGATGAAAGCCCTGTCGACCGACGGCGCCGAACACTATTTCATACATCCCGCCGTTCTAGATTCGCTTTTCCAGTTGGGGTGGATAATTCGATCTGACGGAGCGACCAATCCTATTGCTACCAGTGTTCCTGCCCGTATTAAAAGCATCTGGTTCTCTAAGGAGTGGCTGCAGGGAAATAATATGAAGGGACAGGAGCTACGCACTTGCAACAAGGCAGTGCCTCATGGTTTCGATGGTATTGATACTTCGGCCATCATCTTGGATGAGTCAGGAACTGTTGTAGCGGCCCTGGATCATTTGCAGACGACTATGAGTGCCCGCGATCACTTGGAGCAAGACTCTTCTACCTCGAAGCGTCTGTGCTTTGGAGTCGAAACGAGGCCGGATAGCAGCTTGTTAGAGTCAAATCAACTACTCTCTGTGTTGCAGGGCAGCAAAACGCCGCGTCTTGACTACATGGCACTCCTCGGGCACAAGAACCCGGAAATGAAGATATTCGATATAACTTCAGATCATACGCTCTTGAGCAATCTGCTCCAACATCAGGAGACAAAGTCATTCGAATATGGAGAGTATAGCTGTGTGAATTGGACCCAAAGTGCACGAGAGGCTGTCCAAAAAGCATTCCCTGATGAATGCGCTTCTGGGCGTATCGGCTTCGTAGAATTGGAACTCAGTTCCTCAGCCAAGACACAGGGGATTGCCTCGAACAGCTATGACATTGCGCTGTTGTCAGCGAGAAGTATCAAGGGTTCGCATACTGATCAGCAGTTGAGCTTCATCAGAGACATGATGAAGAGTGGGGGAAAGTTGCTCCATACTGGCCTTCGCCCCTCCTGGTTACTTGAGGCTTCCAAGGATTCCTGGTTCGGACTCTACTCCAAGTGCAAATTTTCGGACGAGTGTCTCCTCAATGACCATGAGTTAGATGACTCCGATCAAGCAAGCCTCCTTATAACAACAGCAACCGCTGATCACGAGGATGCCAAAGGAAGTGCTCCATTTATCATCGTTATCGAAGATACCGAGTTCCAGAAACTGCTTGCTCGCCGTTTGCAAACGAACATGTCCTCAAAGTGGAACATAAAGGCAACTGTCACGCTGCTCTCTCAATTGCCGACAACTAACGTTCAAGCTAACGGCCGAGTTATATTCCTTCCAGAGACGGAGCGTGCATTCCTTCATGGCATGAAAGAGGCCGATTTTGCTTCTCTTAAGCATCTCATGAATGTAGGCCAAGAGCTGGTCTGGATTTCCAAATCAAACGCTAGTCAAGATGCACAACCATACCAAAGCATGATCAATGGCTTAGCAAGAGTGCTACGATCAGAGTATACGAGCAGGGATTTCACAACTATTTCCTTTGACTCGTCGAGCACTTCCAACTCGATTGCCGAAATCACACTGAAGATTCTTGGGGCATCGTTTGCATCGGGGCAGTCAATGGAAACAGAGTATTTCATTACGGATGGAATTGTCCGCATTCCACGAGTAGTTCACAGTGAGACTCTTGATCAGACAGTCTTTTCGAAGACTACTCCACACCTTACTCAACAACGAATTGAGGATGCCGGACCGCTAAAGCTCGAGATCAAGAACCCTGGACTCTTCGACACTCTGCGTTTCGTGCCTTTGCCCGAGATCCCCGAACCACTTCTAGACGATGAGGTCGAGGTCCAAGCTCTCGCTTTCGGGCTCAACTTCAAGGATGTAGTCATCGCATTAGGAAGATTGCCCGCAAGTGCCCTGGGATGTGAATGCTCCGGTGTAGTCACCAAGGTTGGCCGTAATTCGCGATTCGTGCCTGGAGATAGAGTGATGATGGCACAAAACGGCTGCTTCAAGACGATCAACAGAATTCACCAGGATCTGGCTGTTAAAATCCCGGATATCCTCAGTTTCGAAGAAGCTGCAGCGATACCAATTGCAGGAACGACTGCTTACTATTCACTTGTCGATCGAGCTCGACTGGAGAAAGACGAAACAGTTCTCATTCATTCCGGAGCAGGAGCAACTGGACAAATGTGCATCCAGGTCGCTCTCTCGATCGGTGCAAAGATATACACGACAGTCGGATCTCTCGAGAAAAGGGACTTCCTCATGGAGCATTACTGTATTCCCAAAGAGCAAATTCTGTACAGCCGAGATACATCTTTCGCTCATAGTATCATGGTAGCTACAGAGGACAAAGGCGTTGATGTCGTCGTAAACTCGCTCTCGGGTGACAGGCTGCGAGCGTCTTGGGAAGTGATCGCACCTTTTGGACGCTTCGTAGAGCTAGGAAGGACTGAGATGATCGGAAACGCCAAACTAGCCATGGCTCACTTTGACAAGAATGTGTCATTCCATGCGGTCGCCACAGATGACATGGGCACGCTCCGTCCGACTATGTTTAACAAATTCCTGTCCGGTATTGTCAACATGATAGCTGAACGCAAGGCTAACCTACCATATCCGCTCGAAGTTATGAAGTTGTCAGAGGTTGAGAAAGGCTTCAGATCCTTGATGAGCGGAAAGTCAACCGGGAAATTTGTTCTAAAAGTCGAACAGGGCGACATCGTGAAAACTTGGGGCGTTGAAAACAACGGCAAACGACTGGATGCAAACTCAACGTACGTCATCGCTGGTGGATTGGGCGGCCTGGGCCGAAGCGCAGCTCGATGGATGGTATCCAAGGGTGCAAGAAACTTGCTACTGCTTTCTCGTTCAGGACACGCATTGCCGGCGGCCACATCTCTGTTGCAAGAGCTTCGAGACAAGGGTGCTCACATTGAAGCGCCGCCTTGCGATGTTACATCGGAAGAGCAGTTGGCAGCTGTCCTTGCTGAATGTGCTCAGACAATGCCGCCGATTCGAGGTTGTCTACAAGGCACCATGGTCCTACGGGTAAGTATCCCCTTCATATGTTCAAAAACCAAGCTGACTCTTAATTAGGACGCTCTTTTCGAAACCATGACGTACGATGATTGGAACGTCTCTACCCAGGCAAAGATTGCCACATCTATCAACCTGGATAAGCTATTGCCTGCTGGAATGGATTTCTTCATCTTCCTATCATCTCTTTCAGGCATTGTAGGTACTACAGGCCAGGCAAATTACGCAGCAGGAAACACATTTCAAGATGCACTCGCTCAGAGCCGCATTGACAAAGGAGAACGCGCAATTGCCATCGATTTGGGCGCAATGAACAAGGTTGGGGTCATTGCAGAGAATGAGCATCTGGGAAAGGTCGCTAGGAACACTATGCTTCCTGTAGAGGAAGAAGAGCTGTTGGCACTGTTGGATCATTACTGCTTACTCGAGGACAGAGTATCAGGGAGTCCACAGACTTTAGTAGGCCTTCCTACTGGTAGTGCAGAACAGAGCGCGGAAGCGCAATTGCCGGCAGCTTATGCACATTCATTGTTCTCCCACATAAGGAAACTGGGAAGAGACGAATCGGGGAATTCCTCGACTGCTGGCACGGGTAATGAAAACGAAGATTACGGAAGACAATTCAAAGCCGCAGGGTCCTTAGCTGAAGCAGCAGCTATAGTCATGAAGGGTTTTGTCAAGAAACTATCACGGACCCTGTCGCTAACGGCCGAAGACATCGACACGACAAAAGCATTGCATCAATACGGAGTGGATTCTCTGGTGGCGGTCGAACTGCGAAATTGGTTCGGCAAGGAGTTTGCCTCCAATGTTGCTGTGTTCAACATCGTTGGGGCGGCGTCAATCCTTGCAGTGGGCGACCTCGTGGCCAAGGCCAGCACCTTGAGGAGTAAAGATGACGATTAATGACTTACCTTAATGGTTTAGATTTCTTTTTGTATGTTACTGCATTGTGTGTATTTTAGATCAATCCATTTCATGGCTCAACATCTTCGATTTCGTGGCACTCTAAGTTTTGGCATTATATATCTTCGTGTCCTCCAGGTGTAGATTCATGTGACCCCTTATTACCTGTATAAACAACAGTTTACTCTACTCAAACCCTTCTTATACGTGATCTTCGTGATTTTGTTTTTAGAATGGCTCGACAGGATCATGAACCGTCACTCTCAGCCTCTCGTTCAATCCGTCCCACAACACCCAATCCACGAAACGTCACTGCCGTGACACCAGCCGAAACGAGCAACAGCCCAAAATTATACCAATTCGCCGCTCTCAGGCCCGCCAAACTCGCCGCATCCCAAGCCTTGATCTCTCCCGCATCTACCACCGACTCATCCCTCGAGCTCGCCATGACGCCAATCTGAATCGCAGTCGAGATGGCAAGACCGATAGACCGTCCAATCTGCCCAGACGCATTGATAATCGCCCCGCCGACCGCCTGGTCAGCCTGCGGGACGCTCATACTCGTAAACAACGTGAGACAGGGCCACACGACGTCTGCGCCGATGACGGACAAGATCATCGCGGGGAGGCCGGTCGCGAAGTATGATGTATGCGGGGAGATTGGGATTGCGAATAAGAGACACGACAACGCGACGGCGAGGTTGGCTCCGACGAGCAGGGTGCATGTGGGCACCCTTGAGATCAAGATTGACATGAGGAAGGCGACGAGCGTCCCCATGATTCCCTGGGGGAGGAAGCGGAGGGTGGTTTGAATGGTGGAGAGGCCTTGGAAGTCTTGCCAGAGGTAGGTGGCGAAGACGGCGAATGCGTTGTAGCCGCCAAAGAACATGCCCATGATGCATATGCCGGAGGTGAAGCGGAGGTTGCGTAGGAGGGTGATGTTGAAGAGTGGGGGGCGGGATGTACGCGCGATTTGATACCATTGCCAAGCGGTGAATGTGAGGACGAGGAGGACGGCGATGACGATTAGGATGGGGATGTAGGCGTTCGACCAGCCGGCTATGTTTCCTTCTGTCAGGGCGAACAAGAGACATATCAGTGATGCTGTTATCAGAAGGCCTCCAAGCCAGTCGACCTCCTTGAGCAGAGCTTGCATGCTTTTTCTTGAAGGACCTTCTGAGGGCTGGGATGGTATTGTAAAGATTCCTGAGACAAGTATGATGGCTGCGAATGCGGCCAAGACACCAAAACACCACTTCCATGAGGCATAGGCGGAGATCACTCCTGCTAGGATGTTTCCGACAGCGCCACCAATCGCAGATCCAGCGGCTTGAATAGACATCAGTGACGGCTGTAATTATGAATGGTGAAATGAAGCTTACAGTATGTCGCAAATGCATAGTTTCTTCGTTTTCCAGATCTGAAAGTGACGCCCAGAATGCCGATAGCCGTTGGAACACTGGCAGCGCCTCCCTATAGAGAGTTATTCAATGTGGCCTGTATGAGCATCGAACCGAATGAAAGCTTACGATGCCAGCAAGACCTCGGAACACATTAAAAGCAACATCGTTCCTCATGAAAGGATTGGCAATGTTTGCTAAGACAGCGAGGCCTGTGCCGAGTATGAAAATCATCTTCCTCCCCACCACATCAGCAATTCGGCCCCAAAGCAGCAAGAAGCAACCGAATGTTAGCGAGTAGGAAGAGACAATCCATTGTGATCGACTCTCTGGTATGTCGAGATCACGACGTATCACGGGCAGTGTGATGACAATGGCTTGCGTTGAGACAACCTATATAAGTGTAAGAACCAGTTGTCTATACGTTCGGCTATTCGAGAGACAGACATTTAGAAAGCTTGCGCCTGTCAAAGTCATAACGAGTGCTATGCTTCTTGCTTTAGATAGTGGGGCTGTATTGATCTGACTTTCAGGCTCAAGCTCCACATTGTTGTCCTTTCTAGGCTCGACCTTAGCGGTTGATGGGCTTCGAAGGTCGTGCAATTCGCTATCCTGCTGCCGTTCGATCTGTGGGGTATTCATGTTTTGACTCATCACAATAGACACTCGCCCGAAGCTGTGTTGAAGAACAATTTAGTACCTGGCCAGTCAAGCCAGAAGCTTCGGAATCAACACAAGCAATTGTCAATTGATAGAACGCCAACAAATTGAACGAGTGTTGTAGAAGAAAGATTGTGTTGTATTAAGCAGTGCACGAGGTCAGAGTCATAATAGATACTCAACAACTTAATTGTGGGGTGCAGTTAGTCAATTGTACGTTGTCGGGATAACTTGCCTCAATGGTTGTGGAGTATTCGGCCGACGTTACCGATGATCGTCCATGCTAGCTTTGGGTGCAGATGTGGCAGCATGGAATATAATTAGGCACGTAAGCGAGTGGCTTTCAATTGTAAGGTAGACGACACTCAGTCATAATGAATGCAATGGCCTCGAGTGCTTTGTTGAACTTGGGTATAATACAAATCTTCCTATATGTCTTAATCTGCCATCACTAAATCCTGATTCAAGCCGAGCTGTGACGTCCCATTCGTTATGCCCTTTAATTCAGCCACTTCATCCATTTCCCGGAGAGTGAAATCCAACAGATAGCTTTCGTCCACGAGATCTTCTACGCGGCGATAGTGTCGCTCCGAGTAAGCCTTGATCGCATCAAGCACATCCTTCAGACTTCCCTTCGCGCCGACCCGTCCAGCTGGCTTCAGCGCCGCGAGGCGCGAAGCCGGATAAGATTTAACAACTGTCCACAGAATCTTCTGTGCAATTGGCGCCGAGCGAACGTTTGTGTTCCAATCCCGCAATCGAATGAGAAGCTTGTACAGCTGCTCGTCTGCTAGATTGGCGAGTACTTCGTCTACAGCATGCAGACCAGACATGCTTCCGGCGTCTGGAGATTCTGCCTCGACTACAGACTTAAATAAGCTGAACAACCGTCCTGGCTGGTCCATTTGCAGAGCAAGTGTAATCGCATCGCGGTAATTGCCTGCATAAGTGAAATTCTGGAGCTGCTGGTCGAGCTCAATGCGTTCCGTCTCCGCGGTAGTGGCTGCCTCGAGGGTTGCATTTGTGGTGTCTTCCCAGAATGTAATGACACTGTCGCCCCCGCCAGATATCAAAGCACCTGTTGTAGGATGCGCGGCCAGAGCCCACACACGATCAGTGTGATTATCCAGCGTAGACATAGATTCTCCACTAGCCGAGTCCCAGACCTTGACAAGGCCGTCGCCTGCTGCAGATGCCACTTGTGGGCCCCGCTTGTCGCGAGCATCGACTGGACGATATGGTAGCCAAGCAAGCTTGAGAACACTGTTCGAATGACCTTCCAGCGTCAACAGACAGCTGTAGTCCGAGAGATTCCAGATCTTGACAGTCTTGTCTCCACTGCCTGTCGCAATCAAACCCTTGCCACCACCACCTGGTACCTGGGAGCTCGTTGGCGCAAACTTCACAGTCCACACACCACGGCGATGACCCCTCAGCACACCGATGGCCTCACCCTCTGTTGCTGAGTATATCTTCACCGTCTTATCTTGCGATGCTGATGCAAACAGCTTGCCAGTCGGATCGATGTCGAGCGCGTTGATGTCCTTGTCGTGAGCCTTGCGAGTATACTTGGCGCGAAGTTTACCTTTGGAGTCCTTGGTGATATCCCATCTCTTGATTGTTCGATCTTGTGATCCTGTAACGAGGAACTCCGGTGGATGAGAAAGCGGGTTTTCGAATGCGGCAGATCCTTCGGCAGGGGTAACATGGGGAATGGCAATTGCTCCGAGCGATTCAGCATGACCGGTCAGTACGGCTCGGCATGTGTAGGAGTCGTTCTCTGGATCTATCCGCCAAAGTCGCGCCGTGTTGTCCTTTGAACCTGTCACGAGCCAATGGCCAGACCAATCCACATCTAAACAAATGATGATGTCCTCATGGCCCTGGAGTAGAGCCACGTCTGCACCAAAGTACTTTCCGTCTTTCATGTCCTCTGCATTCGAATTAGTGCTCTCTAAAGTGACAATCCTAACATCCTCGGAGTTCGTATTGAGAGCCAAAAGAGACTTGTCTGACCCAACGTATGCCAGATCAATAACCTCATCGTGCGTTCCAGATACTCGTCGGAATATAGGCAGTGGCTCGAGGGTCTCAATAACAAGGGAGGAGTTAAGAGGGTCTAAGGAGTGGAACTTAAGAACCTGATCGGCGTGGACCGAGATAATATAAGTCAATGACGGAAAGAAGAGTGTATCGACAATGGCATCCGTCTCAACCCCTTCGGGCTGCTCTCGGGTGATCTCTCGTCCCGAGTCTGGTGTCCACAGACGTATGCATCCGTTTTCTCCTCCAGTATAGATGACTTGTCCTTCACGAAGGAATCCGGCACTCTCAATTCCCTCGAGAGCTGCGATCGTGCGCTTTGTTTTCCAAGTTTGAGCATCCCACAGTATCACTGTCTTGTCTCGGCTACCAGAGAGCAGGCTGTTCTGCTCGGGAGAAAATTCTAATGTCCGAACCACCGAGAAATGGGAATCAAGAACGGCAATGCTCTTTCTCTTATGCAAATCCCAAATACGGATCTTGCCGTCTTCAGCACCGGATGCCAATCGCCACTCGACCTCATTATCACTTCCATCAACAGTAGTACTCGTTTCGAGCTCCTGCTTTGACTGATTTCGCTTCCTCTTTTTAGAATTCGTAAGGTCGTCCTTCCCGGCCTCAACCTGGAAAAAGTGTAGCGCCGAGATGACACCACCATGGCCATGGAATGTATGTGTAAAGTATCCGGCACGGATATCCCAGATCTTGACAATGCCGTCTGCTCCACCAGTAGCAAGAAGTGTTCCAGTCGGGTCGACCGCTAGCGAAACAACTGGCGTTGCGTGTGGTCGGAGGGCTTGAAGGCGCTTTACTTGTATAGAGTCCTGTTCCAATTCGGATGGCTGAAGCGCATATATTTGCATTGAAAGGGATCGAGAGCAGACAATTAGGTGCGAGGCCGAAGGAGTAACTAATCAGGTCAGCAAATGCGCGCAATCGACTTCAAGAGACAGGCGATCTTACGGGCCATAGCGGTGATGACTTCGCCATCCTAGCATATGTTAGCAATTGAACCCAAGTAGTTTCTAATATGGCAGTCCTTACACCCTCAACTCGTGCCAGTTCCTTGCCGTTCCTCAGGTCTGTGAGAACAGCATCTTCCCCGAGACAAGCCGCAAGTATTCGACCATCCTCACTCAGCGCAATGCTACCGCCCGCATATATCGGTTGTAGAGTACGCTCTACGGCGTACGTAGTCTTGATAGCGGTGCGCTGCGACATTATGACGAATCAGCACGGAGCCGTATGGGTGGAGGTGGATTTCGAGTTCACGACCCGTGAATAAAAGTATGAATCTTGGCGGATTTTTTTCTGGAGCCCTTATCGATTAGAGCTTACCAGCCCAGCAACGACTAACTAAACTCCGACCCGCATAGTCGCATAGACCTACTACATACTCAACAGCCACCTCAAAGCAACGCCATGCTTCAGGAATTCGTAGGGAAAAGTGGTGAACCTTTTCGCGCCCCTATAATAAGTTCGTGGTGACCACCTAGGCCATGGGTCGCCAACCGTTTCTCACCCGCCTAGCGTTGGTATGCACATCGTCTTGTAACTTCTATAATTCAACTATCTGACATAGAGTCTAGGGTCGATCCCCCTTTGAACCGAGCGCATCGATTTCCAAATCATCCGAATATGTACAGATAGATCCTTCGCAAAGGAATGTGCCACTTGAGGCTCGTGAACCCAGTAGCAACCGCTACGTGCAGCTTTTCGATGAACGGGGAAACGCGATCAACCCTAGGGCACACGAGCATGGGCGACGGCTTCGACAAGCACAGAATGATGTGCTATCCGCGATTGGAGTCGTTCACAGACGACGGCGCCCTTCGGAAGGATTGCCTGGCGCCTACGAGCACCGTATAGCGCAGCTGGACATGGAAGATTCTACGGGAAATACTATTGCTCTTTCATCGACTCTGACAGAGAACCTCTGTACATGGTGGATTGGCTCATTACGAGATCGGATATTGGTACTTCTCCTTCTTCCGTTCGGCTCTGCCTCTCGCTGACGCATGGCGCAAGACGTTTCGGCTAGAATCCGCTTTGCCTCTCTACCAGGTTGTTCCTTTGCTCAGCCAACAACCACATAGCCAGCTCGTTTACACGGGCTTCGCTGCGCGACTTGTGTCCACTATAAGTGTCCAATTCTCGGTCTACTTTGTAGTCATGTTTCGACCTCTTGATCGCCTCGTGGTCAAATTCAAGGCAGCGTCACGGACAAGGCGGTTGGTTCGACGATGGAAAAGTACAACGCGGACCATGTAAGTTGATATGGAAGAGTTTAGTTGGCAAGCCACTAATAATAGAAGGTTCCGGCTGTTCGTTGAAGTGTTCTTCTATCCACTGACCTACCACGCTCATCTACAGCGCATGGGACTTGTTCCAGCGAGACCTCTGCTCCCACCATTGTCAGCTTTCGTGCCCTTCTCCGCCGCTTCACCATTACGATCTCCTGAAATACCGTCAGGATCATCTCCCTCCATAATCTCCAGCATCTTGAGGCAGGTTCTATTGTCACCATTGCTACTTGTCTGCCTGGAGCATATGCTCGAACGTCGAATCTACGCGCTGGTGTATGAAGCTATCGAGACAGGCATTAATCGCCCTACTAATCCCGATCTGATATCTGCAGATGCCGATGCAAAGGAAAGAGCCAGCGAACTCCTCGGGCTCAGGCGGAGATCTCCAAAGTGGCTTCGGAACGTTATCAATAAGGGTCTGGCCGCTATAGGTTGGGCACCTGCATCACGAACTCGGACACAGTCTGGCAACCTGTATTCTTCTGTCCAGGCATACCAAGATCCCGATCTTCAAGAGGTCTCTAGATCCCGAGTTGTGGAGGATACTAATGGTGCTGAACATGAACACCCCAATGTACCAGCTAGCAACTCCACCATGCAAGGCCGTATGCACTCCGACCAACAGTACGGAGGTGCAACTTCCACCGGTTCGGATCTAGGTAATGATCTGAATGATCCGACAATACGAATAACGTCTAGAGACAGCATTGTAGAGATGGAGGTGCGGTTTCCCGCTCAGGTGCTATCAACACATACTGAGATTGCGGAGGATTTCCCGCTCATTGCTGCTCAACAATCCGAAGTTGGAGTCACCCGAGAAGATTCGCGCACCAAAAAGCGACATCGAGTAACGCAGTTGTCTATAGAGCCGGCGCAGATGCTTGGCGCCATCTGCAAGGCTCAAATAGTAGCATGGACCATTCTTCCACTAAAGCTTGTCACGTTGCGTTCGATTGCTGGTCATTACCTTGCCAGCAACATGGGCAATGGCACCTCCCCATCGACAATGCTTCAGCATCACCTGCCAGTAGCGTCCATTGGGCTCACTCCCTTCGATGTCCATACCACATGGGCCCTACTCTCTCGAGTAGTTCTATGTGCAGGACTGGAATTCGTCATCGACATCAGCCTATGGGGGCTTCAATGGATAGCAGTGACCACTGTAGGTAAGAAATACTTCGGCTGGGGAACTTTGTGATAGCGCAGCGCCTCATTGGATGACTTCAACAAGAAGGATGGAACGAGCCAGCCACATAGTAACCATCTAATCTCGTAAACCGCGTGAACGGGCAGCAGCTGTCTGTTTTCCGTCGTAGGCTTCAATCGCAATTGGATGAAGAAGCTTTCAGCGGTGGAATCAGCTGGTAACACAGCATGAGAGAGAGACATGGCTGTTCGGGGGTTCGCGCGACAGCAATCGTCTTTGGACAGTCTGCCCTTCTATGGTCGCAGAATGGATCAATCCTTCTTGCGGGTAGACCTCAGAAGGTTAACTCGCTTACCCGTGGCGCCCATACGTACGGTTTATATCGCTAGGGACAGGAACGTTATTGCGCAATGGTGGATGCGAACACGTCTACTCCGTACTCTGAAAAGTGTCTCATCAACACAGCACTGGTAGGACACGATGGACTTGGCGTGATGTGCCAGGATTGATGTATTGGGCTTTACTTATCCGCACCCCCTGCCATGCGACAGCCACGAACAGACACAGTACGAACAGCAATCACATGTGGCTTGGACCGTGGGCTGTTCGGCGTCCAGGGCATGGATGGCACTGTGTGGTTAGATACTAGAGACAAAAGGTCCCGCCCCCTTCCCCCCATACTTGGCGGGTCGCATGTCCCGCCACCTCTCTATCAAGATCCATGCGACGTTCATGATATGGCCTGATGGGTAGTTTGGGAAGCATGCCTGATTGGCGCTCTTCTTCTGCAACGGAATAGAAAGCAATGTCTACCTAACATACTGTGTATACAAGAGATTGTATGCAACCGACGTGGTAGAAACAGAACACGACATCAACGCGAAGCCGAAGCTGCGGGTCCGTCACATTGGGTAATTCGTATAATTCCATCTTGCATACCCGTGTTCCTGCATGTGCGATACAAATATGTATGTACATACATATGTCCCTTACCGTATGTACGTGCGATTGAAGGAAAAGTCCGGTAGCGCGTGGGGATAAATAAAGGGAAGGGGATGTTTCGCAGGCTGTAGGGACAGGGAAAGAGATTAAATCATTCATCTACACCGAACACCAGCGAAGTCGCAAAAACCGGTACCGATGCTCGGCAAGGCGGTTGTTCGCTTTCAGTTTGGTTCCTCTTCGATTCTATCCCGTCATTTCTTTGCGAGCTGGTTTGCTGGTTTGCTAGTTGTTGTCGTGGTGATGGGGAGGGTGATGATGGAAGAAGATTGCGCGTGGATGGAGCAGAAATAGCCGGGAGAGGTCATCACCAGATGATTGGGTTAGGGGATCTGCAGAGACCAGCGCCACGCAGTTACGGAAAGAAGAATGGCTTTGTCCCTTTGGCTTTTGGCTTCTGGTACTGGCTTCTGGGATCTAACTGTCTGGGTATGTTACTGGCTGGAGACACGGCAGCCCAATGAGTATTTCCTATTCGAGGTCCATCAAATCAAATCAAACCATGGCAAATCATAGTAGATCACTTAACTTCCAACCCCTTTTTTCGTTGCCTTCTGCAGTCATTTGATATTCTTTCCGTGGTGCCATCGTCACCCATGCAGGCAAGCTACTGGTAGCTGCTGCAGATAGGCCTGCGTGATGAACCATAGAATGTCTTGGGCTGGTTTTTCTAGATGGTGGATTTCATACATACTATTCAGGGCATGATGATGGTTCAATAGATACTCCGTATGTATCTCTGTATGCTGTACAGAGTAGCATCTTGCCAATTTTCGTGTACGACAAGGGAAAACGGCTCCGCTTGTGGCGATTGTTCGTTGTTCGTAAATATGAACAAGCAAATGTCACCACGAAGTCCGCTGGTGCAAGCTTCAAGTTTGTCTTGACACTTTGGGCGCAAGCAGTCCAATTCACCCCTAAGTTAGAGTTTAGGTATAACGTAGCCATCTACTCCGTACCGCTGTCACTACCGCATCGGCATCTATTCAACAAGCAACGCTCATTTGATCGTTTGCCCCATCTCATTAAATGTCCGGTCCAAGAGGCTCTCTTTCTCGTGTTTGCCTTTTTCTCTCTCTCCGTCTACGTGATATATTCTGCTACCTAACCTTAGTACTTGTAGGTTGGCTCGTACATATTACACAGTACATCCCCTCTCCGCCCACCCCCGTGCTCTTCCCTGCAAGTGGATTTCCCCCCATCCCCCTTCCCTTCCCTTCTCCGGACAAGTAACGAACTATCCAGCAACAAAAGTCCAAAGGTGGTTGGACAATTAAATTAGTTTTCTCTTCCTTTTCCTTTTTTTTCCATTTCCCTTTTCCCAATTCCCTTTTCCTCTTCCCGCTGTTGCTCCACCTTTTTTTTTCCAAGTTGGAACCAATCGGGCTATTCCTCCTGGGGAAAGTCTCACAACCCAACGCGAACTTGTCTCGTCCTGTCTTGTCTTGTGCTGTTTTGTCTGTCGTCTTAACTCGTCCTATCCTGTCTGTCCTATCCTGTCCTGTCCTGTCCTGTCCTGTCCTTTTCCTGCCTTGTCCTCCTCGTCACCAATAATTTCAATCCCACCGACGAACAAATCTCACCCTATTTCCATAAACCAACAAGCTCCGAAAGACCCTGATCCATCCCCCCCGTCGCTCTCGCTGCCGTTGCCGAACCGTACCTTCTATTCTCTCTCCTTTCCAATACTCACTACTCGCAACATCATAGACCCCCGGATACAACTCTACCTTGCTCCGTACATACCTTGTTTTCGTTGTTGTTGTTGTTGTAGTTAGGGTTGCTGTCACCTTTCACTTCTTCAGATTCGTCATTCACCTGCTCAACGGCCGCTTGTCACTCGATCGCTACACTACGCTACGCCTGCGCTACCTACTTATTGGTACCTATCCTATCGCTGCTGACGACACAAGTGTGCGTGCAGTGACTCGAGCTCAAACTCGGAACCCTGCCACGGCCACTGCATCCTTCCGTCTTTTCCCCCCCAAAACCCCATCGAATTCGGTCGCCCGCAGCCTTCAACCAGGCCCCTCCCCGTTCGACTGACGCAGTAACGCTCTTCAGGTCTGCCTCAGACACCTCGGGAACTTGCTGTCTCCGACACTGCACAATACCTAATCGCGGCCTGCGAGGTTTCTACCGACGGTTCGTGTGGATATGAATGTCTTGAGATAGTGGCCCACGAGCACGGCTTGGAGCACGACGCTGCTCTTCCTCAAGAGCCAGCAACTACCATACCAATCAATACTCTCACTTCATATCATAACAACCACAGGCACGACGGAACGGTTGTGGTTTCCCGCCGTTCCTAATCGACCAGACAGATTCCTCATACATCATGTCAACTACAACAACGCTTCCTCGCCCGCCGCGGCCATCCCTCGCTCCACCTACAAGTCCTCTCCCATCCCTACCAGTCGCGAAGTCTCGAGTCTCGAGCGTCAGTCCGTCACTTCGAACGTCTTCGGGCTCTTTGCTCCCATCCCCCACGGTCGCAAGTCGCGCGGTCTCGTCGTCTGGTCTGCCCCAGCGGCCCGTCAAGGGCCACACAAACTCAACATCCAATGTACCCACACTGACTGCTTCTGATTCACCTGCCGGGCCATTACCGCCAGGTAAATCACTTCGTAAGGCAGTCAGTATTGGTGCATTCCCACAACCACCCAAGTACGGGGGCAGATCTCCAAGTCACCCACCGAGTCCGCTCTCGGCTAGCTCCACGCCCAACGGGGAGACGCTCGACCAGAGACTATCCGCAACACCCAAGGCAGGGCCATCGAGACAAGGCAGCGTGAAGCGGATCGCGCCCCGGGTGTCGAACATAGGAGGAGGGCGTGGTCTGCTGGCGAAGTCACCACTAACGCCCCCAAGCTTGCTGAACGGATCTGGAGAGTCAGTATCAGTGGTCAACACCAACCATCTTAGCCTGCCCTCACCACCACAAAGCAGGAACTCTTCCGCCCAAGGCTCCTACGCCACCAGCGCGACCACATTCGAAGACATCGGCGACGAGCGAGCGGAGGCGAGTGGCGCAGACAAGAACAACCCACAAAAGGACGGCAAAGGCAATGTCCTCGTCAGTGTGCGTGTGCGGCCAGACTTTGGCGCAAAGGACCGGCAGCAAGAGTTAGAATGGGAAGTCAGTGGAAAGCGGTCACTGATCGCCTATAAGGGCAAGGAGGGCGGAGATTACATCTATGGTAATGTTGCACGACGTCTAGACATGAACTATGGACATTGAGACTGACTGATTGCGCGATAGATAATGTATTTGACACTCAAGACAACAACGCCAGGGTCTATGATGCGGCTGCCAAGCGACTGGTTCGACGGGTCATGGAGGGTTACCATGGAACTGTCTTCGCGTACGGTATGACCGGAACGGGTAAGACATTTTCTATGCAAGGTACAGCGACGAACCCTGGAGTTATCCCACTCGCCATTACCGACATATTCTCGTACATCCGAGAAACACCGCACCGAGAGTTTCTTCTGAGAGTCAGCTACTTGGAGATTTACAATGAGAGAATTCACGACTTGTTGGCTGGTCCAATCGCAAATGCAACCGGACCCGCTGCACCCCAGGAGGAAATCAAGTTGAGGGAAGATAGCAAGAGAGGTGTTTATGCAACGCCCCTGAAAGAAGAGATTGTTCAGAGTCCTACGCAGCTTCTAAGGGTGATTGCGCGAGGTGACAATGCACGAAAAGTGGCTGGAACCCAGTTCAACGCCCGAAGTTCTCGAAGTCACGCAGTGGTTCAGATTGTGGTGGAAAGTAGAGAGCGCGGTGCTAGCGGAGTTGCGAATCTGAAAGATTCCAAGCGGTCGGCTATCTCTCCGGGTGGTGTCAGGGTTTCAACATTGAGTTTGATCGATCTGGCTGGTTCTGAGAAGGCGGCGGACAATGCGGAAAGGCGTACCGAGGGATCTCACATCAACAAGAGTCTGCTGACGCTTGGAACTGTGATTGCTCGGTTATCAAGCGAAGACAAGGAGAAGGACAAGGGAGGGAAGGGAAAGCACTTGCCGTACCGTGACAGCAAACTCACCCGCCTATTGCAACCTGCTCTATCCGGAAACTCTCTCGTCAGTATTCTATGTACGATCCAGATTGGAGCCAGTGGTAGCAGCGCGGCATCAAACAGCCACACGGGCGAGACCATCAACACGCTCAAGTTTGCTTCACGCGCAAAGAATAATATCGTTAGCCACGCCAAGAAAGCAGATGATAGTATAGGAGCCGGCGGAGACGCTGGCAGCCGAGCTCTGCTAGATCGCTACCGTATTGAGATTCAAGAGTTACGCAAGCAACTTGAGGAGCAGAACAAGGCAAAAGAAACCCGAGAGGAGGAGAAGGAGAAAGAAAAGGATGAGGAGGAAGAAAGGGCCCGAGAGCTGGAGGGCAAACACCGACATGAGGAACAGATGCTGGAAATGCAACTTGCCCGGACAGCCCTCAAGGAACGAATCGAACATCTGAACCGGCTGATTCTGAGTTCGAAATCCCTGGGTGTCAACAACGGTCGGTCGTTCTCGTCTATGAGCCTTCAGCGAGGGTCAGTCATGAGCAATGGTGGAGATTTTAGGCCACTATCTGCGCGGTCATCCGCCAGCCACCATACGCTCGAGGTCCCAGGTCACCACGGGTCTCAGGTCATATTCCCTTCTGTTCCACTTGGGATTGAAGGCTCTGAGGAGGACGATTCCGTTGGTGAGAATGGAGATGGCATGGCTAGCCAAGCTGCCCAGATACAGTCGCTTCAATCCGACTTGGCCGACAAGAACCGCTACATCAGCACGCTGGAGAAGCGTTTACTACAAGCCCGACGTTCGAGTCACTCTCGTGTGTCCATGAGCTTACACAAGATGACGGGAAGCAGTGAAGATGGCGGAGCAGTCGCTGCCCTTGCCGAGAAGGACGCCGAGATTCTGAGTCTACGAGCTCAGCTCGAGGATAAGGAGAAAATGATTTCAGCCCTCACTTCGTCCAAGAAAAAGAATGAAAACGCGCACGAGGTCGGTAGCGATGGATCTCCGAACAGCCGACGGACGTCTCGCCAGCGAAGCGAAGCTGGTAGCGTTGCTGGATCGAGCGTGAAACTGAAAGGTTCACCGGTCACGACCACCCCTCGCGAGAGGATCGGCCACCACAGCGTAAAGTCAGACAGGGAGATGACGGACGTGACGAGAATGCTGGACGAGATGATCTCAGAACGAGTAGACGCCACAGGCGGCGGACGGCGACGCAGCAGCCTCCGGCCCGTGACTGAGGGTCAACGGTGAAGAAATGGGGAACGGTGACTGGAATGTAAGGGAGATGATTGCATGCCGCCTCACCTTGCACGCCAAGTCGGAGTAGGAAGGAGAAACGGGGAACGACAAACACCATTAACGGCCACTAAAAGGATGGGCGCACGAAGTGTTATGTACGAAGCTGAACGGTGCATGCGATGCTATGAGCAAAGAAAGAGATGTAATGTACGGAGGAGGTTGATATCGTCTTTGGTGATTCATTGGCGTTCAAACAGGAGTCACCACCTCACGAAAGGGGTTGGCGATGCTTCAGGGCAGCGAGCTGCATTTCCATACCATGCACAAGGGACACTTTTTTTCTTTTCTTACGGGCGTGGTGCTGGGTATGGTGTTACCTTTCTACTTTACTGTATTGTTGTCCTCTTTTCTCCTTCTCACTTTGCCTGTCTTATTTTTTTTTTTCTTTAATCCCCACGCGCGCTCGGGATCTTCGACATGATACCCCGTATTTTCGACTTGCATTCATCAGAGAGAGAGAAAGAAGAGAGGGGGGAAAGGGAGAGAAGCCAGAGGGAGAGAGGTCTCATCTATTTATTGTATGTACTTGTAGCAACGGACAGTCAGCATTCACCCATCCAACCATCGCAGTCGATGGCGAAATTAATCACGGTCTATCTATTACCATTTCGTTTCCTCTCCCCTTCGCATCTTCCTCTTTCGTCGTCTCGTCCGGATAGCGTGTTCTTCGCTTGCATCGTAGTGCGTTCGAAAGAGTCAAGTAAGATAGGAATCTGGCGCGCGCGTGTCAGTTAGTATGGTATATAGTGCACTGTAGTGCACTGCAGCGTGCCGTGGTGGTGCGAGCGTGGATGGAGTAGAGGGACGCTTTGAGAGTCAGAGCCGGGCCGCAACGCCCCATTCTTTCCATCAATCAATCAATCCGAGGTTTCTTTGTTTGTGTGGTAAGAGGTTTTGTTTATACGGAACACTCCGTAAATATCTACGGTCTACAGCACAGTTACGAATGGCTGGTCGTGTGCTTTTGCTGCTCAGCCTTGCCATGTCTTGCCTGGTGTCATTGATCGCCCGTACTCGGATCTGATACGAAGCTAGGCTGGTGCTGCAATGTAATGTCTTGATTGATGGGAAGTCCGTACGGCGTAGGGTAAGGTATTATCTAGGGTTTTACAGGTAACTAGGGGTAAGGCCAGTTACTGAGAAGGGAATTAGTTAGTTAGTACGAGAACGAGTAGCAAGGTGCGCGGCAAACATGTCGGAGATCTGAAACACGCTGCGTTACGCTTCGTTACGCCGCATCCACACAAAGTTCCATCGCGGGACCCTGGGAATTGCCTGGATTGGATGATTCCCCCCCATCTTCATCACTTTCTAAGTTCTTTCTCGCACCACTCAGTTCGCTATTCGTGGAGACTGTGTGTACTTCCCTTTTCTCTAAAATGACCTCTCATCCCCTCCTCCCGCACCGGCCCCTACCTAGTTCCGCATTGTTCATTGTTCTCTCTTCTACCTTTCCTGGAAGATCCCCAGGCCGTTCCCGTTCCAGAAAAACCCGCCTCCAAACAAACCAGTCGTTGGTTTGTCCGGCCCCGGTCAATGCTTCACCCTTCTAATTACATTCTCTCCAGATCTCATTTCGCCAATTGATACTCGTCCTTTCCTTTTCCCTACTCTACCTGAACTCACGTGCTGGTGCTGGGACACTTTTCGACCTACCTAGGTAGACTAGTGCTCGTGAGCCTTCCTTCATACACACACCACTACCGCTACCACTACTACTTCTGTTTCCTCCCGCCCTCCTCGATGGAGAATTCTTCGTTTGTTTGATGCCGTGAAACTCTTGACGTCCGTTAATTCTCCTTCCTGCGACCCTGATCGTATCGTTCGGCCAGCAGCATTCATGACCTCATAGTCGACCCAGCTAACCAGTCGTCCCTCCGGCGCCAAAAAACTTCCCCGTCTTCTTCTTCTCTATTTCGCTTCTTACACTCCTTCAACGACAGACTTGCTTGAGGCTAGTCTAGTCTTCATCCCAATTCGAAAGTCACTTCAACCATCTTCAAGGCCGTAACCTGCAGGACCAGGTGTTTACGTTCGAGGACATTCCACCACCACCGACATGCTTATCAACGCAACCAAGAAGGCGAAGACCATGCATGCCAGGCGGAATCCAAACCTGACGGTATCGTCTGCCGCCTACTCACAGCTCAGTCCGTCCATCACATCGGCTACGTTTCTCTCCCCCACTGTGGCCTCCCGACGCAACTTGCTGTCACCATCTCCGCCTCCATCCCCAAATCTCCCCTCGCTCATTCCTCGCCATGGAAAGAAGCCGGCTTCATCGACCCATACCAAGCTGGTCAAACGAATCCTCGTTGGCGGCATTGGTATCACGATCCTACTCTGGTTGGTCATTCGCCACATCTACGGCCAGGCCCAGCAGACCGCCAGCTACGACAACGACTCGAACGGAGAGTGGGAAATGGTCGGTGGCAACCGTCTCCCCGATGAGCCTTCCGCCCTCGTAGTCCAGGACAGCAGGGGGAAACCGAAATGGACGGTTTCCATCCCATCTACGCATGACTTCCCACTGCGACCCGAGCAGTACAGCAACATCTGCCACCAGTCCATGGAACTGTCGAAGCAGTTGCGCGAGGAGGCAAAAGCAACAAACAACATCGCCAAGCGAATGCTCAACTACTATCAGAAAGACCAGTATTACATTGACATCCAGGAAGCCGAAGCCCAGTCGATCCTCCCGCCATCAAAGGCTAGCAGTCGACCGAAAGGTTTCGTCGCCGACGAATCGATTGCCGCTGGCGGAAGCCCCGCCGCTGAGATGAAGGTTTGTGACAGAACCTTGACGTATGTCATGGAGACGAACGATGCCGGCTTCGGTAGCACGCTGCTGCGCATGTGGATGTCCTATGGCCTGGCCGTGAAGGAGAACCGGACGTTCTTCGTCGACGACACTCGATGGCCCTATGGCAAGTACTCCACCTACTTCACTCCTCCACCCTCTGCGGGATGTCTCCCCCCTCCAACTTCCCACATGGTACCCTGCCCTCACACCGCGCGCCACATCGTTGTGTCCGGCGCCACCGTCAAGAGCACGTTCGGCCACGCCTTTACCGAAGAATTCGAGGACGCCACCAAGATGCGCATCCAGCGCGAGCGCAAGATCTTCGGCCTCCTCCGCACCGGCTACGAAGCACTCTTCAAGCTCCGCGCCGACGATGCAAAGTACGTCGACGAGCGCGCTGCGTCACTGTACGGACACGTCACCAAGGAAGGCGGCGTCTCGATCGGCATGCACGTCCGGCACGGCGACAAGCACCCGTACCAATTCCAGTACTCCAAGGACTACATCCCACTGGACCGCTACGTCGACACGGCCCGCGACATCTACATCGACCTCGTCGAGAACGCGGGCGGCAAGAAATCGAAGCGCTCCGCCCTCAAGGACCTCGAGGCCCGCCACAGCGCCGCGCGGATCGTCCTCGCGTCGGACGACCCGACCGTGTACGACACGCAGGAGCTGGGGCCAGGCGTCGTGCGGGCCCAAGACCGCATCATCCTGGCGACCAAAGCGGCGCTCGAGGCAGCACAAGGCCGCAAGAATCCCTGGATCGACGAGATCACGGGCTGGGAGGGCGGGTTCTACCGCGACGTCTTCTTCAGCCTCGGGCAGCCCGTCGGGAACGCGCACGACATCAACAAGCTCGACAACACGGACAAGGTGCCCGAGTCTGCGATGAACCTCCGCGAGCTCGTCGGCCGCGCCTACCTGATGGATCTTGCGATGCTGGGGAGGGCAGATACGGTCGTGTGTACGGTTTCCAGCGCGGGATGTCGGATTTTGGCGGTCATGCTGGGCTGGGATAAGTCGTTCGAGAAGGGGTATTGGAGGAACGTGGATGGCTCTTTCGACTGGAAGGGGATTGTCTGGTAGGGAGGCTCTTCGAATGGCTTTGTCGACCATCAATCTAATCATCATTCATTCACACACACACACACAAAACATACACAACATTCCTTGCATCATCATCTCCTTATCTCCTCAATTTCTCCCCCCAACCTTTTTCTTCTTCTTCGACACTATACTTTCTACAAAACAAAGATGCATACCTGGCGTTTTGCCCGGCGATTGAAAAGTCGGATATCTTGTTTTTATTTTCACCTACTCATCTATTCATCTATCAAACCAACCGACCGACCACTACTTAGTTATCCCCAACAGAACAGCAAAGACGGCGGAGTAATTCTTCTTCAAATATCATTTTTTATACCATCTTGTAACTTCCACTCCTTCTCTTTCTGTCTTAACGTGTCATGAGATATCAAACGAAGCAAGCCAAAGCGGTAGGAAATGCAAGAGACACTGAATTTCCATCCGTTCGTCTGTGGTCTTTGGTTGAAATATTTTGTTCGTGCAAAGCCACGTCAGCCTTTTCAGGAGACTGACTGAAAAAAAAAAACCCTGATGAACGTTGGTTGTGTGCGTCTGACTCTGCTCTGGAAAGGGTACTACGGGCATCGATATGGAAATGGGTACACGACTCTTTTCCGTAGAAATAGAGATGGGAGAGAGAAATAGACGAAAAGATTGGGAAGAACTCATGATACAATGACGATTCTGGTATACACATATGCTACGGCACGGCGCGCGGTGACAAGTGTGTGCATGACGTACGTGTTTTAAAGTTAAGAATAAGAATAAGAATAAGGTTAGGAACAAAAATTAAGAAGGAATACGAGTAGGAACAGGAACAAAGAATAGGAATAACCTTATACCTAATATAACATCTATCGCCTCTTCCCGTACATGCGTAATGCGCAAGAAAGCGGAGCGAGGTAGAGGAAATATCACTCCCATCCCTTCCCCTTCCCATCTCTTTTCTCTCTTGAACAGTTAAGGCGCGAGAATGTTGTACTGTGCCCTTCCTTTATCCTTTTGTTAAGCTTAAGTATAAGCTTAAACGTATCCACTTACGTTCTTTGTTCTTTGTTATTTATGCTTAAATCCTGAATCTTACGCTGTGTAAAATGTAAGCTTAAAATCTTTTTCAATGCTTTACAAGGAAGAATAAAGTCTTTCTCTTTGATGTCATGTCTTTTGTGCTTAATCCTGCAACTCTAAAAGTAAATAACCTTAAACCCTTCATCCTTCGTATATTTATCCTTAGGAATTAAGCTTAACCTTAACCATGGTCTTTACACAATACATGGTTAACTTTAAGACATAACCTTACCTTTAAACTTAAAACATGCTTAAACCTTATACATAAGTTTGTACCCCTGCCTCTCCTCTCCTCTCCTCTCCTCTCCTCTCCTCTCCTCTCCTCCTCTATTCCCTAAATACAGACAGAAAACGAAGGAGAACGCAAGGAGAACCCATGTCCCAGGACGAGTAATACCAAGAAGTAGTATTACCTTCCAGATGAGCAATAAAATCATAGATTATATGTATCAGCTTTGTATCGTATATCTTTGTATTGCCTTATACATACTGGTTTATGCCGTGCGGTCTTATCATGTAACAGCCAACCAGCCAGCTAGCCAGCCAGCCAGATAGATAGACAGACATAACTGAGTGGCTATTCCTGCACCACTTAGCCAGGCGTGCTAGGGAGAGAGAGAGCGAAGGATCTTGTATACCCGAAAGCAACACACACAGCACAGCACTGGTTGGGCTACTACACGACTTTCTGCCCTGAGGCACCTCTCATCCAAAGAGGCAATACACCTAGGGCTAGGGAAGGGGAAATACTCGTCGCAATAGTTTACAAACGATTATCCATTATTCTACAAGTTCAGTGTTTGTTTCACTTCTTCATTTTCATATTTTCTTTATAAATTGGTAGTTTTCAATTCAATTGTGCTGTGCTTACATAGGGTGTATATGAATGATACGAATAGGATAATATGATATATGAATGCTACATGATATAACAAGACATGACACAACGAAAAAAATTCGAACTTCCAACAAAATCGCAAAACGTAAAACATCATCGAACGCCAGAACGAGCAGGAAGAAAAAAAGATCGCTTCGAGAGGAACTAATTGCGTTGATTGGGGGAAATCTAAAATCTGCGTACTCTGGCATTCTCGCTACAGCGTCGTATTAATTGATCATCGTTCCTTTCGCCTTCGTGGTGCTCATCTTCATCGTCACGTCCTCCTCCAACGTTTCATCGATCGTGTGTGTCCATAGAATGACTGAAAAAGAAATGAAAGAAAAAAACAAAAGTAATCCAAACACATAAGACGGCGTAAATAAGTTAGAAAAAATAAATGAAAGAAATAGAAAAAAAAACCCGAGATTGAGGCGCTCATATAACGACAATGGTATCTGAACTTTTCCCTCAGTAGTAAAATTCCCCCAGCCGTATTTCCCTTATGCAAACCCGCATGGTTACATGGCTCGAAAAGAATCAAAAGGACAGGGAGGACCGGGACACCCAAAAGGAAGATGCAGAGCCCCTCTCTTCTGACAAATACCCACGCCGAGTACAAGCCGTGCCAAGGGAAGAAAGCGAAGAGAAAAGTAGGAAATTGGGGATATCGTATGAAGGCGGCAGGAGAAAACGAGGAAATCCAACGTCGAGCTCGCGAAAAAGATACAGACATGTCAGAAGGAGATTCATTGCAATGTTCGTTGGTTATTGCGGTCATCAGAGACGCAAGACCCTAAGGCTTCTTGGATTTCTTTGTGGACTGCGTCCGACCACCTGCTGCCCACCTCATGAACGGCGAAGCAGCCACCGCCTTCTCCTTTCGCCTTGGAGCCTGCGATTCGCCAATGATCATGGGCTGCGGTATGATCTCGATCGGAGGAGGAGGCAGCGGAGCCGTTGCGTGGTGAGGCGGAGGGGGTGGAGGTGGAGGTGGGGGAGGAGCCATGTGCATGTGCGAGTCGCGCTTCTTCTTCTTGTCTTTGCTGCTGCTCTTCTTGTGTGGCGGCATCATGTATCCCTGCGGTGGTGGTGGAGGCAGAACGGGCTCAGGAGGCGGCGGCGGAGGCTCTGGCATCGGCCACATGTGCATGGTGATGGCCCAGTCGGGCTGGATCATAGTCTCCCAAATCTGAGGCAGGATGATCTCGCCATCCGGTCCGACCAAGTCGTAGTGACCCTCAAGAACGTGGGGGCCAATGACTTCGACGTGGAGGAAGGCTTGTCTGATGAGCTCCTCCATTCCCTTCCACGTCTTGCAGATCGCCCAGGGGAAACTGAATTTACGACCAACCGCATCCTTGAATCGGATCGGAGGCTTGGGCGCGTCGCTGGGCTTCAGCTTCGCAGCCTCTTCCTCGGCGGCCTTCTTAGCCTTCTCGAGCTCCTCAGCGGCTGCTTTGGCTTCGGCGATGGCCTTCTCGTGGGCAGCCTTGGTTTCTTCGGCCTCCTTTGCTGCCTTGGCCTCGGCCTCTTCTCTGGCCGCTTTGGCAGCATCGAGCAACTTCGCTGCCGTTTCGGCGGCTGCTGCCTTCTCCGCGGCCACCTTGATGGCTTTGGCGTCTGCGTCCGCCTTCTCGGCCTGTCGGGCGGCCTCAGCCGCTGCCTCTCTCTTCAATTGCTCCTCTTTCTGGGCTAAGATGAGCTTCTCCAACTTCTCGAGCTTGTCTTCGTCGCCCTTCTTCTTCGCCTCTGCTGCAGCTGCTGCGGCATCCGCTGCGGCCTTTCGCTTCGCCTCATCCTTCTCGATGCGGGCCGTCTTTTCGGCAATGAGGAGATCCTCGAGCCTGCTGAATTTGGCATTCTCGGCGGCCTTTCGCTCCTCCTCGGCTTTCTTCTCGTCTTCGGCCTGCTTGAAAAGGAGCAGCCTCTCTAGCTTGCTCAGCATCATCTCCTCCTTCGGGTCGGGCTGTGGTGGTGGTGGCGGCGGCGGAGGAGGAGGCGGGGGAAGGGGCACCATAGCTTGTGGCGGAGGTGGCGGTGGTGGTGGTGGAGGGGGAGGGGGAGGGGGAGGGGGAGGTGCCATGGCACCATCGTGGTGGTGGCCATCGTGATGAGGTCCAGGAGTTGATTTCTTCGACGAAGGGTGGGGAGGCGGAGGAGAATGATGCGACGGCAGTCCATAGTGAGGCGGGAAAGGCATACCGCCCATGCCAGGGGGCATACCTGGTGGCATACCGTATGGCGAGCCTCCATACGGCGGATAGTAGCCGTTGTTTGCGTAGAACGGCATCATCTCGTTGGACGGCATGGGAGGCATGGAGTTGCGGTGTCCCCGTCCGCCGCGGCCTTGTGGACCCTGGCCTCCGGGAGCTCCTGGGCCCATGGGGTCAAAGTATCCGGGACCGCCTGGGGGAGGAGGACCTCCCGGGCCGCCCGTGAAGGGATTGGCACCGCCAGCAGCGAAGGGATTCTGGCTGTAGCCATAGGGATCATTTGGACTTGCGAACGGCACGAGCGCATTCCCTCCAGGACCTGGCGGTCCTCCACCGGTGAACGGATTATGTGCGAAGGACATGGAGCTGGGCGCGTAACCACTCGGAGTTGCCTGGTGGGGGATGTGCGACCATTGAGAGCTGGGATGGTGAGGCGGGCCTGGGGGTGGAGGGGCACCGCCCCGTGGCGCGTACGGGTAGTCGTCCTGCCCGTCTAGGCTATCCGAATGGTCGGATTGGGGCCTGTGGACGGATTGGGGCCTGGGCCGCCGCCGTCTAGGTTCGCGCTCCAGGGTTGTGTGTCTGCTCTGGGACCTCTGGCGAGAGGGAGGCTCGTGAACGGAGGGGGCGTGTGGAACAGGAGGACGAGAGGATTTTCGTCGTGGGGGTTGCGGTCGAGGAGCTGGGGCGGGAGGAGGGATGGGGACGTGGTGGTGCTTTACCTGGCGAGGTCGCGAGGCCGAGTCTGAGGGTTCGATGTCGTCTTCGATGTAGTCCCAGTCGTCCTCCTCTTCTTCCTCGTCTGAGTCAAAGTATTCTTCCTCTTGGCTTCCCGACGAGACCTGGACGCCAGACGAGTCTTCTTCGTCGGAGATGTAGTGCTGGTGTTCCGCGCCCGTCCTATGATTGACGGTGATTTTTCTAAAAGAGAGGAGGACGTCAGTGTTGCCTTCAGCCATTTTGGATGCGACGGAAACACTAGATGGGGCGCAAGTGCGGGAGGGGGAGGGGAGGGGTCGACGACGGGAAACAGGACGGCGCGAAAGCGACCGTCGAGAGACAGGTTGACGCTGACTGGTAGGAAGGGCAATAACTAACGGCATGGAGGTTGTTGATGTGGTCAAGGGAATACCGTACTCGAGCCCTTTCTACCAGAGAATGGCCGAGTCCGGTAACCTTGAGGCAAGGTTGTAAAAGGGACCTGTTGTCCTAGGGTGAGTCTTGAAGACCGAGTGCGACTGCGCGCAAGAGAGCGAAGCAGACGGCGGGGGTTATGCTGACCGGCGCAAGAGGGCGCAAAGGGGTATGGCGACAACAATGGAGGGGCAGCAGCCGGTAGAGGAAGAGGGAGGGAGACGAGTGAGTCGTCGCGCAAAGTTTGGTAGAGTAGGTAATTAGGGCGAAGAACCACTAGCTCAAGGGGTCTTGTTTGTAAACAGGACCGACCAAGTCAACAAGGACTCGGAGAGTTTGGTGGTGTTGGGTTGGGGTTCGACGACTGCAAGCGGATGACAGCGACGAAGGATGAATGATTCAAGAGTGCGTGTAGCGGCCACAGGAGGGTAGGCGAGCTATATTACGATGACACTCTTGAAGGAGGGGAAGGGTGGGGGAGTAGGAAGGAAGGGGGGAAGAGAGGGAGGGAGAGAGTGGAAGAGGAAGAGGGAGAGGAAGAAGGATGAAGGAGTAAGAAGAATAAGAGGAAGAGGAGGAAGGAGGAGTAATAGAATAGAGTAGAATGTAAAGTGCGTAAGGTAAGAAGAAGCCCAAGAAGAGATGGGGCCAGCAAATGGTAGGGCTGAGGATGTGATTCGACGATGCGTTGGTTGGGGTAAATGTCTGTCTGTTACTCGTCTCAAGGAGAATCGGCTGAAGCTGATCACCGGGCAGGAGCTGGTCCTGGCGCTTCCTTCCTTCGACAAGTATTCTTCTCTTGCTTTCTTCCTTTCGTTCTTTCCTTTCTGTTGGCCGCCTCGGTGGCCTACAAAGTGATAAATACCTGGGTACCTGGCTGGCTGTCTACCTCGATCTGGGTAGTATGGACAGGTGGGTACTGTGCAGGTGTAGGTCACAAAGACGTTGAATGGATGGATAGCAACCAAGGAACCAAGGAAGGGAGTGAGGGAGGATTGCGTTCGTCTGTTTGAGATTGGACGGCAACTAGGCTGAGAAAGGCGAAGTTGCAGATTGTTCTGTTGCGAGGGGGGGATGCGTCGCGCGAGGGGTGGGTGTGGGAGTGCCGAGTAAGAGAAGAGTACCTCGTAGGAATAAAAGTATAAATAAAAAAGGCGTGTGTGTGCCTTGCTCAGGAGTCAAGGCGGTGTTGCGTGTGTGCTGGACCGTGTATGGATGGTTGTATGCGCTGTATGCGAGTATTGTGTGCTGTGTGGGCGGGCAGCAACGGGTAGGCAAGCAGGCAGGCGTAGGCGGCGTGGAAGGTGCAGCAGAAGGGAGCAAGGAGGGGTGAGTGACTGTTGGTGATGACGACGGTTATGTTGTGTTGTTGACAAGGGAGGACGGGAGGGGGGGAGGGAGGGGAGTCAACAAGCGACCACAAGCGAAACAACAATCGATAACCGTTCAGACCCAATGTCGGCCCAGGTCGTCTCTCTCGTTCGGTGGGGGTCGAGGAATCAAGGAATAAGACCTCAGGAAGAACCTTGCTGATGTACAACCGAATATGTAACTTGGCTCTGTTGTAAAGAGCCAAATACCGGATGTTCAACCAGATAATAAGGAAGGATATTTGAAAGGATAAAAAGAACTCTCCGTGGGAAGGAAGAAAAGAGAAGATAAATCCCAGAAGAGACAAACACCAGAGTAGTAGGTAAGGAGCAACAGCGGAAACCCGCAGATATTAGGCGACCAGGGTGTCCAGAATCCTAGCTGGAACACAAATAATAATGGATGGGCTCTAATATCCTTCCTCTTTTACTCTCTCTGTGTTCTTTCCAGACTAAAAGAGAACTATCTTATTTTCTTTTCTTCTTCGTGTCTCTTTGCCTTTGGGCTCGATTGAACCGGGATGATAAACGTTCGGCAATAGTGGCTAGACCGCGGATGGGGTGGGTGGAGCAGCTAACTCCTCGTATGTATCAGGCCTCCTTTCGTCGTTCTAGCGAACGAACAACAACAGGGTTTCGTTTGGTAGAGGTGGGTTCCAGGTCAACTGGAACGAGCAAGAATGATGGAGGAGAGGTGGATGGACAAGGTAATTGACTGATATAAGATGATGTAGGAGGTTTTGTTTAGGATGGCCAAGAAAGGAGGGAGGACGGTGGAGAGGGCAATAACAAAACAAATAGAGGGTTCGTTTATAGGGTAAGGTAAGGTGGTGATGGATGGAGTAGATATGTGGTGGTTGCAGATGATCGACTGGAATGTGCACTACTAGACACGAGTACGGAGTACTGTAGTATGTATGTGTAGATGTATGTATGTATGTATGTATAAATCTCGCGGGGAAACCTGGATGTTCCGTTCTGCCTCACTTCTTCTTTCAAGGTCTGCGACGAACCCTTCGAATCAAACAACGATGCGTAGTGTTCAGGGCTGAAGGGTACATAGTCTGATGGCAAAGGGGAGAAGCAAAAGGCTTGGGATTTGCAACGAGGCAGCAAGTAGGCGGTCGACGAGGCAACTGGCTGTCTGGCTGTCTGGCTGGGCTGGGCTGGGCAAGAGGAACAAGAATGGAATATCCCAAAATGGTCGGCAGGTGATGATGATGGCGTAGTGTATGCAAGATGCTGTGAGATGTGTGTGGTGTGCAGTGGTAGTGGTAGTGGTAAGCTGGGATGGCGATGTCTAGAGCCTCCCCTTCCACCCCCGACCTCTATGCTCTATTTATTTGCGTACACCGGTCTCAATAACCACCAGACTCGACCGAAAAGAGGTCGCGGAGTCATACATACATACCTGGGTAATTAACAGCAAAGACAACAACCCCCAATCCGGGTCCAGATTCTCGTCTTGTTGTTCGTTGTCGTCTGTCGGCGTCCGTCTTCGACCCAGGGGTCACCAAATTGACGTGGTCGCTCGTTACTTGTTGTTCGACCGATTCCCCACTTTCAACGACGACTTGCCCGCCAAACAATCGTCGCCAAACCACTTAGTACGTACTCCGTACTCCGCAACAGCCCAAAATCTCTCTTCACCGTGCCCCCCAAAAAACCCGCCTCGAATGCTCAATAATGAAGTAACGCTATCCAAGAACCTCATGCAGCCCAAAGTTGCCGCCCAATCTGTGTTGGCGATTGGGCTTGGGCCACGTTGGAATTGCTCCTCCTCACTAATGGTAATAGGTCTACCGGCTGGTTGGATGACGATGCGCCATGCCCGCCGGTTTTTTTTTTCTTGCATTCCCTCGCCCACTGCCGCCGGCCGCTGGTGCCCGCTTTCTTGCATTAGTCTGCCTGGCCGGAAGAGGTTCCTGTGTGCACGAAACGAATCCAGTGGGTTTGTTCTGCCATCTTCACCGGTCGAGAAAGGTGGTGGTGGGCAATTATCTGAATAGCATGGCGTGGTATGGCAGGGCATGGCATGGGATATGTAGCAATGACAAGCATATGTACAGTGTGTATTAAACTATTCACCCAACCGGAAGTCTAAAGAGGGCCCTCGAGCATCGTCTTCTCGAGACCGTGCCCGTGAAGGTATATCATCGCTAACTCACGTTGCTGCTGTTGCCGGTCACCTCCACGATCACGTTGGCAATGGTGCTGAACGTCCAGAGGGCTATCAGGCCCCACCCGATCTTCCTATCCATCCTCCAACCCCTCCAAGGGACCACCACCATGAGGCCGACAAGCGTCACCAGTAGCGTGGCCCCTGATATTACCAACGTCGTGCTCACGTCGATGTGGTAGGGTTTGAACCGGATCGGGCGGTCGGGGTGCTTCTCGTGCCGGTGCCTCTCGCCTTTGATGGTGATGTAGCAGCCGCTCAGACCAATCCCCAGAAGGATGTTGAGCATGGGACCTCCGAAGCACGCCGAAAGGGCCATCACCGGGAATCCAAGTCGTGCCACCGTGATATCAGCCACCAGATCACCCAGCGAATTACCGACTGCGAAGATGGTAAGACCAAGAATAGCGTCGCTGATGTCGAGGATGACTCCCAGTGTCTTCAGCACTCCCACCACCTCATTGGCGATGGAGCTGATCCAAGCTATGCTGACCGCGAAACCAAAGAAGCAGAGCAGGGTGCGCCATGCTGGCGGTCGTGCCGGCGTTGTCGTCGTCAGGACTGCGGCCAGCAAGACAAGCGAGAGCAATAGCGAATATAGAGTCGGTTTCACAAGCGCACGGGGATTTTCCAAGTCTGTGTTGGCCCATACAACGAAGACCACGAAGAAAGGCGCAGTGAAGACTTGCGTGATCACGAGCCACCGGTTCCATTGCTGCTTGGGCTCTAATTGTAGAGGGTCCACGGGGAACTCTCCTGGGGACGGGAGGATGCGGCTGTCTTGCGTGCCGACCCGCAGAGGCGATTGCTGGATGGGATTGGCACTCCCGGCCCGAGAGACTTGAACAGTGCTATCGGGTTTGTTGTTGATCAAAGCTGCGCCCGAAGGACTGTCTGGTTCAACTACAATGTTAGGCTGATTAGGACTAACACCCTCATGCAATGTGCCCGCTAGACTGAGTGAAGGAGACGGTGGAATATCGCTCTGGTCGTCCCGGTGGGTCTCCACGACAGGGAGTGTGATAGTCAGTAGGAAAACACTAGGTGCGGCGACCACACCGAGCATCTTCTCCCATATACTCTTAGTCTTCCAATTGTCAAGCGTTGGGAATAAAGTGCACGTGAGCACTCGAGGGGAGGGAAGAAATCGAGTTGGCCACCATTTCGGGGGCTTAGTATGGTTTGCTGTTCGAGAGAAATGATCTGGTGGGAAAAGAGACTCAGGGGAAGCGCTTGGAGATGGCAAGCGAATACTCGGTGTCCTCGAAGAGCCACCCGCGGAGAAGGGATAATCAGTATATGCAGGAAATGGGATTGGTGGTGATGATGCTCCAGGTACTTGCAGTTTGGGGAGAGGTCTCCTCTGCGCATCGTTGGAGGGACCAAGGACAGGAGAAGAGCTTGCGCTTGTGCTGGCAGTTCCAGTGCCATCCAAACTGGGCGGGGCAAGCTTGTTAGGGGACACGGTCCGACCTCTTGCTGGCCCAGGGCTAGGTGACCTCGATGAAGGTAGGGATGTTGGCGGAGAGAGTGTAAAATTGGGTGCAAGCATAGGCTGGCTGGGTGCATTCAGACGTGTGCGATCGTCTTCTGGCGATGGCGGACCAAATTCTATACTGGGGACTTCAACTTGCCATGTACTGGGATCGATTCGCCTGTTCCCAATGTCGTTGGTGGAGACGGCCCTCACGCGATTCCCAGACGGTCCTTGCACTTCGACGCTGGGCCGTATGATGTGCGGTGACAAACCGCTTTCCTCGGTTGGCACGTCATAGGGAGGGCGTGGTGCCGGGTCCAGTGATGAAGATATCAGGCCTTGCTGTTGAGCCGAAGTGAACGTAGGATCGTCCGAATACCGCCTCAGGTTTATGGGCATGGACTGGATGTTTCTTGACTTATTCAATGAGGTGAGGACAGCTCGAAACTCCAACGCGCCGACCAGACTGGGCCGAATAGGTGTATGAGTGTTGCGCCTCGATCCTACGGCAGACCTACCCAGGCGCATGTTGTTGCTCAATTCTCCAAGCCAACGCTCGCGGAACTCCTCATTATCGTCACCTTCGAGAGAATCATCCATGCCTACACGCTCCAGCGCCGAGAAATCGTCCGCAGATGCACCTCCAAGAGGGCTGCGTGTCCCTGAAGTAGCCGGTCCATCGTCTTCGTCGTGGTATTCTTCTGGTATCTCCTCTTCGTCTCCTCCAGGGAGCACATACTGGCTCCGAATGGCAGCAGCTCTTCGACGCCGCGCCAATCTCCTTCCGAGCCACCAGTGCCATACCATGACGAAGCATACATAGAATATGTAGAATGCAACCATGAGAATGGATTCCCACAGTGACAGTTTCCCGTCCCACAAGAAAACCATGCTGAAGCATGCGGCGAATATGAAGAAGGACACATCGCGTATGAAACTCTTGCGCGCCACTTTGAATGGCCGCACCAGCGCCATTGATCCTGCCACAACTGCAGTTATGAACCCTGCAGCGCCTATCAATTCTCCAATGGCCAGACTCGCGGAGTTCGTGCTAAAAGCTGCGAACGTGGAGAAGACGTCCGGGCTGCCATTTCCAAACGCAAGAAATGTGACGCCGGCCATGCTTTCGCTCATCCCCAATAGGTTGGAGATTGTACTAAGATTGACGCAGAAGAAGTCACTTGCAGCTATTCCAATGGTACTGAATAGGAGGCCTAGCCAGAGTACGAGAATTGCGAATGCGATAGGTTTGACGTGGGGAAGTCGGCAGTAGTAGAGAGACAAGTACGAGAAGACTCCAGCTTCTTCATCGGGGCAATTGGCATGCACGAATGCGCACTTATCGGCGGCATGGTGGACTAGTCGACACTACATACTGGTTTAGAACAGAGAGCTGTACATGGGGGAGGAAGGTAGCTTCTACTAGGAGCATTCACATACCTCCAGATTCTCTTCTCTCTTGTATAGGGATGCTCCTTTAGGCACTTGTGTTCCGCTCACTCCCTCTCGGCTCCATGCGATCAAGGATAGAACCAGAAGCGCGACTATCGTGAGGACAAATGGTCGCGCCGAGTATCTGGGTCGCGGCGACAGGCCATAACGACTGGTGGTAGTTCGCATGCGCATTGTCTATAACATCTTCTCGCGATAGTGTTCTTTCAGAAAAAGGCGAAATTCAGCGTCTTTGATAGATATCCGAGAGTAGAAAGCGATTCGTAAGGATTGCGGTGCGCGCGGAAGCTGCTCGTATCATGCGTTCGAAGCTCCGTCGTTACAGGGAGTTAGCGGAGTCCAGCAATGTCTCAGAGGCCGCTGGCGCAGAGTATGATCGCAACAGGGTACAGTCAAGTATCAAAAGTAGGATAAGAATATGAGTGCTGGGCCAGCGATCGTCGTGCGCAAAGGATAGGGCGTGGGGAGAGTCGAGGAAGCCGAAACGCAGGGTCAGTAGAGGGAGTGGAGCAACATGATTTAAGCATCAGGAAGCTTGCGTCAGGCAAGTTGGCGTAGCGTATCTTCGGTACCGCCACACTATGGATTGATTCCTGAGGGGTGCACTCTTGGCTACTTAGGTAGCAACACCAGCGGTGGTAGCATGGGGTCGCAACAAATCAACACATTTCTTTGGTCCGCGAGCGCGCATCGAACGAAGAGCACAGCCTTCTTATTGACGTTATTCGAAGAAGTAGCCTGTTCTTGGGATGTTGTCATGTTGATGAATGTCGTCGTTTCCCTGTGAGCGCCACTTGAACCCTACGTGCCACCGTACCACTGCCTAGGTACAACATGGTAATTAGTCCAAAGCTGGTTAGATACTTGTAGGGGGGAAACGCATTCACGTGACGTCGGAGTTACCGCAGCGATCGCCGACCGTGTTGTTTGTTGTGAATTATCATCATCAACAGCGCCAACCAACGAGAACGACAAACGACTAACCATAACACTGAGAGAGCCACCCTCAGAATGCCACGCGTAAGAGAGTCGAGCGCAGTTGCCGCGACACCTCGCAAGACATCCATCAAGTGAGTCTCCAACCCCTCTCCTTCTCAAATAACAGGAATCAACACCACTGACCCCCCGCGCCAGGATCCCATTGAACGATGATCGTCAGGAAAAAGCGAACAGATTACAACAAAGGAAGGCACAACAAGGCGCACAAATGGACGCAATAAGAGCATCGGCCACCCCCAACCGGAGACGGCCTCTTGCAAACAACAGCCCCCGCACCCCCGCACACGACCAAGACAGCATGTTGGATGTCACAGGAACGGCGGTGACGCCAATGAAGCGTATGCCGTTGTTAGCAAACTTCGAGGAATGGATGAAGCTTGCGACGGACAACAAGATCAATGCCACCAATTCATGGAACTTCGCCCTTATTGATTATTTCCATGACATGTCCTTGCTCAAGGAAGGGGATGGGGTTAATTTCCAAAAAGCCAGTTGCACCCTGGATGGCTGCGTGAAGATCTATACTAGTCGAGTCGACAGTGTCGCAACGGATACCGGCAAACTCCTGAGTGGCCTCGCAGAAAGTGGAAACAAGAAACGCCGTGGTGACACAGATGAGGACGCCGACGGAGACGAAGAGGAGGAAGAGGGTGAAGATGGTCAGAAAAAACGCAAGAAGAGAGCCCAACGAAGTGCCGAAGCGACGCTGGCCCCATCATTCGCACAGCTACAGAACAAGAAAATGGAATTAGAGCTCTCTGTAGATCCTCTATTCAAGAAAGCCTCCGCGGACTTCGACGAAGGAGGTGCTAAAGGTCTGTTGTTGAATCATCTTGCCATCGATGCTGATGGAAGAATCGTGTTCGACAGTAGCGACGATGCAAAAGATGCAACCGCGAACAACAGAGGCTTAACTCCAGCACCAGACCAGCTCGAGACGATTCAGGAGGTCCCTGAGGAAGATGACGAAGTAAACGGTAACGACATCCAAATTGACATCTCTGGACTGGCCGCGAGATTCTTCCCAGACCTTTCACGACTGGATGAGCAGGACATATGCCCTTCTTTGAAAACTTTCGATCTTGGAGATTCCAACGGAACTTTAGATCTTCCCTTTCTCAAAGCGCCAGATGACTGGCGACAGGACGAGAGCAGCAAGGATCACGGTGATGATGAGGATGGAAATCGCTCTGGTGTCTTCCTTGACGAAGACAATGCTCCCGGCTTTGATGATGACGATGATGGGGGTATGGCTGGTTTCGATCTCCCACCTGAAACCGGATTCGGAGAAGGAGGAGAAGTTTGGGCTCGCGAGGCTGCACACCTTCCTCAAGCTCGAGTTCACAATATCGGGATGGGTGAAGGGGATGACGTCTTGGAAGGGGTAGAAGATGGGGCTTTGGGCTCGAACGACCCTGAGTACGGCCTGTCCGTCACCAACAACCGCGGGGACGAGCAAGAGAACATTCTCAGTTATTTCGATCAAGCTCTGAAGAAGAACTGGGCTGGGCCTGAGCATTGGCGTATTCGACGGATTAAAGAAATTGGCAAGGCTCCACCACCAACAAAGCGAAAAGAAAAGGAACCTTTTGAGATCAACTTCTCTGCCCCGATGCCTCAGGCCATGGCCGATGTTCTCTACACTCCGGCTTCGTCCAACTCTACCATCACTCTGCCAAAGGCGCAATGGAAGTCGAAGTCCAGGAATCTGCTCCCTGACGATAAACACTTTAATTCTAGGCAGTTGCTGCGGCTTTTCTTGAAGCCAAATGCTCGAATGGGTGCACGGAGAACAGTCGGAAACAGGCAGAAGGACCGGAAGTTGGATGCCAATGCAGGCACTGAAGTCGACGAAGCATACTGGGCCCAACGAGAGCGTGATGAGAACGAATTGGCAGCTGAAGAGGCTGAGGCCAAGGGCGACTATGATGCAGATTTCTTCCAGGACGATGGACTAGGGTTGCCCGGCGATCCGTTTGATGATGACAACGATGATCAATTTGCAGATGCTCGCGATCACTTCTCCCCGCCCGCAGAGGATGGCCCTGGACAGACACAATCGCTTGATGCCACGGTGGCTGGTAATCAAGAAGGCGCTTTTGGTACACAGCTAGTCACCCAAAGTCGACGTATAAGACCGGAATATGTGCAGTACGCTAGGGTAGCAAAGAAGGTGGACATCCGACGGTTAAAGGACAACCTTTGGAAAGGAATCGGTTTTGAGGAGGTTTGTATTATCGGAAAGCACAAACATATAGCAACTAACAATATGCAGAGCAATCCCACAGAAGCATCAGAAACTCTGGAAAAGGCTTCATTCACGCCAGCAAACAGCACCTTGAAGTTCACCGAAGTCATGAATGACCTCCAGACCGTATATCCTTCAAAGGCGATGGCGGATATTTCCACTTCATATTGTTTCATCTGCTTACTACACTTGGCAAATGAGAAGGGTCTCGTTATCAATAACGAACCAAACTTCGAGGAGCTTTCAATCCGGAGAGACTTCTCTGCCGACCTTAGCGTTGGTGGAGAGTAGATGTACATTTATCTAGTCGTTGGGTTCATACGGGCGGCTCGTCAGATAGGCGTTGGGATGATGGATGATTGAATGCTATACGTAAATACCTAGCTGCGAGTAGAATCGCTATTGTCTTTTCATTGAGATTCCCAACCAAATATTCGAAAAATATTGTTCTCACCATCTACCAATACCACATTCATACCTCTAATCCTGGGGACGGATCACGGTTGGTACAGGGTATACCCCTTTTTGGCCTAGCGCATAGACCAACTCATTCAACCCGGACATATCGTCACCGCCGAAGAACTTAATGTGACAGATACACCACGAGTAGCTCAAAGACCACGCCTTAGCGGAACATCAGTCTCTTCCCTTTGTTCTTTGAGAGCCAAATAGGCTACTCTGTGTCAATATGACGTATGGCTATACTCCTAGATACACTATTATTAGCTAACGTTACTCAGGCGCAACATTCGCCGCGAAGCTCTCGAGAAGCTTGCGCAGCTATCCGTCCCAACGACATCGAACAAGCCGACGAAGGATAGCTTCACGAAGTTATATCAGCGATGCCCGAGCCTATCTAAGGCAAATGGAAGCGCAAATTCGCAAGATGGCATTTCTGTGGCCGGCGTCCGAATGGTAGGAACATCGTAGAAATCTAAGGGAAATGAAATCAAGGTCTGACGGCGCACAGAGAGTTACCGAACTGGAAACAATCCTGGCACTTTGTAAGGCGGCACCCTTCGTTGAACCGTCAGAGGTGGCTGCCGAGCTCCTCAATCGTCTTGCCCCATACCTACCCGAATCTTACGCCCAAGTACTGTCACCATCACCAAACCTCCGCGATATCGACCCCTCTCCGTATGAGGTTTTGACTGGAAGCCTGGCATCGGCAATCTTGTCAATCGGTGTTCGCCACGAGAGCCTGCGACCTCAGGTTTATGCGACGATTGTAAAATATATCAAAGGATGGTCGAAAGCTGCTGCTGAACTCTCCGCGGATCAATTCGATCATGATGACCGTGTTGACTTTGCGGCCGATGGGGAGTTGGCGCGTGTCATGACGCAGAGCATGTCATTGCTGGGATTCCTGAATGCAACGGCCGAATTTGCGGGCTTTTGGAATTCTTATGAGAGACTCCAGATGGTTGAGGAAATCCGCGCAGCATTGTCAGAGCAATACTTGATCGCATTCGAGGCAGCATTGTCGGTGGTCCGCAACGCACGCTCTCACCAACATGGACTCAGGGAATGGAAACGTTATGCGAAACACTATGCGGCAATCGGCAGGCCGCTTGGTGCCATGATTTTGCATGATGCCTTGCTGAAGGTTGTTGTTGCTTCGGCTTCTATGCTTGTAGAGACACCAGATCGCAACCCTCAGGATTCTGTGCTAGTCCATCTGAGTTCACAATTTAACAGTAGCCAATTCGTCCGGTCTGCTTCCGAAAGTGCTTTAGCAGAGGGGTTGACTCAAATCTCTATAGAAGAGATGGAACGCCTAGAGAACGACTTAGACTACCTCCAACGCGTTGGGTCCCCTTGGCAGCAAAAGCAAGCGTCCGCCGTCAAAGCTAAAGTCATTACGACTTACTTGTGCTGCACTGTCTATGATGAGGATATAGCGGAATCCGACCTGTTGATGTCCTGGTTGGATCGAGCGTTGAATGATCCGGCGCAGGCCTCAGATGAGGTATTAGCATCAACCGTCTTACGATCAATGGCAATCTTAGCAAAGGTGGACACTTCGCTGGCCTCCAATCTAGGCCGCACACTTCCACGAGCTATTGTCCAAGGAGGCCTAGACCACAGGACATCCAACGTTGCTGCAGAGAGCCTGGCTTCAGTACTAAGCCTTTTGCCACAGGATGCTATCATTACAACATTGTACAGTCTTGGGAACGTGATCAGCGCCAGTGCGGTGCCCGATCGTGAAACCGCATCCCCTGCTCTGAATGGGACTGGCAAGGCATCGAGAAATACCATATACAACGATCACAATGCCGGAAGTGCGATATCCCTGACGCCAAGCGATGTAGAGGAACCCAATCACGTTCAAGTCTTGGTTGTTCAAGCAGTGGTGGCCGTGGCCAGAAGCTGCAAGGACGAAAAGATAACTGCGCTTGCGCTCTCAATGCTCATCCAGAAAATTGGCCGAGCAGACAAAGCCGTAGAGGCCAAGATCATCACTGACACTGCACTTCTTGGTATCCATAGTGCGCCAGGTGAATTCCGAGCATTGCTCAAAATTTACTCCAAACTCTCCCACGACGCTTTGGTCAAAAACGATCCGAGCATGCTTGAAGCTGTACGTATTAAATCACTTTTTTTGAACATCTATCAATCGACTGACCGCACTTCTTAGGTGATGAACGCTCGATTGTCTCTGTCCAGAGACATCAATCCTACATCCCCGGTCTTCGAAGCTTATCTGGTCCATCTACTCGACACTATAGTGAGCAAGGGCGATGCACACGATGCTACGAATCTTCACCTCCGTGATAGCGAACTTGCTGCACAAGAGATAGCACAGCTTCTGCTACCTCTGGCAACTTTGGTCTCTAGGGGTGCCGCCAACCCCGAGGCAATTGAGCTTGATGATTCTATTATAAATCTCCAACGAGATGCTTGGTTTAACATTGTTGTACATGGGTTTGATCTCACGACTGATCTAGGGAAAAAACACATCAGCGAGCTCAAGACGCTAGCGCGAGTTAGCCAACCTCTAATTGCTGAAGAAAGGGCCACTCTTGTGGAGAGCGACATAGAGCTGAACACCATCCTTCGACGAGGCAAGTCTCAAGAGCATACTGTCGAGCAAAAGAAGCATTTGTCACAGTTGTTACCAACCTGCGAGGCGGATATCAGGTCTCTTAGTTATTCCGAGGCCGTCTTCCTTAACACAGCCTACTTGGTAGAAGAGCTTCGTGCTGAATCAGGCGATTGTACCAAGGCATTGGCGTATTTCCTCGATCCGAAATTACGCAGTGGCGCAGTTGGCAATTGCATGTTCGCAATTGCTACAGGTGCAACGAGAACTTACGTCTCGAGGACACTTTCTGGCCAGATACACCAATTCTCGACACCATATCTTGCTCAGCAGCTTGCAACGATATTTGCAGGATGCTGCCATCGAATCGCTAGAGTGCAGCAGACAGCGACAGCGTGTGCAGAGATCATTATTCGCGATGTTCCCTCCACTCTCTGTCAAAAGACAGCCCTTTTTGCCCTATTGGAGCTCCTCTCGATCATGTGGTCTAGCTGTCTCGAGGGAGAGACTGATGAATACGGATGGACGTCCACATTCAAGTCTCGAAGATCAAACATTGTTGTGGAACTTTCCGACGACTACGATTTTCGTACAACTACTCTAGCCAACTTCCACAAGCGTGCTTCATTATGGGTGAAGGGTGTTCTAGATATTGCGCCACTTGACATCAAGGGCTTGTTACAGGTAATTTCGTGAGCCGCTTGACAGAGAAAGGAACTAATGCATTTGTAGACTTATCTTTCAGAGTACGATGACGAAGGCGTCTATGGTCATATATCACTTGGCCGTTCATTTGCACTAGAGATGGGATCAGTTATACCAGCCACAGACCAACGCTTGGGTATGTACTTCACTGGTCAAGGTGATTTTCTTGCTGACATAAATAGGTGCCATTGAACCCCAGAAAGGGTTTAGTATCAACACCGCTTCTGACTTTGTTGCGCAATATACCACTCGACAGGAGTACAAGTTTATCGATGGTTTGAACGATCAAGAAGAAGAATGGCTCAGACTTGACCAGAATTCCACCCGTCGAAGCGAGAACTTTGCGTTCAAGCGAAGTATCGAAGACGCGACAAATCTCCTCCTTGACCTGGAGAGCCGAACCCTTGGCCACAAGCACGTCACCATTGCCGAACTGAGAGATATTCTTCGAAGGGCTGCTGCACTATTGTGCAGGGTCAAGACCGACCAAACGCCAATTGTCCAACACTTAGTTGGTATTCCTTTTGCAGTTTTGTCAAAGCAGTCAATCAAACTTGGGATATCGCTCTGGATGAGCGTCATTAAGGAAAATCCCCGCATGGAGTCTAGGATTCTCGTCGCCATTGCTGAATGTTGGGAAACCACCGTTCGAATGCGCAAGGGAATCTTCAGCGACACTCTCAGGTACTAGTATTCAAATATTCACCTGTGAACTACGCTCACATTGATACAGGCATGCGGATCCGTTCTTTGGCAAGCAAGAGTTTGCCCCAACGAACAAGGAAGAACTTTCAAAACGCCAACAACAGATCTACAATCTCATTGCACCTCATTTCCGACTTGTGCAATTTTTGTCAAGCCATTTCAGCGCTACAAGACTTGGCAATCCAGATGTCGAGCGAGTGTATAATCGAATGATGCATATTACATTGGATGCAATGGCAGCCGGATGTCGCCAGCCCCTTGCACGAGAGGCATATTTGCATGTTGTTCTGCTTGGCCTTCGACTTGTACGCCATTGTACTACGCTTCCTAACGCGATAAAATGGAGATTGAAGGATCGTATCTTGACAGCTGGTCTGGCATGGTTTGCTAAAGCTCCCGAGTAAGTATCCCGTAACGACTCATGTTATTGTAGCTAACTTGTAAAGATGGTCTTTTGGAGGCAACCGGCTTCAGATCAAGGCTGAAACGCATGTTCTATCCGACATTCAAACACAGCTGCAGGTTGTTGCGAGTGTTGGGGCAACGGCGGAGCAGTCATTGAAGTCGCTGAAGGCCAAGCAAGAGCTGTTGTCACTTTTATTGGCTAACGAACAGACACGTCTCATGGTTTGGCTATTCCCATTGAACTACGAGAAGAAGCATCATTTTACCTCTGGGCAACACAGCAGAACACTCACGGATGCTACTGTCACCGCGCATCTGAAGACAGCATGGGCTGACAATCCGAGTGTCGCGGTGCACCTAGTACAACGCTTCCAATCTACTCGACTCAATCAGGAGGTTCGTTGGCAGTTGCTCAACTTTCCACACAGAGTTCTAGATGAACCAGATGCTCTTGAGATTCTACTCGATAATCAACTACCGAGTGACGTATCCTTTCAACTCAAATACTTGATGTACTGGGCACCTGTAAACCCCATCACTGCGGTGACATACTTCCTTCCCGCATATGGAAACCATCCATTCATCATTCAATATGCCATGAGAGCACTTGAGAGTCACTCTGTGGATGTTACATTCTTCTATGTTCCCCAGATCGTACAGACTCTTCGATATGACGTCCTCGGGTATGTGGAGAGGTACATCATCGAAACCGCCAAATTCTCGCAGTTATTCGCCCACCAGATCATCTGGAACATGAAGGCCAATGCTTTCAAGGACGAGGATTCCCAAATTGTAAGTCACATGCAAAAAGAACACACTCCAATCACATTCTGACGTCGCTGCAGCCGGATCCAGTCAAACCAACACTAGACAAAGTCATGGCCAGCCTTGAGTCGAGTTTCTCTGAAGAGGATATGGAGTTTTACGAGCGTGAATTCTCGTTCTTCAATGAAGTCACCGGTGTATCCGGCAAACTGCGTCCATTTGTCAAGAGCCCCAAGCCTGAGAAGAAACAGAAGATTGAAGAGGAGCTCCGCAAGATTCAGGTCGAAGTTGGTGTTTACCTGCCAAGTAACCCCGACGGAATTGTGGTTGGCATCGACCGAAAATCTGGAAAGCCCCTCCAGTCTCATGCAAAGACACCTTATATGGCAACATTCCGCATGAGAAAGCAAAGGAAAGATGATGATCACGAAGGCATTGCATCCGACCAAGAGAGTCGTTCCTCCAAGCAGAACACTTACGAATTTTGGCAATCCGCCATCTTCAAGGTCGGCGATGATTGCCGACAAGACGTTCTTGCACTCCAGATGATAGCAGCCTTCCGTGGTATTTTCAACAACGTCGGCCTCGACGTTTGGGTATACCCATATCGCGTAACGGCCACAGCGCCAGGCTGCGGTGTCATTGACGTGCTTCCCAATTCCATTTCTCGTGACATGCTCGGTCGCGAAGCCGTCAACGGCCTTTACGATTACTTTGTTTCCAAGTACGGCGGCGAAGAGTCCATTCGCTTCCAAGAAGCTCGAAGCAACTTTGTCAAGAGCATGGCCGCCTACAGCGTCATCTCATTCCTCCTACAGTTCAAAGATCGCCACAACGGTAACATTATGATTGATGACGCGGGTCACATCATCCACATCGACTTTGGTTTCTGCTTCGACATTGCCCCTGGAGGTATCAAGTTCGAGCGTGCGCCGTTCAAACTCACCACCGAGATGATTGCCGTAATGGGCGGCTCGCAATCGTCGCAGGCATATCGATGGTTCGAAGAACTCACCGTCAAGGCGTTCATTGCTTCGCGTCAGCACGCTGAGCACCTCATCCACATCGTCGAGGTTATGCTTGACAGTGGGTTGCCATGCTTCAAGCCGGAGACGATTCAACACTTCAGGGAGAGGTTCGTTCTGGAGAAGAGTGAGAGGGAGGCCGGCGAATTCATGAAGGAGTTGGTGAAGAAGAGCGCAGGAAGCTACAGCACTGGTGGCTACGATCGATTCCAGTTGCTTACCAACGGTATTCCTTTCTAAACAAGCAAGGATCTGAAGGGAGAGCAGTTTAGTATATAGTAATTGGACAGAGAATGGGGTCTTCAGTGTATATTCACAGGGGACTGAGACCAGCTTTAATTAACAAATTCTCATTAATTGATTTCTGACACTTGATGTTTGATTCGGCATGAAGCTTTTTCAAGGCCTTAGGTTCCATCAGATGCTGAGATCTAGTGAATAGGAATTGAGTAGATTTCTTCATGCCTATGATGCAGTGTCGAGAAAGAAGCAGGACTATCAATTCACCAGATCCCCATAACACTGCTGTTGTAAGAAAGGAAGAGCTGCCGTCGACACATGCCAAAATCTCAGCTTCACGCCTCTCTCGCTGATGAAGCATCTAGGCGTGGCCAATGTGAGTAAGCTGGGCACAGGCGCTGGAACGAAGTAGTCCAGACATGCGCCTCACTAAACATCGCCGACAATATGCGAGTCGGAAGGATTGAAGCGCTCGAGCCATCGCCCGAATTTTGCTTTGACCGTAAGATCATTGTTGCGTAAAGAAAATTATTTCGTGAGATCCCGGAGATTGGAGATTTCACTCAAAGTGTTGGGTTACTTCGACATGATGCTTGTTCCTGGCAGGCGAACGCCACAGTCGTGACAGATTGCAACCTTATGTAGGAAGTTTGAAGCATTGCGAGTGGAAAGGGAATAGGGGTTTGCTAGTTTTGCACGTGAAAGTTGGAGAAGAGCACAAACGTTGGAGAATCTACCAGGTGTGAACGACCGGTGAGACGACGTTGTGCTTTTGCTCAAAGCTACCGCACAGACAAAACTTCCAGCACACGAGCAATTATCGTTACGAATACGTCGTGGCTGATTGTTAAACATATAGATTTGGATTAGAGCCTGCGGAGAATTCTGTGGAATGCGGGCACAACTGGTGATAGACAGGGGTCATGCACGAGCATGTCTCCAATGTAATGTCTCAATTTCCATTATCGGCTATGTAGCTATGTCTCGATTTCGCCACCCTCTGATCGACGACAAGGAATTTCACTTTCAGTGGGTACGTCGCTTACATCCGATTCGGCATGAAACGAAGTGATGGCCGCCATGCCATTGTTGCTCTGCACGAGCTAAGAATCGGATTTGAACAGTTTGTTGACAATCTATTCACAAGACAACAGATGGGCCCAAGGCCAATGCCTCAGCGGCCCCTCGTGTGCCCAACGTGGCATATAGTGTCTAGCCACAAAATGAGTTTACGAGCCATGCTATGTTGATCTGCATTCTGAGCTGAGCAATTAATGGCGACGTCACGGAAGGTGGAAAGGATGGTTTAGCCAAGCGTCGCCGGCCTTTCCTACGGCGTATTACGGGTAGCGGATCAAATGCCGCTCACCATACAATTGGAGCAACTGACCAGCCATGTTATGCCACTGGCCAGGGAATGCCTATTCACGGGAAGATAAGGACCTCGGGATACTGGTATGCACAAGAGAGTAGACTTTTGGAATTCTGATACACTAAGTACGGCTGGAGGACAGCCCATTGTAGCCATAGGCAATTAGCTATCCATTATTTCTCCGGCACATTCAGGGTTGTGTGTCATTTCTTGATATGCCTCCAAAAGACTGAGTGTAAGAATGAGGCTGTTGATTCTGTTGGAGTAACTGAGAAATGATTACCTCAATGTCAATTGGGAGTCTCGCGAAACCTTCCTTACTCTAGAATCCGTATTTGCATTTGACACGGTCATTCAGGGCCACCCCATGCGCTAAGAAACTTAGTCTGGGGTAATTCACCAATAGACCCCACCGAGCGCCCTCCCTATCGTCACCGCCTGTGCTCAGTGTAAATAGCTCTTCTTCGGTGCCGCGTCGTCTGTATCTGTTTCTCTTACACCTACAGTTCGGGAAGAGATTGAGTGTTGTGTGAAATTAGGCTCTCACTTCTCTGGTTCCATGCGTCATCTATTTCCATATGCAAAGGGGGCGCTATAAGCATTGGGTCCCTACAAAATATACACTATCAGCAGAATAATAGAGCCCCTTACGGCTGGACCAGTGAGGCTGTCGACATCAATATGGCTGATCTGCTTTCCGTATGAAGCGCGAGTCAGAAACAGGAAACAGGCTTCCCCGGGCAACTTTGATGCTCCACCGTTTGCTGCGAGTCAGCCTATGATTTTCCCCGACGTCCTAAGCCAGTGGGTTCGCTTGCCTGTGCCGCTTAAGGGATCTACGTGCCGGTAGCTGACGGTTCCCCCTTGTGGGGTTTGCTAATGCCCATGGAGCATGGCATTTTGAATGAGTGCTAAAGACTCGTAACTGGAATACTTGCAATGATTTTGAAACTAGAGCTCGAAACCCTATTTCTTCACAGTCACCCGTCCTTCTTGAACCTGCAGCTCAGGGACCTCGCATTCGTGGACTTCGAAGACACGGTCTTGCATTCACTGAGACAATCCTTTGCTATTCTATCATCGTTTTCTTCGAAATCCTACTGGTACATCTAACCACATCTCTGAATATCTACCTACCCAGCACATTCGTTGCATTTTCCAGCAGAGTTGGTCAACTCGCTATCAACATGGCGCGAGACAATGGCATCGGAACCGACTACAAGATATCATACCCGATAGCCTTGACAATCATGGCTTTTCTAGCCATCTCTTTGTACGTACATGAACAACTTTTTCCCCAGTCATTTCGAGACGGATTCTATCTCGTCAATTTTCAGAGTGTCAAGACTGACTTTTATTGCCCTGCAGGTACAACTGTCTCGAACTCACCCTCGTCATCTTCACGACATTCAAGCGACGGCATGGCCTATATTTCTATTCACTCCTTGTAGCTGCTTGGGGTATACTTCCGTACTCTCTCGGCTTCTTCTTGAAGTTTTACGAAATCACCCACACACAAGCGATATACATCACCCTCATTGCTGTAGGATGGCCCTGCATGGTCACTGGCCAGTCGCTGGTCCTGTACTCAAGGCTTCATCTCATTACACGCAGTATATCCAGCAGAAGTCAGAAATGGGTTCTGATAATGATCATCGTTAACGCAGTCATCTGCCACATCCCTACCATCGTCCTACTTTACGGAGCCAACTCTGGAAACTCTGGTCCATTTCTCACACCATACTCCATCTACGAGAAAGTCCAGATTACCGTGTTCTTCTTACAAGAAGTCATCATCTCTGGCATTTATGTGTTCAAGACGCTGAAGATCTTGCGCGCAGAAGGTGGCATTCGTGGTCGTAATTCTCGAATGGTCATGACGCATTTGGTGTGGGTCAACATGATCATCATCGTACTGGATGTCACCTTGCTCGCCATCGAGTACGCAGGATTTTACGATATTCAAACAACGTACAAGGCTGCAGTGTACAGTGTTAAGCTCAAGATGGAGTTCGCCATCTTGAACAAACTTCTAGATCTCTTCCAAGGCCGTATCCAGGATTCATCGGACGATCCCCGCTCTCATTCTCACGGCCCAGGCACTACGTTGGGAGGAACGACGAAGCGGTCCGCAAACAAGTCCATGCCGACACACAATGGCACTGTCACAGATGGTCTACCCGTCGCTTCAAGCTTGGGCAACTCTGCATACGCAAGAATGAACGACGATGTCGAAGGTACAGGTATCAACTTGACCGATATGAAAGTTATGAAGACTACGGAGGTCACGATTGAGAGAACCGAGAGATTACCTGAGCACGATGGGAGCGATGGAGATCTCGAAAGCGTAGGCGGGACGAGCATCAAGGGAATAGGTGCTCGAAAAATGAGCGCAAGCTCGAGTGAGATCCAGATTGTGAGGAATGGTTACTGAGCAGGATATACCCCCAACGCGATCGACGAATCGCGATGTAGCGTTTACTATAGCAGAGCATAATAGAACTTTCTAGTCAGCAATGAAAATATTCATACTGTGAGCGCCTCGCTCTACAGCCTACCAGCCGTTTCACTCTTTTCAGTCTCGAAATAGCCCAAGCTTGCGACGCACTAGGACACGGCAAGACCCCTGGCGTGCCTGGACACACTCTAAGGCTTGCACTGTCAAATGCTACAATGTCTAGTTCGCCACAGTGGAAACTCTAATCCTTCGCCTGTATTTCGCGCCCTCATCATTCGCAATAATCGACCCAGCTTAGTGATACGACTGGAGTTGATCCAAGAGTCTTGTCTCCACCCAAGATGAACATGATCTACGTCCAGGAAGGGTAAGATGACTCGGCTGAAGGTGCTAGACGGAATGAATCTTCCCCTTCCCCTTAAGTATGCCTATCGTTAACATGCACGTAATTCTGAATGCGAAAAAAGCGGCCAGGACCCACTGGCGAGAGCTACATCTCATGTTCAAGCCGAAGTACCTCGTAAAAGTAGAAATAATTGCATTCTACTCGACTTCCCGTCTCGCTATAAAGATGGACTGTCAGTGCGCCTCAGTGCACCATCCCGCTCTTTTCCATTTCCGTAACATATCTGCTATATCTCGGGATACTTCTCCTTCTTAAGGTCTTACCCCACTTAATCATAATGAAGATTGTCGCGACCTGCGCCAGCCCTACAAACGCAGCAGTAATGAAGCAATTCTGCAATCCCATATTCGTCACCCAGGGAGTGATGCCGTACCCAATCGCAAAGCTCATTGTGTTTCTGACCAGGATAACCGTGATGATAGCCTCCCCAGACAACGCACGGTACGAGTCAATGCAATAGGACACCGACAGCTGAAGTCCAAACGTATTGGTCGCGGAGATAACACCCATGGCGAAGACGGGCCCAAACCAGTGGACGTTGTTAGCTGACCCGACGCCCCAAAGAATGAGCCCGAAAGGAACGAGCACTAGAGACGGGACGAACATCCAGAGCCGATGCTCGGATTCCATGATGCCGGAGTTTTTTCTTGCCTTGCGGATCACGAACCAGTCGCCTACCCAGCCGGTGTACGCCGCGGCCACAACTACACCCAGAAGGGCCGAAACATAACTGAGACCGACCATGCTGGCCGAGAAGCCGTACTTTCCGGCGAGTATCAAGGAGGCTGTCGCATTGAGGACGTTGAACCAAACTAGGTTTGAACCGTAAGAGAAACCGGCGTAGAATATGACTGGGAAAGTCAGGAAGATTAGAGGCCGTGTTGCCATACCCCTCAGTTCGTTAGGCTTCTGGAGATCTGATCTTTGGACCAAGTTGATCTTGTCCCAGTAAGATTTAAGTTTGTATGTATGGTTTTGCGAGACGCCACTTTCGCTCGCTCCTGGCGCAATGTTTTCCGTCTTGTCTGAACGCAATGGTGTCTTAAGGTCGCTTGTCAAAGGAACAACACCACCGTGGTGCCGCACGTAATTGGTCTCTTCCATGAAAAAGAACAGGAAGACGAAACCTATTCCATTGAATATTGCGCACCAGTACTGTTGGCATCAACATCCAGCCTCTGTCAGCACATACTCGAAGACTCACCAATACCCACTGCCATCCTTGTCCATCACTGATAAAGCCTGATATAATGGGTGCAAAGAAACTGCTACCAGCCAATAGGAGCGCATAGAGCGCAATGTATCGGCCTCGCTCGTGGGTGAAATAAATATCGGTGATGCTGATCTCACAAAGACTCTCAATGGGCGCACCAGCAAAACCTTGAACGATTTTGTTCGCTATCCAATGCCCGTTGGTCCTTGTATGTGGTGCCCATATCTGCGTGGCGATCGTTATCAATATAGACAGAAGATAAACCGGTCGTTTTCCATATTGTAGTGCAAGTGGTTGCCAGATAAGACAACCCCAACCGAAGAACAAAAACATATAACTGTGAATAATCAGTGATGATCGTCTTTCCATAAAGCAAACCCTAAACGCACCCAGTCCCGCGATTCAAGTCGTCCAGAGTCAGGGATGTTTCTTCACTTATCGGCGCAAAGACACTATAGATAGCAGCGCTGGTGAGGCCAACGACGAATGTGTAAATGCACATGCACGCAGTGCTCAGCGCTTTTCGAGCCGGCGACCAGTTCAACGGATCATCGGGGTCTGGTGAGGGTGCAGGAACAAGTACTATATCTCTCTGGGACCCTTTTGCGTGCTGTGCGTGCATCGTCCCGAGTAGATCTACCAGGTGAACGGTTCCTGGAATTTGCTCATTTTCTTCAGGTGGAGCTCCTTCCGAAGGCCTGTCGGTGTTCAACGGTCTGTCCTCCGCACTCATGGTGGAAACGGAGTGTTTCAGGTCACGGGTATTGGTCTGTTTTCTCTATGTCATGATCCGATGACAGAGTGCTGTTGATATAGTGTTTCGCGCCCAGTCTCAACGACGCAAATCATACCGTGTTGGGCATTCTGCTCGTAGCGCAATTTGAGAACAATTGCACAAGATACAAGTAAGATTGACGCTGTACAACCATGAATTTGGTATATGTGTGAGGCGCTGAAACAGGTCAGAGTTAACCCTCGCCATCCCACTAAGGCATGCGGGGAACGGCAGAGGGGCTGACTCCACACCCCGGCCTTTTGCGGAGAGATAGAATATCAACTCAAATATAGTACTATTTCCTCCCAACGCGCTTAGTGAATCGGGATCTTTTATCAAGGTCTCGATATCCAGCGCTGATAAATCTTTGAGGCATGGTATTTCACTTGGTGTTATGTCCCTCTATCCGATGCCAACAAGTCGGGCTGAGGGCTATACAGGATAAGGTGAGCGATGATCTGATAACACTGATTACCCCAGTGCCCAGTTATCTTAGCGCCTGTATCCCATGTCTCTTAAGATAACCTTATATATACTATTGAAGAGGAAAGAGTATCGCTCACCAACTCGAGTCCGCTTGATGCTCGTAGCTATCGCCAAAATCGGTCTGATTGTGAAGGATACATGCAAGGTTGCCTATTGATATCATGTCGACTATTCGAATGAGAGGTTTCGAGTCGCCCTGACGAAAGCTTGCATGCATCACCCAATCCTTCGGTAATTGACAGTGATAAAGTCTCCCAAAACTTTTACTGACATTATATTAGCCTCACGCAATCAGGAAATATACCCAATCTTTTCGCAACCGGACAAGTGTACGATTCGTATATTCATGTATTAAGCAAACATAATTGAAGACATGTGATACCAATATCCTCAACGAATTGTGGGCTTGATGGCATACCATGGTTCACTGAGCCTGTCATCGAAAGTTTCGATCTGAAACTAATGCGCAACATGCCCGCGCAAGGAAGAGGGCAACAACCTGAGAGGACGAAACACTTCACTAGTGTTTAGTGTCACGCTCTTTGTGTGGTATTGGTAAGACACTCTAGAAATTACACATGCTCCTCCACGTGCCCTCGTATGATTCTCAACCATAAAAGACTCTCATGCGTTGTGATCTCCCTTGAATATCATGTTTTATTTCAAGAGAAGAAAGGATTTGCACATAGAACAGAGACAATTTCTTGTGTACTATTGGTAGCTCATTCAACGATTTTGGAATCAGTCCTGTGTTGTTGGCATTCCGGACAATCCGAACAATACCGCGTTAGTCTAGATTAGGCAGTTTATTGTTGACCAATGGCAAAGGGAGGAGACATAAAATAAAAGAATAAAAGGTTTCGACGTCGCAAACGATATTCTCTGATTCATTTAGTGTTGAACATGCGCTAATGAACGAAATCTCCTGCCTCTTTCTTCAAGCTCCATAGGATAATCAGATCCATAGACTCGCAAAGAGGAGTATGTTGTATGGAGGAACATTCGCCGCGAATTGATTTTCGTATTACCACATAGAACGAAAATTCAATATCGAGTCCTGGGTCTAGGCTCTATGAAGAAGGCTCACTCTGACATTTAACTGGTTGACTGCAGGGCTCCGCTGAAGAAGTGGAGTAACAGTCGGGATGTAAAAATCCGTAAGTACTGCGTACCTACGGCAGGCACTCTGGAATACCTGCGCCTACTTAGGGTTAAGTACTTAGGTATGTTATGTACGTGGAAGAAGACGATGAATGACAAGGCAGGATCTTGCAAGACATAGAATTTGAATCACTCGCAATGCTTCATACACAGTCAATTGATTGTCAACAATTATTTCACATAATGTTGAATGAGACATCTCCGTGGACGTGTGCAAGTTACAAAAAACTTCTCAGCCTTCCCGGGCCTTATCTCACCAAATGCTTGGCAGAGGGGGGACAAGGTCAAAGCCAGCCAATGAGAGCAAGAGATGACGGAGAAGCCCGAAAGATTCAACCAGTGGGAGATGCTGAGTCAAGCCTCAAAAGTTTACCAGTTATCGAATGACAATGAAGACATGCCGTGGATGCATTTGTACAGGGAAGCAGACGTGCAGATAAAAGGCGGGGTAGGTCGCATCGTTATCTCCATCTCAACGATCCCTCTTCTTCCGCACTTTATCTGATCAAAATGCTCTCTAAGACATTGCTCAGTGTTGGCGCTCTGCTCGCTCAGGCGCAAGCAGAAACTGTTTTGGGTGTGACTGTCTTCAGCCGTCATGGTGACCGTCAGTGAATTTATAACTTCAATGGGTATGCACCGTAGCTGAACTAGCATAGGTACCTCGAAACATTACAAAGGTTACACATTGACGAATTTGGGCGTGCAACAAAACTTCCGAGTCGGAAGTGACTATCGCGACACATATATCTCGTCGGACTCATCTAAGCAGATCCTGGGCATCTCCGAGGATAAAGTTGTAAATTCTCAGATCTTTGCAACTGCCCCTGATCAGACTGTACTCCTCAACACAGCGAGTGCTTTCCTCCAGGGATTGTACCCACCTCTAGGCGACATCAATCCCCAGATCTCCACCCAGACCCTCAACAATGGAACCAACTACACCAACCCTTTGAACGGCTACCAGTACGTTGTGCTTCATGGTGAGGATGATGAATCTCCTGATACGATCTGGCTGAAGGGTGACGAGGAGTGCCCTGCTGTCACCAAATCCATGAAGGCTTTCAAGCAGAGTACCGAATTCAAGGAGCGAGACGCCGCCACCAAAACCTTCTATGAAGGGTTCTGGGACATCATGCAGAGTGTCTACGACTATAAGCAAGAGAATCTCACCTATGCAAACGCATACGACATTTTCGATCTCATAAACGTAGCCAACATCCACAACGAGACCTCTGCAGGCAACGTCACCGAGGAAGAGCTGTTCCAGCTACGAACTCTTGCCGACAGCAACGAATTCGGCCTGGCCTACAACAGAACCGACCCTGCACGCTCCATCGGAGCGCAGACATTAGCTGGTGCCGTCGTGAACCAGCTGAACGAGACCGTGTCCGGCAAGGGCAAGCTCAAGTTCTCCTTCATGGCCGGTAGCTACGACACCTTCCTTGCTTTCTTCGGTCTTACGAACCTGACGTCCGTCTCTCCGGACTTCTTCGGTCTGCCCGACTATGCATCCACCATGAGCTTCGAGGTCTTCACAACCGAGAATGTAACCGCATTCCCCTCCAACACAGACGATTTGAGGGTCAGGTTCTTGTTCCGCAACGGCTCTGACGCTGGCGAGCCAATGCGAGCGTACCCACTCTTCGGAAAGTCGGAGGATTCCCTGTCTTGGTCCGACTTCCTCTCCTCTATGGAGGGCGTCGCCATCAGGACTCCCCAGCAGTGGTGCAGCACCTGCCAGAGCGACCTGCTCTTCTGCCAGGCATACAGCGCGGAATCCAACGGTGCCCAAACTAGCAACGAGAAGAAGTCCAGCGCTGGTATGTCTAACGCTGTTGCTGGTGTCATTGGTGCCATGGTTACATTGGGTGTCGTCGCTATTGCCGGAGCTGCAGCCTTCTTGATCATGCGACGTCGTCGGGCGTCTCCAGCAGTTGCACCCGTGACATCCACGACTGAAGGTAAAGGAAGCCATCGCAGTGATAGCGAAAGCGCTTGAAGACACACATGTAAATGGCTGAGGCCTGCATTTGAGATGCCGGATCGAGGTTCTTTACGTTTCTATCACAACTCATGAGATAGTTGGAATTAATGATATTATATACCAATACTGCTATTAACGCTAAATTGTGACTGAATTGCACCGTACAACTCTAGTCGCAACACTCATTCAAATAAGCATTTATCAAGCCACCAGAATACATGTTCACCAGCTGAAAAGGCTGTTGAATTCCTACAAACCGCTCCCCTTCTTCTCCTCATCCTCCCCGACGACTACGATTACCATTAGACGTACCTTATCAACCGTATTACGAAGCTAGATCTCGCCAATATTAATCCACGAAATCCATCAGTATAGTTCCCAACCCAGCTACCAGAAACGTAGTCTGCGGTATTGTCTACGTGGTATTGTATGCAGAAATGCCAACCGCGCTGCTTACTAGCATAATCGTCGGGACAGGCTCAGTGGGAGGGGAAGGAGGGGGAGGCAAATTCGCACTGTGCTACGCGAAACGCAACGGTGCAGAATTTATATTACCTGTTCACTCTGGTCTTTTTTTTATTTTTGAAGAAAGATAGCGTCTTCGCTCGTAGCTCGTAGCATGGGGCCTTTTTTTCACTCTCGTTATTTTTTGTGGAAAAAGAGCTTGCCAGATTACTTTTATTTGGTATTTGAAACTAGATATGTATATTCAATTCATACCTAACTATTTTGAAATAAATAAATCACAGATTTATACAACGAATGTTCTCCTCAGGTGATACCTCTAGGAGTACCCAATGACACAACAACCACCCCCTCACGCCTTCGCAAAATGCCCGATAAACGCCCCAAAAACACTCGAAAAACTGTGCCAATACTCGCCCGGCTGGCCCACGCTACTCACGAACGCCCACCCGACGTTCGTCTTCAACTGCGCCGCGACCCACGCCAGCAGCTCATCCGGGATGTTGGGCACGCTGTGCAGCATGACTGCAAAGTGGGACTTCGTGAGGTTGCTGTTGGCGGGCAGGTCACGGATGGCGTTGAAGTTGGGGGCGTCGATGAACTTGGCGAAGGTCTCTTCGAAGACGACGGTTATGTCGGCGATGTCGAGGTAGTTCCAGGGGATGTAGGGGATTGCGCCCGGGTTGTGTACTTTAGGCCGTGCTTGTTAGTACAATTTGTTCTTCCTTTCCCCGTTTTGGGTTCATGTGTGTTGAGAGAAGGGAGTTACTGACCGACTATCTTCTGCCCCAAACCCTCCGACTTCTTCACCTCCGCCGTCGCCGCACTGAGATACTCATGCGACCTCCAATGATACGGCCCGGGCGTCTCATCAAAGAATATGCCATCGACATGGAACGCATCGCCGCCCAGGACGGCCGACCAGTTCGCATACGTGTCTATCTCCTGCAGCACGAGGTCGATGGGCTTGTTGGTGTAGTTCGTAGCGACGTAGCCGAGCGTGCGGATGTTCTTGTACTCGCGCAGCCGCGGCAGCTCGGTGATGTAGGGCGCTTCTATGGTGCGGTTGATGCAGGGGCCCGAGCAGGGGTTCACAATAACGGTGAAGTTGAGGTTTGGGTTCGTGTTTGCGCTGTTTGCGGGGGGCATTCATCTGCCTGCGTTAGAGATTTGTGCTGGGGGCGTTTTCGTCGGGGTGGATATGTGTGAATGCGCGATGTGCTGGGGGAGAGATGGGGTTGACTGCGTACTCACGCCCAGTATATGGGATCCCAAGCCCCAGGCCACGGATAGATGTACAGTGGGAGGAGGATAGACATGACGATATCTCCGTATGTAATTGGAACTGGGTGGCAGTTCGTCGAACAGCGCGAACGGTGGATGATATCAGCCAGAAAGTCGACATATACTCATAAACTTGCACATCCGAATCCGTCGTTAGAAAGCGGTACTTATAAAATATTGTCGAAAGACATACCCTCTCTCCCACATGCACGCACATACGCACATACGCACCACGCACACGTATGTATACGTAGGCAGTTCCTTTTCGAGTACTGGGAATTGGTCACTGGGCGTGGTCGTCAGATACGGTTAACGTTGCATGCACGTCACACCGCAGTCTTCCAATATTGGACAGATAGATGGGTAGGATAGGATGGACGGATGATTGCTGGAGCGGTCGACGGGGGACTGGCTCCCCACGAGATTGGCATTATATACATCAACCCTCCCTCGTGTGCTACATCCGGCATAGCGATACGGGCAGAGGCGCCGTTCTGGAATGATCGTAACCTCTCGCCTGGGAAAGTAAGGCAAGTCGGATCGCTGTGTTCTGGAAGATTGGAGGATTGCGCGGCCCAGTGGCATGTTGAGTAGTACTGTGTAGTCGAGAGTGGGAGGGATGGTATAATATGGGTAGATTTGATTGCTGCTCGAACAAGGGTCTGGGTAATATGCCGGCATGAACCAGGCGTGAACGACACGCGAGTGTGGGACGGATATAGAAACAATAGATGCGTATGGATATATATATGTCGTGGACTGCTTCTGAGAGTGGTAAGCGAGGAGTCGATATGGAGAGCTGGATCTTTCTTTTGTACATTACATATTCGAACACGGACTGCATCTTTGCCGTTCTGGAGATATGGGTCTGGGCATGTCGTTGACATTTGCTCATCGAGCCTAGACAAGGGTCGAATTACAGGGGACCCGGGTTGGACGGATTCGATCCGTAGGCAGGGCTGAATTCGGGATCTTCTCTGGCTACGGTGTGGAGTTGAACTTGCATTGTACCCGTAGCCGAGTAGACAGAATACGAGCCGTTTACTCTATGGAGATATGTACCTACGTATGTACTACAATATTGCTCTTCTTTCCCTGGGCAGGGTATATGACTGAATATGTCCACACATACCTCGTATGTACACACATATCCACCACGTACATGTACATACATACACATACACCTCGTATGTACATTCACACACACATACGCTCACAAACACCTCACTGGCCAGCACCCTCTCTCATACTCTCCTCCCTTAACATCCGCGCATCCAGTCCTTCCTGATACCAACTCCAGATATTCAAACCAATCTTCACTCCCTCTTTCACCGGCAACCCCGCATGCCAGCTCTCCTTGTACCCCGAGCCATCACTCCTCAAGTTCTCCCAATAAACCGCATTCCCCTTAATCGCCTTAAACGTGACGCCCTCCCTCCTCTCTCCCTCCTCCCCTCCCTCTCCCTCACACTCCAAGAACCGACACCAACTCTCATCCCCCGGCATCTTCAACCGCGGGAAATTCGTGCCTCCGCCTGTACAGTTCGCCTCGAGGTACACCATGAACGACGAGACCCTCCCCGAGCTCGCCGTCGCCGTCGACCAGTCGTAGTGGTACGCATAGTGCCCGCTGGCCCGGTACCGCTGCGCCCACAGCTTCTCGACGAAGACGTGGGGCCGCCAGCCCTGGAAGCGGCGCGCGCGCTCCTCGATGCAGCGGACCACGTGGTCGCGGTCCAGACGCGCTTTCTCGGACTTGCGCACCGAGGCGTTGAGCGTTTCTTTGCCTTCGGTCCACACGGTTGAGGGGACGAAGTTGGGTTCGCTGTCTATATGTTAGTGTTCGTGTTCATAACATGAAGTTTTTCGGTTTTTTTTTTCCGCTGTGAAAGGAGAAGAGGAAAGTGAACAAAACATCGCTCTCATGGGCTCATGTATACATAGACATATATATATCTTCCCCCACCCCCAAACCACCCCCCAAATCCAAAAAAAAAACACCACATCCACAAAAACACACACGTGACATCCCATCATCAACTCACCTCATCTCAACCACATGCCCCGCCTCCTCCTCGCTCACGAACCCCTCGATATAAATAACGAGAGGCTCCCTCGCGAGCACATGCACGCGGTAGTCATGGTCCTCGCAGCGGAGGTCCGGGTCCGGAATCACGAGCGACTCGACCTTGTCGAGGGAGAATTGGCGGTTGCCCGGCGATGATGATGATGATCGGGGATTGGTGGTGCTGGTGGAGGACGATCCGCCGGAGAGGTGTGAGAGGAAAGGGGCGCCGGCGAGGATGTACCCGAGGAGTGCTATCACGGCGTACTGGACGACGGTGCCGAGGGAAGGGATGGCCATAGGGGGTCCGACCGAAAACCAATATATATCAACGAATGAATGTGCAGGGTCGGAAACAAAAAAAAGCAAAAAAAAAAACAAAACTAAATATGAGAAAGAAGAAAACACACACAAAGTACGGAGTATGTAATTGAGGCACGGCAGGAAGCCTAAGATGCCTTTTTTTTTTGCTTGTAGTTAATTCAATTTCTGGGTCTGTCTACGTCACGTGGGGTCGAATATTGCGGGTACGGTGTACGGTGTACCCCTGAAACTGGTCAGGCCGACTGGGGTGCCATACCTCGATGTATCACAATGAGCACGCTCATTCGATGAAATTGTATACCTTATCGTGGACCAAGACGTGCACGGTGTTACGAGTACAGTGCCCAGTACATAATCAGTATTCACCTCACTCAGAGTGCTAACCATGATTTTTGTCGTTATCGTGGAGTTGATTGATTAATTCGCAAAAGCCGTAGGATACCTTTCAGTACCTCTCTATGAACGCCGAACCCTACGCATCAATTAAGACGCAGAGACAAAAAAAGAAGTCGTCGAAAAGTCATGAACCATAGCGCCCGATAATCCCTTCCCTTCCTATCCCCTGCCCTCCCCTCCACTCCGCTGGCACTTGAAGCTGCCCACTAACCATCTACCGTTGAGTCCCAGAGACGTCCGCAAATAATAAAAAAGGCTGCCTCCCTGAATCCCGCGACTCAGCTATCCACCGACGATGCTACCAATTGACCCCTCTGGAGCCAAATGTGCAGGACTATCGGAGGAACAGAGAGAATATTCTATCCTCGTCATCTTCTAAATGACTCATCTAAAAAAGGTAACGTGGTTGAAGGTCCATTATTAGTTCTGGTGGTCCGCAAGGGAGCCGACCTGATTCATATCTGAAGGCCCAACCTGCTCCCTGAAGCGATCACCACTGCCCTCCTTCCCTAACTTGCTCTCTCTCCTTCCCTCTCTTCTCTCTCACGTACACACACACTCTCTCTTTAAGCTCGCAATGATGCCGCTTAGCATTAAGAATAATTTATTAGTGAGCGCAAATTATTGCCCGAGTTGGCTCTTTGCGCTATTCTGACGATCATGTTGTTCGGCGACGACCTCTCTAGCATAAAACTCGACCAGCATTGTGCCATATGCTTCCATCTCTTCCAGGGGCACTGAGAGGCGGAAGTCGTTAAGCAGAAGGAATTGTAGCTCCAAATGGTTTAATTCCACCAGCGGGAGTCCTCCAACCTATTGGATGTTAGTTATCCTGTTGTTTTAAAAGAACGTGGATGCAAGTATCACCTTTGCGTATCTGGAATTGGTGTAGAATACGTCCGAGAAAAACTTGCTAGCACAAGTTACTCCAGCAATCACTAGGCGGTGGATGTTGAAGCTGTCGACAACGAAAAAATGCGAAAGGTTGTATGGGTCGGATTCAAGGCTCGGCTCGATCTGTTGAGGTGGAGAGGGAGGTTGAGGCTCCTTTGCCATGGTTTCGGCTGGTCTGCCTAGAGAACCAGACGGAGGAGGCGTCGCGGCTTGCACTGGTGCAGTGGAGGAAGTCTGTGGCGTTGATGTGCTGCCCGTACCTGTGCTTGTGGCAGCAGGTGCGGTTCCAGAAGCACGTGCGTTAGCTCGCTCCAGAGATTGCTGGTTTGCCTGTCGAAGGCTTTGCATAGGCAGAGCGTTCACTCTCTCGGTCATTCTGTCGAAATATACCAGAAGACTTAAAAACACCTCGTAGGTGGTAGGGCAATATTTATGGATTCGGCTGAGGTAGCTGAGGATGGATATGCTAGGAACATTCTTGCCATGGAATGCCAGAACGCTGGTAGTCTGCTGGCTCAAGCCAGTGGCACCTTCTGGCGGCGGTATCTGGCGATGCAAATGCTCATGCTGTCGATCATTAGTGGTGGTAATCTTGGTCAACAAGCCAGCAACCATCTCGATAATGTCGGAGACAGGCATCTCGCTGATTTCGTACTGTGGGCCGACATCGTTCGGGTCTCTGCGCTGTCGTCGAGACAGGGATCGCGTCTGGGAGAATGGGCTGGATTCGTCGGTTGCGAAGCTTTGTATGTGCGAGAGGCTTTTGACTTTGATCCGTCGAGGAGATGCGGACCCGGTGGCTTCCAAGGGCGATCGCAGTGAACCTATAGGTGACTGTTGGGAAGATGATGTTGTGGATGATGGCACGGGTCGGGGTTGCGCGCCGGCAGGAGTCGGTTGCTGCGAATGCGGTCGAAAGTGCGGGCTCGGAGGTGCAGCTGGGACAGGCTGCTGTGAGGAAGAACCGTGAGGAGTGGGCTCAGGTCCGTTGTGTTGTTGCGTTCGCTGTCCTGGTGTTGAGCCCGGTGCGGGGCCTGGGTCGGACATCGGAGTGTCTGTCGGTGGCGCGATGCGTAAATTATGATCGCTGTTTACTTGCGGCGAAGGCCGGACGGCGGTATGGGGATTGTGTGCAGCGGGTGATTCTTGTGTCGATTGTGAATGCCCGCTGGTGCCGCCAAACATGGGGTTGTGAAAGTGGTGTCCACCAACGTCGGCGCTCAGTACGATCGATCCCATTACGCGATGATGCGCACACGCTTAAAGAAGAAGTCTGTATTGGTTCGTCGAGTCGCCGGGTCGTGGCGGAGAGAGAATCGAAGGAAGTCAAGAAGGATGATGTCGATGTGCAGGGGTGTGGGGAGGAGGGCGAGACAGATAGCGGCGCAGGTGCCCACGATAGGAGAGAGAGTGGAGATGCCGGGAGTAGACGCGAAGGAAAAAATATGCGCGTCCTCGGGTTGAGGAGAAGAAGGTGGAGAGGGGATGCGATTGAATCTGGGGTCGGAATAGAAACGGAGAGAGAGTAAGTGTGAGAATGAGAGATGGAGAGAGAGAGAGACGGAGTGGAAGAGCAGTCGGGAGAAGGAGGCGGTGGTGACGATGATGCTGTTGTTGTGTTGGCGTATGATGGATGGATGCAGTGCGGTGCAGGTTTGTCCGCCGATAAGAGACAGCGGTCACGGAATCAGGGTCGTGCCGTACCAAGGAGAGTGGTGGATGTATGCCAGCGTGGTTGGGCCAGCCAGGGAGCCTCTACTGGCGATGTTTAGTTGTACCGTGACCAAAATGAATTGGACGGTGAGGAGGTGAGGGGGATAGGGAAAAGAGAGTGTTGAGGGAGAGGTGTGAGGTGTGGTGTGGTTTGTGTAAGAGGAGGAGAAGAGTGGGTTGAACTGGCGGAGGGAGAGAGAGGAGGATGTTTGGGTCCGTGGGCGGAGGAGAGGTACGTACCCAGTGGGAGCAGTGGGATTGGATTGGACGGGATCAACGAGGAGGACCAGGACGAGGCGGCGAGGCGTGGGTAAGTGGCAGGTGGGTAGGCGTGGAAGGTACAGGTACCTCATAGGGAGGTGGGCAGTGGTGGGCAGGGCAGGTACTCGGTGGACCATTCACACAGTACACAGTAACCACCACAGGATGTATGTACCAGTACCTACTCTCTAGGTCACCTTAGTGGGAGGATTCGACCGCCTCTCGTTCGTCATAAAAATGGCGCTTTTCGGGGCCACCCTGTTCCATCCGATCCACCAACCCTTCCTCAGAATACAAACATTAATGCATACAACAACAATGATGATGTTACTCTAACATTGTGAAACATAAATAGAAAGATAAACACCTACATCATACATTAGGTATCTAGGACAATCTCTCGAGTACAAAGACAAAACAAAAAAAAAAGATAGACAGCAGGAGAAACCCCTCATCTGAGAGCCAATCAATGACCTTATCTCAACGCCTCTCATCATCCCCCATCACGGATCGATCGAGGAAGGTAAGCCATTGAAAGATCAACTACAAGTCTACAAAGTCATGATTAGTTACAGACTTACGGCGTATAACAAACACAACCATAATAATTAGTAGCAGTACTACTACTACATTCTCGTTCTCATTTTCATAGACCCTCATAAACTCCCTTCATCTTGTCCACCTTCATCAACATCCATCATCGTCCCATCCATTCCCCTTTCCCCACCAGCAAAGGTCTGGCCACCCGAATCGTCCAAACTAGCAACCAACTCAACGACCCCTCCAGCCGCAGCGAGCGACCGCGCCAGAAAAGCAAAAGCGAAAAGCAGTTAAAGCAAGACAGACAAGGCCCACTGCAGTCTAGTCTGTCTGGCTGGCTCGTCGCAGTTGTGGTAATGTAATAATTGTTGAAGAGACCATCTGGGCCAATGTCGGATCCTCATTGGTCGGCCGTTCATCCCACTTCGCGGGCATCAGAGAAAAAGTCCCTTTGCTAGACCCCATTCGAACCCGGTTTCCAATTGTTGTGTACTAACGTTGATGGATGCAGGGCTATGTAGCTGCTTAGGTACTGTACTTGTTTAATGGCATGCTGTTGCAAGGTAGTACATATGCCTCGTATCTGCCTTTGCTTGTTCCCATGCTTCGAAAGGTACATATTGATACTTGCATTCGAGCTCAAGGGATTACTACTCGTTGCACTGACTGGGGACAATACTTCTTACATACTACGACTCACTACTGGTAGAACCACACTACTCCGTCGAGTCCGTTCTTTACGGACCATACGTAAGCTCCTGGATTCAATAATGTGGGTAAGCGTGGGTAGTAGAACGTGGGTTGCCAGATCTGGCTCGGATCATCATCATTGCCAATTGGTCACTTGCTTCTCCTTCCACCGTGCCTCACTTTGCATATCCCGGTTCTCTCCCACTCTCCCACTCTTCCTCTTGCTGGATCTTGGGACCTTGGATCGTGGGGTGTTGAAATCTTGGAACCTCATGTAATATGTTCTTCATCATTCATGCTACATGAGACCTGACCGTGCGACTGCCCTCTATTTTCGGTAGTTGTCGCGGTCACGATACTGCACCTCAACTGTGTGAAGGCAGTTCCACTGGCCATCTTCTAACCTCCCATAAAGTCTCCCCTCTCTCTACCCATTCCGCTCCTACTGCCTTCCCGGACCTTGGTAGTCCTGGTCAGGCAAGTACAAATGCCTTTGTGCCCCTCGAGCCGTAAGTACCACCATGCGAATCACACCACCAGAGCTTCCATCCCACTTGATGGCCTCCTGCAGAGCGCCCCGGACAAACTTGATGCCCTCCGCCTCATCCATGTCCTCCCTCCAGTTCGCGTCACAGTAGCCGTAGATGTATGTTGATCCGGAACCGCCGATCGCGTACGCCTGCTTGTGGAGGGATCCGCCCAGCGGGATTGAGTAAACCTGTCCACCGTGTCGGTGATCGTAGCCTGCAATGATCATGCCCGCCCTGTAGATATGCAATCAGCAACCGTCTTCGGACAGAAACAGCGAGTCGAGGGAACCTACGAGAGCTGGTCCTTGTTCGAATAGCACAGCTCCTGGAATATGGCTGCTGCGGTCTGCGTCGTCGGCGCCTCGTCGTTTGCGATGCCGTACATGCCGAGATGGTACTGGACGATGTCGGCCACGGCCTGGGTGTCCGCCGCAGAGCCTGAGCGACAGCACCAGATTGTGTCGTGCACTTGTGTGAGTTTGTCCGTCACTCGGTTCGCAATGTATGCGCCCGTGGTCGTTCTACTGTCTGCGCCTAATATCACACCATCTTTGAAGTTGATTGCCATGCTGTTTCGAGACGTTAGAGGGAATGGGGAGGGTGGCCAGCCACGCGGGAGACTGACATTGACGTTCCTAGACTGTTGGGTTCGGTCAGTGATGTGTTGGCTCGGAGGGAAAGACGCAAACTCACTTCACTTCGCCCTTCTTCAAATGGTTCATGTCGATATGGATGCCATCTGCCGCAAGTCAGCTTCGAGCTTCGCTATAGCTCTTGACCGTCGATTACCTTCTCCAAGCATTCCGGTCGCCATATTGCACGCTAATAGGAAGTGATGATAGCCTTGAAGTAGTTCGTAGAAAGGTTGTAGAGGCTCTGTTCGTTTGGATAGGAGTCGTGAGGATGTGTTGTAGAGCTTCTTAGAGGTTGTGTTGATCCAAGTGATGTTGCTAGGCAAACGGAGCTACGACGATGCCTGTGGATATTTCTTGGCAGCGAGCATGGCACGTGACTGAATGGCCAAATTGCTCCTATGCTCAAACACAGTGCAATTAGAGGTATCGGTCTATCATATTAAATCGCAAGCTACACCAGATAGTGTCGGAAGGCATGTAAAGTCTTTAGGATAAAGCCATTGCTGGCCTCAGTCCATTATGTTCCTATCTATCCCTTCCCCGCAGTTCTGCACCATTGAGCGAACTCGCCAACCGTACAAGCTCCAGGCGATAGTAGCTAACCTCCGACCTCACCCAAGACATCTATCTGCTCTCCCCTGTAGCACTGCGACCTCGCGTCGACCCGGCGTGTATATACGGCTCTGCCCTCTAGTCTCTCTTTACATGCGCAGGATATCACCGTAGCATCATGGGGTCCGCTCTCCAGTCATTCATGTCCTACCTGCGACTCCCTGTTCTCGTCTCCTCTGGCGTTGCGGCGGTCCTGAGCGGTCTTTTGTACTTCAAGCAAAAGTGAGAGGTTACCTGCGAAGTCCGAGTGGACTATACTTCCTGGATGTAAAAACTTGCTGACTCTTTCTTATCAAGTGAAATCATATATCCAAGGAATTTCCCTCCCGATGCGAGGACAAATGTTCCCAAACCGTCGCAATTCGGTATTTCAGGTACGCATGCGTTCTCGAGCGACTGTGGCTGTTTGGATGCCACTGCGCGGACTACGTTCGAAACCGGACGGTGGAAGTTCAATCGAGGCGGATGACTGTGATGGATGTCTTAGATGTCCCACGACTTTCCCATGACAACCACGCGCGGAAGAGACATCACCTTACCGGAGAACGGATACTGATTCCGAGACACTTCTAGATTTCGAAGACCTGATGATACCAACCCCCGACGGCGAGACCCTAAACGCTTTCTTCCTCCGCGCGAACAAACAGCATGCACGTAACATAACGATATTAATGTTTCACGGCAACGCAGGGAACATTGGATACCGGCTGCCCATCGCCAAGATTTTGCAGGATGATATAGGTTGCAACGTTCTCATGCTTCAGTACCGTGGGTATGGTCTGTCTACGGGAACACCAAGTGAGAAGGGTCTCATGATCGATGCGCAGACTGGGCTGGACTATGTGAAGAATAGGACTGAACTGAGACGCACACGGATTGTGCTGTATGGTCAAAGCATTGGTGGAGCAGTGGCAATTGGGTTAGCAGCAAAGAACCTACAGCAGGGTGTCATTTCGGGGATAATATTGGAGAATACTTTCACTTCTTTACGGAAACTTATTCCGACGTAAGTATTGCTTAGACGTAGGGGGAGCATAACTGACACGGCATGCAGAGCATTCCCACCGGCGAAATACCTCGCACCTCTCTGTCATCAAGTGTGGCCGAGCGAAGATGTGTTGCCACGAATAACCAAAGTGCCGGTACTATTTTTGAGTGGTTTGAAGGATGAGATCGTACCGTGAGTAACACATCTTCATTCCCTGTCCTGAGTTGGATAACCAGCTTGGTAGAAGCAGATACTTAGAAACTTGAAATCGATACTAAAAGCATGTAGTGCATCGCACATGGCCAAGCTGTACAAGGTGTGCCGATCGCAGATCAAGGTCTGGAGAGAACTCCCGAACGGTACGCACAACGACACTGTCGCAGAGCCTGGGTATTTCACATATATCATGGACTTTCTCTCCGAGCATATCGCGAATGAGGATTGATGTACGAAGACCATTTCGGTACTGCGGTTCCAGACAACGTATACGTACGTGTGGCTTTCGAAGACATTCGAATGGCAAGATTTTGGGTTTGCCTTAGTAACCTGAACCTGAGAAATAGTTACGCTGCTTACCATCGGGTTGGTTGATTGGGTATGTTTGACCATGGTAGGAGAACCGGCGGACAAAGCGCTGTAGTTTCTGATCCTGCGATGAATTCTTTTGCGCAGCTCAGCTCAGCTCAGCGTTACTGTAAGGCAAGGTCTTTAGAACTGGCAAATGCTCGATAGTCGAGTGAGACATTACAAGGATATGTCAGGGAGGTGTATTATATGGAATGTGGCAACCTGCGGTTGATATCCAAAGTTATGGAATGCAAGTCGACAACGCAAAAGCCCCATCAAGACATTTCGAATAATATGAAATGGTGTTCTTCGTTCAAGTGAGCTTTGGCGTACGAAGTAGGTACGGAGAGTAACAGAGACACTTGACAATCGGCATATTCCTAAAGTAAGCGTCGTTTTACAGCACATCAATGCCTTGATGGTCAAGATAACCCAGGGAGTGAGAAACGATGTTTGATGTAATACACGAACACTCTCTTCGGGAAATGCCACAAACTTGCATGTCATATGCAGGACTCCGTATTCGATGACGAGGAGGCTAGGGATCGCCAGGGGGATCTGACCCAATTCCCAGGTGTTTCAAGTTCACAAATGACGCAAACCGATGTCAGGATCGTTGCGGTGAAAGCGATAGAGCCCTACGTGCCTTGTGCTCCCCCATGATCCCTACCCCTCAGGGTTTGGGACGATACAGCCACAACCAGATAGACACAATGTGGCAAAAAAAAACCCTGATGCGGAGCAGCTTCCCGTCCAATGGCATACGTTGATAATGCTCCGAGGAGGTGTTAACGGTAATTGGGAATTGAAGACCCTGGTGTTGAAGCAACAAGGGCAATCGCAGTCAGACTCACCAAAAACGGCTCCCATGGAATTGTCTTGTTATTGCTGTGGCAAAAGACGGGCTGAAATGAGGGATGGAGTCGTAGTCGTGGCCTAGATCGACACGCGAGCAAAGCAAAGTGGTACATCGTTAGCTGTAGCGGCGGTCGAATGCACGCGACCACTTCTGTCTAAAGTCAATGAGGTGGAGGCTGGGCTGGACGGGCTGCATGTTTTGGAGCTGAGCTGAGGAATCGGATGCTCTGGAGTGGCGCCCTGCACCTATCTACACAGCACCCACGGAGTACTCCCGTAGAATTGAAAGACTCGGATCGGAAGTAGACCCTGGCCGAGAGTAGATAGGATAGGCTTCTTAGTGGTACGATCAGGACAAATAGAGGACCCTCATTATTCAGTTGACATGTGGTTGCATATGCAAGTGCTCCGTTCCGTACATGTCATATGTAGTAGTGGAACTCGTGGGAATCGTTCTGCACCACCACAGGTAATAGATACGAGTAATAGCGTATGCCTAAAGCGTCTGTAGTTCACGGCAAAAAGTACAAAACGGAACAGAGGAGCAATTTTGGAGGTGTGGAGTTGAGTGGAGTTTGGGAGTTGGAGTTGGAGTTGGAGTGGATCGTAGTGTAGGTACCGTGCCTTGTAGGAGTGAATGAATGGATGAATGATTTCATGGTGGGTCGGGACGGAAGTTGAGTGGTGCAAGAGCGCGCGTACTGCCAGGCGCCCTACCGCGCTTTCCAACGTTGAAAAAGGTTTTGAGGTGTGACTAATCTGGAAGTGGCTTGGTAAGGGCTAAACGCAACGATTACGTCAGGGGCTTGAAAGCTTGAGCGCCGTGATGGGGAAAAATCGAATGGCATGGAAAGAATCATGCACAATTCGAAGAAATGCCCTGCTTTTCCTGCTTTTCCACCACCTCCCGCCCACCCCCTCCCTCGCACCAACCAGCCAACATCCCGCTAACCTTGTGCTCAACATCCACCGTCCACCAGCCCACTCCCAAAACTCACCGTCCACACGACTCAGGCACTCAGACCAGCCCTGACCGGCCGGGCCCCCAGTCCGCCTGTCTCCTCCCTCGTGTGGTGTCATGCCGTGCCCCATATTCTTCTGTCTGAGGCTGCCTGCAGTCATCAGGACCCCCTTCGCAGATGGCTACATTGGGTTGAGTTGGGCAGGATAGAACGTCGCAGACGAGCGAGAGGTGGACGGGAAAGAGAGAGCGAGAGAGATTGAAAGAGACAGGCCAGGGTTCCATGCATCGCCTGGCGCCGCTGCTCCAGATTCCCTGGTTTACCCTTTCGACAACGGGAGGGCTGCGGATGCGCTCGCTACGAGACCCTCGAAAGACCCTTCATCTGTCTAAGATCTTCGCGTCGTTGGATCTGCTGCGGCTGTGCTGTCGATCCCTCTCCCTCTCCAAAGAGAATGAGGCGGTCAGGCCGAAGCTGTGGCAAAGGTCTGTTGCCATGATCAGCCATTGGTGGAACGATTACCGAACTGTCCTGAAGGGAGCCAAACGACTGTTGATTCCTACCTCTTGAACCAAACCACACACGAACCCGATAGCACTCGCCGAGGATTGCCTAGCAAACCTCTCCACTTACAACCTTTGCATCTAGCTCTGTTTAGCAGCACCTGGCTCCTTGCAATCAGCGTTCGGCAAGCATGTGGGTTTTCCCTCTCTGCTCAATGCCCCCTCGGCTTTTATTTGCGCCAATTAATATTGCTTTGTGATGGTCCACGCAACGACAAAGTGCCCGCCCCGGTTCGAACAACATGTGGCGTTGACCAAGTTGCTTTTCGACATCCTACTCAAGTCAAGTCGTTGCCCGTTCGGCACTGCACACTAGTTACAGCGTGCTGTTGCCGTCATTCCATGCCTGGACGGTAGCCCAGCAATCCCGCTTCATGCCTTACCGGGTGTGGTCGCTGCATCGTCTGCTCGCTCTTGTCCAATGATGTTTCCAACTAATCTGTGCCCACCACCAATCAATTATTGTAGACCGTTCCTCTGGCATAGTTCGCCTCCCATGACCACAGTAGCCATTCCATTATCTCCTTAGTACAGCGAGATAGACGGCCACGCGGCGCCTTGCAACGGCACCCCTGGGTGGGCGCATCTAGGGAAATACCTAGAGCTTCATTTTGGGTGGAGTTCGTGCATGCCCCCGTCCTCTCCACCTCGCCCTGCACTCCGGCCTGATTGGCCGGCTCCTCTCGCTGGCATTGGAGATTTTGCTCGGGCGGATAGTCTTCTTGGGATTACTTCATGACTTTTGACTAACGCTCAAGAATTAAACCGTTTGCTGGGAAACACCCGGAACAGAAACGTGTTCCTACCTTTTTGTCCATAGCTTCCCCAATAGCTTATGGCCCATGGCTTGTTGTTCTTTGGTTCCTACCTGTCTCCTCTCATCCCAATTCACTGCCTGCGCTTGGCTTCACTAGTACCTGCACCCAGCAGAGGAACCTTGTGCAGCCTGTCTTGTCTTTACCCCCAATCCCACTTCTCTCCATCATATACTCCCTCCGGCCCCTTATCCCACTTAGTGTATCTCCTCCAACATCAATTTTAGCTCTTCGGTAGGGCCATAACCTATTGAGCTAAAAAGAAGGAAGGGTCCGCTAAGCTTTGCATAGACCGTCAGGATCAGCAGCGGCTGGCCCATCAAAAGTCTAGAAACGGGGTCTTACTCGCCACACTTTGTTCCATTGCACTCAACCCTCATACGACCACTACACCCTTGGGCTACTTCTTATTTCAGTACACACAGAACTCACCCTTGAAGTCATAAGCCCCAAGGCCCGCCTATTCTCACTTCCGGAGATCAATTCGCCTCCAGAGCATCGGTTCGGCCCTGTCTGCCCCACAGCCATTTCAACAGCCACAGCCCAGTGCTCTAGGCCAATCAGACCACACCGTTCCTCTCAGTAGGAGGCAATTGAGGCAGAGACCCGTGTAAAAACCTCGTGCGGCATCCCCGCTGCTCGTTCGGTCCTCCCTGTGTCTTCGAGCTTTCTCTCGCCTCTCCAGCCTCTAAGAGTCCGGGCCGTATACGCTTTTCCAATTCCATCTTCGCTGCCGTTGCGCTGTCAATTCCCATAAGGCGTAAAGGTAGCTCTTCTGCCACCTGACTGGCTACGCAATACTGAACGCATATTCGTCCCGCTCGAAGCGAGCACTTTCGTCCAGGAGGTATATCGACCAGTGCTGACAATCTTCTCCCATCTTGTCTCCAGTTCCTCGACGCTTCTTTTTTTACACACAACACCATACTTCCTTTTCCCTCATTGGCATATCGCTCGAGACACCCCTTTCACTGCAGCACATCACCTTCGGTAATCTATCTATCCGGCTTGCCACTTCGTCTATCAATTGTTTCAATATAGGAACAGGTACGTATTTACATTTACTTTGGATTTAGGTCGGAGTCGTGTATCTCGTTTCTCCTGTAGACCCTATTTCTGTCGTCAAATATGGGCTGACATGGCATTCGTTTGGGTACAGCAGTGGATCGCTCTTCCCGTCGTTATCGAAGACCAAATGGGCGACGTACCTCCAGGCACTGGTCCGCCAACTCTGGACGCATCGGCAACTGGCCTTGCCCATGATGAACACCAGATTCCATCGTTCAAATCATCTACCAGCAATGTCCCCTTTCAGTCCCAACTTAGCACACTCCCCCAAGGGCAGGCACGCCCAGACCTTCGCTCACCTACACACTTAACAGGTTCGCACTACCGCTCACAAGAGCTCGGCGCATCGCCGCTCAACATGGGCCCGATGGTTGGCGCTCTTCCAGAATATTCATCTGTCGATTCCAATCAAGCGATGCTCGTACAACAAGCCCAAAGGCCGTTGTCGGGGGCTTCAACTTCTGCACTCGTTTATCAGCTCGGTCAGAACCTACAAATGCCGAATCACCCCGCTAGCAGCATGCAACAACAAATGTCGTACGGGTCTGGATTTGCGCCTGGCCAGTATCAGCATGGCTTCGTGCCCGCACAAAACCAACAGCATCCATCCTTCAATCCATACCAGGCGGCACAGCGACCTTTGCATTACCCGAACGTCCAACCCTCACAATATCTTTACTACCCCTCGCCCTACGGTCATTCAGGCCAATTCCCACAAGGATATCCACAGCAAGCCGTCCAGGCCCAGACCATGTACGGTAGACGGCCGAGCTTAAACAATCCCCAGATGCAAATGATGGGCCAGGCCGCAGAATTGAGTCCACAGGATGGTAATTTCGGCCACGGTAACCGAATGATGCACGGGGGATTGCATGCAGAGCATGGTTCAGTGGGCATTGGATCTCTTGGTACGGGAGGTAAGATTCAGCTATAGGAGCTTAGAGACTGCAACAATGTCATTAACAGCACTCACTAGGCATGAACCGATCTGGACCTGTCAGCTCGATCCCTCGAGGACCGCCGCGGAAGCCCAAACAATCTGGACACGCTCTTTGGGTCGGAAATTTGCCCCCGGGCACCACAGTGATCGCACTCAAGGACCATTTCTCGCGAGATGCTACAAAAGAGATAGAGAGTCTTTTTCTCATTTCTAAAAGCAACTGTGCGTTCGTGAATTATCGCACAGAAGCTTCATGTACAGCAGCTATGCATCGTTTCCACGATTCGCGTTTCAATGGCGTGCGACTGGTATGTCGTTTGCGCCGAAGCTCTACAGCAGCGTCCGGAGTACCGACGGGTCCGTCCGCTATGGTAGGGAGTGTGTCTACTACTACTCCTCCGCCAGCGTCACCCCAGGCTACCGAAAGTGACGAGCCACAAACCGAAAATGCTGCTGAGCCAGTCACACAGGAGGGCGAGACAGGAAAACAAGCACCCGCAGCTTCTGAAAAGTACTTCATTGTCAAGAGTCTCACTTTGCAAGATCTGGAACTCAGTGTTCGGAACGGAATCTGGGCAACACAATCGCACAATGAGGATGTGCTCAACAAGGCTTATCAGGTATGTGAGGTACGGTTGTGGATTTATATTCGCTAACTAGCATAAAGACCGCAGAAAACGTCTATCTCATTTTCTCAGCAAACAAGTCCGGTGAATACTTTGGATACGCCCGGATGTCGTCGCCAATCCTCGAAGAAGCCAAAGACCTCATTACCCCAACCCCAAAACCCGAAGTCGTTGACACAACCGACGTGCCAAAATCAATCCCAACACCAGCTACCGAATTCGCACCCAAAGGCAGGATCATCGATGATTCGGCGCGAGGAACAATCTTCTGGGAGGCGGAACTGGAGGAGGAGGAGGAAGAGACGCAAAGTAGTGAACAACAGCAACTTCAAATACCTGAAAGTGATGCTTCTGTGGTTGCGCAAAGCTGGGGAAAGCCGTTCAAGATTGAATGGATCTCAACGAATCGGCTACCGTTTTACCGCACCCGCGGCCTTCGCAATCCTTGGAATGCCAACAGAGAAGTCAAGATTGCGAGGGATGGCACTGAGCTCGAGACAAGTGTTGGGGAACGCTTGATCCAGATGTTTCACCGCATTGGTCCACCAAGTGCAGCGGGCCCTTCGATGATACAGGCGGCTCAACTTGGTCCAGCTCAGATGCGCCCCTTCTAAGGGGAGAATAGTACGGCGGCTTCAGGAGCCGTTATAAGTCCTTTCATTTTCTTCTTCCTCTTCTTATTCTTTCAGCCCTAATTTTCGAATAATAGTCCTCGTCACATCATCAACAGGGCGTGGTTTCTCGTCCTGCTGGTCAGGTCTATGCGGCTTTTGTTCAATGGTCGAGACGAACTTCGATGAAGAAACGATTATGACGGATCACACAGGAGTCGATATTTGTACGCGAACGTCCGGCATGATCGCAGTACGCCATCATCTTCTTGGTGGCGTGTCATCAATATTCTGGATTTCTCACTTCACATTCCCTTCTATCACGATGTAATATATTGAGGCATGGCCGGTTTTGGTTGGAAGCGATTCATGCATAGCATGTATAACAATAATAATCGCATTTGAATTTATTTTTCAATAATGTTTCAAGGCAAGATGTGTGGAGTTTAAACTGAATGGCAACCAGAATTCTACAGTTGTTGGCTAGAGAGAAATGTCGCATGGAGCGGCAAAGCGAAGCGGTCCGGCATTGGAGGGGAGGGGAAGAAAAAATGCGAAAGAACAGATTGCGATGTTCCTTCGCATGCGTAATTCCCTCCAAGATCCACAGGCCCACTTGGTCGAAGACTTGAATCGAGTACATTTTACTTGGCAGATGCCGCCATTCTCAGTCAAGTGTCCGTGTAACTCTCTCCACCCGAACTTGACGCCAGACTCCCAGTCAGCACCCTACTGCAGATATACACCCGACTCACCTCGAAGTACCTACATACTCGCAGCTCACAATGACAACCAACAAAAATACTCTAACGACACCGTCTCTTGTCGAGACTGATCAATTGAAACCAGTAAAGACTATCGTGTAGATACATACGACGAAACGTATAAAAGCCAACGCCCAATTTCTTCCATGGAACCAGTCATACGAGGGCACGGCACCCTCCACGTGTGCCGAATTCTTCCTATCCACTCGCTTCATCCTAAGTCATCACGTTTAATATCTGCCGCATGGTTGAATGAGCTCTTATATATCTCACAACCTTGTCGCCTCAGAGCCGCATAGTTAACACAAGGCTTCTACAACCCCACGAGTCTTCCCTGAAGCGTCGCCCATGATGAAACTCGAACATTGACGATCATATTGGTGACTAATTAAGTATCTTCGCTTCGGATCACTCGATCAGATTATGCTGTGTTCTGTCGCACTTCAGCCATACTGAAAGCCCGAGCGAATTACCACACCAATTGACCAGCGACTGGCTAGTCTCCGCTACGGTGCAGCAGCTGACAGGTTCAGAGTTGGAAGCGCACTGCATACACGCCGCTGGCTTCTTGTGCTTCCAACTATCGGTAACTATCATGCATCTCGTCAGGGCGGGGTCCCTGCTTGTTAACTGTGGTCATGGTGATACTGACATGACCCTAGCGTGGGCGAATAGTCTAGACCTCGACCAGCTGGCTGTCGAGGACGAGGTTAATTCGCATGTCTACGTCAATATAGTTACTCCCCAAACATATAGTCACGGAGTCCTCCGTACTCGAAATTACAGTGGTACACAGGATATGTTGCAGCAATTAAAATACGAACAATCTGAGCCTATGGCGCCTCGCCCATCTCAGACGCTAGAGGCATATCAGCAGGATCTCCGTTGACTGTTCCTTCCACGAGAACATGAATGTTGTAAACTTGGAATCTGCGTTTGTTTTCTCAATAGGCAAATACAATTTGCCCTTTGCGCACGCTGCCCCCAAATTGCATGTACAGGGATCGGTGCTCCACGGACCACGGCTAGTCCAGCAGTTCCCCGGGCACGAGAGCATGATTCAGCTACTAGCATATAAGCTACCAGCAACGGGGAGAAAAATTGCTGCTTGTGGAGAACTGTGGCGGTGCAATCACTTGTCCTCGCACGTATCCTACCGACTTAAGTATCGGTACCATCGACAAGAAATCAGTCGGACCGGCCATCGGCGGCAAAAAGAGGGACGATCAGGTCAGAACGAAGGTCTGCACCAATTTAGTGAACCCTCTCGTAATGTAGCGCGCAAGAGCCATGTCCCTTCCCGGACCCTTTTACGGGGATGGAGCCTGTAGTAAAGTGTGCATCTTTGTGGAGAAAGATGACACTACCCACCGCCTAGTTGGCCTTCGGAATGCATTCGATACTGTCCTCCTAATAACTGCAAACGGGATGACGGATAGTCTACTCATGCACGACTTCTGGTTCGCAATAGATACCACGTTTCGCTCGGCGTCAGGGTCTTCTCCTGGTGTCGAGATGCTGTCGGTTTCCAACCAGGGTCCTGTTCTGCCCCCAAGCCAGTTCGACCGAACCCAGACCGAGCAAGCCTCCGAACAAAACTTGAGAGATGTGGCTGCCGAAGCCGTGCCGTAGCAGTTGATCACGTCTTCTCAATTAGTGGGTGATGTTCACGCTGTCGCTGTTCAATTGCAACTCTTCATCAGGGTATGTCGCCCGTTATTCTATTTGGGGATATATCTACACTCGGTCACCATTGATCAGCCTCAAAACCTATTCATCAGAAACGTCATCATCATCATACCGTAGTCTCGGTCGCATATGTCGATCACTTTGACTCGGCCAAGATACATCACCAAACGGTGGTTCTTATCACTTGCAATACTGGGGCTTGGATATTCTCGCCATCCATCTTACCAATTCCACATTTCATCAGCGCCCTTAGAGGAACACAAAAATAATACCACCGAGACTCGCCACATCACTCTAATTCAGTTATGATGAGCAGCCTCAATACTTTTAACACATATCTCCGTCTGATAAACTTCGGTCATCCACAGAACAATCTGACCCAAAAAAGGAAGAAAAAAACCTTAAGCCATTCTCCACAAACGCACCGATTTCAACGGACATGTTCCGCGCTCTTCCTCTGCCTCTGCGATTATAATTATTAATTTTATGAAATACCGACTCACAATGCCGTGGATACTCCAATTCTCCAATTCTCCACATATTTATTAATTTATTTCGACAGGAAAATTTTGGTTATTGGGATCTAGATTCCTGGTCGTGTTACGCGCTTCACGGACCGAGATCTTCGCCATCCCGAATGAATAGGTAATCGTATATCCAGTGAATGTCACATTACTCGGGATTATTTTTCCTTTCCACTTCATCCACATCTCGCCTCTTCGATTGACCAGAATGGGAATTCATGACCGAAGTCCAGGCCGTTCGCGAGACACAGCATTGTGGTAAGGAACTACGGCTTCCAAGTGGCGCTCACAACTATCTCCCTTGCACCCACGTGTGTTCGAACATGGCCGTTTCGCGCAATCGTGAAAAATCATGCGACGATTTCTAAACAAACAGTCGTTGATCCTCGCGATTGCCACCCGCCGCTGCAGGGAAAAATCATGCGGCTCACGCGTGGGATATAATATTCTAGATTTGATGTGTGGCTATGCGGTCTTTATCATGTTGAGAACATGGGTGGGAATGTGACTTCGAAATATGTGAATCGCCAGCCAAGTACTTGATATGCTGCACTTTTCCACGCGCACATACGTGGAGTGCAGATATCACGTCTGTACCTCTCAAATAATACTAATCCTTTTACGGGAGAACTCTCACGTTTCCGTTTTGCAGATCCCCGGTACCGTTTCCCATGTCCTACGCAAAATGACGTCATTGCAGCGAGAACAACGCCGTTGAGAACACGCCGTTGGACTACAATTCTTTCGGGGAAAATAATGACGCGTATGTCCATGCTGGTGTATTATCAATCTTGACCTCTATTCTTATTGGCTTGGATTAAGTAGACTTCTGGCTTCGGGTGGAGAGAGAGGGATGTATGTCGTGGAGAAAGTAAACATAGACTACAGATAGAACCAAAAATAAGGGCAAATGCAATTATCAAAACAAGACAATTTACAATTCAAAAGAGAAATTGTGATTCTCACTTAATAATGTATTCATACGAGCAAGAATAGCTATGCTATATTAACCAAGTACGCTGTATTGAAACTTTGTCTGTCTCTCAACTGTTCCTAGTGAATCTTTCTTTATAGCTTCTTGTGATAGACAATCCAATCCCAGAGATCCAGTAATTCCACAGGCCATGAATACACAGGCGTAAAGCATGTGGTCCGACCGAGCCATCAGATCCCCCCCAAAAAAACGGTTGGTGGTCACCCACGCAGATCCTCGCTTGACTAGTTACACCATCACTCGTACCATCCCAACTCAGTTCAGACGAGGGGCAAAAAAAATTAAAAAAAACATACAACAGCGGGGATTCGCTGATGGTCACCCACTCAACTACTAGTCCGCCGGTACTATGCTTAAGTATGGCTGAGCGAACGGGAAGCCCTGTTTTCATAGTCCAATGGTCGTATGTGAAAGGATGTGTGAAATGGTGGGTATAAGACTGGAGAGACGAATGTGTTGGGAACAAAGATAGACACTTACGATATCGGTTTGACTAAAAGCTGCTTCAATGACCATCCTATCGCTTGTAGTGTCTCTATATTCAACTGGCCTCTGTATATGACTATCAATTGTACGGTTATCGGTGGGTCGTTCATGGGCGCCCTCAGGTTCATGTCCAGGTTCTTGTCTGACTGAGGAGAGAACAGGTAGTAGGTTCTGCAGACTAAACGATGGTGTCTAATAAGTACAAAATTGCTGTTCTTACCTATAAAGCTTTCGAATAATTGTCTTAGTGGTGCTCTAATTTTGGAAGAACCATTTTGGGAGACAGAGTGCACTGTTATAGTTCTGCTGTCCTATTATTTAACTAGGCATGTGATATTGATTTCCTTAATCATTGTTATTTTAAAACCAGAATCAGAAGAGTAAATTAAGTGTCCCCTGCGGAACAAGGTGTATCTCTATCTCGATATTCTACGAGTTTCGTCCGATTTGCGTCCGCTCCGGTGTTGCAACCTTTGGATCTTCTCGGAGTCTACCTAATTGCGGATCTGTGTAGCTAATACTGGAGATCTTCTACTTTATAATGATACCTTATTATGGCTTTGAGGTTTCGGAAAATCTGACAGTTTACCTTTGCATGGCCTAAATCTAACGAGCATGATAATGTCAAATGCGCCTCGGACATCGCAGCATGCAATGGCGTCCACACGAGCCTCATGGTCCCTGGGCAAATTTGGAAATGAGATTCAATATATTAACATGCCCTCTCTAATCCAGCATATGTTGTTATGACCATCGATTTGCTATTGCTTATTCGTTTCCTCCTTCCTTATTCATTCTAGCATTCAATTGCACCCCACATTCATTTCTTCCGTGACTACCAATTCATTCATTCTTTTTGTCATCCAAGCTTGAATACTTATTCCTTAAGGGAGTGCTTGGGTAATATGCACTTCTCACTGCTCCCAATCCTCCTAGCGATAGTTTTTGTTTCTAGCAGCACAATAGTAGTAGTGCCTATTGAGAAACATTCCATCGCTCCCGCGGATCATGTAGATGTAACCACTTCTGCATACAATCTCGACGAAATCGACAAATCATCAACGCTCATACGTCGTGGTACTGTCGATGTGGTGTATCGAGCAGATCCACGTTCCCCTGTTGAAATCGCAAAAGCAAACGGATTTAAACCAAAAGGCGGAGGGAAGCTTATGTATAATCTTTGGAGACACACCAACGAACTATACTCCGCGACGGAACCGAAAAAGGAGGAGTGATGGGCTGGCTTGGCCTGGGAGAAGAAGTCGATGGCTTCGTCTCTACAACTTCAGACTATGGCACTGCTCGTTATTTTTTCGGCCGATATAGCGGAGGCTACATATATAAGATTAAGGCCTCCCGCAACCTCATAGATGTCTCAAAGACCTTGGGAAGACACTATCGGCACAAGAGTGAATATGAGTATGCGGTCAAGGATATCCCAATGGATCAAGTTATGGGTTGGTACACTTTCTCGCTCGGTGGCCACCTAGATGGCGATTTTGAGGCCAATGACGACGCATTTTATAAGAAGAATGCCCCTTCACTCAGTTCTCGAAAGTATAATGAAAAATATGGTGGGCAAACTGATGGTGGCGCCCAAAACTCCGTGGCTGGATTTCCCGAAAACCATGAAGCATGGACCGAGTCCCCCTGGAAAGAAATAAGCCCTTACAAATCCAAGAAGGCTAAGAATGCTCGTGAGATTTTGAAGGAGTAAGACGAATATTAAAAGTATCAGTTGAAGAAAGCACAAGGGATCGAGGGTAATTATGGTGAAATGGACATCCAACGGGTGAACATATGCAACTAGATCATGTTAGCGGACAATAGTCGATATTGTTTGTCGCTTGAGATGAGCTTAGCTTGGTAGTAGATAACATTTCGAAATTATTCCTTTCAAAATTCATGACCCCTTTTTCATGTTTTCTGTTATGTTTTGGTCGCCGCGGATCCCGCGTCCCATGGAGTGTTGTGCCGCTGCACCGTGCGAAGCGCGGATTCCGTGAAGCGAGATGGATGATTCCCATAAGAGACCAATGCTATAAGTCTAAGTGAAAGCCCAGTATGGGGATGAAGTAATACAAATTGATCTTCTCGTCCTTGTATATTTAAAAGAAAATATTCTTTTGTTTTATTACCTCGTTTGTTCACCACTTCGTATCTGGACGTTGATGCTATCGTCAATCGCCCCTTGTCCGAATTCACAATGAAAGACCCGCAGACTTTAGGTCAGCTTCAAAGGTAAGATTTTCCTGGGAGTTGATGCGCTACAAGACTGATATGTATTGAAGAGATGTTGAGTATCTCGAGACCGTTGGAAGCCTTCGAGGACGTGTTACAGCGCAAGAACCAACCAAAACCTCCCCGACGGAGCCTGACGCCAAAAAGTATCAAGAAGTCAAGGCAGTTGACGGATGGGTACCAGGTACAGATCCGAAGATCGATCATACGGGACACTTTGAATTCGGAGGCCCACTGGGAACAACAGCTATGATGGTTGGTTTCCCGCTTTTAATGTATTATATGTGGATTGGAGCGACATTCTACGATGGCCACTTCCCACTTCCAGCATCACAATCTATCACAGACTTTCTGGTACACATGGCAAACTTGGTTTCGACCCACGCGTTTCCAAATCTGAGGGCGTGGACCATATACTGGACATTCTTCATTCTCCAAGCGTTGGGATATTCCTTTCTTCCCGGAGTGACGAGCTATGGTAAACCGCTTGATCATGAGGATGGAAAGCAGCTTGAATATCACTGCAGTGCCATTCATGCATTCTATTATACGATTGTTGGTACATCCATCCTTCACGTTACCGGCCTCTTTCCTCTATACACCATCATCGATGAATTTGGACCTCTCCTCTCTGTTGCTATCATCTCAGGCTTCCTCGTTGCCACTGTTGCATACACCTCTGCCATCATTCGAGGCGCACAACACAGAATGACTGGTTATTTTCTTTACGACTTTTTCATGGGCGCGGAACTCAATCCGCGGATTGGAAACCTCGATTTCAAGATGTTCTTCATGGTCCGTATGCCATGGTTTATTCTATTGAGTGTCACCTGTGCTACAGCTGCACGACAATACCACGACTACGGCTACATCTCAGCTGAAGTTGGATTCATGGTGTTCGCACACCTCTTGTACGCCAATGCTTGCGCAAAAGGTGAAGAGTGCATCGTGAAAACATGGTACGCTAGCTCTTCGAACAGCAACAACCTATCCTCGAAGAAAACCTGCTGACTTGAATTCAAGGGACATTTATTATGAGAAATGGGGTTTCATGCTGATTTTCTGGAACCTAGCAGGCGTTCCTTTGAGCTACTGCCACGCGACGCTCTATATGGCCAACCACCTAGACACCATCTCTGACTGGAGCTACCCAGCACTCCGAACACCCCTTCTGGTGCTTCTGTTTACATCGTACTGTTTCGTCTACTGGGTCTGGGACACATGCGGCAGCCACAAACATCGTTTCCGCGCCGCACAGCGCGGTGAAACGACGACGAGGAAAACGTTCCCTCAACTCCCCTGGCAGACGCTCAATAACCCTGCTGTTCTCACCACACCCAATGGAGAAAGTATTCTGGTTGGAGGGTGGTACGCATATGCAAGAAAGATACACTATACATGCGACGTCTATTTCGCCGTTACCTGGGGACTGATTTGCGGCTTCGAAAGCCCGTTTCCTTGGTTTTATCCTGTTTTCTTCACGGTTATGATCATGCACCGTGCGTATAGGGATATTCAGAGGTGTAGGGCCAAGTATGGGGATACTTGGAAGGAGTTCGAGAGGCGGACTCCGTATTTGTTCATTCCGGTAAGCTTAGCCTTTTTCCATCAGTGGGCATTTGAGACGTTTGAAGCTAACTGACAGGGAACAGTATGTTATATAGGTGCTGTTAGTGTTGGATGTTTGTCGGGTGGAAAAGAAAGATTGTAAGATAAGTGTGTTGACGCGGCGCTTGACTATAGGGCGTGCAGATGGATTGATATTAGAACGGAAGCAAGTCCTTGCCCACCTGAGCAGCGTCGCAAAGATTGCATTCGATTGATTCTGCTGTACCGAAATAAACTACGGGATGTAGTTTTTCATAGCACAATATCCCTCACATCCACTGCGAGTTGGAGAAGTCCTGACTCCATAAGCCAGTCATACCGCTGTTCTCACCGAGACAATTTTCCAGAAAGACTGCCATTGATTCCAGATCATCGTTTCTTACTTCTTGATTTTCACTCATAGGGTCGCATGTGCCTATGTTTTGAGCCAGCGACAAAGACTCGCCGCCATTAGAAGGGAAGGTAAAGGAATCCTCCTCAAGGTTATAGGATCCAAAGAATGGATGATGGGAAGGGACGAAGGCTTTCACGAATTCCAGGAAGACTCTGCATACTTGATACAGCCGATTGACAGCTTCAGAATAACCCCGAGGCGCTTCTAGCGTCTGTAGAACCTGGTCGAGAAGCTCGACGTCCTCGCTACTATGCGACGCAATCGCGTGCGTGAACACTACCAGGAATGGAGTGAAGGATGAGTACAGCAAGATCCTATAAAGAAGGTATGTTAGAAAAAGTGCATAGGATAGCCGCAGACCACTTAGGAATCTTGGCCACTTACCAGTCAGAATATATCCTCCATTTTGGTACATCATTTGACAATAATCTGGCGGTACTTCGTATATGGCACTGCAGGCTCAGTCTCGCCACTTCGTACCTTTTGGCACTGATATGGGTTGCAGCTGCAGGCGATGTCTTAGCCCCATATAGAAGATTCAGTGCTGAGTAGAAAATGAAGTCGGATGATCCCACAATCAGGTCCAGATCGTTCTTGTCTTGTGCACCTGTGGTGTCAATCTAGACAATTTCATGAGCTTCAGCTTGCTTTCTACTGAGGTGGATAAGTGCATCTCACCTCTTTGAACTTGGTGTGCCAAGCTGAAAATAACGCCGACAGCTCCTCTACTGCACGCGCTCTTGTTTCGGGCTGCTCCCGCTGAGCCTTTGCAGTATACAAACGATCGTAGATTCTTCCTTGCAGTCTGGAGAATTCTATGAATGCATGGAAGGCTCGATCCCAAGGACGGAATCGCGGATTCGATGAGAGTGAGTATACCTTGACATCGATGTCATCATCTGAAAAGGATGAAGTTCTACCCAAATTCAGAGATAGTGTTTTGTCGATCATGTATAACATCCAGAAAGCGTGTCGCTTGACTTCCGCTCTGGTGGATCTCGAGCCACGACGGCTTCGCGATGGTATCCTAGAATCTGGCATAATCGAGCACCTGCAGAGACGAAAGTCCAACACAAGGAAGGCAAAGAGTCTTCTTGCGCCTTCATTGCCTACTGACAGTTAGAGAATAGGGGTATTGGCAAGAATATTGATGAAGATCACTAACTCCGATCATCAAGCATTGTATATTCTCCAGTTTTGGTGTGACTAAACATTCGTAGTCCTGCAGTCCTGCTATGAAGTTCTTTTCGCATAGTTTCCCATAAGTGACACAGTCAGAGCTTGAGATGTCTGGGCAAGGGTTCGCGCTATACTCGAAGAACACAAACGAGAGCATTCCGTTCATCAGAGTAAGCTCTCCCTTCGTATAGGGCTTAGTGGGGAAGTAGATCTTCTTGCAAAGCTCTTCCAGCACAGCATGATCTCTTTGAGCACTGTGGATTATCACAAATGGTGCGTGAGCTAGAGAATGAGATCAGTCTTGATCTTCATACTGAAGGTGCAATTACCTGAGGCTCTTCTTAACACCGCAAGCACCGCTGACACTGGTGGCAAGTCGGTTTTCGTAGTGGCTGCCTTCGAAGCGAGTGGGAATGAAACATAGTCTGCTGATGAAGGCTTTCCCTCATTTCTAAGGAGATCTTTTAGGGACGATAAAGACGTATAGATGTCACCACCCTGCCCAGTATGTTCTGCCTCTCTAGCAGAGACTTCAGCTGAGATGGAAGCAAGAGCAGATAGATTGTTGAAAGACGTTTCACCCTGAAAAGTGGTCTCCAAAGCAGAAGGGGCGATCTGATCTGTCGATATGTCTGCGGCTCCTAATGAAGGTTTCAGGGATGCCTGACTTTGGTCGAGTCTGCGCAAGCTCTCCTTGATCTCGGAGAGACTTTCATGAATCGAATTGAAATGTTTCTCGCTAAAACATATGAGAATGGCACTAAATCTCGAAAGAGAATTTCTCTTACTGGTATGAAGCAGGTGCCGGCCTTGTTACTGCTCCTGTAGGCTTTGTCCGCACAGCAGTACGGCATGGCAGGCTCACCGACTGACAGTTTGAACAAGGCGACAGCCTGTCACAACGAATCTCAGAGGAGCGTTAGTTCATACTTCTGTGGCAAACTGATTCCATCGGTACCTTTCTGATTCTACAATTCTCACACTACAGAGAGGTTATCATTAGCTGCTGCATGCATTGACCTTTCGGGTGAAACGTACTGCTTTGGGAATAAGTGAACCTCCAGGTTTGGGCGTATCACTTGTATTGTCAGGTGAGTTTGTCATTTCGGACATGCCCATGTGACTTCTGGAGTTTACTTTCATGCACGAAGGGGATCGAACTGCTGAGTTGAGAAGAGGTAGAAGGGGGAAAGGGGAAGTCGTCGAGGCGCGGAACGCACGGAATCCGCGGAATCCGTGGAAGCCGGACACTCTTGGCATGCTATCTTCTCAAAGGAGGGCATCAACATAATAATTATCTACCTTGAGGCACCAACTTGAAAGATGTAATTTAGTAATTAATTTATTGTACAGGAAGTCCCTATTCAAGTGCCTGCTCGGCTCGATCTATTGACCCAACCACGGTGGCGATACGCACCTTTTCGGAACGAGACCTAGGGAGAACAGCTGTTGATAATCAAGCAGACAATGCTTTAACCACACGGGATACAAGTACCGAATTTAGCCCAAACAGGTAATCCTGCCATATGATGAAACAAAAAAGATAAGACTAGGTGGTTCCGCTGTTGATTCCAGAGTCTCAGGCCTGCTTTGGTCTCAACGCCTGCTCAAGACGTCTGCAGTACAAATTTCTTCTCACCTCTCTTCTCACGCCAGTAGTTCGACCCTTCTAAAATTTCAGGACAACCACGAATAAGCCAACCCCATTTCTTCAGGAACGATAGATTTGCTTCCCACCCCATGATATCCCATGGCTCACCCCAGACCATCAGAGCAGGTCTCTTGCCCAGATCCTCTGCCTCTACATTGAGCAAGTCCATGCACAAATCGTCATCGTTCATGGCGCCTATATGCATCGCGAGCAACATGTTGTCACGAAGCTTTGGAAATGGAAACAAGTCGATCCATGGATGGTGTTGGATTTGTCGCTGCAATGGCGTCGGCACCAACGTCTCTGGGCACGACGATAAAAGTTTTGTAAGATTGGAGGCCATCGGCCCTTGTTTATTGTACGGTGATACCATATCTTCGCTGCACAGTCCCTCGGGCAGAAAGCCCATTAGCGTGGCATTCCGCGCCAGGGCATTAAGCACGTTCAGTCGGATGAGGATTGGCAGATTCGTGGGGCAAGGGGCGTGTAATGAGTACTCTTCGTAAGCACGCCTGAGGAGTTGTCGTCTGTGAGCGATACGGCGAGGACATGTTAATAGCGCTGGTCCGTCATGGAGCGTCGATCCATTTCCTCGGACGACTAGCGCACTGCTTTTGCCTTCTTTTACAGCATACTCCGGATAGTCTGGTAGTATGGCCGCATGGGAAATCTTGGAAAGACTCTGTACGTCCTTTATTTGTGCTTTCCTCCTTCTTCCTGTGTACGATCAGCTAGGTGGTTGCACCGGAGCGCGAGTACAGTGGTCTGAGAGAGACTGACGATATGTTCTCTGATTGATTCTATTCTGCCGTTTCTTCCTCTCGGCAGTGTTTGTTATCCCAGTCCAATCATCGCACGGATTCCATGCTTCCGATGATTGGCATAGACTTCCTAATCCACACAAAACCTCCTGTTGAGCGCCTTTGTCCATGGAACGAGTCGTCTAAGGCCGTGAGCGTTTACATCCAACAATGGTCAGCGCAAGTTGCACCTTCCAGACGTTTTGGCAACCTTGCATGCAAGTGGATTACGCACATCACGTTGGGGTAGAAAAATTATGCTCGAGTACGAGAAAGTGTCGACTAAAATACCACTTAAACGACCCTTCGTGACGTGCGGGGAAGGGAAGATCACCAACGATTGAGCTAATGCAGGTGGATTACGCGCTAATGTAGCGGACCAACAGATCTGAGCTAGTGATTTGTGGTCGTGAAGCCTAGTTTCTTTCTCGTACTTCTTCTCATAATGCATTTTTGCCGTGGTCTTTACTGTGGTCATACCAAAGCTGGGTACCTAGTGATGGAAGTCTAATTCTCAAGGGTAACCGGATAGTAGGACTCTAGTAACGGCACTGAAAGGCAAAGCTATCGATAATGCAAGTGGCTTATTTTCTGGGGATTGACATTCGATGTCAATATCTCTAGTATTGTGATTGGTAGAAAATTCCCAGTGACAAACTTCGAGACAGAGATATAAAGTGCCTTGCCTGGACATCAATGCAGTCTTTCTCTCAAGTATTAGACGCCCAGAAACTTGTCTTTTCTCGCGAGGTATAGACTGCATCCATGGCTTCACCTATGAAATATGTCCGGTAAGCTACAAGATGAACTGTCTTGATGATGACCTGACAATCCTTCAGAGTGGGGAAATCGGGCCTGAAGGTTTCACAGATCATCCTAGGTTGCATGAGCTTTGGCGATAAGAACTGGCAGCCCTGGCTTCTGGACGAAAACGAAGCTCTCCCTGTTATCAAATATGCCTTCGATCGTGGTATCAACACGTGGGACGTCGCCGATACCTATTCGAACGGTAGATCTGAGGAGATTCTCGGTGCAGCAATCCGACAGTTCAACATTCCTCGCTCCAGGATTGTCATCATGTCCAAGTGCTTCCAGTTTGTCGATGAGAATAAAGGATGCATTGACCCTGCCAGTTTGACAAGTAACGATGGCACACGGGTCAATCAGGTTGGACTGTCCAGGAAGCACATCTTTGAAGCAGTTGACCGCAGCGTTGAGCGTCTTGGGACCTACATCGATGTTTTGCAGATCCACAGGATGGATCGTGATGTCCCACCAGAAGAGATAATGAAGGCACTTAACGATGTTATTGAGAGTGGTAAAGTGCGATACATTGGTGCCAGTTCAGTGAGTGCATTTCTGTGGACCTCAATTCCAACTCAAGGATACGTTCAATTTAGCTAACTGGAAAAGATGGCCGCATGGGAATTCCAAATGCTACAGAATGTCGCAAAGAGTAACGGCTGGCATCAGTTCATATCAATGCAAGGCCTATACAACCTTATCTACCGCGAAGAAGAGAGGGAGATGAATCCGTACTGCAACGCCACAGGTGTGGGTCTGTTTCCCTGGTCTCCGCTAGCGGCAGGCGTTCTTGCACACCCCTGGACCGACCGTAGTGATCCACGAGAACAGAAAGACCCCTTTCTTCAGATGCTCTTTCGAAGCGGAGACCATGCGGCAGACCAAGCCATTGTAGGACGTGTTGAGGAGCTGGCGAGAAAAAAGGGAGTCATGATGGCACAGATCGCTCAAGCGTGGCTGATTTCCAAAGGCTGCATGCCTATATGTGGTCTAGAAACTGAGGAGAGAATTGAACAAGCCTTAGCTTCGCTAGAAGTTGAGCTTACGGATGATGAGGTTGGTTGGTTGGAGGAACTATATGTCGCGAAAGGACCTTTTCCCTTCTGAGGAGAGCTGAAATAAGAATAGAGAGGGTATTTCTTGTTGACTACCTTCTCAGCACTCGATTGCAACTTCACTGCTGTTAAAAACCTTTCTTCCACTCTTTTACAAAGTATCGATCTTCAAGATCATAATTGGGTGACCGAAATTTTGATTTTCTTTTTGTGCTTTAATCACTCTGTTGAATTGCCCTGATTCATCTAGTCCGGAGATACATCGATAGCGTGTGTAAGACAAGATATAAAGTTGTAAACTGAAGGCTAAACACATCTCCTCTGAAAACTATATGAATTGAGCTTTATCCAAGAAACTCTGAAGACAAGAATGCTCCATCTGGCTTAGTATATTTTCAGTCTACACCCCCAGATGATACTCTCAAGGATAGTACATAATGAGTCAGACTGATCTATGTCACTAACAGGTCACCGTGTACATATTGGACAAGCTGTTTACCCAGGCCTTTTAGCATGCAAGTGTATTTAACCGCAAGAAATCCGGGATATTAGCATGACATCCATGTATGAAGACACCCTTGGTAGGCAGCGTAGGACATTGAGACAAACGTTGAGTACCCACAGAGACGACAAAGACAAATTTCCGAGTGCTCGACAGCGTGCTCGTGAAGGAGGAAACCATTTTGGTTAGCATGGAGTATTTGATAAAAGTTCAATTTGCGTGGGACAATTATAACCCTCATTATTGCAAAATTTTGGTCTTGGTAGTGTTGTTTCTCCTCATATTGTGATATACAGATTCTGATTTCGATGTTACAAAGTTTTGTTTAACCTGATGACCCAATGGTTGAAGCTCAAACTCATAGATGGAGTATAGTGTAATACCAGTTTTCAAGTAAACTGTGTGAAAAACTCCCATGAATTGCCTGGTGCGAAGGGCGTGCTTGAACCTGAATTCACTTGCGACGGGTTATGATCGCCACCATGAATAACCCAGGTCAATGGATATCCTGCCTTACATCCCTGGTACACTGTCTTCACCGAACTGCCACCGTTGGGCTGAGGCTCGGATGCTGGTTTCGTGCATCCGTTGTTGGCAATGAATTTGTCTCGCAGCTGACGGCCCATCGAAACATTGAGGACCGAGTCAGAAGTACCATGCTGGCCGTAGAAAGCAACGGGTTTAGTCCCACCAGAGCACCCGCTCAACTGCGCACCTGAGATAACGGCAACGGCGCGGATCATCTCGGGGCGGGCGCATGCAAGTGCATAGGACATGGCGCCTCCATAGCTGAAACCAGTAGAAAATCGCAAATTAGTGTTGATGCATAGGTCGGCCTCTACGGTCTTGACAAGTTGATCAAAGAACGTAACATCTTCTCCACCTTGATTGCCCCAGCCTTGGCTGAGTCCATCTGGAACCACGAAAATTGCAGTGTTGTTGGCAATGGCTTTGAGGCCGTAGAAGGGAAGCGCGCCTCCACGGGTAGGATCTTCTCCGTTGACGATTTTCTGAGCACTGCCGCCCAATTGGTGCCAGGTAAAGACAAGACGATACGGCTTGTTTTGGTCGTAGTTATCTGGGATGTTCAGGAAATAGTTCCGGGTTTTTCCATTGACCTGCACCGAGTATTGCTTGCTCGTGAGGGTTTTGGATTTCCCACATCCAGCTGAGTTTGCGCTCAAAACCGCCGGCACTGAGGCCAGAAAAAGACATAGGGAGTTGATTAAACCGTGCATATTGATTCCAAAAATGTGAAGCTCTTGAAAGACACAACAGCTGAAGACAGTGATGCTGTCCGAGATATATATTTGAGATCTGAGGATGTTCACAAAAGCATACTCCCAATGCACATTACCGCTCTTCTCTCGTTCACCTACATAGTTTGCCGATATTCATATCCGATCTCTTCTTCACCTACACAGCTTACCGATATTCGTATCCGAATGCACAATGTTGATTGAGGTTGAAGAAAGCTCATCATGATTGGAGGTGAGTCTATGCCTTGGAAATTCGCTTGTGATCATTACAAGCGGCGGCAGTACTAATTACCCGCAGGAACACATATCCAATGAAACAGCGTTCTGCCTTAGCTGTCATATGCACCCCGGATTGATAAACCCGTTACATGATGAAGAGCTGGTTGTCTTCTCCCGTAGTTCTATTGACAAGGCAGCATGCCCATAGTTCTCGGTATTGGATATTTCTGAATGTGGCCTGTATTAGTTACACATAAGTGGGCGGCATTTCCTACTGTAGAAACGACAAAGTGACATGCTACATTGTTTTTGAAAATGCGCAATATCAGGAGCATCCATTCAAGTAGAGCTCCTAATACACTTCGGGAGTAGCTTCCTATTCACCACGCCCAGTACCTAAGACACCCTCTGTGTTGAGACATATTAAGAAGTACTTTAACTTTAACCAACTCGACTTCTATGCACGCGTTGTTATATTTCATAACTCTACGTAGGTCATATGCTATAGCTATTTCTAAATCAAAGCAGCATAATCCTCGTATTTTCCTATCCAAAAGTTCCTCCATACCCCAGATTTCTCCTTTGCGCTCGGCTCACTGGGCATCCTGTTCGGCAGGGAAAGGATCCGTCTTGGTGTTGATGCAAGACATGATGTGCCTCAGCATAATTATCCGTCGTGGCAGGCCGAGTATTACTGTGGTTGTATGTCGCATTTATTCATGCTGCACGCCGCTCCATGCTCAAAGCATTAAAATCTACATCTCGGAGAGAACCCCAATTGTTGGTGGAATTTCTAGGACAATTGTTCTGAGTGAAGACAAGTTTTTTAGGGTTGTGCAGCTCTAGCATGATTTGGGTGTTGAATGCCATGTGCATTGCTTGCATGTAATTTACCTGGGAACTGAGAGAGATGCGAATGATATTGTTGAACTTATCCCAAGGGCTCCATTTTATCTCTGCTTAAAGATACATGTTAGCCTAACTTTCCACTCTGTGCTTTCGACTAATCTATCCAGATTACCTACACCTTCAACATACATTTTAACTTTCACTCCTTACGATCCTCTACATTCGACGATCCAAGGTTAATCACAATGTGGCGCGATCCAGGCATGACTCTTCTAGTTGTTAGCTTTACTCTGACCATCTTTTCTACTTTGGTAGTGGCATTAAGGTTTGTTCTTTGTCTTCTCCTACGATTATCGTTACCACTAGCAAGCATGTACCCAGCTTTTCCACACACGTCCCTAATTCTCTCAATGACCAATGCTTTTTAGATCGTTATCTCCCATCTCCCTCACATTCCTATTCCATCCTTGATATCCTTGATTGAAAAATGAAACGTTCAAGCTAACACTCTCAGGCTGTATAGTCGACATGTCTTAATGCATATAGCTGGCATATCCGATTACATTATGCTTGCCGCGCTCCTGAGCACATGGATCACCACCGTGCTCAACTCCTACCAAACCAAGTTCGGCAAGGGTGCAAGCCTCAGCCAAGTAGAAAAGGTGAAATGCTACCTGCATGCAAAAAAACGTCATCTTCAAAGGCACTGATTACCTCTTACCAGGACCCAAATTCGCCACGGATTCAAGCCGCTCTTTCTGGAATTCTCGTCACATGGTTCATTTACCGGCCTCTCTACATCTTTACGCTTTCCCTCGTCAAGCTCTCCATTCTTACATTCTATCGTACCCTCGTTCCCCCCTCCCCTCTTTTCCGCTCGTTTCGATACACGGTCTACGTGCTCATAATCTTCACTATTCTCCACTCCCTCTCAATGACAGCAGTATCAATCTTTCAGTGCACACCCGTATCGGCCGCCTATTCCGTTTCCTCTTCATTTTCACAAATTCTCGGGCAGAGCAGATTCCCCCAACCACGCTGCTACAAGCCGAATATTATCTGGGTTTCCAACGCCATCATCAACTTCGCTACCGACATCGCCATCTTCCTGCTTCCCATCCCAATTATTGCCTCGCTCGGAAGCATGACGTTCCGGAAAAGACTTCAACTGTTTTGCGTTTTGTCTATTGGCACGCTGGCTATTGCCGCCAGTGGGGTCCGGATGTGGATTCTGGTCTTGTGGGCCAAGGACGTACGCAGTCGGAATAAGTTTGGCACGGATTTACTGACGTGGGGCCAAGTCGAGGTACACTGTGGGATTGTGGGTGCCAGTGCAATGTTTCTAAGGCCTGTATGTAGGAGTTGCTTTGAGGGGAGGGTGTTAAAGTCAAAGAGTGTGGATAGGAGAGCATGGGGCTTGGAAAGAGGTGAGATGAAGGTTTGAGGTGAGCTTTACGGCTTTAAAGAAACTTCTATCGCATGCAAAGTATCACCTTTGACCTAAAAGCGGACATGCCACAAAGCGAGCTTCGCCACCAACGCACTCTGATAGACTGTTGGAAGCGCATAAACGTAGCACCAGTCAAGGATGGCGGTGCATACGACATGCCAATCGACGTTGACTTTTGACAACTACCAAAAGATGCCACCTTCATCACGCCGATTGTCATTACCATGAGAGGGATCGAGACGTTGAAACCATATTAAAGCTCGACTCAATTTGCAAATTGCAAATTGCAACACTTTCCTCTCTCATGACTGAAAAGTAGCTCAAGACGCCATTTTGTTCTTGTATAATAGTCGCTTAGCTGATTCCCTCTATTCAATAAACGAAGCTCAGCTTCTGGTAGCATCTACGCTGGTGCATTTGGCCACTTATCAAGAACTACCTCTGTGCCTGTCAATGTAAAATTCAACGTTGCCTGTACTGGCTCGTCGAGCAAAATCTGGTAATTTCCAGGATAAAGCACCGTATTACCCTTCTCATCATGACGTGCCACACTACCCAACGTCCATTCAAGCAAGGCATCTGCAGTTTGGCCTGGCGTAATATTACGGATGCGATGGTACGCCGTGAGTGTTTTGACAGGATAAGGTTTCGGGCCATTAGTGCTCTTGATGAATACGAGCACCACGAAGTCAGAAGTACGGTTGGCCGCGTTGCTAACTTTAATGGAGAGAGGTGGAAGCGCGCACCTATCCAGAAAGTCGTCGAGACAGTCCTTAAGCAAGTGCTGGATGGAGAGGCTTGGTGTGAAAGAGTCGAATGAGGCGTTGAACGATGTGTAGTGTAGACCGTATCCAAATGATCGAATTGGCGTAGGATACCATCTATATGTACGGCCTGGATTGGATCCATTTGGCCTGAGGCCCATGTCTGTCATGGGCAGATTTGTATAGTTGACTGGGTACTGCGTTAAGGGGAGTCGACCTGCGACCGCTTTCGTACCAGATATAATATCCATGACAGCAGAACCTCCGTCTTGACCTGGCCAACTAGCCCAGAGAATGGAGTTGACACTCTTGTGGGCAAGTAGGGGAGTACTGTCGAGCATGTCGCCCATCTGAATGACCACTAGCGGCTTCCCTAAGGCACTAAGCTGATGAATGAGAGTGACTTGTGCCTCCGGCCATGTGAGACTGAGCCTATCCAAGCCCTCAGCGGCGGCTGATGTATCCTGGCCTCCAAAATAGAGGATATATTCCGATCCATCTGCGGCCGCGAGCGCATTTGTTGTCCATGTATCGTTCGCCGTGTTCCTCTGAAGGATTGGCCCCGTACTAGTCTTGACGGATAGTCCAAGATGCTGGGCAGCGTGCACCGGTGAGTGCAGAAATGGAGCCGGGCCGCTGTAGCCTCCTTGAAGCTTGCTCGAGCCATTAGCCCAGAATCCTGTCATGGCTACCTTTGCGCCAGGCCCCAGAGAAAGTGGTAGAGTGTTGTCATTCTTCAACATTACAATCCCATCCGAAGCCGCTTGGCGTGCTAGTTGGTGTGCTGCTTTGGTATTAACATCAGCGGCACCTAGTTTGCCGTACACTGCTGCGGAGCCATCAAAGTAGCCTGCACGGACGAGACCGTAATACAAACGGTTCAAGACCCTATCGACAGTAGTCTCATTTAGCATGCCACTGCTCCAGGCACCTGGGATATCTGAAGATCCAGAATACTCGCAGCTGCTGTCCATTTCGGCGTTGAATGTCAGAGCAGTACCTTCAGTATTCGAGGACGCGTAGTGGTGGTTTTGAGATACGTCTAGTACAGCCTCACAGTCGCTGGTAATATAATTGTTTCCATCCCACTTCCAGTGGTCTCGAAGAACTGATCCTATCAGAAAAGTATTTGCACACGCAGGGACACCGTTGACGCTATTGTACGAACACATAAACGATCCTACCTTAGAATCTCTTGCACATTGTTGGAACGGCTGAAGGTAGTACTCAGCTAGATCTTGTTGTGTGATCTCTGCGTTGAAGTTGTGTCTTGTAGTACCCTTCCAATCTTCGAGATCGTTCGCGGCAAAGTGCTTGCACGTAGCGATAATGCGTCGCTCCTTGATATCATCGCCTTCAAGTCCTGATATCAAGCTTTTAACATAACCCTTAATCCTGGTTGTATCCTCGCCGGGAGTTTCTGAGCCACGGCCCCACCGGGGATCTTTGAAAGGGTTTATATTCGGCGTCCAGAAGTCGAACGGAGCTTTTCCACCGTTGCCAAAGGCTCTTGCTTCGGTCCCAATTATCGTCGCAACCTTATGAATAAGGTCGTCATCGAAAGCGGCTGACATTAGTAGTGGCATCGGAAAAGATGTCGCCGTCTTGAATTCACCGGAGAATTGGATCCCAGGAGCCCCAGCTACGCCATGAAGAGCTTCACCCCACCAGTTCTAAGCTGGAAGCCCGAGACGCGGGACGCCAGGAGACTTGCTGTGGGCATTTAGTTGCTGATGCAGGGGTTGCTCCTCAGTACATACCTGACCAGGTTTGCAAGCTTCTCCTGTTGCCGCATTGCTGCAACGAGTGCAGCAGCCCGCTCTGTTGGGTCTGCGTCTACATCGCAGATTTTGTTCGATTTCAAAGGCCCATTGATGCAGTCCGGGCCCACAGCGCCGAATGCCAAAGGAACCAGAGACGCAATTCCTACCAATGTGATTGCTGAAAACAAGACCATTTTGAAGAGAGTGTGTGACAAAGGCAATAAAGTGTTGTCATATTCGAAGGCATGTTAAAAGACTTACATTTTGCCTCCGTGTTTTGAGAGTTATAAAGCGATGAAGTTTCATTCTGGAATTCAGTTACTATTCGTAAGCAGATCTTCCCGCTCAGCCATTTCGAGGTCTCAGCTGGGTAAATTGCTTGTAAACAAACTTAACCAAGAATACGCCTGCATGGAGCGGGGTAATTTAAATATTTCAATTCCTGATGAAGTTTCGGCACTGTGTCACGGGAATTGCTTCTATTCTTACCAGCTTCATTTGTTCGGATAGATGTGCTCATCGCCTAATAGAATAATTGAAGCGGGCCGTAACTGCAGATACCAGTATTGAGACATTTAACTCCTTAGTTTATGACCTCAATCCCAGTACGAAAGTATGTATGTAAACCCACCTATGCTGCCTAAATCCATATGCTTGCACGATGACCCCTCTGGATTCTGTCGCCACAAGTTACACTTTGTTACTGATAGACGATATTCTCTGGTCTATTGATTCACCCAATCCACGAGCCGACCGGCATCGTCAGTCATAAGAATAGTGAGCAAAAGTTGCAACTATACCTACTAAAAATACAGTTACTACAATCATTGTAGAAACGGAAAGGTACTGAAACCCCTTTAAATCGATAGAAGACTTTTTGTATGTAATTTATGCGTATCGAGATAATGTTCGTCTAGCCGATTTTGATCTCATTATTTCTTATCATTCCCCCCCTAACCTGCCATTACTTGACTGGAGTCTTGAGCACCTTATCTAATTGTACTACTGTGATCGAGAATGGTGTGTACAGCTTCTTACCGATGTTATCAAAGGTTTCCCCCCCATAAATTGATAACCGGTTGGGATACATCTTGGAAATTTGGATAGCCCTGGAATAAACTGCGCCAGCAGGTGTTCCATGCTCTTCCCACTTATCGATATCGCCACCAAATGAATTCGTGTACACCTGTGCTCTATCAGCGTCTGAGACGACGATCGTGCCGTTTGGGCCGCCCAAGGAACTCCATGCCACGTAGGGACTAGCATTAGGTGCCGTCACGTTGTTGATGACAATCGGACGACCTTGCTCTTTGGCGAATTCAAGAGGCGAGTCGGCCATAACGTAGTAGACTGGATAGTTGACACCATGGGAGGACGAATTGCCGATGGGCAGTTCATGGACTAGAATCCACTTTCTTAGGGGCGGTATGTATTCCACAACAGTCATTCCTGGGCGGGCCAGATATTCCTCATAAGCTACATCGTTGACGACAGGACCCCATGTCTTCAGATCCCTGGATGTCTGGTGTGCGAGCTTCTGGCCGTGCTTGGGATCACGTTGGTCCGAGTAGAAAGCGATTAACTCGCCTTCGTATTGCCTGTGCACACTTGTGTCAACGAATGCGAGGCGAAGAGTGAGAATCATACGGTTGCGACTTACAAGAGATAGGGCTCCCAGATAGGAGTTGCACCATTTGTGGTGTTCGGTCGACCGCCTTGAGCAATCTGACTGACAAATTCCCATGTCCTTGCTTTATCTTTACTAGCATATAGATCGATTCTCGTGCCATTGTTACTCCAGCTATTTCCAGCACCCAAAATTGTTCCGATTTCGTAATCGCCCATAGGCTCTGTGAGCTCTGCCAGTGCAGGCTGTGCGCTAATGCCCCAACCATTGACTTGATCCTGTAATTTAGAGATGTATTTCCAGGTCGCACCACCATCCTCGCTCTCAAAGATGGGGAAGTAACCCGGTTGGTGGCCTGATAGCGACGCAGTGGCAATGATGGTGCCATCCATCAGCTCGACAAACCGTGGATATGTGATAGACTCGGATGCAATAGGCTGGTAGATGGTATTGTTCGTGAAGTAACCCCACGGTTCGGGCCCCTTCGCGCCTGCGTCGGCGGCAGTGTTGGGTACAAAGATTATACCAAATGCTAGAATAAGTAAACGCATTGTTGCTACCTTGTCTACGTGTGGTAGTTGAGAAGATTCGGTCCTGATACAGTGGAATCTGCAGGAGAGGGTCATATATCTATCGAGATCTTCAGATCACCGTGACAATTCAACTAGCCATTGGAAATTCAATCATAGACTCTTCTAGGTACTTGCATTTTACAAATGCAGAGCCCTCGTACAACAATAGATCGGTATCTAGACAACCTGCGTAGTAGTCCAACATTGGACCCATTCCACTGCCGGAAACTGCTACCGCTAGACGTAGCTCGTATACAAAACTATATATCCCAGCTTCGACCCTTCTATTGTCTCTGTATGTACAAGGCTCGTATCCACCGGAAATCTTTTTCGGCAGATGCAAATCCTAGTCCTTTGGAGCAACTCCTACCACACTGAAAAATACTCCTAATTGAGTACGATGCTGTTACTACGTAAGTTGCGGTTGGGATCTTGTGTTACATCGAAATATCCAGGCTCGCAATTGATTGATTCTACCCTCCTCGGTTCCAGTCGCGATATTCCCGTGGCTATTGTATACCCGTGTGACCATCATAATTGGTTTACTAATGAATAAATCCTTTTGTGGTGGGTTATCCAAACCGGATTTCTTGCTGTTTGTCGTACATATATCGCTTCGGTCTGACTAGGTTTGTAGAACTACAGAGCGCTCTTTATGCATGATCCTACCAATATTTGACGTCTACGTAAAGTTAAAGTTGGTTGAAGTCAAGGTAGCCCTCATATGTTCTGGCACGGTTGAATTTCTGCTACGTATGGATTGGCCTTACAGTTAGCACTGATGCACTCGACAGCTTTGTGCTTGCTGTTGCGCTCAGATCCACGCAAGGTCGCCATTCTAATCAATACTGTCGCGCATAGACGCCTCTGTAGTAGGGAGTATTATAGGGACGACATACGATTGGTGGATAGGTAGGATAGATAGATATTAGCCACCGTCAATATGCCTACGGAAGGAGAGGGCGATCCCTCGATCTCTCTCGGCTGCCTTGGTCGATCTATCTATGCCCTGATTAGTGCTTTCCGCCCTACCCATGATGCCCGAATATTTTCACGTATGCCGCTTCCCGACAATACGCTCAACTGTAGTGATCACCAAACTCAGGTAGCACGAATCGATCATTAATCTGCTGATGTGTGCAATTTAACATTCCGTTTCTGTAAGAAGCGTTCAGCGTTATTTCAGACTAGCTATTCCCATAAGTTGTTTTAATAGTAATAATCGCCATTATCGCCCCTCTTCCCCATTTAACGTAATTAATCTCGCTATCAACCTTGCAATAGTAACAAGGACTCTCAGCCGTCCTCTGCTCCTACACATTTTCTCCTATGCTAAATCCTAAACCCAAAAGAATTCCAACTTGCTGAGAGAACCCAATGAAAGTTCTATGTACAGCTTGCTAGACAGTAATGCTAGCACTGAATGAGGAGACTGAGAATTTAGTAGGCCCACCGGTAAAAGCCTCTGTACCTACCTGATATACTGCTAGACATTAGTAAAGTGCTGAAATACTCTCATGAATTATGAATTATATTGCTCACCGATCAGATTTTGCGAACTTGCGGGAAACTGCTGATTGCTGACCAAGTAGTTGAAAAATAACTTGACGTCAGCCTTGAAGCTGGTTATATCATTGCTACTAGATCTCACGAAACTATACACCTTCATCGATCCGTTGTAGCCGAAGTAAATATCGAAGCTGTATCCTGCGATCGTAACCGTAGCTATTGGGGATCCTCCCTGTGATATTGGCCATACTCCACCTTCACGACCGAGCCTGTGTTATGTCAACTCTGAGAAACTCGCCCGCTTGGGTCCGTATATGTACCAAATCATGAGTTCATAGTCCCCACTGCTATTGACGTGATTTGGGTCTGAAGCCGTAAAGATGTCATACGCTACATTTGCGCGTACATTGTTGGTGGTGTTATAGCTCCAATCAATCTGCGTTGGCATGGTTTTGATCTTGGCAATCGTGTTACCTTTGGTGAGTTGACGACCGGCGTAAACATAGCTCTTCACATTGTTCTCGGCTCCTTTCCATGTTCAGGTTGAGCTCCACTTGATGCCGGACCCAGAAGTGCCTTCGTAATATGTGCACTGCGATCCCGAGGTCGCTGAGTCCTTGCCCCAGAGGTTGTTTAGGACTTCATAACCGTTGGCCGCGTAATAGGCGTATTGAGTGCAGAGACTGATCGTTTCTTGGACGGAAGACGCATCGCGGCTGGTTGGTGTGCCGCGCTGTACGTTGTTGGTAGCAGCCACTGCAGTTGTGAGCTGTTTGTCCTCTTCACTTTCCAGTGCATCAAGAATATACCATGAAGCGGTGTCCCTAAAGCAGTAGATAGAAGACCGACGTATAGCGCAGTGGAGATTTTCATGGCGAAGCGGCAGCACGTAACAATGGAAGGTCGCTATGATGCTTAGGTTTCGCTAAAGACTCTGCGCAGATATAAATATGTTCCCCTGGTCGCTCTAATGCAATGACAGGGGCAATTCCAGATGCGGAGAGCTTACTCCGTAGTGTACTCAATCAGATGCAAGTTACTTTATCGATAGCAACATCCGTCTTCCATAAATTAGCTATCAAAATATGTCCACCAACTCGTAGTATGCACACCTCGTAAATCTTACTAAATCTGGACTTCATGAGTAGTTCATGTCTAACACCTCAGATATGAGCCGGAGGTGCATTCTGGAAAGACGGTAACTTTAAGTAATGCAATACTTTATAGTATCTCTAGTAATTATACTACACTGAGCTAACGAAGAGGCAGGGTTCTTAATGTAGGCCACTTGCCGTATTTTTTATCCGTGTCGAACGTAGCATACGCAAATCTCCCATTCTGCTACTCAAGCCCCCTATAAACTCAAATTTCGTGTCATTCACCTCGCAATTCCTAGATGAATGAAGGGAGCCCACTGGCAATCTGAAGCTGTAAAATTACATGGACAAACCGCAGACACACCTTTTTTTGTCGTCATTATTACCGTTGGAGTTGCTGCATACTGCCCAGAATTGCATACGTACGCAACAGTGTTCTACATCTATGTTAGTGAAGAAGACATTACCCTCTAGAGAAGATCATAAGTTAGCAGACTCTGTTCTTGTCTTCCCAGATATAAGTATAGCCCACATTACTTCAAAAGTTTGGTCTAAGCCATTGGTGATGTTTTTCCTTACTCACATTGTTGAATAGAGATTCTGATTTCGATAGTACATGCTTTGGTTTCCTTGACCTAATGAATCAATGCTCGAAATTTAAACTCATAAATCAAAGAACCCCTGCCTTTAGATACAAGTGACTATAGAATAGTTAGAATTGACCACTAATGCGGTGGTGGTTCTCTTCAAGACCGATCTCGAGATTACTTTAATCGACACCTACAAACAACCCTAGAGCCCGTATCTGAAATATTGATTCTCAATGTCCGCCTTGTCCAGGAACCTGAGACGAATTGCCTCCTCAAATACTGCCTTCCGGGAAAGGCCCAAGGCGGCCATCTCCTTATCGCGCTTTTTGTTCTCCCAAGACATGTATTGTCGAAGAACAAGGACGGAAACGATGAAGGCGGATTGGCAGACTATGAGCGAAGTTATAGCGCTAAGATGCCGGGGTGCTTCGTGGGGAAAGAACAGGTAGGTACCGGCGATGGAGCTGGCGTTCCACACCATGAACCAGATTGCATTGACTGTACTGCGCTTGGTATGCCCGGCGAAGTTGGTAGCAAGGAGATTATAGCAAGCCACTGAGCCAATAGCGCTTGTATAGAAGAGCCAAGAGCTTCCGACTAGCTGCCAACGATTCTTGTGTGGGGTGAATCGAGTGCCCATGAAACCTCCCAGGGCAATCAACGAAAAGCCAGCGTAGGTTACGCACCTAACATCGGGATACCTGGACGCCACCCAACCAGCGATAGGCAGGACAATAACTTCAATAGCACCAGTTGGTAGCTGCAGAAGCGTAGCATTGAGGCCAGTAAATCCAAAGCCTTTGGTCAAAGCCGATAGAAAATTTCCAAGGCCGCCGCTCATTACTCCTAGTGCTGCACCCGCGACAGCCATTATCCAGGTTTTTGGGTCCATTAGAGCTTCCTTCACTTGGTATGCTTTGAGTTTGGTGCCTCTCACGCCAATCATGTTTTCGGAGGTTCGACTGACGGCCAGAACGCGTTCCTTGGGTGTGAGCCAACTAGTTTGCATTGGTGTATCAGGTACCAATAAAAGCTGAAAGAAATGAACTGATTAGAATGCATATTTTACCATTAACAATAGATAAAATATGAACTTACAAAGACGGCAGCCCAAACGACATTGAGTGCACCAATAATTAGAAACATGAGCTGCCACGATGCGAGCATGGTATGATTCACATGACCTAGCCCAAACGCGAAGAGAGAACCAAGCATAGTTGCAACTCCATTCATGGCGACATACAGGAAAAACCGAAAGGGCTGTTCTTCCCGCTTGTAAAACATCGACGTGATCAACATGTAAGCCGGCGTCATATTCGCCTCAGCCATGCCGAGAATGAGTCTCACGGCGAAGATGCCACCGAAGTTCTTAGTCGCAGCAGCACTGAGGATGAGAGCACCCCAGATGAATATCATGAAGCCAGTATACTTCGAGACTGGATATTTTTGGATGAGATAATTAGCGGGTACGGCCCATATTACGATGCCATAACTGTACGCCGAAGCAACTGTCGAGTACTGAGTTCCGACGAGGTTCAAGTCTTGGACCAGTGTATAGGCCGATCCGTAGTTGAGACTCAATTTGTCCAAGAATTGCAACGTAAATGAGAACATAAGCTATGCTCACGTGTCAGTATAATTGAAGTGAGGGTAGTCTCAAGCACACGTACAATGGGTAGCATAGTACGATCGAGTCTTCGCTTCACGATATTTTTCTCATGCTCCGTTTCAGGAGAATCATAGTTGGCCGCCTCGGTGAACATGTGAGCTCCCATATCATTGGTGCCAGCAATGTCTTTGACCTCTATCGTGCCATTCTCATAATCATCTGAGTACTGGTGGATCTCTACTGGCGTAGCTTCTTTACTGGCCAATGCTGGCTCAGTGTTGTCATGTTCGACGGCGTGATGAGGCATTGCGATATTATTGCAAAATTTGTATGAGATATTGTATGAGAAATCAGTGTGGACAAGTGAATCCAACTTGCTGTCAGCACGACGTCTATCACTGGTGATTTATGCTGCTTCATGAGGCTACTGCCCATGGTTGCAATGCCAGATTTGAAGCATGGAATTCTTCTGTCAAGTCGATATCTACGAGTAAGACGAGTTGTGATTCGAGCATGATCGTTGAGAATGATTGGTCAGTGACATCGCATTTGGGATAAGGAGAAGATACGAGTACTGTGTATCTAGGTAGTTAGAAGTTAGTGGGCAGTCTGTATGGCTGGATGCTTGATTACTTATCACTGGCTCCATCCGATCCGATACGAAATCGGAATTCCGACTGAATCCGCTTTCGGCGCTACTCGGAGATCATGTCTTGAGCGTGGTTTGGCTATCTCTCCCCATCTTCCTCGTTATTGGAGTTTTTGTACGATAGTCAATTATTCCGCGAATTTTGCAGCTGTCATTTAATATCGGCCACAATGGAGGTGCCTCAAACCCCAGCTCCGATAACACCGACAGACAGGAGCGGCAGTGGCAAGCATCAAACTAGACATCGCACACGGCTGCGTAAGGCCTGCCAACGATGCAGGTCCAGAAAACAGCGATGCGATGGGCGACGACCGGCATGCGAAAACTGCGCATCTGCTAACGCTGGTTCGTCTACACATGCCACTTAACGGGCTCTTGATGTGTTCAGTATTGACACAGAACCTAACAATTGCTGTTAGAATGCATCCCTGCAGCCCAGGAGCCGATGGGTTTCTACCCTTCAAGATACGTTCAATCCCTCGAAGAGCACATAGCAAATTTGGAACGCGGTGCAGAAGACGAGGCTAGAACGGCTGGGAGCCCCCTCCAGCAACTGGTCCCTACTATAGCAAGCTTTTCGGGCGATGGCTTCGTACAAGACCTGACAATGCAGCCAAATGCCCCTGCGCCAATCGAGTCCAATATTAACGACTTATACTCTATTCTAGACGAAGACCTGCGCGGTATGCCAGATTATGCGAATGCATCCTCCAATGCCACTGATTCTACACCTGCCTTTATGGATCTCGATGTCCCTGTAAGGAGTGGGGCGGGCTACTTCCAGGCGTATTTCGAACTTATCCATCCACGATACCCTTTTCTCGACGTCGAAGAGTGCAGTAAAGCATACCAGCAGTGGAAGGCTGGATTTGTTCCATCCCAGAATGATATATGGTCAAAGTTTCTTGTCAAGATGGTGAGTTTTCACTACTTATGACCTGAGCTTTTAGACAAGAGCTTACTTCAATGACGGATCTTCGCAATCGGCTGCATTTTACAATCCTCCAGGCTGGATCAATCAGCACAAGGGTTACACAGTGACTTGATAACCCAAGCCGAAGCAAGCCAGAGCATCATGACAAATGAATCAAATACCCCATTACTCCGTCTGCAGGCGATGCTATTATACACGATTTATGCCCTTCATGGTGATAGCGCATCGCGCATCGTTCACATTACAGGCGTAGCAATGCGCTTCGCCGTACTACACGGATTCCACCAGATTCAAAATGGGGAGGCGGCACAGAACACATTGAATATAAAGGCCTTCTCGTGTGTTTACGCGTGAGTATCTATCTTCTGGGACACCATCGCTTCTATCTTACTGGGCTGTAGAATCGATCGAATGGTTAGCATCGTATTGCGTCTCCCAATATATCCTGCCGATGAGTGGATCACAACACCTCTCTACGAAAGCCAAGACGACGGCCAATTTTACATGCCTTGGGCTCTTGATGCTCCTGGACTGTTTGCCGGTCGTCTATACACTTATAACTTGAGATACTTCTCACATTCGTGCAAAATCCGACAAATCCAATCAGATATCATCAGCAAGGCCCAACTAATTGACGACCAACATCTTGCGACGTACATTTCCCATGCAGAGGAAAGGATCAACGTTTGGGCAGACATGGAGAACATCTCTTTGTGCGGGTACAGATCAGAATGCAAAATCAACAGACTACTACATGGCTGATAATCACAGTCAGATAAATTCGGAAGGATACTCGAGCTCCACCGGATTGATACACTTGGCGAACATTACCCGTGTGGTGCTCTACAGTTCTATATTGATTGATGTGTCATCCTCGAATACTGATGAGCTGCTACAAGCTTGCTGTGATCTTAGCAGGACATGCCGACTGCTAGAAACAAAAAGACAAATACCAAAACCATGGCTTGATGTAAGACGTTATCCTTGAAGCCGATTCTGAATCGAGCTGATATGCAAAGATGATTGCCCACTTCCAGAACGCTGTTATAATTCTGTATGTTATATGGCGACGAGGCGTTCAACCTACTAGGGAGCAAGATCAAGCTATACGGATATGCATTCTTTCCGTTGGCATTTATACTGACAGATCAGCCAACGCGGCTAGCTTTCTCGAATGCCTAGAACTCATGGCTTCCAACATTCTGGTGTCTGAGCCTTTAGGTTTCACTGAGGTGGGTGTTCGAGACAAGTTGGTGTTACTTATTGAACGTGTCAGGCAAAACAGTGTTGCTCCATTTGTAATAGACCTCTTGAAAGAAATCACACAAACTTAGAGCACAGCAGTCTGTCGTCAGAAATGAAATCCTGTAGAACATAAAATAATAAGAATTAAGCAACCCAGATAATGTTGAAACAAGCATTAATGCTCCTAGGCTTGGGTCTTCACAGTGGTTTCAATATATAGAACGTAACAACGATGAGACGTCCGCAGCGGCAAGATAAACGCACTTAGATTTGAATCTTTCATCAACTAGAGGACAATAGGTAATCCAGGCTGCAAAGAGAAGCTTAAAGCACGGTAGAAGAACAATGATGACCGCAGGATAGGACCTAAATGCGGAATCAGTCGAGGGAGCTTTATCACTGAAGGAGTATGACGTCTTTAAAGTCCAGCAAACCAAATCAATTCCGTGTGCACCACTGGACAGCACCACTGGTGGACACAGCACAAAACGAAGGTTTACATTATATATGTCTTGTTTCGGTTTCAATCAGTGACACCGCTGGATAATTTACAGAATTGCACTTGATCTATGTCATTGCAAAAGGCTTATGAAGTACACTTGAATTAGACATACAAATCATGATAAATCACCTGGCTAAATGAGCATTGAAGCTATAGATCAAATGCTTATTCTAAGCCATTGCCAGAAACTCGATTATTCTTGTTCTTTTGATGCCTCCATGGCCACTGCCTCATTTTCCCTTCTTGCTTCCTCTAGATATCCCGATAAGTACTTGGGAACGGGGGCTTGGTTATGAGCACTTGAAATAGGCTCACCAAAAGTCTCCCACATGGGGACGACTCCGGCCCAGTAATTGGCGAGCACATCTGGGTTTTTCAGATCCCCTCGGTCGTTATTCGGGACTCCCCATCGTAATTTCGCACTTCCCGAGGATACCTTCATCTTGAGGATATGAGTTGATTGCATTTCAACCTTGTTCGGCGGTGTGCGTGTGTTTTGCCATCTTTCAGGGACTATCTTATTCGTGATAAGCTCCAGTGCCCACATCTTCTCGTCCGGGTCTGCGACTACATGAGCGTAGCCATGTACAACAGCAGACCGGAAATTATAGCTATGGTGAAAAGGTGTTAGAGCCAAGACGTAACCATCAACTTTGGTGGCCGCGACACAGAGAGGAAATCCCTCTTCGCCTCGGTCGACAGCGTTTTGGGACAACTTCATGATCCTAGAAGCAATGGCCCCGTGAAGATAGAGATCCAATGGTTGATCCAGGTCTGTTGATGACGGTAAAGCGAATGTTCCCATTTGGCCAATCATGGGCAGCACGACTGGGAAAGGATCTTCTGAGCTGGGGACGAAAGAGACGTGTAGCACGGCTGTGCTGTTCACGATGTTGTGAATTGTTTCATAATCGTAATTTGCTAGATGGGCGGTGTTAGAGCTAGCAAATAAGAGAACGTCTACTTTACTTGCCTCGATTTCGCAATCTATTAACCGCGTTCTGGGGTGATTTTACGTATGACTTCTCTGACATCGTGTATATGCTGATTTATGGTTGACGGGCAGCCAGTGGGTGATTATGATAGAACTTGGAGCTGGCACAAGAAGGCACGTACTTTTATACGCTCCTTTCAAACTAGTCTGACAACAAAAATCATGCGCAAGTTACGTTTTTGGCTATCGGATTTGGTCGGAGGAAGAAAACAGTAGGCGAAGCTCGTCGGAGTTGTTCGGGATACCAAACCATCGGCTTAATGTGGAACTAGTACATGTTCATAGTTATGTTCTAAGGTTCAGAGTCCATAAGTCGTCAACATTGAATCCACGAAGTTATATAATCATAGAATTCATATTTTCACATAAAACCCCAGCCGACTGTGTCAAGCTTAAACTTCAGCCTCATAGTGAATCTCTACACATTATTGCCCTCATTGCCGACTACAACCACTGAACGCCATGTCCGCCCAACCCCAAGAAACATGGCAAGAAATCGCAGCGGTAAGTTTACATCAAACGTGTGACTAAGAGTTAATCTCATGCCACTGTAGAGAAAGCAATCTGCTCTATGCAAAAAGCTATTCAAGGATGGATGGCAGTCAATGCGATTGACCTTCGAGACTGAGAGACCATTAGCGGGCAATATCTTACCCATGATTAATTCATGCGAACATTTGTCTCCTCGGGATATTGAGATCACTGAGGCACAAGATGCCACAGAATTACTCAGCAAGATCCATTCTGGGCAATGGCCTGCTAGAGAGGTTCTTGTTGCCTTCTATAAACGAGCTCTTGTGGCGCACCGATTTGTGAACTGCTTGATGGATGCAGATTTGGATGCGGCATTGAACAGAGCGCAAGAACTAGATAACTATCTCCGTACAACGGGTAACGTAGTCGGGCCTCTCCACGGACTACCCGTGAGCATCAAGGTTCGTTCAAGGAACAGTCCCGATCAGAATGATATCAAGAGCTGGAACTAAACATTGTACCAGGACTTGACGGACGTGAAAGGGCTCAACTACTCGATGGGTTATGTCTCGTGGGCTGATAATGTTTCAGCGGACGATGCTGTGGTGGTTGAAACTCTTCGAAAGGCCGGCGCTGTCATCTATTTGAAGACGACGATGCCGCAGACGGGCATGGTAATATCTATGGTACTTCAAGTTTCTTCAATGATTGCTAAATGGATTTTAGGCTCTCGAGACATTTTCACGACTCTGGGGCAGAACGCTTAACCCTCACAACGTGGGTCTTGTTGCTGGCGGTTCTTCCGGTGGTGAGGGTGCACTGATTGCCAGTCGCGGATCTCTACTCGGAATGGGCACAGATAGCGGCGGTTCAATACGTATTCCCGCGGCCTACAATGGGCTCTACAGCATCAAGCCAACATCTCGAAGAGTCTCGTACAGAGGGAACAATAATAACGCTTCAGGACTTGGTGTCTCCTCCTCGATTGGCCCTATGGCACACAGCTTGAGAGACTTGAAATTGGCGATGAAGACACTGATAGACGATAGTCACTGGCTGAAAGATCCCATGATCATCCATAAACCTTGGGATTATCAGGCCAAGAGTCCTGCGAAATTGCGCATTGGAGTTTTGATGAGCGATGGACTCACAACACCGCATCCCCCAATTCAGAGGGCTCTTCAGGCCACAATAGCCAAGCTTACTGCTGCTGGTCACCAAGGTATGAGAAAGAATGAGTGTTATATTTTGAGCTAGGCTGATCGTTGCGCACGTAGTTGTTACACTCGAGCATGTCAAGCTCCATATGGACTCAGACACTATGACGGTATGAAAACGTACAAATGCTCACTATGAACTACGGCCGATCAATTTAGGGCTCAACTAACGTAAAGCAGCGCCGAGTTTATGGCCAGGTGGGATCAGGTTATATGCTTGACGAGTTTAAGAAAACAGGAGAGCCCCCCATTGATGCCATCAAGCATAGGCTTGGCTGGGAGACCATGTCGCTTGAAGAAATGATTCAAGTTCAAATGTGCGTCACTTTGTTTGAGGCAAATTCCGAACAACTTTTTTTCGTGCTAATGTCGGCAACAGAGACTGGAGAAATTTTAAAGAAGGTTACCTTGCTTTTTGGCAAGAGACTGCAGAGCGGACTTTCGATAAGCAACCAATAGATGCATTGCTTATGGCCAACGGTCCTTCCGCAAGCTATCCGCATGATTTTGTCCCACATGGGAATCTAATCTTTATTCTTGATATTCTGGCTGATCATGTTACAGTTCAATGAATTACACGGCCATCTTCAACATACTTGATTATCCGGCTGTCACGATTCCTACAACGTTCGTGGACAAAACCATAGATCGAAAGATCACCAGAGATACCTTTTTGAACGCGCATGATAAGGAGAATTGGGAAATGTATGACCCCGAGGTATTTCATGGTATGCCTGTTGTGCTACAACTAGTGGGATTGCCTTCCATGGACGGGCAGCTCCTGGAGGTAGCCGCCAAGATCGACGACATTAACCATAGAATCAAGGGTTAAGCATTATCTAAGTTGGCGCTCCCTTGTTTCAACAGGATTTTTATTTTGCGATTCTCAAATACTTTATCAGGTTTTCCTTGTGTAATGGTCAATGTAGATTAGTAGAGATCCAATTGAAAAGCTTCACCCGTTGGCATTATGTTATTTAGATTCTACCCCTGGCAATGAAGACAAGAGGAATGTCCACTTGCCGACACCTGAGGTACTCAGCACAATTCTTGCCCAAGAAATCTACGCTCAATGTGCAACTAACGCCCCTATCAAGATGATCTCTGAGCAGGAAATGCACAGCCTTGAGACCAGGAAACTCGAATCTCTCTACTCGGCCGCCTTTGTACTCCTCTGCTAGCAAGTCTTTCATGAATTGGACAGACAGCAGGTTCTGCAGCCAAGCATATTCATCTTGATATCTGACCCAAAAGCCAACATTGCAATCGGAGCCTTTATCGCCAGAGCGGGCGTGGACGATTGTGCCGAGAGGCGCTCGTACGGTGGCACCAAATGATGATAGATCGCGAATATTCGCTGTGACGTCCTGGGTGGGTTGCTGCTTTGGATAAGTCTTCGTATTCGAAGGAGGTGGAATGTCAATTGATTCTCCTGATTGTAGATGTGCTCGATGAAGCAATTTCGATTGTGGAATCAAAGTGACATAGTATTCATAAACCTCCTTCGGGAAGGCTTGTCGAAGGTCGAGATGAGGCGTTGCACCAGGATAGGCGCACATGATAGGGTCGATACAGGGACGCACAAACTTAGCGGGCGCTAGGTCTTCGGCTTTCCTTGCCTGAGCAATGATCCGGAGATCAACAGTGGCAGCGTTTTGATTTGTTGGATTATCTGGTACCGATCCGAGTATCTGAAATTCGAGATGGGCGAAGTTATTGATATGATTACCGAGTAATATACGAACCTGGGTCTCGGCCATTCGGGCTTTTGCGTGGACATCGAGACCTGTTATGAACCAGTGCATCTCTGCTTGATACAACGGCTTCGCTGTTATGCCTACTTTCGTAGTAGGAGGTGGCAGCGCTCCTTTGACACCTCTTAATGCTATCCGGTTCGCCGATATATGTTCAAATGAGATATTATCCAGGATTGCGGTTACATCCGAATTGTAATACCAAGGTCCTTGGATCTCGTACAGGAATTGGGATGTCAAGGTATCCACCGAAACTTCGCCTCCGGAGCCTGCATTCTTCGTAACGATAACCTCCCCCGAATTAGAAATCTCGACGATTGGGAAGCCAATGTTCTCCCAGCCCAGAGACTCCAAGTGCTGGAATCCGGTGAAGTTTCCACCGGTGCTATAACTTGAACATTCAGAGAGATGGCCAGCCACAAAAGCGTTCGCCAGTTTGTCCACATCGGAGCGGTTCCACTTGTGCCACCAGTACGCGGCTCCAATGACAGGGCTTGCATCAGATACTCTTCCACAAACCACAATGTCCGCTCCTTTCTCAAAGGCTGCCGCTATTCCAAGTCCTCCAAGATACGCTTGAGCGTACATGGGCTCAAATTTCCAATCTCCTAGGATTTCACCGGTGCATATGTTCTCAAACGGAGATTCGCCACGTCTTTGGGACTCTAAAAGTTGAGGAAGTACCTCATCACCTGAAATCCAGGCCACATTAAGGTTTAGTCCCCTGCCCTTTACCATCTTTTGGACGACCTTGTGGAGCTTCTCCGTATCGGACGCCCCGGCATTGACGGCAACCTTGATCCGATACTTCGCGATGCATGGAAGTGCAGGTTCAAGAGCTTCGAGAAACGTTGGTTCATAGGCATCCATTTGGCCTAGCTTTATCAATGTTTCTCCTTGAAGTCGGTTATTCGCTATACCATACCATTGATCTTAGAACCAGCTCTGACAGTCATATTGCCTTCACTCATCCAATCTCCGGCGAAAACATCAATTGGATCATTCTCATAATTGGAAGCTAATAATCGCATCGCATCTCGACGGTCGGTTGTGGAGCCGGAGCATCCTGCCATACATGAGTTTCGTCACGGCTATATGTTTACTCTACAAACCTGCTATGCGAATAGGCCGGTTGCCAACCATCCTGGAACGAATTGTGGGGGATATAAAGTACTGGGTGCGTGTACTTCATTGAAAGCAGTTGGACGCATCAAGAACGAAATATATTCTACCATTGAAGCGCATTGATCATCCATGATGTACCTCGGAGACTGGCCCTGATAACGAGGAGTCGTAGCGAGGTTGTCAGTCTCCCCTTCCAATAACGCGGGGAAGACTTATGCTTTTGTAGTTAGCCTATGCCCAAGCATGAACAACCTCATCGCCTATACAAAGACTATATAACCGACCACGATGTTGGTGAGCTTTCAGTCATCCCCTGAAAGCCTAACATCATTGAAACATTATCTGTTGTGACAATGATATTCTCCATTAGTTAATGGTGGAAGGATGCAACTCTGGTAATCAATGCCAGTTTTGACCTGCGGATGCTTTTAGCTTGACTTAACAATAATTCCTTTCTCTCTTATTGCAGGAGCTTTTGACGCAACTCTCATCGTGTCGACAAGTAACACGGCTCCACACACCTTGCGGAAATCTCTGCTTCTGAAGTAGAGATCGAAGCGAGTATTGGTATCAACCAAAAACCAGTTTGATGCTAAATATAATAGATCTGCTGTAACCCAAAGCGGAAGGTGACCTCACTCATCTCATTGGCGTAGCACATGTTACTTTCCACTACACCACAGCAGGTCGATCGGCCCTTTGACGCAGCACGCAAACATTGTCAAATAGCACATACATGATCAAGCTTCCTAGCTCGTACTTTAATAAAACGCCCGTGCTGGACGGAAAAACAATGCAATGCGGGGAATTTCGTGGGGAACGAATTGATTAAAATCCCCACCGGAGAGCCAAGATTTGACTGGGTATCCATGAAAACAACCTCCGGCGACGGACAAATTCAACGATTTGCACTTACAATAGCACGCTATTGGCAATGTGATCGTCCTATATGAGGAATTAATGTTTGTTTGGAGAGGGGTTTGGTACACGGGACGCGAGAATGGTAATGGACTTCTCAAGGCAAGTGGGATACATATATACCTTATGAGAACGGCCATGTGTGGGTCAAACGGCTCCTTCGTAATTGCTAGTTAGTCTCATTCCACCATGAGTTTAAAAACTCCAGTCGTCTCGATGAGACGATTCGTTGTCTCAGTACTGCCAATGATGCTTCTCAGCCCGGCTGAAGCCGCTCTCGATGCAAATGCCCTGACGAAGAAGTACTTTGGCAACGATGCGCCTTGGTATCTTGATCGCATCCCACTATTTGAGTCAAGCGACACAACGATAACGGACGTTTATTACTATCGATGGGGGATTTTCCGTGCTCATCAGCGCGATCTGGGAGCCAATGGATACATCTCGACCGAATTCCTCAACAACGTCGGATGGCAGACACAGCCGTGGGCTTCACTAAATGACGCAACTGGGTTTCATCTCCTGGAAGGTCGGTGGTGTCGCGACCGACGATTCAAGGAGGATTACGCCAAGTTCATTTTCAGCGATCAGAGCAACACGCGCCAGTTCTCTGAATCTATGGGCGCGGCGGTATGGCAGGGTTACTTGGTAGATGGTGTAGCGGCGGATGCGATTGCGCGACTTGGGGATATGCAGAAGGTTTTTAATGCTTGGGCGGACGTATTCGATAAATCGAAGAACCTGTATTGGGTTGAACCATTGCGCGACGCCACTGAGTATACGATCGCAAGTATTGACGCGACGGGCGGCAAGGACGGCTTTACGGGTGGAGATTCTTTCAGACCCAGCATCAACAGCTACCAATACGCCAATGCGAAAGCAATCGCGCAGATTGCAGCTCTCAAAGGGGGCATGCAGAGTGTTGTTGACGATTACAACGCCAGGGCTTCTTCTCTTAAAAAGAACGTGCAAGCCTCATTGTGGAACTCTACCTTTCAGCACTTCATCGATCGATTGCAAGTTAGCAACGAGTATGTAAAGTATTGGGATCCCATCCGTGGCCGCGAATTGGTTGGTTTCGTCCCTTGGACTCACGACCTTCCTGATGATACGACTGCCTTCGCTCAGGCCTGGAAGCACGTTCTTAACACCAACGAGCTTGCTGGCCCTCGTGGTCTTCGAACCAATGAGCCAAGCTACCAATATTACATGAAACAGTACAGATACGAAGGCACTGAACCCGAGTGTCAATGGAATGGGCCGGTATGGCCGTTCCAAGAAACCCAAGTCCTTGCTGGCCTCGCCAACTTCCTAGATCACTACCCGACTGGTTCATCAGCTGGAGTCATCGGCACCAAGGACTACATCAGACTGCTCAAGCAATACGCACAGCTCCACTACAACCCCGAGCGAGGCGGTATTCTGGATTTGGAGGAGGATTACCACCCCGACACGGGCGCTCCGATCGTAGGCTTGAAGCGTTCACCACACTACTTCCACTCCGGTTATATCGACCTCATCTTGTCAGGGCTCGTGGGCATCCGACCTAGGGCAGATGACACGCTCGAAGTAAACCCCCTCGTCGATCCTGCTGCCATCTCCTACTTCCGTGCGGATCGTATCCTCTATCATGGCCATGACATTGCCGTTCAGTGGGACGCGAGTGGTTCCAAATATGGTACTGCTGGGCTCCAAGTACAAATCGATGGCAAAGTAGTCGCTTCATCACCGACACTCAAGCGTCTACAGGTTCCAATTTCCCGAGTCAACCCTCCTGCAATCGCTCGACCTATCGCCAAATCAATCCAGCTCCAGAGCAACACGGCCTATCCCAAAGGCAGTGTTTCGGTCGCAGGCGCAGATGTCGCAGCAGTGCATAGCGCCATCGATGGGCGTATCTTCTTCTACCCAGAATCTGATGTCGCTAATGGATGGGATTCGCCAGCCGGAAGTGGCGCGGAGATCTGGTATGAGATCGACTTTGGTTCGCAAGTAACCGTCAACGGCGCCGATATAGCATTCTTTGCGAATAACGGGCAAGGATTCGACGTACCAGGGAAGTATCGTGTGCAAGCGTATAACGGGAGCTGGAAGGATGTTGGGAACAGTCAGTATGGGGCTACGGTTGCGAATGGCATTACGGTGGCTAAGTGGACTTCAACGGACGTTACGAAGGTTAGACTGGTGTTCACACCAAAGGATGGGAAAAAGGTACGATTGGTAGAGCTCAAGGTTTATTAATGAGGCTTGTTTGTATCGGACACGGTCTTGTATCGTGTTCAAATATTTTGTATTCAATGGTAATGAGGCACACATATCTGCATGTATCTGCAGGAGAACCTCTTCAAATTAGCTAGTGATCGTATACTCGTATGTTTCGTATCATTCTTCGATGACAAAGTCAAGACTTGGTAGAACTCACACATTCACGACACAAGATGCTTTGCGATAGCCAACGCAGCGAATATCTATACACCTTGTCCTTCTTTCAGCAACTGAATCCCCAACTCTTTGAGCTTAAACTTCTGAATCTTTCCACTTGCTGTTTTGGTGTAGCCGTCAACCCAAAACACATATTTCGGTACTAGAGGTCACAGTCAGCCATGAAGTCAAAGATGAATTATTGTACAGAAGATATGGTGAGTAGGTTGTGGTGACAGCAGTAATGAAAGGTGAACATACCCAAGTGATGGCTCAACTTAGACTTAACCCACTCCTTGATCTCTTCAATGCTCACTTTCCCTTCCTCTCCCTGATGCAGGACGATGAACGCTGCGACAACTTCACCATATCGCTCATCGGGCAGTCCCACAACGCTGACCTCGCTGACCTTCGGGTGAGCGAAGAGACAGTTTTCGACCTCGAGAGGATGAATATTCTCCCCGCCCTTGATAATCAAATCCTTGATCCTTCCCGTAATTTTCACGTAGCCTTCCTCGTCTATCGACGCCTCGTCGCCGGTATGCATCCACAATCTTCCCGTGTCATCTGGAACGAGTACCTCATTCGTGCGCTCTGGGTCTCCGAAATAACCGGACATGACGAGATAGCCTGAGACGGCGAGTTCGCCGCGCTCACCCACATTGAGCGTTCGGGACCAGTCTAGCGGATCGACGACTTTGGCCTGAACGTGTGGGAGGAGACGGCCGACGCTGTCGAGGCGCTTCTCGATGGGATCGTCGGTCGTTGTCATTGCGCTGACGGGTGACGTCTCCGTCATGCCGTAGCAGATTGTGAGTTCTGTCAGGTTGAGCACTTTGTGTAGTTTCCGCATGAGTTCGACGGGGATCGATGATCCGGCTGCTATGCCAGTTCGGAGATGCTGGAAGCCTTCGTAAGGTACGACGCCATTGGCCAGAAGTTCGAGCTCGGCTGTGAACATTGTGGGGACGCCATATAGAGCAGTGCATTTGTATTCTCGGACAGCTTCGAGCGTTGCGATTGGGTTGAAAGCTTCTGATGGAAAGACTATGGCTGATCCATGAGTTGCGGTAGCCATGTATCCCAGTATGCAACCAAAACAACTACGCGCTTCCAATTAGTTATTTGGCACAACGTGTGCTACGCATTGACTTACTGAAATAATGGAGGCGGACAGTTGACGATATCTTTTGGAGTAAGTAGCATTCTATCTCCTATACTGTTTCCGTTATTCAAGATCGACTTATGAGACAAGCACGCAGCCTTCGGCATGGACGTCGTGCCCGAAGTGAACTGGATATTCACAACGTCGTTGGGATGAAGGTCTGAATACGAAATCGCCGAGTCACTGTCGCCATCTTCGTATACTGTCTGATATTTGAGCGCACTTCTGTAAGCTTTTGCGTCTATGCGGCCGGCGGAATTATCCACGACAACCACAGCTTGTAGTGATGGCACTAGTTCGGACTCGAGCTTTGAGCCTGCAAGATTTGGTACGAGATGCGTTAGGAGTGGGATATTTGACCTTGGATCTTTCCTAGGTAGATTGGTTTCCGCTCCGATGATGAGATGGGAAGCAGCCAGGTGGTTTAATGCAGACAGAACTTGCGGCGCGTTGAAAGCTGGGTTGAGAGGCACCTAAACCGCATCAGACCATTAATGCATCTCAACCAGATACTAACTAAATAATTAACTTACCAGTATGGCCCCCAGTTTGAAGAGTGCATATGTGACCTTAACCAAATGTGAGTAGTGCCAACAGGACTATGAGAAGTAGAGATTCGCACCGTAGCATACTCGATATTATTGCCCAGCGACACGGCCACTCTTTCTCCTTTCTTAACACCTGCCTTTGCTAGACCTCGTGCTAAGATATTAGAACTCCGATCCAGAGTATCATACGTCAACCGTATGCGTTGGTGATGAGATATAACGCTACACTACCATTAGAGAAGCTTCAACCCCAAACATTTCAATGGAACCTACGCATCACGATCTCCATATTGCTTCACAATTCCAGAAAAATGTTCGGGGACAGTTTGCTCGAGAAGTGGTGGCTAAGAGAATAGTTAACCTAGTTACTTGAACATGCCAGCCAAACAGTAGGGAATCCAAGTCGATTCGCTCACCTCGGTTGGCCCTGCGCGGAAAGCCGCCTGCGTCACAAGCCCGCGATGCCTGCACCGCAGCGACTGTGAGCCAGCACGTGGGACGCGAACAAGCAATTGCCGAATCATATCTATCCGGCGACTGTGGTTATGTATATACACAAGTTGAAAGCACAAGGTAGGTCTAAGTATGACAGCATTGGAAGCTCGAGGGACTGGGCGTGGGAGCTCTGTCGGAGGTAAGCTTTTGAGCCGGGGCTAGCCAGGGCGGAATTGATGCGGGGATGGGATCGCGCCGCGGGCACGCGGGGTACAGGGATGGCTTTTGGAGAAGCTAAGCGGACGAGTAGACAAGCATATGAGGCTGAAGTTGTGGATTGAGTGCTATACACAGTTTCACGCATTGATACGTAAGTTGTATTCGATCGGGGTTTTGACTTGGATAAGAGTTGATAATTGCCTACTTAGAGATCCCATGCCGGATTTCAAGCTACGATTCCAAAACTCCTAAAATCAGAGAAACCGGAAGGGCTCCAACTATGCCATTCGTGCTATCTATCATTCATCCTGATTCATTATCTCTCGAATTCCACTTCTCTTCTGCTAGCATCACTTGGACTTCGCATCCTTTGCGGCTTGATCTCACTACCACTGGATGCCTCTGGCAGGAGCAGGTTCGGTGCATCCCCTTTCGAAGTGTCCACTCCGGCCGTCTCTGCACCTTCAAGTAAGTCGGCGTCCTTAGCATTTGATGCGTCCTCTTCTTCATCTTCGTCGTCCCGACCATGGCGTGCTTCTTTGTCCATTTCCTTCTGCGCTTCATCCATCCTACGTCGAACCTCCGCTGCAACACGCATTCCGTCGCTGACGATGTTGTCAAGCATACCGCGCAGACCTTTGCCGGGTGGTACGACACCTGCACCAGCCCCGCCAACAACACCGCCCATACCTGCAGTAGCTGCAGCCATCTGCCTCCCGGCATTGGAGAATGTGGTCAGATTGGAGGAGCTGGAGGCCTTGGACGACAGCTGTTTATCAGCAAGATGGAATGACGATGAAAATCCGGTCTCGAAGAAATGTTCCAAAAGTTCATCTGCAAGGATCACCATGCGGAAAGTAGGTAGTGTAATGTGAAGAGGCTTGTTGGGGTCCAATGCCAGATTTGCAGCCTTCGCCTTTTCTGTCCTCTCGCCGTTCGATTCGTTGGTCTGGATTGGGCTGAGCGGGTTCTTCATCGATTTTGTCGGCGAAAGGGGATTCTTGACAGGACGCGAGGTGGCGGTCGGGGTGCTAGGCTCTGACTTGAGATCCATGAGATCCTCGTCATCGTCGTCCGCTATCGAGAAATTGTCCAGATCGCTGCTCAACTCATCTGTTTTCTCGTCCTGGTTTGCAGGGTGGTCGGGATCGGCGTATTCGAAGCAACGGCGGATGAAAGCAGAAACACTTGAGAGGAATTGCTCGTCACGATTACCCCTTTCAGGGCTTTCTCCAGAGAGTATATCAGTGGCCGTAGGTGACGGGGTTGGCGAATCACCGAAACCTCTTCTAGACAAAAACAGGAGTGCCTCGGAGATTCTGAGAATCCCCTCGCGGTCGACCTTACCATCTCCATCGTCGTCATACAGTTCAAAGAAGTAGCTTATGTTTGACATTATGTCTTTCGTGCCTTTCACCTGTGCGAAACCAGTGACGACATTCTGCAAGGAAAGTGAGTCAGCCATATCCGCATCCCACCGGCGGAAGAGACGCCTCATGAATTCATGTTCTGCTGGTTCCGGGCCAGTACCCCATGGTGATAAAGCTGGCTTGTTCCGTGTGCTACCACCGAAATATGAGTGCGGGGACTGTGTTCCACTTGGCTCTGGGGAAGTGGGCGAATCCGTAATTGCCCACTTGGCGACGCCTGCACCAGAGGTTAGATATTGCCTTGACATAGTACGAAAGACACCCCCGCATCAACTTACCAGCAAGGAACTCTCTGAAAGCGTCATAATCCATCTGGGTAGGGCTCGGACCAAGGGCTACTCTTCCTCTCTCAACGTTGTCGCTAGCGAAACCAGTGACGATTGTGCTTGCCCTGCTCTTAGCTGCCTTTGCTTTTCTGTCCGCCTCCTGCTGCAAAATCTCTGCCCTCTGCTGTCGCTCGTATAAGACGGCGTAAAACTTATCGTAAAGGAAACCCAAATCTTCAACGCTCAAGCGTTTACTATCGGGTCCCAAATTTCGAATAGAAGTGCGTTTCGTGAAACTTTCAATGTTAGCAAGCACTGCATCCTTATGCTTCGCGCGCTGCTCTGATATGGTGTTTTGTGTGATGCCCGCAAACTCTTTAAATGCCACGACCATGAGTTCTTGAAATCTCGTAACGGCTCGCAGTTTCGGGTTCTCTGATTTGGGGTGTGCCGACTCGTCCAATCGAGAGAAATATGATTTCAAAACGGAGATGAATGTACCATCATCAGTGGCATCTAAAAGCTCTTCTCCGTTGATCCTCAAAATCGCCAATCCGATTTGGAAGAGAACTTTAGGACCTTCCAGAAAGAACACATCAAGTACGCGGAATGCGAAGATCAACGGCATAGAGTTGATATAGAGAGATAGGAACCAAGGCAAGGAAACCACAGACAGTTGGACGTCTGATTTGACCAGGTGATCCCAAAGGATAGGCATGGTCTTCTCTACGAGGGATTCGAAAACTCGTTGATCCAAGAGGGTGCCGTACATGGTTATTGAGTAGTAACCAGGCAGGAGACGGTCGCAAAGAACGGAGAGGAGAAAGAAGGCTTGTGACTCGGACATGTATCTGTTATCGTTAGATTGCGCTGAGGTAGCAAGGGTGTAAGATATACATCAACAGAGCCGCCACTACGATGTTCATAGCCTGACAGTACCCGACTGATTCATTAGTCCAGCTATAGGCCGTCAGAACACGCCGCAGCCGACCGATACCTTCCTCACTCTGGAAACCAGGATATTCCGGAAGACTTCGATTGAGGTCCTTTTCGATCTCGTCGATAGCCAGAGACTCTCGTCCGGAGTACTTCTCTAATGTCTCCGTATATAATTTAGGGTTCTGTAGTCGTAGAAAGAACGCGCCCGAGGATAGTTCCCACATTTCACCTCGTAATCTATTCGGAAGACCAACGCGAATAAGCTTATGGAAAGTAGGCTGTCGAATCAACGTCGCGCTACGTCCGTTTTCTTGTGCAAATGTCAGTATGCAACTGACGGTGTAGTAGAGAATTACCAACCTCGTAGGTATTCTTTCCAAAGTCTTATCTTAGTCGCATCTCGAAGCTTCCGGGCGTTGCCAGGATATCTGAATATCAACCCAAGGCCTGTGTCCGGGTGCTCGCGGGCTTTCTGTGTATTGTCTCCGCCCTCTTTCTTTTCATCGACGTCCCCCTGGAGCAGATATTCCGAGTAACATTGAGCTACAACATTCCGTAGGTTTTCCACCTCCCGGACACCTTCTCTGAGCCCTTTCTTCAGTCCATCGCAGAATCGCTCGCATTGCTGCCGACTTCCGGCAAGCTGAATTGTGAGCCGCTGCCCGCTGGGTGCAGCATTCTTTGCTTTGGAGTCAGGGATTCCGTTCCAGGTAGTTATAGCCAGAGCAAACATATAACTCTGGCTGTGCAATCGCTCGACTCGGCGAATCGCACAAAGGGGAAGTGTAAAGCCATTTCCAGCCGGGCCCGAGCCATGAGTCTGGCCGGTGAAGCTGCTCGAAGAGCTTAGACTGGCCGAACTCAAGAAGCTAGACCCTTGTGTAGAGAAGCAGAGATACTGCTCGCTCAGATGAAGCTTTCCGACATAGTGGTTTCCCTGGCTGCGTTCCTTCTCTTGGGAACTGGTGTCGCCGGAGCCGCCCCTCGTCGAATGGTGGGGTGAAAGTGTGAGCTCTGCGGTTATCTCCTGCAGCGGCGATTGCGAGTCGGGGAGTCTGAACTGATGGCGAAAAAGGGAGGCTTTGGACGGTCTGCGATCGGAGGAGGGAGGGCCTACTGGAAGGGCGGGCTCGATGAACTGTTGGGCTTTCTGCACAAGGTTGGTGAGGTTAAACATTGCTTTCCAAAGGGTGCTAAAGCTGGAGGAAGACGGCTACACAGCTATTCGAGAGGCAGAGAGGGCGCACACTGCATAATGGGGAGGATACGATAGGTGTTTCATCCACTGATCAGCTTTGGAAGGGGTTTGGTATAGGGCTGAGCTTGCGGTGGTTTACTATTGAGGCGCTCGCTCAGCCCGGCCACACTTTGAGGCTTGAGACCCGCTTACATAAGCATCCTACAAGGGGTTGGATTTCCACGATACCATTACATCTTTTGATTCACGGGTCCAATTTCTGAATCTCATGACTAGACGCGTTTCGAAAAGCAAGGAAATGACGCGTGCGACTGCGGCCTAGGCTAAGAAACAGTGGTGAGGAATGCTCCCATGATTTCGCTTGGGCATCACAACACACATCACTTTGCACATTCACAGCGGTATATGATACAAGCTTTCATGTAGATAATTTTTGATATGCAGACTGTATGCCAGTTCTGCAATCGATCTCCCTTCTCGGACACCAGTATTAGATGCTATAATCTAGGACTCGGGGTACCTGTAACCTCCGAGTCCGTTTTAAAACTCCCATCGCATAATTATTGTCGATCGCTTCGTAATCCTTATTCGGTTCCCTCCTACCTCCGCTTGACTTATCTAAGTGCAAGTGTATGCACCATCGACGCGCAAGTCGGCGCCCTATGTTACAATTAGCAATTTGAAATGATCCAACTTCAAAGAAAATTACGCACCGTAACGTAGAGACTGGCGTCGCTGGAAAGGAACGTGACTGCACCCATGAGATCCTCAGGACGGCCCATCTTTCCGACTGGAATGAGGGAAGTCCACTGCTTCTGAAGCTCTGGGTTGTCATCAAGGATCTTCTTGGTCCTACAACACGAATTAGCCAAATGGGGATGTTGGAAATTTTAGGATATAAAAAACATACAAAGCGGTAAGCATGTATCCGGGGGAGATGCAGTTGACGCGAATGCCTGCATGCGCCCATTCAACAGCCAAACTCGAGGCCAAGTGCCTAACAGCTGCCTTAGCAGCATTGTAAGGTGCTTGAGGCTGGGGCACATTGACGATCGCACCAGACATACTGCCGATCATGACAATGCTGCCAGGTGACTCGCGGGACATCAAGTGCTTAGCCACAGCAACGGCATAGAGATATGTGCCGTCGACGTTGACACCCCATAGCTTCTGCATACGGTCATGGGGGTACGAGATGGCGTCGTAGTTCTCTGTGAATCCAGCAGAGGTGACCAAGTTGTCTACCTTGCCATGCTCCTTGATAATATCGGCCAAGGACTGGTTTACCGATGTCGGGCTGGAGACATCGCAGAAATGTGCTGTGACCTTGGGGACGCTGTGTGCGAGATCAATTAGAAGTGTTCAAAAATGATAGTAGATGTAGGGTCTAGAGCCACTCACTTCTCGGATCCAGGGTTTTCCTCTCGGAAAGTGTCAATCAGACCCTGGGCGGACTTCTGTGCCTCGTCTCGGTTCATGTCCACGATAGCTACATCGGCCCCGCTTGTGACAAGCGCCTGCGCCATCACAAGACCCAATCCACGAGCACCACCAGTCACAACAGCGACTTTTCCTTCCATGGAGAAAGCAGCTAGAGTGCGCTTGAAATGGAAACCTCCACGTCCCTGCACAGGCTGGGATGATGGAAGGTCGTCTTCCTCTGGGTACTCGACGCGGATGTTTTCCTGGGTACGGGCGTACTGTCCCTCGTGGTCACCGCTCTCACCTGGCTCACCGGCGGTGGTGAAAGCATCAAGGTCTTCGCGTTCAGGCTCCTTCTCAAACCGCGCTGGTGTGTAGGAAAAGGGGCGAGTGTACGCAACAATTGGTTGTCGCACTCGGAACGACGCTCGGGGAGCTTGTGCCTGGACGGCGCGGGCAGCTTGCCGGAGAAGCTGGGGTCTGAACATTGTGGAAAGAGTGCAATTGATGCAATTGAAAGGGATTGAGAGGGTGGGAGAGGAGTAGAGAAGGAGACAGAGAAAAGCAACAGAACACGCGTCCGTCGAGCTTTAAAGGAACCCTTTTTAGAAGAAATCTCGGGATTCGTGAATAAGCTTCTAGGCTCGACTGATCGGTCGAATGAGGCTTCGTTGGGCCGGCCTAGATGACTGAGCTGCAGGCACGATGTGTAAGGAGAGGTAGCAAGTGGATAGAAAAGCAATTGCAAGGGAAAATCGCGTTGAATAGTGTCACGATAGTTGTACAATTTTATTTCTTTTGTGTAGAGGATAGATTAGATAGAGCTCTGACTTTTGTGCTTCAACCCCCACCTACCCCGACTACAGCTCATTTTGGCCATGATGACGTACAAAAGGACCCTTTGAACCTCTTCCACCTGGCAACGTCGTGAACCGTCGATCTTCACCCAACAACAAAACCCACCCTCCCTTCTCACCCAATAAACTTTCCACTCCTCCTGTCCCATCTTCTCTCGCGACAAATGTTTGACTGAGAGTCCCCTCTTTTTATTCCACGCCGTCGTCGTGACATTCTCCACTCCAACCTCGCCAATGCATCATCTCCTCCCCATCTTTGCCACCACTAACTACTTCGAATACTGATCGTACCGACGATACCGATAAAACCAACAATACTAACCATACAGCTTTGCTCTGTCTTGTCCTCTGCCAAATCACAAGTTGCTGGCTCTTGAGTCTTGTACTTCCTCGTCAATCCGGATCAGCTTCCCTGGCTACCCGCTTGGAGAAAGCCTCAAGAATCCCGACAAGATCTGGTAGTCCATCTGAAGATCCTTACGAACAACTGGCAATCTGCGGGCATTTGGGTCGTGTTCCGTTTCTCCACATTCTCCGCAAACCACTGACCGCCCTTTCCATATCGATATCAATATCCATAGCTATTCCAGCCTCATCCGTTATCGATAATGTTTGAACTATATCTTGTCACCTTCAATTGCGCTCGCAACCTGGTGGACCCCGAATCCCTAGGACCGTCTCTATTTAATGCTCTTCCACCGACAGCAGCATCTCTGCCTGATGTCCTCGCCATCTCCCTACAAGAAGTCAGCCCTATCGCGTACTCGTTCCTCGGAGGATCGTTTCTCTCACCGTACTTTGATCATGTGACACAAGCTGTAAACCTTGCGTCCGAGATACGCAGTCACGGCCACGAACGACTCGAACATGTCGCAACTCGCAGCTTAGGCATGACTGCTCTGATGATCTACGCGAAGCCACATATGGCACAACGTATTCAATGGCTTCAATCAGCTGGCGCAGGGGTTGGGTTCTGGAATATGGGCAATAAGGGTGCAGTCGCCCTGCGTCTTGGTCTATCTTGTCCTGGATCTGACGACTTGTTGAAACTGACATTTACGGCTGCTCATCTTGCCCCTATGGAATGTAACATTGAAGCACGGAACCGGGATTGGTCCTCCATCGTGCAAAACCTCGTTTTTGAAAACAACGAATCGTCCGGATACAGCTCCAGCGAGCAAGTGCCGTTACTATCATCTTCATCAGATCCCCCAGAAGATAATAATGGTCTTTTCACTTCAGGGAACCACGTTTTCTTTGCTGGAGATCTGAACTATAGAACTCATGACAAGCCTCCGGGGCCCGATGCTTGGAAAAGCTACCCACAACCGACAAGCTCCAGAGACTCTGATGAGCACTTCTCCCATCTTTTGGGCAAAGACCAATTAGCCCAGGAGAGGGATTCAAACCGCACGCTTCACGGTCTGGATGAACTTCCCATTACCTTCCCGCCAACCTATAAGCTTTCATCTCATAGCAGTGAACAGTTGGCTACTCACAAACGGTCTAATTCTGAAGAGGAGGGTTATTGGAATTGGTCGAAACATCGCTACCCAAGCTGGTGTGACCGAATCCTCTACTCCAGGTCGAGAGCACTGAAGCCGCAAACGTATACCGCACTACCAATACAGCACACTTCGGACCACCGTCCCGTTGCATTATACGCGCGTGTCGATGACAAGCCGCTGCAGGGACCAGATGATATTCGGAGCAGCACTCCGTTCTCTATCAATCCTCACTGGAAGTCCAGGAGGGACACTGCTCGGAAATTAGAGATCATCGTGGGTAGTTTGTCCTATGTTGTTCTGACGCCACAGGGCAATGCGATTGTTGTCACCTTGGCCACCCTGGCATTGGCAGGTTGGTGGTTGGCAGTCAGTCTATCTAGGTGATGTCTTAATTGCTTACGCCACTACAGAGCATGGTCGTATTAATATTTTCGTGGGATCGCACCTCGTAGTAATATTCTTTAATGCATCTATGTCAACGTCTAAAGTACATTTCTCCAAAGCTTGAGTTGTGATTATGTTTTCTGCGCATATCGCAGCTTCAGTTTACAAAATTGACATCTAACGAGCGTTTAAAATTTAACACCTCTTCAACAGTGAAATCAGAGTCGAATTTCCCATCAAAAGTTTCAGTCGTGCCCCAACGGGCCTTGATACGAGAACTGCATATTGATATGTGACGCCCAGTTGTACTCCATACATATCTCTCCGTCTCCTAAGATATTTTTCGAAGACATCTCCAGATCATTATTCTACTTCTCCTCGGTTATCAAGAGAATCTTATCATACAATAACAACATTTAACATATTTGTACTTAGATATATATTTACGATTTTGAATATAAGGTCGCGTCATTTACTTAACATATACTAACATTGTTTAAGATACACACCAAAGAGGGAACCAGTCTTATAATATCATCATCAAGATTTTCATCCAAGCACCCAAAAGCCTAACATCTACACATATATCTAAACAAGCCTCTTTTGTCTCTACCTCGTACCATTGATTTTGAGGACCCAATCGACGATGCCACCGAAAGCACACAAAGTCCCCTTTTTAAAGCCACCTCGTCGATACACCCACAAAGCTCCGTCTCTCACAGTGACCTCAACCAGCACACCACCGAAAAGATCGCATCGTTCTCTCATCCTCACATTCGACAAAACTACCAAAGTATCCTACCGGTTGTGCTCCGTGTTAAGAATCATATCGGGGCTTTATCTCCGATGAAGCAGCGACTGAGAAGTCCGATCTCGAGACTGATGTGCTACTACGATCTCGTGCACTATGGTAGAGTAAACTGTTCACTAAGAAACATTCCGACGAAGACCGCACGAGGATGTGCTATATGTTGTAGGCAAAAACGAAGGAAGACTTCTTGCTATCATGGAGCGGTCGGTAAGGACATGATGCCAATGATGGCAATGCAAACATGTTTGAGTTCCTGACGTATGGTGGCCCATCAGAAACATCGCTGACGTGCAGATACGTAATTAAATGCACTGAATGGTTGCAAGGTATCGGCAAGGGAATGAAGAAGTTTGGTGAAGTGATGCTGGTCTGCGTATTCTCTCACTAGGTCATGGCATGAGTGCCGATGCTGTAGTGTGTAGATCTCAGGTCGGAGGGCAAGTCTGAGAAAGGTTGACCCGCCCCGGACTCCAGACGTCGTAGCAAGCGTAGACAGCGTCCATCCATGTTCTAGACGTGCATCTTTTAATACAATACCGTATGCATACCGCCTAAGGCAATTGATCTTCTCCACCAGGTCAGACGTCCTCCAGAAAAGCATCGGTGGCGATCCTTCCTTTTTCGCAGTGTCGACGACCCCCTGGCTTGGGCCCGCCAACGTCTATCGTCACGATAGTTGAAGTCTTACAAAGACATCATAAATCGCATCCCGAGACCGACTTTTCGCGCCCGCACATAATCGGCGATCCCCAATGCAGGCATTGAAAAAAAGGGAATGAGGTTGGCCAGCTCAGGTTGCCTTGAAAGATCGTCGCTCATGTGAGGATTGTCGAAGGTCCAGACCGGGCGGACCCGTTCAATTTTCGACGTCTTTGCCCCAATTAATTGAGAATGCCGGCCTTGCAACATGGGGCGAGGTTCTAATCTTCGGCGTGTCTTCGGCGTGAGAACGAAATGCGATGGGTTCACAACATCCAGATATTACTTCCAACTCGAAAAGGTTACCTGCAGATAGTTAACTTTCTCAATGCTCCAGCACTTCACGTGACATGCGGCCCCGAGTCGTTTTTCTACGACGAAACGTCCTTGCGGATTATTCGAACGGATTCCGAAGGGAGAGCAAATAATTAAGTCAGACCGTTTTTTAATCGTGCTCCAGTGAGTGGGGACAAGAGCAATGTCTGTCTGACATGTTTTTGTTACTTTATATGTTCGTGTAGTGTTGATGAATGCGCGTTTATGGGAAATGTGTGTATGCAGGTGCTGGACCCTGGAATAAGATGGAAAGTGACGTAATATTCTTCCCTCCATCATGCCCCTTGAAACTAACTGTGAGTTTATCTCGTAAATGTAACTAACTACGGGTTAAACATGCTCTGTACAACCACATGAGGCGGTTAGCGCGATTGATGATTGCCCTGCCTTGACCTGGCATGGTGGCATGGTCGTAATCCCCGGGCATAACTGAAATGCTTTCTTGTTTCCTGCTGAACTGGCTGCTGAGGTTGGTTAGAATGCAAGGTAAGCGAGACCCTAGGCTTCTTTCATCGGTCTGTAAATAAGGACGATGGTCGATTGGCTGGATGACTGGCCCGTTCTGCATGATAGAAGTCGGCTGGCTGATTGGCAGGTTGAGTACGGAGTAGTCTTATCTGATTTCTTGCAAACCGCTGCAGGTGGGAGTAAGACTGCTCCGAAAGGTGGAGGGTCGGTGAGACGTTGGACTGTCGGGGTTATGATGTCCTCATGGATGCATATGTAGAAACCGCGGCTGTGGTTATCTAGGTATCACGACGGAACGCGGGGGCGAGCAAACTCAAGGAGTATGGAGATAGATACATAATCGGGGATTTCAGAAGCTTTCGATGCTGATTCGTTGTCTTTTGCTATCAGGTATCTATGCATGTCTATGGGGTTTACGGTCCGGCTTTGGTTGCATTGCATGCGCGGAGGATCTGTTACATACACTACAACTCCGTATGAAGCACAACTTGCCCCAGCAACAACTTTCTCCCAGTCGGAACAAGGTTGAGGAAAATGATGAACATGATCGTCAAAACCCGATGCTGCAAAAATAGAAACTGTGGAGAATGTATTATGTATTTCCTAGAGAACAAAAATGGCCGAAGCAATAATTTCGCAGCATCAGCAATGCCACAATGTAAGATGCAACTATTGACGATAGGATGCATGCCGCCGCCGCCGCATGTATGTACATGTACACAGCCAACAAACACTTCAGACGAACCATCAAAAACAGGATAGAGCCTCGTTGGGTTTCGGTCAACCATTACACGCGTCAGATTACGGCATTTACACAGGCGCCACCAAAGCGGGAACGACCAGCAAGCTGGAATGCCTTTGGGACACCTGTGGACATCTGGGGTCGAATGGATGAACTCGTATGTTCGGTTGTTCGCACCTTTATTTGACGCCGAGGAGTACGAATTGACACTCCACATACATGCCAATGTATGTATGTATGTACCTATGGCGAATTATTGCCGAATAATAATAATGTGTAGAGTACGATGCAGTACTCATACGTGATTGGGAAGCACGGCACGACGGAAGATGCACAACAGCCATCCACCCGACAACACCTCGTAGTCTGCATATCCATCTATCTCCATCTCACCATCTCATCATCTCATCAATTTCCCAAAGCCTTATCGATAACTTCGTGATACTGCCCTGTTTTCGAACACCCGCAATGACGGATTGAAGCTTCCTAGTAGACCTTCTCGCCCACCCGAAACGGAGCCTAAGGAGACGCAGATCTCCACCATCTACGCAATAGTCAGAATGCCATTGCGTAGTCCAGACCCTTTCGAGAGGGTCTTCGCTGGGAGAAAGACCCTCGCTGGTGTCCCCTGGCGGCCGTGTCTTCTCACCCGGTAGCACCAGATAGTCTGAAGCTGGGCCACCAGCGCCGCCTGTGACGCTGCCTGCAGTGCTTACTGCACTCCATACTCGCACCATGGCAATTCCTATTAACCATTCCAACATCACCTCAACACCCAGGCACCCCGCTCTCACGACCAGCCCCACATACAGAGCATCCAGACTTGGCCCGTTGGGGTCTCGAAACCAGGGCGGGCAACCGCGAAACGTTTTGGCGCCCGCTGCGCAGTGACGCCAGTGGCGTTCTCTGTCTCCCCCCCAATTTCGTCCTCGTCCGATTCCTTGATCATTTGCCTTGGCCAGTCTGGTCCGATCCCCAGCGTATTGACCGATCCTTCAGTTTATTGAGGTTCTTGTCATTCCGACGACGAACCCTTCTTGGGACATCGTCGTTTCGGCTTCATGGAAATATCAGGAAAGAGGGCGTGTTTCTGGTCTGAGAAAATCCGTTTTTTTTTCTCCGCGCGCCAACCAGGGCCACTTATCAAGCTTTGGCTGCTTTACTTTCTCGGGTCAATCGGATTTCTTGTGAAGGTCCGAATAATGATTTTTTCCATTGTCAAACAGGAAAAAACCCATTAGTTGATTCCATGTTTTAGATGTGGTAGATAGCAGAATCTGACGACGTTCGAATGGTAGATACGACGATCATGAGAATTCCAAAATGGCCATGTCCGGAACCTACCACCCCCTCCCTTCTGCCCATCCCTCGCCCCCATCGTACATGCACAGTATTTACAGTCTTCCATACTCGGTTGTGATCTACTCGGCCTCGCCCACCCCATCTCTACACACCCGCATCAAATGATTAATATCGGTTGGCGAAAAGACCACCACGTAGATGTTCGAAAACGTGCAACGGACAAGACAGAACTGCATGCAAAGCGTGGGGAGAGAGCTCTTGAGTGATTTGTTTGTATATTGTTTAGATTGCATTTGGCGTTATCTAAGGATAATAAAGTAACTGAAGCCTGCCCTGGTCCGCGAGAACCGCGCTGTGGCTAAGCGAGAGCAGCAGCATGTTCGACACTCTGAAGAGTCCGCATGTGCTGTCTCGTTGTACAAGAGATGGCCTCGAGTAAACTTAAAACAATGATAAAAGAAATACATTCGCGTTCGTAGACGCGAATCCGTCCCAGTCTATAGTTGCACCCAACGCCTTCGCTATCCTGCCCGGGAAGAATGGTGGGGGGACTTGGTCAATATGATACATGAGAATGGAAAGAAGAAAAGAGGAAGCCAAAGCCCCCATCCCGCTGAAATGATGCATCCAGTTCCTTCGAAATGCTTTGCCCTAGGAGAGATCCATGAAATAGAAGTGGGTAGTCGAGTAGTAAGATGGAGAGAGGGAGATCGCCGTGCTTTTATGAAATTGTCGGATTATGGTCTTGGAGGAAACCAATGGACTGTTTCGGTATCGCTGAAGTTCAATCATTATTGGTTCGTTGCGCCGTAGGTATCGTGATGTTGATGGTTCAATGTTTGTTGAACGATTGGTTGATTGCCTCTAATGAGCCCTGCCAGATGATGATGGCTGCATTTGGGATAGCGAAGCGAACGAGTTGGTCATGGCCGAGTAAGCACCATTTGGTCGGCCGTTGACTGATGTCACTGAAGAGGAGCTGTTTGTGCGGACGCTGGCGAGGTTGAGGGTGATGCAGTTACCGCATCGGCCTTGCTGCTGGTTGCATCGGCCACGGCAGCCTCGCTCGTAGTTTACGCAGGAGAACATTGTGGGATAGAGTGGTTGGAATAGTTGGTATGTCGAAGAGATGATGAGGTTGGATGGTGATGGTCCCTTAGGTAGTGGTTGTAGATACGAGTAGTGATGTAGATAGTGGTAGACTGGTGGTGGTGTAGTGGTGTAGTTGGATATAGTGTGGCGTGGTAGGTAAAGATAGATAGATGGAGTTCGAGGGGGGATGATGTTAATTTGTATGTTTGTGTGTCTGTAGGATTGAATGTGTGTTTGAAGGGGATGATGCGGCAAGAAGCGAAAGAAAGGGTCGTGAAGGGAGTTATTATATGGCGCAGGGTCGTATGCTGCCCGATGATGTAGGTAGGTATCGTAGGTGGTTTTGTCCCGAAACCAGACCAAGTACAAGTTTAGATAGATACCGTAACCACCTGTAGCCTGTAGGATAACAAGGTACAAGGGGGTAAGGGTAGAAAGGTGAATACGCAGGGCAAGGGTTACACTAGTTAGTCTGACACTCTGATGCTAACTTAACCTAACCACCACAACCCACAACCACAACACCAACATAATTACCGTCTTCCCTTTTACTTTCTAACACAAACAGACATCACAGACACCAGACCTACGTACTAGTACCAAGACGCTAGGGACGGCCTGCAGGAGGACGACGACGCAAAGTCTCCTGCAAGTAGAGCCAGCCTCAGTGGTGCACGCACTCGCACTTGATTGCAAGTATCTGGCATAGCGCCGAGGAGGTAGCAGTTGGCGCAGTGCAGTCCATCTGTCACTTCCAGTCAGTTACTCAGTCACTCAATCACTCGGTCACTTGCTGAGTCTCACTCTGTCCAGCGGAGCATTCGGCTAGTTAGCCATCGCCCCCTGTCCCGGTCCTGGTCCTGGCGCCCTGGGTGCATATGCTGGCTGGACTTCTATTCTACTCTTCATACCTACTGCGTATGCAAAGTGTGACTTGCTAATAAGCTCTTGACCTATCGTGACCCTCATGGGGTTCAGTGGCTGGGTGCACAAATGGAAATTGACAATCGTGGGGCTCAATTGGTGGACTTGACCTCCCGCTGACCGCTTCGGGGTTCGAGCAAATGCACACCTGTCCAAGAAGGGTCCCTTTTTACGATTTGCCCAAATGGTATGTAGTGACTTGGGTCATTACAACATATCCTTCTTGTGGATGCCACACCGACGGGACTCTTGCGTTCTAGGAGACATGTCTCCACAGTCTACTGCTCCCCACTGCTACGAGTGGTTAGGAGACGTTACAACTCTAGCAGTTCTAGAGAAATGACGGTAGAACCCCCATCAACTCGTATCAATTTTCACACGTAGGTAACTACACGCACAATACTAGTATGTAATAATTGGATGACAAAATGTCGTCCAAACGTAGGGCAAACAAGGTCCAAAATGCTGACCCGGCCTGGTCATTGCGCTCCCTTTTTTGGGGATTTTACAGCCCCACTGCGGTGTGTGTTTGGCTGCAATCCTTTCTTTCGTCTTCAATGCCCAGCGCTACACCACAGCCATCCCCAGTCCACATGCTGCCCTTTTTCTCGCCGTGGACGCCCAAAGGGTCGACATGATCATGCTTGGGTACCGCGTACTGCCGCTGCAGGACCGCGAATCAATACCTCTGGTGATTCCCGTCGTCTCCGAACCACCTGCTCTGCAGTGTCTCCCCTGCAGCCTCAACAGGACCCTTTTTTTGTCTCTCATACTTCTTATTTCAAAATAATATCCGGCAACTGGCGGGAGCACTAGAAGCTGAGCCGCTGAGGCGCTGTTTACCGCGTCGACGCTTACTGCGTACGCTCCTCTATGTGCGTTATTGCATTGAGTAACGCGGTGTGTAGGTGAATAATTAAAATTGACATATGTCTTTGATCCTCGATCTGCGTTACTGTTCCGCGTGCATATGCACTTGGTCCGACGGTTCCTCGACTAACAAGAGAGATGGCTTTCTATGTCAAGATGACAGTACGACCAGTACTGCGCTGTTTGCTGGGTGATAATGATGATGCAACACATTAGCCGTGCAACGTGATGCGCTTGAAAAAAAGCGCGCCTGATCGTTCCTAGAGTGATACACTTTGCAGCACAGAATTCAGTAGTTGTTCGATGTTGAGAGCTCGGCGCCCTCCGACCGTTGGCTATGGCTGGCCGCTCGGCTGGCGAGTAGTTTCACGATTACCTGCAGTCTAGCAAGGTTAGCTGCGGTGCTCTCTCCAGATTTCTTACGTCCCGAACAGATTGGATGCCACGAACTGCTCGCTGGCTGTACACCTCATCTTGCTCATCTGCGGAAAATAACACAGACGTCCCAGACCGCTCTCCGCGGCCATTAGCTTCTCTTCTGCCCGACCACGATATGTTGTAACATCAGGCTCCTTGTTGGTGTTTGGCCACTTCGGTGTTGTCAGTACTATGTGATCTTACCTCCCAAAGCGCGGATCTGTTAATCCAATTTCCGGCACGCGGCCAGTTGCGGCCAGCGTGCATGAGTAGAAGTCGGAGGTCGGGATAGAGATCAATCAATATTCTCTCAACCACAGAAAGTATTACTACCCACGTCACGAGCCTAAGCCATTGCGGTCAAGCAAACCGAGCGCAATACGTGGTTCGTCGGCGTAGAGAGCGAGTGGATTTCTTTCTGACGACCCTGTCCTTGAACTAATACGGCAACCTTCTAGAAGAGATTACGAAAGGCTAATGAATCCTCCTAGAACACACTAAGAACCTTCTCTGCAGCATTGATCCACGGTGAAAGGGACGAGAATGATCAAGGCTTCCTGACCCATTCACACCCTCCCATGGTGGAGATCATAAGATCTTTTTTTCGCGAAGCGACCGGCTCAGCTACCGAAATGAACACTCTTGGACGCCTCTTCTGACGGATCGGTGGTAGAATGTCTCCGTAGAAAATGCATCCGCAGAGGGCGCGATAACGCTTCAACAGTGGAGTATGCACCTGTGGGTCTTCTTCTTGTTCGGCATCTAGATGCCGATTTGAAGCCCTGAAGGCATTCTCAAATCTTTCAATTGAGATCTACAGTATCATCGAAGCATACCGTGGAACAATTGTGTTGGTATGAAGGGATCTGCAGGGTCATAAGTGTCCGCAATTGAGTGGATCTTCTTGTTGTTATTGTTGGTAATGGATCTGTAATTGTGTTGTCCGACGATCGTTTGAACAGAGATGAAGCCGCGTAGGTGGGCTGTATGGATTGCTTGCCACTATCTACTGTGCAGACTCAAGCATTCATGGATACGGCTGTTGTGGTCGAGATGGATTGCCATATGTTCACTTTCCTTAATCAAAACATACCATTCTGTCTGTTCTACAATTGCTCGGTGCAAGAAGATCCATTTCAGGTTCAAATTTCCTTGATAACCCTCTTTCTTCTTCCTCCATATACCCACTGTCACTCCAACCGTGAATTACGAGCCTTCTTGTTGAGCGCCATTACAAGCAGTGCAACAGCGCCAATTCATACAATCTCGATACAGTAGAGTATATCCAACAAAAAGCTAGAAGGTGCGGAGAATACGCAGACGCTTGAGCTTGCCGTTACCCATAGGTAGACCAGTCACTTCTGGATCAGATCGCCCTTTCGAGTACGTTTCCGACCCGCGCCTCGATTGGAATTACCCGAATGACTCTTCGCCTGGCCCTACTGCCGGTACCAACAGTTCATTTGGCATAGACACAGAGAACCAGCGGCTTCATCGCGGCGCAACTTTGCATTATTTGGCGTCAAGTTCCCCCACAACAGGACACGAATGAGGAACCGCGTAGCTTCGGTCAGCGAACGTTGTTCATTCTGACTGAGCATTTGAAGCATGCAGGGTGCATTCTACCCGCCTTCTAGCGTCGCGCAAACCCACGATGGGGCTAGCGAAACCCGCTTATGGTCGATGCGCAATCGCAAGTTGGCGCATGTAGACATTCACTTGAACGAAACCAGCACGACCTGTGAGTAGCCGTGCCTCAAATGGATGGCGGCTGTCACAACGCGGAAGCGATTGCCAAGTGGAACTGGCCCTACGAGCAGTGCATATGCTCTTCAATGATTATAGAGATGAGCCACGAGCCGCTCAACAGACACTAGAGACTCGTCGACGCGCTTCAACAAGTACCTACCTTGTAGTGATCAATCCTGGCGGTCGCGTTTCTGTCGTGGGCCTGCAATTGATCGCGATTACATGACGACTACTTTGCTTCATTGCGCGCCCATGAATCGATCGCATAACCCAGCGGTCGATCTTTTAAGTGCTACTACCCTAAGCATGTAACATATGACTTCAGATAATGAGAAATTTTCAGGTACTGGCCTGTGTCATCCATTAGAAAGCAGCCCTAACCGTGCTTATGAACGATGTTAAGTACAATTACTACTTTCGGTAATTTCGCTTCTATTTCCCCGTCGATTGTAGTGCTAAAAGTCTTGTCTCGAGAATGCCTCTAGCGCAACGTTAATCCTCGACGTAAACACTCCTCCAAAGTCGTGAACAAAGTCGAAAATCGAATGCAGAGGGATAGACAGAGAGAGAAATTCCTATTCTCATTATTGCTAGCTTTGAAACACGATCTTCTTATTCTCCGGGGCACAGATGCTGCTCAATCCCCTTCGCCACCTCAGTAACCTTATCATTAACTTTAAAATAAGGTACAATAAGGTTATTAGCAGTCGATATTGCTCCTCGGAGCTCGCAAGTCAACATCAAATATCACTTCAGAAAAATATCGTTACAATCTCAAGTACTTCTGATTTGATTTGCTTTGCGTGAAAGGGTATCTCTGCTTTATGCGACACTTTCATCTCACTTTCGACAGCACCCCGAAGTAACCATCATGATACGTTTTACCCTCCAACCAATACGAGTCACGTTACGACACATGTCGCTACCCCAAAATGCGTTCAGATATCATATTCCCTCTCATAACGAGTACTTGAACAACGGGCTGCGATCTCCCATCTTGTCAAGCTGCTCCTCGGAGTAAATCGCCCTCCACTCCTCCTCCGTCTTCTCCGCATTCCTGTTATTGATCCTCCAGAAGAGGAACTCCAGCGTGAGTGCGCACACCATGCCCGCCGCAGCGAAGGAAAGCGACGAACCGAATCCAGTCGGGTACTTTGGCGCCTCCTTCTCCTGGTAGATGAACGAGCCCACGATACCCCCGAGATTTCCTATGCAAATCATCATCGCGACTGGATCTCGTCAGTATGATGCATTGACGCACGAATGTCGGGTGCAACTTACTTCCCATGGCACGCTTTGCAGGGCCGGCGAGATTGTTGATGGTCCAGGCATTGCATCCCGGGAGGATGGGGTAGATGCCCACGCACGCCACATGCACGGCGAAGTAGCACAGGCCCACGTTGTCCTTTATGTGTTCTGCCTTCGCGAAGAGGATGGCATACGCGACGATCAGCAAGCCTTGTGCGCTGACGATGAACGGCATTCTCCATGTAAATCGATCGGCCAGCAGCGACGATACGAGTGCGGAGATGGCACCGCAGGCGTATGGCGGCGCGGTGAGGAGTTGGGCGTTGGTCGATGTGTAGCCCATGTTCTTGAGAATCTATTTAAATCAGGTCAGTCAATCGTGTACTTAAAATATAATCTGAACACAGGAACGGTACACACCTGTGGCATCGTAAACTTCAACCCATAATTGGGGACCGCATTCGAGGCAAAAACCATAGCTTGGAGGTAGATTTGCCAATCCTTAAGAACCGACCAGAGAATGTTCCACTGGAACTTGGTCTTCTTGCCCTCGGCATTGACTGTCTTTTTCTGCACGCCTCGCGTCACGATATGGGATAGGTTGAGGAACCGCGCATCATCGTGAGTGAGCCAGCGCCCGGCTGCGTAGTCAGGGCTGTCCGGCAGGAGGAAGAACACTGCCGCGCCCATTGCGACGGTGGCAATGCCCTCGATGATAAAGATCCATCTCCAGCTCTCGTAGCCAGCAGTTCCGCCCATCTATCTTCCATTATTAGCAAATCATCTAATTTACCCAGCATGCTCAACCAACGTACCTTTGCAATAGCAGCTGCAAGTAGCCCAGAGAACGCACCAGACGCTGCAGAAGCGCAATAGAAAAGGGCCATCCGAAACTGCGTACGATCCGGAGGATACCACTGCCCTACAAGATAGATGGCACCGGGGAAGAACCCCGCCTCAAAGAGGCCCAGGAAAAACCTTGTCGCACAGAGTCCGCCGAAGTTTTGCACAACGCCCATGAGTGTCATAACTATCCCACAACATCAGCATCACAGAACTCAAACTCATCCCAGCGGATTCGGAACGTTAGAACGTACCTGTCCCCCAACATAGGATCAAAATTCCCATGTAGTACGACGGCCGTTTGAACTTGGCAAGGATCATGTTCGATGGCACTTCGCAGAGCACGTATGGCACGAAGAACACCATGAGAGCGACATTATAGTCATTCCCGCTCATGTTAAGCGTCTCTTCTAGACCCTCGATCTTCGCATTTCCGATGTTCGCCCTACTCCTATGTCAGTTCCTCCACTTCTATGTTTCACAGCAAAACCCATCCGGGGATAAAGAAATTGGAAACCATACCTATCAAGATGTGAAATCAAATAAAGCACAGCGAGCATGGGACACAGTCTCCAATCCACCTTGTGGAAGATCTTATCCTGTTCCTTCTTCGAGATGCCGTGCATAAACTCTGCATCGTCCCTCGACAATCCCGCCCGGAGGTACGTTTGCAGGTGGTCGGGATAGCTCTCTGCTGCTTTCTCGAGCGCCACGTCGTCGAGCACCTCTCTCTTCTCGTCGTCCAACGACGCCTTGTTGTCGAGTTTTGACATACTGGCCTCCTTTCGATTTCTATTTCCCAAGTGTATCTAATACCAATACAATAGAAAGCAGAAGAAAAGCACGGTACGTACAGGCCAGTCGGGGATTCACCATTACTTTATGTAGTTATCGATCTACCCTCCCCTCAACCGTGCCCACTCACCAAAGCATGCGTGGGTCCCCCCAGATACATCTTGCATGCAGCCTACTTCGGTACTCTTTCTCCTCCTCTTCCTTTCTCCCCACGGACGATCATCCTTCCGGGGGATTTCTCATCCTGGCTAGATAGTAGTAGCGCAGGTAGGTAAACTCTTCAACGCTTCCACGACAAGTGGAATCCACAACAAACCCTCCAACGCCCACAACGATTGGAGGGGAGAGGCCCAACAGCGCAACTATTCCGCGCGGATCTTAACCCCGTTTCCGAACGAGGACGTGGGCCAAGATGTCCGTTTTGCGGGGGAGGGAAAGGCGGGCTGCTTGGCGTCTGGGTAACATCAAAACTACAATACGAAAGGAGCAGATTTTTGCATGGTTTGGGGCGATAGGAATTAGGCATGGTGTATGTAGTTTGGGTTTTCTTGAATGATGTTTAGACATGGTCGTGGGGAATGCTTAGATCCGCCAATTGGGCTGCTCGTACTGGGCTGGCTATCTGCGCTTCCTACCCCCTTGGCTGCTTGATTCCGAGTTTCTGCCGTGGAGAGCGAGGGCTTGGACGTACGTCAAGCTTTGCGGCAATTCGCAAAGAAAGCCCGAAGTTATATGTGAGGCGTTGACAAGAATCGCCGTGGCGGACGGTGGGAGCTTCAATCTTGTCTTGACGTCGACAATGGGCTTATATGAACAGCAACGATGCGTGAGTATGGCTGGCATCACGAGAAAGTGTCAGTATGAAAGTATTTATTGATTCGAGAGTAACTTGGATTTGATGGTTATATGCACATTAGTATTGTATGCGTGTGCATACATGGATGCTTAGGTAGCTGCATCCCTCCAGGACGCGATCGTATGACATGGAGCCGAGCCTCGGGATGCCGAATGGGGTAATGGCTTGGGTGACGCTTTATGGCCGAAGGATGCGGAGTTGGGTGGACATCCTGCGTACGTACTTAGGTTTGTGTATGTTTCATGATGTTGTTTGGATATGTCTTTAGTCGATGGTCGTTCTACTTGGAACTGATCAATATAACTTCACAAGCAATGCGCGACGCACGCCTCGCGTGGGCAAAAGAGCAAGCCTTATTTGCCATGGCGAATTCGTCTTCGACCATATTTTTCGAATTCTATTCATTCTTTCCAATCGAATCAGTCTAACGAAAAAGCAACTGCTATGTCTCCCTTGACGCCGCCACCCTCAAATGCTCCTCCCTCAGCGCCCCCCTATCAAACCTCTCAAACCCAAAACTCCAAATCTTCTCCGCGACGCTCATCCCCCACTTACTCGCGGGCCCGTAGTCGTCCAGCTTGCTACTCTTCCTCCCGACATGCTGCAGCACGCTCGGCGTGATCGCCCACCGCAGCTCGTCGTTCTGGTTCGCGTACTCCTCGATGATGACGTCCACGAAGCCGAGGCGGCGCTTCGTGAGGTACTTGGCGAGCGTCATGGCCTTGTTGCGCGGGAACACGAGGCCCTGCGAGCAGCAGCCATACGCGGGCATTTCGTTCACGCCAGCGGGGAGCGGCAGCATGGTACAGCGGCCGAGGAGGAAGAAGAGGGCTATGCAGGCTATGGTGGCGGCGGATATGGTGGCCAGCGTGCGGTTTGTGAGAATGCGCTTTGCGGGCGCGGATGAGTGGCGGAGGTAGAGGAGGACGGCGAGGGGAAAGCCAAATGCGAGAGTCGAGTAGAAGAGGTAGGTTGCCCAGTCTTCGGAGTTGTAGCCTAGGAATTCTTCGGTGTAGAAGAGACGGAGATAGAGGAAGTCTGCGAGGGCTCGACGCTCGGCGGATAGGGCTTCGGCTTCGTCGATTGCGGCCATGGTTCTATGGTACCAGCCATCCATGGCAACAGTGTCGTCCTCTAGCATGGCGATGTGTGGCGTGCGTTTTGAAATGCATTCTTGGAGGAGGTATGTATAGTCGTACAGTCCTTTTTCTCGGTACTCCCCGCCCTCTGATTCCAATTGTTTAATGTGATCTGTCTGCTCGCTCGTGACATTGTAGACTAGGACCTCGTCCGTAAGATCGGGAAGCCATTGCTCGGCGTATGAAGGGTGGACAGTTGGATCCGAATGAGGTATGAAGACGATGAGAAAGATTTCCGCGCGCTCTTGGGGTGTGAGTCCTTCGATCAGCGAACCGACAGCCGTTTGCAGATATTGTACATCTTTCCGTGCGATCGAAGGAATGCCGACACATAGTTTCCTTTCTGTTTCTCCGTCTTTTGCTTGAACTAGGTCTGCATATTTTGGTGCATCAGATATGAAGTCCCCAGCTTCAGCTTTGCGGACGGCAGAGTATCGCGGTGCATATCCGACTCGGGGGTTGAAAAAGAGACTCGTAGGGTCGCGGGAGGAAGCCAAAAGTATCTTATAAAACCCAAGGATAGTAAATAAGCATACAACAATTGCTATAAGGCGAGAATTCATTGCGACTGGGCGGCTTTCACACGTGGAGACGGGACGACAAGGACGGCCTCGGCTACGTCATTTTGAAGGTGAAGAGGAGTTCAGATGAGAAGGGTAGAAACAACCCCCGGGGACAAAGAAAGTTAGGGAATCGCCCTATGTTTAAATTAGACAATTGGACTGACTTAAGCAGATTCACCTGCTCGTATTCGACGGTGCCCCATAACTCCTTCCCGTACGTTAAGGCACCCAGTGAAGCTAGTGTTTACAAGGCTGTCCATCCATGGTGTCAGACGGGGCCATTAAAAGTGGACAACGCAAAATTTGAATAGAACCTAATGATGGGACCCTTTCACTGTAGGTCCATGTCAAAGAATGACGTCTATTTTGTGTTTTCTTGAGGCCATTGGCATAGGGTGTTGCGTCCAGGAGCAAATGTACATTTGTGAGAGTGACTGGGGTGACTGGAATGATCGACTGGTAGCGTGCCGTTCTATCCTGATAGTTTCGTGACTCGGGAACCTTGACAATATAGACGTCTCGTGACATTCCTGCACTCGCGATGGATACTCGGTTCTGAGTTACACATACTCGGGTCAAGATGACAGCGCTGTCGCAAGATGTGCATTCACGATGCGCGATACTGTAGGTTATGAGCTGGACGTGCAATTGGGACCAGCGCAGTCATTCCTTAGCATACTTGACATAATACCCTTTGCCTATGGCATACACCAAATGGCGAGCATGGGATAATGACAGCCGCTCTTGTAATCGACGATTACGTGCGAGAAACAGATTACTATCTCTACCTCATTCACAGAAGTATGCAAAGTAGTTGAAAATAAGCCCTAGGCCTCTTGGGCCAAGCTTACTCTTGGCTCCTTGAGGGGGTCCACATCGAAGGTCTTAAAACCATGATTGGAGCTTGTGTCCATTGTCCCAAATGTCGTGTAACAAAATAGCATGCAATTCAGAAGGTTGATTCACACATTGAGGAATGCCTAGTTAAAAGAGATGTTGTTTATTTTGTTGCTAATTAGAGAATACCGCCCACCAATGTCATCGCAAAGATGCAGAACGCCGAAAAAATCGGCCTCCAGCTTTGCAATACAAATCGTACAATCTACCTATCTTTGGGGTATCAAGAACCCATGCCGTGAACAAGAAAACAAACAAAGGAAAAGAAGAACCACATTAGACATGTAGGAGATACGGATTAGGCCTTCGGGATTACTCCACACAAGCCGTCATCAAGCGGAGGTAGTCTCCCCGGATCTCTCCCTTCAGCCTGCTGATGAGATCCCTCTTGTACAACTTCTGATATTCGATGCCAACCTGTCTGATGTGGTCGCGGTTCCAGTGCGCGCGAATGATACGTTGGACAAGAAGTTCGTCCTTGGTGCCCATTCCGGCCATGGCATCTTCAAGCTGTTTCGCGTCGCTTGCAGCACGGCTGTATGCGCGTGCAACGAGGAGGATGAGTGCATCTTCCATGTGGCCGGAGAAGGTAGACTTCAATGCGTCGACCAACGGCTTGGAGAATTTGGATTGGTACTCGTGTGCGATGGCCCGGAGCTGAGCGTCGTTCCTGCTTGTAAGGATCTGGCAAGCCTGGACGGGGTTCTTGGTCACCATGTTGCCGAAGGAAGCTTGTAGGTCGGTGACGTCCTGCTGAATTTGCTGGGGTATGACGGGAACGGAGTCTTCATTCCTGCGGGCCGAGATGATCATGACAAACATCTGCTCGGTGGCAGCAGAAAGGTCGCTACGGAGGTCGCTCTCCAAGCTTCGAGAGAAGGTGTTCTGATACTGGGTTTTGATGGCGTTGATGTCGGCATTACTTCTGCCCACGAGGACATCGTTGAGGACGTTCTCCTTGGTGCCGATGCCCTTCATCGCGTCGCGGAGTGCGTGTACATCGTTGAACAGTGGTCCGCGTACAATTGCGACCAGGCCCTTCTCGAAATACCCAGACGTCTCACTCTTGATATCGGCCGTCAGGTCCCTTTGGTACATCCTGTGGAAATCCTCACGGACACTGTTCGCCTGCACAGGGTCAAGCTTTGCCAATATCCTGATCAGGGCCTTCTCGTCCGTGCCCATGCCCTTCATGGCCTTTCGAAGACCTTCGGCTTCCGCGTTCATAGGGAGGCGAGTGTTGTGAAGCATGTTCAAGTCATACCCCAATGACGGCTGTGTTGGGGGGCCACTTGGCGGCGGAGCACCATATTGACCCGGAGGAGGGGCGTTGAACTGGCCTGGAGGAGGGGCACCCCATTGCTGATTCTGCGGTGGAGGCGGCTGACCCCACTGGCCCTGAGGTGGTGGCGGTTGTCCATAACCCTGCTGCTGCCCGTACGGTTGCGGTGGTCCCCACTGCTGATTTTGTGGTGGTGGAGGCTGTCCCCATTGACCTTGAGCGGGAGGAGGTGCGCCGTAACCTTGCTGGCCGTAGGGTTGATGCTGAGGAGGAGGTTGTCCCCAACCTTGTTGCGGAGGCGGCGCGCCGTAACCTTGTTGATATTGCTGATTGGGGTGCGGGGGAACAGGAGGAGGTTGGCCTTCTATGAAAATGTTAGTTATGCTCCATGAACTACATGTTCCATCAGTATGAGACATGGGGTAGAACTTACGGCCAGGATAGCCGCCTTGTTGTTGTCCGTAATATGACATGCTCTAGAGCTGTGATGTGGGGGAGAAGCAAGAAGCTTAGTAGTGAGGAGTGGTTGGAACCGGTGGGATTGATGCGAAGAAGATAAAGTAGAGAAAAGTAGCAGAGAAAAGTAGATGAAGAAAGGAAGAAATACTTTGTTCAAGAGGATGAGAGCCGTCCGTGATTAGGCGATGGAGGGGAAGCTGAGGCGCAGTAATGAGTGACGAGAAGCTGGAAAACACAGCCCTGGACGCGGGACCTCAACGCGGGGGTGGTCTTGTCACAATGTGGTGATAATTGACGTACTAGCTAGGAGCCTACGAGTAGCCCAGGCACCACCTATAATGACTAACTATTTCCCGTTCTCTTGGTAAACGCCGAAGGGTCACTAGATCGGTTATTCGGCAATATTTACTCTTTCAGAGGCGAATAGTGGATGTCATCTGTGGGCGTTCTTGTGCTGGATGATGCATTCGACAAAACTCGTAAATGATCGTTCCAGCAAGGCTGTGACAAGGCTGAGCGCCACAGTGCTGCACCGCCACAATTTGGCCATCTTCAATTCATTCACTCAATCCTTTCAAACGGCTGTTGATCATGACATGATTCGTAATTCGTATTCGTGATGATATCCTCAAGTTTTGGTATTACACAATAAGCCCAAGCATCAAATGCCCCCAAACAAACAATCAAAGAAACAGAGACACACAAACACCCTTCAATCGCAATGAAACCGCACATCATCAAGTTGATGAGCACAAAACCATTATCAACACTTCCCTTGTTCCATTGCTCTCTCGGCTTCCCTGACCATGGAGTACGGTTCATTGTCAGGGGCGGTGTCTTCCGGATTCCGTGTATCATTCAGGTCCACGTTCTCAGTCGTCTTGTCATGCGCTTTCTCCAGAGACTCCCGTTGCCCTTGTAGAGTAGTCTCGCTGTTGCTTCGCATCTTCTCATTCTGGTTCGCAGTCTGAAGTGTAGACTGCGAATTTGCATCTTCATCGTGCTGTGCATATTTCTCCTGCGCAACAGGGACGTTTCTAGGCTGCTCGTCCGTCTTCCTAGCCACCTCAGTCTCCTCATCCACGTCCCCATTCTTCTTATTCTTCTTCCTCCGGAACAAAGCACCGAAAAATCCTCTCGGACGTGTCTCCGATTCAGCGGGCCTCCTCTTTCTATTTCTCTGCCAGCTACAATAAAGCTTCGCTGCAAAGTAGAGGAGCAATAGACCTACGAGGACGCAACCGACAGCGATGCCGATTGTTTTCTTGGGAGGGCCTTTCTTTTTGACATTGCCTCCCGCGCCCCTGTAGGGTTCGCCGGTTGTGAATTCTGGGCCCTTGCCGCGGGCCACGAGATGGATGGTCTCGATGAGAACCCTGTGGTATGGTTAATAAAAGGTGGTTGACTATTGCATCTGGGTTTACGTACTCCGAGGCACTTGTAGAAATGGGCGCCATTGCGGATTGTTTAGACGAAAGAAGTATATATGGGTTTGGTACTCGGATTGATTAAGATATAACGAATTCTCAACAAAGGTCTCGATAGGCTTCAAATGATCACTCTATCCGCGAGAGGAAGAAGCCTGTTGTCAAGACAGAGGAACGAGCTTACGATGTCGCGGACGCTCACAAGAAGAGGGCATCATGGTCTTATGGCCTTTCGAAAAGTGCGATCAGCATTCTTGTGCGGTTCTGAATATGCATCATACCTTGGAGAGCCATGATTGGCTCTGGGGCATGATCGCTGTTATCTGATTCGCTACCTTGCTGTTGTGCTGCAAGCTGTCGCCAATCGTACACTCTGTTTGGCCCCCAAATGAGGGCTCTGACATCACAGGCAATGGAAACGAGGTCTTGACTTGGTCTCTTGTGCTACGTGAAGATAAGAATGTATGTCAGCCATGGCCTGCCATCGAGATGTGTCAATGACGATGCTTTACATACAAATTGTCAAGTTGAAGTATCTTGTACCTCGTAGGTGTAAGAAAGACTCACCGGATACTGGTAGTCATCGTGATATTGTATCGCCACATATAGAGTTATGGTCTTCTGAGCAAGACTACGCCCAGGTATTCAATATCTAGACGTCCATAATATCAATGGTATTCATCGTACTTTAAAATAGTCTGGTTTCAAGAGAATAGTTCCCACCATCCCAGTTGCAGTCATTCAAAGAAGGTTTGCAGACTAACGCCAGGTACAATACAATAGCGAGCGGAAGATGCCCAAGAGTCAAGACCCTGACCCACAGCCTGGCACCCACCCATTGACATCATTCCGCATTGCTTACCCCTCCCCTCACTCTCCACACACTCAAACTCACACTCACACTCACACTCACACTCACACACATGGTGACATGCAAAGCACTTCGAGCAATTGCCAATCAGTAACTTCAATTTGACACAACAATTGCAGCAAGAGGAGAACGCACGCAGAGTCATATTTCTGAATAGTCAATCTTCCCACCACATCACGAGCATCATTCCGGTGGTGTGAGTGCGTACACTCATGAGTCCACAAGACAGACAGATCTACTAGCCCCGTCCCCGTGTCCATCGTTGGTCGGGCTGTGCAGTGCAGGCAGGCGTTCAACTCTCTCTCGTCTCCCAATCCCAGCCTGATGGAGTCACGCTCGTGACAATCTTCTCTTTGCTGTGTCATGCTTGCCTGCTCCGCTCTAGGCTCCTCGATGCCTTGTCTGTCTGTCTCCGCCTAGCCAGTCTTACATATAGTCTGAGGGCGCGGCAAATGCTTTTGTTGGGACTAGATGTTCTCTTTTCTCGACATTTACATACAGACGTACATATATACATGCAGACATACTTCACGATAGTACGTTCACATTCAATCATACATACGTACCTACGAACAACATTACATATCGCCTCGCGCATCACATCGCATTGCAGCTACAGATAATCGCTCCGTTTTGAATCATTACTGCATACTTCCTTATCAGCGCCATCGTGTCTGAACAATCATCTCGAATCCACACGACGACCGACTTACATACACCACCAAAGCGAGACGTCATACGCAATCAATTGATCAACCCAACAAATACACAACCCTGTTAGAACCCAGGCCACTCTGCGTAATACACCACTCGCTCGAGCGAAGCAAGCAAACTCACCTCGAACCCTCCGACTCGGGACTCGTGAGGAAGAATCAGTTGGTCCCAGGGCAGCACACATTCGCCGCCGTCTGTCCATCCATCCATTCACCAGACGACAAGTCTATCTTTTCGCAACACAACCACAACCACTACCACGACTATCACACCGATCCTGAGTTCTGAACAACATTTTATATCAACCCTATCAACACCAACGAACCGAACGGTCAAACAACCTTGAACCACATAAAACACCACCCACCGCCCTCAAATCCCTCTTCAAAATGTCCACCGCACACTCCCACTCCCACTTCCCCCCTCCCCCAGGTCCATCCTCCCAACCATCCTCAAACCCAAACCCACAACAACAACAACAACAACAACAACCACCACAAACCCAACGCTCCCAATCCTACGCCCCCTCCAACGCCATGATCCCCCACCCCCAACACCCACGCTCCTCCTCCTACCAAGGCCCCTACACCCCCGCATCCACAACCCTCGCTCCTTACCACCCCCCTCCTCAGTCGCAATCACAGGGCGTGTACTACGCACCCGCCCCGGCTCCTCCCTCAGACTACGACTACGACTACGACTACGGGTACGAGGGGTACGGAGAGCAGAGGCCCCAACAGTCGCGACGGGCGTCGAGGAGGGAGAGGAGGGAGCGGGAGGAGGAGGAGAGGGAGAGGGATAGGGAGTTGGAGAAGAGGCCGTCGTTCGGGGATACGCTGAGTTTGGTTTGGAGTTCTGTTGTTGGGGCTGTCACGGGGAGGAGAAGATGATGATGGGGTGATGATGTGATGATGGAAGGGTGTTTTTTTTTGGGGTTTGATTGTTGAAGGGGGTTGCGAAGTTAGGGAGTGTGGGAGATTGTGGTTGGGAAATCTAGGGTTCTAGATGGGAATATGGGGAGGAGTGTCAATATTCCATTTGGGTGGATCTGATTTATGCTATCATATTGCAAGCGGGTTGGATGGATAACTGGCGTTCTGGGGTTGGTGTTGCGGACATTTCGTTCGTTGTGTTTCCGGAAGAACAAGGTCTTCACTCTAGACGGGGCAAGCAAACCTCGTAATAACAATTACCATATCATGTGAAATGAATCACGTTCAATGTTCACAAGTCTTGATGCACAATCAGTTCAAGTCTGCAAATGGATCCAATATCTCTAATTCAACAAACGTGCTAGATTGCCGGCGATACCGTGTGGAAACCGGAAACCCCCAATCAACGCCGACGCTATGTGCTTAAAGAATACAAATGCTTGTGACTAGGCGTCACTCTACCGTGGTTTTTCAACCCGTGTGTTCCTATATATGCCAATCCATACCGTGATCTCACGGGACAGATGAGGAAAGAACTAATGCATGCAGTCCGAGAAAAACGCCATCCAGAGAAGGAAAGAAAAAAACTTCAGCGCTTGAAGTTATCAAGGAGAGTATGAAGATGGAGAACGCCGTCTCCTTTTCGAATATTTCGGCCGTCCAAGTGGACCGTTTGTTCTGTCCGTTGGGTCTCTGATCCTTTGGTTTCACGCAGGGAAACATTCATCTTCGTGTGAATGAAAACACGAAGAGTGTTCCCAGCCTGGGCTATACTTGACCGAGCACAGCTCAGCATAGCTCAGAAGTTGTCGAGCATGACCGTCGATTCCCTAACCCACTTCCGGTAACCCGTGCCTGTAGTCTATTTGTGTTGTTCCTTCCGATCCCACTTTCAATCATGTACAAGAAATATTTCGAACTTGGGTCTCGGCCGTGGCGTTTTTAGTTTTTGGTTTCGCCAATGTGGCGGAGCTCCTCGGGTTTCCAAGTGCCTTCATGTTTGTCAGCAACTGGAATAATTCAAGTAACACTAGAACATCGGCTGTGGCCTCATGCGGTTCTCCGAACGCCTCGGGTGAGGGTGATACCAGTATCACGTAGTACGAGACCCGATAGTGCTAGGAAAGGACACCCTGAGGGCACGGTGCTCATGCGAGGGAGAAATGTTACCTACCTTCAAAGTTGTGTTTGACGAATGCCATCGGATCATCGTCCTCACCTGCGTTCATCGTCTTGACGCCAGGACTGAAGCTGGTGATGGGCAGAACGATCACATCGCCGACCTTTTTAGGGGCCTTCATGCCAGTGAAATGCTCCCATGTGATGTTGCCCTTGCTGGTGCTCATGTCGAAGTAGTCTGGATTGTTGAAGAAGTCGAAGATGGAGTCGGTCCAGAGCGCGGGCCCGGTGAATTCAATTATGCCCTTGTGGTCCTTGGAAAGGCGGTTCTCCGACTTGCGCTTCAGCGTCTCGTGTGTGATGTTGGCTACAACATCGATGAGAACTGGGTGTCCAGGCTTGGACTGGATGGTCCACTGGCAGAACTGGATGCGGCGGGAGTACCAATCGGCCCAGTCTGGGCGGTCTGGGTCAGCCTCGATACCGATAACCATACCATATGAATCGCTTGGAACTTCCGAAGGGATCCAGTCCGCTGCACTCTTCAATGCTGCCGTATCGATATCGGAGTAGATACCACCTCGGGCGAGGAGGATCAGGTAACGGAAAAAGTCGGCTTTGAGGACAGGGAGCGGGAGAGAATTGTAGGCTTCGAGGACTTCTGGGACAGAGGCATAGAGATGGCGAATCAGATGAACAGCAACGTTATCAGTGATGACCTCGTGCACGAAAGTAGGGTGCATGAGGGTCCAGCTCGCCTCAGCCTCGCGGAACTCCTCCTTGAATTCGCCCTGAGAGGGAGTGTACTTCCAGGTTTGCCAGATGTATGCTGGGAACTTGGACTCGACGTCGTATGGGAATTGGTATTCGAGCTGCTCCTTCAGGGGCTTCTTCCTCAAATCGTCCATGCTGATCTGTGTCTTCGGCTTCTTCGGAGCTGTTTTGGGAACATCGAATGCCTTCTTGGCCTTCTCCTCTGCTTCCTTTGCGGCTTGCTCCTGCTCCTGCTTCTTCTTCTTTTCTTGTGGCGTTGGTTTTATAAGAGATGCAGGTTTTGGCATGTCATTGGCATTCCTGAAGGGGGCAGGAGATCTGGAGGAGCTATGGTGGGACTTCAAGATGAAGAGGAAGGACAGTAGGGCGAGAGCGACCACGAGGGCCTTGCGGAAGGAGAGCATGGTGTCGAACGAGGCACGTTGCCTGCACGGGAAACCGAAGGGAGAATTGGAAAAGGAGGGCGAGGCAGGCCGCGAGCGGCGTTGAGGGTCGTTCGAAAGCGAGGACGGAGATAGAGGTAGGTGTAGATGGCGGCAAAGGTCGGATGTATGTGTGTGGGGGGAGGAGGGGAAGAAAATGGGAATTGGGAGCCGGGAAGGATGTATATAAATGAAAAGGTCGGTTGAATGACGATGAAGGGTATATGGAGCGTCGTATAGTATATATTTTTTTGGCAGGCTTCGAGTCGAGCGGAACAGGGGCCCGGTGATCTCGTAATTCGGCTGCAATGGGTCGGTGCGCACGCGGTGAAGAGAGGTGGAGGTGGAGGTGGAGGAGGAGGAGGAGGAGAGGAAAAGACAGGAGATAAGAGGGAAGAGAGGAAGTGTTTCTCTGGATCGGGAAATCGTAGTGCAGGTTGCAAAGTAGCAAAGTTGCAGGTTGCAGGTTGCAGGGGGGCGAGTGTAAGGGTGCGGTAGAGTAGGGCAGGGTAGGATGTCTATTTCAACAGCCGCGTTCCAGCGTAGGACTGTGCCAAGGTGGTTTCAGACAACGCCTTGGAGCTGATGGGCTGAGGCAGGGTGGCTCCTTACGAGAGTGGACTAGAGTGCTAGAGTAAGTGAACTATTAGAGTGCACGGCTGCTGACTAGCACTCGTACTTTTTAGTTCAACTGAGCGAATTGAAAGCGACAGTGTGTGTACGGTTCCGATACGACTCGATGCGATGCGATGACGAAGCGGTTGTTGGTGTCGTGGTTGTTGTTGTTGGGGTAGGGAGAACAAAGGACAGAAAGAAGAAGGTAAAGTGTTGAGTAGCGAAATAGGCAAGAAGGAAGGAAGAAGGAAGAAGACACAGAAAACCCAATGGATTAGGTGATCCAGACGATATGATCAAGGTTGAGATGAGAAGAGTAGTAGGTGGAATGAGAGTCCAGTTACAGAACGGGAAATGAAGGGAATGGAAAGGAAAAGGTTGGGTTGGAGGTTGAAGAGAATGAGAACAATGGAGGGGGAAATGTTTTGTTATTAGATGTGCGCTGAGTTGGGTGGATTACGGCGAACGCGACGGCGAACGCGATGGCGAAGAAAAGATTGATATGGGGTAGACCGTAGTTACCTGACAGTGGATGATAGTGTAAGGAAGAGTAAGGTACGGATAACGTTAGTTAATTGGTGGTTGAAGCAGTTGGAGAGACAACGGAGAATAAACCATTCAGATGAGGAGAACAGTTGTACTCCGTGGATGCTTAATCAATTCGTAGCATTAGTAGTGAATCAGTGATTGTTTTCGACGTAAGCCCTCACTATGGACGATTATCATTTCTTCTTTTCGTCCTCCACGCCGCCTACGCCTTCGCCCCCGTCGTCCCTTGTGCCTTGTCCCTTGGATTTTGTTTCAGATTTGGAAAGAAGGGAAAGCGCAAGGCAGGAAAGAACTTCAAGGAAGGAAGGAAGGAGCAATTGCGCACTGCGACTTCCCTTCCTGCACCCTTTCTCCTTCCCTACTCGGTGGGTGTGTGAGTGGGGGCACGGGGGACCCACTCATACCCTCTCACTTACTCACTCACCACACACACACACACACACACACACACACACACCATTCACTCCATTCACTACGACTCCACGAGGATTCATCATCACACTCTCCACACTCCACTATGATACTACTAGTATTACTATTAACATCTCACTCCCCCATCACGCCGCTGCAGATCATCAACATCATCTTATTAGCTTGGACGGACATTTGTTTCGAACAGGAAACTAGTACACAGAAGCATTTATGCGGCACGACAACCATCATTGGACAGCAGTCGTTGCTTGCTCACTTCGCCGTCCGCAGTAGATACCTCGTCCCTCGTACCTAGCCTCCGGACGCATCGGACTCCATCAACAGGAATCTAGATTATTACAGCATCACCGTACCATCCCGGTCCTTGTATGTATGTACCTGACAACCTTTCATACCACCAACTACACCGTACACACTAGGTGTGACACCATCACCAGCATCACCAGCATGCACCTACGGAGTACAACAATCCACAATACAATACAGTCCAGGTCAAGAAACCAACTACGGGAGCTTACAACGCATTTTTTGATGGTTCATTGAATTTCCTACCATTATTTTTATCACCATTGTTTTGCTACGATCTGCCATCCATGGATCCATACGCATGATGCATCCATTCATTCATGCCAGACCTTTTCGGCGGCTACATCACCGGGGGCGGTGCAGTCGACTCTACGCAGCCATCACATAACCACGTAATCGCGTATGTATCATCAACTGCGACTGGTACGAGTACGTACACACTGTAAGAGACTGCTGAGTCTTCACTGTGACTACATTCCTCTCGCTCTCGAGGTCCCTCTCCAGAGTCTCAGCTAACGACAGCTTGACATGATATGACCCGAGCACGTATTCGCACGCACGTAGTCGCACGATCACCACAGTGAACTTTTGCTCTCAATAGTTACTCCGTACTTAATAGTCAATAAAGCTCATACACATGCCGGGCCTATTCCCAGCGGTCCGTTATGGGTTGGTGGGTCGGGCCACGCGTTAACAATTCTCACTCCGCACTACAGCGTCCTATTCTCTAACTACTGTGTACAATTGCATTAGGTACTCCTAAATGACTCTGCACTCACGCTACGAGTCGCTATTACAGCAGACAAATTAAGACACTGTATTGGCGACATACTGCGTGCCGACGAGCAGACGGCGCGGCGTGTTTTTTCTTCTTCAGGACTGGACAAGCTCGCTGCCCGGCCGTTCTTAGAATGGGGACATTATGAGTCTGTGATACGCCAGTCAAAAACGGCGCTCATGGATCTGGCAATCTGTGCTTCCTCGGCCCTCCTCCACTCATACATCTCTAATTGAAGCTTCCGTGATGGCTTCCTGCCCTCCTCGCTCGCTCCCTCGAGCTCTTGCACCGTCCAAAGAGTAATTCGGTGTGTATGTTGGCGCGGTTGCGACGATCTGCGTACTGCGGTCATGCATAGCTCCACCTCCGTCTCTTTCCCATGCAGTCCTTGGAACAATGCCGTCGAATGGTGTGAACGGTGACCGCGCGGCTCTGGGCTTGTCTGAAACAACCTTGGGGGAAGGGAAGAAAGGACGGAAGACCAGGGCTGGCTGGTTGCTCCACTGCTGAGAACGAACGAACAGAGGGCATGGTTTGGGACTAGCCGAGTTTCGCTTCATTGCGCCCGATCCCCCGACCGTCGCCGCCGCCGCCCGCCGCCTACGCCTCCGCTGGAAGGCCTGGCTATGCTTTTACAAGCAACTACCTAGGGACGGAGTATACCTTCTTACAATATCTACCAATTAATCCAGTCCAGTCACAGTCCAGCAGCTAACGACTTGCACTTACAATAGCCTTACCCGGTCGTCATGCTGCAATTTTTAGCTACAATACGGGTATCGCTACCACTCTACGAGTACCACTCCACCACTGCTCTACGCCGTACATTTGACAAGTATAGCAACAGCATACACCTACCGAATATGTGCAGTTCGGTGCTATTATGGACACACTCCAGAGTCGTACTACACAGTCAGCTCAACTCCGTAACTCATTGTGGCATCCCAACCATGTTCTTTCATCTTGCCGCCAAACATCCTCCTGTCGCCAACATCATTGCTTGTTCTTCGGACTTTGTTACTGCTTACACCAACCTTCGCTAACATCTTGCGGGGAACAATTGAGTAAAATCTCCCAGCTGCAAGGCCTCAATGATCTGCCACTTAGTCACCTTACGTTATCTTAAACATCTCAATCTGGCCACCTTCGTGCGAGGTACTCCGTACAATGCTCGAGAGTTCGATTTGGTTATTGTCTTTCTGTTCCTGCGAGATCAGCTTCTTTCTTGTAGATATTACAGTATTGACTATCGCCATGGTCGTCCCCCTCGACCATATCCATTTCAGCTGGCTGCGAAGTGTGCTGCACATGCTCGCATCGCCCGGGTAGCTGATCTCAGACACACTCGAAGCCACCCTCACGCAATGTTTCGACACTACGGCCAATGGTAGTGCCCCCTTGAGTACACGGTGTTGGCGCGCACCATTGTCGCAAGGTAACGGTCCGCATTCCAGAACACCTCGCTGCGGGTGGCGCCATCTGGCCTTCAAACCATTTGATGTCTTCATCCTGCACCATGAATCTACAAATCAAGACTAAGCATCAAAACTTCTTCTTGCATCAGAGAGTGCCTACCTCCACAACACGGTTATTATGATATTCGGCATAGCAATGCTAAGCAAATCCATATCATCATCTTCTCCATGCACGGCAATTGATCAGCACCGCACTATAGGCGCCATGAACCAGTTACCCGCACATCATCTATCCGGCTATTAATTGTCCCGTCTTGTTCTCCGCCAGGCAATCTATCCAACCGTGATCTATGCATCGTACTGATTACTCTGCATCTTGATACTGATAGTCACCATGCCATTTCATATTCCTCATCATGTTCTTATCGATAATCGGAGCAATCCATCACCAGCAGCGAACCTAATGCGTCAAGCTTGCTATATACCTGCGACGACTGGGCACCTGTCACTGCAAGCCTTCCGACCACCTTTGCAGCTATCACGTCTTGGCCTACTCTACACGGACAACTCGGATTTCTACGAGCAATGAGAACTGCTCCATGAAAGAACAGTGCGGGCTTAGTCGCTGACGCGTTTTCTCCACCTCAAGAACTCGATTTTGGCTTGTCTCTTGTCTTGACTGATCTTGACTGTCGCAGCAGGGTTTAGGTACACTCATGCGGATGGCCGTTTGGCCTTGGGCTGCAGGTTTCAATCTCATCCTCAAAACTTTCCGGCCACCAATCTTCGCTTAAGACGTCTGTCGTTTCGTGGGAGTGGGGCCTTGCCCTCTGCCTTTACCCAGCGGCCGAGCCCATTTAGCATTGTTGCAGCTAATTAGCTACCCGGAACCAGGTCGCTGTCACCGCTGCGATGCTACTCCTGGCGCCTCATGTCATGCTCACCCTAAGAAGGACGATTGACTCGCAAACTCAAGCTGTCAACACATCTGACATAATTCGTCCCGTAGCTTAGCCATCGTAAGCTACGGTTTCAGAAGCCGCGGACTGACTTGACTGAGACTCTCCAACCACTAGCTTCGCAAGAACCATAACAAATCTGATGATGATGTATCGTAACTATGCTCGCCCGTGACCATCAAGAATTTGTACCACGAAACATTTTCTCGTCGAGGGGGAAGTGTTTCTCCCGAACTAGTACAATCCCGTAGTGAACGACGATGCAAGAAAAGAAGTACAGAACACCAGTTTTCCCCTTTCCACCGTCGCACACACGTAACCCCTTGTTCCCTCCCCCTCGAAGGCGTTCCTGGACTAGATTTTTCTTTCCCTCTTGACCGTTCGCTAGGGACACATGTCTCGCGCGTGACAGGGCACGTAATGTAACGGCCAGGGCACAGGATTCCTGACGCTCGCCCGTGTCTTATATGTTGGTCGAGAACATACCCACACAGACACAGAGAGAAAGAGCGAGAGAGCGAAAGGGACAGAGACAACAACATAACTTCGCTCTCAGGATCATGACTGATTCAATTACCCCTCACATGATCAGAGGCATCACAAGCATTGCGTTCGTCGCACTCGAGCGAAACTTCTATACTTTGTGATTCTAGTTTCCATTCCCAATTCCCTATTCTTCAACCTAAGAAAAAAGAAGATTTGTCCTAAATCACTGCCAATCAAATGGATTAACCAATCAACCCAACTACAAGGAACCTGGAAAATAAAAGTAGAAGTAGACCAGACAGACGGTCTTACACCTCCATCTTATCTCCACAGGGAGCATGAGCAATGAGAGGGTATGAGCAGTGAGTGCCATCTGACTTTGTACCTCCTTACTTTCTTAAGTATCACAAGCACGTCTCTTCTTCAACGGTCGCTGACATGGTGAGTCCTACGCACGGCACCTATCTCCACGTTTATTGGACTTCCCTTCCGTCTAGCTAGCTAGACCGTGGCATGTTAAGACAGGTATATCCCAACTCATGTCTATGCGTGAAAGGTTGCGACATGATGGTGTAGATAGGAGGAGTATGAACTGTGGTCTTGCATGCACGACTTTTGGACTTCTGGCCGTAGTGGAGGGATGTGTTAGTCGATGTGGTGGGGTTGGGTCTCTGGCTTTTTTTCTCGTCACGGTGTGTGCATGTGTATATGTATGTGAATGATATTGGTGGATTGTTCATCCTGGATGGATTCAGAGATGAATCCAAAGATTGCAAATAGGCTTCGCTGGACTTCAAGATATGGGATGGGATATGGTATGAATTGATATACTATCTACCTTCACCCAACGATCCCCGTCCAATTCTCCTAGTTATTCCCTACGGCTCCTTCTCCCCCCTCCCCTTCCTTCTTCTTCTTCTTCGTCCCCGTGCCCGTGAGAACGATGGGTTCCCACCCATGATCAACAAAGCAATACGCGCCCGCCCTCTTCGCTTTTCTCTGCTTCATAATCTCCGACCCAACCGTCTTCGCCATCTTCTCCCCGTTCAGCCACCCCAGGACGCTGCATCCGGGCGGCGCCCCGGCTTTGAGTTTGTCCTGGTACCGGGGGTCGTTCTTGTGCTCGCGCAGCCAGCCTAGTAATTGCACGGCCGTCGTGCCCGCGGGGAGGGACACCAGGCTCTGGCTGTCGGTTGGGATCCAGCCTTGGAAGAGGTTGAGGTAGGATATCTGGCGCCAGGCGCCGGCCCAGTCGGGGCCGGGGGACGCCACGGAGGGGCGGACCCAGACGGCGGCAGAGGTGGCCCCGGCAGGTGTTCTGGACACCGGTTTCTCTGGGTAGTCCCAGGTGAGTGCTTTGTGCCACTTGCAGCCTTCGAGGTCGAGCCATTTCAGGCAGTACGTGTTGTGTGAGAGGCGGCGGAGCACGTTGGCGGCTTCGGCCCAGTCGTCGTCGAGCGTAGAGTAGAAGTGCCGGCCGCCCATGGCTACGGGGCGGTGTCCCTTAGATACCATCGAGGTGGTTGTTGCGTTGGGGGTCATGGAGGGGATGGGCCAGTATGCGAGGGAGAGGTGGGTTAAGGTGTTGAGCTTCTTGGAGAGCGAGAGGAGGTCCGCCCATGATGCGGTGGAGCCTGCGTGGGCGAGGGAGAGCCGCGTAAGGTTTGTGAAGATGGGGATATTGAGAGTCCGGGGGAGTGGAGCTGTGGAATCAACTTCGTCCTCCCATGAGTCTGCGATCTCGTCGGACTGATGATTCGACTGGGTGTCATTGAGTTTTAGACTGGCAATGGATTCTCCAGTGTCGAATTTATTGAAAGAATGTGTTAGAGACTTTTCCAGGTCCCTTAGTGTATAATCTGGATTGAGCAGCCCGGTGAAATCGAGGAAATGTACACTTTCCATACCGCTGTCGGCGTCCACTTCATCGCTGTTTCCAAATAGGATCTTGAACGTCGATAAATCTAGACAATCTTTCCCGCCATAAAGGGTCAGGTAGCTAAGTAGCGTCTCTTTCAACGCAACAGGTAGCGTAGGCAGGTAATGCTGTTCGTATTCCGCCAGTTCTTCCCAATGGAGAGCGAAAGTCTTCAGGCAATGATGAACCAGACTCCGGGGCGGTGGTAACCGCTACAATCCGTTAGCATACCAAGTATATATCACCCCAGAGGTACCCAAACAGCAATTCCCAAAGAAATCATTGTGGGAGGAGCTCCCGATCCGTACCTTGAACTCCTCGTCATTCACATTCGCCAAATGGCAGAATTTAGATGGTCTATCCAGTTCCGAATTCCTGACATTTGCCTTCCTTATATGCGCCGGAGCATGTATGCTCGCATGAAGCCAACTACTCGGTGCGGCAGGGCCTGGCGGAGGTCGAGCACCTTGTCGCGATGCTCTCATGGAACGTGAGGAGCCGGGTTTTGGGGAGGGAGCATCGAGCTCGGCCATGTGCAGTATGCGCCGTATCTCCGGCGGAGCAGTTCGCTGAGTTACTACCTCCGTGATTTCATCTCTGCGCTCTGTGGTCGTGCGCGGGGCAGCTTCGCGACGGAGCTGTTGTATGCGTTCGTTGACCGTTTGTGGGGTTGTTGGGGACGACAGCGCTGCTGCCGATGAGCGAGAGCTCTGGAGAGACGGGTGGACGTAGTTCGGTTTCGTCTGCGTGTATACCGGTGTGCGCTTTTTGGGCATCGAGAGATCTACTGGAGGGAGGGTCGTGGACGAGGAGAAACCGAGCTACGAGGCTGAGCAGAGAGTGGTATAGTTATATGCGCGGGGTGATCAAGTGTCAGATGAGACGGAAGCATTTGGTGGTTATGAGTCAACGATGAGGTAGCTGGAGTCTAAAAGGGGGAGGTGATCGTTGGCTGCTTCCAAAGATACTACGCGAGAAGAGCTTGTTGATATGTAAACTGAGTAGCCAGACTCGAGGTGTGAATATTATATTTACAAGAAGATAGCCAACTGATCTCTCCCATGGAAGAGAGCGTCATTAGTGGTTATCCCCACGCTACTTGTTTCCCCGTTGTGGTCCGCGCGCCAGCTCCTGCAGTGCAATCTCTGATTGGGTGGTTTGCACTACAGCTGTCAGGCTTCATGTGAACTACTCTTCTTTCGAGATTGAATTCACCAAGTTCCGCCACACTTCCTTTTGAACCATTTACGACAATTCTTGTTCCAGTTCTGTGGATTGAAAGAGCTGCACGATCGTGCCGCAGCCTGATCCGCGGTATAGCATAATCAGCCTCCGAGTGCCTAGGCACCCTAGGCAGATACCGCAATCAAGTTTAAGCAATAAGTTATATTCTGAGACATGACGCCTGTAGTTTTGGGTCCCTTTCCAACTAGTATCCGACATGAATTTTTATGTGTAACCAGTGTGTATTACTGCCTACTCATACGTAGTGTATTCGGCTTTTTGTCAGCTTCAATAGACCTCAAAATGTCCTGTGCTGTGCCCCATGAGCAGGCGGTTACCAATCTCTCTCTCGTTGTTCCGCATCCCTATGAGCAGGCAGCCACCAATCGTGTTTGAATGCCATCGCCACTATTGCTCAACAGCAATTTGCTTGTCCTCAGAAAACGGTACGGGAGCACGTGCTATCGCGCTCACCGCGATTCACGTAGCATTCCCATGCACATATAAGAGTACCACCCCGCCCCGCCTAGACTGACTTACCGCACATCATCATCAGACCAATTTACTTCTCCAGTCTTCGACATGTCTGGTGAACAACCACATCTACGGCCAATTGCGAAGGAGTTAGGCGATTTCATTGTGCAAACCGCAAGCAATTATGCATGTGGCGGTGCTATTCCAATTGTACAGTTTTGTCAACTTAACTCTCGAAAGATATTGAAAGACTGACGTCTGATAGCATCGTAACGTCGAAGCCAAAGAACGCACTTCTCTATCAGCTCCCCCCGTGGTCTTGCGATGGGACTCTCTGGACTTGTCTTCTGGGGTCGCCAAAATCACACTTCCCGTGGACCCAAGCAACCCGGATGACGTATCAACCTTGGAGAAGTTGATACGAGACTGCCAACCTGCCAGCTTCGGGATGAATGGCAAGGAAGTCCTTGATGACACTTATCGGAAAGCTACCAAAATGGATCGGTCAAACTTCTCCACCGACTTCTGCCCCTACGAACTGGGCATTATAGATACGATCGCACAAATTTTACTCCCAGGTTCAAAAGAAAACATTCATACCAATGGGGTCAAAGCAGAGTTGTACAAGTTGAATGTATGCTCCCGTCATCGGACTCTTAATGGTTGTGTGCTAACAAGCCGTACAGGTCTACGCCGCACCGTCCGGTTTCTTCAAAGCTCACGTAGACACGCCCCGCTCTGAGCAACAATTCGGATCCCTCGTTGTGTCTCTTCCATGCCGCCATGAGGGAGGACAGCTCGCTGTCCGTCACGCTGGACATTCCACAACTTTTGATTGGGGAAATGCATCTCAGCAGAACGACGAAGCATGCATTCAATGGGCTGCCTTCTACAGCGACTGCGAGCATGAGGTTCTAGAGGTGACCAGTGGACACCGCATCACGCTGACCTACAACCTATATTATGCTCCTGGTCGTGGAGATTTGGCCGATAACAGTCCTGCCATGGATGTCAAGTCTTTGCCCCTGTACGCGAAGGTAGATGAGGCCCTGAAGGATCCGAGCTTCATGACAAAAGGTGGTCTTTATCTCTTCAACTTGATATACAGGCTAACCCATGTAAAGGAGGCTTAGTAGGCTTGTATTGCCAACACGCATATGCTCATGCTACGACCGAAGGCGCAAAGGCACTTCCATCAGCTCTCAAAGGAATCGATATGGCTATCTACTCCGTCTTTCGCAGCTTTGGATTGGACGTTCAGGCCATGACTGTCCTCCGCCACGATATTTCCGAGTATTGCAACGACGACGATGACGTCAATGAGATCACGGAGCCCATACAGATAGGCGACGAAGTTGTCAACAAGTCATTTATCGGTAACAAAGACAAAGGTGTCGTATTGGGGGGCTATGGTGCTGCAGAGGGCGACCTCCCCATGGAGACAATTGACAGTTGGCAGGGTGATCTAAAGCATGTTGCTTGGATCCGAGGACCCAGTGATGTGAACAAAAACTTCGGCATGGCGTACATGGTTGTGAGTTACTTTATTGTCCACTGATTGTACATTTCATTGCTAACAGTCAGTAGTACGGGAATCAGCACGAGGTAGATTTCATGTACACCAGCCTGGCTTTGATCATGGATGTCCCCCCTGCCGCCGAACGACAACAAAATGCTTGATCCGAAAGGAGTGCAGTCTCTATGAAGACCGGCCCTTTACATCTTGGCATATCAGGGTAGGATGCTATTTGGAAGGCACATGTACGAAGTAAAGCGCTATTAGAGGTCAACATACAGAATTTGGAAACCCTGGGTTAACATCTACGAGCGCGCGGGATAAATCAACCCAACTGCATAGTTATTTGATTAATCTGTCCGTCAATTCTGCATTGTGTCTGTGATGGTCCAAATTATAGAGTCGTCATATCTACTCCGCGAACGTTCGAACATAGGCCTCTTATTCTCCAGATAGAACTACAAATTCCTGGTGGAACCCGATGGTGGAATCTTGGTGAGTTGATATCGCTTTGATGACTTCGCCGGTAATCATTCGTAAGATTTAGTGTGATTGTTTAAAACCCCAACAGCAACGAAATAATACTTGGGGCATCTCCTTCCATATAAGATCTTTTAACTACACCCACAAAGCTATCAAATGTAAATCATACATGAGGGATGAAGTTAGTCCATTCAACATTCACGTACGCACTGCCTTTCACATTCCTCAACTCCACAAATGCCCCTGCCAGTAGATAGATTCTCGCGACACCATACACAATCGCCAGTGGAGTTATTGTCACAAACTCCCACACTTGGGGTATGTTTGTCAGCTGCCGCTTCACCATAGTCATCTGTCTCTGCGACATGCGCCTTTTGTGCTCGTCTGCTTTCTCCTGATCGAAGATGCTAAGATAAATCGCTTTCCATCTACCTAGTCGAATCCATGATGCAATGGTCTCGAAAAACCCAGAATGCGACAGTGATCCCGAAAAGTAACAATGAACTTATGCGCCATAGAAGGTGTTCGGTGGGCGATGGGAAATCAAAGTTCCATCCAGCGACATGTATAGCCGTAAAAACCAACGTAGCAAAGCATAGCAGATATTCTTGTGAGCCGTACGGATCTGTAGGAAACCTGTCATTCGGGATCCGCTGAATTGGGCGTTCTGCCGGAATTACTGGCATCTTCATGAATGGCTGTATGTTCACCGAATAACCCGGGCCGTTTTCATCAATGAAATCCAGTGGAGTCAGTTTCCACGCCCGCCCTAGATTTATGTCTTGAAGATTGTACGTTGAGTATATGTGCATCGGGGTCTGGACATCAGCCGGTTTATGAAGCCATGCGTAGGAAGTCATCAGGGAGCAAACAACGATAGCCACGGCGTTAAGCTCCAACGTCGTTATAGCGAGATTCTGTACGGCGCGCGCGATGCATTGAATAATCAAGTATCCGACCTGGAACGCAGTAACAACTTTCGTGAAAGTGTCCTGTTTTGACTTGTCCCACACCTCTCTCTTTGTAATGGACGGATACTCGACGAAGTTGTTCGTAACGAGCCAATGTAGCTGGGTGGCGTTGAGAGGAAAAGGCTTGCCGTCTCTGGCATGGAACATGAATCCGCCCATATCGGCGAAAAATGCTTGCCTCAGATGCCAATCAGGGTACCCTGACGCCTTGAATGCTGCCACCGAATGCTTTGCCCGGCTCCATTGGCCGGCGGCGTATATCAAAGGGAACTCTGGTCCTATTATCCCCAGAAACATCCATAGTAGCCTGCGACTAACAAGACGTAGGTAACCTTCATCGGGTGCCGGTACGTTAAGGCACAGCATCGTGTATGTAGATATGCCAATGGTAACGAGGCTGGTCCATAATATGTCGAAGGTGCCTCGATAGTACGGCTGATCAACCCACTGGGTCACTCTAAAAGACGACGATGTATTCGGAGGAGGCGAATAGTTGCTGTCGATGTTGTAGAGATTTGTGCAGTCCTCGGCTGTTCGTGCAGCAACTTTTAGAGACCAGCAAGTTAGAGCCAGGTCTAATAAGGCAAGAGTTAGCCAGACCGATTGCAGTCCTAGTCGTGAAATCAACATCATGATGAAAGGCAATAGCCGTAGCTAAAACATTGGAACTAGTGCCTTAAGCTGACATCCACACCATGATAAAGTAAACATTTAGGTTCGGAAGATCTTTGATACTGTGATGAACAACAAGCCTCCCCTCCTGCAACGCTGGTATGTCCAATTGGAACTCGTCTCAATACCCTGTTGTTTCTTCGTCCCTGCTTTGCATACAACTAATTATACCTAGTATTCTTACACAACCTGCATGGAATCTTCAAAGCCCATTGGGGGAATGCTGCGATGGCTTCGGTCGCAACCCATTTCGGACTCTAGACGATAGTTCGAAACACCAACAATAATTTCTCATGGCTGTCAGGAGGCGGCACAGCACGTATTCCACTTCGATATGCGGTAATAGATTGACCTTGATCGTTCGGTCGTGGTTGTATGCAGTCCTCCACAAATTCGTTACATGATTGGTTGGCTAAGCGCCTTTTTCAGAGGTCTGCAATTGAGAGCACATCGAGCCGCACTCTCCTCGCTCCATCAACATCAATGTCAGAAGGGAAAACTGTGTTCTACCTTCGTCAAAACCACGCTCATTCTCATACCTTTCATAACATAATCGATCATCGGACATGCCCTCGGCCTCTGCTGTACTGAAGCCACTGTTTGGCACGGCTGCTGGAATTATTGGTACCTATGTGGCATTTGTCGCGCTCTTAACCATCCCAAGGCTGCAAGACCATGTCATATACCTCCATCGAGTAACTCTTACTTGGTTCCAAGACGTCAACGTACCAGAGCAATGGGGGTTTCTACGGAATCAAGTTACACCATTTCATATCACTACACCTGACGAAGAGAAACTCCATGCTTGGCACATTCTCCCACTCGACACCTACCGAAGAAACCAAGAAGTATTGATAAACGAACCGTCTGGAACTTGTTTTGATATTCGAGAGCGCGAATCTTTTAAACTACTGAGGGACGATCCGCAAGCGAGGCTTGTCATTTACCTACATGGAGCGGCGGGAACTTTAGGTTCAGGATGGCGCCCGCAAAGCTATCGAGCCATGTCTGCCGCTGCTCCCGATGTTCATATCCTTGCAATTGACTATCGAGGCTTTGGAAACAGCACTGGGTGGCCATCTGAGCAGGGCCTTCTCACAGATGCTCTTGCACTCACCAAGTTCGCCATGGAAGACGCCGGCGTGCCTCCAGAACGTATTGTTCTTTTTGCGCAGTCAATCGGCACTGCTGTTGCTTTATCTCTGACGCACGAGCTTGCTCATCAATCACCGCCGATACTATTCTCCGGTACGGTCCTGGTGGCACCATTTGCCGATGTTGCTTTGCTTACCGAGACCTACCGGGTTGCCGGCACTATCCCCCTCCTCTCTCCTGTGGCATTCTTTCCAAAACTCCTTTCTTTGCTCAATCGATTTATTATTTCCAAATGGCCTTCCAAGGATAAGTTATCGTCCACTATAAAGTACCTTGATAGGTTGGAAACAACGAAAAGGAACAACAAGTACGACATCACAATCATTCACGCTGAAGATGATTACGATATCCCATGGATCCACTCAGATGTGCTGTTCTGGCACGCGGTGAACGCAATGAAGGCTCCAGGACAGGAGATTACCTTTGATGATCTGCAGACTGTGAAAGAAAAAGAAAAGACACCCCTAGGGGCTGGTGGATGGGAGATGCAGTGGAAATCCACAGGCGGGGTCGTGAGAGAGCAGATCGTGAAGCATGGCTTGCATGACCGGATAATGAGTTATCCAGTCGTGAGTCTTGCTGTTGCACGCGCTTTCGAGAGTCAAGATGAAGAGGTATAGATAGCACAACTTGCTGAATGCATTTAGAATTGATTCACATGTCATAGTTCAATGCTGTGCCGCTTCACCATGTAGAGAATGAACCCTAGCTTTGCTGAAATAAGTAAGACACTCGTCGTCAACAACACTGAGAAGCATACAATTGCTACCGTAGCTAGCGAAGACACTGTGGCAAAGCAGTGAAGGAAAGGTGACACCTTCCTAAAAAGCCCTTGTCATGCCGTCACCTTGCATCTCAATCAGATCGGAAACAGAACAAGCTACCATTGATGATGTTTGGGCGATGTTGTCCTGGAGCAAGCTGCTGTAATGAATACACTCTGAGTTGTATCCACGAGCCGAGCCCTCAGTGAGTCGAAGAATCGAGTCGAGTTAAATCTATCAAATCCCCCGGTGTACGGATCGCTTGGTGATGTGTCTGAAGGAGATTTGTCCTCGAGGGTTTCTCTTCCCAATTCTTTCCAGCTGAGCCAAGATACATGACTAGGTAATGAACCTCTTAGGCAATATTGAAATCACTTCATATAGGAGTAGCGTGTGTAAGGCATTAGAAATCACTGCGCGCTTTATCTAAGCCTTCGCTGTTCGCAGACTTTGGAGGGGGGTCGGGCGAGTATGGGGAATGGCTCGAGGACGCGGATCCAACGAGGCGATCAGACTGGTATACCAAACCTGATGTTCTAGTAAAACCTGTGGAAGCGGATTCAGATGCATCCGAGCTCCAGACCACACAAGCCGCAGATCACTTCGCTCGCCCATGAGTGATGGTGATGCGATTCATGGGGCGGCGTAGGTCGGCGACAGCTTATAACCAATGGTGAATAGGCAATAGTGTAACCTTACCATTCACCTCTTGTGAAGATACATGTCTTGGCGTATTCGCCGTTCACGTTGAAAGTTCCACCACACGAATTTGTCGTTTGAGTTCCGGCACTCATTTCGTATTTCTATTATTGCTCTAGCATACGTGATCAACTAAAGAAAGAAATATTGAATTAAGATGGGTACGATTTTAAAGTGGTTTTATTTTGCCATTATAAGCCACTTCGGATGTATTTTGAATCCGCTACTGATGACATCGGGTTGATTGGTGCTGCACGGCCTTAGAGCTAACAACCTCTCGTATCGCGGTCCGAGGATAAAATGAACACAAGTAGGACCCTTTTCCCGCGTTCTCGAACTCTATCGCTCAAGGCACGTTGTGGACGAAATACTAGGCGTGGAGTTCGTCTTTTTGAATTTCTTTGAAGTTGAATCCGTCTAATCTATCGATTTGATCGACATGGCGGAAACGAAGGATCTCGCACTAAGTTTTGCCGACGAGGCTTGGAATGGCTACAAGCTCTACAATGCACTCAACGTTGTAAATGTAAATGTAACACGCAGGTTTGACGCTCCAGAGATAGAAAACATCGCTCGGGATGTCGACATTACCACAGCTGCTTTGCAGCGTCTTATGACGTTGATCACCCAGGACAACGTCATATTATACTTGTCGCAGGAATCCATCGAGTACGCCAGAAGTCTCACCAAGCAATGCGGGCAGCTCTTCAACGATATCTATCTTTCTGCGATGAAGGAACTAAACTATGATAACAAAAACGAAGGGTGGCTCATTACAACAGATGCGATAACTCCGCATTCGAGAGACAGGAGAGCTTTAATTCAGCACCGTCGGCTTGTGCACTTGAAGAATAAACTGATGCTATACCTCAATGTAATTGAATTGGCTATTACACAAGCATCTGGGTCAGTTGGCCAGTCAAAGTCCTGAATTCGAGGTTCGCTGACTTTGAGTAGCGGATTTGAAGAGTCCTATTTCACTGCCAAAAGGGAGAAGATCCGACAACTCCAACAATGCGAGCATGAATCGTTCGGGGAACTCAAAAATTTGTTTTCAAACCTCCAAGAACCACCATCCCAGAGTAGTACAAATCCGGGCGATTGGGATGTGATGCTAAGAGCCGAGATCGAGGCTCGTTCAAGAGCAGGGACTTCGGCGGGCAAGTCTGCGACAATTGCTGTAGACGCCGGGAAGCAGTTCAGCAAACTTCCACAAAGGCCTCTTCCTGAAAGCAACCAAGCACGCCAAGGGGAGCAATCGGAAAGACTCGACAGTGTTACCTTGCAGAAGTGTGTTGATCACGCGCAAAAATTACATGCAATACTAACATCGCTCAGGGATTCTGGAGCGTCACAGAGCACCTTCAAAGCGAGCACAGCCAACCTACAAAAAACCCATCAAGAAAAAGAGGCCGATTTGGGTGAGAAAACTCCCGCTCCTACATCGACATTACCAAATCAGACCATACCCGATCACTCCAGCACTTCCACCTCGACATTACAAGATCAGGCCAGCTCTTCTGCGTCAACATTACACGACAGCACCACTAAACCCTGCGAGCGCTGCTTTCAATTAAAGCTAGACTGCGACGGAGCATTACCATGTTGGGACTGCTACTGTGAGTACATAACATTCTTCAGACACGCTTGAACCAACCTCCAACGATACCCTCTGAATCACTAACGCCCCACCCAGCATCCGGAAACGACTGCGAAGACCAAAAGCCACAACCAGGCGAAAAGCGCACCCACTCCGCCATGTCCTCACAAGACGTCGGCACGGAGCTCATTGCCGAACGGGACAACTCGCTCGCGCGAAACGGCGGATATTTGGAACTGGAGCAAGACTTCTTCTCGTCCCGGGCGCAGATGGAGAAGCCTTCGGACCCGCAGGAAGTCAATAGGATCCGCTTGAGGGACCACCAGAGGGGAATTATGACGCTGATCTGCGGCGTGAATCCCAACCGCAAGAAGATGTATCGTGTGTCTGATGTCAATCTCGCGCAGACCGGTACGCAGGCTTCTTCGACGACGCCGGCACATTCGTTGCGGAAGGAAGACATGGCGCAATTTGACTTGCCAAGCGATTGGGGAGACAAGTATGTTGGAGGTAAGGATGATGAGGGAGAGCCCGTAGCTCAGGATTCCGAGGAGACGGATGGGTCCAATCCCAGTAGTCGTGAATCAGTGCCCCAGCCTGAGCGAGCTAAGTATGCCAATACAAACGAGGAAGAAGAGCCGCTGTTCGTCAACCCCAAGCAGTTCGATAGGATCGTCAAACAGCGAATGGCTCGCCAGCAGCAGATGATGCGGGAGCAGAACTTGGCATCGTTTACCGGGCCTCCGGCGTTCGTAGCGAAGGTATCCGAGCCGCAGACGGGTTCATCGGAGACTGCAGTTTCTCCAGAGGGCCCGAAGAGTGGCACAGAGCAGAGCGGCACAGAGACCGCCGGTGGACAGCAGGAATCAGAGACAGGACAGGAAGATGTTGTTGCCAATCTTCTAGGGAGGTGGATTCGTCCTGAGGTTGCTGCGAAGTATTCTATACACTGAGATGTTGTTTCATATGGTTACGATTTAATCGGCGTGTATCTAGACCGGTGGTTTAATGGAGTATAACGATATGCAAATGGGTTCATGACAGCATTTAATAAAATAGATGAATTCAATCCGCTGGGTATTGTTCTTATGTACAGACACACTCTTCCTCCATCCCTTCCCATCGCCCTCGTATATTCTCCATCACATCAAAAACACTAATAAATCTAAAAACCCTTGACCTCAACAAAAGCAGCCTCAACATCCTTATTCTTGCTCACGCTGTCAGTCCTGCCCGCATCCTCAACCACAGCCTCAGAAGTTCCAACCTTACTCTCGCTATACGCATCCAACTCCTTAGCCTTGCATAAGTTAAGATAGATGGGGAAGCTCCACGCGATGAGGAAGAACGCAAGCGGGACGACCATCGCCTTCCTCGTGCCAATCTTGTCGGCGACGTTTCCGAGGATGGCGGGTACGACGGCACCACCGCAGACGGACGCAACGAGGAAAGATGCGCCGCGCTTGGTGTGGCGGCCAAGACCGCGCAGGGAGAGAGTGAAGATGGTGGGGAAGATGCAGGACTCGAAGAAGAGGACGATCATGAGCATGGAGAGACCGCCCCAGTTGGCGTTCTTGCCGTGGCCAGTGTCGATGCCGATAGCTGTGCATTGTTAGCGCGTGAACTGGTTTGATACTAGGAACTGGTGACTTACCGAGGGCAATGAAGACCATGATGAGAGTTTGGTAGATGAGGAGGACTTTACGGGGCTTCATGATCATCATGAGGCCTGCAGCGGAAAATCGACCAACTGCAAACAGTGCCTGTGCGATGGCGTAGAAGTTGGCTCCCTGATGCTGAGCTACGAGAGTAGGCTCGTCGGGTCGTGCCTGGGTGTAGTAGTTGATGAAGTATCCGGCAATCCCAACCTGAGCACCGACGTAAGAGAACTGAGCGGCGACTCCCCAGTAGAGGGTATAGTGCTTCCTCAACGGCTTGTCCTTGTAGCCAGTGGCACCAGTCGTCAACTCAGCCTGATCAGCCATATCTGCATCCGTGATTTCAGGGATAGGCGCGAAGTAGAAGACAATCGCCAAAAGGCCGACAAAGATGGCGATTCCGAGGTAGACCCATTGCACAGACTCGAGCGATTCACCGTTCGCGCCAACGTTCTTGAAGATGACGAAGCTGGCAAGCACGGGAGCAACGACAGAGCCGACAGCCTGGAAGGACTGAGAGAGCTCGAGACGGAACTCGGAGTACTTTGGCGGACCGCACACGGCGATGTATGGGTTCGCAGATGTCTCGAGGGTAGATAGACCGGAGCCAACGATGAACATGGAACCGCAGAATCCACCAAAGGAGCGCTTGACGGCGGACGGCCAGAACATAAGGGCACCGACGCAGTAGATGGCCAGACCGAGCATGAATGTGTATCGGTAGCCGAACTTGCGCAAGAACCAACCAGAGTACGTCAATGGACCAACGAAGTATGCTCCAAAGTAGGCGGCTTGGAGTCCAGAAGATTGTCCCTGGGTGATGTGAAGAGCCACTTGAAACCTCGAGTTTAGAACGTCGAGAAGTCCATAGGCGAATCCCCAAAGGAAGAAGAGTAAAGTGACCAATGCTACTGGGACAATGGACTGGCGTGTTGTGATTTGCGAGGCGCCAGTGATCTGTCTGTCACTGATACTCTTGCGTCGAGTGTCTGCTTCAATGGCTTCGACAGCAGAGGGACGACGTTCTTGTTGTTGATGGACCTCATCCAAAGTCGGCTCATCGGCGGAGCCAAACAATTTGCCTGTAAACCCCATAGTGGGCAATGGAGGACAGAAAAGACCTATTGTGTTTGACAAAGAGAAGACAAAAATGTAAGAGGATAAGCAGGATAGATGAATGTTTCCTCAAGGCTGGTGCTGGGAAGCTGCAAACCTGTGGAGATGATGATCGTCAGTCTGGGGAAACGAGGTCGAATATATATACCTAAATCTTGAACACCACAACCTCAATTGCCAACTGCAAGATCCATGGGATCGAGGCTCAAGTCCATCCCATACCAATCCCCACGTAGCGCGATCATTAGATCAGTGCCAACCAGGCTTAATTCACTCAAGCATGTCCTTCTAGCAAGCTTCCACAGACTAGCGTAGGCTTCTTAGTCGACGCTCGGTATGACTTTCGGGTTGGCGAGGAAAAGGTCCAAGGAAAAGCAAGACTGGCGCACAAAGAAAGAGCGTTGGGAAGGGCCTTTGGATGCGTGAGTTTGTCGGAGCATTGTCCTAGCCACCAATAAGCTATGCAGCTAAGCTATTCACTAGCTATTAGTACACAGTTCAAGCCTTTGGCAGAGCAGTCGGCCCCGCCTTATTTCGGAGCCTCAAGATTGGGGTCATTCAAGATGCCAATCAGCCCATGGGGACCCCACACTACGAGGTACGATGAGGAAGTTGGCGATCTGGCCCAAGCCATGACTTGCTTGTGGCTTGTCTGGATCAAGATGAGGCTCTCAACCACGTCTAGCTTATCTTGAAGTTGATGGAAAATTGTATCGCGACAACAGAACGACGAGAGGAGGCTATCGGAACAGCGAGGAAGGAAAGGAACCATCTGGATCGTTGATAGCCCCGGTAGCTGCATACCAGTGACGCCATGAAGTGCAGAATTGCAGCTTGCTCACAACGCCCTAGCCGCAGTATGGCGCGCATCTTTGAGGCTCCTAACCACTCATAACCATCTGACCTAGAATGCAAGTCAAACATCTTCCACCCACACGCCTGACCAACCTGCCAACCTCCCAACAATTTGCTTCTAGCGCCATTCTAGCCTGCTTCGAATCGCCACTTCCACAATCCAACGATCCCTCTCCATTGCAGTCATTGGTCAAGGCGTATGTGTTGACATGTCAAGCATATGACACTACGCAGTGTCTGGGGATCGTGAGTGTGGCTGTTAGCGTGGTTAAGCTGCAGTCTGGGGAAGGGGTGACTAGCCGGGGTAATTGGGTGGATTGGTTGTTACTGGGGGTTGGCGGAGAGTTTGTCGGGAGGTTCGGTCTTACGGCGAGATTCGAGGTCATGCAGAAGGTTGCTTGCTGGGAGGGCCTTGTAGAGAATTGCACGAATCGTGAACTGGAAGTATTCCAATTATTCGAATTAGAGTTCACAAATAGGCGATTGTCACTCTCAAGACGGGAAAGGATGAAGTGCTGGAAAACTATCTCATTGATTGATGATTCTACCATGCATACAGGTATCTTCCAGTACATAGTATCGCGATATTTCTAGATAAGACGTGCCACATTAATAGCCTCAAAAGATGGGGTTTGCAGGAACTATACACCTACATACAGACCACCGGAATCAAAACACACACTAGGTATCCTGGGAGAAGGTAAACAAAAAGCAACTAAACAGAAAAACCTGCACAGTAAAGAAAATAATAAGAGAACAGGAACTCGAAGCTTCCAAGAACAGAGGTAACCGCCAGGCCCGACAATCATCACGGGGGAATCGTAGCGTTGCCGTCAATGTCGCGCGCAATTCCATCATCATCATCATCCAAGAAATGCCCCAACCTACTTTACCAACTCCAAAGATGCCATACTGCGCTAATTGTCGTGTATATATTTACTCGCACAAACGAGGCATCCGTCGCCCGCATTATATATATAGAATTATGTCTCTTCTGGAAGATAAATTGTTTCGCTCATTCTCTTTGCCCTTCGTTGAGTAGAAGCTCGACGACGACTTGGCTCCTCTCTTGCTGGGGATGCTGTAGGCTGAGTTTCACGGTTCTGTTGCCCGATGAGCCTCCACTAAGCCCATCGTCAAGGCATTTAACATCTCGCCCTGAGATGACCTGTCTGAGTCGGCCGTTTTGGGCGTTGCGGATTTCAACGAAGTCTGGGTCGAAGAGCAGGACGTATGGGCCATACAAGGCGGCACTCTTCGCCTTACCCACAAATTCCATGATTACGGAGCGTGAAATATCGCCGTGTTTGTTGACGTAAACAGCACACTCTTCGTAGCAGAGAAGGAATTCTTGGTCAGATAGCCTGAACATACCAAGAGGGTCTTGATTTTGAAGACGAGATGCAATGGTGGCAACGTGTGACTGCTTCAAGTCGGGAACAGACCAGGGCTGCTTCTTGTCCAACGTGAGGACCTCAAATCCTTTGGCGGTGGAGATGGCCAGCGATGAATGGAACAGGTTGATACCGAAACAGTCCGTTGGAATATAAAACTCATCGAACTCGCGGAAAAACTCGGTACGGCCAGACCTGAATAGCCTAGACTTCTTCTCCGTGGACTTTTGGTAGACAGGTTCGAGAACCTTGAACGTGGACGAAAGTCCCTCACGTTTCTTGTAAAACACCAATGTCCGATCTTTCATGTTTCCAGTTGCAAAGAAGCCGATATCTCGAGCGCCAGAGAGTTTCTGGGGGGCTCTCCTGGTGGAGTCATTTGATGGAAGTGCCCCACCGACAGGACAGACGGCATCCAGATGGTATGCAATCAGAGATTTGTCCGAGATGAGCAACATGAGACTGAATTGTTCCAAAACAGCGACCTGGGTCACTCTTGGGATTTGGATGGCCTATGTATCGATTAGTACCAATTTCAACTATTAGTCGCCAAGGGACTTACCTTTGTCCACCCTCTTGGGTTGTCGAAATCTGCTATGTATACACCATTATCAGTGCCGACAGCCACCATCATTTTGCCGTAAGGTTGCTGGAAAGCAGTGGCGCAGTTGACCCTGGCTCTGCAGATCGGTACTGGACGGCCTGAATTAGAGTAGAGCTTCTCGACCTCTTCGATAGACCGATCAAGAGGAGTTCCCTTGATAGTGATGCTCTTTTGCGAGGGCATGGCTGTTTCATATGCGAAAGCAGAGTCTGCCATAACTCTTAATCGGAACGGCTCAGCGTTCTGCGCGAACAGTGCCGCTGCATGCTTCGTCTTTGCGATGATGAGCTTGTCGCACCACTCGGCCCTGTTTTGTGCCGAAGGAGCGAACAGGGTGTATGTTTCTTTACCAAGATGCTTGATGCGGAAGGGATACATGATCTTTTCATCCTTTCCGTTATCCAACACTGTATTCTGAACCATGGTCTTACCAGATGAACCTGTGTTTGTGGAGGACAGGGAATTGGAAGTGTTTGTATGCTGCAGCGTTCCAGGACCGGGGCTATTCGCGGCCGTACGGCCAAGTCGTGACTCGGAGCTGACTTTGTTAGGCACATTGCTCACGGCGGCAATGCCCTTGACTGCAGATTTGATGACAGGGTCGTCGTCTTCACTCTCCAGGACAAGAAGATCCATTGGAATAGGCTAGAAATCATTAGTAGGTGCATTAGTGATGGTCCAAGTTGATTTCAGCTTACTAGTCTTGATACATCGTACTTCTCCGACTTGGTTATTCCATCAGCCTCTCTGTAAGAAACCGTCTTCGCAAGAACGAGGTAATGATCGAATAGAAGAGCATGTGTTTCCAACCAAGTGAAACGGTTGCCTCCCATTCTCATCAAATCGCCCTTGAATATGAGTTCTCTTCCAAGATGATCGAGGTTGAGTTCCACACGCTGCATTCCAGGTCGCAGTATGAGCTTGGCTTGGAGATCGCTAAGATCCACCTTTCGTGACATCTCGGCAACGCGGTTATCACACTCAAGTGTGACAGCTTTGATCTCCTCCATAGCGATCTGGAGATTGCGTTTCTCCTCATTGTCCAGGGCTGACCTCTTCAGCACGGTACCAAGCAGTAAGCCGTAGTGCTGTAATCTCGTAATTGGGCCTTTGAGGTATGTGTCCCAACTCAACTTGTTCGAAGACTTATGGCTACGTGCTTCATCCAGGAAGCTGCGGAAGAGCATATTCTTCTCGGCTTCCTGTCGGACGAGAAAGCTGGCGTAGGGAAAAGCCGCGGCATACTCAATGTATGCGTGCTTGGCTTTCCTAATCCATTCTCTGAAGATGTCGCTGAAGCCGACAACCCACGGACCTTGCTCTTGCTGTCGGTACTTCATCTGTGGCAGAAGGTGATCTTCGTTCGCTTTCTTGACGGCATCGATCTTACCAAAAACATCCTTGAGAAATTTGCTGAGCTTCTTGGGAGGGATAACTGGGGGTTGGGCGGAAATAAGTCGGTCACGGTAGAGGTTGCGCCATAGATTGAGGCGATCCATGTAGGCGTCTTCTCCCTGGACGATCTCATGCAGAATGTTTTGTCGCTCCACTTCCTTCTTATTGACACCTTCAACATCCTCCTTCTTCAAGCTGTAGAAAGTGGCCCAGTCGTCCGATCGAGGTGCACCAGCAGATTGTAAGTCAAGCTTCTTCAGCGTTCTCTGGCAATGATGCGAATAACAGCGTCCTGGAGTAGAATAGTTGTGGAGCTTAGAAGCGTAACAGCCAGCACCCGTGAGCTGAAAGATAACCCCAGTCATTGTTTCGTTGGAGAACTTCAGCCACTCTTCCTCATGCACCAACGTTCCAGCCTTGTACATCTCCGCTACTACGCGACTGCTAATCGTTTCGGCGTCGGCAATGTTCATGGTTGGTACTTTATGGGTGAAGAGGGCAATCAGGCCTTCGGTGATGGGGCCTTCCTTGAGATCATTCTCCCCTTCAGTCATAGTTTTCAACCAGGAAATAATGGAACTAAGCGCCCATGGCTCCGTGCACTTTTTGAAATCGTTGGAGGAGAGCTTCGCTGGGTTGAAGCGCTTCCCAGCAGGAAGGGTGGGAAGATCGATGGCAACAGCCTCGGCACTGTTAGGAGTGAGGGTATTTCCATCACTATCATGCACACCACCGTAGTAGGTGTTGCGATTCGTTTGACGCACCCTGTGACCTTGTTCGGCATCAGTCTTCGATCTTGGTAGTGGTATCGCCTGAGGCGTATTGCTATGCTGAAGTAACGAAGTTGAACGAGGAACGAGTGTGCCTGTAGGCGACTGCATCTGCAAAGACTGGGGATCGACGGGATATGACCCACGAGATGACTGCGAATTTCGCCAGTATTCATATGACCCCGTAGAGCCTGTACTGCCGTGATTATAACGGCGAGTAGTACTGTTGCTTGACGTCGGAGGTGGGGGAAGGGGTCTGTTAGACATGCCTGGGTGATAGAACATGTCCGGGGGCTCTCCAGCGGCCGGAGACTGGTGGTCTGTTAGAGTTACCTCATCGCCTTCATCATAACTTCGTCTGCGAGCGCTTGGCTCTTCTAAACCCCCAGTACCAAAAGTGTCCACACGGGCATTCGACGAAAATGCTGGGAAAGGGTGAATAGGGTCGTAGTCCTCACTAGTCGCTTCAGAACGCCGTTGAGAACCAGATGTAGATGTGGGATGGCTGCCATCGAAGTTGCTAGTTCCTGTAGCCAGTTGATTCGGGGCACCTCCATAGGTAAAGTGAGGTTCGAAGTTCCCACCGTACAATCCTACATCCACTGGGACGTAATCGCTATCGCTTGCACTCTCATGCCCCGGTTGAGCTGCCGACGAGGGAAGCGGTGGACTCTGGATCGATGCGTATGTGCTAAAAAGACCACCTCCGCCACTCCGTCTTCGAGCTTCATCCGCCTGCTCTTGTTCTTCGGCCATACGTAGTGCAGCCAGCCCTGCAGCTGCTTCAACGTCGCTTTCGTCGCTCGTGTATACCTCCTGCGCGCGGTAAGGAACGAGGTGATCGCCATTTAGACCGCCACCGCCACTACGACCAGACGGCTGATCGTAATAGTGATCCCCGTTTGGTTGCTGTACGTGGATCGCTGGGCTTCCTCCTCCGGCGGCCAGATTTTCCACCTGGTTAAAGAGATCATCCTGTGTACTGTAATTGCCGTTCTGGTGCGAAAAGTATTCGTCGCTGTCGGATTCGTTGGGGGGCGGGGGAGGAGGAAGGGGTCTTCGATGAGGGGGTGCTTGAGGAGCGGGCGGAGTAGGAGGAAGTGGGTTCGATGATGTTGAAGGATATCTGTCAAGCCTCTCATGGTGAGAGTAGCCTGTTTCGTGTGCTGGCGGGGAGGGCAGCGGAGCGTGCGATGGGTCGGAAGCGCGATGGTAGGAATGGGGATTTGAGGATTGCTGCACCGGATAGTTGCCCCAGTCGTCAGCGGGCGATTGCGCACTTCCCGGCGGGACAGGTAACGGCGGCGGTGCGGGTGGGCTGTAAGCTGACCGTCCCCCTTGAACAGACGTCGTTCTTGCAAATTGCGATTGTTGTTGGTATACACTCGGGGAGGGGTACGATGCGGTTGTGGGAGAGGTCGGAGAGAAGCCATACGGATGACTGACGGTGTTGTTCCTAGTTATATTGCTGTCCGCGTAGAGTGCTGGATTGTATGGCTGATGATTAATGCTAGCGAACGTCCGGTTCACACCACCGAAATTCTGGGGGTTCGGCAATGCGACGACGGGTGATCCATAGGACTGGGGGTTGTACTGTTGTTGCTGAGGAGGTGGTGGCGGCTGCTGCTGCTGCTGCTGTTGTTGTTGCATTTGTTGTTGGTATTGGGTATCATAAATCCCAAGGGTAGGAGAAGTCTGAACCGGTGGGCTCATCGGCCCAACACTATTATCGCCCATGAACAGCTCGTCATTCTGGCGCGAGGCAAAACTGTTGCGCCTTTCTACCGGGCTTGTATAGCCATAGCCAGTCGCTCCGTTTGCATTGTCTCCATTGCCAGCGGTTTGTGTCCTTCGATCGTAGGTGTTTTGGTTTTGATACTGGCCCGATCCTGCACTGGAATGTGGGATATTGGGGTTGTAGTAGTTGTTACCATTGCCGTAGTACGACATGATGATTTATTATCGCAGCGCGTGCTGGCGCACCGGCGTGGTGGAGGTAAGTGGGTTGGTATAATCGGTATCTTGAGATGGGGAGTTGTCGTCACTACGAGGCTATGAGGATGCGCAGCATACGGAGGCCGACCTTTGTCGAAGTCAACATCTGCCTCGAACTATGCCTCGCCGAGTCGACGCGCAAGGGAAATACGCATGCAATGGTGGAGTAGGTCGAAATGATGCCCCTCTTGAGGTTGACTGGTAGGTGTGTCGTTGGTGTGTCGGTGGGGACCCCTTCACTGGTTCACTAGGAAGCGGCTCCGTGCGCCTCGCGGGTGGACGTTGGGCAGTGGTGGCGAGTTCGAGTACGGTGCAGTTCCAGATTGTTCGGATCGAGTGCGTTAACGAAGATGCGATAGTCGGGTGTCAATGATGAGGTTTTGGGGGTAGACTCCACTTGGAGAGACCGTTGTGCGTGCGTGGGCAGCTGGCAGAGCACACACACCTGAGAATTGAGCGTCAATCGTCAAGCGGTTGCCAAGGTTTCAAGTGGGACTTGACTGGACTTTGGCCTGTCGACGAACTAAATATGGCTACAGATACAGAGACGGACCATAAATTAACAGTACGAGTACAGAGATGTATTATTTACACAGTAGTCGAAAAGTAGAAGGCGAAGGCTATCATGTAGCAAAGGAAGGAAGCGCGAAGGTTAAGACAGGAAGATCCAGTGATAGTAGAAGGAATAGGACTGCATCCACCTGATGGGATAATTTGTTCACCGGGGCGGGTTGAGCTTGGGAGGGGAGTAATTACTTAGCAGAGGGCCTGAGGAGAGGAGAGCATACGTTGTCAGTGCAGTGCATGTCATGTCCTACTTGACATCAGCTCGAGCTTGCATTGCATGTTGCCTCCCAACATCAGCCGAGCCTCAGCCCTACATAGTGGAAACAGGTTCCTATTACACTGCGATTAGTCGACTTCTCTATGATCCATATATCATTCCCAACACTTGGTGTATATTCCGACAACCATCTTGGAACGACTACCAAGACCTGTCAGGAAGATGTCAACCTGCGCTCACGTTTGCTTAACGATGGGAATGACCCTTGTCCCGACCAAGTCATTCCCTCGACTGACCCCTCCATCCCAAGTTTTGACGACATTCTTATCGTTTTAGCTGCGCTTTTGTGTTTCACAACCTTCGATAATATCAGTTCGTGTACATGCGATACAGACTTGGAGTTCTTCGTGTCAGAACTTGGTCTCTTATGCAGTGTTTGTGAGATTCATGCGCTCCAAGGAGGCTCTCAGTGACACCTCTAGTGGTAGACCTAGATTTCAAAGCTCTTATCAAGACAAGTTTGGCCTTGCGTGTGATCGGAAGCCGATGGCCGTTGCAGCACACCCAAGAGAGATGCAGTGAGCCTGTTGCCTGACTGCCAATGACTGTGTACTAAAGTAGTTTTCGATTCGTAGAAAAGAACCCTTTTAGCAGACTGATGACCAGAGCGGACTTGATCCTGTGGAATGCCATGTGATGGTCCGAAGGAAACCTATTCCTTGAAGGCGAAAGGATTGTGTATCTGCCGGCAAGAGTCACAGGCGAGAGCGATCAGCAAGTTAGTCGCGGATGGAAAAGAATAGCTCCCTTAGACAATAGACAAGTGAATGACTCTAGAATGAGTATGACAAGATGCGGTAACCATTCGATACGCATGAAGTTTCTTTGAAGGCCTGCTTGGGTGAATCAATGTCTCCAGTGTCACTAACCTCTTTTGGACTAGCCGATTCGCCCATTCACAATCACCCCGCCACATAACTAGAACAAGAGAGAGTACATAACCAACTCGCATCCTACCTCCTCCATCTCAGACTCAAAGCCAGATACTCACCCACCAACGCCCAAGTAAACCACAGCCGCAAGGAATACTACCGTACCTCGCCCCCGAGTCCATCCTTTCACAGTCGTCCGACAAGCGCGACCAGTCAGATTCATGACCACAGACATCCAAAACCTCAAATCATTTGATCCGTTCGCGGAGGCAGATGACGACACTGGTGAGGCCAAGACTCAGGCTCAGAACTACATTCACATCCGTATCCAGCGTAAGTTCGCATATCTTCCGAGGCGTCTCCCGTCCGACAGCGCGCGACCTATCGCGGTCGTCGTTGGGTTGACCGGCGCTGCAATATCTGGACGTGAGGGCATCAGGCTGACAAGGCTGCAGAACGCAATGGACGCAAGACCTTGACCACGGTCCAGGGCCTCCCGAAGAAGGTAACGGCGATCTCTACATCATCTACTCGAAGGGCATATATCTAACGGCAGCAGTTCGATCAAAAGAAGATTCTGAAGGTCATCAAGAAGAAATTTGCCTGCAATGGCACCGTCGTCACCGACACCGAGATGGGAGAGGTGATTCAGCTCCAGGGAGATCAGCGTAAAGATGTACAAGATTTCCTCACCGAGAAGAAGGAGGGCTTGGGGCTAGACTCCAAGACCATCAAGGTAAGTCTCTCCAGCTGTATACGGTCACGGCAAAGAAGACCCAAAAACGCTAATCATCGTGACATTCCAGGTCCACGGTTTCTAAACCGTCTACCCCAGCTGCGCGCGAAACTGCGTTGCCCTCCAGCAGCAGGGTCAGGTCCGAGCGACCGGTCCGCCTTCTCGATATCCAGCACTCGAAGCTCGGGCCCCGACATATGGGAGATACCAACGCGGTGGAGCCGTGCAGCCAGCAGCTGTAGTAGTGGAAGCTTTCATTTTCATTCCATCTTGAATGATCTATGACTCTGTTTTCCTATTCTTTCCAGCAGTCGCTTCAGGAATGCCGATGGAGGAATGGCACTGGCAACAAACGGTCGATATAGTCTTCGAAGCTGGGCTAGTGCACAGCTACTCAATATCAGATTTCACGGTCGATAATCAATTCGAGCAGCTTGCTGTGATGTGATGTGATGCTTGCGTGATCGAGATAGACTCGATACAGCAGTCCAACGGTGATGTGCAAACAGATGCCCCGTGCCATGGGGACGCTGAGGCTGAAGCTGAGGCTGAAAATTCATAACGTACAACAAACCACCAGCGCATGGTTAGACACCGTGTACGCAATAAATACCCCAAGCGTCGCGCTGGGGAACAAATTATCCCAAGCCTCCCCTGCGTACTAGCCCAAACTCATCTACCAACTCTATCTACCATTCGCATTTCCACACGTAACCAAAATGTAAACTCGATCGATACTTAACCTACCTGCCTCTTAGCCATCTAGCAACCAAGCATGTGACCGCCTACCACATCCCGCCCTGCCTTTTCGTTCAGCCGGCGAAAGGCGAACCAACCGGGACAAAACCGCACGCTAATTTCCCTCTCCCGAACGAACACGACAGGTCGGTGCGTGCGAGAAGAGAAAAAAAAAACTATCAGCCTCTTCAACGGGATCTAGCGAGCAACCCAGTCCGCTAGGGGTTAGGAAAACACAACGCCGCGCGGAAGGGAGGAGATCACTCTCTTTTCGGAATGTTTCAACAGAATAGTTAAGATTGCATTGATTCTGATAGTTAGTTAGGTTAGGTACCTTCGTTAGTGAGGAGGGCGGATGCGTGCGTGTATGTTTGTTCGAATGGGATGAGAGGGAGGGAGGTGGTTGAGATGGATGGCGGGTAGGGGATGATATATCGATTGCCTTTGGAGGCACAATTACTTCTAAGTTGGTCAACAATATTATTGTTATCATAAGTAATAGTCCCTTGGGATTCAAAGGATCCGGTGGATGGACGGATTCGGATGTCGAACGAGGCACGCGAGGGTCCTGCAAGTAAGCGCAGGGGGGAGGGATAGAAAGGATAGCAGCACGCGACAGATATGCTTCTAGCCCTTCATTCGAATCCCAGTGATGCCTTTTGGGAGCATGCGCGGCGTCTTGGGAGGTTGGGGGGTTCGCATCTTTCGGGTAGTTAGAGGTACGAGTAGGTAACCGAAGACAGATGGGTGTTTTGATGAAGGTCCAAATACAGTACAGCCAGCACAGTACAGTACGGGTACGTTATTGCATAGTGTATTCGTATCTGGGTATCTATTGTAGAGAATTGTAGAGAGATACGAGGCAAGTGTAGCGGGCCGATACTGTTCCCCGGACTCTAGTCAAAGCCGTAGTTTCACGCCATCCAACCTCCCTCGATCCTTCAAGAGATACACCGTGGCGTAGCTTTGCGTACTCCGTATCTCGACTACCTACACAGCAATTATGGTACGGATTATTACACCTAGACCGTACCGTCTCCATGCACCTCTGTAACTGACATGAAATATGTATTATTATCCGTCGTAACTCAGCACTGCAAATCACCGCTGCATTGAGCGACCGTTGCGCCTGAGTCCGACGTAAGAAGGCACCAGGCTCCTGGAAGATTGTTTCGTGTGTTCGTAGTTAGACGTTGCTCGGGCCTCCGATAGCAGGTTACTAGTACGGTTGATTCGCCTGGGGCCGACGATGAAGGGTTTTCTAAGCTCGACTCGTGCCTCAGGTATGAATCGGTAATGCTCCGCGTGCTTGTGTGGTCGTTTTCTACGTGTAGTTACTTGGGACATTATAGAGATCTTACTGGCTGGTCGGGGAATCCATAGAGCCAAGGGGTCCCAATGCGCCTTGATCAGCCCTCGGCTTCTTCGCTTTGCTTCGCCTTATCTCTAGAGTCCCATTGTATCCTGTGGATGGGATTACTATTACCCTCATCATTTGGCAATTGATTTTCTTTCGATGTCACTCTGTGTTGTGGTCGCCCTGCTATGTATGTAGTCATATCTTGTAACCTATGGTATGATGTTTCTACTCTCAATGTATCCGTATGTAGGTGTATGGTATAGTAATTAACGGTATACAACGATTATGTATGTCATACAGTTGCAAGTCTTGACTTCCCATTGGCCACTTGGACGGCAAAAGGCTTTGGTAGTATAATCGGTGCTTGGTACGGCCTTATTTCGATCACCGTACCTGTGCCTACTTCCCGTGTAAGTTACCTGCTAGTAGCCAACGGTCGTCATAATGCGGGTGTACTACGTGGAGGTAGGTATGTGCTTTGAGAGGCTCAAAGTCCGTTATCTCTCATTCTTTTCGTTTTACAACAATAATAATAACACTAAAAACGAATATGCCCGTTAGACGCTCGATCCACCGATGCGCCGGAGGGTGTGTGTGTGGCATGCGCAGCATTCTAGAAGAAAACATGCCACCATCAGACTCCCAACACCACCACCACAAGAGGCCTCTTATCAGGATCCTCTCGATGATGGACATGGATACATCAAGCGCAAAGCCAGCGAGCAAGCAAGCACCGCCCTGATCTCGCTTGGCTTCAGCTTGGCCAACTCTTTATCGTTGTCACGCCAAGTACGTGGGCTTTTGCGACTCCCACCACCGCCATCCACATCAGGAAGCTCATATTGCATATCCAACTCTATGGGATGCACACGCCTCCACACAACCCCCTCCCACCCCCCGGCATTCGCGTTCTGCGTTTCGCGCTCACGACCAGGTGATTGGAGTCGCACAAATGAATACATAAAGGCATCCAGACCGCTGCGGCGCCCCCGCATGTTTCTTGCCAGAATCTATTGCCCATCAGCAGAGTGCTAACCCTCTTCCTTCTTTTCGACTGCCTCTCCATTGGCTTGGGCCGTCTTGGGTTACCTCAATCTTCCTGGTGGCGCTCCCAGGGCTGCCTTTCACTGATAATACTGCTCTCTTGCTGTATATAACTACAAAAAGGCCTCGCTCCCCTCTCCCTCCCTGCCAGGCTGACTTGCCCTGCGTGCACTACCCGTACTCTCGTGCAACTCAACCGGTGAGCCTGAGATAGTTAAGGGTGGAAGCCTTTATTAAACGCCTCACCTGCGCCTCAAAGATATTTAGGCTCGGTGGTCCGCTTGCTGCTTCACTCTTTTAGAGAAAGCTGAGCTTATCGTTTCCAAGGCGACTCTTGTTGTTCTTGTTCCCGCGTCAGCAATCTTGAGCAACCCCACGTTCAAGTTTGTCGCAAACGTCACCAAGGACACTCTCTTAAATTCGCACATTAGATCGGAGAAGATCTAGCTCGCGATCATGGCAGCCTACAACAGGAAGTCAACTTCGTCGGGCAGTGGAAGCCCTCACGGCCGCGATCCTGAATACACTGGAGGAAAGACTGAGTACCAGGCTGGAGAAGGCGAGATTCCAGCTGTTTCAGCAGATGGAGCAGTCCACTATGAAGACAATCAACATCTTCGCCGTGGTCTCAAGTCCCGTCACATCACTATGATTGCCATCGGTGGTGCTATCGGAACTGGTCTCATTCTCGGAACTGGCAAGGCTTTGGCTACTTCAGGGTATGAATGCTTTCACTCGTTTATAACAACACCATGATTTCTAACATTTACGTCCAGACCTGCTTCAATCTTGATCTCGTACACTCTCGTCGGTCTTCTCGTCTACGTCGTCATGTGCGGCCTTGGTGAAATGGCTGCTTGGCTTCCCCACGGTGCTGGTTTTGCCGGCTATGCTACTCGATTCTGCGACCCTGCCCTTGGTTTCGCCGTCGGCTATACGTATTGGTTCAAGTACATCATTGTCACGCCTAATCAGCTCACTGCGGCTGCACTTGTTCTACAGGAGTGGAAAACTCCAGATCAAGTGAATCCTGGTGTTTTCATCGCCGTCTTTATGGTCACCATCATCTGTATCAACTACTTCGGTGTCAAGTTCTTCGGAGAATTCGAGTTCTGGCTTAGCAGCATCAAAGTCGTGACCATTGTAAGTGTTACCAACAGCATCAATGCGGTCAGTTCATTTTCCTAATGTCACAATCCAGGTTGGTGTCATCATTCTGTCCTTCGCTCTCGCAGTCGGTGCCTCTGGTGAAGCCACTGGTTTCAAGTACTGGAAGAGCCCTGGTGCCTTCAAGGCGACCTATGCCAAAGGTGATCTTGGTAAATTCCTCGGCTTCTGGGCATCTCTTATCAACGCCGTCTTCGCCTATCTCGGTACTGAGCTTGTCGGTGTGACTGTCGGAGAAGCGCAGAATCCCCGCAAGACCATCCCCCGTGCCATTAAGCTTACGTTCTACCGAATCCTCTTCTTCTACTGCCTCAGTGTCTTCTTCTTGGGCATGTTGGTCCCATACAATGACCCGAAGCTTTTGGAGGCCAACACCAAGGGTACTAAGGCGTCTGCCTCTCCCTTCGTCGTTGCGATCAAGAACGGAAACATCCCCCACTTGCCCGGAATTCTCAATGCCTGCATTCTGCTCTTCGTGTTCAGTGCCGCCAACTCTGATTTGTACATTGCCTCCCGGACCATATACGGTTTGGCAAAGTCTGGTCACGCTCCCCGCATCTTGACATACACCGACAAGCGCGGTGTCCCCGTCACTGCTCTCGGTGTCTCAGCCTTGTTCTGTCTCCTTGCCTTCCTCAACGTCGCCAAGTCCTCCGCTGAGGTTTTCACCTACTTCACCAATTTGGTTACCATCTTTGGTCTGCTTACCTGGATCTCCATCTTGGTCACTCACATCTACTTCGTCAAGGCACGCAGAGCGCAAGGCATTACCGATGATCAAATGCCTTATGTTGCTCCATTTGGTTTGATTGGTTCCTACATCGCCTTGGCCTTCAGCATCTTGATCGCTTTCACGAAGAACTTCACAGTCTTCATTCATGACAAGAAGTATGGCAACTTCGACTACAAGAACTTCATCACAGGTCAGTTTTTTCACTTTCAACATACAAATTATCAGTACTAACAGACACCAGGTTATCTCGGTATTCCGCTCTACATCATCATGATCTTCGGATACAAGTTCTACACCAAGGAGCCAGGTATCAAGCCCCACGAAGCTGACTTCTACACGGGCAAGGACGAGATCGATCGCGAAGAGGCTGCATTCCTGGCCTTCAAGGAGTCCCAGGGTAAGGATGCCAACAAGGGCAACTGGTTCTACAGGAAGTTCATTTCTTGGCTTTTTTAATGCAGCGGACTCATTTAATCGGTCACTTGGTGTTAAAGCGCAAGCTCCTGTCTTGCGACTTCTACTATTCCTTGTGGACAAACATTTTTAATGACTTGCTTTCACCTTCCGCATCAGTTCGCGCAGGAAGGATGAGTGACAAGAATAGAATACCCAACTAAATTATCAACATTTACGTCAAAATCTTTTTGGTCCTGCTTCCCCTCGAATTCACTTAATTCTCAGCTTGCAATTTACGTCTACAGGCGGTGTTTGCTGTCCTGTTGAGTCACTTTTGCATTTATCATTGCCATTGTCTGCATGAAGTTTAGCGTGTCGCAATGCTAAGGACTTGGATTCCTCACTTTCGCCCCTACCACACACGTCGTCTCATGTTCTTTCCGTCTTCGCTGCGATCGTTGACGTCAACAAAACCACATACAGGCTCTCACAGCTTCGACTCTTCGTATCAAGTGTGCACGCTCTCCCATCTCTCTCGTCGGCCATACTTCGTGTCAGCCGTGGAGGACATTGTGACACGTCTTTTTCTTGACTTCCAATATGCATCATGATATGTACCACCAAGAAATCAGGCAAAATCACACTAACAGAAGGCAAGCAGAGCTTTGCCCTCCGATACCGCCGAAGCAGCCGAGTTCAAGGCGATCTACCTCATTGTGTTGCATTTTCAGCCTTGCCAGCGCCCTGCGGGACGTCTCACTCGTCCAAAGCCGCCGTTGACGAGCGTCTGTCACGTCTGCCATTGCAATGAGAGCGTTCCAACCACTCACTACACTATGTAGCCCACCATCCGTCCATGAACCTGTGGTCAAAATGCCACGTTTCCTTGATTAATCTTTTTGCTCCAAATGACAAGGCATTGTCAAGTCCCCATTCCATAACATCGACATTTCAACTTATGGTTAAAGATGAGGGACGAATCCAGGAACATTTCCTACTTTACCTGCAATACGCAAATACCTTTACCCATCCCCGGTTAGCCTTATTACACAGGCGCTGCGAAATCAGTCCTCCGATTGCCCTCCTACACCGCTATGTGGCCCTTATGGGTTCATAGCACTGTTATGCGTCACTACGTAACCTACGCCATATATTCCCATCGTCACGAGGTCGACTTTTGTCACTGTGGGCCCCTTTATGGCTATGCTACGGGCACTCTTTGACCCATCGCCGCGCTCTACAATGAGGCATCATTTCTCATTCAAGGTTTTTTGGAGGAGTTTCAGCTTGCCCGGGTTCGAATTCCTGAACAATGGAGCAAAAGGGCTGGTACGGAGACCTCTGATAGGTCGTCAGAGTTTCACGATGATCGCCCCTCCTCCGACCAGCTTCAACACACGGACAAGGGCGCTGTATAGGGCATTTTCCTATCTTTATTCGTCCTTCAGTTACTTCTTCTTCCATTGTGCTCATGCTCAATCTGAAGACTATATATCCCTTCATCTTCCTACCGTTTTGATCTCATTCGCAACACTGCAATCCATTCCATACTATCTTATCCAATATCAATCGCACAAATACCATCAATCTGTCTGCAACAATACCTTACAAGCTTCGTTCCCCTTTCTCTGCACTCTTCCACTTTGTTACAAGATCTCTAGCAGAGTGCAAGCAAAGAGGAACCGCATCTCGACACTATTTCTCGCACTCAAACAGCGAGACTGATCCTTATCGAGACACATATTCCGTGGTCTATAGCTTGAAAGGAGCCCTCACCCTTCCTCACTCGGGACCCTGTTTCGTTGGCCCTGAATATCATCAGCCATCTCTGGATAGCTCAATCAAGACTCGTCCACGATCTGAATAGAAAGCTCTTCTTCGAACATTACTTCAACAAGATCCTACAAGGCAAGCCCCGAAAGGACAAACAAGCAACATGAACGACGTACCTACATTGGAGTGCGTGGTCCCCAACGACTGTTGGGTTTGTCACGAATGCTCGACCATGTACCTAGTTCAACTTGCACCGGACCGTTGCGCAAATCCGTATTGCGGCCACTACAGATGCCAGCAATGCACTGGTCCTGGCGAACCCTACTATGGCGGCCCCATAACGCCAGCACCAGCAGCAACGCAATATGGACAGACTATGTATCGCAATTCCAGTCAAAGACAGACATACCAGCAATATCAACCCCAGAGCCATCAACACCACAGCCCTGGCTACACCTGTCCAGATACCCCGGCCGACGCATGGTACTGTCCAGCCTGCAGGGCAGCAAACAGTGGTCTCACGCCAGATTTCTGCCCGGCGTGCGGGTGGAGGCCGGGACAGTGATGCTTGTTTATCTCAAGCAGACATCACACAACTTGATCATGTATTCTGCTGCTTGTAACACTATTTCCTTGAGCATGTTTTTGGGTTCGATCTCCTGTCCCATGTAGACCTGTATTTGTACTCCTGTCTCTCATTAGTTCGTTGCTGCTTTCTCTTATGTTACCATCCCGCATTCTGTTTTCATTAGCTTGTATCACTTCATCATTGCATTGTACTTCCCACATTTTCTTTATGTTTCCCTTCTTCTATCCTATCCTTTCCTTTCCTCATCCCCAATCCAGCATTCCCCTTCCCCAACCCTACACCTCACATTGTCTTGGAGTTTCGGAGTTTTTACGTCCAGTGTTTTTTCTACGTCTTGCGTCTATGCATCCAATCATGAACGCATCCATGTACTATAGCATTATTACCCAGCATTCTAGCATTTAGACACAAGAGCCCGCAGCAACCAAGCACCATAGTTTTAGATTACGAGAAATGGATCACGATTAGAGAACAGGGACTTCTTTTTTTTTGTTTATGATATGTGCTCGTGATTTATGATCGACGAACCCTTTGGGTGGTGGAAGGAAAAGGAAGCTTACCTTAGATGGAACAGAGTAGTGACATGCAGTGTCAGTTATAGCATAGCACGACGTTACCAACCATGCAGCACAACACAACACAACTGATCCTGAAGTAAGACATTTTAAAACCCAACTAAATAATGAACCTTGAAAATCCGCATCACAACGAAGGAGAAAGTAATTGCAAAATAAACAACCAAACAACCAACCATCACACCCGATCTCAACTACCAAGACATCATCTCACACACCCTCCATCCCCCAAGCATACCTACACACAAACCACACAAACGAACCAACAAAGCCATTGTCTGCCAAATGCCGCACGCACGATCCGAACTAGCCACTCAAACCACCCAAAAACTCACCATCATACGACACAAGTGCGATACAAGTGCATTGCGGGGGTAAGCGTGCGTGCGAGCGTGCGTGGGGAAATAATTACCGTAAGCCCATCTACCCGCACTTTTCGTAGTTGCGGGATTTCCTGTGCTGGATTAGTTAGTTGGGGACGGTGGATGTGTACTGGGTTGTGCACATCATCCATGGCGTGTATGCCATCGTACCTCTAACTCGCGACTTTGGGGCACGCCTCCCCGATAATGCTTCATCGCGCGGATAGGGACTAGGTGTAGCCAACTTCTCACCCCTCATACTCGAGGCCAGTCTTTTAAAAACGCCACGCCGCGGTGTTGCAAAGGGAATTGGGGTGGGAATAAGAATACCATGCCGTGTTGAGGTCGTCGGATGGCGCACGTCGGTCCACCGGTTAGTTTAGCCACGAGTGGGCTAAGTATCACCTAGTTACTTAGCACGGGCGGCTTGGTTTAGCACGAGGGACTGGGTTCCTGGGCGCACGTCAAAGGCGTGTAGGACGGCGTTGAGGGGATGGATTACTGATGTGATAGGGGATGATATGGGGTGTGGAGTGTTGTGGGTTCGGCCGCGGGCGATGAGGGTGTGTGTATGGGTGTAGATGTATTTTCTTTTCTATAGAGGGATAGGTATGATTACAAGACAACATTGCAACTAAAGAACACAAGTACAAATGTACAAGATACCAGAATAGAAGAATCCAAAGAGCATCCATGAAACGTCCATTCTTCTTATTTCCCTGCCCTGTCATGTGTTGTATTGTGGGCGCGTATATAGTAAATTCGTCAACAATGGTAGTTTAAAGTTGGGTTGGCATAGCGGCCATCTTCCGCGAACCTCTGACGTCGTGTGGCTTGCAATAGCGAAGTCCCTTCCATGATACGATACTCGCACCTTCGTCCCTCGTATGTCTGCACGCGGGTGGGAGGAAACATCAAGATACGAATAGCTTTACACCAGACGAACATGATACGATACGCCACGGGCCGAGTACAACAAATAAGTCAGTCATGTGCTTGCCTTTACTGTGGATACCGCACCGCATCTATTCCGAGCCTCGGTCTTTTGTTTGTTCGACGGGTGGATGGATGGGATGCGTGATACGTGCCCTGCATGCTACCCTATCTTTCGAGGTTGCGTTGCGTTGTGGGGGGAGCGGAGTGGATTCGTCTGGGGGAGTAGGAGGAGGGGGAAACACGATCGCCTCCCCCCGCGGGGAAAATAATTGGGTACGAGACTAGGGGGATAGCAGCTGTAGATCTTGCTTGCTTTGCTTGATTGTTGGGGAGTTTATATACTTCTCGCGTGGCTCCCCTCCCTTCTCCCAGGTTTTTTCTTGTGTTTCGTCAATATCGATAGTTTCTGTCTGTAAGACTGACTGGTGGTCTTTGAGAGGATTTCGCTTGCTGGTGTCTTCGTTGTCGTTATCGTTTCTATGATATAGGTGAGTCCTTGCACTTTCATTGGATTAAATACAAAACTTCGCCCGCACGCTGGACGTCACTCGCCAAGGTTGTCTATGTCCGGAGCTATCGTACAAGCCTCCCAAGAAGACAAGAAAATGGTGGCGGGGTGGCTCTCAAGCCACTGACCTCTTATTTGGATCCCCATCTTTAAGCTACTGGTTTGGGTCTTGGGGGATGTGCTTCTGACGTCTTGCATTGTAGCTTCTTCAAAACTGCCGAGTATCTGATATCTCCTCCTCTTCGTCGACTTTGTCGTTTCGATTCCGACGTAAACTTCGTACCACGATACATTTCACGAAGAATTACACTCAAGAAGTGTGTTTAACAGCTATATTTCCAATTTCGCACAAAAGAGCTTCAAAGCTCACAATATCTCCAGCCATGGAGAAACCAGAAGTCGTAAAGTCGGACTCCTCCTCCAATGATGCTCCGCGCAACCACTCCATAACCTCCCACCGCTCAATCAACAGCATCCGCCACCATGGCAAGCAATCCAAGCGCGCCGCAGAAGTCGAGCGCATCGATGCGATGGCCACCGCCCCCGGCGTGACCATGGAATCGTTCGCGCATCTCGACGAGAAGAAGATCCTGCGGAAGATGGATCTGCGCTTGATTCCCATGCTCGCCCTTTTGTACCTTCTTTCTTTCCTCGACCGTGGTAACATTGGCAACGCGAAGATCGAGGGCCTCGTGGAGGATTTGGGCATGTCACCTTCGCAATACAATTGGACGTTGACGGTGTTCTTCTTCTTCTACGCCGCGTTCGAGGTGCCTAGTAATCTGCTGTTGAAGAAGCTTAGGCCGAGTATCTGGCTCCCGAGTATCATGGTTGCGTGGGGGACTGTCATGACGCTCATGGGCCTCGTGCAGAACTACCATGGGCTCTTGATCGCGCGTATTTTCCTCGGCATCACGGAAGCTGGGTAAGACCCGAAGGTTTTCTCGTTGCGCCGGCTGCATGACTGACATTTCCTAGTTTGTTCCCTGGCGTCGCATATTATATCACCATGTGGTACTGCAGGCACGAAGCCCAGTTCCGTCAAGCGCTGTTCTTCAGTGCCGCGTCCGTGGCTGGAGCTTTCTCCGGTCTCCTTGCCTTCGGAATCGCGAAGATGGATGGAATCGCAGGTCTGGAGGGGTGGAGGTACATCTTCATCCTGGAGGGCATCCTTACGGTGGTTGTTGCGGTCATTGCCTTCTTCACCCTGTACGATTTCCCCGAGACGGCAGGATTCCTGACTGAAGAGGAACGCGCGTTCGTTGTGTTCCGTCTGAAGTACCAGGGCTCTCAGGAGCACAATGGTGTCCGCGTTGCGCAAGACGACACGTTCCAGTGGAAGTATGTCAAAGCTGCTTTCCTCGATTGGCAAATTTGGACAAACATCTGGGTGTATTGGGGTATGTTGATTGATCTTCATTTCTATGTGACAAATCTGACTTTGGCAGGCATTGTTTGCCCTCTCTACGGTATCTCGCTGTTTCTCCCTACAATCATTAATGGTCTTGGATACACATCTTCTCAGGCCCAGCTACTCACGGTTCCGATCTACGTTACCGCATCTATTCTTGCCATCGCTGTGGCCTGGTGGAGTGATCGTGTCGGCAAACGGTATCCCTTTATTCTTGTATGCCTGTGCATCATGCTTGTTGGCTTCGTCATGGCCATCTCGACCGGTACTCCTGGTGTCATCTACGCTGGTGTCTTCATCGCAGCCTGCGCGCTTTACCCAGCTTTCCCGGGTAACATCACATGGCTCAGCAACAGTAAGTTCTCTCTTTCAAGTTTTGCATCACACATAGCTAACAGAATCACTAGACCTTGCAGGTTCGACCAAAAGAGCTACGGGGCAGGCTATTCAGATTGCCGTTGGCAACCTTGCGGGCGCGATGGCTTCGAATTTCTATCGCGCGGCTGACAAGCCTCGGTACACATTGGGCCATGGCCTTGAAATCGGCTTCATTGTGGCGGGTATAATCGCACTCCTGTTCCTGGTCTTCAACTATAAGCGCATCAATCGCAAGCGAGAGCGCCAGTTGGCCGAGGGCGCTCATAATGGTTATACGCCGGAGGAGATGAGCGCGTTGGGTGATCGCGCAATCACCTTCAAATACTTCTTGTAATCTGTTTGATAATTAGCTTCAAAGACTTCGAAATGAACACAAAGTAGCTTACTCATTGTTGAAAACCGTAACGCCGTTGTAGAGGGGCCATGAACCGAAGGCTCCCTAATATGGTGGTATTACAAAACGATCTCCTTCAGGAATCGTTAGTGTCGCGACTTGGTGCATTCCATCAGTAGTCTTGAATGCCAGTCTCTCCGGTGAGAATCTTCTCTTTTCCTTCACCATCTGAATCGAAGTCGGACTCCATGCTGTCGAAATATGCGTCTTGGATGTCCCTTTCCTCTTCGGGATCGTCGAATTCATGGTTGCCATCGACCTTCTTGTAGTCAAAGGCGTCGTCGTCGCCTCGAAGGAAACGTTGTGTCATTTCGTCCGTCCACCATGCCTTGGCCTCTTCCTTGTTCATGGGAACCTCGTCCGCGTCTTCTTCTAGGATTTCTCCTTCCGGGCCGCGATTGTAGGAGAATAGAGAGTACGGGTTGGGGTTGCTCAAGGCCTCTTTCTTTGCTTCTGCCCGCCACAAGTCGGTGGACAAGACTCCAGAGAAGCCCTTGCGGCGACCCTCCTTCTCGCGCTCCGCGGCGCTTTGGAATCGACGGATCAATCGGTCGTAGAGGAGAGGGTCCGCAAGTTCGAGGGAGACGTCGTCGAAGTAGTCGGGGTGTAGCTCGAGGTATCGCTTCCTGCGGTTCTTTGATTTCAATCTTTCGTTCCGCTCGACGTGGAAGCGCACGAGCTCAGATGCTTCATTCTGCATCTCTGTGTTATCGCCCTCCGATTGGAGGCGATTGTTGCTGGGTCGAAGCGCCAGTGGCGCCACTGATTCGCTGCTCATGATGTATGGCATATCACTGTGAAGAGTTATTTTTTTCCTTGGCTACTCAAAGTATATGCGCGTGTTGGTGGATGTGAAAGGTAAAGGTGAGAGAGAGTTCGAGGAAGTAACTGAGAGTAAGTGGGGTTTGGAGCTTGGGCGCTGATTGCTAATCGATAAGGTGCCCTACAGATTCACTTAGAACACACTAGCTACATACAGTTGCTCTCTTAGTTCCACTTTATCTCCACTAGCGCTCGTAATTCACAGACAGGGACCAAGCCGGTTGTTTCATCCCTGCTTCAAAACATTATTGTCTGCAGATGCGCCAACATCTGTCCTTTCCAAAGGATTCATCGTTAAACATCATTCCTCTACAACCTCACCTTCACCGGAGAGTCGACATACGCGCAAGCTCGCGGTCGACATTGCAAATTCACGGGCCGTACATATACGTATGCATTAGATCCGGAGCGCCATTCATTGTTGATCTATGATTGTTTAATACCTGGTCTTTCCATTCAGTCGACTGTTTGCAGATACTCCCATTTTCGGACATTTGGATACCCCCATTAGACAGCACTCCGCCTTCTTTCTATACTGCCAAGTCAGTACTCTGTTCAACATGTCTGGACGACCAAAGGCCACACCGAAGAAGCCAAAGGCGGCCAAAGAGGCGGAGAAAGAGGCACGACAAGTCCCAACCCCGGTCCTGGTTAGGAATCTGAGTCGAGCTGCTGCGTTTCTCATCATTGCGGGCATTGCATCACCCATTTCGCAGCTCAACCTATCTCCCGTCTATGGCTCGATCCCAGCATCCCTAAAGCACCAGAGAGCAATGGAGCTCACTGCTGTAGCAACTCTCACGAGCAGGAATGCGCTCCGGAAGATGTTTCCCACCAATGTTACATCATATATCTCCGTCATTGCTTACTGGACGCCCGTCATTCAGTTCTTGTTGTTTCCATTCAGCAGCCAATTGGGGATTGACTACGGGCCGTTGGCGATAGAGCTGGTTACATATTTCCCATTGTTCCTCATTTCATGCTTCGCTGCCAGCGAACTCATCGACACCGTGGATTTACCAAGGAGATTCCGTCTCACGAATGGCGCTGCACAGGCAATCATATCGGTCTTCTGCTACTTCATCGTTACTTCAATCTCCAAGTTCGTCGCTTCCATTCTACCCGGTTACATTGGCACCCATCTCGTCTTCTCCCGTCTAGGAGCCCAGACTTTCATCGGCACTGTATCTGCCTTCCTGGCCCCTTCTTCGATCTGCCTGCTCGGAGTACCAGCAATTGCACACACACTCTGGGCAAACCCTCACTATCCAACCGAGGCTGCTATGCAAAGGGTCAACACCACTCTTTTCGAGAACCACAACTACACCATCCTCGCGCGCCAGGAGTCCCTCACAGGATATGTCTCCGTACTCGAGAACATCGACGACCAAGCCTTCCGGCTCATGCGTTGCGACCACTCCCTCCTGGGCGGCGAATGGCTCGTAACCCCCTTCGCAGCATCGAAAGGCCAACGGCAACGCGAAAGCATCTTCTCCGTCTTCGTCCTCCTCGAAGCCGTCCGCCTCGTCAAGAACCCCCGCCCCTCCGTCGACCCCCCGATCCCAGACTCCCAAAAGTCCGCCCTAGTAATCGGCCTCGGAATCGGCACCGCGCCCAACGCCCTCATCTCCCACAACATCAACACGACCATCGTCGAACTCGACCCCGTCGTCCACCACTACGCCACCAAATACTTCTCCCTCTCGCCCAACCACACCGCCGTCATCGACGACGCGGTGACCTACGTCCGCGACACGTCGCTCTCCAACCCAGGCTCCTACGACATGATCATCCACGACGTGTTCACGGGCGGCGCGGAGCCCGTCTGGCTCTTCACGCAGGAATTCTTCCAGGGGCTCTCCGACCTGCTCAAAGACGACGGCGGCGCCGTCGCCATCAACTACGCAGGCGACCTGGCGCTCGGCTCCACCCGCCTCGTCCTCAACACAATCCACTCCGTCTTCCCGGCCTGCCGCCTCTTCCGCGACACCCCGCGCGCTGCGGACTGGAAGGCAGGGGACTCGGATTTCATCAACATGGTCGTGTTTTGCGTTAAGAATGACTATGGGAAGGGGAAGGACGCGGTGAGGTTCCGCGAGGCGGGCCATGAGGATTGGAGGGGCAGTATTGCAAGGAGGAATTTCTTGCAGCCGCGGGACGATCTGGAGATTCCGTATGTGTATACTAAGCCTGAGGAGGGGCCCGAGGTTATGAGGAGGAAGGATGTTGGGGAGCTCGAGAAGTATCATAAGCAGGGCGCGGTGAGCCATTGGAAGATTATGAGGTCGGTGCTGCCGGATGGCGTTTGGGAGACTTGGTGATTGTGTTGCGGGAGGAGATGTAGGGGGGGAGGAGGGTCTATTTCACAACGTATCTTCATTTTTAGCATATTTTAGTATATATCAAAAGCCTTGAAGGATTAAGCATTATCATAAGCATTCTATTCATAATTGTAAGCTTGCTATATGTGCGAAGATAGATGATCAGTCTCTCATTTCAAGAACCAAACCCACTTCGACGAGTGTTGTATGTCGATTGATGGTTCATATTGATACCACACTTCATGATAAAAACGTTTATATGGATGTCATTTTTGATCCAAAACCATGCAAGATGCAATGCTACGATCCCCCAGGTGCAAAATCGAAAACCGCCTCCCATGGAATCCATAAGGGGCATGAAAAAGGTGGCCCATGCCAAACGCCATAGCCCAAGATGCAAATGCATAAACTCCCGAAATGCAAAACGAAAAGACCCTGTCAGACATGCAAAGAGACATGGTCCCCAAACATTGTTCTCGCATCCTGAAAATTTTGAAAAACACTACCGCCGAAACATGATCGGCATCACGGCCCCTCAACATCCCCAACAGCCAACCACCTCGCCTCAAGCGCGAGCACAATCAACTCCGCACAGCTACCCAGTCCCCCTTCTCTCCTCCCAAGCGCCTTCGGGTCAAGCTTCTGCGCAACCTTAAGGAGGATCTTGTGCATCATGACGGCCTTCTTCCACACTTTCGATGCGTCTGCCTCGTCAACGCCAACGACGTTGTGCATGATGGCGTCGTTGGATTTTGAGGCGGGAGTGTTGCCGTGGGAGTGCAGGTTCTCGAGGAGGCGGTGGAGGATGAAGTGTGTCCAGATGAGGTTGGTCTTGGGGTGGAAGTGTCGCCATATATCTGCTGGGGGTTCGGAGAGGAAGCCTGGGTGGGGGGCTTTGCGAGGGGAGCGGCGGGGTGTGACGGGGAGGTTTTGAGTGGCGTCTTCGTTGTTAGGAGTGGGAGAAGGAGTCTGAGTAGGTTGTGACGATGGAGGTGATTTGAGTGGGTCGCCGTAGAAGACGGCACCGCGCATGTAGCGATAGATCTCGTACTGGTATTCTTCTTCTGCGTCGCCGGTGAAGAGGGCGGGGTCTTTGTTCAAGTCGAGGTAGGCGACTTGACCCTGATCTGATTGATCGAGTCTAAAGATCGGAGAAGCTGATGAGGATAAGGATGTGCGCTGGGATGAAGGAGTCTTGATCATATTTGCACGCGACAGCGTGTAATCAATGACAGTAGTTTCGAGCCCAGTAAACCCTAACTTCCTCTTCAGTGGCTTCTGGACGACACGATTCGTCAAATCGGCTTCGTCCGTGGACGAGCGTACGCAGATGTTGTCCATGTGCAGGTCTCGATGCTCGAATTCGCACGTCTGCTCCGCTTTTGCGACGCTTATACAGACACTCCAGAATATGTCCCACACCTCCCAGATGGTGCTGATTCCACCTGCTTCGAAGACCTTTCCGCAGTCGCTGCCCGCGTCTTGCATTTCAATGACTGCCCATAGTTGATCGTCTTGATAGCTTGTCTTTTTCGATGGATCTGGGAATTCGCTTTTCTTCCCTTTAGGCCTCGATTTATTCCATGACTTCCAGGCTTTGGAAAACGAGGAAGACGGCCTGCCTTTGAGAATGGTGAGGTCCCGAAATGTCGTGAATCCAGGAATATCATTCAGATTCTGCAACAAACGCACTTCTGAATTGACATCATCGACACTTGACTTCCACATATCCTGCTCTTCGCGTTCCTCTCTTTCTTTCTGTAGTTGACACTCGAAGTCACCTTTTCGGCGTGGTCGATCATTCTCCTTCAACTCGCTAGGTAGAGGCATATTCTCAGGTGTCTTGAGAGCGACAAGCTTGAGGACAGACTCACTCGAACAATCTGTTCGGGCTGTCTTGACGCTCAGACGGTAGACTTCGCTGAAAGATGCCTCCGCAATCTTAGACACATCGACAACCGAGTCCAATTGTGAAGACCAATCGTCGAAAGAGACAATCTCTCGCCGCTCGCTGCACTGCAACAGAGATTTGACATATGTCGTATACATATCGTCCTCGGAAATCTCAGCCACCGGAGCTCGCAGCTGCTTTCTCGACCGAGACTTCGACCTGTGAGACTTCGAGCGCACAGGAGTTTTCCCAGCTTTCGATCTCGACACATCCCCCTCACTTGTCGCAACATTCGTCCGCCCAGCATCCTTCCCTGAACTCGAGTCCTCCGACTTCACAGCACCATCCTCCACCCCAACATTCTCATCCACAACCTCCACCCCCTCAGCCCTCCCACTCTTCTTCTCTTTCCTCGCCCCCTTCTTCTTCCTCTTCGTCTCCGCATTAACATCCCTACTCTCCAACGCCTTCCTCGACCTTTCACTCCCCTTCCTATCCTCCTCCCCCTCAACACCACCACCAGCAACGCTCAACCCCCTCAACCCAACCTCCAACCCCTCAACATCCACATCCGCATCCACATCCTCCCGCGCCGCTTTCTCAGGCGTGCATATGAACCTCGCGAATCCGCCCGCACCGCCGGCTGCCACGACCGCTGTGGTCGTCTTTGTGCGCTTGCCGTAGACGTTCTTCGGCGGCATGGTTGGTGTGGTGGGTGGGCTGTGGTTTTCCGACCCAGACCTTTGGGTGGTGTCTTCGTTCTTGCTTGGCTGTGTTGTTTTTTAGGGGTTCGTGTCGTGCTGGAGGTTGTCTGTGTGGTGTTGTTTTTTCTTGTGTAACAATGACGGCGAGGGGATTGTGGGAGAGAAGTAGGAGTATGTACCTCTGTGCACTTGATTTTCCTTCTCGTGAGGATTTGCGAAGGTGGTGGGTTTGTATTGTCTAGCCCTGTTCCAGTATAGTGTTGTTATGGTTGGCGGGACAACGGCCGAAGGTTCGAGTGGGGAGGAAGGGCGTGATGACGTTCACTTGCACGCACGACGTGGGTGAAGGGTTCAACTATGAACGGTGAAAGGACGGGTCATCTCTTAGTGAATGTTAAATATAATCAAGTGTGGTGAAGGCTCAGGAAATTGGAGTTTGTGGATGTTACACCGATTAGTATTATCTTGTCTCATCTCATCCGACTCACTCTCGAGACAATCCTTCTGCTACATAAGCGATCACTACCACTACTGCCGCGCTCGTTCTGCCCAACGAAGGTGTGTATGCTTCGCCTATCGACCTAGATAACCAAACACGCGATGAAAGCCACCGAGCACATCTTATGCTCTAAATAGTGTACGGGTCAATAAAATAGGGTTGCAGCACCCCAGTGACGAAGAACACAAGACAAAAGAAATAGGAGGGGTTCGACTGTTGGTCTGAAAGACCTATACGGAGATACCAGCCCAATGGACCTGCAATGAGTTGGTGTATACGATCGGGCGGAAAACTGTTGGAGAAGAAGAAGAAGAAGGGCAAACGCTTCAAAGTACAAAAACACAATCGCTGGGTACCAAGAGGCACAACAAAGGAAGCGGGCATGAAAGCCCATGGCTCCGAATGGATGTCCTGTAGGTTTTGATGCAGAACTCCGTCGTATATGCAGATAGCCCCTCGTCAAGGGACCAAAAAATAGATGTGAGGTTCAATTTACAACCGAGTGGGAATTTGGGATGGAATGGGAGTCGTCAGATGGAGAAATGCGACCAGTCAGGGTTCACATTCTTAACCTCCAGAGCTGTCGACATCCGGAGTGCCCGTGCCGCTGTCTTCTTCTGGCAGCACGGGAGGCGGGATCACTCCGACGGATCTCCGCTTGTTCTTCTTATCTTCTTCCTTGCTCTTGCTTGATGTTACTCCATTGGCCGCCGTGGGTCCTGTCTTGCCGGTGGCATTGGTAGAAGATGGAAGTAGGCTTGTGCTGTTCCTGTGCCTTGGTGCAACGCTGTGATAACTAGAGGACAGCTTCTTCATGCCGTCTTTCGTATCCGATTGAGGGGCAAAGTCTTTCCATTTGCGCCAACCATCGAAGTCAATTAGAGCTTGCATGCAACCCCATTCTTTGACCTTGCGCTCGAGCCAGACAAAGTTGACAGGCTAGAGTGTACCCGTTAGTGATGTGACAATATCATAAACGATCGATATTCAAGGCTCACCTTTGTTAAGAAGTCATTGCATCCGGCTGCCAATGCTTCGTGCCTGTCACTCTGCAAGGAGCTAGCTGTCAGAGCCACGATGATGACCGGACTCTTAAACAGGCTCTTGTCACCGAGTATGTCGTCGTCCTTTGCTTCTTTCTCGATCTGTCCATCTGCAAGCCTGTTGTTGGGTGCTTCACTGCTACCACTGCTGAAGACGCCAATACTATTGACTCTCTCCAGCCTGCGAATCTCTTTGGTTGCCTCCAGACCGTTCATGATTGGCAGCTGAATATCCATAAGCACCAAGTGAAATCCTCCCGCTCTCCACTTCTCCACGGCTTCCTTTCCGTTCAAGGCCTTCTGCCACCGTACCTTCAGGCGCTGCATGAAAGCACCGAGAACCTTCAAATTGATGATATTGTCTTCCACAATCAAGACATTGATTGGTGGCACTGATCCATCCAGCAAGCCGGCCGGGAGGCTCGGAGCGTCCACAGCCTTAGGTTTCTTGCGCTTCTTCTCCGGGCGTGGAGAAGCGACACGAGGGGTCGGGGGAGTAGAAGTCTGCTGTGGCACAGTCTCCAGCGGCGCGGGAGGCGTGGGTATCGGGTTGGAGGACGCGGAATGCTTGGTCTCAGAAGCCGATGAATCGTGACGGGGTCGGTTCGGGACGGGTCGAATCGGCACGGCGGTAGTGCCCTGCGCAGTGAGTGTAGTGGGCGATGCAGTGTTATGACGGGGGTACTTTGGGCGGGAGTGGTGAGCTCTTCTGGAAGTGCCAGGCGATGGAAGGGGCGGGAGCTGACCAGTCTGAAGCACAGATATCGAATGCGGGGCGTGTGGGAGGTTTATCCGCGCATCGTGCGCACTGCCGGCCATGGCACCAGCAGAAGGATTCACGATGGGCATGGGCGGGAAGTACTCGGACGCGGACTCGACAGGTCGGGAGTCGTCATGATGGGAATAGTAGAGTGGTATGCGAGGGGATGGTTTCGGGGTCCTCCGATGCGGTACCTCGATGAGAAGGGCCTCTGTGACAGATTGTCCACCCGGGTAATAAGCGTCCAGAGTCCTGCACATGTCCTCCTCAGGTCCCAGGAGGCGATCTCCTGCCTTGGATGTGGAGTCTCGCGGATGGATTCTTATCACAACGTCCGGTGCATCGAAGCTCTTGCCTAGCGAGTTCGCGTATTTTTTCAGAATCATGTCTCGAACATCGTCGACCAGATCATCCTCCCGTATTTGTACCAGTGTTGCAGAAGCATTGGGCCTCTTCACCCAGATCTTGCGGTGTAACATGCTTGCAGTCAAGGGGAGGGTGGCACCGGAGACGGCGAAGTAGTCTGCTGTTGGAGGCCCGTTGGTGAGGGCAGCCTGGGATGCTTCTGGCTCGAGGAGTGTCTTTATGATGCGTGCATTCGAGGTGGTGACGAGGGATTGGCGTCGAATAATTTCTGGAGGGGAGATTCGGGAGCCGCTGTGCGCTGTGGGTGATGATTGTGGAAGTTCGGATGGGTGTTCGAGGTCGATGGTTGAATAATTCGCGGTAGAAGTAGCTTCTGGAGCGGCGTCTTCCGGCACGTGTTGTTGATCCAGCGCACCGGAGCTGACTGGAAGAGGAACGGGCGTGGGCTGCTCGATTACGACCTCGGGACACGCACTTCGCACCACCGCGGGAGACGGCGACGATGAAGGGGTAGAGGCTGGTATTGTGGTATTATCAGTGGTTGCAGAGTTGGTGGTTATGGTTGTGTTTGTTGTAGTGCGAGAAGTATCCTGGCCGCTGCCCCGTTGTCGATCACCCTTCTTGTGCTCCTCCTCCCTCGAGCTTCCGCGTTCGGTACCATCTTCGGCGCCGCTTTCATGCGAATCTCGAATTCGCCCTGGCTGCCGTTGCGGTAGCGGCAACATAGCTGACTTGGACATTCGCTGATCTGCATCTACTTCATCAGACTCCCGTGCTGATGAAGCCTCTGGCAACCTCGTCATCGACACGCTCTTCCGCAGGGGCTTCCGCGCCTTTTCGCTACCCGCACTCGACGCAATCGACCGGGAGCTCGAAGTCGTCGCGCTGTTCTTCCTCATCAGCTTCTGGCGGGCATGGGCGAGTCTTGTCTTCAGGTCGCCCATCCTGACGGAGAGCCGGCGCCAGCCAGCCTGCAACACTGTGAGAGCGTTGTGTGAAGTCGTTACGAAATGGTTGTCAACGGCCCAAGTGTGGCGCAACAGTTGACAGCTACGGGTCAGCAGCTCCGGTCTGGCATTCGGGGGGAGAGGACGACGAATGAGAAGGGTGTCTCGGTTTCTGCGTGTGAATGGGGTATGCAATATAGATATTGTGAAAAGTATAGAGCGAGTGTACTGGTAGATAAAATCACATTACGACTAAGTAGTAGGGGAGGCCGTCTGGCAAAAGGGAATTAGAAAGATTGGACAGATACCCAGGTGGGTAGATAGATAATAGATGGATCGATGGGATCGATGGATAGATGGAGAAGACGAATGTGAATGGAAAAGACAGGACAAGCGCAGCGACTGCAGCAGCCCCAGCTACGAATAAACGACGAGTTGGTGTTGTGTTTCTTTGCGATGAGTCTCGATCTGGATCCTGGCCACTCCACGGAGGAGTTCCCTGGTCGCGATGGTGAATGCGGGTTGTCGCTCATTTGAGGCTTGAGGCCCGAGCTGTTTGTTCACTTTCCCATCATTTCATTTCTCATATAACTATTTATTGTTCATGGCGACAACCAAATCCTGCTTTTGTCCGTCTTTTTAAATTCGACTATGCTCGTGCGTCAATAGCACCAGCCCACTGGTAGACTGACTGGACTACATAGTTACCCTATTTTCTGCTGTGTTCGCTCTCTGCTTCCTCTGTACGCTGCTTGTGTGCCACAACTCCAGTCACCAGAGTTGACTATCATGCCCCCATCAGTGATGCTAAGTGTGTTCGTCTACAACACCACACCACCCCATTTCCCAGGCCATGCTTCCCATGCCTTGTAATCCCCTCCACCTCCCCGCTTCGATCGCCACACCTTCGCTTCGCTGTCCGCACGCGTAAGCTCTTGTCGTGCGCAAGAAACAAGGCATCTAACCAAACCGTCGTCTAGCTACGACTACCAAGCACCTGCAGATGGAGAGACACACCTGAGACCTATCGAAAGCGCTGCTGCTCGCGGCCACCACTCTTCAGTCATCATTGCGATATCAGGTATCTACCCACGAGCCTTGGCTCCACTTTCCGAACTTAGGATATCCTAGCACGAACAGTGGACAACTCAATTCCACAACGACGATGTCCATGTCCGATCACCTCATTGACATGTTCGCTACACAAGGGATGATTGACATCTCTACTCTAGTCTTGTCCAGCACTGCACAGCACCGCACCACACCGCACGTAAACAATCGCCACCACGCAGGGGCGGGCGCACGCGCGTTGTTGATATAAACCCTGCCCATCTATTTTGCCTCCCCTAACCTCGTCTGTAAACTTGTTGTTGTCTCTTTCCATCATCGCGTAGCCAACCCGTGGCAGGGGGGGGGACAGCAATTTCGCCACAGGCGACCTGGACGCCCTAGCACGTGCGTTGCCTGAACGAGATCCCGCTTTCTATCCAACGTCGAATAGACCAAAGACGGACGGTCGGTCTTGACTCTTGATGTCCTTGTTGAAAAGGGTTCGTGGCGTGCGCGCAGCGCTTTCAACGTGATTTCCTCCGCGGGCTTGGTGATGCTTTTATACACATGATGATGGCGATGGAGTTTCGAAGAGGACGGAAATGATACATATATGCGATGCGCCACGGATTCAATCTTGGATGAATGGCTCTTTTGTGAGATTTCCCGATCCTCCGGGACCATGGGGAACTGGTTTCACGTCTCCCAAGGTTCTCGGTACGTGCCGATGTATCCATACCAATATAAGCTGTAATACTAGTGCTACTATGTAATATCCAAATGGGAGGTAACTATCTAGGTAGTCAATTGATCAGGTTCCCAGTTACCGTTTCAGTTCGACATATGCCACCCCAAGCTTTACCAATTTGCGGGGATACCAAAGCGTCTCGTTCAATAGAACCATGTCTTGTCTTCAATTTTCTGTCTATTTTCGTTCGTTGTCCACTTGTCTCTACTGCACGCATTCACTCCCACCTTCTCCATCTACAAGACACAAAACCAATACTAATCAGACACACACGCAAAGAGACCTCCATGATCCGCGGGAATAGAACGGGAAGAATGTTTCATACTTCGTACGAGGAGAGGGAGTTACCCCAGGTCTCACGCCTCCACAATAGCTAGCTGTTCACGGCCCGCAGCCACATGTGAATGTGACGGCGGTGAACCCGCGATGTAACGTCCCTCCGAGCTTTGTGAGTCGAGACAAGACGTGAGAAGGGTGGGAGTCTCTAGGGAGCGGGAAGGGGGGACTTGAGATATATATAGGCGGATGAGTGTAAGTGGCGCAGGACAGTGGAGGCAGGACTGTCATGATGAGCTCGCCGCCACTACAGCCGGATACGTCATATATGAGACGTCTTACAGGTGACTTGTCTTGATCGCCATTTCGGTATGTGTGTGGCTATTCTAGAGGTATATATGCTACGGAATCGTGTTGGTGTAGATCACTTTCATGATCTCCACGCCATAGAACGGGGATTAGAGGCTATGCGGACGCTGATGTATCACTTCCGGCACTATGCATGTCAAATTCGATGGTTGCAGTTTACTATATAGTCATTGATATTTCTTTTCTTCGTCTGATAAAAGATACGTAGAAGGTTGCATATGCAAAAGTAAAGAAAGACCCCCTTTCTCAGGCAGAATGCTAGAATACATAAAGAAGATCTCGGACCATATCAGCATGGTATCATGTCACATAAAATTGGTTGTAGTAATAAATTCCCTCAGCAGCGGCCGCCCCCCCATATAAACGCCGTGAAATTCCCATCGCTTGTTGATTCCAGGATGGGAATTGAATACTCAGTTCGTGGTGGACTGGTTCTCTTGGTAGGCAGCTTGGGCCGTTTGTTGTATGCTGTCCGGCGCCCTCGGTTCCCTTAACCTGCTTTCCCTTCATTCCTGAACCACTGTTATATAACAATTGCAAGCTGCAATAGTATAGTCGTCTCGGCACGGCAGGCCTAGAAATCCTGGAAATAACCGTCCCACTTCTCTTGCAATTCCTTCGAATATGGCTCCCTGTCTGCATTCTCCGGCTCGTAGTCATCGAAATTCCGTGTGTCGGCAGGGCCACGGAGATGGGGCACAATGGGTCCGTTGACTTTGCGGTTGTAGAGAGCATCCCAATCGATATCCCTGAACCAAGCGTGGTTCTTGACCGTACTGGCACCACCTTTAATGTTACCGAGGCGTTTCGAGGTATCGACGGTGCAAAGACCAGAGATGAGGTCGCGGGCGTCCGGCGACATGGCGGAGGGGAACCGAACGCGTCCTTCGACAATTCTACCGCGAGAGTGGTGAACAAGAAGGTTTCAGAAGCGACGAATGATAACTTACTGTTCGTAGATCTTCATAGGGTTCTGGTCCCAGAAGGGTGGTTGACCCACAAGGAACTCGTAGACTAGGATGCCGAATGCCCACCAATCAACCGCAGTGCCATGGCCTACCACTTGTCAGTCCACTTTCTACCTTTTGATGAGAGCATGTACGTACCGGTGTTCCTAATCACCTCAGGCGCCAGATACTCAGGAGTACCGCACAGTGTATATGTTTCCCCTAGCTGTGTCAACAAAAGCAAATCTGCTCACCGGAAAGCAACCAGACTTACTATTCTCCACCTTCTTTGCGAATCCAAAATCAACCAACTTGAGATGTCCTTCCGCATCAATAAGAATATTCTCAGGTTTCAGGTCTCTGTATGCAACACCCTCCTGCTCGTGCAAGAATTCCAGTATAAGGACGATTTCGGCCGCATAGAACTGGGACGTGGGTTCGTTGAAACGTCGAGCTCTTCGGAGGTAACTGAACACTTCGCCGCCGGGGCAATAGTCGAGCTGGAGCAATTGTCAATACGGTGCGACTGGCTAACAAAGAGGCTTCTGCAAAACATACCAGCATGTATAGCGAGTCGTGGTCCTGGAAACTCGCAACCAGGGTGGTTATGAATGGATGGCCTGCAACGGCAGCTAACACATTGCGCTCATTTCGAACATGTTCCACTTGCTTGAGGCGGATGACTGAAACACACGAGTCAGATCTCGAACACAAAAACAGTGGTATGGGACGAGTGCATACCGTCGACTTTGCGGAGTATCTTCAACGCGAAAACCTTGTTCGCATCCTGCTTCTTAACGTCGCGGAGCCTGGCTAACCACACTCGCGCAAATGTCCCTATACAGCACCTGTCAGCGGAGACGCATTCCACAACGGCCGTTATCCAGATGTCGTACCGGTTCCCAATGTCTTCACCAGCTCGAAATCCTCCTGTCGCAGCACCTGCGATGATTGTCCTACTCTCTTACTGTCCGACTCTATCTGATCTGGGTTCAAAGGCTGCTGGTTGCTCTGCCATTGCGCAAGTGAATGCTTCTCGTCCGCGCGAATGCGCTCGAGCCCCGAATCCTGGCGTTCGTGTGATAGGTGGTCGGATTTGGAGGAATCGTCCTTGGACTTTGAATGGGAGTGGCTGTGAGGGTGGAGGAGCTTGTGAACGGCGGCGGCCATGGTTGCGAAGTGTGAACTCTTGTGGATGTATGGCACAAGGATTGCGGAAGCGATTGGAGGGGTATTAAACCTCTTTCTAGCACATTGCTATTGTTATGAAAGGAGAGGTTTGTTTCTGAGGATTGACAAACAATGCTCAAACTGGGGTTCGGTTATGGGATTGAAAGAGCAAAGTCGGGACGACTAGAGGTAGATAGTCGTTTTGCGATTCTAAGGATATGCGGGCGAGGAGACAGGTATTGTCGTGGTATAGTCGTACAGTGCAGGTATAGTTGAGTGTATGTGTATGTGTAAGTGTTAAGTGTAGGTGTATAGGGGGTTTGGGAAAGGTGAGACGTTTCGCGGGGGAACCTCGAGGTGGCTGCGAGTGAAGTTAACTGGAACTCGATAGCGGGGAGTTATTACTCGGCGCGCCTGCCGAGCTGGATGGATGATGACCTCACTGGCGTGGGGAGGAGATGAAGAGACTATGGTTAGCCTTAGTTTACCCTCTCGCACGCCTCGCTCCTCGTAATTGCGAACACTGAGAGCCTCTACTAACAAGCGCAGCGTCCCACCAGTTCAACCAGGAGAGAACCGGGAGTGAACCTGAACAGGACAGATGGTGAACCAATGGTGAACCACGCCTACCACCGGAAATACGACCACTCCTGGAAAGCGACCCTCTGTCAAGTTGTACGATAGCAAACGCCGGGAAAAGTATGAGTGAAGTTTAAAGCAAGTAAGTCGACTTGGCTGGTTGGAAACGCCTTCTTTTGTTTGTTGGAAGTGTTCGGAATCGCCGAAAGGGAATTCTTTCTCTTTTTCCCTTTCTTCTTGTTCTTTGGTCCCCTACAGCCAGCAAAATGCGGACAAAGATCGACGACTCCTATGATATATACCACTTCCCATTGACTACACCCAAGGAGGAGTCACGTCACGGTTTTCCGCGCGGGTTTGAAATCGACACGTGGTAGTGGTGCACAGAGCAGAAAAGAGACGGAGCGTGATGAAGGCGAAGGGGAAGGGGAAAGGAGGAGGAGGAGTTCATCCATCTATCCATCCCATGTTTCGGGATCTGAGGCATTACGCACGCACAATCTCAAGTTTTAATCACCGTTTCCCAATCTCCATGCCACGGTTCATACTCAGAGGGTAAATAATCCATAATATCATTTAATTACCTCGCTGGCCTAGGTAGAAGATGTAACAGTCATTACTACCCAAATCCAAATGAACCTGCTCAAAAAGAAAATACCAACAATGTGGTAGACTCCCCCTCCACCATAAACCATGTGCTTGGTAGGGCTGAGGCGGCCTTTGTCTCTTGGTTTGGGGCGCATACACCCGCGCGCGCAGATGGTGGATCAAACCGCAGAAACAAGCATGCCATTGTTAATTCTGTGGGATGAATATCTAATTAAACCGCATCTCATCCATGGTCCGGGTAGGTCGAGCGAGGCTACCACGTGAACATCAATCACTGCCCGGGCACCATCCGCACATGCGCCCAACGCCTATGCGGGAAGCTACCTATCTAGGTAGGTTCTTGTGCTGGGATACATCATACTTTTTCTTGTCTTTGTCCTGCACATGCAGCTCGTCGTCAAACAACTGTTTTCAGTGACCAACCAAACAGATCCAACCGTCCAGAGCAAGTAGATGATGGCTACCGATCATGTCAGATCACCTCACTTTCCTTGTCAAAGTGTACGGGCACTGTACATGCACTTGATGGGATAATTCCGAATATCTATCAAATATCAAAATACAATTGGGACTTCCTTTACATAAGATAACTCCAAGATGCTGAACAAAGATTACTTTCCAAATGTGACTTCAGTGCCTCTTATGAGACCTCTTCCATATACTTTCCCGGTGCCATTCATCCATGGCCCAATTCTGATGCTATGGCTCTCCGCGCATCATTTCGGGACACGGTCCCTGACCCTGAACGGGCAGATGCTCGTACCGTTTTGTCTTCTTTACAATAGATTGTACATGAACTAGAATGAGACGTGTCTCTCAGCCGCTTGCGCGGGTGTTGAGAATGAGGGCTACGATGAGACTAGATCTTGTCAACGGCGACATCCGAGCGTGGAATTGAACGTCTTCACTTACCCGTACAATCCCAAGACTTCTGCGAAAATGAGAATCAGGACCATTCCCACGAAGATCCTTGACTGCTGCATGTACGCGCGTACACCCTATGGCACTTGTAAGCAATACCGTCCCAGATAAAGCGCTGAACAGCTTGAACATACAACATCCCCCACGATGCCAATGGCATAGCCGGCTGCTGTTCCAGCCAGACCAACCGACAGCCCAGCGGCCATGTGCATGAAACCGGCGTATAGCGAGTAGTTCTTGTTCGGTGGTGGTCGGAGGTCGCTAGCGATGAGGACTGATATGACGAGCGCGTACACGGCAAGGATACCGGACATGACAACGGGAATCAAGGACTGGGATTATCATCAGTCAGTATGGGCTTCAAAACCGTGTGGCAAGAGGATCCTGACCTTCATTATCAGGTCGGGCCTGTAGGTACCAACACCGGCAATACCAATGCCAGACTTCGCGGTGCCATAAGCAGCTCCAAGGCCTATACCAACCACTATTAGCTTCGAAGACCGATGTCGATGGTTCTGGATAGATACGTACATCCGAATATCATCTGTCCAGGAATCAGATAAGGTCAATAAATCTTCATGTCAGGGCTCGGAAGACTTACAGCGAACGCAATCCCGCTCTGTTCCTTATGTTAGCTAGCTGTTCTTGTCTGTTCGAGTACTCGATGCGTAGCTGGCCACATACCATGCCAAAGAAAGGCGCGAAGCTCGGCGCCAGTTCATTATCCATCTTGCCGGGTCAAAACCTCTTTCTACCTGTCGATGCGGATTGGGGATGATAGCTGTAGCGGGGATGAACGAAGAGCTTGAGGTATGGCGTAGGTTGCTTTGGTGAGGCAAGGCAACTCAACATCCACTAGAGCGCGATCAAGTAAGAAAGTGGCCTAGCGCACAGTCGCACTTGACTTGGCGGGACAACTCCCTCTCCAAGGACAACTGATCTCCACTGCGACAACAGGAAGTATCTACCTACTTGGTACACCCGTTTGTTCAGCTCTCCGTCTCCTATATCTCCCTCCGAGACCTAAAGGCGCTTCTCTCGCCTCCGCCGTCCACGGAGAGCCCCCAGGCCTCTCGTCGGGCCAACAGCTAGGGAGATAAACCGTACCTCCGAACCCTCCACCTTCACTGTTGGCCTTTTTGATATATCGCAACGTACCCTCCACCCTCTTGCCCTGTGCCCTGTGTGACCAACCCCTGGATCAAGACCACGCTGTGGGTTCGCTCACCAAGAGCATACAGCGCCGCTTTGCTGGTCTACGCCTCATCCTCAGGTCCCTGCTGATCCTCCAGCGAACCTGTCCTTTCGAAAAGTCTTCCAGGAACGTCGCTCTCGCCGGCGGATGTGTACGAAATACAATCCAATCCTCCGAGTCGAGATATCTACATGGCGGACTACGGCCATCAGCAGGGCAGAGAGTATGCGCGCCCTCCGCAGCATGGCCAGTCCACGGGAGCAAGGGACGCAGCATTCGCGAACATCTTCGGCGCGAACCCGGCCATGGCGGGTCGCTCACAAACAATGACCTCCCAGTCCCCGATGCGTCCTCCAGACCGCGCTCAGACAATGTCAAGCCAGACGGCCGATATGATGCAGCGCGGTCCGCCAATGCGGCAGCCATTGGGCGGATATGATCGACGACCTCCTAATGCCTATGATCAGCGGCCCTCCAACAATTACGATCAACAACGCCCACAGAGTTATGACCAACCTCACGACCAATTTTCTCGCCCACCGCCAAATGGTTTCAATCCCCAACGTCAATCCGAAGGTCCCCCTCAAGCCCAACGCCAACCTCAACCTCAATACCTACCACGGCCATTGCGCCCTGAGCGTCAACCCTACGGACAACCTCAACGATTTGACAGTCGAGCTTCTCCTCCCGGGCAGCCCATGTTCAACAAGCCAATGCAGTATCGGAACGGCCCGCCTGGTCCGCCTGGTCCGCCCGGCCCTGCGATGGCGTCGGACAGCTATCGCTCTCAGTCGATGGCTGCAGGACCACGACCTCAATTCCATCCTAACGGACCGTCAGGCTATGGAGTTTCGCCGGCGCACACGTTTCGCCAGCAGCCGTACATGAACCACAACGCGAGAACGACAGCACAAGGTCGCGTCGTGCCCGAGCGACCAGACGAGCGGACTATGTCCATGTCCTCATACACAAGCAACAATGATTATACCCAGACAATGAGTGGGCGGGTCATTCCCCATCGTAGGAGGGAGTCAGGGGGCACGGAAGCCACACTGTTGGAGCAAGCACCCGCAGGTTCACCTCCTCCCGTGAACGTTGGACCGGGAAGTAAGACAAGAAATGTCAGCCAAGGCAGTATTCCCACGACTAGGTCAATGTCTATGGCTTCTACGGTTGTTCCACCTTCAGAGCGCACAGAAACGATGAGTTCCTCAATCACTCGCCCAAGCTCTACGCAGACAATGACCAACCGGAATTCATCTCAATCCCAGCAGCAGGCAGCTCAGCAAGCAGCTCAGCAGGCGATGCTTGTCTCTCAGAGACGAGCACCTCTTGTCTATCCGGCCCTTCTGTCGCGTGTGGCTGAAGTCTTCCGAGAACGAGTTGGATTAACAGAAAAGGAGAAAGACGGTCTCGTTTATAAGAGCGCCTTTACTGGAGCAGAGGCGGTTGACTTGATCTCGTACATTATTAAGACCACTGATCGAAATCTAGCGCTCCTCTTGGGAAGATCTCTCGACGCACAGAAGTTTTTCCATGATGTTACGTACGCACACAGACTGCGCGATTCCACCAACGAGATATATCAATTCCGAGAAACGTTACTGGAAGATACTACGGAAGTGAACGGTGTTTTCACGCTTCTGACAGAGTGCTATTCTCCTACATGTACGCGCGATCGCTTGTGTTATTCAATCGCCTGTCCTCGGCGTCTCGAACAGCAGGCCCGTCTCAATCTGCAGCCTCAGCCCGGTCTGAAGCGTGCAGAGTCTCGGGCCAGTTTACATGATGACGGAGATGACGAGCAGAAACTGTGGATCAACACGGTTTCCAAGGAGGTGGCCGCAAGTGTCAGTGAAAAGGAGCAGAAACGCCAGGAGGTCATATCAGAACTGATGTACACGGAGCGAGATTTCGTCAAGGACCTTGAATATCTGCGAGATTTCTGGATGAAACCACTTCGAGGCCCCAGTACATCACCCATCCCGGAACACCGACGAGAGAAGTTCGTGCGAACTGTCTTCTCAAACTGTCAAGAGGTGTACATGGTCAATTCCAGACTAGCAGAATCTCTTACTCGCAGACAGCAAAAGGAGCCAGTGGTCCGAAACGTGGGAGATATTTTCCTCGAATACGTTCCGCATTTCACACCCTTCATCAAGTATGGTGCAAATCAACTATTCGGTAAATACGAATTCGAGCACGAGAAACGCACCAACATACAATTCTCAAAGTTTGTTGATGAAGTCGAAAGAATGAAGGAATCCCGCAAACTTGAACTCAATGGCTACCTCACCAAGCCAACTACAAGACTTGCAAGATATCCACTGCTTCTGGAAGGCATACTCAAATATACGGCAGACGACAACCCAGATAAACAAGATCTCCCCAAAGCCATCGCCATCATCAAGGAAACCCTCTCCAAGGTCAACGTCGAGTCCGGCAAAGCCGAGAACCATTTCAATTTGATGCAACTTAATAGGGACTTGAAGTTCCGTACTGGCGAATTCGTTGACCTCAAACTAACGGATGAGAACCGCCAGTTGGTTTTCAAGGGAATGTTGAAGAAGAGTCCGACAGACACTACCGGTGATATTACCTGCTACTTGTTCGATCACGCAGTTCTCCTTGTTCGAATTAAGACGGTGAACAAGAGGGAAGAGCAGAAGGTGTACAAAAAGCCCATTCCCCTCGAACTTCTTGTCATCACCCAGATGGACGAGATCATTCCGAGAATGGGTATCGCGAAGCGCCCTTCTGCCAATCTGATGGGTGCGAAGGCGCTCGCTGCAAATGCTCCTAGGGGAGACGCGACCAAGCAACAAGGTTATCCCATCACATTCAAGCACCTGGGCAAGGGCGGCTATGAACAGACCCTGTACGCCAGCACTCCCATCTCTCAACAGAAATGGATGGAGCACATCGAGGCTCAACAACGCAACTTGAGGGAACGGAGCAACATTTTCACAAAGACAATCCTCAATGAAGGCTTCTTCACCCCTGCCATTCGCGTTACCTGCGCAGTTCCTCTCGGTAAGCTGTTCGCTACCTTAAACCATGATATACTAATCAACCTGCAGATGGCGGCCGGAAACTTGTTTTCGGAACGGATGCCGGCATTTATGTCGTCGATCGTAAACCCAAGGATTCATCTATTAAGCCTCGACGTGTGTTGGATTGTAAGGCAGTCACTCAGGTCGACGTTCTAGAACAGCATCAAATTGTGCTTGTCCTGGCAGACAAGACTCTATACTCTTACTCCATGGAGGCACTTGATCCCGATGAGTCGCAAGCGATCGCTAAGCGCCCGCGCAAGATCTGTCATGCAAATTTCTTCAAATCGGGCATTTGCATGGGCCAGCAACTCGTTGCATCCGTCAAGACTTCGGCATTATCCACAACAATCAAAGTGTTCGAGCCAAAGGAGAACATGGCCAACAGGTCAAAGAAATCCGGCTTTGCGAAGATGCTCTCCACTGGACAAGATCAGCTCAAGCCATACAAGGAATTCTACATCCCCACCGAGTCCACTTCGATACATTTCCTACGCTCCAAGCTTTGTGTTGGATGCGCCAGAGGATTCGAGGTTGTCAGCCTTGAAACGCTCGAAACGCAATCCCTTCTCGACCAGGCCGACACATCGCTTGATTTTGTCGTACGAAAGGAGAACATCAAGCCGATCCACATCGAGCGTCTTGCCAGCGAATTCTTGCTTTGCTATACCGATTACTCATTCTTCGTCAACAGAAATGGCTGGCGTGCTCGACCAGACTGGCGCATCATCTGGGAAGGGACTCCGCAGGCATTCGCTATCTTCCACCCGTACATTCTGGCCTTTGAACCAAGCTTTATCGAAATCCGGCATATGGAGAGTGGTGGCTTGGTCCACATCCTTACCGCTAAAAACATTAGGTGGTTGCATACATCCACACGAGAAGTGAGTCACTCCTATTTGTTCCAATCCGTTTCATCGCAAACTAACATTCGTAGATCCTATATGCATACGAAGACGAAATGGGCAATGATGTCATAGCAAGTTTGGATTTTTGGCAAGCGGCCAACAGCCCGGGCCACAAACCGGGCGCTATCGAGAACAGGAACTGAATGAGATGAAATAACACGGTCATTGATTACAGCTGAAGACGAGACATGGTCACTGTCTGCCGCCTACCGCACCAGGTCGAGGAGATATTTCACGCATTCGAGGGGGCTCGAGAGTTCATTACAGCATTTTTGAAAGCGTTCGCGCGTTATGGGCCTGCTACTGTTGCTTGACCTCTTTCCTGCACCGCATACAGCTCTTTGAGTTGCGATACTGGAGCGCTTCTTGCCCTTTCTTTTCTTCTTATTTTGCCCCTGAGCTTTGGTGGCAAATGTATTAGAATAATCCATTTTTCCCTTGGTTAAGTTCCATCTCATAGCAGGAGGTTGAGGAGCGTAGGATCGCCCCAGGAGATCGCCCCAGGTAGTCGGTCGATGTATCAATCGGTGAATTCATCGTTGGGAGCGACGGGTTGGAGGTGGGTAAAAAGCAGGTGCCTGGTCAGTAGTGCATATCAATGATGCATACTGATTGAGCGCAATTGAGGGTGAAATGAATGATACCTTTTGTCTTTTCCTGAGTGCAGCAACCTCATCCGTACGTCTTCATATCTAGTGGTTACTAAATCGACCAACCCACGTAGCTGAAAAGTCTGGAGTCCCTCTCCCGCATTCCGGAAAATGATTCCCTGAACTAGCAGCTTGAACATATCCCCAACTATCCCCACGACAAAACACTCACGACCACAACAACCTCATTCGAACTACTCCCCATAAAACTGAAAACTCCCAAGGCATACACATACAAAAGTACCACCCTCCCTACAACTACCCCTTGCCCTCCACACAAACCTCCACAAACACATCCCTATAACCCACAAATCCCCAACAATCCCCAACAATGCCCCCCGGCGTCCTCTGGGTCTCTTCCCGCATCCTCCCCTCCGCTCCAACCCTAGCCCCCCAATCCTTCTGCACATGGTACGAAGAAACGCACATCCAAGAAGTCACCTCTCTGCCCGGCGTGCCCCGCGCCGCCCGCTACGAAGCCCTATCCCCACAGCCCTCACCCACCACTTGGTCCAGCCTCGTGCCCTGGCTCACGGTCTACGAGATGCCAGACGTTGACTACCGCAGCACGGAAGAGTTCAAAGAGCTGGATGGGCAGAGTCGACCTGGCCAGGAGTTGCTCGAGGGCGTGTTTCGGCAGGCGAGGTTCGATACGAGGTTTTGTGAGGAGGTGCAGTGGTTTGAGAATCCTGTGTCTAGTGCTGCAGGAGATGGTGAGACGAGTGAGGAGGTGAAGAAAAAGACGGAGGGGCCGGCGAAGTTTCTCATATCAGCGGCTCTGCAGCCTGCGGATGGGGAACCCGCACACGCGGATTTCGACAGGTGGTACCGCGAAGAGCATCTTGCGTTCTTCACGCGGGCGCCTGGGTACCGGCGCTCGAGGCGGTATAGGGTTGTTGACGCGACGGCGCTGGATGGGTTCGAGAGGATTAGGCCTGAGGTCCCGTGTTATCTTGCGTTACATGAGTTCGATGGGGAGGAGTTGCCTTGGGGGGTTCTGAGGGAGAGTGCGGAGACGGAGTGGGCGAGGAGGGTTATGGGGGGTTTGGTTAGGGAGGAGGTGGGGTGGTATCGGTTGAAGAGGAGGTATGGGGAGTGGTAGATGGGGGTTGGCTTTGGAGGGAAAGGGGGGGCGGGGATGGGGGGAGTGTGATGCTTCATATATGCATTGGGGACTGGAAAGATAGATGATGTACGACAGATGACTTGAATCGATTACTCGGAACAGTTACGAAGAAGTTTGAGGGGTTGTCTGCTGCAAGTTAAGATTGATAACGGAGATAGTGTGAGATGTACTATGAAAAGAACATCACCAATTGCACTACATCGAACATTAGGACCGATGCAAAAGATACTCCTCAGAGATGCAAATTATTCCCGTTTCCTCTATACAGACACATTGGTATATCATGAAATCATACGCCATCCCTCCATCTTACTGCAAAACATTCTTCCCCTTTCCACCAAGCCTATCAATCGGCGACGACCCAGGCATCGACGCAAAGCTCCCGCCCTCCAACCTTGACCCATAAACATGCGTCCTCTCCTTCCCAAACGCAACCCACAGCCTCGCCGCCCACACCGTCAGCACCACCTCCCTCCACGTCTGATCCAGATCCGGAATCAGCTCGATCGACGGCACGACGCCCCCGTCCCCCAACTTCCTCAGCACCTCCGTCGCCAGGACTCTCCCCTGCGCGTCCTTCCACTCGCTGCTCTCCTCCTCCTTCTTCCTGTCTAGCCGCCCGCTCGAGAACGGCGAGAACCCCACCCGCTTCGACGCCAGTATCTCCTTCGGCTTGGCTCCGATGCGCGGGACGTGCTTGACCCGCCACTTGTTCATCGAGTACTTGAGTTCCAGGACGCCGGGAAAGCAGCTTCGTCGCTTTCCGAAGATGTGGTACTCCTCCAGGAGAGGGGGTGCCGTGACTTCGTACAGGATGTTTGAGGCATCGAAGTGAAGGGGTTGTGCGGCAGGGGACATCATCTGGGTGATTTCCTTCGGGCGCAAGCGGCGAATCCGGAATGGGGTACGGCGCCCGTCGAGGGGAGAGGAGAGCTGGTATACGGGACCTGTGGGGCTGTGGATGAAGGTTCCGTGGATGGAGAAGGATGTCTGGGTGTGGTCGAGGATTGAGTACCCTGGAAGTCCTGCGATCTCCTCATCTGCCGCTCCTGGTGTTGCGGTAGTCGTGGTAGTGGTGTTAGGTCCATGGTTTGTAGCGGATTGAGGTGTATCTAATGGCGGCGGTGCAGGTTCACTAGCTGTTAGTGCTGATTCGGCGAGTGCTTGCTGGATCTGTCGGAGTTCTTCTGGATGGATCGCAGGTTGGGCACTCGATTCTGCATAGGTTGGTATTCTTTCCTCATCTCCGCTGGTGTGCTCGTTGCGCCGATTGTGTGGTCCACTGGCTTCTGCGGATTTGCCCGTTCCATACGGATCGAGCATTGATGACGGCATGTCCACGATATATATTCTCTTTTCTCAATGAGCTTCCAAAGTGTAGATCCCTCTTAGATAGGTCGGGAGAGTCTGTGGTGTATTAATAGGGGCGAACATCGTGAAAAAGGACGGCGGGATGGACTGGTTCTTAAGGAATGAGGTTGGCTGGAACGATTGACGTATCAGATGAGGGGACCGCATTTCCTTCTTTGAAGCTTTTGCCAAGTTGTGGCTGTGCTAGGTGACACTACATTGCAAAGCCACTTTGTAGAGATAGAATTCCAAATTGCCCATGCTAGTATGGCCTGATAGCTGAAAAGGAATGATGCTGATGTTGAGAATTTCAGCCTTGTCGACGAGAGGTATACGATACCGAGTCGTTGAAGTTCCAATGATGATGTGTGTGCTATGTACACAAGATGTAGAACTACTTGTAGACTAAAACCCATTAGCTCCCTCCGACCACAACCTCAACGACCTGCATTGGGATTTACGTACATCCTATGCGTAACGTCAAAATAAGCATTCCCCATCCCTCGGAAACTCCAAAACCCCCCCAGGAACAAAGACTCTGAGCTGAACGACAAGCGACCAAGTCTCCACCACCACATAACCCCCCATGTTCCTGTGCGACCCTCCCGTCGGGTAACCCGGCTTGCGAATCCACCCACGCCAAACCTACTAAGCTTCTCCTCTTCAAGCCACTTCCTTCGCATCGAAGATCAAGGATCGGAAGAGAAAGTTAAAGTTCGGGCCGAGATGGTGCTGGACGGGATTGGACTGGACGACTTTGAACCCCACGCATAGAAAAGAAATCAACTCGAGACGAACGCTCACGAGGCGTTCGTTCTGAACGGTGAGAGAATGTAAATCTCCCGCATATGGAAGGAGAGAAAAAGATGGCTGGAAACCCCTTCCTGCCATTGGTTATCTGAGGGGAATTCCGATGCAAGAGACTCTCCAAGTCATTTGCATCTATCTGCATTTCGCTTGTCGGGACGTCAATCGGTGAGCTTATTTGTCGTGAGGGTATCGTTCGCCCACAGACCGTATGCCGTCTTATGATGAACCTGGAATGTACTGATGCATCCTGTGACTACGAGCGTGAACGGTGAGGAAAGGGCGGGGATGATTAGACCTGCCGTTGTGGAAATTACGGGGTTCTATTCCTGACGATATCCAGTCCGTTCGGCAAAGAAACGCTGTAGCGAAGCATCACTGAGTACTTTTCCCCCTCGCATAACAACAGGCCTCATTGCCGGTATGCCATTGGACAATTATCTCATACAGCATGTGTATATCTGGTCCATCTATACAATTGAAGAGCAACGCTAATGGAAAGGGTTCCATGGTTTTGAAAGATGAAGAATGATTACTATTCGACGTGAACATTAAGTGAAATTTCAGTGCAGAGTTCTTTGCTCTGATGTAAGTCCTTACATATGTGGGTGATTGAGCGAAAGTGAGGCAAATCCCACCGGAACATCGATCCACCTTATTCCGCTCACTTGAGGCATCAAAGGACAGCTAATCAAGCTAGGGGATGGGTCAATCGTTCACGGCTTTACGATCGTCGTTACTCTGATCACTGCCATGTCTGCATCTAATGCGTCAAACTAGCAACATACTCGTCATAGCTCTCTAAGCTATCCCAAAGCAATTTTGGCGGCCTTGTGGCTATCATTGTGTACACCGATGAACTACGTTGGAGTCATGTTTGGTTCACTCCTCACAAGCCCAATATCCGACCGGTTTGGCCGAAGAGATCTTGTCAGTCATATTTTATGCCGACGTCTTACATTAATTCGTGGAAATTCCCATGTTTGTGTTTATATATCATAAACAATCACGTGTGCTGTTGGAACTATCCGCTATGCCTATCTCATGACTCCATCTGTCTTGATACTATATTGTTCAACAGTCGTCCGATGCTTCCCATACGAAATCTTGCTCCAAACGCGGTACCAAGCTCCGTAGTGCTACTCCATAATCGCCCCTGTTCGGCCTCCTTAAGAGAGTATGGATGTGGAATTTAGCAGGCTCTTTGTTGTTCAAAAATACACCAGAGTGGTGATCAAACTCGATAATCACTACTGGACTCTGGATGCGGAAGTAGAATGGGTCTTCACTGCCGAAACCACCAATCCAAGACCAGTATGTCTCATGGAACCAGCTTCGGATCTGATCTAGTTGTATCTGTCGGGCCGGTTGTGGAAGATAGAGCATGTATTGCTCACATATCTCTCCAACAAGCTGTTGTTGCGTAGTATTCATATCGGACACAAGGATGCCCTCATAAGGCACAATTCGGTTATCGCGGTATGCACCACAAAGATGTCGTTGATCATCATGGTTCCAGCGCCCATGTGGCATTGCAGGGTCTTTCAATTGCTCGTATGTACGGGCTTCCTTCTGGGCCTCAGGGGCTAGTGATTGCATGAGTTTCAAGCCGAGTGCCTCTTCGGTCTCCAAGATGCGCGTGCCCTTGTAAGGACCATCGTCTATAACGTTGGGTTCAGCACCTGTGAACCAAGGCGCTATAACAATCTGCGACTTGTGAAGCAGAATGTTGAGACAGAGATGATGCCCGTAAAAGGAGAATCCCCATGGTTTCTCGGCGGAGGGTTGGCCGAATAGAACAAAATTGTACGAGAACTCGTTCATTATCGCAGGAGCCTTGACTAATTGGCCCAGGAAGTGATTAATGCGCATGGCGCCGATGGCTTTTTGATATCCTTCGGGCGACAAGGTGCTCTCGAGTATTGCCAGCACACTTTCTCGGAGTTCAAGGGATATTTCATCGAGCCTTATCCCTTTGTCACTCAATAGAAATTCAGGATTGGACCACGACCTCCACTCGGGAGAGTCTATATGATGACTGGTCTGTGACTTTTGTTCAGCACTCATAAGACCTAGCGCTGTGTCCGCCATCTGGACGATTTGCTTCACCGGGACGCCCTCATCCTGGACCTGGAACAGACCATCTCTCACCTTCCCTACCCGGGTGTTAAAATGAAGGAATCAATTTCACGTGCCAATAGGCGACAGACATAACATACCGTCGACCGTGATGCCGTGATAGGTCTCTTGGAACAGATTTCGCCAATGCACATAGAGACCATGCAGCCATGGAGGCTGACCTTTCTCCTGAAATTCTTTCACATACTCGTGTGCATCCTGCACCTGCATTGTACAGAACCGCTCCTGGCTTAAATCTGGTAGGTATTCCCTAAAGGTATTCGCCTGGGATTGTTGGGAAGGATCCATGTTGCAAGCAGTATTCAAGCAGTACCGGCGATTGCCTCTGGTTTCGTTTTCTTCAAATATTTTTCGTCTTGAGTAGATGTTATTCGCACAGCAACTAGTGTATGCTTGCATGTTCTCCAATCGACAATATCCGTAGGAGCCAATCATCTAGTGATAGAGCGCAACTGCCGGCCGAGCCGGGGGGCCGAGCCGACCCATGTCCGTCGGAATGTCCGAAGGCATGACATTGTTGAGCGTGTATCTCATCTCAGGTTACTAGACATTAGCCACCTCACGTGGCACGTTGTCATTCCTCAGGAGAGTAACTTAATCCAAGTCGCATCTGGATCTTAGCAGAGCCTTCATTGCGAGTTCGAAGAAATCACATCACCGTCTTCACGAAAATGAGCAATGCCTTCAAATTCAAGCGTGGGAAGCCCCATCTCTTCGTCTGATCAGAACGCACAAACTGACTTCTAGGAATGTAAAGGCCTCGTGCGCTTCGTGCCAAAGTCCACCGCATCTCGTATTCTGATAGGACAACCTATCCGGCACGACATCGACGTAGGTGCCGCTCTGCGCAACGGCGAACAAGTGGATGTGGAGATTTTATCTGGCACTTCTGTGCTCGCACCTGGAGTTCTCACGGGCAGAAACGAAATCATCGAACGCGTGTTGTCACCCTTGGCTGAAAATGAGGTTGGCACCATTAGGTGCATCGGCTTGAACGTCTGTACATCCCATCTTTTATCGTTCTGGCCAGTAGCTGTCTGAGCGCACCTTCATAAGGGCTGACCTCGAATCATCTTGCACAGTATAAGCAGCATGCAGCTGAGGTCAAGATGGACCTGCCAGTAACCCCGACGGTTTTCATGTTAGTTGAGGGACCTGTAAGTGCTTCATGAGAAGAAGCATCGTCACTTACGAGTCCGCAGGAAGCCAAGTACTGCCCTAGGTAATCCATGGCCAGCGCCGACTCTCCTCCCGAAGCTCACGCAAATGGATGATTGCGGTGATTATGAATCTGAACTAGCAGTTGTTCTTGGTAAGACAGCCAAAAACGTCACCGAAGACGAAGCCATGGACTATGTCTTGGGGTATACTGCATGTAATGATGTTTCAAGCCGCTCATCGCAGTTTGCTCAATCTCAGTGGTGCTTCTCCAAGGGATTCGATGGTTCCTGCCCTATTGGTAAGCTCATCGAGACTTGAAACACGTTGCCAGTGGCATTGCGCTGAGAATCTACCAGGCCCAACCTTAGTGTCTACATCAGTCATCCAAGATCCATCAAAATTGCATATTCGTGGGAAGAAGAACGGAAGAGTCCTTCAAGATTGCAGTATCAAGTAAGTCTTTCGTCTGCTCTCTGTGTACATTTAGCACTGTATCCACAGTGCGCGGTAGCACGTCAAATGTTCGTGCACTTGTTAACATTTCTTAAGTGACCTAATCTTCAGCATCCCAAAGTTGGTTAGTTTTCTGTCACAGAGCACCACCTTACCACCCGGGACAATCATCATCACTGGCACTCCGGCTGGCGTCGGCGTCGGCAAAGATCCAAAGGAGACACTCCGCCATGGCGATGAATTCTCTGTTGAGATTCTACCACATATTGGCACGTTAGTAAACAAATTTATAAATGAATAAAAGTTTTATATAGGTTTAGATAAGTATAATCTTGATATACATCTTTAACTTATCTTAGCTTCTAGAAAGACTGTGAAGGTTATAGCTACTCCTTGATTTATTGTTAGAAGCATGCAAGGAACTAACAGCAGAAAGAAGATACTGTATAGAAGCAATCACTACCTTTGTTACAATTAGGGCGTGGTAGTTCTAAGGAAGGAATCAAAATATGGCAGTGAAGAGTTAGATTGAATAACTATTTAGGTAGAGCTATAGAAGTCATTAGCACCCAGTCGGTAGTTACATATATAGTTTAGGGTTGCCCCTCATCTCCGTTCGTACAGCTAGACAATAGATGTTTTACTTTAAGGTTTGGTTGTAGGATTAATTTTAATCTGCGCTATCTATTATTTTATCATAGATATAAATGCGATTTGACAAGCCTTTTGATATCTGCAGATGTCGTATTGGCCCCAAGGCAGCCGACAATATGCTGATCAGGTCGTACCAACAGAGCACCGCCGTTACAGAATCCGATGCCCTTATTATACAGGTCAAACTGGCTCTGATCTACAAATATGAAGTCTGAGTCGGCAGCAACGAGGCGGACCTTGATGCCTTGGTTGTCCAGGGATAGAGAGGCCTCGTGGTGCCGATCTTCCCAAGCTGCCCGTGAGTTCACTAGTAGTGTGAATGACCCAACTTCAATAAGATCCAGAGTCGAGTATCGACGAGCGTCAACCTCTTCTTGAGATAGCTCTTTAATATACGAGACATCGAGAGGCTCTATAGCCTCGGTAAGTTTGCTAGACTTGGGCCAAATCCAAGCATGTGGGAGTCTCGCGCCAACTTTGAATTTGGGTGTAAAATGGGAGGCATTCTGTGGCACCTCCTTACTGCCGTAGACATATCCAATGTGAATTTCTAGCTTGAAACGCACGACTGTTAGCAAGACATAGCTGGGGAGAAGTAAAGGAAGAATCGACGAACATTGTCAAAGTGCTCACGCTGATTTTCAATTTCGCTTTGAATTTCGTCTTGTTTGGCTGGATCATGGATCGATCGTAGCAAATTTGCACGAGCCTCCTCCAAGTCAGAGATGTCGGCAGTGCCGAGGGCCTTTAGGAACGAGAATATCTTCTTTCCGTTCTTGACGCTCTGGGCCGAGGCTACGAGTGCAATCTGCCGCCTTTCGGCATCGTAAGAATCTAGTAGACCGTCTTTTGCCCATCCTTGGTGCACAGCCGCAATCTTGTAAGCAAGATTGTGAGCATCTGCAAGGCCAGAGTTGAGCCCAAGACCCCCTGTCGGTGGGAAGGAGTGGGCGGCATCGCCGACACTATCAGCGCATCAGCACACGGACAATGGATGTTGTTTGGAGGGGGGGCGATCATACAGAAACACGCTCTTCTGGCGATAATGTTTAGCCACCTTCCTACTGAGGAGCCATGGTCGATAGCTCAGCACCTCGAAGGGAATATCCTGTCCGATGGCTGCTGATACTGTCGCCCTGGCAAGATCCTCCGTCCAGGTTTCTGCAGGGTGTTTGTTGGACTGTAGAGTTTTGTGTCAGCAAAGTGTAGAGTTGGGAAATTGTGGCAATGATGGATGGCTTAGGCAAGACTCTACAAGGGTGCAAGAGGAACATTTTGGGCGCGCTGGGGCTCCTCACATCGAAGTTGCTGATCAGGACCTGATTACCGCCGAGATCATAGGCGATGATGAATCCAGAGCAAGCAGGATCGGTGATCCAATGCAACATTCCTAGTCGGTCTTTGACTACTGGACGAAGGTCGCCCTTAAAATGGATCGTCATCATAGTCTCGTCTATGAGAATTAGCAGTGGCTCTAAACGATTCGTATGTCGCTCACTCACATCCATCTTCTCCCTCGGACTCGATTCTCAGGAACTTTCTGACCTGGCTCCTGGCACCATCACAAGCAACGACGTGCCTGGAAACGACCTGCCACTGCTCCTTGGTGGCACGCTCTTCTACGGTCGTCGTGACAAAATCACCGTTCTAGACTGGATTAGAGGCACGTCTACCGGTATCAATACCACGTGGCAGACACTCAACATACCTGATCACATGAAACAAAAGCAACACCCTTTCTGATCTCAACATTGGGATCTTTCTCCAAGTGCCAAGCGACGAATTGCTCGAAGTCGGGCTGGGGAATGTTGTGGATCATCTACATGAGGAATGAGTTAGAAAGCAGAGATGTCCGTGGGTTCCAGAGACACTGACTTCTGGTGTGCAGTCGAGGACCTTCGGATCCATGCGCTCGTAAGGAAGCACACCTATGCGGTCTCCAGACAGGTTGGTCACAAAGTTCACCCAGAACGCATCGGTCCTGGGCGAGCCTTGCTTCCGAATCGCATCTGTGCTGAGACCATATTGCCTGCAGATCTCCAAACTACGAGGGCTCAAGGCGTGAGCCTTGGGAGCGGCAAGTCGCTCTGGATACTTTTCGATGAGAAGAGATTTGACTGTGGGCGCAGTTACTTGAAGCTGTCGAGGTAATGGTACGAGGTGGACGGAGCTAAGACTACTGACCACCGAGCTTGGAGAGCATATACGCAGACAGAAGTCCGGTTGGCCCACCTCCTACGACGAGAACTGGCACATCCAGAATGGGGTTCACGCTGCCCATACTGGTAGCAGGATTCGGCAGAGGGTTGGAATTACAAGAGGACGAATGCGGCTACGCGAGCAGCCAGAGCCAAAAGCTGGGTGGTGGACATTTCTAATGAAGGTTGGCGGCTTTGTAAAGCCCACCGCCAGGCCTTGTTCATCGTGTATCTCCGTTGTGATGCTACGATGGCTGTTGTCCCGTGGTAGCCTTTCTCGAAGACAGCAATCCGAGGCTCGTCGAGGGACCTCGGAAGCTCCCGAAGGAACGCGTCCGATTGGACAGAGCAGCCGCCGGAACAGCCGCCGGAGCATCCGGAATGCGGGATCGCGCTTGCTGCGGATTTTAAAGCGTTCCAACAGCGACCCGCCTGTCGGAGCCATCATTTCTGTAGAGCGCGTTCTCCGAGGCGACTCATGAGCATCGTAGTGTAGGCCGTTAGAATCTGAGTTGCAGTCACGGCTTGTGGTCGTTCAGGTCTTGGACATGTCTTCCACCCTGCCGTATGGTTCGTCGTCAGCCGACGTGGCCAATGGAGTGGAGCCTCTCGTTCCTGTCAAGCGCAAGAGACAGCCTCGCGCTGCTGTTGCCTGCGACATATGTCGGAGTCGTAAAGTCAAGGTAAGCACATCAGTAATTGAGCGGCTGCCCATTGTCTGACGTGGAAGGATAGTGCGACGGCAGGTTCCCCTGCTCTAGCTGTACCCGTAAGTCACGCCATCGGATTCTGCACCTCGACATGTACTGAGCGGGTCCCCTTGCAAAACTAGAACATGCCTTCGAGTGCATATACAAGGAGAGACAGCAGGCCATCGTCCACGACAGCACTGCTGAGCGCGGGCCATCAATTGACTTATATTGCCATCACCACAGATGCTTAACCAGTACCCCCAACCTGGCCAGGACTTCAACGTCGAGATGCCTGAATCTCGCACCGCCAGCCAGGTCGAGGGCGCTGTTGGAGCCGGACACGCCAGTTAGTGCCACTGACAGCTCGGCATGCGAGACATATGGCGAGCCAGCGTCGCAAGAGAAAAGTCCCACACAATGTACTGCTGCGGGATTGGGAAGCATCAACTTGTATACCGATGGTGCCGAGTACTATGGCCGAACGGGCACCTTTTATTTTCTTTCCAAGCTTCGGGCTTGGGCCCACTCACAGCATCAACCCCAGACGAATGCACAAGCCTCGACATCGTCTATAGCAGATGACTCTGTGGTCAACCTTTTTCACAGTACAGATTACTCGGCAATCAATGGCACAGAAGGTCCGGAGGAGGCTTCAGAGTCTCGATTAGCAACACCACGTTCGAGCAATGCGATACCTCTGTCCCACGATGCTACCCCTGTGCAGAGATTCAACGAAGCATTGACGGACTTGGAGATAGAAGTCGGCCGGGATTGTGCTCGGCTCTACTTCTCGAATCTCCACTGCATCCACCCGGTGCTGGATCAAGCCGCCTTCTTAGCACGTTGCGAGCATGAAGTATGGACAGGCAAGCACAAGAGCCCTGGAGTAGCATCCTCAGTCAGACGGCGGACAGGAAACAGGTTTTTGGCGTTGTACAACATTGTCTTGGCTACTGGCGCCATCACTGCTGGAGAGACATCAGTCCTCACAGGGGACAGAGTGCTTCGCTTTGTAGAACGCCATGAGAAAGACAAAGAAAAGTTCACCGGGAAAGCCCCATCTCCTTCGATCCGAACTGCGAGGATATTCTTCGAGAGGTGCAAAGCATCATTGGGCGATACTTTTGACAGAAGCTGCTTCGAGACTGCGCAGACTTTGTTCCTCATGGTGAGAACATGTACATGAATCCCCTTTTGGGCCAGGCGGAGCTGATACTGTGTGCAGTCAGTATTCTGCCAAAATGCGCTAAAACCACACGCATGTTACATGTATAGTGGAATGGCTATCCGTACCGCATTCGCGATTGGAATACCAAACAAACTCCCTGAAAAGACAAACGACGAGCGTCTACTTTGGTGGTATGTCCAACGGCATCACCCGTAGATCTAGGTCAAACCCCGTGTAGCTAACTAGCGACAGGGCGCTTTACTCCCACGAGATGTGAGCCAAGCCGAAAGCCGTCAGTCGATTGGCATCGCATATGCTGACTGCGTAGTGAAATGTCTTCTTCAGCAGGACGTCAATCTTTTCTACAAGAACCCGGCTGTTACTCCATCCAGTTTCCGAATGGCATGGTAGGTAGCTTGCTTCCAGTCCTATTCCTTTATTTTGCATGTCGCAACTACTGAATTTTGTTGTCAGATTTCGACTGGACCGTCTCTGAACATCATCAAGTCAATGGTCGACTTCGCTCATATTCTCACCCAGGTCGTCAGAAGCACATACCAAGTCGAAGACGATCCAGGTGATGTGGATCTGTATCAAAGGTCTCTGGAGCTTGAAGGTTATCTCCAAGATTGGAAGGCGAAGCTACCCCCTGAACTGGATTTTGACACGGCTTCTTTGTCTGAGCATGAGATGGTCACTAAACAGAAAATTGTGCTAAAATTACGTACGGTCATGACCTTGAAATATCGTGAATAGGACAATCGACTGACCAGGCGCCACAGGGTTTCTCAATGCAAAAGTGCTTATACATCGACAGTTCATCATCTCTTCCACGCCACACAGGCCAGAGCACGTATTCTCTTGTGTCAATGCGGCGATAGAAACGATACGCTTCGTCTACGAGAATTATCTGTATCGACCATACTTTCGGAGTTGGTGAGTATTGTTTTACAGTAGCATTCCTGTGCTGATCATGAGCTGTGTAGGTGGTACAACTGCACCTACGTACTAGATGCTGCTATGGTACTGCTCTATGTCATCCTTACCAAAAGATCTCCATATGCTTTCGAGAGCATTACCAGTGACATCAACAAGAGCCTAGAGATATTCAAAGCGATGGAGGTACTTGCAGTTGCTCGTAGATGTTACGATATCACTTCCGAGGTCCTTGACGTGGCGACAAACCTGTACAGAAGCCAACAGGGTCAAAGAAACAACGAGCCTCAGGACAGAACCGCCATGGACCCTCAAGACCAGATTCCTGATGCCAATGTCATCGGGCCCGTCTCCGAGTTCGCAGGAGAGAATGAGATCGAGGACAATGTTACAGGTATATCGGGTATGTCGCTACCAGAAGAGCTGAGTACAAGCCTGGTTGACATGAATCTTATGTATAACTTCTGGGATGATGAGGGTTGGAGTGTATGGACTTCGATGGGATCTTGATGATACCAGACCAGACTTTTTGTCGTCCACAATTACACTAACTAGTGTCAAGCGAGTAGCAGATTCACTGGATGAATTTTACCACTTTATACCCGTAACGTGTACTAATAATTAATAGCATCTGTTGCTTCGTTTTTGTTTGTGCTCGTGTTGTGTGCTTACTGACGTACTTTTTGGGCTCTACTGTTGCGATCTGGTATCCTCTTGGGACACATTGGCATCTGGAGACAAAAGCAATCTTGGAATAGCCAGGTTCTGAGTACCTCTGTGTTTCACGCAGTTGGAATTCCGTTTGAGCTACTAGGCATTATTGCACGTATCTCAGAACCCAATGTTGGCGCAAAGTCTTGTGCGATGCTCTTCACCACGACGTCGTTAGTGGCGCGTTACATGCTTAAATGACAAGACAACTAAATACATCGAAGGGATAATTCAACATTTGATAGCTACTGCAACTCTTATAATACAAGCGGTGAGATTTGAAGCTGTTAGAGCCTATATGTCCATCATGCCAGATTGCACCTAGTCAAGAGGTCTCGTTTGTGAATACTAGTACGAACCGCCTTTCCCCTCAGGTAGAGCCAAATGGTAGACAGATGTATGATCACGTTGATACTTGCAATCACCATGAACACAGTTAGCATCCCGTTGGCTGCGACCCAGTCGTTAATAACCCATGTCCATATCCAAGCCAGCAGCGACTTTAGAGAAGCAATAGCCACCATCAACTCGACTGAGAACTAGAATAGTGTGTTAGAAGGTGTGCTTCCGCGCTAGTGCTAACACAGCAGGAAAAAAGAACTTGCCTGTTGGTGACAGTCGAGTGCATAGCTCATGGCTAGCGACACGCCGAACTGAGCGCCTGCAGCCTGGATTCCCAAGCCGATGACTGGGCCAATCCAGTGCGTCTTTGCCTCGTAGGTCAGAGTCAGAACAAGGGTTCCACTGAATATTAAGAACGTGCCGATGGCCAGTGTAGGCAGGCGCATTTCAGGCTCTCTGATGCCGTCATTCCTGATGGAGAAGTAATTCGCGATGCGATCGGACATAGCACCGCAGAGCCATGTCGCTAGTAAGGAGCCGATGAAAGGCGAAAGGAACACAAGTCCCTGAGCTTGAGCGTCGAAGCCATACTGTGGCTCAAACAGCTGTGCAAGAGTTGCGCCGAGGATTACGTTCCATCCGAGAGACATTCCGTAGATGAGACAGGCCCATAGTACGGTGGGATACGTGAGGAGAACAAACGGCCGCAGAAAGGTCTTGCGGAGACTGACGTTCTTGTCAGAGTGGCCCCAAAATTGCAACTCGTGTACAAGGGGTCGCTTTGGTACTAGGGCTCCCTCAAATTTCGGCAACGCCGACAGTTCTGGTCTTGGTGTCCCATCTTTTTGTACATTCTCAACCATTTCAGTCTGATCTTTCTTCGTTGTATCAGCATCTGTGGCATATCGAGCTTGGGGGCGAATCCCCTGGTACTTGGTCTCGGGCATGAAGAAAAACATGGTGATGCAGTTCAGGCCGATGAACATGGCGACGATATAGAATGCCCAGTCCATGCCCAGGTACTGGACAATGAGGGCCGAAAACTGCAGTTTCTCCTTAGCAATCGCTCTAGGATGAAGATCTTTACGTACGAGGGGTCCAAGTTCGTTGCCTCCCAGAACGGCAAGTCCATAGATCGACACCACGTTGCCGCGTTCGTGGAGGAAGAATATGTCCGTAATGGTACTCGGTAGAATGGATTCGATGGGTGCTTCAAACAGCCCGAGGAAAGCACGTCCGAGCAGAAAGGGGATGTATGAAGCGTTGACGACAAGTCCCAACCAGATGCAGGCAACACACATGAGGATGTTGGAGAGCAGGTAGACGGGTCGTCTCCCGTACTTGACAGCTAGGGGCCTTTGTGATACCGTCTGATGTCAAAATTCATGACCTGCTTCTGGGTACGAGGATTGAGATTTCGCGCAAGACTTACATCCAGAAGATATTACCGACACCCTGGCAGATTAGAGTCGCACCGTTGGCATACGTCAATCTCTGCAAGGGTTCATGGAAGGCCTGCGTCAGACGGATCATCATGGCAGCCATGATGGGACCCGTCACGCTTCCCATGAATGCGTACGCCGTGCCATTGATAAAAGTTACCCATTTCTTCTTGTTTGACCATCGAAGTGGATCATTCGGGTCATTGAGCGATGGCTGAGGCACCAACACGATGAGGGTGTCGCCTTTGCTAATGAATTGGAGATCGACTTCGCCTGAGTTGGGCTCAGCAAATAGGCGTTCTGTACCTGGGACGTGAGCACTAGGAGTTGAATGTATTTGATCGGCCATATCCGACTTTGCCACTGCTCCGGTCAGTGTATGGCTGACAAGGTTTGTTGATTCAAAAGATGAAGTATGAGGGAGTCGCGATATAGGGATGGGAAAAGAATGACCAATCACTCATCTAAAGATGCCCATCAGACTCGAGTGATCCGTGGGCTCTATACCCTCTGGCTTTAAATCAACGTTCCCCAACTACAAGCACACAAAGCGGTTCAGCCCAAAATACACTTGCTGTCTAGGTGAGATCTCGTACCCGCATTGGCCCACTGACTTAGCCTTGGACCTCGAAATCCAATCGGGAATCATTGTGGCACCTCCAATTCACTACCCCAGGTTCTCCTCAAGTACCCCACGTTTGACCCCGTGGAGAGAAAGCTTGGAATTGCATTATGGGGAAACCACACTCGTCGGCACTACCCGAGCAGTGCCAAACCACGTTACGAAGAAGTGCATCGGAGCCATGCCGACGGTTTCGCCGGCCCAATTACTCGCTTCGCTGGAGAACGGCTTTGCGTAGTTTTATCAAATCACCAGCAAGGACTAGGACCTTACGAATATGGCCAAGGCATCGTGACTGGAAATTCCTGGCGCTCCGGGACTTGTTCTCATCTTGCTAGAGCGAATAAGCGAATGTTAGAAAGGATACGGAGTATCCGAACGGTAAGAGCCGCTGTAACGCATTTAGCTCTAGCACAGTCACTTAAGCATCATCGGATCCGGAGCCTACATAGTAAGTGTGGTTTCCGTGTGATGAAATCAATCACGCTTAGCGCCCCGGATTCCTCGGAAATCCCGAAGTTGCGCAACTTCAGTCTCATTCAGATCGCCCTCCACGTTCCACCCCGCAAACAAGTCACTGGTATGTACTTTAAGAGCAGCAGCAGATGATCAATACACATCGTCCTAAAGCGCCATCTTTTTATTCTATTGCATATTTCAAAGCACATCGCCATCATGTCCGAACGAAAAGGACCTTTCAAGCTAGTGACGGTCAATACTGCCCCAGAGCGTGCCAAACGTGTCATTGGCCGTCTTATCGAGGCACTCAGGGGTGATTTCGATATCGAACATATCGACAATTGCGAGAGTAGGTTGATGCAGAGACATCTTATGTATCTTATGCAAGGTCCAAAATTGACACTGGTCACCCTGTCTCCAGGCATAGATCAAGTTGTTCCGACAGTTACCAAGCACAAGCCAAATGTTCTTGTAAGTCGACACCTCCATGCGCCGCAATGTTCTTGTTACTGAATAAACTCTTCTTTGAAGTTCTGTGCTTCAATGTGGACGGCTGAGGAAGCAGAAAAGATTCAGACCCTTGCGCGGTCTGTCGTCCCGGATATCAAGACGCACGCAATTCCTACAGGATTGCAAGTAGAGCGTGGTCCAGATGGTGTTGTTGAGTATCTAGTTGGAAGGGTACCAGTCTTGCTAGAATCTTAGTTATTAGCCAATAAAAGACTAAAACTATAGAATATAATTTTATATCTATATATTCAATCATTAAGATTAAATAATTAAATAATCAAGTATAAGATAGTAATAATCTACCAGGCTCTTAGTCTCTTAGATGGAGGAGATTTTAGAGTACAGGTCTGAAGCTGAGACTGTAGCAAACACAACGCTAATGCTGTACTGCCTGCCAGTCTCTAAATGCCAATCAGAGCAAGGCTACCAGATAATCAATGTTCGGAAATTCCGAGCACTACAACCGACAATTCCGAGCACCGCAACCGACGGTAGGTTATAACATATAACATGTGGAACGCCCGTTTAGACAGCAGGAGAGCGCTAACCTCGTCTTTAAAGCGTAATTACTTTTCGTCTCTCTATAACCATGGCCACAGAGATTGATGGTATTCAGATACCCTTCGGTGATGCAAGACAGCCAAAGGCGCTCCCTCTCGACCATCCGAAAGCTCGCTGGGGAGGCTTCAAAACCGAGACAACCATCCTACGAGCTGGCCATGTCCGTCGACCTGGTTGCCTGCCCCTTCCATGTGACATCAAATTCGAACGCGATCAGCCCGTTAAGGTCAGCCGAGGATACTTGTTGTTGTATTACATCATTGACGGTGAATATTAGCTACGGGACGGCGTGACCATCTACGTCGATGTCTACCGACCGGTCAATGAATCGATTGCACACCCCGCGTTACTTGCGTGGTCGCCCTATGGAAAAGAGCCTGGACGTGGAAATCAAGTCTTGGATGATTTTATATTCCGCATGGGAGTGCCACTGCACAAACTGTCCGAGTTTCAGAGATGGGAGGGACCAGATCCGGCTTACTGGGTGTATCATGGCTTCACGGTTGTCAATGCTGATCCCCGTGGCGTTTACAAGAGCGAGGGCAATATATATCAGTTTGGCTCGCAAGAGGGCCGAGACGGAGCAGATTGCGTAGACTGGATTGGCTCACAGCCTTGGTGCAATGGGAAAGTGGGGTTGACGGGAAATTCATGGCTTTCGATATCGCAGGTACTGTGGACATTGGTCTTTTGCTGTATCGCAAGTATGCTAATTTGAAAAAGTGGTTTATTGCGGCTGAGAGACCCAAGTACCTTGCTGCCATTTCTCCAGTACGTATTCTAAACAACAAGAGCTAGTGCGTCTTCATTATTTCTAACAAGCGTGATCTAGTGGGAAGGTGTCACAGACGTGTTCCGTCATACATCACTAGGAGGAGTCATGTCAAAGCCGGCAATGGACTTCAATCTACAGCTCCTCCAGGTCAACGTAGGAGAAAATTCCTGGGAGAACACCGTGGAGATGATAACTAAATCCCTACAATATGGCGCATATCATGAGGACAAGAGAGCCAAAATTGAGGTATGAAGAGCCTTTCTTCCACGACATGCTGAAACTGATAGATTTTCCAAGAACATCGATGTTCCTGCTTACGTTACAGCAAGCTGGTCCAATCCGATTCACTCATACGGTACCTTTCATGGTTATGTGAATCTGAAATCTCCAAAGTGGTTGAGAGTCCATGATACTTGGGTAAGCAAAAACATATTCAAGGATGAATTGGCTCATAACAGCGCGACTAGGAATGGCCTGATTATTACAATGAAGAAAATCGAACTGATCTACACAAGTATTTCGACTACTATCTGAAGGTATATTTAATACTCCATCAAAAATCGAACATACTAAATCTTGAGCCAGGGAATCGAAAATGACTGGCCATCAACCCCACGTCTGCGAGCAAAGCTCATCGACACATCAAAGCCGGTAGGCAACTCGGGAACTGACTTTACGTGCCTCGATTTCCCGTCGCCGAAAATGAAGTCCTTCAAGCTCTTCCTAGATGCGGAGAATGGGTCGCTGACTGAGACGTATCCCGTTGAATCCACACTCTCATACGTTGCGTCAACGGGCAGCAAGTCCCTCACATACACATTTTCGCGAGACACCAAATTCTGCGGTCCCATTCAAATCTGTCTCCAGGTGTCGGTTGAAAACGGCACTGACACAGACATCTTTGTTTCGCTGGACCGTCTCCCCAACGGCTCGGATCGCCCTGCCGAGCAACTCAAGATCCCATACGAGAGATCTTATCAATCTGGACTTATTCGCATGGCCCGGATGTTGAATCTCTCCAGAGAACTCGGCCTGCTGTTTTATAAAGGACCTAACGGGTCTGCACGTTTGTCTCGCCGGACATTGAGGGAGGAAATTTCGAGGCCGGGGTTTCCGGCACCGGATTTGAGTCAGTCAAAACCAGTGAAAGAAGGGCAGATAGAAACAGTCCAGGTTCCTATCACGCCGATGGGTATGTTGTTTCGAGCTGGAGATAGGCTGCGGGTAACATTCTCGGGCCTCGATCCGGCTATATTCCCACCAGTGGACCAGAGCACATTACAGACAGCCGATGGGGATCATGTTAGCACCAGCGTTAACAAGGATGTTAAAGTCCAATTACATTGTGGGTTATCTGACAAAAGTGGAAGTCATATTATTCTACCATTCATTGATAACTAAAGGTCAGACTTGCTGTAAGTGTATCAAATAGTACTTCATGATAAGCTATGCTATATCAGTAGCTATTTTGCTTAGTAGTTTCTAAGCAGATAGTTCCTATCATCTACCTACCCATGTTTCGATACAGCTTGCATGAGAATAGAATGTGCACGCGACTAACGCTTGCAAATATGCTGGAAGCAGTTATTGTACTCCCGACGATGATGTTTACAATACCCATGAGAAGGTGTTCTTGCATGCAGGTTGCAAGGCAATTGCGGTACTTTTCTGTTTGTACAAGCTTGTACATTCAGGCGGACAGATACAACTAAACAGTAATTACTCTTAGGGCTATTTAGAGTAGGAACTCCCGACTCCACGTTTCCCCCTCACAGCTCCCCAATCTACAACAATCCCAAAACCCACTTTACCCGACAACCCAATATCCCACCGTAACACAAGCAGCACCACCACGTATGTCCACCCGAGCTTCTTACGACAGACAGTTCTGTCTACCATGGCTCCGGTAGGTCGTACATTCCCTGTTCCGTGGCGTTGGTGGTCCGAAAGAGGGAAGTGATGTTCGGTGATGGTTGGAGGTGAGGTTGGTGAGATTGCACGGCATACATCACGAGGGGTTTCTGGAACGGAGTGGAGAAAAACGTGGGGATGGGGGAGAGGAGAAGCGTGTCATGGGGTGCTGATGGGGCATTGCTTATGTTGTACAAGATTTGTGGGAGAGATTGTTGATGGGTGTGGGTTGGGTGCATGGTGTGTGGTGGGAGGGAAATGTTGTGTGACAGAGCTGAACGTACGTTCAACTATGGTTCAAGTAGAACATCGAAAGGATATCTACATATCGCTACAAAACACAACAAGATCTCTAAACCCGTCTTCTAGGCTGTCTACATGTAAGGTAAATGTAACGTACGCTATCTCAATACTCCATCTTCTTTACCCGCGCACAGCACCTCATCTACCGCTATTCCAGACTCAACCACATATCTACCCCTTCCAATCTATCAATTCAAACATCAGCTCCACGCTTACATCTACTCCATGTGGCGTCCCTCACCCCCTCTCTCCCCTCCTGACGCCTCAATCAATTGGACACAACCCCACCAGCCAGGCTGAAATGCTCACGAGGGGTTTAATGTGGTCGGGCGTTCACGATATGCCCTCCCCTCGCAAATCCATGTCCATGTCCACCACCCCGCTCAATCAACCCCCCAAAAAGCAACCAAGCAAAAAACCCAAAACGCCACAAACCCCAGCTGAACACCCGCGGGATTTTCTCACCAAAAAAGCTTGGACGTTGCTTGGACGATGCTTGACAGTTCGGTTTCGCTCTTACGCGCCGCATGCGGGCGAAATGGGGAAATGCTTGTGCGTGCTTGTTCAGCTTTTGTGTGGCGTGTGCGGGATGCTTGAATGGGAAGGGTAGGGTAGGGTAGGGGAGCGGGAGGGCGGGTAGACGGCATGGGGTTGGAGGGGTGAGGGTACGGTGGAATAGGATGGTGTTTTGATGTTTATCTCTCTCTGTGTATGATGGCGAAAATGGTACCGTACAGTTTACGGTCCGAGTTTACTATCACGATGAGTCTGCACATACATACAGTACTTCGAATTTTTACATGCAAGCTGCAGGAGAACTTCCACCTCATCCATCCCTCTGCATCCCCAAAACAACAGGAAAAAAAAAACCCTCAAAATTCACCCATTGGACCACGATTCACAACTCACAACAAAACCATTCACCGATAATCCAAACCTCAAACATCGTCCGCGGTATTTCTTTCCCTCCCTCTTGGCTTGCTCTCTGCCTCATTTCCCTGTCCGCAGACATGCGGTGTGCTGCTGTCCCTCACCTCAATCCTCAATCCCTAGCATTCGTTCAATTGATCCAAGCTTGAGATGTTTTTTTCCGTCCTTGGAGGACGAAATTGCATTTCCTCTTTCAAAGGAGGAAAATAAGAAACATTGATTAGTTACCGCATCCTTTTAAAATCGTGAGGCGTACCGTCTTCACTCTGCATCCGCACCTGCATCTACCTACAAGTACGTAGCATTATCGCATGGGATTCCTATTAAGTGGAAGTGGATACCGTACGCATCGCACACAAATGGTAAAGTCCAGTGGAGTCAAGCTCTGCGTCGGAGTGTGCGTGTGGGATGTCCGCGTTTTGTTTCGGCCGAGCGTCGTGAGTCGTGACCAATGTTGAAGTGTCAAGGGAACTCGACGACGACGATTGCAGTTACAACTACTAGGTACGTACGAGTCACGAGTCACGGGTTGATGACATACAAGTACGAACCGGAGGAAAACCATAATTCGCTTGTGCGTTTTCGGGATGGCTGGATTGGGAAATAAGAAATTATGGGGAAGGGTTGGTTGGTAGGGAATTGTGGAGATGGGTTTTTCTTTGCGAGAACGGAGGGAGGGAGAATGTAAATGCAGTTGTCTTGGATTTCTTGGAGGTTTGAGCGGTCTGACAATGCCAATGTTTTATGAGGTAAGAGTGAATGATTTTGCAAAACAGAAATATGGGGTTGGCCTTGGGGGAATAATAGTCTAATCAACATGTTAAATTCGCATGGAAGTAGAGTCGGTCTGCCAGACCCTCCGGAGAGAAGATGAAAAAGATGCCGGGATACCGCTACCAGTAATGATCAGATAAATTCCGTCGAACAAATATCCCTTCTACGAGTACTCCGTATTTCCACGGAACTATCCCATTCAGAAATCGCCAGAAATTATACAAACCAAGCCTCCGCCAGGATCCCTATTAGTAACAGCACATACGGTGGACGAAAGCCTGACACATGGACACTGAAAGACGCGTTTTTCCTTCCCTCGCTCTCGCTGATTCGTTCGTTCTATGGTAATTTCTACATATGCGCTGTCTATTTTGGCATCTCTCTACGTAAAAAAGAAAGGATATATTCCTAAAGAAGCTTTTGTACAGTAAACAAAACTGAAGATCTCGGAAGATTCGGCATCGCATCGCATTTCCTCGGCCTCATCCCTGAAGGATATCACAGAGAGTCATAGACTGCATTCATGTAGTCATGTATTCGCAGGGTGTAGATTATTATTGAATAATAGAATCATGCGACCAATTACACTGGCTCAAAATGAATAAATAAATAGTTCCTTCTCTAATTATAGGCAGGCAGGACCAGAGAGACGTTAGGGGAAAGTGGATGGTAAGGCATCTGATACCCGTACGTATTGTCAGATCCACTCCACGAAGATGAAGCAGCACAAACATCGGTCCTGTGGTACATACATGAAGTATGGGATAATTAGCACGACTACATGACTACATTATACCAACGCCAACGATTTCTCCTAATCCCCTTTACTTTCATTCATAGTCCATTTATAAGTGTGCCGTTTTGGAGAACGGTAATGCCATCTCCCTCACGTAGATATGTTTGGACCATTTGGATATGAGGACACAAGTTCGTTATAGGAATAGATCTCTTCTATTGCCGTCATTGGCTTCAACTCACGCAAAACAAACAAAACAGACGCACAAGATTTCTCCCACAGTACAGTAGGTGGTGGGGCAGACAAGTCGCCATGAAGATGGCACAGATGGATCGTATGACGTATCTGCATCAGGCACCCCAGGGTCCAAGAACAGTTTCTGCCCCTCATCAACATCAACATCAACACTACACCACAACACCTTACAAATGAACAACGGAAGACTTAGTGGTGTAAATTGTGTGTATATTAAAAAATCACCCGATAATTCCAGAATCCAGATAATCAATCAAACAAATGATCACTCGATTCAACTCAACAGAAAGACATCAAGCCTGTTCTTGGTGGTCGTCGATATTATTTTCCCACGTCCAACTATCCTCCACGGGAGGAAATCATAAGCACTCCATGAAACGAGACTGGCTGGTTTAGCTAGCTAGCTGCCTTGTGGACGATGCGGGCGGAACGCCGCAAATGGGTGAAGTCGGGGCTGTGGAAGGTCGGAGTGGGCCGCTATCCGTAAGTATTTCACACGTTGCTCCGTATTCAAATCTTCTTTGCTTTGATATCACTGCTTGTTGCTGCTTGGCTACGATTGGATCATTAAAAAAAAAACACGAGAGATCGCTCGCTTCGCATCGGCCTGAGGTTGGAGAAATGGTGCTTTGCATGAGGAGGAAAGCCCGGAGTAATTATTACCACCTTCCCGAGGGAGCGCACCAGTCGCTCGAGGTTAAGTTATCACGCGGCGCGTCATGCTAAAAGTCTTGTATTATGGAATCTCCCACACCACGACACCTCTGGACGAACCGGACGGCACTGCACCGGGGGTGTTTTTTCCTCTGCTGGGCGTGGTGCCAGACGGGGCTGCGATTTGCGATTTGCGAACTGGCGACTTGGTGGCGCACTTTTGCCATTTGCCTCTGCGAAACCTCGGCGCGGTGCAGGCCAAGCCCTCTAGAAGCCGCTATCGAACGTTGACGTGCTTACACAGTGTGGTCCGTCGGCTGCGAGGCGTCCTGGGCGCACGTCGTTAGCCTTGCCTGTCGACAGATGATGTGAGCGGAATTCGAATATCAATTGGTAACAAAGGCTTGGGTGGTACTTTGTAGGGTTGGGAAGTCGGATCGTGTGCCTATCCGACGCTCACAACCCGACTTCCTTGCGCAGCTCCCCTACCCTCACCTGTCGTATCTTATCCTACCCCAGCGAACACCCCGCCCGTGAGCAGCGCGCCGCTGACGGGGTCTGCTGCTGGCTGTGGTTAAGCGCTGTGCAGTGAGGTTGCGCTCGAATGTTGGTAGGTGTAACCCTCAGCTCCTGGGTGGACAGGCCACCACCGGCCTTGGATCGTCGGATAGATGGATGTCTGTCTTGTATGCGCTGCAAGGCGAAAGGGGTGCATGCAGGCGACCTTTATCGTACGGTCGACTCGGATCCGCGACAGCCATCTCTCTCTCAACCAGCGTGTGCAGCGTTTGCCGCTACTTTGCGATGCAGGCAACGCCTTTCGCCCATCGCGACCCGTCAACAAACGTTTCACGCGCACTAGTGTGAACAAAAGATGAGGTGATGGTTAGACATGCGCAGACCTTGGAAGGGCAAGGGGTAATTGCAGAGCCGACGGGATAATTCCGTAATTCAATCGTACTCGCGAATGGAGATAAGGAACGCGAGGACGAGATTGTCTGGGACGACCGGCGGGATTTGCGGAGCGGGATCGATATGAGGCAAGACTAGTTGCTAGCCCACCAAGTCAACGGCGCTTCCTCGCCGGTCTCTTGCTAAGAAAGGGACCGCTCTGTTCCTGTAGTTGAGCGTCCAATGAGCGCAAGTCAGATGAATGTTGGAGGATTTGCAGGATAGATGGAAGAATATCATATGGATATTGAATATTGTAGTCCACAGTACGTCGTGGATGCGCGCTGCAGTAATGATTAATAGTGATAGTAAAAGAATACATCGTACACCTCGTCGCGCCCACCACTCTGCCATGCACAAACAGTTGAACAAGTAAGACCGCCCTGTTTTGATAAGGAAATATCCGGTGCAATCTGGGCTCTGTCTGGTCGAGCACGTAGTGATATGGAATCGTATGGCAGAAAATTCCAAAGTATCGTAGTTCGTCAAAATATGGTCGGGATGCAAGACTCCAAAGAGTCCTTCCTACACTTGTTGTGTGGAACCTCGCAGAACAACGCCAGCAATGCTTGCAGACCCAACAAAGGAAAAAGGAAAAATGGAAAATAAACAATTCAACATAACAATGATATCAGCTCCAGCCGTCACCCATGTCGAAGCGGTGCTGGAAGGCCTTGGCGATCTTCTTCTCAGGCGCCGGGGGAACGTGGTGGTGAAGGAGACGCTTCGTGGCAGTCACCTTGTTCAGTTGCTTGCTGTTCATTTTGGACGCGTCGATGCAGCAGGCGGGGTCTTCGTAGCTGTCTGGGCAGCAGCATTCAATGTTCTTGATGCAATTCGAGTTCATGACCTCGCGAATGGTGATGCGCTTCTCCGGGATGGGGTGCAGCATCTTCAACAACAGCCTCTTGACGTTGGGTGGATTGATGAAGCTGAACAGTTGGCCGCACTTGGGGTGGCCATCGGCACCGTCAGTGATTTCACCGTCCGGATGCTCCTCCAACCACTTGTCCCAACCCTTCTTGAACCTAGCGTAGTACTCGAACTCTGTCTTTGCGGCCTGCCAGGGGCAGCCGCCAAAGGTCATGGTCAAGTAAACGATGGCGCAGGACCAGACATCGAGCGGGCGGGGGTCATAGCTTCCCTTCTTCTCCAGGACTTCGGGTGCGATGTATGGTAAACTACCGCAAATACCAGGGTTGGACAGGCGGACCTCACCCATGTTCTTTCCGCATTCGCCTCCGGCAGCACGGAGACCCGGGTGCTCGCCGCTGAAGACCTCAGCAACGCCAAAATCAGAGATCTTGAGGTAGCCGTCCTTGCTGAGGAGGAGATTCTCGAGCTTGATATCGCGGTGAGCGATTCCGTGGCAGTGAAGATAGTCCACTCCGCGGAGCAACTGCTTGAAGAAGCACATTCGGTCCTGGAGGGAGTAGTAGCCCTCGGAGCCGGCGGCGAACAGCTTGCGCTCGACCAGCGAGAACAGCTCGCCGTGGGCACAGAACTCCATTACGTGGTTCCATCGGCCGCGGTTGGTGCAGAGACGGACGGTCTCGACGATGTTGGGGTGATGCAGACTCTTAGCGATGCTGTACTCGGACTTGATCTTCTTGATGTAGTCCTCCTCGTCCTCGTCCCTCTCGCGGACTCGGAACTCCTTGACGGCGACCAAATCCTCGTGTCCGAAGGCACCCTTGCGGGCCATGATGCGAACCTCAGCGGTGGCACCTCGTCCGAGGCATTTGCCTCGCTTGCCGGGCATCAGACTCGAGCTCTTGAACTCCTTGTCGAGATCACAGGAGTCGACGACGAACTCGTCTGGCAGACTCAAACTGAGACGGCGTGCCTTCATTCCCACACCTTCGTTGGCGGGTTTGGAGAAGGTGTCGACAAGGCCGACCGTCTTGTCGTCGCCTTCCATCCTGGGGACGGTTTCTGTGCTGGCGGAACGTCTACGCGAGAAGCGAGAGTGCTTCTTGCTGTCTTTGCCTCCGCCCGCCCAGGTGATTCCGGGTCCGCGCGACTTGTTCATGCTGGAAATGGCGGTAGACGAGGTAGAATGCTTGTGGCCGAAAGCCTGCTTCTGCTGGGCAACCTCGTCCGAGATGGTGCTGGAAGGAGATCCTGGCGAAGGAGGAGAGTTGTTATGAGAAGACTTTGGGGTGTTCCGGCCAGACAGAGAGAAGGAACTGAGTCGCCTGTACTTGGGAATGTTGATAGTCGGGGAAGAGACCTCGGTGGGGCCATCGACGCCCGTCTTGACCATGAGTTTTTCACTCTGCATGACTTTTTCAGTCTGCTGAGGGGAAGTCACGGGTGAGCTGGTCTCTGCATCCGTGACGGGAGTCGTATTCACGGTGGGTGGGCTGCCGCTGTTATTGGGTCCATCCTTATGGGAGGGCGTCCTATGGAGTTTACTCCTCATGAAAGAGCCGACCCTCTTGGTGAGTCCTGGTTTGTCCGGGCTTTGGTCGGTGGGCGAAGAGCTGAGCTTAGTGTTGGACTTGGTACGAGTCACAGGGTTGCCTTTGATGGGTTGTGCGGGTGTAGTTGAGAGGTGTGACTGAACGCGAGTGACGGGTGTTGGTGCCAGGTCGGTGAAAGACCGGGAAGGAGCCGCCCGTGGGGCAGAGGGGGGAAGGTCCAGCATGGAGCGACGTGTGTTCATGTCCGGTTTCTTCTGTGCAGCGTCCGAAGACGAAGAGTCGTCCTGTTTGAACGGATTTGAGAAGGCGGTGTCACTGTTTGGGGTGAGAGGTTCGGTGGTCTCACTTGCTGTGCCGACACTTTCGTCCTCTTCGGGAATGGGAGTCTGATATTCGACGACGCGCGAATCCCTCTTCCACTCGGGTGCAGAAGAAGCAGGAGCAGCCGGGGCTGGAGCAGGAACGGATTTATGTGTTTCCTCGAAGGTCGTGGCCAATCGTGGCGTATTGGAGGAAGCTACAGAAGCCATGGCAATAATCTGGGCAATTGAACTGCTTTTGGGGTAAGTCGGGGGAATTGTTCAGTAGGTTGATTGCGATCGGCGGTGCGGCTTGTGCGAGGAGCGGAGGGAACTGATCTGTTCTCGGGATTGTGACGATCTAGAGCGGAGTGGGCTATTGACTATTGGGAAATCGTTTGGTGTTGCTGTACGACAGAGGGAGGTCAGGGTGTCTACGCGGTATGCCGTATGCGGTATATTTCCAATGCTGTAAACTTTCTAAGCTCTTTGCAGGGAACTCGGGCGGTGATAGGACGAGGATCGGAGGGAGGTACACGAGCGACAGTGCAAAACTGGCACTGCAGCGGCGGCGATTCGATGTGAAGACGTCAGGCGCAAGAGAGCCATCCGACGAGGAAATGGAAATGGAAATGAATCTGCGATTGAGGGCCGGTGAGCAGCGGAGGAGGATTGTTATTTGTTGTTTTCAAATAATAATCCTGTAGTGTGTAGTCGTGAAGGGTTTCGATGGTGGTTGTTGCAGTAGTTGTGGTGGTGGTGGTGGTGTTGATTAGTGGTGCAATGTGTAGTAGTGGCGGTGGTGGTAGTAGTGGTAGGTATGTAGGTATGTTGGTGTAGTGGGAGAGGAATTGGGGGAGGGGAGGGAGTAAGATAATGGGACAAGAGGGAGAGGAGGATGAGGGCGGGAATCGGGGATTGTTAAAGCAAAAGAGGAAAAAGTAGGGTAGGATAGAGTAGTGAGTGGTAGATGGTAACAGTAGATGGATAGGATAGGATTGGAGTGGTAATAGTAGGGGAAAGGCAAAGGGAAAAAGGGAAATGGAATTGCGAAGACCAAAAGGTATGGTGGGTCTACCCGTAGTCTCAGAGGTCGTCAGTGGTAGAGTGGTAAGTGTAAGTTAAGTTAATAGTGGTGAATGGTAAAAGGTGGTGGTTACTGGGTATTGGGTAGTGGGTAGTGGTAACTTAGTGTGTAGGTGGGTGTGGGTGTGGGTGTGGGTGGGTGGGAGCGAGGTAGGTCAGTGATGGAAGTGGGAGAGGGAGGGAAGGCGGAAGAGAGAGAAAAAAGGTGGGATTGAGAGACTGAGAGAGAGCGAGAAGGCGGGAATGGTAGCTGTTAATAGGCCCTAACTAACTACACTACCAGTTAGTCCCCTACTGAGTGTGTGCAGTGCAGGTGCAGGGTCAGGGCAGGCAGGGCAGGGCAGGGCAAGGCAGAGTAGACGGACGGGTGGAGTTGCTGCGCTTATTCTACTCGTACCTATGGCTTAGGTATCTATGTCGTTAACTATACGCTCATACGCTTTTACGCTCATAGGGTACGATCGATGCTCTACTCTATTAACTCTATTAAGTGTAATAATAGAGTGTTGGGAGTGTAGGGAGTGTAGAGACAAAAGAGGCATTGCTTGCTTGCCTGCCTAGGTGCCTCTCGCTTCTCCCGCCTCTCCCGCCTACCACTGACTGACCAAATGGCCGCATGACGGATAGAAGGATTGTCCAAACTGAGCTATTATTACTGAACAGTCAGTGACTAAGTAAGTCATCTAGGATTGACACAGGATTATTACTGGAGAAAGGGCACCAAGAACCAAACCAGGGTAGCATATAACTATGGATGTGGATATGGAATATGATATGGGGGAGACGGGGTAGCCTGAAATACATCATACCGATACCGTCGGCAGAGGGCACAATACCTCGTAGGTAATAATAGTCATGGGACAGAGATACCTGAATACCTCCCAGGCTGCTAGATAACTTGTGGTAATGAACTCTCTGTCTTTGGGGTAGGCATTGGCAAAGGCAGAGCGCACAGACAGGGTCAAGGATCAAAGGCCGGACTACCTAGACCGTACAAAGTACTTGTATGTAACTGTTACCGCTGTTACCGATCCGATACTGTCAGAATTACTGATACTGGAATTCAATACGGACGGCCCTTGTTGTTTGCTTCATTAATAGAGTCTAGTTAGCGATGGGAGTGGGAGTGGGAGTACCAGCACCAACCCCAAACCGGGTCACAGGCGAGAAAAGTGACGAAACGTCGGGCACCCCATCTATCCCTCCATCCCTCCCCTCCCCCCCCCCCCCCCCCCGACCGCCTCCAGGTTACGAGGGTAAGTCGTCACTACACAGATCACAGATAGCACCTCGTACGTATGAGTAACTACTGCCGAAGCCCTGACGACGATGATGGAATATGACCATCCGACCCGCCTTCATTGCTTGTTTACCTGCTCTTGGCTCTACCCCAATCCATCGTCACTCGTAAACGAACTTCAAAGAACTCCATGGAGGTTGATGACAGGATTGACAGCATGACGAATAACGGATAATGGATGATGAACAATAACGGCGGCAATAATGGCGGCGGGTGACTCGCCTTCAACCACCACATGGGAGCCCCAACGCCCGGATGGTGAAACCCCGACACCACTACCCATACTGCACAAGTAGTAAATGGTACTCCGTACTCTGTGCTCCACGATCTCGTCACACATCGTGGACATTCATACCATTCTAAATGGAAATAGCTACCACCAGTAATCACTGCGCATGCGCAGACGCCCGTCCCGTCGACCTTCCAAAGGAAGAGTCGAGATGCGCCTCTCCCAAGAATCCCCAAGATCCCTAGGAGGGGAGGAAAGAATCCTGCAAACCTTTCAGCCATGATCCGCCGCCCATCAGCCAGCCGTCGTCTATCCATCTTCAAGTTTGTCGGTTCTGTCAGGCTTGCAATCAACATGGTCGATCTTTGACATGGGGATCCCCCTCCATTACCCTACTTTACAGTGATAATATATCGCCTGTTCCGGGTTTTTTCACACCTTTGCACCCCGCACCAACATCATATCACATCACATACACTACTCTCTCTCACTTACAGCCAGATGATGGGCGGCCCAGCGATAGGACGGAGAGATTCACAATGCATAACATATACACGGCAGGGCAGGGCATACACGATAGATTGTGTTGCATGTGCGTGTGGGTGTGTACCACAGTACGTGTGTATCTCCCGTAGTGTTTATAACGAACACTAGTGGGTGTCTTGTAATGAGGCCGATGAGAGAGAGCACGGGAGCCATTCCGACATGTGTATGGACCATATAATGATGATTACTCGTCGTTCTACCTCGAGTAGTAGTGCTAGGAGTACGGACTACGGAGTATCTAGTAACTAACTACCTAGAGAAAAGAGAGGGAAGCAATTGGTAAGAGAACAGAGAGAGAGACAAGAGGCAAGCGCTGCATCCGCTCCTCCAGTCAGCATCCTCCGTTCCTCAGCCTTCCCACTTGAAATAATTCATTCAAACATGCCGTCTCTCACGCTTCTCACACACTTTCTACACACCGACTCGACCTGCAACATTCGATACATACCATACATTTTATAATTATACATATACCTACACCTACATATGTATACTCCATACACAGCATGCATGGAGTGCAATACCTTTCCGCCTTCCTAACCTCTTGTTAGCCTAGTGCGTGGTGAGTAGTTTGCAGCCACCTAACTCGTGGTGACGGTGAATTAGACGACAAGACAAGACAAGACAAGACCAGACCAGACAAGATGGAATAAAATCGCGCATACAAAACCAAAATCAGCCAGAGAAGGCACGAGTCGAGGTTCCTTCCCTCCAGCATATGCAACAACCCCACGCGCCTTCCCTATTCTTACCCTTCCTTCCTTCCTTCCTTCCTTCCCTCCTTCCCTATCGTGTCGTCCGTTCACCTCACCTCACCTTACCCAACTCCGCTTTGCATCGTCCCAATAGCTACACTGTATGTACGGCGTATAACTAATTTTCTTCTTCGTACTCCGTATGAATTATTACAGTTACCTGATTTCTCTCTCCAAGGATTAATAGAGACATACACCATACCAGTCTCTCTACAATAGATACCTAGTTACATGGTACATACAGCGTATGCACTGATGCCCCCTCGTCCCATCCCTACCTCTTACTTCGTATCTCCTCACGACCCCATACCCTTTCCATTCTATTTCATCCCATATGGCATACATACCCTTCACCCATTCACCACCGTATCGCTTCTAATTATTCCTCCATCTCCATCCCCCAAGCTTCAGCCCGTCTCTCTTGACCCGCTTCGGCCTCGTTTCTACTCCTCCATCCATCCAACCGCTGTGCCGCAATCTGTCACCCCCCTCAACCTCAATATCCAACTCATCCTTCCACTCATCCTTCACACCCTCACTTTCGTTCCCTCGATACATGCTTTCGCGCCCTCATCCTCATCCAACATCCACCTCCGCATTTCATACCCCCTCGCCCATTCGATCCATCGATCGATTCTTCGTTTATGCGCCACCTCCATCGCTGTGCATGCCCTGGGCGTCGATTGCTACGGAAGTACACCACTAAAGATGTATTCTCTCTACGTTGTATGGAATATCTTCACCCCCCACACGTTAGGTGCAGTTGCAGGTGCAGATGCAAGTCGCTCTCAGACTTGCCTTCTCCAAACATCGTGTAACATGGCTGTATCATTTTGTACCAGTGATACTCGTACACAGTACATACACCGTATTGTATACGCTCTGGACCCCGCAAAAACTCTTTACCGCTCTGTGGTCTCAAACTGAACTGCACATCATCGTGCGAACCTACACCCACAACGACAACCACACCTCCAGATACATTTCCATTTTCATCTTCATCTCTAGGTTCATCTAGGGGTACATACCTCGTTTCCTCATTTTCGGCACTGACTGACTCTAATTCTTACAATACACTCCCTCTGCACTAACACAGACTCTCCAAATAGGAAGTCATCGTCTGGCTTCCCCCATCCACGTCTCACCATTTGAGTTTCTCAGTCTCATACAATCCGTTGTTGAAACAACGCCTCTACAGATCCAGGCCTTCCTCAACATCAACTTCAGCATCCACGTTCACCGTTTTGTTGAGTTAAATCCCGACGACGTGCAGCAACTACTCGCGACCGCCCTGTCTGGCCTGGCCGCCCGACTATCCCCGCAGCCGCCCTATATCATTCGTCTTCATCTACACGTCCGCATCATCAAGCGTGCAATAACAGACCGCGAGCGACTCATTAATGTGTTGCGATGACTTCTTGTGAATAACCCGCACAGAATCCAGAGACCGCCAGAAACGCCTGGTGCGGGGATCTTTACCCCAGATGGTCCACCCATGACCCTTCCAGAACTACGCCATCATGGCAAGCTCACACAATTTCCTGCATTTCCGCCGTTTCGCCCCCCTCCTCGTGTGAGAGTACACAGTAGGGATGGGATATGGCATTGGTTTGTTATTGTGCCTAGCGGTGAGTCTGACGCTTTCGTATTTCTTTCATTACGCCCTCCAGGCCAATGGCGCGCATTCGCATTCTCCCCGTGCTCTCTCCCCCACAGTCACGTACAGCGGCACCTGCAGTAGCATAGAGATGCAGCATATGCTTAGCTCGCCCAGGCCACCTGCGCGGCTGTCGTCCGTGGGGGGCACTGGAATGGACCGGGGGGAGAGGGCTCGCCGTTCGCGTTCTGAGTTCTCCCACTCCGTACACTGTACAACAGGTGTACTGGCTTGGACCTTTCGGCGATATCGGCTGTCCGCCTCATTACACTGCTCGAGATGCTCATGGACTAGCACAGCCAAGAGCCTCATCGATGGCTGTTCACCGTTCGCAACTTTCTCCTCCCGCAGGGTCGAAAGGATCGTAATGCAGTTGCATCTCCTCTACTTGTTCATTTTCTCCTGTAACGAGCATTCAAAGCCGTGTTGCTTCGGCCTTGGCCCGGCGCTTTCAAGGCGCGCGTTATGCCTCAATGGACTCGTCCTCCCTTTCCCTCCGTCCACGACGTGCAACAATCCATCAAAGACGGTTCCAATAGAAAAGCGACTTATCACTTGGCGTCTCGGCCTGTGGTCGTCACTACGATCTTCAGGGATCGACAGCGCGCGCAGAGCCTTCAAGACGACGTATGTTTGAACACAGACGAGTCCTTGCAGAATACCATACACTGCAATGGACCGCACTGTATCGTATCGTACCGTTCCAAACCTCAAGAGTAGAGTCGAGTCGCCCAGAATAACCTTTGTCTAGCTGCCGACAGCTCTGTGCTTCCTCCATTTCTGCAACCTTGTTACGACAGGAATTGTCCCCTCGTTTCCACCACTTGGCAATTTCCTGTATAGGCCTCGAGCTTGGCTCTGTCCACGGAATTGCTGGGCGGATCGAGTCGCTGGTCAGCTTCCGCGCTTGGCAGAAGCGCACAATATCACCCTTCTTTCGAGTCTATTACGGTCGCAATCTCCAGCAAATTGCGTGTGCCCTAAATGCTCGTGACCAGATGGCGAAACATTTCCCCACGATCCACCGATGGTTGCGTAGTGCCCTGTGCGAAACTCGTCCCTTGGCGAGGACAGCGCATCAAAGATTCACAGCACAGCGTACTGCACACTGCCCGAGCGGTCTGTAGCAGCAGTCGTAGCAGCAGCGTACTCATCATCAACACGGCGGTGTTGACTGGAGATATTCATCGCAGTCGTATCGTTCTTACTGCGCATCGTCGGACGCGTCATTGCGTCGTCACGGCCTTCGTCGATTCGCAATGATGTGCACCGCAGAAAGCAATGATGCACATCATGAAAAGCAATTCTACCCTCACGCAAGGCAAGGAAGCTTCAAAACACCAAGCATCCTTGCGTAATAAACTCTTTTGCCCCGCGGTGTGTATCAAAAAATAATCTCCGACCAAACAAAACAACAGGTAAAACCCAAATTCTTCCATCTCTCGAGCGGGATTGCCACTCCAACGTCAATGCGTCGTCCTGTGGCACTTTGTAGGATTCCCCATGGACATTTGCACCGAGTAAAGAGCCTCCCCCTTTGTGCGCAGAGGATCGAACCCTCTGGCTGGATATCAGGTAGCAATTGCATCTTGGCTCGACCAAACAAGCCGTTTCCCGCGACAAGAAAGAATTCCATATAGTTCTCGGCGGTCACACAGACGGACTTGGCGAGTCTTGTCCGTAACCTTCATAAATGGCTCAGTCATTTTGTCTCTCCCCAGATCGTATGCGACGACAGAGCCGCAGGTGTCGGTCTCCCGAAGAAAGAGAGCTCGGGATCGTCATCTGAATATCGGTATGCACATGTGCCTAGGCGGACATGGAAGCGCCGGGAGATTACGGGCAGCGCCGCGCCTGGCTGCAGGTCGTAGATCGCAGTCAGCGTGTGTGGACCGATGCGTCCGTCGTCGTCCAAGGGGATGGATGGATGATGATGATGCTTTCGTAGCATTGCTTTTGGGGACACACACTGCTTCGTTGGTCGTCGTCGTCGGGCATGAGGTTTGTTTCAGGGACCTGCTCCTGCGACCCAAGACTTGCGGCATTTCCTGAGATGTCTTCCCCCCCCCCGCCCACACTCTACTTCCTTCAGTGCGACGGGCGCTTGCTGATTATCTGGTAGAATCGTTTCTCCCCCAAAGTGCCCAGATCAAACTACGGATGTCGTGGAGTCAAGTGACGGTTTTGTTCGTTAGGACGGTTTCGACACACCATGTCCCTCCTACCTATCGGAAACCGTTCCTTGCGTTTTAGAGCATTGTCGTCTTGGAACGACAATGAAGCACCGGCATCTCCTTCAACAAGCTTTTCCGTTTCCCCATCTCGGCGGGCATGCAATTGACAGATCATTACAAAATGTCCGGCAAAAACAACTTATGCTTGTGCTTTGTGCTTGTGCGATCGTGTTTGGGGAAGATTGCAGCGGTACTACAACCTCCGCATCCTCATCCAAAGTACAAACCAGACACGGCCCAAGAGGCAGAGTCAGACAGCCTGAGAAAAATTCCAATCCGTCTGAGTAATTGAACTGAGAAGTCCTGCACCGGCGGGCGGACGGATGGATGCAGGTACATACATCGACCGTCCAAGACGAAACGTCTACTACTACTAATCCTCACTTCATCTCTCGGGCTTGGAATCGCATTTGCCATTACACCTTTTCTTCTCTCTTAGATTGATACTGACCGCTCGATTCCCACCAAGCCCCGTACCAGCGCTGTAGGCACAGTCATGATATGTACCATCAACAACATATCTGAGATCCGATAGTCGGATCTCGATAGCGTGAGCGGGTGGCTTGACGGGATAAGCAGTCATCATGATGTACATACGTGCACCTATCTCACCCGCACGCAGAGGTGCGGAGCCGAGAGAAAAAAAAAACATGTTTATCTCCTATTGTAGTAAATAGACCTGCACATCATTGATGATAAGATTCTCTGTTTGTCTGAGATATGACCGAGATATGACACGCAACCCACCGCACCGTCGGCGTATACTAGAAGTAGAAATTATGGCATTTGAACATCTTCTTGGATTATGGTTGATTTGATGGATGTGTCTGTCTCACCCACTCTCTCCCTCTCTTTCAAAAATAAAACAAAGGTCTCGGAAAAAGGCAAATAGAACGAAATTTAATCGTATTAGATGTTCTACCAATAACCCGAGTGAATCTTTTTCTCTCTCTGCTATCTTCATGTACATGCCTGTCTATCGATGTGGATTAGGAATTTTTCGTGATCATTGTTGTCGTCGTTGTCGTATGTAGTTACACTCTACTCCCACGGCCACCCAATGACAACCGTGTATGTTCAGGACCATAAACAGCGCTTTTACCAACAGACCGAGATCAAATCTTGGATTTCGATCTGCTTCGACGTTTTGATAAAACCGTAGCCACCTCCTCTGCGCCGATGAGACGTATGGACTGAGATCTCGTGCTGCGAGGCGATAATAATGACAACATTAGACACAACGCGCCCATTTCCTCCTACGTTGAGTCGAACAGCGTCAAGGCCGAATGCATAGTACTCCATGCATAATAACCATCTCAGGATTGGATCTGAGATGTCACATCCTTCCTGTAGTTACAAAACAAACAGGTTCCTAAGCAGCTTGTCTAACTTTCAGATGAGAGGGTTAAAGACTGATAACAACGGTGTGCGCTTGTCGTTAATTGGGATAGGCGATCCTCCTGCATCTCCGCGATGCCGCTTTGCAACGGGAACAATCATGGGGACTAGAGAAGTTCCTCTTTGGTGCCTCCTTGAAATTTGGTGGCGTTGGGTTGTGATTGTCGTGACCTGGGCTGGGCTGCTGATGCCGCTGGAATTATCAAAGTCGGGGAGGTTGAAATTATTATTATCTGCTAACGTAAGGGAATGTAATAGTAGACAGTCTTTCGTGGTCGTCTTTACCTATACCTCCTTGGGATGGGTAGAGGTGTAGAAAGGGGGCGAGGTTGAATCAGTGAACGCAGAGATATCCTGCAAGCGCGATGCCTGACTTGGTATGATAGGCGCTGATTTCGAATCTTTCTTTGCTAGATTCTCTGCGATGAGGAAATGTGTAGCGAATAGTAGCTCTGCAGGTAGTGGTTCCTTGGGTGGTGGGTGTTTGTATGATGGTCGGTCAAATGTCAGGCGATTTGGTAGCAAGTGTATGGTGGGGATGGAATAAAACAAGTAGATGAAACAGGACGATGAAGATGTTAGCTGATGAGGATGTATTTATTAAGGGGTTGTTTGTTTTTATGTTGGCTTGCACCTTCATCTTCCTTTGCAGTCGTTACCTTAACTTAGAGCTGCTCCTTCACGATCATCCTCAACCCCCAAGGCACTGCTCCACAATCATCCTTAAGTTCAAAGGCACTACTTCACAATCATTTCCCCAGCTCAACTCTCCAACATCAGAACACTTGCAAATTACAAATGATGCAAGGCAGCTCTAATCAGTACCCAGGTACACAAAAGAAGGCGGATCCACGCTCGGTTGCAGTAAATAATCAGTGGCCACCACTTTTTCCCTCAGTGGCTGATAACTAGACAAAACAAAGTCCTTTCTTATATAATTAAAAAAGATTCCTCTCTACTCCTAAGCTCTCCAACTCTTCGAACTCTTTCCTAAATCCTAAATTAGCCCTGACGACCCAAAGTGTTTTGCAAGCGCACTGATGCTTCACCTTCACCCTCCCTCCCCTCCAAGTCCTTCTTCGCATTTTACCTCCCTCCATTTACAACTTCCGTCTCGGCGTTCGCACGTGAATCTGTGGCGGCTGGACACGTTGTTGTCAACAACCACAAACCCAACCTTCTCCTTCCATCACAGTCCGATTTCATCTTTCTTCCATCCTGTTTCCATCCATCGACGCCCCCTGCCATGTACGCACATGAACAGGACTGGTATCAAAACAAATCGGCACTCCCGCTCGGTCGTAGTCCTTCTCGTGTCATCTCTCTTGTCTCTCTATGCTCTTTTGCTTTGCATGGGTGGGACGTCTGGTATCGGGTGTAGGTAAAGACATGCTGAGATGTAGGGAAGGGCGACGCCGCCCCAGGGCATGTGAGGGTTGATATTTGACATCACTGTTGTTCGTCAGTAGGAACACACAGGTGCAAGGTATCAAAGCATGGCAGAGTGAGAAGAGGGAGGGGCGGTTGGGTACATCATCATACACCCGGGAAAGCTAGTTAACTTTCCCATGAGTTAAGCAAAATGTAGGTGGCGGGATTTGTCTTTTCGCAAACAGCATGAGAGTTAGTGTTTTGCGAGGGGCAAGGGATTAGTATCACGGGTACTCTATGAATGGGTATGTTGTTCATAGTACTTGTGATTGATTCATTGATTGACTGTCTGTCTCCATGTCTGATGTATCTTACATATCCCTTCATTGTGTATTCTTCGACGTCAATCCAATGGGTTTATCTGCATGTCTCCCGAATCTGTATGGCCTTGAAAAGGGCATCCGTTCAGGTTGTTAATTATACTCGCAGTGTTGTGTATCATCTTACATATCCATCGTACATATTGATCACCCGTTTGTCCCGTATGCACAGGGGGTCGTGTATCTTGAGCGAACTCAATCGAGAAGGTTCATGAAAGCCTCGAATCCTGGTGGTGGACGCAAGGTTGGGGTAGCCTCAGCTGGGCCTTCCTCGCCGAGGTCAATCAACATGTTCGTTGTGTCCTTCAGAGGCAGGCTTGCAGCCGGGGGCAGATCTGGAGATATCTCGATCAGCTTTTCAGGTGAAGCGTTCCCGTTGCGCCTGACTGATTGGGTCTCGTTGATGTGGAAGTCTGCCCGGTTCTGCTCGTTTTCGCGGGCGGTCCTGGCGTACTGCTGATCGTCTTCCTGCGCACCTCGAATGGTGTAGTCGGCCCATTCGGTGCTTTCGATTACCTGGTCGGCAATGCGTCGGGTGCTGTTGGCGCCGGAGTTGCTGGCAGCTTTGGTCTTGGAGGCTGATGGGCCAGCGGCGGCCGCCTGGCGAGTAATGGGTTGTCTCGTTGGGAATTGCGCTTGCATTCCTCCTGCCTTTGGCCCCTTTTTAAGGAGCGACCTTGATCCGGTGTCGAGCTGCTCACAGGTCTGGCACTTGCAAGGGTCGCAGCACAACGTAGTGCATGGATGGCCACATGCCTCTACATATTTCTGACACTTCTGCATACAGTTGATCTGATCATGTGAAAACCTATGTGCGTGAGAAACGATTCGATTCGATTCGATGGATGAAGACAACTTACGGATGGCAGAAAAGTGTACAATTATGCCCACAAGGCAGGACGCTGCAACATTTCTCGTCACATCCGCCATTGATATAGTTCCAATCCTCGGGCGCTGTTCGTTGTTAGCAGTCGATATCAAATCGGGATTGCTTCACTTACTTCCGATCCACCATTTTCGCTTGTGCGTAACACATTGAAGAGGTAGAAAGTAGCCAACGCGTAGTGGTTGGCCCCTTGGTGGTCGGCATCCCTGCTCAATCTTGCTCCTGTTACACATTATCTTCACGACTTCTCCCCATAAATCGCTGGCCACGGCCATTCCCTCTGCGTCTCCGAACAGATAGAACCCACGCCTGGCACGGGATAAGGCTACACAGACGCGATTGATGACGTCCAGAAACCCAATCTTGCGTCGGTCATTGCTCCTCACCAAAGATAGCAAGACGATGTCGTTCTCTTCGCCTTGATATGAATCCACTGTAACGATGGTAAAAGTGTGACCCCTTAGGTTCTCGTGCCGGCAAAGTTGTTTGAAGATCTCCTTGCGTTGTCCGTTGTAGAAAGTAAGAATGGTTATCTTGCTGGCCTCGACACCATTGAGCATTAAGTAGTTCACTAGACCAATTATCATCTTAGCTTCATCAGGGTTTACATACGACATGAGGGCATCTTGTCGTTCTTCCCACTCGTGAGTAAAGAAGAACGTATCAGTGCCCATGCCTTCGACTGGCGGGCGATTGTTGGTGTCCTTAACGCTTGGGTGGTCTTCCAGTATGTTCCCATAGATCGGCGTCAGCAGGGAACGAATCTCTGGCAACATACGCCGCTGTCGAGTGAGACAACTCATCTGCACTTTGTTCTTTACCATCCGCTCAAACAATGACACATTGAAGTTGAATGGTTTCCCTTCAAACTCTTTAGTTTCGCAATGAGGCCGCAGCTGCTGATGATCTCCGACCAGGATGAGGTGCTCCAAAGATGGCAGGCAGGCAGCCGTAACAGGAGGCTCCAGGGTCTCCGCGGCCTCTTCTACCAGAACCACTTTCGGCTTCAAAGCAGAGATAAGGGCGCGATATTTGCTTAATCCTGTCGTAGTCATGCCAACAAGACGCTGGCTTTTCAGAATTTCAAGATCCTGCTCCCAAAGATGAATTCGACGCTCCTTAACAAACTTCTCGTACTCTACTGCGAGCTTTCGAAATTCTACACTTATTTTCTGCTTCAACTTCCGTTGGAAGTAGTTATAGATGGGTCCACGGTGCGATATGGGTACAGTAGTCAAGTCGTCGGTTCGAAGTATCGTCTCGATCTGTTCGTCATTCAATAGAGCCCCGCTTCTGCCCATGACGTTGTCGCTGATATGGAAAGTGGTCCCCTTTAAAGTGTCCAAACTGTCGTCTTGTGCCTCCGCTTCTATCTCTTGCAGCTTCTCGATTTCATAGTCTTCGGCGTCCTCTTCATGATCCGCAAAATCTTCCGGTTGGAGGGGGCGCAGACATGGCGTCACGCATTTACCAAGCCACTGCTCCATCTTCAGACCGTATGTATCGGGTCCCTGGGTACTCATTCCCATGGCGTTGATTGCCTCAATTGATTCGCCCTGTTCTGCAGTGATTATACCAAACTTAACGAGTATCTTGTGGTCAATAGGCGAATTACCGAGCATTAGAGGCCACAACAATTTCTCCATGGCAGATGTAACCTGTCTCAACCTTGCAAAGACAGATCTGCCTCCTTGAGGGTGCCTAGGTTCCGACATACCTTGGCGCACCTCAAAGAGCGTTCGCTTCTTGATGATGACGTTGTCCTTCGATCGTCCACCAAGGCGTATGAAGTCTTTCTCAAACTCATACACATGCCGGAGCAACTGGTCAAGGGCGTGGTTCGTTTGGCAGGTCACAATGATTGGAGCCTCTCCCAAACCCGCCAAATTGGAGAGCAGGATCTTCAATGCAACGACAGAAACATAAGTTTTGCCAGTGCCCGGCGGGCCTTGAACAATAGCTAGACGACTAGTCAGTATCTGCTTTAATGCGTTCGACTGTGATGCATCAAGGCCGTGTGATTCGTTTGAAGGCCAGTCCTCAAGAATGTTGACATTGCGGAAATCTTGGATATCCTCCATTGACACTAGGCTGCTCATGTCCGTGTAAGGATTAGTTTGGACGTATTTAGGAGGCTCAACGTCTGCCTGGACCTTCACTAGATGCTCAGAAAGGGGAAATGGCTCTTGCATCATATGTTGTAGTGCCAGCAAAGTATGGCGACTGGCCTCGAAAAAGCTTGATCGGCTTTCCACCATTATCCACCGCTTCATCGGGTCTACTTCAATCTCTTCTGCACGAGCAAAAAACAAGTCGATTTCGGGGGGGTTTTGGTGTAATAAATCCATAGGCCGGGCTGCTACGACAGCCAGAACGCACTTGGACTGAAAACAGTCATCCACAGGCGACAAGGCCACCAAAGACCCAGTGATAAGCCTTTTCGACTGTTCCCACCGGATGTGTTTTTTGGCACGTCCGAGTGAGAAGGCCATGCGTATACCAAGTCCGCGCCCAGCAGCAATAATGGACGTCAGGTAGACCGGTTCGTACAGACCAAGACTGCCACTGGCACCGTCGAAGTCACTTTCGTCTTGCCATGGAGATCTACGAACTTGCTCGATAGCGTCTCGAAGTGGCCTTATTGCATCCTCCCTTGCAAGATTATACAAAGAGCGAAGGTAATCTTCTTTGCCTTGATGTGGCCCCTTCACTTTATTCGGCTCGGGACCATCGTTCACATCGATGATTCGCTGTGCGTCCGAGGCAGGATGGCTCTGCGGCAGAAACTCCGAATGAGTGGGGATCTCGGGTTTCTCAAGCCATGAGCTAGTAGGTGGTGCTCGGGGCTCTCGAGGCCCTCGGAAGTAATCACGAATGTCATTGTTTGGTCTTGAACCGATGGTTGCTTGGTTGGCCATGCCTTCGTGATGATGAGCCGCAGTGCCGAGCCGCTCAGCAAGGTGAGCGTTCATCTCTCCACCTGCAGAATCGGAACAGTTCAGTTAGCAGGTACGTTAATGAAGGACGGGTGAGAGAAATGAAAGGGAGTGCCTTGGCCACGAGAGGGGTATGATGCCACACCGACTGCTGCCCCAAACTTATCATGGGAGCCCAGGCCAAAGAAGGACAAATATTGCACTTACCAGGCTGGTCGATACTCAGGGGATTGTATATATTGGCTGCTCCGTTCAAATGACGCCCAGGTGGATTTGGACGGGCTGGGCGCCCCCTCTGCTTGCGCCCTTTTTTTGCCATTTCAGCGGCAGCGGCGCAGTGGAGAAGTATGGCCTAGTCAAGACAAGGCAAGACAAAGTCAGTCAAGGGAAGGCAGAGCAGTGAAAGTAGAAATGGAATGTATTTCCAGAAGTTGGGGATGAGCGCGGCGCGGATGTGGTTGTCGCTGGGGTAGGATGGAGGAAGGCGCGCGGAGGGGTGAAGGTAGGGAGTCAGTGCTTGAACAGTGACGGAAAACAAACGCAGAACAGCCACACTAAGAATTACGGGTAGGTGCATCACTTGAGCAAAACTTGCAGCTGATTCCAATATTAGTACGTTTTCTGAACCAGCCGTGAAATGTGACAAACGCAGTGCATAAAGGAGGACCAGATCTGGCATCAGTAAGACCTGTGATTGACTAACTGACTGATTGACCGACCAAATGGTTGACCAGGGGCACCCCATACATGATGCCATCCTAAAATAGAGCTTCAAAATGAAGTCAGCCACTTTTAGTCGTCACCACTGCTAAAGACAGAGTAGTGATGGTGGGAGAAACCTGACGTTCCAGCACTTTCAATCCTCTACAACCCAGACCTTTTGCAAACACCGTGCCTATAGAAAGCTGTCTGTCGTACTCGAGCCTCACAAGATGTATGCTTGTTTTAATATTCCATGGACAAGGGGCATTAGAAAACGACAGTGCTGTTCATATGGCGGAATGATACAGCAAATGTAGGCCACGTCTAGAATCATTTGAAATCGTTTTGGCTTCATCTGGCTAGCCAGACAACGGGTCCCAAGGCCCCTCTTCGTCCATGCATGGGAGCTGGGAGCTTGAATTAGATTGTCGATATTGGAACCATCTAGAGATATGATTCATTTAAAGGTCTAAAGGGTCGCGAGCTGGTGAGTTGGTAAGTATAGTCCATCGCAACGCAAATACACAGAGAGACCTTCATTACATATCAACTGGATCCATGCCTGAGTAATCTGAACTTCGATCATTCTATCCCTCCCCAAATTCGGCTTTCGCACCCAAGAGCGGCGGGGGGATTGAGGCTCAATTATTCCGCCATCGAACCGAATTGTCTGGCGGACTAGAAATCAGATGGTTGCTTTCTGCACGTTTGGGAATGGGATGGAGCAAGGCCTGATGCATGATTGGCCGGGGGGTTAGTCAGCATTGGCTCTCAACTTCCCCCAGTGTCTTGGCCTATGTCCCGCTCGAGCCTCATCTATAGATCGGCATCCCTGGACCTTAGACTTGCGACAGCCCGCTGCGCTGAGCTTCCGATCGTACGACTGGATGCGATTCTCTCGATAGACCAAGTATATCAAACTCCTTAGCTAACTGAGCTTTGATACCATACGGATCTTCTTCTCCCCCGGGTCCTCCTTGTTCCCCAATTGTTGAATGGCACAGTATGAATTTCGAAGATGATGACGATAACGGAGCTGGTAATTGTTTTGAAATCTAATACTACATACCAATCTCATGTATACTGTAGGCTCCCCAGATACTAGCTCAGAGAATGAGCACGAAGACGAGGTGATGGAAGATGCGGATGATGCCGACAACGATCCTGATGGCGACCAAGACGTAGACGACGGCGATGGTGATGGCGACGATGGCGACAATGACGATGATGATGGCGACGGTGACAATGATGATGACGACCAAGACGAGCCCGAAAGCCCATCACAGCGACCACGAGGGAGCCTACCAAATGGCGGTACTCCAGGACCGTCGCGGTCTAACACGAACCCCACAGTCACGCTCACTTCGCCCTCTCCTCGGACTGCTTCGGTGTCCCATGTAGGCGGACTTCCTTTTCGACCCTCAATCCGCCCTGAAGCTTTCACCGCGCCCGTTTACGATATTGTTCCCACGATTGCTGCTCCACATAGTACCTCAATTAATGCGATTACGTCGACGCCCGACATGCGCTGGGTCTTTAGCGGCGGCGCAGATGGATACATAAGGAAGTTCAATTGGGTAGATACTGCCAATGGAAAGCTCGCCCTCACTGTGGCTCAAAGACACCCATTCGTCGACAGTGTCACGAAAGCAGGTGTGCTATTGAGCTATTGGGAGAACGAGGATGGTAAGCACACCAAATGCTTGAGGAAATTGGAGATCTAACATGATCTAGACCGAGCGACCGATTATTCCTCATCTCTGTCTCCCGTATACTCTCTGGCCGTTCATCACCAGTCACTGTGGCTGCTCTCGGGGCTGGAGTCAGGAGGAATAAATCTCCAATCAGTCAGGCACGAAGAAGGCAAACGGATAACAACACTCCGACAACATACATCTGCTGTTTCTGTGTTGACACTATCGCAAGATGAACAATCTGTTCTCTCCGGTAGCTGGGACAAGACCATTATCGATTGGGATCTGCATACCGGACAAGTAAAGCGGAAATTCGAGACCAGCGGTAGTCAGATTTCTGCCATCGAGCAACGTCCACTCTCGACATTGCCCATTCCCCAAGACACAGACACTATGCCGCAATCAAACGGGACTTTCTCATCCAATAATGGAGCGCGACCGCAGCCAAACGGAGTGTCGAACGGTATCTCAGCACAACGTACAAACCAGCCTTCGACTGAAATCAACAACGATGACGCGCCCGGGTCCCCCGAGAACGACTCGTTGTTTGGCGATAACAATTCGCTATTTGGAGACGATAAGGACCCTTCTGGTGCCCCCTCAGCACTTGCGCCATTCGGTGATGACGATGAGGATGAGTTCTCGAGAGCCATTGCCAACGGCATCCAGCAGGCTGACGAAGATGGCCAGCCGGATCTTGACATGATGGACATCGGCGGGCCAGTGCAGGCCCCCGAGGCCGAGAAGCCCGCAGAACCCACCAGCGAATCAGCCCCACAGCCGACTGAACCTGTAGTGAACGGTGTCACGGACGATGACGCACCCGTGGTCGTCAACGGCCTGCCGCACGCAGAAGAAATAGTCACAACACAGAATGGCGCCAAAGCAGAGCAGCCAGATTCCTCCGAGACAACATTCGTCGATGCCTCAATTGACGGAACACTCAGAATATGGGACCGACGGCAACAAAACCCGGTCGCGCGGATCACGCCTACAAGAAACACGCCTCCATGGTGCATGAATGCCTGCTGGTCACCTGATGGTAATTTCATCTACGCAGGAAGGAGAAACGGCACAGTGGAAGAGTATAGCTTGCACAAAGGGCTTAGGGAGCCTCGTCGGACCTTTAAGTTCCCCAGTGTCAGTGGCGCCGTGAGCGCCGTGCGGGCGATGCCCAATGCGAAACACCTTGTTTGGTAAGTCATATCTCATCTTCGTAAATCACAAGTCCTTCAGAGCGAAACACATCCTACCAGTATATCTGGTTAACCACCTATGTAGCGCTTCATTCGACATCCTCCGCCTCTACGACCTCCGCGAGCAAGAAACAACCAAAGCAGCAGTCCCCTACCTCATCGTCCCCGGCCACAGGACCGGCGTCATCTCCCAGCTCTACCTCGACCCTACGTGCTCATTCATGATCTCGACGGGTGGCAATCGTGGCTGGGAAGGTGCTACAACGGAAGTGTTGCTCGGTTACGAAATCGGTATTGGATCATGAACGCGGACGAAAAGCTTTCTTGGCTAGTACGGCGTGGCATTTGGAGGCGTGCTTTGGAGCATTGGTTCCGTTCCATGCTGCTGCTATCGTTGTCGTATTTGTGGGCGGTGTTGATATTCATTTTTCCCTCCATCGTTTTTTCCCGTTTTGGTACTACTTTATACCCAGGGACCCATTGTCTCCCGCGGCGCCGGGTTTATCATCTGTGATTTTGTTTATTGTTTGGGGTGTATCCAAAAAAAAATATAATTAGCTAAAGATGATATCATCGCAACGAAGAAAGCAGCAATTCTTCATCACATATAGTTCGTTAGCATCACGACCGCTGGTCTGTTCTGGTCCTACCCTGATGTTTCTCCGATCTAGCTTGTCTGGGATGACAAAAAGCGATACAAAATATATATGAGCAACGATATCCACTGTGGGCCTTTTGATACGTGTGACATTTTAATTTTAGGTTATGATAATCTCCACCGAGCAGAAAATGTGTCAAGCTGAGCATTAATTAAGCCTTATGAAGTCTAAGAAGCTATTACACGATAACTATACCACACTCAACATTTGCACGCGTCGTGAACGTGTGCAAAAGAATGGGTCCGAATTAATAAGGGCAGTGAAAGCAAGAAGAAGAAATGGGTATAAGCTCCCCTCGAAGTCCCATCACCCCATGAGCAGGTATCTCCCTCCATCCAGAATGATCCACGGCTCCCGAACGCCATTTTTCGCCTACTCCCAGAAATCTGAATTCGGTCTGAGCAGTGACTTGCAGCGAAGTCTGCCTAAGCAATTCCAAGTCAATACAGTAAGTGGTCAGGCGAAAGACCGGACCCTCCACGTCCAGCGTCTTCCGTCGTGGGGATGAGGTCGATTTCACCACCAACGCGGCCTATTCTTCCTCCACTCAATCGCAATGGCACAGTCCTCCTTATAATCCCTATCTCCCCCGCCCGCACTGTGAGCACCCCTATAGTACAACCCATTCCTCAACTCCTCCTCCTTGTCACTCCAATCCGGAATTTTCTGCACAGACTTGAAATCCAGGTCTCCGATCTTGCCCTCGCACTTGACCTCGCCAGCGCCCGCGTAGTTCGCCCGGATGAAGATGGAGCAGTCGCGCAGGGTCATGGCGAGCCGGAGGTTGTTGTCGAAGCGTTCGACGCATCCGGCTTCTCTTTTCGTTTCCTCGTACTCCTTCTCGGAGGCTTCGTTCTTAGCGCGGGAGGAGGTTGAGGCGGAGGAGCGTTGCTTTTCGAGCTCCTCGAGGCGTTTCTTCGCGTCTTTGGCGAGGTCGAGCCATTCGGGTCGCGCGAGGATGCCCGTCGCGTCGTAGTCGGCTTGGTATTGTCGCAGGGCTTGCAGGACGGTGTGGCCACGGCCGGTGCAAAGGTATTCGGTCAATGCTTCGACAAGACGGGACTCCGCAGCCGGGTCCAGAGGTTTCGATAGCGAGTCTGCTGCTTCGCGAACTTTTCGATGGACGAAAGGTCGCACGAAATGCGCGTCGCCTTGGGCTAAGAGTAGAGGGCACACGTATGTTGCGTCAATGGCTGCGAGGTTTCTGTCATGAGTAGCCTCCGTAGATGATTCTTTCGACTTCCTCTTCCTTTTCTTTCCGTGCGGGTCGTTCTGTCCTCGCTTCGCTCTGGCTTCTTTGCTTTTGTGCGCCTGCAGCGCACACGTCCTACATCTGTACGAAGCCAGTCCCTCGGGCGCATTCGGCGACTGCGCGAGCCATTTCGGCTTGATTTCGATGGTGATGGATTCCCCGGCTACAGGCGACATGTCCTGCATCAGCAGCCCGTACCTCGTCTCTTTGCGATCGAGGATCTGGACCTTGCGTCGCGAGTGCGATTTGATCTCCTGGTTGAGATGCGCCACGACCTCGGAGTCGAGTTTTGTCAGCTGGAGTGGCATGCCGCAGTCCTCAAGGTGCGCGTATTGGAGCAGTTCGGTGACCTTTTCGTCGTAGTCTTTCTTGATCTCCGGGCATGATGGCGTCTTTGCGAGGCCTTTGCTCACGCGGAGGACGTGTCCAAGGGGAAGCTTCTTGTCGCTGTTCGATGAGGATTTGGTGGTTTTGAATTCGAAGGGGGTATCTGAGCCGCTGGATTGGCGGATGCTGAAGACAACATTGGCGGCGCCTTCGGCTAGGAAATGTAGCGAGTAGGTGGATGAAGAATGATCCTTTGCCTTGCGCAGTATGCAAGGCATCGTGTCCGTGAGAGAATTCGCTGGGACCTTTGATGTTTCTGAGGCCATGCTGACATCGCCATTGGGGGAGTCAGCGAGCGACATGGTTGGTGAATGCGGGAGTAATTAGAGGCCAACGGCGGTTGCCAAATCCATAAGCTCGCGGAATGTAGTCCTTATACAGCTGTGTATATAATGTCAATGGCGCGTCCAAGTTCAATCCTGTTCAATCCAGCTCCATAGATGGCGGGTGATTCAATTTCTGTTCGCTGTTGGAGTGCGCACAGTGGACTGGCTTGTGCTATGACGTTTTGTTTTGTTTTCCCGGGAATCTACCAATGGGGACACCTGACGCCTCCTCGAATTCCTGAGACCGTTTCGCTTACGCCAAAGTCAATCTGCACGGTTGGTGGAAGCTTTCTTTACATGTTGAGGTCGTCGGAAGGGGGCCGCATCTACTTTTCAAAGGCGACCGTAAAGCGGAAGTGTGGCACGCGTGGGTCTTCCAGCTCTTAGGTCCCAAACATTCGACCGCTCGCGTGGCGTAGATCATCACGTGTCGGTCAGCTCGTGTTTCGCTGGCCTCCAATGAGCATAGGGAATCGTAGGGAGCCTCAGCTTTTTGATAAGTAGTAATCTTCTTTCTGTCAGATACGTGGTGTGCGCTGTACTTGCCTTATCTATGATAGGCTCGCAATGCACGCTCAAAAACAACACCATATAGGAGGTTGTCACTAGTGAGGCTCTCGATGCACCACTCAAGGCAATATCAGATAGATGAGTGTACAAGTTGTGGGGCGCACGATGCAAAAAGTGGGTTCTCAAAAGGACATTGGCTGCATTGTTCTGCGCAATATGTTCTATTAAAGATTACGGGTTTGTGTGCGGAGTATAGATATGTGTATAAATGGACGTGTACATGGCGTGTATGTTCAAGTATATGGGTATCTCGAGCGCGCTGCAGGATCAGTGTTAGTGGCCTCAGGTATAACCAAATCCCCTCTGTAAGCTAGCTGTAACTCAATCTGTTCTCGCATCATCCATTTTGACGGGGAAAATCTCCTTGGCTAAATTCGCAACTTCTCCGCCTAAACCAGCAAGGGCAGCCTTGATTTTCTCAATGGTCTCCTCATTCAAGCCGCCCTTTCTTGAGTAGAAATCTACGCCAGCGGGCGTGAACAATGTCTTCGCAAAGTATGTGACCACCCATTGGTTGTCCGAGCCTGGAACGTCTCCATATCCCAATATTTCCCACTTTGAGCTCGCAATCGCCAGCCAACCTTTGCCTCTCCACTGGTAGGCTGGGCTCGCCGCGTCTTCAGCAGGCTCGGGTGCCGTGCCGGGAACGTCAAACGGCTTGTCGATGCCGCGGACAGTCTTGAGTTTCGTGGAGTCGAGCGACTGGTAGGTCACTAGATCGTCGAGGTGGGCTGGTGAAGTATTGGGGATCTGTTTATAGGTGATTCGGACGTTGCGGCTCTTCTTCCACATGGGGAGCGTGGAATGGGTTACGTTCCATGACCCCTGCAGCCAAGCCAGCGTCGGGGGCGAGACAGATGGCTGGATCTCAGACTTTAGGCTCGAAGGTGAACGCAGAGTGATGTCGGATGACATGGTGGTAGAGTTTACCAGTAGAGAAAGTGGATACGAAGGTAGGCTGGGGGTGGTGACGAGTACACTGGAGGCGGAAGTATTGGCGGCGTGGCTGGATCCTGGCTGGGAGGATGCTGCGAGGGAAGAGGCGCGTTGAGGCGAGAGAGGCGCGCACTGTCTGGGTATAGTAGCACAGCTGTTCAATAGTTTTGCACTGAGTGGTAATTGGGAGGTTGTATGAAGCTTCTTCATGTCTTCAATCACGGTCTTGAACAGAGTGTCGGTGATGGGGAGGGGATGTTTACATCAACACAAAAAGAGATACATCTTGCAGGCGGCTCTTGGTGACCCGAGCTGCAGCTGTCAACCGCAATGAGTGATAGGACAGTATTCCTCCGTACTCGTAGCCTGTACGAGGGTTGCACCGTTACAAGTCATGGCGTGTAGTTATTTGTAGGGCTGGGAGATCGACAGCAGATGTACCGGGAAAGACACAGCCGGAGCAACCGAGCCAGTCCGCAAAGGGGAAGGCCACGCGCATCGCTTGTCGCCTCTGCCTCTTTGACATCACACCGGCAAAGGGACCAACCTCCCACAGACAAGAACACTTTCAAACAGCGTAAAACATCAATATTTCTTGGTGGCAGTGGCCGTTATTATGATCTCAACACCGGCTAAATATAGAGCACTGACCATTATTGGTCTCAGTAACGTCGCGAGGATCCGCAAAGCTCTCGGCGAGACGTAGCTGACGACGCCTGAAACCCTTCCGCGTCTCGCGGGGCTGTGTAAGTGAGCGTATGGGTCCACAATATCCTGCCACCGCCAACCATTTGCCTCTTGCCTTTCGTTTTTGTATAATCATTTGTAGGCTGAGGCTCTGGAAGCTGAATCTACATAACAAACCCATAGACCTGCGTGGCGTTGACGTCCTATTTCTGCTCACTTCCACTTTCAAGGGCCCATATCAAGGTCATCCACTCCGCACTCCCCCAGTCACTATCAATACAGTCGCTTCATCCTCAAATCACTTGACTATACTATCAATTCCACGACCAAACCAGTCACTTCTGTCGTTATTAATCTAGCTGAAGCATTTGTCGATCAATATGTTTTTCAAAGCCCTCTTGCAGGCTTCTCTGGCACTACCATTGCTATACACGACCGCTTCGGCACAGACAGCATGTAATAACTCGCCTTCGCTCTGCGATAAGGCGTACAACAACATAACACATCTCGGGGCTCACAACTCCCCATTCCTTCGAGACTCGACCACGTCGTTCTCTACATCGGGCAACCAATACTACAACACTAGGACACAACTCGAATCAGGTGTTCGACTATTGTCTGGGCAGGTCCACAAGAAGAACAACACAAGTGGAAACAGCGCATGGCATATGTGCCATAGCAGCTGTGATCTCTTGGATGCAGGTACTTTAGAAGAATGGCTCAGCGAGATCAAGTCATGGATGGACAGCAACCCGAACGACGTAGTCACGGTCCTGTTGGTGAACTCTGACAATGCCTCACCAGCTGAGCTGGGTGCATCTTTCGAGTCTACTGGGCTCGATAAGTTGGCCTACTCACCTCCGTCACTATCTCAACCTCCCGAGACGTGGCCCACTCTTCAGTCTCTCATCTCGAACGGGACAAGGCTGATGACTTTCGTTGCTTCGCTCACCCCGAGTGCTCAGTACCCTTACCTCATGGACGAGTTCACATTTATATTTGAGAACGACTTCGAGAACGAGACGCCGACCGCCTACTCCTGCACACCCAACCGACCAAGTCCACTCACCACAGAGCAGGCCGCCACTTCCGGCCGCATGTTCTTCATGAACCACTTCCTCTACTCTGTCCAGCTCTTTGGTATTCAATCCCCCAACGACACCTACATCGGCACGACCAATGCCCAGACCGGACTTGGATCTCTAGGTGAAGCCATCACGAGCTGCACTGGTGTCTACAGCAAGCCGCCTACCTTCGTGCTCGTCGACTTCTTCAACGTCGGACCAGCCATTGGGAGCGTCGACACAGCGAACAGCGTCTCCAACCCCACTGGCCGCAGGAGCGCACCCGCCGAGGTATTGCAAGAGACATCTGGTGTATCACGACAGCAAGGAAGCATGTTTGCAGTCGTGGTAGCCGTTGTCGCTGCCATCTCGTTTGGCATGTAAAATGAACATTTTTGTATTATTTCCTTCCTTAATTATTTTTTACTAGTTTGGAACGGGTCAAAAGGCATTTGGGCATGAAGGAACGATCTCACATATGTGCATGGCGACGGCGTTTTTTTCTTCTTCTTTTCATATTTTTATCATACATACTGCACTCGGCGTAGTCAGTATCCCAAGACTACTAATTCACTAGTAGCAGATCGCGATGGAAGCGATTAGATGATTTGCATTTCGCATGGACGGAAAACACTCTCTTGCTAGCTACTCGTATCGATAGCACATAGATAGTTGATGTTTAATCGACTTTGGCCAGACCAAAAAGCGCCAAATGAAACACTTGCAAAGACCATCCCCACAATCGTGCATCTAACTTGTGCTGCTAACACTTTAGTAAGAGTACGGAGTACGTTGGTCGTCATCCCCCATCGTTCAACGCATCCCACCAACGGCACGACTGCGTAGTCGGAATCGTTGATGACCCCACACTACATACGAGCATTACCTCACCTCACCTACCTATCATTTCCTTCCCTTGTAACGGAAATACGAACCGCAAACGCAAGAAGATGAGTTTATGTACCGTGTAGACCAACCCCACCAAGCGAACATCAACATCCCACCCGACCAATCACCACTATCCCTCCATCGGAACCACCCACCTACACATAAACCCTCATCCCACGAAACGAACCACCACCCTCAACAACACACCACACCCATCCCATCCCATCTCCGCCCACGCACCCATACAATCAATTCCCAATCCCTCAAAAGCAGTTTACGGAGTACCACAAGTCACAATGTCCACCCCAGCGACTCCGAATCTGGAAGAAATCGCAACGCCAGAATCCTGCATCGCAGACTTCTGCCTCATCCCCCTCGGCACGCCGACGCCATCCGTCGCCCGCGAGGTCGCCGCCGTCCAGCGCCTGCTCGCAAAGAGCGGTCTGAAGTTCTCCCTGCACAGCGCGGGGACTACCGTTGGTGCGTATGCGTTTCATCGTCTCTTTTTCCTTCCCTTGCCCCCCACTTGATGCATGCATGCATGTATGTGTGGAAGAGTCTAGAAAGTGAGGGATTGAAGTCCTTCTCGTACGCGGGGATATTGTGTTTTGTGTACGGGTGAGGGAGGGGTGATGTTGGGGGGGAGTTTGGAGAAAAATCGGAAAAATCGGAAACTCGGAAATCGAGTTGATTTTCTGTGGTTTATTGTTTCTTTTGGTATCACGGCATCACTGTTGCACTACTACTGCACTGTATCAAGTACCCATTTCCGACACACATCAACATCCCCGTTTCCTATACCCTCCACCTTTCTATTTCTTCACTCTTCATTTCCACAGTTTTACAGTTTTAAAAGAAAGAGGGTTCTAACGACACACCTCGCGTGGGGTATTCACAGAAGGCTCCTGGGACGACGTCACGCGCGTGATAGGCCAATGCCACGCGCTGATCCACTCGCAGGGTGTCGTGAGGATACAGAGCTCGGTCAGGATCGGCACGAGGACGGATAAGAAGCAGGGGTTCCAGGATAAGGTGGATGCGGTGGAGAAGCTTTTGAAGGAGGAGGAGGGTGGTGCATGAGTTGTATTGAAAATAGAGATGGGGCTTATTTTGAAATTCGGGAACGGAATTGAAGTATTTCCGGGATTGTAGAGTATGTTAGAGATGTGTATATGTTGGCTTGTGCTCTCGGGTAAGCCCACAGTCGCACGGATGGGGGCTATCAAAGTCGTCACGTGAGGGTGCATTCACCTCATCGGCAGACGCGTCTACCACGACGTCCCTGTGAATATTTGAAGGCATTGTCCTCCGTAAACAACCCTCTCTCCAACAATCTAATCATGGCGACAACGGAAGCTAATCGCCAACCTGAATGGGTCACAAGAACATTCGAAAAACAAAGCTCCACCCCCTTCCCTACCCCAAGAGCCATGGCCGCTATCCCACTCGACGAGTTGGGGGATTGACTGGGGTTCGGACAGAGTTGAGAGCGAAGATAGGCTAGCCAACGTGTACGATGAAGGTGCAATGGCACGTGTAGGGCTATCCCACAGTGTCCAACGGGGATTGCGCGCACGCGTTTAAGGGGATGCTTGTCTGTCGAATGTCCATGTCCATGTCCATGTCCATGTCAATTGACAGTGACCATGACTCCGAGTCAAATGTACTGATCGCCCACGTCAAAGATGAATTTCCCCAGAGACAAGACGATAAGAAGCGTAGCGTCGTGTACGGAGTGCACCTTTCAAGGATATCGTGAAATCGAAGGGAGGGATCATAGGTCCAGAACAGTGGCACATTCTAGAATTGAAGGAATGGCTAGGACAAAAGTTGCGTGGTTGCATCTCTGGATCGTGTGCCCAGCTCATCCGGCGACACCGCTTTCTCCATAGTTTTCATGGAGTAACGGAGAAGTGTGGTTATTTTTTCCCTTCTCTTGCGCAAGAAACTACGTGTGTGTCCATACACCGCAAGTTTAACGCCCTTGGCTAGATGGGAGGATCAGACGAGGTTAGTCCAGGAAGAGGATAATACGGGATGGCATTGTGTGCATGGCCCCGATTATCTCCGCCCGGCCGGCGCATCCATCGGAGGGTGAGAAGAGTCTGTGTTCATCTGTGTGTATCTTGTTGGTATTTATTAGATGGTAAGCAGATACATGGATAGGTAGCAAGAAGTAAGAAGTGGATTATTGTCTAGATAGAATTCTGTATATGTGTAGGTAGATGGTAGCAGTGTTATGTGTAGATGTAGAATTTTACTATGAAGTGGAAGTGGAAGAGTGTGCTTAACCGACGACCGACATGCCGACACCGACGGAAGGTACAGTACCTAGTAAGTCTCAGTAGTCCAGTAGTCCCTGCCACCTGCAAAAAGCCTGCAAGAGCCTGCAGAGCCTGCAAAGCCTGGCAACCCTCCCTTGTCCAACTGCGCCTTTTCATCATCTTCTCCATCCCTAAAGTACCTTAGGGGCCGCTCATCAGTTCCCTACCGTAGACCTACCTACCTCGTAATTTCTCTACTTTCTCGACTCTCGCTCACACCACACACTACACACTACACACACACTCTCCTTTCATCATCACCAATTCACCACCTCACACCACTCCTCCATACCCATCACGCCGGTTGGCAATCCCCTCGCGTTCATCGGACGTCACCTGTCCCTACCTAAAATACGTCCACCCGACTTCTCTTATTTCTGCCACAAAGTACCCCGGACTTTTTTCGTCGTCCTGCCCAGTTTCCTGGCAGGATTGCGTTCACGCGGCGACCAAAGGCATGCACGCGACACTTCCAACGCCCTCCCCATCAACACCCGCCAACTCTGGCCTCTAAATCGTCGTCGCATCCACCGACATACCTGATTCTTCACCATGGCTTTCAATTTCAACTGGTCGCCGCTCATCGCGGACACCTCGCGAGCGCGCGACATGTTGACCACTGCGCTAAATAAATCCCCTAAGCCGCCGATCATCGTTGACGACATCATCGTCACAGAACTCAACCTGGGAACCACGCCGCCCGAATTGGAAATACTAGAGATTGGAGATTTGGCCGAGGACAGGTTCAGAGGAATTTTCAAAATGTCGTATGCTGGCGATGCTTTTTTAACGCTCAAGACAAAGGTTCAGGCAAATCCGCTCAACACACTGCTGTCCACGAGACCAAGCTTCGCGTCGCCAGAGCCTTTGGCCGCCGCCGAAGGTCTGACAATACCGCTCGCCATCACGCTATCCGACATTCGATTATCAGGTTTCGTCATTTTGGTCTTCTCGAAGCAAAAGGGCTTGACTCTGGTCTTCCGCAACGACCCTCTCGAATCCCTAAAGGTCTCGTCTACGTTCGACTCGATCCCTTTCGTCCGCGATTACTTGCAGAAGGAAATCGAGAAGCAGCTTCGCGTTCTCTTCATGGACGACCTCCCGGCCATCATCCATCGATTATCCCACCGCCTCCTCGATCCCGAATACCAGCAAGTCGACGATGCAGAGAAGAGGTTGGACGACGCGAATGATAAATCAGCACGTATTGATCCCCTGGCCACGCCTCCTCAGGACGCTGTAGACGCGTTTGGCAATCTCCTGGACCTGTCACACATTTCCGATCTTTCCCTCGAACCATCAGAAATTCACGCGTCATTCTCGCAGAAGAACATCCTGCGCCTCGCTGCACTATCCGAGTCGCAGCGCACCCTCTCGCTTTTCACGCCAGGCATTCGCGAAGCAGTCTTCCGTGCCTGGGCCAGCCACTCCGACCAGAACAGCCCCGGTTCCTCGACACCTGCACTCACCCAATCGAGTCTATCAAGAATACAATCTACATTTGGTAGCTTGAAATCGCACAGCTCATCCGTGGCATCAGATAGCACAGGAAACGAGACGCTTAGCTCCAGGCCCACGATGACGTCGTACTCTTCCGCACCAGCGGGTCTTTCCCTTGGCGCCAATCGCTCACGAACGTCGAACATGCGAAAGCGAAAGAAGCGAGTGGTCAATCTACGCAAGGATAAAGATGGCGCCGAGTCGTCTGAGGTTTCTACGGAAGCAAACACGCCCTTGCATAGTACGAACGTTTCGGAGACTGCGAGCGATTTCCCGGAGAGCGTACCGGAAGAGAGAGAGCTGGAAGAGGAACTGGCAACACCACCCAAGACCCCAGAGAGGCGCACACTGAACAGACGTTCAAGCTTCGAACTCGCCGAGGCAGCTCCAATTTCCGAGAAGAGCCCTGTCGAGCCTTTGTTGCCCGCGGCACCCATACTGGCCGATGCACCCAAGTTTACCAAACCCAAGCAGAAGTCGAAAGCGGAGGAGGCAGCGCACGAAAGGAAGCGCTCCTACTCGAGCAGAACGCCACTCCGCAGCAGTCATCTCCGCCCTCCACAGCAAGCAACCTCACCCCTCCTCCGATCATTGTCGTTCGACAAAGTCTCGACCTTGTCCTCCGTGCTGCCTCCCATGTCACCTCCTCAGATGGAGAGCTCCGCTTCCTCTTCCTCCGGCGGCATTCTTGAGCAAGCTTGGATGCTCAAGATGGCGCAGGAGATTGCCCGCAAGGTGCAAGAAGAGAAGGATCGTGAGGCAGACCGAGAGCGCGAGTTCAATCGCGCCACGCAGCCACAGACCACGTCAAAGGCGGCCGAAGGGATGTGGGCTTCATCGCATGAAGAGCTCGATGCTCCTCCATCGTACCAAGCCTCCATCTAAAGGGGACTCGACAACACTACTCTTTTTTTCTTTCTTCTTTTTTCATCATGACCTTATGCATATATGACGGCGTTTCAAACCAAAAGGACAAATCTCCACACCCACTCTGTTCTCTCATTAGGCTTCCCCTCTGCGTGGGGACCGACCATTATGGTAATCCTTGTTTCCTTGTTTTCGTCTTGGGGGCGGCTTCGTATCTTCTTTCACACTCTCCTCATTCTGGTCATCGCTTTTCCTTTGTTTTGTCTTATCCGTTGTTGTTGCCATCGAGCACACACACACCTACCATTCTCGCTCACCTTGTTGCTTCCATCTTCGCGTCGCATACCACACACGCACCAGAAATAAAAAAGTCTCGCAACTTCAATCCCTTCTTCTTTCTTTCTTCCTTTTTTCTTCCGTCGCCAGACGGGAATAATTCACACTTTGTCAATAGGGCTAGGCTAGGGGGTCCGGGAGGTTGCCAGGAGGCGGACCATCTTTTTTCACTCAAAAGGAACGGGGTGGGAGGGGCTTTCTGGCTATACATAGGCAGGCATCGGACGGACGGACAACATCGGACTGGAAGGGCTCGTTCATCATCATCGTTATCATCGCTTGCGTCTTATCCCAACTCTTTCGAGTTGTCACTTCTTCATTCTTCTTCTCCCCTCAAATCGACCGAACGACGAAATGTTCCGGTCCTTTTTATTCTTATTCGTCATTCTTATTCTTCATTCTTGAAGGTTTTCCAATGGGCAAAGCAAATGTGCGCGCTTCGTAACAACTAGCCGTATACCCCCCCTCTACTGCGAGAGAAAGGAAAAAGTTTTGAAACATATGAATACTATTCTTATTTGATGATGACATTTGAGGAGAGCTTTGTGCTATTGGAACGTGATGGTTCGTGATGTATTCACTGACTTTGAGTTGGGTGACTTTTACGCTGGAATATGTGTGTATAGGAAATAGCATCTTTACATGACTGGTTCTTGTCGTGTGCTTCTCGAGAGGGAGCGAGGGATGGGGCATGGAGAGAACGCAAGTTGAGAAGGAAGGAAGGGTGCTTGAATGAATGAAGCATAGAGATGTTTTGATGCACAAGTTACATTAAACACGTTTTCCAACGATGGTTGATGATGGTAACTGATTGGATCACGAAAGCCACGTCTCTCTCTCGCTGTTTATGGTGACGATGGTTGTTGTAATCTGATCTGATCTGATCTGATCCGACGTTGAGAGATGTTTATGTGTAACATCTATCTCCCCATCCATACATATCTCCAACCACTTGATACTTCAGTGAAGCTTGAGAGGTGCAGTTAGTCATTTCAGACTTATTCACCAAGTGGATCTTCTTCCCTTTCAATTATGAATGCAGTTTATTCAATGCTATGATATGATATCGCTATCGTCGTCTCATCATCTTCATCATCTTCGTCATCGTCAACCCCATCTACATATTCTTAATCAAATACGACAACCCCGCCCACATCTCCTCACCAGACGGCAAGATCTGCGCCGCGGGCAACACGAACCCATTCCTGCCCGTATCCCTCAACTCCACCGTCATCGAGTACGTCGCCTTCGCATTCTCCAGCGCATAGTCCACCGAATCGCCACTGACCTGATAAATCGTATTACAGATCGGACCGGACGTAAACGTCGTGCCATGCACGGCCTTGACGGCAGCCACCGCCCCGTCAGTCAGCGACTTGTACTTCGCAGCGTTGGGCACGGCGCCGCTGCACGTGTAGCCGTACGGATACATCCACAGCTGGGAGTACGAATGGATGTCCATGTACAACTGGACGCCCTTGCCCGCGGCGATGGAGTCGAGGTGCGCTTTGAGGACTTTGGTCTCGACGCCGTCGCCGGCGGACGGGCCCTTGTAGTCTTCGTCGCAGGGGGCGGTGGAGGCGCCCTCGCGCTGCGGCCACGAGGAGTGCGGCCAGTTGCGGTTGATGTCGCGGCCGACGCAGGAGGCGGACGGGGTGGACTGGCGGTTCTTGCGCCAGAGGCGGTTGGTGGTTTGCGTGTAGGCGAAGCCGTCGGGGTTCACGATGGGGAGGATGTAGAAGTCGTATTTGTTTTTGAAGGCTTGGACGGTGGGGTCGGTGGAGGTGAGGAGTTGGTAGGCGGCGTATTCGTTGACCTTTGGGTTTGAGAGTTAGTATTGAATGGGAGGGGATAGGATGTGAGGGAATGAAGGCGTACCATGTTGGTGATCCATTCTCGAGCGTGCACCGTCGAGTGGAATACCACGCCCTTCTGCGAGCCTTTGCCGCCGCTGCCCCAAATGTGGATTCCGTTTATGTCGCGGCCCTCCAGCGACTTGCCGGCGGAGAACACCTCCGAGTTGGCTGGGTACGCGGCCGCGAGATCCTTGAGCCACTGCGTGTGGTCCGCAATGGGGTGGTATGAATTGAACCAAGTGAGGTTCGGCGCTGCCAGGGTGCTGAAGTCATTGTCGGCGGCAGCGAATGCTGGATGTGACGATTGATGTCAGCAAAAACGTCCGGTTGATTCCCCTCCCCGTTCAAGGCGAGGTCCCAGGATGTGATGGGATATTACTTACCGGCAGGGGCAGCAGCCACCTCCGACTCGGCGGCGATCGATGCGCCGAGATTCTCGTGCATCAGCGCCGTCTCGATGCCCTCGGTCGACTTCTTGAACTCGGCGAGCACTGACGGCGGCACGACGACGTCGACCACGGAGCTCGTCAGGGCGCGACCCTTCCACGTCTGGAGGCTGAGCTTCTCGATCACTTCATGGAGCTTCTCGCCATTGGATCCAACATTGACGCGGTACACTTGGTAGCCGTCGTAGTCTTCCGACCTAGTGTTGAGACTGATGGCCGAGACAAGGCTCAGGGAGGCCAGAACGACAGAGAGGAACCTCATGATTTCAATGGGTAGACTGGTGAGTTGGGCCGCGAGGTAGGAATTGGCTGGCGTGAGGAGCAATCAGGAAGTCTGGTTTTCCAAGACTCTTTATAGTCGTACACAGATGTGGAGCTCCGTGCTGTGGAAGAATTTGGCGGTTCGCAGGAAATATATTGTCACCTGCCCTTCGAGTGCCAATCTCCATCTTCGAACCCGGGGCAATGCCGCGGCAAGGAAGCTGGTCGAGGCATGGTAATATAAAAGATGCATGGCTGATTGACAGGGCACTGTACGCGCGACGATTCGTCGATTGGGGGGCGATGATGATGCCCTGCCACGAACCCGTTTCAATCAGATGCCTGTTTGGGATTTGTTTGCTGCGTATTGAGTGGCTGCCATCAGGCAGATCTTCCCTTGGAGATCCTGCAGCATGGCGCACTGCACACAAGACAAGGAGGTCGGCGGCCAGGAAGCTTATCTCGGGGGGCGATATCAGTATTGTGCGGTCAGTCGGTCGCTCTGTGTGTTGATTGCTGCTTAGCTTCCGGCTTGACCTGGGGGATCGCCAGGGAATCGAAATATGTTTGGCTCCGACCTTCCCGTTTCGATGAGGTGTCTTGAAATCGCTAAATGCATAGGCTTGCTTGGGTGGCCGCTTCGGCTGAATTGATTGGAGAGGCTTGGAGATTGGAGGGGTGCTGGTGAGGCGAAACAGCCAAAGGAAAGCGCGGATTACTCGTAGGTGACCTCGAGCAAACAGCCATCTTTCAGCGTACCATAGTTCAAGAAGAAGATGAAGTCGACTTGGTGGTGGTTACTGTACGTCGTTGTATGTACATCCCGCGTTGTATGTCGTCGGACATTATTTGTCGGCGTCTAACTGGATTTGGGCAAAAGGGCCCTCTAGAATCGAATCGTAGGGCAGACGAGTGATACGAATAAATTATAGGTCGAAGTAGCTGCACTTGTGCAATCTAGACTTCCTGTTGCAGCATCGCGCGCTTCTGTCTGTTTAACAGCGTTCAGTGTGACCTCGGATGTTTGCCTCGACCTGATGCTACCGCATTGTGATTGTGCTCCGAAGTCCGTCTGCGTCGATTAGTCTGGGTGCTTCCATCAACCACTGGTGCTCTTGTTACCTCGCAGTGTAGTCTCTTTCCTAATATTACTGCTTTCAACGTTATCAGGCTTCTCGTATCATCCTTGCTCATGTTGTCGATGTCAATATAATTTCTGCAATGCGTTACACGTCCACAGTCAAAATCCAGCACATGGTGAATACTTGCAAACTTGCCGTCTAGACATGTATTGAAAATATTGCATCATACATAGTGTTCTACTCCTACAACCCTCTTGCCTGCCATTTTATCTTACACCAACCCAATCCCCATTTACGCAAGAGTGCACGAGTACTGTCCGACCCATTTTCGGCCTCCGCCGCAGTCCTCCACCTGCTCCTCAGACTTGCAACTGCCAACCTTGTTGCCGTTCTCCTTGAGATCCCCGCCTCCCGAACCGCAGCCCTCCATGGTGTACATCTGTGATTGACCGGGAGGCGTGAAGAAGACTTCGCAGGGAGTGAACTCTTCCCAGTCGAATCCGTGGGGTGTCACTGCTGAGCATCCTGATCCAGCGACCCAGACTGCAGAGGCGCCTTTCTTGCCTGGGTTGGCATCGAGGGATTCGTAGCCCAGTCTGATGTTCTTTGCCTGGCGCGCAACGACCGAAGCACTGGGTGCGGCGCTGACGAATGAGTTGAGAGATAGAAGGGCAACGATGGCCGCATAAGCTGTGGTGGAGTATTGCATTTTGGAAAAGTGGATCGGAATAGAAAGAGATAGACGTTTGTAATTTCCGAGTGAGTGTCTTGCTGCGCTGAGCGAGAATGAATGGATGAATGAAAGAAGAAAGTGTAGTGAATGAAAGTTTGATTTGTTGATGATGTCGTGCTTGTGGGACGAACTATCGACCCTTTCTATAGTTCATGTTGACATTATTTTTGGCATCAGTCGCCCATCGTGAGTATGGCTTAATGCCTGTGTAGAAATGGACATTGGCAAAAGAGAATCGGACTTTTGTAAGCGTTTGAAATGCTGGACGGTATCCGGACATCACCACAATACGACCAATTGAAACCATAGTCTGTGACTAAATCTAGTTCTATTAGAGAACCAGGCTTTTTGTATTCATTTTCTTTGCGTGCCAGAGAGTTGTCGCATTGAGCGCGGGGTTTGATGTTGACCACGGCGGAATGGAATTCATAGACGCCAAGAATTGTGATGTCTCACAGTCTTGTAAAATTTATAGGCCGGTATGGAGATTGATGACCTAACCTGATCACTTGTCGGCACCAGTGGATTGAAGATGTAGAGGAGGTGATGTCGTGGAGCCGGTAAGTAGAACTTTCGGCCTACAGTGACGGTGTAAAACTGTGCGCCTTGGCTGATACAGAGGGAACATACGTCGGACTAACTACCTCCTAGCTTCATGTATATTCTTTTATACCTATACCAGCTATACGAGAGTATATTGTAGCCAGTCGACAGTCTTAACACCTTGCGAATATAGCCGCGAATGTACAGTTGTGACAATGGAATACTAGCAGGCCAAGCCCGAGGTGCCTACTCTATGTGCCTTGTCGGCTCGGAACACTGATGTTCAGCAATGGACTCTGTCACGTTCCTATCGCCTGTTGCTTCTATCTGCAGCAACACTTCACTCGACGTACGAGGATTATTGACCCAATTGGTTGTCTGTGGTACAAAGTCACAAGACATAAAGAGTTCGCCACCTACGGGAACGTCGGCTAATGGGACCAGCTCTTTGTCAGATGCCGAGCGGCGTCTGATCACATTCTTCCCGACCCGACCATCCTCACAATGTCACACTACTCCATCTCATGAAGTTTTGGATGGCCCTTGCACATGGACACATCTGCTGCGCAAGAAGCGGGGCCTGCGCCGGCCCAGGATGATTCTCCAAAAATCAAAAGAGCGCATCAGGCCTGTTTGAATTGTCGCAAGCGCAAGTCGCGTTGCCTCTTGTAAGTAAACACGTCCACAAATCGGCAAAGGCCTCATCCACCGCAAAGGTTGAATACCCGAGACGCTGACCAAGATCGACGCAGGGACAATGACGGCTCGATACCCTGCCTGCGATGCAAGAGGGACAACCTCGACTGCGTCCTAGGAGGCTCCAACCGCGGCGGACGACGAGTGCGAAAGCCGAAGCCTGTCGAAACCGCGACGCTCCCAACGCTCCCAACCTTCACGGCCCAGGATGACACACCTTTCAGTGGCATTGGGAACGTCGGCACGAATCCGTGGACACAGACCGAGACGAACGAGCAGCAACGTAACGGCGGCGGAACACACGACCAAATACCGCAATCCGAGTCTGGCACATCGTCGGACGAGCTACCCTACGCAAATCTACAGAACCCTTCGGATGCATTGGGCATACTGGCCAGGGTAGCAGAAGGGAGTTCTGGACGCGCGGATCTGGCGACGACACAACCTCTCGGGCCATCGCAACCAACCCATGTGCCTGGTTCTCTGACTGCTGTCAGCGGCGATGTTCAGTCCCCACCCTCTTTCTATTCCTACCGGCTATTAGACACTGGGGCTCTCACAGTAGCTACAGTATGTCGCCTACTGTCGCGTTATCAAGAGAATTACCACCCGTACTATCCTCTCGCGCCAGTTCGAACCTTCGATACTTCGCTCCTGGCAGAAACGGCAAAGAAGGAGCCACATCTTCTTACCGCAATCTTGGTGATAGCATCTAAGGATCTCATCGAGGAAGCACACATCTACGAATCATGTTCAGAATATATGAAAGAACTGGTGTCACACCTGGCCGCTGGAGGTGACGCAGGTGTGGAAGCCGTTGAAGGCCTTCTCATCCTTGCCGAGTGGGCACCTTACACTCAGAGAACATCTGGGAAGGTCGGAAAAGGTGAAGAAGACAAGGAAAGTTGGATGCATGTCGGTCTTGCTTTACGCATTGGCTATTTCCTAGCTCTCGACAAGTACTCATTCAGGGTCACCGAGAACCAGAGGGACAAGGATCCGGAACACGATCGGAAACGACTGATCTGGACAGCGGCCTACGTCTCTGATCGACATATATCCATTCGAATCGGAAAGGCTTTTTGGTCTCGTGGACCTGGGCCTATGACGACTCTTGTCCGTGCCGACTATCCCTCGCTCATCCCAAAGTCCCCCAACGAAGAGGACTATGCCAGCATCTATCAAGCCAACCTGGAATTGACACAGCTGTTCAGCAACGTTCATGATGTCCTCTACTCAAATCCCGGATCAAGTTTCCGATCTCATCTGAGCGGCAGCTACATCAAGTTCATCGATGACTTCCGCACCGCCATATACGGATGGAAGAGTGTTTGGGGAACCCTAACATGCTCACCACCGCTAAAAGCCTGCCTCCTCATGTCCTACGACTACCTACGTCTTTACACGAATGCATTTGCCTTCCAAGCCACGGTGCGTCGCGCCATGCCCACCGTCGACCAGGCCATCATGCATTCCGAGAATCCTTCGATGCAAGCGCCGCAGAGAGTGTTCAGCAACAACGTCGGCGCTGTCGGAGACGCCCGATTCATCTACGAAGGCCTCGATGCCGCCAAAGCAATCCTCACCACAGCCAACAACTTCGTCGATCCCGAGAAGTCACTCCGCTACATGCCCCTCCGATACTACCTCTACCTAGTATACGCCGGCGTCTTCCTCTACCGAGCACGCTGCACCGGCGTTATCGGCGGCGAAGAAGACCGCACCGTCCGCGCCGTGATCAACGAAACCGTAAACCGCCTCCAACGCAGCAGTCCCGCCGCAACGGGCTCCACGACGCTGCAACACCCAGGCAGCCGCTACAGCGAGCTCCTCAAACTCCTATGGGCCAAAGTCCCGCGAAAAGACAAAGCATCCCGCGCGTCCTTCCGCCACCCAGGCACCAACACAGCCAACCTCCCCAACACCGACGGCAACAACGGCAACGGCAACTCCAACAACACCTTCCAATCCGGCATGCCGGTCCCCATGCCCTCGCCCTCGCAGTCCGGCAGCGCGCACACGGGCGAGAGCCCCGCGGTCACGGAGCACATGGGCGACTTCGGGTGGACGGATCTGGGTGCCGTGGGCGACTTTGCGATCAATGGCGGGGGTAACACAGGGCCTATTGACGACTCGACGTTCTGGAATGGGTTCCTGCCGCTCGATATGGGTTGGCCGCTCGGCATGTCCGGGCAGGGCGGCGCCGGGTGGGACGATATGGGGTTTGAGGGCCACGAGTTGGGGATGACGTTTTGATATGTTTGATACACCTTGGAATTGGGAGGGTTGGTTTGGGCTGGACTGGCTTTTTGGGTTTTGTTCGAGAGACGGATTTGTGGGGAATGGTTCTGTTTACTATATACCTAGGTACTGTAATGTCATGTATTGGGCGTTATCTCTCGAAGGAGTGATTCTGATGCCCTGGGAGCAGCACGATTGGCCTTTGATATATCAATATACTTGTTAACGTTATCATCATAAGTTTACAGCTACGTCAAGTTTCCCATCATCACTTATCATTTTCCAAATCTCCAAGGAGCACCACTGACATTTGAAACTGATAGGCTCCACAACCATGATATTCTCACCTTTACAGCTACCTATCACTGCACAAGTTCTACTCAGTACTAGCATCAACGATCCGCCTCCCACCTCCCTACCTCCCCCCCTTCTCCCTCATACTCCTCCCCTCAGTCCCCCCACTATCCTCCCACCCCCCAACCCTCCTCCTCCCCAACGCCCTCCTAATAATCCACTCCTTCGCCGTCTCTACCTCCCCCTCCCCACCATCCTCCTCCCCTTCAACAATCCCCCTCATCCTCACCCCATCCCCCGGCCGACAAAAATACACCAGACTCCACCTCGTCACTTCGCCCTGGCGCCCCGGAGGCGCAACGACACGATGGATATTAGATCGCAGGATACCAGACGAGAGAATGGAGAGCGCGTCCCCGAGGTTGACGATGCAGTGGCCTGGGAGCGGGCGGACGTATGTCCAGCCGTCCTGGCATAATGGCGAGGGAGAGGTGCTGGGGGTGCTGGGGGGTACCGGGGAGATGGAGGGCGGGAGGCGGACTTGTAGCCCGCCGAGGCGGTTGAAGAGGATGGTTATGCTGCCGAAGTCTGTGTGTTCGCCTAGGGCTATGGGGGAGGATTGCGAGGTGGTGGTGGTGGTGGGAGGGGGTTGAGGGGGTGCGCGTACGAAGCGGATTTGGTCGCCGGAGGGGGAGGAGAGGGCGTGCAGGGGAGGGAGGCCGCCGGATTGTTTGGCGGTTGGGGTTAGGGGGAGGCGGGGGGTGAGGAGGGTGAGGAGGGTGGTGCAGAGGGTGTGGGAAAGGTTGATGTAGGAGGCGTAGAGGGGGCGGTGGGTGGTTAGGACTTCGGGGGAGGGGAGAGCGGGTGTGAGGTTTAGGATGTCGTCTTTGGAGATCTGAGGGCTTGGTTAGTTGATTGATTTGCTGGGAGGTTGGAGGGAGATATGTGAAGATACGTAGGGAAGGTTTATACGTACGTTGTAGAACTCATTACGGTCACGGGTACCTTCTTTGTCTACGATGCCTTCGCCGTAGCCTTTGTATCCAAAGTAACTCCCCTGATCGGCAAAGTCGTATTTCACTTTCTCTTTTACATCGAGATCGAAGAAACCATTCATGACTTGGAACAATTGGTCCGCATCTCGAAGTAGTGCTTCACCTGGGTGGTTCCCATCTTCACTAGACTTGTTCTCTGTAATATCACCAACGCTATCAGCGCCATTGGAAGCTCGAAGGTCGAGATAGAAGAATCCCAAGTCGCAACAAGCTTGCCAGCACCGTTCCTCCTCTTCTGGGTCATGATCTAAGAGTTTATCAAGAGATATACGGAGCAAGGGTGCGGTAGGCACATCATCTGGAAAGGGTGGAAGGCCTGGGAAGGCTCCCTGAGGAGGAGACTGTGCTCGATCAGAATGAGGCATTTTGCAGCAAATCAGTTGTCAATGAGTATTCAACCACATTAGGAATTGGGTGAGTGCAACATACAGCATTATAGTGTTGTTACAATCATGATATTCACAAGACTGCCTCGGCCGCCCCCGCACGCTAGATGTTGGAAGTGTGGAGATGGGAATGCATCTACCTGCAAGCGCTGTCAATCGTGGAATGCGGGTCGGGAAGCATGGCAGAAACGCGGGGTAGCCTCCACGAGACACGCGGACAACCCCAAAGGCACGACCACACCTTCCATCCTCCTTCTACTGACAAGGAACAACACACCAACAACACCAACATAGACATCACATTATGAGAAGCATTGATCAAGGAAGATGAAGAGTATAAGCAGACGACTCCATTCATTAACTATCGACAGTAGATGTAGCTAAGCTTTCCCAGCAACTTTACCCGGAGATTTCTGCGCCATATTGCAACCCAGACGAGACGAGCAGCAATGCTTTGTTATCGAGCAGTAGTAGATGATGTTGAACAACGCCTACCAGATGCAAGACTCCAAGACAACAGACAACCCAGTCAAGTGATGATAAGCGAACAAAGTTTATAGACACAATTTGACAAAAGGCCGACAGGAAGCAAAATCCTTATGCGTTGATGATACAAGAGAATGTTTGAATACGACCTAGGATGAATTAGATGGATGGACACGACGAAGATGATGGACGAGTGGACATACCGTTGACGGAAGGAACCCATCTACAACCTGGATCCGTGGACGACCTTGTAGTCGACAGCGAGCTCCTGGCCATCGTCGTTGATGACGAGGACGCGGACGCTGCCACGGCCGTTGTCGAAAGACTCGGTGAGGCGGGTGAGGAGACCGCTCTGGTCGATGATGGGAAGACCCTGCTTGACATCGCCAGTCTCGGTCATGGCAACAACGCGGCCATCCTCACGGATGTCGAGAACACGGTACTGCTTGAAGACAGGGCCGAGCATGTTCTGGACAACAACCGAGGGGGCAGGGTTGGAGATGAAGCTGGACTCCTCATGAAGTTGCTTGGTGAAGAGGTCAACACCGAGGTAACGGTGCTGGCCAGTCTGAGAGGAGGTGGTGATGCGGATGACCTGGCAAGGACGGCCCTGAAGGATCAGGAGATCGCCAATGCGGATGTGGTGGCAGGGGATGGTGATGGTGTTTGCGGGAGCCATTTTGCGAGGTGCTTGATGGATGGTCTTGGAGATGTGGGTGGAAGAAGAAGTAGGAGCGAAGCGAGGAGGCTGGGGCTGGGCTCGGGATGGGGCTGGTGCGGGAGCAGGGGCAGAAGTGGGACCAGGGGCGGGAATCGAGTGAGTGTACTTCTCCTTGACTACGATTTCCTCACGGTCTTCGCGGTGAGCCGACTGGACGTTGGGCTGGTGATGAGAGTGGTGGTGGCGGTGAGAATGGAAGGGGTGAACGACACGCTCGGCGACGCGATCGGCTGCTTTATGGAGACCTTGGCGGAAGGAGTGGTACTGTCCGTCAGAGTCGTAATATCCCATATCACGCTTGAACTTCTTGGGGGCGTCGACGGTAGAACGAGTAGACTTTTCTACTCGAACTTGATCTCCTCTTGGGTAGCGAGAATCGACAGAGTCGTTCTCACGGCGAGAGGGATAGCTGTCGTGCGAACCGGTGTAGGTCTGCTTCGAGTAGCTGGAAGCTTGCTCGAGGTTGGGCTGGGTGGAGAGGTTGGTGAACTCAGCAGAGTATCCGCCTTCGATAGGACGGGTACGTTCGCGGTATTGACGTTCGGAAACGTCGATTTGAGTGGGAGCGTAGTCGGTGGCAGGGCCGTGGACGGTATTGAAGTCTCTGTCGTAGGACCTGTCCTTTACGTCGATGTGGCTTCCGACGTAGCGGTCGTAGGGTTGTTGATAGCTGTGGATGAGAAGGAGAAGGGTCAGCTTGAGCAAGGAAGAACAAGTCGAGCAAAAGTGGAGACGTGCGTGGTCGCTGGGACAACAACAACAAAGCAAAGGGGGTTAGGCGAGCTGGTGGCTTTTTTACGACCGCCAAGTCTCAGGGGGTGTGAAGGGGGGTGAATGTAATGTGTAATGGGTGTGAGTGGGGAATGAGTAGCGTGTATTTGTTGTGCGTGTGAAAGTGGAGTGGGTTTAGGGGGAGGGAGGGCACGGATAGTGCAAGTGCATGTACGGGGTGTATGGGTATGCGGATATTGGGTAGCTGATTCGTGGCCACCGCCGCTCCCTTTCCCCCCCCCCCCGACCGGCCGAGCGAAAAACAATAGCAACAGAATCTCCTGCGCTGGGACTTTGCGCCCCGACTGGAAAGGGAAAGGGAACTGAGCTCAAAACAATGAAAATCAGTACTTACTGGTCCTGAGATTTGTACTCAACTTCGACGCGTTCTTTGGTGCTGCGCTGCTGCTCTGGCTGTTGATACTGGTGCTGGTGCTGGACAAACTCGTGCTGCTTGAACTCAGAACGCTGGGGCTGGGGCTGCTGGTTGAAACGGTGCTCCTCGATATGGATCTCCTCACGGTGCTGCTGGGGCTGGGCTGGACGGCGCTGCTCGTGAATGTGGATTTCCTCTCTGTGAACGTTGGCTGGACGTGGACGCTGCGGCTGCTGCTCCTCGTGGATGCGGATTTCCTCTTTAACGTAGGTTTCTTGACGGTTGTCTTGCTGTTGCGGTTGCTGTTGCTGGACGTGAGTGGAGAAAGATTCGTACTCCCCTTCTCCCTGTCCGAGCTGCTGAGCCTTTGAGCCTTCGACCTTTTCTTGCGTCGATGATTCTTTCTGGCTCCGATAAGAGCTGGGAAAGATCGAGAAGGGGATAGGAAGCTGTCATGGACAATGTTAGCTTTGCTTTCTTTCTCTATACCATCTTCATCATGTTGCTTTGGTGTTGTTGTTGTTCAAGTCCCTCCCCATCCTCGCGACCATCGATCATCAATCCGTACCCATCCATTGGATAGATACAGATCCAAGCTCGAGCATCGCGGCGGTGAGATAGACGGTGATGATGATGGTGAATAGTAACACTTACGCGTGCTTCAAAGTCCAGGGTGTCTAGAAGTCAATGCCCTTACGAATCGCGAATTCGTAAGGAGCTTTTCTGACCTCAAAGTGAGTTGGTAGAAAAGATGCCTCTTAAAAGCGCCAGGTTTGGAGATGCAGATTGGATGTGCAGAAGCGGGGTGAGTGGAGGAGGAGTGATGAGGTGTCGCCAGGCGATGAGCGGAAGAGAGAGGCTGGTAATGAGGAGGTTGGTTGAATTGGCTTCCTCTTGGTTCGACTGGGGGGAGCTGACACACGCTAGTCCGCAAATCCAAACAACAGAACAACAACGCCAGTCCCAATCGGGTCGGCCCCCTTTTTCCATTCAATTTCCCAACCGCGTCCGTTCACTTCCATCCCATCCATCGCCAATCCATGCACCAATGGTTTCCCCCCCGACCGGATTCATCTAGCCATCAATCATCACGCCTCCTTTCCTCTTTTCCAACAGGAGCCTCTCCTCACGTCTCTAGCTGTTCATCTTGTTGTTGTGTTGTCTTGTTATTGTTGTTATACTCGCTGTAAACAACCCGTAATGGCTCCACCCCATAGCGCGCGCCATAGCTCCATAGCTCCATAGCTCCAAAGCTTCCCCCTGTAGCCACTCCGTAGCTTCCATCTCTTCCCTATTCATCCCCAGGTACCACGCCTCCCTCCCTCTCTAGACTCTTCCCAGCACCTATTTCCATCCTCAGCCCAGCCCATCATATCCGTTTCGACCGAGGCTTCTCATGATAGCCGCTCGGCCACCTCTCCTAGGCCAGGAGACTGGATCGACAGGTAAATAATCGATGCAAATCGCTCGACTGGACTGGACTACTGAACCGGCCACCCACCTAACAATGCAGCGTCCATCCCAGCCAACCGATTCAATTAATTCCACCGGACCACCATCGCCGCCGCTATGATCTCTCGATGCGCATGCAGTACAATAGCTCGTTGCTACACCAGTGTGGACCCGGCCATCTTGCGTGGAGCTCTACCATTGGTAGCCTTCTGTTTATCATGCAGAGGCATTTTCCTCTTTCACAGAGCTGAGGGCATCATCCATGTTGGCCATCGCGCGACGCCCAGCCCCTCAATTGACTTTCAGCTGTCCTGCGGAAATTCGGAGGCTGGGGAGCAAGGATCAGCAAGCCACTTTCGAACCGGGGCGCCGCTGAATCACGTGCGAATACTGTGTTTGTTGACATGCTTCGGAGGCTTCATGCATCCCGAGGTCTGGCTCCAGATCGGGTTGGCCGGAATCGTCCTCCCATTGATCGATGATTGCTGCACTGCTGACATGCGTGAGCGTGAACCTTGCTTGGCTGCGTTGTCGCGTCGTGCAACTCGCAGCCGAACGTTTGTGACAGTAGAACGCGTCATCTACAACCACCCACTCCATGAACTCAATCGGCGTGGCTCGGTCTCCATCCCAGTAAATACTTGTAGACTCAGTTCTTTGTGGTGTGCCATGGTGGGAGTCCAAATAAGTAGATGTATCCAGTGGTGCGGATAAGAACAAATACCATGGTTGGGATCTGCTTCGAACCGTATCTTCAGCAAACCTGCAGGCGTCTGGGATAGAGATAAGTCTACCATGACATATACCTAAACACGCCTTTTTCACCCTGTTTGCAATGTTTGTTGCTGCGAAATTCCACTCGTGCCACTCTCGCTCCTACATACTCAATATTTATGACGCTGATACGGTTCGTCTTGTCAATTGGTGGTGTTTCTGCTCCATGCGGAGAGGGGGTCCGGTCCAAAATCTCCTGGTAGTTCCCATTGGTCGCCGTTTCCTCGAACCTCATGGTCTCCCACGCAATCCGTCCAGCTATCACGCTGTCCCAGACACCTTCTCGCCGTGGACAGTCTAACATCATTGCTATAGCCTTGCGGCGGAGCTCCATGTCTCCTGCACGACAAGAAATCATCCACAAGGCACAGAGGACTCTTGTTCCCGATGAAAAGACAGGGTTGGTAAGAGCAGGCTTCGCTGATTTAGATCGCTCATGAGCTTGCGTCGATGGATAGTAATCTTCCGGAAGCGATTCGGGAGCAAGCGTATGAGTAGACGGTGCATGTATGAGTTGGCTTGCGAGGTCGAGAAGTTCCTCAAGCTCCGGCGCTTCCTCGTCCACGTCAACATCTGCTATAACCTGAGTGCCATCGAATCGAGGACGAGTCCACATGATGATGCCATAATACTTGTGAAGAAGTAGAATGCTAATGACAGCCTCTTCATCCTGTCTAGTTACCCTCGGTACCTTCTGGAGAAACTCGTTCAGTAACACGGTGCCTCTTTGATATTGAGTTCGAGTGTCGCTGAGTGTCTGCAATATCTTTTCAACCTGTTCCGCCTCCTGGAGCGGGGTTTGGGCTACTTCTATAGAAACGCGTTGCAATTCGGCATATGTTGCCTCGAAGTAGAATCGAGCATCTTGAAAGTCTTTGAAGGGTTCCGGGGACACAGCCAGGTCGCACTTAGGGAACGGTTCCCACTCGAGTTGTCCTTTCTCATTCAATATAGTTCTCGCCTGGGTATCCATATCCACAAATATATATCTTAACGACCGTAACGCCGCTAGATTTTGTTGTGAAACCGGGCATCCAGCGGCAATCTCCTGGTCAACTTCCCTCATGAATTTCAAGCCACTTCGAAGATGGTCAAATGCTGTGCTTTGGTGGCCTTGGATGCATGCGATGCAGTGAAATAGTAAGCAACAGGTCATCAGGTGTATCTTGTCGGCTATCGTCGTTTGAGTCGGCGATTGAAGGAGCTCTCGTATGGCAGAATTCGACTGCTGCCATGCGAAACGGAGATATTTATCGGAGGTATCATCTGGCACGACGGGCATTCGTCCTGTAATGAACTTGCGATGTAGAGATGCCAATGAGATGACGGCGTGGCGAACAGCAGCAGAAGCTTGAGCTGCCTGAAGTACTTGCACTTCCCAGAACTGCTTGTCGTATAATCCGGATATCTCACCGACACTGCGATATTGATAGAAGTGGAATGCCTCCTGCTCCTGAGCAGAATTAAGTTGAAGTCCGTTCATAGCAGATGCGAGAGAGGTGTTTGTAGGCGATATTATGATTTGTTGCGTTTGTGCGGTTAAGGTTAAGGCACCATAACCATCGCACCTTCTTCCTGTAGATGTGCACCTTTTACAGTGCGGCTTCTCCTCGTCGCATTTGATCCTCCGGCTTCTGCGATATAACAGTCAAATGGTGCTCAATGGGGCTTTGAAGGCAAAAGATAATGTAGTGACATGATGATAGCAAGTGCTAGAGGATGCGAGACGAGTGATTTGTGTTTACATTCCAGAAGACACTGACATGGAATTCAATAGTAGTGATCATCCACGCTCTTAAACTCTTCTAACAGTGCAAAAAAAACAATAGTAAAAATTTACGAGAAAAACAATCATATGTGATCAAGAAAGAAGACACATTCGACATACCTGCATGTTATACACCCCGTCTTCGTCTTTGGCTTCCAAGCTTTCTTCCGACCAGGCAGCTCTGTCGAACGCGGTGGCAACATCTTCCAGAACCGAATTACGCTGACAGTCTGTGTAACAATGAATAAGCTTGCGATATTGTACTTCGTACCAGTTGACTGTCAAGTTGACGTGGACTGTGGGAGTAGTAGGATGGACGTCAGCATGTTTCCGTCGACAACGTTCCGTTAGTGGCTGTGTAGGATCTAGGCTAGCCAATCATCATCATCCATCGACTGGCATACAACGCACCCCATGTATAGTATCAGAACGTTATAGTTACGTATGTCGAGGAGAAAATGCCATTCATTTAGAATAGTCACATATTTAATCATGGAGGTGTTCATTCATCAAGCTAGATATGTGTTCTGTCCTTAACCCATCGTATGGCGAATATGTCTACCACATGTAGAGAAAGTATACTTCAATTGAATCCAGCATGCACGAAATTTCAACAAAATCAATTTTCATCTTCGAGGAAAGGAAGTCAACGTCTGGTTCATGAAGTAGAGATGATCGTTATCACCCATCCCAGGTCTTTTAAGTTGCAAACGATTAATCACCATCTGAAGGTTCAATGTACTGTTCGTCGTTATAGTCGCCATACTAATGATCTCAGAATGAAGTATAGGCAATGAAAATTTCTCGAGCTTTATAACTCCGGATTATGCCTCTCTTCATCCCGTATAATTTCTTACATCTTTTAATTATGCTGTCATCGGCTTTAATTTGATGGCTTCCGGGATGTTCATCAGTCTCGTAACAACCTTACAAATTCTTTACTCATGATTGAGATTAAAACAATAGAAGTCAAAAAATATGTTTGGCGACTACCAATCAAACAATTAGACCCGTCCACAACATAATACTCAGATTATATGTCTAGCTTTATATTTTAAAAATTTAAATATATAGAATGGTCAATGTTTTCAGGTCCTTTAGCGGTTAAGGTAGCTGCATGCCCGCTGCGAGTCTACCGAAACATTCAAATATTCAAACGAAAGCTATCAGCAACCACTCAACCAAACTCCTCTAGAAATCACTACATCAGCGTATTATAGGGCGTGTTGATGTTAGATTAGGACGAGACACCCTTGCGACGCTGTCCTTTCAACGGCGCGATTCATCTCACCAAGCGCTTGACATCCCCGAGTCAGAACATCTGTGACTGAGCGAAACACCTATTGAATTTTCGAATTCATTCAATAGTTCACCATACCACTGTGACAATTGACGTAATACATACGATCATAGCGTCCAAAATTGATGACGAGATTCCCAAAGATCCCAAAGGTAGACAGTCACTGTCCTGGAAGGTACTTCAACCATTCGTACTACATGTGATCTAAACTCGAATCGTGTCATGTGCTGTCTCTATGACATATCGTCTCGCGTACAATCAGCTTGCGCTATCGAGCAATTAGCCCTCTGCTTGTCATATAGATTTTCTCTCCTTTGTTACGATGTCTATATTGATGCTAAAGTTCGCACACAGAAAGATCACTTCATGTTTATTCAATATTCATCGAATCTTTGATTCTCTAATTCTCCGATTCAACATTATGATACCTATAAAACTCAAGATAGTAACCTTTGAGAAATGGAATACAGGTCCTCCGTGTCTTGCACGATACGGTTCTTTACACAATAGCCGCGCGCATGACATGCCTAGATCGATTATGCCGCAGCGCAGCTAAGAGGTTGCCGGCTTGACACTCTCAATATTTGCAAAATTCAGTGAGTCACAGGTTGAACTATGCCTATGCCATCGGCTTTTTGTATGCTGAACAAGAGATGCAGGTCGTCAATACCACACCGTAGCATATACTGACCCACGGTAAGTCAACCTAATCTTCAAAAGCAGCCGTTGTAAAATGACAAACTACCCTAGAAACCAGTTACAAGTGAGAAAGATGATATAGACACATGATAGTCAAAATCTCCTAATGTCGCATATCAATGTTCTCAAACACCTATTTCTTTCTGTCTACAGGGCATAACATAGTTAGTGATGATCGAAGCGATTGACGAACGAAACACTTTACTATCTTATGGCATATCCAAAGAAAAACAGAATCATCACTCATGTCGAATGATTACATCGGAATAGTTCATTTCAAAAACAGCTGAAGTGTGCCTTGTGTTACTATTATAGTCTATTCAAAATTCTTGAACATGTACGGAGTATCGAGATATGAGTATAACGTTCGTGCAACCGCTAGAGCTCTTGCTAAGATTATATCCACGACCAACCAAGGGCATTGATATATAAGCATGGAAATAATGGGGAACAATGATCGCGCCACGTTAATTGGAGATCTCAGAGGTGTTGTTGTCGAGGTTGTGATAATATTTGCACCTTTCTTAGATGATGAACACAACAGTGCGTGGCAGAATCAAACAATGCATTCCACCTCACAATTTATAGAGCACAATTAGTACTTATGCGAACGAACCTTACTTCAGTTCATTTTGTAGCCGTCTATTATAGTTCATGCATCAAGTGTATACCTAGATACCTACCTAGTTACGTAGGGTACTTGTGGGAATGATTCAATCCAAGACGAGGAGGTGCATTTAAATCTTCCAATAAATCTGCATGTACTCTGTATAATTGAAAAGTACGGAGCAATATAGAATCAAAAATTATTTCTTGATCAAGGCAGATTTGCTGATGTCTGTGCCGTGAGTGATGATGAAACTCGGTGGTGAGGTTGCTGGGCCAGCGTGGTTGTTTGTTTAGCGACGTGCGTCATAGCGTCCTCTCCCAGCCATCCCGTCAACCTCCTCATTTTCACAGTATTACCAGCCACAAGAACACAAGTACTGTGGGAGCCTACTCCTCCCAAACACTTCCCCTACTCTCCAAACCTTCAGAACAAACCTGACTATTTTCTAGCTGCACTCGTTGTTACTCTTCGCTCGAACGTTGCTTGCAAACTCGACCTCACGCCAACGGAACGTGCAGCAACTACCGAAAACCCGGTTGCACCACATCTACATTCTTCGCTGGGCTTCGGCTCTCCCACGAGGGAATATCTTTACAAACCGATACATACATTGCTCACTGAGACGGCAAAATGGCACCTCTTCCCGATTCCATTCTCGCCCTCCTGCCTCGCTCGTTCGGCATCTCTGCAGCTGAATCGGCGACTGCCCCAGCTGTCCACGAACTCATCAAGCGAAATGAAGACCGCAAAGCTATCTACAGTGCCGGTTCCAAACCGGCAACTGATTTCAACAACAAAGGAATCCAAGCACTATTCGCCCTGATCGGCATCGGCATGGTTCTCACCTCGATCTGGTTTTTCTTCTGGGCGAAGAATGGTGGCTTCAAGTGGAGAGAAGGTGACTGGGAGGACTACAAATCTACTGTCATGCGTCGCAAGGGACCAGATGGTAAAACGCTCTCGAACGCTACCAAGAGCACAAGACTTGGTGGTGGAAGTGTTGTCCACGGTGGAAGTTACGGTGCCGAGAGCAGCGTTGGATATACCGATGAGACCGGTACCAGTGCAGATTTTGGCGAGATGCGTGAGGTTGAAGAAGGCAAGTCACGCGTCTTCGGTCTTCGTGGAGGTGATGGCGAGAAGAAGAAGAAGCGTCGCCGCGACCATACCAACGACTACAGAGATGAGGACCTCCGCGACTACCGTGAAGAGAAGCCCGCTCGTGTCGGTGGTCTCAACCGCAATGCCGATGGTGTCTACACTGATTACTCTGCCACTGAACCCTCCGAGCTTGGCTCCAATGTCTCCAGCAAACCCCTCGTCAAGTCCAAGGATCCCCGCGACAAGAAGAAGGAGGCCAAGGAAAAGGAACGCCGTGCAAAGGAACGCATGAGGCAAGCCAAGTTGATCGAAAAGAACGCCGCCCGAACCGCCGCTGCTGAAGCCAAAGCCCAAAAGGAAGCCGAGAAGGAACAGGCAAAGAAGGAGAAGGCCGAAAAGAAAAACAAAGCCAAGAACAAGCGCACTGAAACCGAGTACACTCCAACTGAAGCCCCTATCTCCGAGTACCAATATCCACAATCTGAAGCTCCTCCTACCGAGTACCCTCAGTCCGAGCCTGCCCGTATTGAGTACCCCCAGATTGAAGCACCTCCTTCCCAGCATCGCAGGTCCAGGGCTCCTCCAGCCGAAGCCACTGTCCAGCAGCCAGCTCAAGCTCGCCGTGCTCCTCCTTCTGCCGCGTACTCCTTCACCACTGGCGACGACACCAATACCGTTTACAGCAGCGCCTACACCGACAACCGCACCGCACCTTCTGAGGCTGCCCCCGAATCATCCTACTACTCGGACTACCGCCCCAACGCCGACCCCAACGCGTTCTCAAAGCCACCCCGTTCATCTCGCCGTGAACGTCAATCGCAGTCCCAGAACCGCTCTTCCCACTCCGCCTCTCCCCGCAAGCACCGAACCTCCCGCCCATCTGAGGCACCCATCGCCCCATCCGACATCTTCACCCAGAACAACGGTGACGCTCAGGGCCACATGTCGTACCCATGCCACATCCCGGGCCTCAGCACCGCAGGCAGCGTCGCCGTGAGCGACAGCGTTAGCCAGGTGCACGCCAAGCGTGAGAGGCGCGGCCGCGATGTCATGGACGGCTACCGTCGCGGTGGCATCCGACCCGTCGGACGACGCGACAGCTTGAGCGACAGCGACTCGTGATTCAGATTGTTGAACAACCACAAGCGTCTTCTAAACGGATACCCCTCTACCCTTTATGTACAATATAGCACGACAAACTTCTTCTTTTTCAAACCTCCTCTCGGCGTTTTCAGCGGCACAAACTGGCAGGCACTCTATAGCGTGGGAACACATGACATGACTTCGATGGGCGGGCGGAAGCGAAAGGGGACGACACGGACTTTCCGAGATTGACGAAGCACGTTGGTCATGCATGTTCGCATGGCTTTTTTTATTCTGGCATGGCATGGCATGGAGAAACGGTATGGGAAACACGAAAGCAATCCAACAGTATATAGACAAACCACCCCCAAAAACACAATCAATGAAATGAAATGGAATCAACTCACCACCCAACCCATCATCCTTCCATCGTGCAAATGTGAATGAATCTTCCCGTACATACGTACTACTGGACGGCACTTTCCCGTCTCCCTCACGCAACTAACCTGTCATATATACCACTTACCCGTATGTACAGCAAGCTCATCACCCCTATGCTTACCTAGGTAGATATATCATAACTGCCCCCTTATTGTATACAGCACGCCCTGCTTCCCAACGCCCTTCACTGGTATCGTATCGATCCGTGAAACGAACTTACAATCACCGTGGAAGAGTGTCCGGGAGTGACGAGACGTTTGTTTCTGGTATGCACAGGCTGGTAGGTAGGTAGGTAGGTAGGTAGGTACGTACTTCATAACACAGAGGAACACGTTCGCCGTAGTCTTCGCACGTACATCTCGACTAGTTCCCCACGGTATGTGAGAAGGATGTTGGTTCTGGCGTAGCTACCACCAGACCATTGGTCATAGGCAAGCAAGCAAGATGGAGAAGAAATGGACGGTGGAGAGTAAGGCAATACGTGAGGAGTGAGAAGGTAGACGGACGAGGAGAGAAGACAGCTGGGTGTCTTGCGTTAAGGGTGAAGGGGAGGAAGGAGGTTGGGTTGGATTGGGGTGTGATGACGAGGGAAAGGGGAGTGGTGGGTTCGGTGATGGAGTGGTGAGATTGTTGACTACTTTTTCTATGGAGTGAGCGAGTGAGTGAGTGTATGTCTTTGTGTATGTTGTGTATCTGAGAATGAGTGTCTGCGAGAGAGAGAGAGAAGAAAGGAGGAAGGAAGAAGGGTGGAGATTGGAGGGAGAGAGACATGATGGTGGGTGTGAGCTGTTGCGTGGTTTGAAGATGGAGGATGGGGATGAGTGTCACTTTGGAGATTTTGGATGGATGTTTGCCAAATTTTTTCAACTTTGATGATTTTCCTAATACGGTTGATGTTGTATCTAGGAGCATCCCCGTTACGGGATGTCGTCTATCAAGCAATACAACCAAGTCTGCGGACATGTGATTGAAGTGAATCAGTGATCGAGCACGGCACCCGATGTAGCTTCACCACCGCCTTTTCGTGATCCTGCAATACCCAGAGCGGGATGAAGATGATTCGAGAGAGAAAGCTGACGAATACCAACCATCTCACTGCCGTCCGAAGCTCTTGGAATGCAAAGGCAGCAGGAGAGGGGTCAGAGTTCAGGCCGACGGTGGATGGGAAGCTAGCCACGTATCTGTCTATCAAAGGCCTCGTCGACTACAACGGAGTCCGGCTCTTGATTTACCCGTCCATTGCTGCGGGGAAGTGAGTCTCTGCTCTGGAGAGGGGTAGCAGGTAGAGAAAGGAAGAAGTCGTATGCAGATGATCGGACCTAGGTCGCCTCATTTGGAGAATGCAGCTATGGATGCCACTTGGTTAATGGCCGAAGGTTCGGCGTATGTTGCAGTTAGGAGACGGTGTAGCTCCGCGGCTTCAAGTGCGAAGCAGAATTGGACGAGACAGCGTGATCAGACGGCAATGGGAACTTCCAAGGCAGGAGGAAAGGAAAGGTGAAGATAGGCGAGGTCGACATCTGTCAAGCGTTTTCGTTTGACAGCGGGTAGAAAAGTGGAGAGGCAGAGGGGAGGAGAGGAGCCAACCAAGTCCTCTGTTTCTTGTCTTTTCGGCGGTCTGTCTGCGATTTCACCTTCCGCATCGGAAGATTGTGCCTCAATCGTTTGCTTGAAACATATATCCACCTCGCTTCAAGGTGAATTTGCTCCACTATACAAGAAAGGGCGATCAATGAGGGGCAGGCGAGGATAGGAACGTTCGGGCGCGCCAATGCACAATGACGATCACGATCGTGGTTTTGGGTAGTGTATTGCTTTTTTCTCCTAAGTTTTTGTTCTTGTTAGGCCGTTTGCGGATTTCGAATTGCGAATTGCGCGCGCGTAACTGATTAGTACAGGTGAGGTATTTCCAAAGTGGAGTATGTGGGGATGGGAAAGTGTACAAGTAAGTGTTTGGGCAGAATGCTATACGTAGATCCCAACTGGGCGAATGGTGAGAAAAGGGCCGAAGGCCATCGTCTTCTCTAACCGCGTCGATTCAAAGTCGGTGAGAGCCTCAAAATCGACATGAAGCAGGGCATTTACAACGTCGAAGTTTTTCTGTAGTCAACAAAGCCAATAAGATAACCCGGTGGCTGGTTTGGTAGTGTAGTAGTGGGCACGCCATAGAGATAGTGGCTGAGGGAGCCCAAAAATATCCAAAACCTCCTTGTAACATCCAAGTTCGGCAGTTGCTTACTAGTTGCGTGTTAATGCCTTTGAAAATTACCCCGCGATCGACGCAATGTATGAAGGTCGAACATGTTCGTTTTGCCAAGCTGGGATGATCGTGGGAAGAAGGCCGTTGCGCAATCGTTGGATAAGAGCGGTGTGCGGATACAATCTTGGAGATAACTAGTCGCCTCCCGAGCCGGAGCCATCTCGGTCGGACGTTTTGATATTGTAATGTTGTTCAAGTGTTGATCAAGCATCAAGCTTGTCACCTGAGAGACAGTCTGGTCAACATACGGCGCGTATTGTACGAAAGATTACGGACGAGATGACGAAGGAACAGAATGTGACATGTGTTGCTGATTTTGTGACAACCGTGCCGTTTAGTTGAATTCATAATCATCAAACCGACGAGATAGATGCGCAGGACGTAGACATTGACTGAGCATTGCCTGTGCCACTCATCATTTAGTCTGGACCCTTGCAGCCCTACGACCCTGTGAATGTCTTCAGACGACATGAGGGACGACTATTTCACACCGATCAGGACGCATGGCCCTTATAGGCTGACGTTCTGACAACGGCCTGCCAAATATTGACTACGATATCAGCTGTGAATTACCTGTTCTAGAAAGCACTCGCAAAACGCCATGGAGGGCCTGGTGGATGGTGTAGCTGAGCTTCTTCTATAGCTTGAGAATGAGCCATGGGCATCTAGACTAGGTATTGGTGGTGCGCGCAGAAGGACTACAGCTCAAGCCACCCATAATTGTCGTCGCTTACCCCGCGAACATGATATGGAACTATTTGCAGCCGTTCGCTTTGGAAACACCTATGATTCGTGATATCTCTTTGAATAGACAGTAAAGCAGACGTTTACTGGTTGCACCAGAATATGCCACCGGAGCAGACCGACAAAGAAGAGTGTGTAGCACGCGCAAGTGACACAACGATAAGGTTCTTACTCAGGAACTTGATGTCGGTATGGTGGGACGCGCGGTAAACGAGAATAAAACGCGTCGCACGTGTAAGCCTATGGGCTTGGTCACGAATGGAAGCGTAATCCATTACACTCTGTCTTATTGTAGGATGGTGTCAAGTCCCACCTGTAATGAATACTTGCTTGGAGTGGCAGCGGCAAAGAAGGCCGACTGCTGGAGCCTCCAACGCCCCAAGTGGGCACCCCGTCTGAGCGAAGTGGTAGAAACCGGGATGCAACAGCGTCCATAGTAGGAAGCAATGGTGAGGATCGATTCAATATTCAGGGAAACCTGGCTGAATACGCAGGTTCCCGGATAGTTGGGAGATAGGCGAAGAGCGTGATGCAAAGATCATATGGCAGGCTAGGATGGCAAATGCTCTCTGGATAGAATTCATATGATCGAAATGTAGAGGGTTAGTTGTTAGGAATATATGAAGATGGTGTATCGGATGGCTGTGTCAACTGAGACAAGGCATGACACCACCAGACGAAAGTGGAAAGGGAGCCTCGAGATGGGCAGAGCGTGATAGGATGGCTCGGGACGAGGGCACCGAACGAATGTTCACGCAGTGGGAGTGGCTGGGCTGAAGCAGGTAGTCAGCTTCGTGGACGCCGTGTGGAGAGTAGAGACACTGGAAACTGTGGAATTAATTTAGGAAGATGTCGTAGGTGATGGAGGGGTGCTTTGGAGGGGTTGGAGGGGTATCGAGTAGTGGAGTCGGGGTCGGGTGAGGACTTGAGGAATTGAATTCTTGGTTTGGTCCGTAGCGGTAGTCAAAGCCAAGGCTGCTATTCAGGAAATGAGGCGTCGGCGGGATAGAGGTCATGTACCGACTTTGTAGTAGCACGAAGAGGAATTGGAAATGATATGATTAGTGTGGGTTGTTCGATCTCGTAGTGGAGAAATATGAGTGTATAGAAGAGGTGGATGATTGTCGTTTGAAGTGTATATCGGAAGAAAAGTAGAGTAGTAGGAGCAGTAATTGGCTGAAGGAGGTAAGTAAGGATAGGGACTAGGATGGATAGAGTACGACATCGGCGGGCATTCGGTGGAATTGTGGGCGGATTAGGTGGGATGAATGAAGATGAGATGTAAGAGGAAGTGGAAGAGTAGGAAGAGAGAGAGAGAGAGAGAGTTGAGATGGTGATGGTGGTTTGGAGGTGGTTAGGAGGTGGTTAGGTTGTGGTGTGCATCTGGTGGGGTACGTCTGTCACACTCTTGACATGTGATTGGTCCAATGTTTCATTGGTCGACATGATCATGATGACTAAACCCGATTTGACCCTTCACCATCTCATCTACTCCCTCTACTCTCTAGTTCATCTGGTCCCATCCCATCCTCCTCACCTCATCTCTCGTCCAATATCCATCTCATACAACGACGTCAATCTCGCGGTCAAGATATCTCAAGCAAACTAATCATCCCATAGATCTCTTTTCTGTCCTGCATGAACGGGTGGTAGTGCAACATTTTCCCTTCGGTCCTATTAGCCAAGTCCCGAGGATGCATCTGCTCTTCTTACTCTTCCCCTCTCTTGAGTCTCTTCTCTTCTCTCTCTGTGGCCAACTTTTTCGCCCGGATCGGAATGCAGGGGCCTGACCATTTGGGCTTGCAGATGACCCTTCTTTCGGCCTTGCGCACACCACACACTTGCAAGTCACCCACACCCACCACAATACACAGTAACACACCCATTCACTTTCACACACATACACACACACACACACACACACACACACACACACACACATACTCAGTAGTTACACACATCTTCTCTGTGCACACGCAAAGTAGTTCCAGTTTGCCCGCTAGACTATCATGTGTCTGACCCCCAAGCCTCAATTATCCTGTCATTCCGTTCCCTCTCCGCCTCGCAAGACTCGCAATCAATCAATCAATAATCTGAGAATCTCACCTCTCTCTCTTTTTTTTTCTCTCTTGTCACACATACACCCACCCCACCACTTAAGCTTTTCCGCCCTTCTGACGCTAATGTAGGTTGATGGTTGTCTGTAGGTATGCTGCACATGCAGGGCTCCCCATCCTAAACCCTTCCCACCCCTGTCCCTTCTACGACCCCTACGGCCTCCCCCATGCACCTCTTCGCCTCTTGTAGACCTGCAGGCCATGCAACCATGCAACCCAAATGCTCTTCCCGTCCATCTCCAGTAATGCTCTATAAAGTCCTGCACGAATCCTTCCATATCCGTCGTTGATACTCGGCGAACTTGAGGTGGAGTGCAGGTCGAAAAAGGTTCATCTTGTCTCCCTTCTCCCTCATCATCGTACATATATCTCCACAACATCCTCTCTCGTCTGCCTTGCCCACCTTTCCCTCCTAGGCAAAAGAACACCTCTCAAGGCACCACTACCCTCTGTCTCATTGTATGATTCATACGGTCTGCGTGTGCCCTTTTCGTTCCGCTGCGCCTCTCCGACCATCCCTACCTACACGCGGCTCTGTTCAAGAGGCCGTATGCAGTAGTCACGTATATAAAATACTCCCCCGCGTGCACCTTTCGTCCCACTACCCCATCTCCCACCACTGGCAGAACTACAAAGACTCCCCATCACTACCGCTACATTCGTCTTTCCCTCCAGTGCTTCGAAATCAACAATCCTTGCATCAGCCGGCCAAGAGCCGGACACGCAGAAGAAGACTCTCCAAGGAAGCATCACCTTCGTTAAGGTAGAGCCCAGTGCCAAACCGACACTCCCCGTCCGCCGCTCATCACGATTCCGATCCATCAAGGACTTCATAGCCGCCATGCCTTCCTTCGTCCGGAGCTCCAGGTCCTACTCGTACCCTCCCTGCATCGACGCTGTCGAGTTCGAGAGGTCCCAAGCCGCCGACCTCCCAGACATCGACGAGAACCCATTCGCCCACTTCCTGACCCCCGTCCAGGAGGAAGACGACCCCTTTGATGCCCTCGCCCTCAACGCGGGCATCATCGTCCCGGACGGACCTCGCACTTCCAAGTCCTCCAAGTTCAGGTCCAGCGTCGCGGACAAGTGGGCCCGCTACGTCAGGCAGAGCCAACCCCAACTGCACGACCGCTACCACGAAGCCATTGAAGAGGAGGACGAGGAAGAGTCGTTCATGCACCTCGACGACCACCGTCTGCTCGACACCCCCCAGACGGTGTCCCAGCTTACCGGACCCCCTTCACCGAGATCCCTTCTCGCGGAGCCCACACGAGGACGCGCCCAGGAGCTCGTCGCCCGCAAAGGGCGCAGCCGTCGACGCTACTCACGCACTCTCTCTGGTCATCGCCATTCATGGAGGGAACCTAGTCCCGACCTCTTCACAGTGGACGAGTCGGAGGAAGACGACATGCCGGTGTCCCGACGGAGCAAGAGCAGAGTGAAGAAGACCAAGGACGGCATGGAGCAGCGCCGGAGGTCGCGGTCGAGGGTTGAGATTGTCGAGAGGTCGAGGTTGTGAACACGCATGAGCATCATCAGATCACGTACACGCATACACACACACACCATCACCATACATTAGAAAGGTTGGAGGTTCATCACATGCATTGAAGGAGTCATGGTCCTGTCTGCATTGGGAGGTGTTCAAGGAGTACAACTGCTTTTATCCCCACTCACTGCATTTTATCGGAGTTTGCATTTTTCTCTTTTATTTTTTTTTGGGTTTCTTGCATATACATTTCGACGAGGGTTGCGCAGAGAAAGAGACAAGAAGAGAGAGAGAAAACAAGAATGGTTGTCGAGGGCGAAGCATTCTTTGCGTGCCACAAACGAACGTTGGGTTGCATTGGGCGGTGTTTCAGGCGTGAGCATTTACAAACCATACGATAGTTACGCAGTGCACTGAACAGATAGTCACTCGCTGCATGCATGCATGTAGAGGGGAATGAGAAATAGCATACCGTATACGAATCATCTGTTTGCCTCCAATCGGTCCTTAATTGCCGGTGCATATCGTTTCGACGTTTCGACGAAGATCATCGTCATGCTCTCAGTATAGTCCGATATAACCCTTTAGAATCCGACAACCTCATTCTCATGCATTTCTTACCTCTTACAAGATCAAAATGGGTTATCCCCCCACACTTATTCATGCAGTGACAGGCCCGGGCTCTACCATGTCGGGTAACTGTGCACTGTAGCGTCCTGCATCGTGACCTCACCCCGCATTCCTCGCGGTCCTTTTACTTACAAGTAAACCTTCCCACACAGCACACAATTAAGCGGACGAGGTTGTTATCGGCGCTAAGTCGGCAAGTTGCAAAATAATCAATCAATCAATCAAAATCCCCCGTCCGTCTTGTCTCTCTCGTCTCTCTTCATCCCATTATTCTCCCTCTCAATCCCTTCGAGATTAGATCCCTTCCCGCTCTACACACACTTCCAGTTAGACCGGCTGGTAGCTTTCGGCAATCCGTAGTGTAGCCCCATTCTTTTATTCCCTTTCGCCGCGCTTGCCGACAACGAGTTAAATGCCCTTTTGTCTATTACTTGCTACTTGTTCAATCACACGATGTACGCTCCCTTCCCATTCGCCATGCACGGAAAATACGGATCTCTTGGATCTGTAACTCGAGAGTCTTGCATGCACACTCGCACGCACGATGCCATCATCTTCTCGTGATTGTTTCTTTGACATTCACGTTCATGCACGACTGACGTCTTTATGCCTTCGTTGCTGTCTTGTCTGCGTCAAACGAGAGTGTCTGCTGCCAGTGATGGATGATCGTCGGATAGATTGTATTGCTTCAAAGTAGACATTAATGGACGATGATATAATAGAAACATCAAAGATGTCAAGAGACTCGTGATAGTGCGGGCATCGCCCAAATGACGCCCGCGACTGCATGTCGTTCGCATGCGCGATGCCATCGCGTCTCTGTTCCAATCAAACACAACGTTCCTCCCTACTCGCAAGATAATAGTAAAACCATCACTCTTCGAAAGTAAAGTCCCACAAGTTCAACGAACAAGTAAATACCCGCTTCTCCGACCGTTGCTTGCTGTTGTTAATGCCCGCCCTTCAAATACGACAACATATCATTTCCGTTCCCATCGACCATCAATCTTCAACCTATCAAATACACCACGAAGTCTAAACCTAAGTTCCCGCTCCGTCGCCCATTCACCAATCCGTGAAACTAACAGGCCAATCACTCTCCCCTCTTTTCTTCCCCACGACACACACACATGGCTAGGTAGCTAGGTACTCACACCCATACAAAAGTACGAGTATGCACACACACATGCCTCTCTGTACAAAACCAGCCCAAGATCGCCCATGGTACCGCACAGCACAGTGCTGCGAACACGCCCCGCGGACGGTACGATCAACTACCTATGTACTGTACTCGTATCGCACTACATACTCGCATCCGCCGGCTGAAAAAGTAAATGCAAGACCCTGATAATCTACTATGAACACGACAAACCGCCGCAGATCATCAGACATACACACTGTCGTTCTGTGTAACTAATCCATACATTTTCACAAGCAAATATATGTACACTCACTCACTCACCCCGTACATACACACGCCGCCCGCGCCGTCTTACCTTCCCTGCTCCGTACCTACATACACAGTACACAGTATAACAGCGCCAGCCAGCCTGGGGACAAATCTTGGCTTCTCACGATCACTCGTCTTGGCCTGAGTTACTGATCGTCGTCGATGGGAGGGATGTAGTATGCGTATCGTTATCACAGACACGCTACTGGGTGATGTCAACCGGCCGGGCGTATGAGCGTATGTACAGTACTCCGTAACTACAGATGGGGACATTACATACTGACAGCCTTATCGTGTCGTCTTGTCGCATGGGCGCGCGTGCATAACGGTACATACGGAGGGCAAAGAACAGTGTGTTCGCAGCGCGAAAGGGGGAGTGGGGATGGAGATGGGGATGCAAGGTAAGATATGTATGTGCAAGGAATTGGTGAGATAGGTATCTGTGGTTATGCGGTGCGTGTGATGTTGGATGAGGCGATATGAGGGGAGGGTATCTGTCTGTATACAATGTTGAATAATGTACATTGTAAGGTAGTTAGTGTATGTATGGAAGGGAAAGGTAGGGACCCACTTTTCGCATCCTTGTAGATACATGCTTGCGCATGAGGGATCCTTGTAATAATGTACATGGTTAACCCGTATACGGAACATACTTCATATATATGTAATGTGTAGTTTTGCGTCGTGCAAATCGTGGGGGGGACAATGAAGACAAAGTTCGTGTTCATGACGTCTGTTTGTGAAGTGTGGTTGTACTGTTGTAGTTCATGACAACGACTTACGTTGTTGATTTCGAAGTAGAGACTATCTTTGAACAGACGCTGCGACATTGTTAACCTACCCAGTCAAAAGTCAATGTGCAAAGATGCGCTACCAACAAGCCGCGCTCTATGCAGTCATGTGCATGCTTATTCGACATCGCGGAGCCAAGTACTTACTCGTAGCTGCGATGTGATAATGGGCGGCCGGCTGCGGGCTGTAAGGGTGTAGGGCGCTGGATCGTGGTTCACGCGCGAACGACGCTGGGAGCGATTGGCGAATTGGGATCCGCTCCGAAGTGTGGTAGGTAACTGCGTCGAATATCTTTTTTTCCTACGAGGTAAGGTCTGCGGTGCATCTTATCTTGTGGAACTTGAGAGGAAGAGAGGGAGATGTGTGGATGGTATGCACCGCCGCCGTGGTGTAAGGTTGTAATAGAAGATGCATGCATGTGGTACGGGTAGATCATTAGTAAAATTTGGGAGTGCTGGATGTTTGTGATAGGCAGAGAGAAATATTCATATCGGGGAAGAATTGTAATTCTATGGTTGTGTTTCTCTACGGCGTTTTTCTGTGGGTATGGGGACGGAGAGATCTACAGGACGGACCAATGCGTGGACTGAGAATGAATGGAACAATGGAGTCGAACCGGACACTTTAGACTGAAACATCTGATCCACAACGTGGTAGTTAGCCGTAGAACGCGGCGAAGAGGTAATCAGGGTCTGCATTACTTTGCGGGAAGGTGATGCGGGGGAATTGTGGATAGGATCTGATGCTACGAGTACCAATGTGGGCATGAGTGTCACCACAGTGACTTCACGATGTATTATTGTTCGCCTGCACGTCTATCATTGCCAGGTGGCCGACTTCGCAAGTGGCAAATACCTGCATGATTGTACTCTCCACGTAGTAAGTCATCTTCGAGTAGAATGCATGTCAGCTGCAACCAAGCCCTGAAGATGATCATCAATCGTCGAAAGGGTTCATTCTTTGTAACACTGTGCAAGCCACTGTTGACGCTGACTGCATCTTCATAAATGAGATTCAACGTGGTGCTCAGATATCTCCATAGCTGCCAGATATTTCTATCACCTTGTTTGCCCTGCATAATCATACTTCGTGTAAATCGCAAGAACACGATTGTCCAATCCCGACGCAGTTCGAACCAATGAGGGGACTCTCCTCCAACTCAATCGCCATATCGCCACCCAGTATGCACATGCTTCGCTTCAATCAGGGTAGGGTATACTGCAATGCTCGCTAAGATGCAAATCGTCTTCTTCAAAAAGAAATATGCCACCCACTCAATGTCCGTGATCTTCCCTCCCGTCTACCCAGCTCGTGCAATTGACACATCTCACCGCCTTCTCGCTGATAAACTTGCGGCAGTACTTGCACCTGACCTGCCTCTTCACGATATTGTCGTCCGTCGTCCGGCTGTACACTGTAGCGATGATCCACATGCTGGTCGCAAGGATCACGAACCGCACAACCGTGTCTATGAATGTCCCCCAGGCGAACACGACGGCACCGTCCGCCAATGCTTGCGTCTTGGTATTGTAGCCGGCGGATATGGACACGTTGTAGTGAGGACCGGCCTTGAAGACAGTGAACTTCTCGTCGAGGTTACGAGACAGGAAGGGGAGCAGTGAGATGACGGGGAGGATGATGTCGGTCACGAGCGAGTTCGCGCATGCTGTGAACGAAGCAGCAAGACTGTAGAAAAGAAGCAAAAGGTTAGCAGGCCGTTCACGGTCGTCACGATCCATACTGACTACAAGTCACCAGCATTCACTCACATCAAACCAACCGCGACTTCAAGCACGTTGTCGCGAAGCGCGAAATTAGCAAAGCTATCCCACATGCGCCATGTGTGGTGCCGCACCCCCGATTCCCTCTCGCGCAGATATAAATCGGTACTCTCGTCGAGTCGGGGCATCTCCAGTGCTTTAATGAGTTGCAGGAGCTTCCTCTCGTCCCCCGAGCACGCGAGCGGGAGATGTACGTCCACGAAGTGATTGCGGTCGCGGTGCACGGAATACGGCACGGGCTATCTTATCTTATGTGAGCAGATGCCGGGGTACTGGGTACCTAACTACTAACCTGGCCGAAGGGCGCCAAATCTCCACTAGGTGGGCTGGCGGAAATGTCTAAACGCTGTTGTAGTCATCAAGTAACTCCTCGTAACTATTGTACCTATGTACCACGAAACTGGTTCTGTGGTCTGTTTGAGTACACTTTGAAGAACAAAGAATTACTGATCTTTCCCTTCGCGACAACGCGCGGCAATTACAGATGTACCTCGGCACTTTGTGAGTCGTTTTTCTATGTAATGGATTCAATCCCAAAGGTTCCGCCTTCAAGTCTTCTTTTGTTGCTACCGAATATCAAATAATCCATCTTTTCTTGCAACTAGAAAAATCATATAGCATCGCCATACTACGGGATACTGTCAAGCAGTAGTTGGAGACATCGGTTGCCTTCGGTCCCCCTCCTAGAACATTGTGAATCCCAGATTAGCAACATGTCCTAATAAAGCTCTTGCAGAATGCATTGAAATCAACTTTTCTATAATCTGTTCACGTAGGCAATGATGATGTGTCTCAAATATGAACACCAGGGTTTGGTCTCACTCGACATCACAGAGGCGGTGTGACGAGAAATCTTCCGATGTATGAACACATTCTGTAGTGAAGCAGGGGCTGCAGAACAGACATCTTAGGGAATAACCATGAGGACGTTTTGCACGGGCTGCGAAAGTGGCGTTATAGGGAACAACCATGAGGACGTTTTGTACGGGCTGCGAAAGAGACGTTGTGGGGAGTATCCATGGGGACGTTCGCACGGTCGGTATCTGCGATGGAAATTGAAGTTATAAAGGGGACCGATTTCATCGCACAAATCCAAATCAGCAGTGTTGCAAGTTTATTCGATACTTGGATCGTATTCGCCGATACATCTTTGCCAATCTTCCGAGGTTAAGAATCCCGTCTCTAGATCACAATGTCGTTGGAATCCTTCGCTTTGAAGCACTTCGGTACCGATGATCTCGATGAAGTTCGTAAAGAATTTGACAGATACAAAAACATACTGGATGCGCCTGGTCCTCCTGAGGAAGATTGGAGCAGACTCAACTTACCGTACTTTGCACCTGATCCCTCGTTGCCGCCACTGCCGACAGTCAATGATATCAAAGAACTCGAACGCACAGTCTATGCCGACTACATAAAAAACCCTGGGAATAGATTCGAGCTGGCCCATGTCTGGCGTTACAATCAGGTATATGCCATCAAATTCTCCCTAAAAAAAAACCTTCTCCAAGAAGCAGAGAACCTACTTTTCCTGCAGGATCACAAGGTTAGATCTACAAAGGTGTACGCCATTTGGTCCGACGACAGCGCGGATTTGTGTAGATGGCATTCCATTGCCCGGGGACGCAGGCTCTACTTCCTCGTTACCGACTGGGTTGATGGGATAGCCTTGGATGAAGTCAAGTGGAAAGGCTTCGACAGGGAAACAAGGACAAAGCTTTGCCATAAGATAGGTGAGCAACTCAGGCTATTGCGATCGGTCCCACCTCCACATCCATCTTATTATGGCCGAATACACAACCAACCATTTAGGCCTTTAACTGTGTTTTCAGGGTATACAGGAGCAGTTGGGCCATTCCAAACCTACGAAGATTTCCTTCGCCAAGTCATGGATGGCCTGGAGATTCATGCCCTCCATCGACACATTACGAACCCCGAGTTCAGGTACTTTCCCCTTTTGGACCTTCTTCGATCTGTGTTCAACGACTCTCTAAACTCCTGCTCAAAAGCTAGAGAGTCAAAACTCTCACACATGGATCTTAACATCACAAACGTTATGCTCAAACGACCAACCTCAGATTCTTCCATCTCTAAGGATGTTGAAGACTGGGACGTCCAAATGATTGACTTTGAGTGGTTGGCCTGGCTACCTGCATGGGCAGAAACGGCAGTAGTAATGGACCGATTTCCACAATTCGAAGATGAGTTTGAGGACAATGGGCTGTATGATATATCTGGGGGACTTCAGCCGTTCTGCTTTGCGGAAGCAAGTTTCATCAATATATGTCTCGGTCACTTTGGTGCACAAGGAGCCCTCTGATAGCACATTTGTCTTGTCTAACGATATGATTGAATTATAGCATGGCAGATATTATAACTAACAAGAGAAGAAGAAGGAAGAGAAGGAGGAAGGGAAGAGGGAAGGGAAGAAGGAAGAGAAGAAGGAAGAGAAGGGGGAAAGGGAAGAGGGAAGGGAAGAGGGAAGAGGGAAGGGAAGAGGGAAGAGGGAAGGGAAGAGGGAAGAGGGAAGGGAAGAGGGAAGAGGGAAGGGAAGAGGGAAGAGGGAAGAGAAGATAGATTGAGAGAAGCCAGATTGCCCGTAACGTGTTTTCTTAGCTATAAATGCCCTCATATGATTATTGGCTGCCAAGTCACGATGTCCCGCCTCCACCTCCTTTGAGAAAACCTGTTGAAATCGCGATTCTGACAATTTAGAAGATGATTCTGCGGGTACATGGTCCTCCGCCCAGTGGGATCCGATTGTTGCCCACTAGAATCAAGCCTCTGGCCAATGCAATACGCCTTGCGATCTTGCCTGCTCGAGTACCTCATCTTTTCATTGCTGGAACCGCTGCGCCGTCTTCAGGAACTTAGCTTCCGAAGGATTCGTTTCCTTGGCTATGCTCATGAAGTGGCCTCTGTCTTCGTCATCTTTGATGTACCCGACGGTACGCAGGAATCGCTGGGTTGGTCGGTATCGGTCCTCATCCGCAACCCCCTTCTCCTTGTCGAGGTAGAGGCAATGACCTGTAGGGTGGCCAATCTCCTGAATGAGCAGGGCCGAAGTCGTCTCCTTTTTCGGGTCGAAGACTTTTGTATGATATTCAATGTCGCAGACCTTGAACTTGTAGTCGTCTTGGTCGAACATTGGCGACATCGCGGTGCCAGGAGTAGAGTTGGAGTTGGCCTGCGGAGCCATGGGCAGCTGGTTGAACTCGTCGACGTTGCTACTTAGAGCTACCGCGGTGCCAGGAGTAGAGTTGGAGTTGGCCTGCGGAGCCATGGGCAGCTGGTTGAACTCGTCGACGTTGCTCCTTAGAGCTACCGCGGTGCCAGGAGTAGAGTTGGAGTTGGCCTGCGGAGCCATGGGCAGCTGGTTGAACTCGTCGACGTTGCTCCTTAGAGCTACCGCGGTGCCAGGAGTAGAGATAGAGTTGGCCTGTGAAGCCATAGCCGGGTCGTTGACGCTGTTGGATTTTGTGTTTGTGAACATCGTGGATTGATGTTGGGGAAAGACTGTGCTTCGGGATGATGATGAATGTATGTACTGGATGATGATAGATATCTGTACGGGGTGATGATAGATATCTGTACGGAACGATGGTGGATGGGAATACTGGGTGGACGAAAGGGTTCTTATAAAGGGAACTTGTTTCCTTGGGTTGCTGATCAAATTGAACACCGTACATATCGATGCTTTCACTCTTTGACCACGTGAAGGAGAGACTAGCCCGCCAGGCGACGTACAAACTTGATGACCGGTGAAACGCATTGACATTTTGGTTGCAATACAAACTGTGAGAGACACTAACAATGCAAAGTGACAAGTCAAATATAGGTTTGATCACTGGCTGGAAAGTTCTATGCCGGAGCAAACTTGGTCAAATGACGAGATTGCTGCGTCTCTGGACATTCTATTTTGTGAATTTCTTTGTTCAGCCAAATTTGATGCTTTGCTATGCATGTTGTTCAAACGAACTCACGGCTGGTAGTGATTGAGTGAATCAATAATTCTTTCAAGGATGAACCGATTGCGGGCTGGTAACAATGTACGGTTGGAAGCGTGCAGAAAGTTCGAACCATCGGTCGCTGACGTATCAGTGGCAAAGTCGGCCTGGTGCAAATGTGTCTTGTGGCTGATCGTTGTGAAGGAAGCGTACAGTTCAAACATTCAATACTGTGACTTTCAAGGCATCTACATGTACGCATGTAGGTGTTTGGGTACCAGCCAACAACACGGGGATGGTTCGGCAGAAAAGCGATGTGATTGGCTGGGATTGCCTCAATATTCGCTAACTACCTGTTGTGGTAGACATGCATCTTAAGCCGAGACAACTCTACGCTGTGCATTCAGAAACAAAGGAACATCCTAAGTTACCCCGAACAGCGCAACTCAACTCTGTCTAGTAAGACCTTCACACATGTCCATTCCTACCGTGCCGTTAACAAGATCACAGCTACCTCCAAATCCAGCACCGCAAGAGAATCCAACCACCAAGATGCCCGCTCCATCCCCGCTCCCCACCTACCTCTACAAAATCCTCCCATCGGCGCCTCCCTCCCCTCTCCCTGCCGTCCTCCCCCTCTCAGATCTCGACCGTAACGACGGATATATCCATCTATCGACCTCCGAACAAGTCCCCGGGACGGCGGATAAATTCTTCGGTACCTTCGATTCGCTGTGGCTTTTGAAGATCAAGTACGACGTTGTGGCCGGCGGCGTCGACGGCGAGGGAAATAAGGTGGGAGGGGAGATCAGATGGGAGGAGGTGGGGAGGGGTTGCTTTGGGCACTTGTATGGGAGTTCATTGGGGGTGGGGAATGTGGAGAGTGTTGAGAAAGTGGACAGGAGCGGAAGCTGGGTGGAGAGTTTGAAGTTGGAGTACTAGAGGGAGTTTCATGGGGGTTTTGAGGCGATGGAAGGGGACGAGGGAATGAGAGGATGCGCACGGGTTGGGAACATATTGTAATTCACGATGGATATGTTTCTGTTTAAACGTACAGCTTTTGCTATCTTAAGGGTAACCATTACAGAAACTAGACGCTACTTTTATACACTATAAGTTCGAGATCAGACTTATCGACGGCCTCTATAGCCTTGTCATGCCCGCTAACAGCCCAGGTCTTCCCCAAACTCTTGAAAAGATGCCAACTCGCCTCACGCGAAAGGCGCGGATGCCATGACAGTCGACGTTCAGTAGTTTCATCGAGGAGCCGAGTCTCACAAAACAGAGGCCCACCCCAGATCTCATTGACTTCTCGAACATAGTCGTCGTATGCCTTGGTATTAGCCAGCGCCATTATCCTGTTGGCCTTCACGTTTGAGTGTCCGCGACCGAACAAGTTGATAAATTGCATCTGCAGTGCTTTGACTACTGTATCGACGTGCACAGGAACACCGAGGTCGCGCAGCTCTACGAGCAATTTCAGCCCGATGCTCCAATCGGAGCGGCTCATGACGCCCCGACGCAGAAATCTTCGTCGATACTGTCTCTTTGCAGCGTTCGTAGAAAACAATCCTTGCTCCAGGGTTGCATTGGATAGCAGTCCAGCACGGAATCCCCACGTGACGATGGCTTGCTGAAAACTTTTGGGGAATAGCTGCCCAATCGGGTGCGAGGGGTGGTCCAGTGATTGCGGTATGAACGATTTGCGATAATAATGCCTAGGATTGACCCGGAGTAGCTTTTCATGGGCGGCATCAAAATTGGCCGGCCTCGACAAGGAGGCGAATCGTAAATCGTTACGGGGAGCGTACCATGACAGAAGCCAGAGAACGAGTCGTCTAAGTTCTTTCATGCGCTGAAGTTTTCCAAAGCGGCGCAGCACTTCTGTCCAGGATCGAGGGTGTATATTTACCATGCCGTACTCATTCATCACTATGTAAATACTCGCGACAAGGCGCAGATCGTCGAAAGGATATTGCTGCAGAAGCTTGGGTCGCTTTCCTATGGACCTTGGTCGTAGTATGTCCCTAATCGCCATGAAGGATTCTCGTGAGAGCGCAAGCTCTTTTGCTTGCATGTCTTGCAAGATCCGCATGATTTCGGACGGATCGCGCTGTCTGATGCGAGCTTGTAGGACGAGGTTCCAAGACTCAGCATTGGAATCATTGTGGAAAAGGCTGAGGATCGCAAGTGTACGGTGAGTTTGTGTCCAGTCTTTCTGCTCTAAATAGAAGTCCAACAACTTCTTTTGCATGTCTCTGTCGTCATACACATCGGGATGTTGGTCGCTATCGAGAATGCTTTTGACCAACTCATATCGACCGTCCATCGTAAATTTCTCGACTGCTAGCGAGAACACACACCCTTTCAGAGCGATCCCAGCCTGTTTGAGGCCCGAGAGAGAGTTGTGAAGCTCTTCTAAAGATTCAGCTCTTAATCCCAGCATACGGACCGCCTGGGGCCCGATCTCGTTGACTCCGAGCATGACCAGACCCTGAATGATCGATGCCGGTGTGAAAGCTCTCGTGGCGAAAAGTCTGGCACAGAAAGCATCGTCGAACCGAACGTGCGCTGTCTTGCGACCCGCTAGGCGGCGAAGCAAGTCCTGGTCGTAAACGGGATTGCCAATCCGTCCATCTTCTAGTTGGTTATGGGAACTCCCTCTCTTTTCGATGACATGGTCACCTGATTCCACCTGATCTTTTGGTGGAAAACCCGTGAAGAAAAGTCGGACAATCGGATGTAAGAGTGTAGATTCCGAAGGAAGGTCTCCACGCTGCGTGCAAGACACGTGCCACCGATGAGCGAGCCATATTTGGCCTCTGTCGCAAAGGAAAGGAACGATCGCATCATAGATGTTCCGCTCGTTGCTCGTTTTGTAAATGAGCATTAAAGCTTTGAGAGCTCCCAAATTATGGCCCACACCTTCGCCTAACAGCTCGAGTAGAGGAAGCCTTCTTATATGTAACTTTACCAGCATCCGATGATGATAATCTAATGCTAAGTTGGACGCTTGTGGAAGCCAATGTAACATGCAACTCAGGTAGAGATGTGGATATATGTTACCTGTTGCGCTTAATATATGAGCAGCATGATCAATGACCGGTTCGACTAGATGCGGGTTCCTCAAAAGGGTCGTCCATAAAACTTTGGACTCTGGAGTATCGGTAGTAGGCAATTGGTGACCACGGAGTACCAACTGGGTCCAGAAAACACGTATCCCATTTGCGCCATAGACCCTCTCAACGTAGAGTATGGTTCTTGCCAATGATTGGACTCTCTCGACTCCTTCTCTTAGTTCTATTCGTGGCCACAGCGAGTTTTGAAGTTCATGTACCAGGCCTTGCTGGCTCGGCACATGTCTGATCAGAACAGCACCCGAAGGTCCAGATTTAGGGAGGGCTTTCACAAGCCTATTGGTTTTCAAGGTGGCATTTTTCGAGGCACCGTTTGAAGAGGAGGAGGGAACGGATGCGGAGGCGGAGGAGGAGAAGCAACAGCGCGCGGTAGGTGATGATATGGACGGGAGCTCAGAGTTAGCGACCAGGCTTCTGAGGGCCCTTATCGCAGATGGACTGGCAAGAAGCCTATCTAGGGCCGTGGGCATGAAAAAAATGTCAACAAGGCGATATATTACAGTCCATTGGAGAATGCATGGGCAATAATATTGTGGCAAGGATCAATTCGTTGCTTGGAAGCTTTGCGGAACTTTTGGAGATGACTAAGTAGTTCTTCTTGGCACTGTCGTCGCTTGAATCTGAGATCAGTCGATACCTCAACCCCAACCGACAAACACCACCACCAGCCCTTCCATTGTCCCCGCGAACCGGTTGCAATCACTCTCCACTCTTCACAATGGCAGGGTATGTCACTCTCCGATATGATATCTGCACCTTTGGACCACCCGAGCGCCCTCATGGCTCTGTCTTGCCTGGATCATCCGCACGCTTAGCTTGGTGCTAACAGCTAAACAGCTTCGTCAACCGCGAGAACCGCGTCCCTCACTACCAGCGCCTCTTCCAGAAGCATGATGGTCTCCGACTTTGGGAGAAGGTGCGTTACGAATCCTGGGGGTTGCGACATTGCGCCGTGGCTGCAGTTATACCCAAGTCCGAAGATTGCGCATGGCAATCGAGCACCCCAGAAGCTGGAAAAGATGGAGTAGGAGTAGAAGAAAGCATCTGCTAACGGATTCCTTGTTCTAGTCCCGCGGAAAGTACATCATGCCCGTCTACAAGGCCATTCTGTTCGGCAGCTTCGCTTCCAGCATGTACATGATGGGTCGTCTTGTCCTTGTATGTACCTGCTATCAATTGCATGACCTTCCCACTACTAACATCTACAAGGGACACAAGACTTGGTTCGGAAAGAACTAGACATCAATTAGACGAAAGGAAAGGCGGGGGACTGCCGGCAACATCGGAGGACATTGTGCCCACCACCTGTACAAACAATCGACACAGTCTTCAATTTAGAACGTTTCCTATGTCCTGAATACTTTCTGTTACTCGTACCTTGAAAATGATCCGTGATTGGCTGTGTGATGCCCTGCAATACGTTTCTATCGTATATCCTTCGACTAAGAGGTAGAACCGTCGAGTCTACCAATCGAAATCACGGAGTTTCAAATTCTTTATGCAGGGAACTCGTCTATCAATTGCAACATATAGGCTATTGGATACAACAGTAGCCCCATCGCAATTGAATCATTTACATCGTGGACCATTATGATATTCCATATATAACTACCTACCTACCTACCTACGGTACCAGCACTTGAATGGTGTGATGTGTTATTAATGGGTTATTAAGAATCCCGTTCACGGCTCAGCGAATCATAATACCAACCTGATTGGTGTTAGCGTAATACGCCGAGCCAAAACGTCAGTAGCCGAGATTGGTCCATTCGAACTGGAACCGATTGGAACGACAACCTTCCCCCAGCTCCTTCGCTCCACCACCACCACCTCCTCCGCCTCCACACATTCAATTGTGTTGACAACACAGTCACCACAATGGCCGACTTCGTGAAGGGTATCTTTGGTGGCCAGAAGCCTGCACCTGCTCCTGTCAGTGGCGATGACGGTATGTCTTTCCCCATCCTCTGCTTGATGCACCGCGCATCCGACCGCTCTACGCTCCATTATGAGCTATATCGCGTGCGCAAGCATCACTAACGGGCCTCCAGACTTTGCCGACTATGCGGGCGCTCCTAACCCTGAGCCAGCATCGCTATCAGCATTCACCACCGCCTCGGCACCATCTGCCGCTCCTACGTCCACTGTTGGACAGGTTCCTTACACAAAATGGTACCGAGTGTGGGAGCGTGTTACCATTGACGACTTCAAGCTAGAACTCTACGTCCTGCCATTCCTCCTCCTAGTGGTCGTCGTGCATCTCTGGGGAACACGAAGAAACCGTAGCAAGGCCAGGACTTGGATCAAAGCCCATGCGCCTGTGCTACAACAGGAATTCGCGCAGGTGGGATACGTCCGCCCGCAGCCATCTGCAGACGGTGCCGCCCCACAGGAGGCAGCAAATCCCGATAAGCTTCTCAAGGAGAAGGCTGCAGATACCTACATGAGCTACGCCACTGGTCGTCAGAATGTCGCCTTTATCGATTTCAAGTTGACATTGGCAAAGAGGTACAACCCCCTGATGCGCTTCGGTGAGGCCGCAATTGGAATGTTCTTCGAGAGTCTGCCCGCAACCCAGGAGCGATTGGAAGCCACGTCCTATGTGTTTGACGGCAAGGAGGGTCAAATTGCCCCTTTCTATGGAAAGGGAGACGAGAAAAAGGTCCCCAACAGCACCTTCGATGGATTTGTCTGGGCTGTCGTTCACAAGGATCTCATGAAGCGTCTTCGTGAGGATCGCTATGATCTGTCGCTCACCTCCTCCAAGGACCACGCCAAACTTCCGCTCTGGGTCACCGTCATGAGCGAGAATGCCGAAATCACTGAGACTCTCCTCACGCCCGAATTGATCAAGGCAATCAACGATGCAGGTGATGACTTCGAGGCCCTGGTCATTAGTGACCAGCCCATGGACCAGCCTAAGAAGTAAGTGAACAACCACGATGTTGCAGTATTTGTGGTATTGACCATAGTTTAGGCTTGACGATACCACCCCTCGCAAGCGTATCAACCTGTCCCTCAAGCTTAGCTCGAACTACGACTCAACGCTCCCGCTATTCCAATATTTCCTACGTCTTCCTGACCATCTTGTATCCGCTGCTCACTTCCGACCTGAGGCCATGCGTCGCATCAAGCAAACGCGCGAGGAACAGATTGCTAAGTTGCGTAAATTGGACGACGAGGAGAAGGCAGAGGAGCGCAAGCTGTTGGGCGACAAGGCTAAGAAGGACAAGCGTGACCAAATGCTTGGTCGCATGAGCGCTTCTGAACAGAAGAAGTACCTCGACAAGGAGCGTGAAAGGGAAAACAAAAAGCGTGCCAAGGGAAAGACTATCAAAGCATAGTCTCAATCTTCGATTGCATAGAGGCTTGGGTACCTACATTTTAATGAAGTTGTTGGAAGGAGCATCGTCACCTGGAAACTGCCTTCGCACGTCTCTGGATAATGTCAAAAGGGTGGGTTCGTTGTATATTGTAATTTTAGGCTAGCCTCTGTAGGTATATTGAAAAATATGAGACTGATAGTCTCTGTCTGTCTCAACGGTACTCCGTGCTACATATCAACCCAACAATCCTACCCAGCCATATCCCCGACCAAAGGCCCTCAAGAAAGTTTCGTCACGGCGCAGATGCATCATTTGTTTTATGGGGCGCATTGATACGCTGAGTACTCCACATCTATAAGCTGTTATTCGGTGAGCTTCAAGAGATTGAACGGTGAGCTGTCTACTCCTCCAGAGGTCCAAATCATGGGTTGAATAGTGTCACGGCGCGTCTGACCGATAAACTTTGGGGCCCCCTGACCTGGTTGATCTCGATCCAGCCACCTGGCTCTCAAGCCTGTGATATGAGCAACCTGAGATCTATTGTGGATCCCATGTCGATGCTCTGCAGTCGGCCATGCTTATCTGCTTACGAACGAATGGTTACTTCGGTACTTCCATGGCCTTCCAGAATCACATTACGTTGTCTTGCTCAGTGTGCTTCTAGTACGGAAAAGAATATTCACCATACTTGTTGTGTATGCTTGTACGCTCACTTTGGCTTCACTATGCTCAACGTCAGTGCGGATGTTCGCCGGTGGTTACACAGTACCATCCCTAAAAGCGCCCTGATGCGGCATCGTACAGTTAAACCAAGCTAGCCTGCAGACTCATATGCATACTGCAGGTTCCACTGACGCTGGTAAAAAATCATCTGCATCTACACCGTGAGCAACTCCTTAAAGCAAGATCATGAATTTGCGCTTTGGTCCGATATTGAGCGTGAATTGGTCGGTCAACGTGCCGGACAGGTGCATTGCATTCCAACCCAGTTGAAGGCCACGTACGCTCCAGCAACAGCGACCGAATCTGGTATGTGGCGAGCAGCGGGTAGATGTCGGCCTGTAGGCACGCGAGTGACAGCTGTCAGTGGTTGTCTTGAATTGCGTCTCAAGATAGAATGCCTTTCAGTCCCCGTCGAGCTCTGACAGCTCCCTCACCGATCTTTCTTCATCAGACGTCTGAACGAGGGATGCAAAGAAAAATATCCTCAACCTTGAATAGGGATGCAGAGGTATCACAACTAGCCTCACGCGCCATACCTAGGAAACGGTGGCAGGGGTCCAAGGATACCGTGCCCGCATTCCAGGTCCACTGCCACTAGCTAGATGCGAGAGCTCTGGCAGCAGAAGAGATCTGCAAAGGGAACATCCAGGGCAAACTTCGGTTGGGGAAGAGTTCCCGGAAAAGGATTGATCATTGCCCAATCTCAAGCCTTCCCTTGCTCACGGTTGCTCCCGGTGGTCCCTCAGTCAACTATCTGGCTTGCGGATACATAAAGCCCTGAGTTGCACCCGGAAGGGCATGTGAGGTCTAGTAGGGGTCAGGTTTGACATCGTACCAACTAAGATACGTCAATCGGTTGCTAGTTTTCTCTTTGCTGTGGGAGCTTATATTGCCTTGACGGCATTTACATTTTCATTTCTACAGAGTGGTTTCATACAGAGCAGCTTTCTCGATTACCCCAGGCAATCTCTTAGGTATACCAGAACATCGAGAGCTAGCTCAATCATTCAATCATGGGTTTACTTTCGTTTGCGCTTCTTGCGCCTTCTCTACTTGCTGCTTCAGTCTACGGGCGATTCGTCATCTACGCAGACGAGTGAGTCGAAGATTGCGTACTCCGCGGACCCAATTAAGATCCTAACATATATCTAGATGGCATCCCACACGTCCAACAACCCCAGAAGATCGGGCCGGCATCGACCATGTCGTTCTCGCATTCGCCATGGCCAACAACACCGCGGCGTTCCAGCCAAAGGTTCCCATATCGACCATTAGGTCAGAGTACCCGAGTGCAAAGGTGATGATTGCGGTCGGAGGATGGGGAGACACTATTGGTTTCTCCCAAGCTGTCAAGACCGAGGCCGGCATTACAAAGTTCGGGACTGACATTCAGACAATGCTTCAGAACACTGGGGCTGATGGTGTTGGTGAGTCTTATACATGTCAGTGATTGAAGTGGTGGATTTGCAACTAACATCGTGGAAGACATCGATTGGGAATACCCGGGGGGCAACGGCGCCGACTACAAGCAGAGTCCAAACTCTGAGAAGGTGGGAGAGATCGAGGCATATCCCAAGCTTCTTCAGTCCATTCGGAGCGCCATAGGCAAGGACAAGTTACTGTCTATCGCCGTACCGGGGAAGAAAATTGATATGATCGGATACACAGAAGAAACTGGTCCCTTGATCTGGCCATCCGTGGATTACATCAATGTAAGTGTCAGAGGGTATGGTTATATGCTGCATGAAATGATTGATTCTTCCAGGTCATGTCCTACGATCTGATGAACCGACGAGATACGGAAACAGCACATCACACATCTGTCAAAGGTGCCGCCGAGGCCGTCGAGAACTACCTCAAGATCGGAGCACCAGCGGATAAGATCAACCTGGGATTCGCATTCTATGCAAAGTACTTCACCACGCAAGGTGACTGCACCGCTTCTCCCATCGGCTGTGCCATAGTCCTTGCCGAAGATCCTGTTACGGGCGCTGACGCCTTGACATCTGGGGCCTGGACGTTTGAGCGACAACACATGCAGGCTTTCGAAGGCGCCGACTTGGCCGTCTCCCAAGACGGGACTTGTGGCCCTGAAAAGATGACCAAATGCGCCTCTGGATGTTGCTCACAGTACGGTAACTGCGGTGTTTCTAAGGAACACTGCAGCGGGGCTTGCCAACATGCATTCGGCGTTGGCTGTACGGACAACGACGTCGCCGGATCATGGCAGCTTGCCGCCCAGAATGGTGTCACTGATGAGGAAGAAGGCGGACAGTACTTCTACGACAAGGCCAACAGCTTGTTCTGGACTTGGGATACGCCCGAGCTTATCACGAGGAAGTTCAAAGACATTGTGAGTACTTATGGTTTGGGGGGTGTCATGGCTTGGAGCTTGGGAGAGGATAGCAACGATTGGAGCCATATCCACCAGATCAGTAAGGACCTCAGCGAGGTAGGAAAGAGCGCTGTCGATGTCGTACTGAATGATGGTTCAAAGCCGACCACTGGCAAGCCTGAATGGGCTGGTCTACCCGCTGTGCAGAAGGAGGACGACGCTGAAGAGGATTTGGAGGAGCCCGAGGAGGATCTGGAAAACGTAACTGAGCCCGAGGCTGAACCAGAAACCGAAGAAGAGGAGGTGGAAGAGGAAGTTGAAGAGGAGCCAGAACTAGAGGCAGATATTGTACCAGTGCAGAAGCCGAAGCAACCGCTGAGACCCGGTCTCGGTTCACGTCCTCTGACAGTACCAGTCCAGAGCACTTCCAATCGACCATCCCAGAACCCGGAATGGAACGACGTCGATGATAGTGGTAGCTGGGAGAAGGACCCCGAGAGCGACAATTCATTCACCACCGATCGCGATGACTGGTTCGAGTTCAACGAGGAGAACTGGGGCGTGGAGCGAGTGCGAGCTTGAATGGTTTCTCACCAAGCCGACCCAATCTGCGTGTGTAAAAGTTCCAAGGTGGAGGTGTTGTCGCGCAATTCTTGCGCATTCTTGTTGGAGGGACAGTTGTTTTGACTCAACATTTATTAAACCAAGGTAGAAATATGACACCAAAAATTTGTTCTAGAAATTGGATCGAGCCATGCTGGGAGACGTCGTTCATTTGATAAGATACCGATTGATGTTATCTACCAAACTTGTGTGTAGCGTCCCATATAATTCGCCGACATTCGGCTGTTGACCCCTCTAACCCCCCTTTTCCAAGCCGCACAACTTTATCGGTACATAAACAGCTGAATTTTGAAGATATCCAAGTTACAATAAGAATCAGGATCGTAGTGTGAGAAAAAACACGTCTCATCATAATGCTTGCAATTCAACTTTCTTCTATCAAATCATCCGGCTCGGTGGTGTAGTTGGTTATCACGTCAGTCTAACATTCGATTAGCACACTGAAGGTCCCGAGTTCAAACCTCGGCTGAGTCATTTCTTTTTGCCATTTGGACCTCATTCTTGAGCACTGGAGTGGTTGGTGGGTGCCAGGTGGTGGTGTGGGAGAGATTCTTTTTGATCCTTCCGTATGCGGTGGAACATCGAGATATATTTTTGGTTTTTTTCTTTGTCTTGGATCTCTATCGAATCTCGTCCCTAATAACTGCTTTGAAGGTTTTCTTTTTCATATCGCGTTTTCTTGATGAATGAGGATCGGTGAGCTTAGTTTGTCTGTCTTTGTTCCTTACGAGGATCCTCCGGGATCTTATGGAGAAACGTGTGCTTAACGAGGCCAAATAGCAGAGACCAGTATCACGGAAGTCTCAGCCCTACCGCATCTTTGCTTTACCTATTATTGTCCACTTTGCAATGAGTATATTGTGCAATTCGAGCATTGGCTCTTCACTTAGAAAGTGACCACCAGCGAAGAAGATTCCGAATGAAGGGGTCCCTAGCCATCGCGGTCCTGCCAAGATCCCTGAAACGACGACATGAACGCCAACAGCAGACAGCAGTAGTTACCCGCGAGATAATAACGGACTTCACACAGACGACCTATCGTGGATTCGTACTGTGTAGTGTCCCAATAACGTTGTTCTCCGAAGAGCCTCAGCATTGCCCGCGAACCCACTAACTAGCAGCAGGGCGTAGTTAAGTAGTTGTCAATGAAGTTTCAGCCCCCATCCCAAACCCCTTTTGGTTCATGCTTGGGATTGATATTCGCTATGCAGGGAATAGCTGCCTGAGATGCTAAAGTACTTGTAGTAAGTACAACAGAACATCCTGTGTAGGTACATGGTGAGTTGTCAGAACCTATTGGTGACAGCTGCAGACTTCTTAGAGAATGATGACCTTTTCGTATGATAGTTATGGCAATCTCCTTTGGAAATCGTGCTGTATCTCAGCAGCACTCAGGCCACTAAGAGAAATTCCATAGCGCTGATATTGAGGATTGAAAATCGCACGCCTAGTTCTCCACCTCAGCCCATAAACCCCGGCAACCATCGTCGCTGGCAGGGTTCTACTACGGTCCTAGCAGGCAAAGTGAGTAAGAGTCGACCGGCGCAACGGCAACGGGTGCATGTTACCCCCTGGCAATTGGGAGACAGAGCGCAGTCTCTGCATGCACGGAATAAGCACGATGAGATCTAGCTCGCTCTGCATATTGGAATTATAATCCAGCATGCCTGCCTCGGGCTCTTCGGGTCCAGCTTTATACTCACACTTTCGTACCTAGCATGCGGGTGCTGGTGACGACTGGGTACATACTTCGATCGCGTTTTCGGCGTCCCCTTTGACATCCAACAATACTGATCGACTCGAATACGCATTCAATTCAATTCACGACTCCGCCGAACGAAACCCACCATCGTCTACGCAGTAGAGATGCGTACACAGCTCCCCTCCATCCTGACCGCGCTCAGCGTCGTCTCCTACGCCCGGACTGCATTCGGCGCCTGCTACTTCGACACGGGCGACCTCGTGACAGAGCCAGACTACCTGAAGTGCGTCGACACGCCGACATGCTGCGCGCTGAACCGGACGAGCTCGCGATCGAAGGACGAATGCCTGCCCAATGGCCTCTGCGAGAACACCGCGCTCTCGAACAACAACGTCGAGACCGTGACCTACTGGAGGGACTGGTGCTCCAACGAAGACTGGAGTAATGGGAAGTGTCTGTCTATCTGCATACCCACGGTACGTACATACAATCCCATTGCACATAACATGATCCCAGGCATCGCCCATGCTACCCAACAAAGAACCCCTCCTTTCCTTCTCAAAAAAAAAAGACAAGAAACAAGAGAAAATAATCCGCAGACTGACGAAAGAAAACCATCCAGGACACGAACCAGCGCTTCAAAACCCAGCAAGTCACGCCCTGCACAGGCAAATCCGACTCGTCGAAATGGTGCTGCGGCGACACGACGGCCTGCTGCACCGACGACGACAAGTCCGGCGCCGTCGTCCTCGCCGCGACGTTCGGACAATCCATATCCTCCTCCACATCCTCGCCAACCTCAACCCCAACAACCGCCTCGTCATCCCATCCCGCCTCCACGACAGCAGCTAGTTCTACTTCGCCATCCTCAACACCACCACCAGCCAGCAAGTCGTCCGACGGCCTCCCCACCGGCGCAAAAGTCGGCATCGCGGTCGGTGCCGTCGGCGCCGCAGCCCTGATCTTCGTAGCCGGCTTCATCATCGCGAAGAAGAAGCCGTTCCAGCGAAGCGCGAAGTACCACCACCCTGGCCCGGCGCCGGTGCAACTCGCCGCGGGGGGGTCGTCGCGGGACGGAGGGTCTGATGCGGGGCGGTGGATCATCGGCGGAGAGCTGGATGATAATGTGAAGAGGAGTGAGGTTTATGGGATGAGGATGGCGCATGAGTTGCCGGAGAAGGGGGCTGCGAGGGGGGTGGTGGAGCTGCCTTGATGGGTGGAGGGTAGAGGGTTAAAAGGGTGTAGATTAATGTAATCAAGAAATGTTTTATGGGATTGTCGTTGTCTTTTTCTTGCATGGATGGAGTACTACCCATCGACAAAGGACGGGACGACAAGCGTCAAAGGGAGCTTCGAAAAGCATACTCTTTGTTTGATTTCGTGCACCGTGCCCATGCCCATGTCCATGTCTCGTACTAATCGACATCGATGTGGCGATATCTATATGGTATAGAAAAGGTGCCACCTTCCGATAAAGATCTTTGAGGTCTGCCGGCAAGCTTGTGGGCCCGTACGGAGATCACGTCGGACTCGAGGCACAGTGTCCGACAAGTCGATCTCGGAGTCTGGTTGGAAATGGTCGATGGGGATGTAGTATAGTGTTTAAGCTTGATCCAATACTTGCAACGGGTGTTAGGAGCATGGTTGGTGGAGTGATAATGGTGGGCTAGGTGATGGGGAGGGGCGTGGGGAAGTCGGTATGCTGAGTTGTTTGGTGAGTGAATGGGAGGGTGATTAGCGTTCTGTTTTCTTGAGATATTGAATGTTGTGCTCATGGATGATAGATGACGATGGGTGGTTGTGGGCATTTGGTGGACGGCGTCGATAGTCATCGCAGCACCTCATCGTCAGGTTGGAGTTCAGTAGTGTGCTGCTTGGTATCATGGCTCGGATATATGGATACCAAGGGTGAGAGACTGTTCAGCGATGGGTGTTAGAGTATCACAATGGGGACACGCAGGAGTATTGATGACAATTTAGTCAATTTGCAGATACTACATCTATGGAAAGATTGTTCTCCGGATTCGTTCAACCGTAATCAAGTGTGAGTATATGCAAAAGTCCAACAGATAAAACAATACTTGCGCCGTACATGCTGAACATCTAACGTGTTCGCCCCCATCAATGTCGTGAGGGTGGCTTTTGGTAAAGAACACAAGGAAAGAGTGGAAATGGGTATCGATAGTGGGTGGTTTTCGGTGCATTTATGCAACGACTTCTTTCTCTGCAGGCTCCTCGTACACGGGAGGTGCATCATACTCGGGCAAATCGGCATATGCCTCCTTCTCGCTACCCCGCTCAACGTCATCGCTATCACCGTCCTCCAAAGCGATACGCTCGTAAGCGTCACGGCCACGGACCTTGGCAAGGACTACGGCAATGAGGAGTCCGAGAGCCATGCCGATAACGTACGTGATAGTACCAGCCAAAACGCCGATAAGAATGGGGATGAAGATCGTAATGAAAGCGCGGTGCATGAACATGTGGACACGGTGGTGGTGATGGTGGCCATGAGCGTGGTGGTGGAGTTTGTGGTGCGGGTGAGGCTTGCCCGGTCGGAATGTGTGAGGTGGTTTGCCTCGCAGACCCTCGTGCTCCATGGGATTGCCCTGGTGCTTGTGCTGGTGGCAGCCCTTGCGCATCGAGCCCTTGAGGTTCTCGATCTTGTCACCCAAAATCGACCTCCACTTGCACAGCAATGGCCACTCCTTGCATTCTTTGGCGGGATCGATAGGGCTCGCCTCTTCTGCCTTTGGCGTCTGGAACGAGGCGATCATGAGGTTGCCCTCGGCATCCTTTAGGAGGTTGATAGTAAGAGGTGGCAAGTCGAACTCCTGTGATTCGATGGATGTGACGTGGAAGGTGATGGGAAGGAGCTCATTCCCGGTCTCTGAGACGGTCTCCGCAGTGTTGTAGTGGAGCTTGTAGCCGGTCACGCGGAGCCGTGGAGATGCTTGCGATTCTCGGAGAGGGTCGACTTGAGTGACGTAGAACGGCTCTGCGAAGAGGTCGAACTTGGGCGGATACAGAGTGATACCGTCGATGTCGAGAGTGTGTTGGCTCGGTCCGACTTCGAAATCCAGCAACTATGCCCCCAGTCAGTATCTGCGGAAGCCCACGGGATTGCGCAAACTTACAAATGTGTTTCCTGCACCCATCTTCCATGACGGACCGTTCGCACCCTCGATCGCATAGGCGCAGCTGGGGCATTCCAGGGCTACCGTGCGCTTGTAAGTACTGACGGCCATGATCTCCGCAGGCCAGTCTTCGCCGAGGTTCTCAGCTGCGACGTTCGGAGGGACGAGGATGGCGTTGGCGGCCAGCGCCATGGAGGCAAAGATGCCGAAGTTGAGAGTAAACATGACCGGCGTGAAGAAGAGGATGATGTGGTTGCGGAGTTGGAGGGGAGGCGGGTGTGTTTAAAGAACAGAAGGGTGGAGCGACGGTCTGGTCTTCAAGGTGTCGACAAGCTGCTGTGCCCGTTCCTTCCCTGGTTTGCCGCCGCGTCATCGACACGTGATAGGCTGTCTAAGCATTCACGTCCCGATATCCGACTTGTGACCCAACGTTTCAAGGAAATGATCAATTTCGTGGTGTGTGCCCTGGATCCCTTTTGGACGCCAATCCTCCTTGGCGAAGGGGAGAGCACATCATTCTGTAATTGGCATTCTTGCATTCCAAGACTATGGGCGTCATTAGTTATTTCCATCATTCACCCAGTGAACCACATAGAGTCCTTCATTGTTCTGGACTCTGCCCCAAAGGCGGCTGATGGACCTAAGCCTGCGCAGCCCCACGGGCGATTGTTGATCATAATTTGTTTCAGGGTACGATACAAGATGAAAGATCTGAAACGGTGGAATAGAGCCGGAGAATATCTGCCTTGTTGACGGTTTCTAGCTTGGCTCGAAGTCCGAATGGTGAATTTGGGTCTCTGTTGGTGGCATCGTCGCCCCGTTTCGTTCTCCGTGGGCCATATTTGGAGTAGCCAGGGTCGGACCCATGAACGCATCTCCCTCTACGTACGAGATAAAGTCGATGACGCATATTGGAACAAAGGGTTTCCCGACTGCTCATATTAAATATAGTAGTCTCAAAGTTCATGGCTCCAAGTGAACTGCGTGGGTAGATGAGCCAGCAATTCATTTTGCTATGCATGCTGAATCAGTGGAGCGCACGAGCAGGTTGCAAGAAGTCTTGCTCTTGAGCAGGTGGTACTGACACACTCTGCAGACAAACCGAAGAAATGACTGGAAATGAGTGTGTTCTATGTATTTGGCAGGAGTATCAACGGCCATTCGAACGATATTCAGCACAGCATGAATGCGCATAACTCCGTGGTTGTAGCGCCTACGGAGAGGAAGAGAAAAGGGTGGCCCTTGTTGATAGTCTCTTTGCAGTGGACCGTGATTGACCGTTATCTTCAATCGCATCGATGAATGTGTGCTTCTCGTAATTTTCGAGTCTGCAAGTGAAGATCAACGTTTCTCATGTGGATGCATCGGGGTTTATGCAACGGTAGTCACGCATCGGTGGTCATGCTTGAATGGTCATTTGACGCATGAAGAAGTGAATAGTCCTTCCGGATGTGAACGAACAACAGTCGAGCGCCAGACACTGGGCGATTGGACGCTTTGGTAAAAGGTCTGTACATAAGTATAGGTCACGGAACACTGATTGACTGCGCCTGAGAAGATTCAGTTTTTGCAGATATCCATCAACACTGCGATTAGTTGGAATGATGGATAGTGCAGCACTGTAGGGCGATGAGCATGGCATGTATGCAAAACCAGCTAGACTTCTTCTTCACATTATTAAGAAGTTAACAGTGCTTGTTAGGGGCCCATCCTCAGGTGAAAGGCTTTGTGGCTGCAGAGATGTGAGCGTGCGAGTGGGGCCAGGACAGACGCGTCGTGAAGAAGCCGTTGTGTGACACGCGTTGGTGATTACGAATTGCGGGCTGAGTGATCGTAGAGAGATCAGTGTGCGCTGTTAAGTTGTCCAAATGATTCGGAAGCCAGTATAGAAATTATTTGGAGGGTTGCAGTGTAATGAGAGGTATATTTGATGGGTTATTCGTGGATTGCGAGATCGTTGGTGATGGTGTCGTTGGAAGATGGAAGGTTTTGGTGTTCTGCTGACATAAGGATGAGATTACCGGTTTAGGTAACTATCTATGAACAGCAGAAGACGAAAAACGTCCGTGCCACAGCAAACAAAATGGAATCTAGCAAGTGCTGCTTTCCGCCATGTTGAAAGAGACGCCTAGACATTTGCATTGGAAGGGAAATCACCCAACTTACCATTACTTACACAGTCCCCCATCGTTCTTGCCCTCTCCTGCCCTGCCACCCCTTCCATTCCTAGTTTAGCGTCTCTTTTCTCACTCCCCTACCTGCTCTGCGACTCGCCTCTCGCCTTTTTCGCGTTGTGTGATCTTGAGGCGCCTTCCCGACCCTATTTAACCCTTTGTCCCCGCATCCACCTCTCGCTCTTTTTCCCTCTCTCTTCTTCTTCTTTTCTTCTCTCAACTCCACAACCCACATCACTACCCATCTATCCATCAACACCCACTCGCGCAAATCGCGTCTCCACCATCCACTCCATCAACTTTCATCTTCACTAATACTCTTCCAACATGACTGGACGTAAGTATTTATCCTTCCATCACTTTTACTCTCCTCGTGCATCGATTATGCCGTCGCCGTTGCAATGCAGGTTCATCGCGATACCCGCGATAACACGCATTCGCGGTGGCGCGCTTGGTGTTGAGTATGACTATGAGTATGGGTGGAGCCGACCTGCAGCCAACCAACGCGTTCTCTCCCCACCACAACCACACCCGTGGTCCATCGCGTATCACTGCTGTCGACATCCTCTATACTCATGCACATCTCAACACCATACCATACCACGTCGTCGCTCCTATCATGACTACTACCTACTCGTCTCTTCTCTTTGTCAACATGCTAACGTCTCTCTCCAGGCGGCAAAGGTGGCAAGGGCCTCGGCAAGGGTGGAGCCAAGCGTCATCGCAAGATTCTTCGTGACAACATCCAGGGTATCACCAAGCCCGCCATCCGTCGTCTCGCTCGTCGTGGTGGTGTCAAGCGTATCTCAGCCAGTAAGTCTTCCATCGGCACATCGTCGTCGCCCATGCACAGAACAAAGAGCTAACAACCTTCACAGTGATCTACGAGGAGACCCGTGGTGTCCTCAAGACCTTCCTCGAGAGCGTCATCCGTGACGCCGTCACCTACACCGAGCACGCCAAGCGCAAGACCGTCACCTCTCTCGACGTCGTCTACGCTCTCAAGCGCCAGGGCCGTACCCTCTACGGTTTCGGTGGCTAAGCGTCTCGCCTCTCTTCTTCAGTCACTGGTCCCGGCATCCTTCCATGTCCTGCCTCCACCATTCTTGAATGCTGGGTCAGGGTAAGATGGGTTGTTGACGGCCTTCTCTTCGAACATGGCCTCGGTATATGGCAAGGTTAATGGCGTTTTACGGGCATGCTATGCAGCTATGGGTGGGAAATGATGCAATGATTTACAACGAAGGTGGCGGCCGGCTTGTACAGAGACCGGTCCTCACACTTCTCTGACTATTCTATAGCAATGGTCAATATATCCCCTTTCAACGGATCAACACCTGGTGCCCGTCTTTCGCCTATCATTATTCGTTGTCGTTGCGTGATGTCGTGAACGTTTCGTGAATCATCAAGTCGTCCCACTTCTCTTTTCCAAGTCAATCAGTTAACTAAACAGCTAATCCACCAGTCACAGTCACGGTCAACAAATCTCAAGCATTCGTCCACGTCTCCACTGCAGCAATGACCTCGCAGCACTCGGCGGTGACGCCAAACACTCCCCCCTCCGCCCTGATGGCCTCCAATCCCCACCACCGCAACTCATCGCTCGCCCCCTCGACCGCATCCTCTACAACCAAACAATCAAACCCCCTCTCACTCGCCTCCCTAACCGTACTGTTCACCGCCCCCTCGACCGAAACCCCGCAAACCACCAGATTCCTCACCCCCCACCCCCTCAACCCGCCCTCCAGCTCCGACGCCCCGCCGAACGCGCCCACGCCCGCCCTATCGACCACAGGCTCGTTCGGCAGCGGACACAGCTCAGACACGATGTCGTGCCCGCGCTGGCCTCGCACCATCCACCTCCCCCAATTTCCTGCTCCTCTTCCTTCCTCCTCCGCAGGAGTCGTAGCTTTCGAGCGATGATAGTCCCTCGCCGAGACGGTGGACAGGTGCCGCGCGTGGCCGCGCCGGGCGTGGAACACGGGGAAGCCTGCGCGGCGGAAGGTGGAGAGGAGGGAGACGATGGGGGGGATGATGTCGCGGTAGCGGGGGCGGGATGTGAGGGTGTCGCGTTGCATGTCGAGGATTAGGAGGGCGGTTGTGCTTGGGTGCAGGGAGGAGTCGTGGGGCCAGGGGTAGGGGTGGGAGGTTGAGAGGTGGGGGGTTGGGGGGGTGTGCATTGCTGTGAGCGTGTATGGTTTTGTTTTGGAGGATTGTTGGGGTTGAGGTTGGTGGTGATGATGTGGTTGTTGATGTTGAGGTTGAGGTTGAGTTTGGTGGGGGAGGGGAGAAAGAGAGATGGTTGAAGGATTGTATGTATGTAGTCTTGCGTGCGTGATTGCGTGCGTATGGAGATACACTGACGACAAGGAGGGCCGTAGATGGGAATCGTTTTTCCGTTTCTCTTTCTTGTCTTTTCTTCTCTCGAGTTTTGGCGGGGGGGTGGTGAAGAGTCACCGCACCACGATGGTTTTCCAAAGATAAACTAGGTTGCTAGGTAAACAATCAAATCACAACTAGACGAGAGAAGGAGGGGTAATATTTGCATTAGTTCGTGAATTGGACATGAGAAGAGATTGGCCGATGATGGCGTTCATTTATCTATTTGTTCAGTAACTAGCAGGCTTCTTGGTCGCGTTCATGGGTGTGTATGTACTTCGTTGTTGTATGCGTAGAGCGAGTCTCGAAGCGGTGAAGACGTGGTAGGGTGTTGGTGGTGGTGGTCTAGTTCTTCTCGCCTTTTCGTTCCCAAGTGCTCCTTCGAGCGAGGGAACCTAGGTACGTAGATAACGTTGAAGTGGCATGCATGACATGGCATGGCATCTCGAGCTACTCGTTAAGGATCGTGGAATTGATAGGCAAATGTTCAAGCCTCTACTTTTTTTGGTTCCCTATGGCGGGGGGAGAACGCTTTCACGCGCGTGTAGTCTTAGTTGAGATGGAAAGAAAAAAAAAGATGAAAAATCAAGTTCCATGGCGGGGATACTTTATGAGTCTTCCGTGATGTTACACGACGTATCGAACAATTGACTAGGCGGTTGGGTTATTGGCGGAGGCGGTGGTAACAGCCCGTGCTGTGTTGGTAGGGCTGCTCCCTTCGTGCCCATCACGAGTGAGCACCCACGTCGTACGAATAGGGCTGCTGCGGGGTGAGTGGGCAGCGTCGGCTGGTTCGGTTCGGTTGCTGCCCGTTGAGCCCGCGCTGGGTTGCATTGTTGCGACCTTACCATACCTTACCTACGAGGTATGTGTGTGGTGCATGGCACGTACGGAATGCATCCCCCACATGGCGTACTCGTTTCTGTACGATAAACGTTGATCTTCAAACATGCCATGTGCGGGACGGCGTCTGTCTAGTTGTGGATTCCACAGTTATGGTTCATGTTGTGGGCTCCATCGGGCATGTAGCGAGTCTCTGTATGAACAGTATCGGGCGCTGGAATGATCGATAGAACGGAGACAGTGGGCTCAAGAGACAGAAGAGGCAAGTCATTGCATTCTCTGCTTTCTAGAAGCAGAATACTTGCACTGTTGGTGCATTCATCCCAGAGAGTCCCGAGGAAGTATGATCCATACTACTGCTTTATCACAATGTCGGAGGTACCTTTCTGCGATTTTCTTCTGGGTGAGATAGCGTGGCATTGTTCGTGCTTGTGCAAAGATCTTTACTGTGCTCTGGAGCACGAGCTATGGGTAGCATATAGACTGTGAATGTGTCACTGCACTCCGAAGAGCATAGTTGTCTCTCAGAGATATACCTCTCATCCAGATCTTTACGGTACTCTAGCAAGTATGCGCATCTCATCTGAAATTAAGCGTGGTAGATTTATCAGTGACCTCTGTTCCTCTACGGTCAAGTCTGGCCCCGACGAATTGCATGGCGCATGGTTCGCAGAACATCTGCGACGCGGCCGAATATAAATAGGTCGGTAGCGAATGCACGTCTGTATATGATAGGTTGTGTTGTAGTTGTCGACAAATCTACAGGACGCCTCGGCGGCGGGACACATTATGATATTGCAAGTATGCAACACTCGTATGCACACCTGGCTCAGTTCGGCTTACCCAGATTTCCAGTGCAGAGCTGTCCTACAGACAATCTGGCAGCAAGAGGAAGGGCGAATACAGCAGTATGATATGCATTGTTTCTCCCTTTGCACAATATGCACGAGTAGGCTTACATGGAAGAAACCGAGCGTGGCACAGTTCAGTTCCAACATTAGCAAGCGTGCAAAGGATCTCCCTCGCGAGTTTATTTCCATCTGGCTCGTTGATCTCTCGTTACAGGCCACGTTGGCGGGAGCCTGTGCTTGTGCCCTGTCAACCTGGTTTTGCACATACAGGGTAGCGAGCTGTAAATCAAGAATGTAAAATTCAACATTCATGAATGACTGCGATAATAACGATAATATTAACGGCCGTGAGAATGATTTATCGGTGGCTGGATTCACATGAGAGACGATGGGTTGTTCACCACCCCGGTCGATAGAGCTACGTCATTGTGCGGGCGACAGGGCTAGCGAACAGGAATGACGAATTGCGCAGGGATTCTCGCTTGCGCTCGTGCAGCTGTGTCGGAAGATTGATTCAAAGAAGCGAAGTTTTCCATTAATTACAGTACGCATGACAACGTGATATTGATTGTTGTTGAGAGATTATTTTCTGGGTTTCGAAAATCACGAATCTGTCTGTCTGCTGGGTCGCGGGAGTGCACGGCGACGGATCGCCTCGAAGGAACGATTCACAGGCGCCGGATGGTGGTTCCGTTAGGTTACGAGTACCACTCTGTTCTGTATCTTCTACGAGGGGCAGCGAGGCACAGTAGACTTTTTCATTTGCGGGAGGGCTAGGTTAGGTGGATTATGGACTTGACTTGGGGGCTCGGGACTTGGGAGTTGGGACTCGAGAGGCCAGCTGGGCAGGTTAGTTTCAAGACTATCTTACCTTACCTGACCTTACCTTTCGATGCCCTGGGAGGCTGGGACCGATGGGAAGCAGCCCAGCATTACAAGGCTAAGCCTGTGCCTGACTCCATGGCCATGCGGGCCGGACGGGAATTGGGTGTTTTTTCATCTGGTTTGGGTAGAGATTCTCTGGGAGTGGGTATCAATCCAGAGAGAGGACAGGATGGCAAGGCGGCCAGCTCAAACTGTGCCTCTGTACTGTGCATGTTAGTTGTTTTGAAAGGAGAAGAAGAACACCTGGAGGGCTTAGGTTCTGTTGCTATGTTCGATGGCGCAGCTCTCATAAGCGGGGCAGGTGAGCAGGAAAAGAAAAGACGGAGACGCGCAATAACGGAGGACGCACCGGGTTGAGGCCGGCCTGGCGTGTCTAGCAGTTTGGCAGTATTGTCAACCATGGGATGAACCTGGATCGCGACGGTCCATGGCGGGTAGTCTAGCGATGGCATGTTTGTTTAGTCGTAGCCCATAGCTTGAGGCCTGTATCCTGTAGGTGGAAAGTGGGATGGATTGAGTATCGGTGCACGTATGGACAGATTAGTTACTTGGATCATTGAGAAGATGGCGGAAGGGATCATGCAGGTCGATAGAACAATGAGCTTGGGGGGTTTCTTCCGACCGGGGTTGCATGGTGAGTAGTAAGTAAGGTATCATCGTCTTGTATTGGTGAATCTTGTCCGAGTATGTGCTTGCATGTATCGTGGGAGTGTGGTGTGTGTGTGTGTGTGTGTGTGTGTGTGTGTGTGTGTGTGTGAATGTATGGAGGGTGCATGGGATGTGTTGCAAAGCATAGACGTCATCGTTTGTGTATGTGCAGCAGCCGCGTCCGGGCGTGTGCCCAACCAACAACCTGATCCTGATCTTGTCTACTGTGGTAGGTAATTACATTATTACTCTCTCTGTTCTTTTGACTCTGTTTCTATTCTATTCTGTTCTACTGCTCCATTCTACTCTCTGACTCTCCTAGCCCGTGTCTACTCTAGAGTCGTCTGTTGCTCCTTCCCTGTTGTGCAGCTGCTCCTTCCTTCCGTATTTCTCGTAGGGTCCCCCCACCATCGATCCATCGATCCATTCATCAGCCAAAACCTCAAGAACAGGGCACTTCCACTTCCACCTCCACCTCTTCTTCTTCCTCTTCCTCCTCCTCCTTCTTCTCGCAAGGCCACTTCTCTTCTTACGATCGCTTCCATAGATCCTCACAGCCTGGCCTTTCGAGTCCTTCGTTGCCTTCTTCATCCTTTTCTACCCCCTCATCCCACCTCCCACCTCGTCCTCCTTCCTCACCACCACTACATCTAGTCCCTCAGCCTAGCCTACTCCTATTACTCCTCTTCCTCTTCCTCTGCGATCCGTTAGTCTACGCCATCACAACATTTTCCCGCCCTGGTCTCGACCACCATGTCTCGTCGTTACCCAACTGCCGAGCTCTACGAGGAGCGGCAGCGCGACTTCTATCGCAACGGCGGCCGTGACCGTACCTATGATGAGCTCGATGTAGAGCTCCGTCGCTCAGGTGACCCCCGCCGGAGTGCTCCCGACTTCTTCCACGACGACTACAACCGGTCTAGTGCAGGCCCTCTCGTCGTTCGTGGTGGCCAGAGGGACGACGATACCGTCTCTCGAGCTCCCACCCAGCGTCGCGAGTTCGAACACGATTCTCTGGTCATCCGCGGAGGTAGCCGCCCGGCTCCCCCGCCTTCTTCAAGTGCCCGCAGCGAGGCTCCGCGCCGTCCCAGAGAGACGGAGCGGGAAGAAACCGACATCACCATTAGACGCCGCGAGCAGTCCCGCGCCAGGTCAGAGGTTCGTGAGCGAGACGACATAGTATTCCGTCGAGGCGATGGCGCCCGACCACGACCCCGCGAGGTCGAATTCGAACGTGAAGAGGTCAAGTTCCGCGACAGATCCCCACCCAGGCGCGAAGTGGAACGTGACGAATTCGTCTTCCGCCATGAGCATCGAGACGAAAGCCGCCATGGCAGGGAACGTGAGGTGGAGAAGGACTCGTTGGTCATAAGAGGCCGCGAGAGAAGCCTTCCCCCTCCCCAGCGCAGCCAGCTTGTAGCCAGGGAGCGAGAGGAATTCGTCGTCAGACGTCGTGACCCGTCTCCACCACACCGTGAGAGGGAGGTTATCAAGGACGAGATCATCATCCGACGCAGGGAAGAACGCTCTCCTTCTCCTGCCCCGCTACCCCCACCTCCACCACCACCTCCGCCGGAGCCTGAAGTCAGGCCTCCGATCATTCAGGAGATCATCACCCATCACCGTCACATCGACCACGGTAAGTACCTCAAACATTCACCAAGTCAACGGTCTTCTAACAATGCACCAGGAGTGGAACGAGCCCGATCCCCAACTCCCCCTCCCCCTCCGCCATCTCCACCACGTGATGAGAGCCTAGAGATTTCTATTCGCCGTCGCGAGTAAGTTGAATTCACACCGTATCTGGATTAAAATCCAATCTCTAACACCCAATAGGAGCCGTGGTGGTCGCGGATTCGAAGAAGACATCATCTTTGATAGCAAGCGAGACTTGGAGGTGAGCAGGCCTCGGGCCCGTTCTATCGAAGCTCCCAGGCGGAGCTTCACTGCTCCCGCCGACTCCGACTTCGACCTCGAGGCCGATTTCTACAACCGCAAGGCTCTTGAGCGCGCCTACCCTGGCGAAGCGTACAATGGAGCGACTAAGGATTGGGCCATTGTAGACGTTCCACCAGGCACCAACCGTGTCCGCATGGATGGCATCGGCGGCGGTGGTCAAGAGATTACATGGCAACGATACAATGGCGTGCGCCGCTCGAAATTCATCAGCGGAGATGACGAGCGCGCGACTGACTTCGGCATGCCTGGATCGGGCAAGCCCAAGCCTAAGCCGAAGGATATGTGGACTGAGATCACCAAGGATCTGGTGATCAAGGAGGCAATTGATTCCATGGGCTACGATTATGAAGAAACCGACTATTTCTTCTATGTCATGGAATATCTCCGATATGTAAGTTCTGATTTCCACACACCTGCACCGGTGGAGGGAAGGGAATGTATGTGCTAATACAGAACAGGAGGATGTCCTTCACTTGGTTGAGATTTCGGATGATATCCGCCGCAGGCGCAAGACCCGCATTCGAGAGATTGAGTTCGAACGAGAGGAGATCCGCGAACGAAGACCGCCAAGTGGCTACGATGAACGCTACTACGAGCACGAGGTTTCATTCGACCACCGTCATCGCCACCGAGGGGGCTTCAGATGAGCATGAGAACGTGCATTCTTGTCTCAGATCGCGTTGGTCTGAGATTCTTTCGTGTCGCCCAGATGCAGCGGTGTTCTCTTCATGATCCCTCGCTGGATGATTCAGGTGCGCCGGGGTGCTCAAGAGGGACATTGGCTTCTGGAGTTCAGAACATGCCTTGACCTGGACTCATGTTGAACATACTAGTACACGGAGAGCGTTTCTGCTTCGAACTACACGGGCCTTTTTTCTTTCTTTTTCTAGGTAAAAGTTTGAGGATGATACCAGATGAACTTACGACACGACCCACGACGGTGCGAGGCGGCGGCTGCTCGGAAGTTGAAGCCGAGTGAGTACAGTCAGCACGGTGGGGCTTGCATACATTTAACGATTCTCATGACTTACCAGCATTTGGCAGCGACGAAGGACCGGCTTGGAGATTATCTTGTTTTCTTATGTAGCAGATTATGTTTTCAATTCTGGTTCTTTTTCTTTGTTTTTCCTTTCTACAATTTCCTTTGTTTCTTCTTATGGAATCATGTACTGCGGGGTCTAGGCTGTTTCTGCGGGGACTCTATGGGCGGCATCTGTTTCGCGGTTCTCTTCCGGGCAGTCCGATCCAAATGTCACGTATATGATATCACGTTTATGATAACGAATAGATATACTCGTATTTCAAATGATACCAGGTCTCTTGAATCGAATCTTGACTGTCAAGTCTGCTTCGTGATGCTGATTGGTTAGACATGCAATGGCTCGTCTGGTACGGAGTATAAGGTGAGATTCCACATCCTGCGCTCTACTGGTGGGGAACTACATTGCATTACCAACTTCATTCTTGCAAGAACAAGTTACGTATTCAAGAATAGAGAGTTCTGTTATCTCAAAACATGAATAAAATAGCCCACACTCACCATCAACTACTGCTACTGTCAACTGCCAACAACATTGTCGCGGGAGTAAACTTGCCGTAGAAGTTCCCCCTCCCCACAGCGCAGCGCCACACATCCATCCCACCCATCTCACGCCCCCCGTGCCTCCCTCCGCCTTACCCGCCCGTCCGTCCAACTACAAACACCTACTCGCCGGTTGAGGCGCTTGGGAAATTCCCCGTCCACGAGGGAGTTGGGTTGATGGAGGCGGAGCAGGTATGCACGATTTATCTCCGCTGCAGAGTTGGAATTGTAAGTCGCATCAAGATTGTAGTTATGGCTTGCCAGGGCAGAGTGCAGAGTGTAGTGGTTTGAGTTTATGCTCCTCAGCTAACCACACTGTGCATCTCGCACGCATGTACATAAACAGCTAACAGTCTACAACAAGAACAGACTGAAAACGCCGTCAAGATATGAGCCGTGACCCTCCATACGGAGTACTTTCCTTCCATAACTACTTCTATGATTCCATCACCAGAACCGTATTATTGATTCCTAGAGTATCTGTCTATCTTTGGTAACTACATACACTTAGAGAGCGTGTGTGCGCAGGAAAGACAGGGAGCGAGGTAGGGATGCGGGTGCGTGTATGCATATTCGTCTAAAAATAACACGAACCACGTCCTTCCCTCCCTCCCTCCCTCCCTCCCTCCCACCACCATAACCCTGGGGTTCTTGTAACGGGTGTGCGTTGATTTGGAAGTGGTATTGCACAATTTTGATCGTAGTCTTGGGATGTCTGGAAAATGTGCTAGAGCTGGCGCATCTAGATGGGCGGGCAGGTCTGGCTAGGGAGAGAGGGAGAGGGACGTGGGCAGAGACAGAGCGTGCGTCCAGAATCGATGTCTTCAAATCATAGCGGCGACCAGCTAGGCAGGTAGGTATCAGAGCGAGATTATCTTCTGATGATTTTCTTCCCAGGATGGATATTGTGCATGTAGTAAGCCTATCTATCTTGTCTGCGACTATCTGCATTCGATGCGTCTGCATATGAGCGCGCGCCTTCTCTTACGCTTTGCTTATAATTGCCTCTTCTCACCTGTCTACGTATTTCCTCTACACCGTTCTTTTGAAGAATAATAAATATACATGATTGAGTAGAATAGATTCATGGTACGAGTAGGGTAAGGAAGGCAAGGGCAAGGCAATGTAAGATATAAGCGCCCAGGCGTAAAGAGAAAAAAAGGTGAGATGAGATGTACGGATTTGGAATTTATGTGTTCAATGTGTAGCCGGCTCGTGATTGGATGGTGGATGGACGCCGACCCTTCCATGCCCCTTGTAGAGATCACTTTGGTCTGTACTGTGTAGACTGTCTGAGCAAGAGAATGTTCGAGTTTGTAACTTTGTGGTGTCGGCCAGTACAATTCAGCAGTGACTACGGAGCACTGTGGAGTCCCAATAGTCAGTCGTCGTGCCTCTTGTCACAGTGTGTCTTGTAGATCCGCTCAATGCTCCATGCACCAAGCTCCACGCTCGCGCGCGCACCCTCACACCCTGAAGCGCGAAAGAAGTGCATCGCCCCCCTCCCGATCGCATTCTTCCTTACATGCATGTGTACGAATGTGTATGTGTGCCATGGGTAGACTGTAGCCCCCCGCCGTTAATCGTTGTTCGTTCCCCCTCTGCCCCCAAACCCAGCGGCGGGTGGCCAGTAAGGATGCTGCGTCGGCCCCTAGGGGTGTCTGTTCCAAGCGCTGTGTTTCAATGTGAGGGTGAGATTTCCTCAAGCACGACTCACCAATGAGATTGTCTCGCCAGCCCAAAATCGGCTCTCTTGTGCCAGCGGGCAATAGTGGCTCATCCACCTACACGCTCTGTTCTCGCTCTTGTCGCTCACTTCCTGGCCTGGGCTGGTGGGGAAGAAAGGGAAGCGCACAACGGTTGCGACTGGGGTGTGAGGGTGGTGGTGGTTGTCCCATTCCTTATTATAAGAGCTGAGGCACGGTAGGACGAGTTTCCTTTGCGAGGCGTTTTTCCTTCTGTTCGGCATTTTTCATCCATCGACTCTCTTTTTGTGTTCTTCGTCGCTGTCCTTTTAGGGATTCTTGCTGTTTCGGAGGATCATCTGGACCCGAATACATTGGTACCACCACCGTCTGGTCGACACTCAAACCTATCCGCTGGAGCTGAGGGATACCATCACCACCAACTTCCTTCCGCCCATTTCTGCTGGTCGGGCTTTTAGCTCTTGAAGAGAAATCACAATACCGATGCGCTTTGCGCAAATCTGAATTTAATTATGTCGCCATTCTCCTACCTAAGCGTTGCGAGTTTACTACTTCTATCATCTACTAGTACGTGCATCCATCCCCGCGCACCACTATGTCCACTAACGACATAACCCCAACAGCATTCTCCTCCTTCGCCCACGCACAACAAGACAACAACAAGACTTCCGCACCCACGGCACCGCAAGCAGCGACATTCTTCCTCACCGACACTGACACACAGTTCTCTCTCAACCTCGCCAATGACTCCAACCAGGACATCTCCATCTACTTCACGTCGCCGGCGTATTCGTGGGTCGGCGTCGGGTTCGGAGAGAGCATGAAGAATAGTCTAATGTTTATTATGTATCCGTCGAAGAGCGGGAACAGTACGTCTCCAACTGAGCACTCCTTGGACTTCTAATCAGGAGAACCGGGAGATGGCCAGAGATATATCCCGAAAGAGAAGTGTTCATGCTAACGACCGCAGACGTAACACTGAGCCCTCGAATCTCAAGCAGCAACGCCGAACCCGTCGTCAAAGATGACGTCCAGCTAGAACTACTCCCAGGAACAGGCGTCTCAGACGAGATGATGACCGTGAAGGCGATATGCCGCAACTGCCGCGTGTGGTCTCACGGCTGGATCGACGAAAAGAGCACAGCACACCCCATGATCTACGCCTTCGGGCCTGGAAACCGCCTGCAGTCGAACTCGCTCAACGCGCCGCTGAAGCGACACATTCGGTACGGACGATTCACGATGGACATGGTGGCCGCGACGGGAGCGAGCGGCGTGCCAGAACCCAGTGCTGCACTGAACGGCGTCAGTCTTGAGGAGGGCATGACGAAAGATCACGACCGGGCGAATCGAGCGCATGCGATCATGGGGTGTCTCGCGATATTTATCCTCTGGCCGCTCAACATCTTCGCAGCGGGCTTCATCAAGAGGATAGGAGTTCACGTCGGACTGTCAGTCTTCATCGTCATCTTCCTCGTCGCCAGCTACGCCCTCGGCATCGCGACGTCCTCAGAGTACAACCGCGTAAGTCCTCTTCCCTTACATCAACCACGTATAAAAGCTAATATCATCAACAACAGTCCAAATCCCACACCTCCCCCCACCAAATCCTCGCCTACATCTCCCTCCTCCCCATCCTCCTCCTCACGCTCCTCCCCTTACCCCCTCTCCGCAACCTAACCCCCCACATCCCCTCCCTCCACGCGCCCCTCGTCCCCATAACCTTCACCATCCTCGTCCTAACCGGCGGCCTGGGCCTCCACCTCTCCTCGCAAACAACCCCCATAATCCTCGCCTACGTCGCCATCACGCTCGTAATCTTCGTCCTGACCGCCACCCTCTCCGCCTGCATCCGCCGCCGCGGCGGCTCCGCCTACACCCGCACCCTCGCGCGCTCCTCCCCCTCCACGCGCACCAGCAACAGCAACAGCAGCCGTGGTAGCGGGAAATCCCGCTGGTACTCCAAGTCGCGCTCCCCCTCGGCCGGATCCTCCTACGACGACGACGACGAGCAGAACCTCGTCCTGAAACAGTACTACTACGCCAACGGCGGCCGCATGGGCGGCAGCTCCGCGAGCGTCTTCACGCCCAATAGCGCTCCCTCCTCTTCACATAGCGCGCAGACTGCGGCGGCGCCAGCGTACACGGCCGCGAACTATAATAACCTGTACCCCGGGACGGCGGTGGGGATGCATGGGAGGTCTGGCAGTGCGGGGTCCGGGGTGTATGGCGGTGGGTCGATGCCGGGCCCGCAGTATCTGTTGAATATGCATCCGGGTGTTCCTGTGGGCGGGAGGTATGGGTGCTAGGTGCTAGTGCATCGTCATTCACGAATTTCGTTTTCTGTTTGGGTTCGATTCAGGAGTGGATGGGGAGGGGGAGTTTGCGGGTTGCGGGTTGGAGTTCAGGAAGGGCAAGCATGGAAGGTAGAGAAGTGTAAGAGAAGGAAGAAGAGGGAGTTTTTTTTTTTGCATCTTTGACGCGCGGCGAAATGATACCACAAACCATACCGAGATTTTTCATGTACTCGAATATTTTTTTTCTTTTTCTACAAGCATTTACAGAATATGATACGATACGAGACGCTATGATGACTTTTACGGCGGGATTTCCTTTGCTTTATTTGAAGTTGACCTTTTTTTTGGGAGGAAGTATGAGGAGTACAGGGACTGTTACGCTTCAATCGATGTGTATCTTCTCTCTTGAGTAGCTATAAACCGAACAGTTCACAAGACCATAAGCAAGAAGCGGCAGAAATACCATGTCCACAAGCAAAGCGCAGATATATCGATTCACAAGTCACAAGTCACGATGAACCAAGAATGCAACACTAGTCTTCGAAAAAATAATCTCAAGTCAAAATCATCTCTCTGTGAAAGATGGGAATCTTCATTCTCTGATATACATAAAAAGAAAGAAAAAGAGAAATCTAAAACAAGGAAATCTATATAACCGGTCGGACAAACCCCGAACCGTGGTTAGTAGTAGTGCCTTCAAATTGGCAACTAGAAAAAATTCCATCCATCCATCCATGTGTGGTGTGATTATCAGGTAATCCGATGGGAGCAGGCTATCATGAGCCGCGAAAGAAAGAAGAAAGCCGAAAAGAGGTTTTTGGGTATATCGTTACAAAAAAGCAAGAACTCATTTCTCGTTGGACGGAGGATCAAGTCTATAAGCAGCCGTGAAAGTGGGTATCGTACACCGGGAAATGGAAGGCAAGTAACCGCAAAACAGGCTGATGAACATCGTGAAGCAACCATGAAAGTCGATGAACCGCCCCAGAAAGAGGTAACGGACACTCAGGAAGTAGGCGTCGGGAACCGTGAAAAGTAAGCAGCAGACACTTATAGAGAAGGTGTCGAGCGGCCGTGAAAAATTATGTGTACGAGAAGTATCAGACAAGAATGGTATGCTCGATGCCGGCCATGTTCTCGATGACTTGGATGAAGTAGTCGGCGTACTGGGTGAGGTATTCGGTCCAGACATTGTCACCGATGCTGTAGCCGATGGGAATGATGCCGAAGAGACGATGAGGGCGACCGTAGGCGCCATAGCTGTTGTAGAGGCCGACGTCATGCTTCATAGACTCCACCTGAGCCCAGAGGTAAGCAACTAACATGGCAAGAATGGCAACGAGCCAGGGAGAGTTGTTGTGAGAGGCACGCTTGTTCATGGTGACCGAGGGAACGATCATATCAATCTCAGCTGGTGCGATGGGAGTGGTGTCGGTTTGGACAATGTCGTGGGTGAGGGTGATGTTTTCGGTCTGAGCGCCGGCATCTATGGCCTCTGGCGCGATTGGAGTACTCTCAATGGTTTGAACTCCGGAATGGGTGTAAGTGGGTGTGACAGGCTCCACTGGTGAGAAGTCCATGGTGTTGGTGATGTTGGAGTGAGTGAGTTGAGGTGTGACAGGAGAGATATCGATGGTCTGAACTCCTGATTCGGTGAGCTGAGGAGCGACGGGAGTGATAGGAGCGACATCTATGGTCTGTACTCCAGATGAAATGAGGGCCGGGATAATAGGCGAAATGGGAGCGACATCTATGGTCTGAACTCCAGAAGAAGTGAGCTGAGATACAACGGGAGTGACATCTATGGTCTGAACTCCAGAGGAAGTGAGCTGAGGAACAAGTGGAGCGATCTCGATGGTCTGAACTCCAGAGGAAGTGAGGGCCGGGATGATAGGCGAAATGGGAGCGACATCTATGGTCTGAACTCCGGAAGAAGTGAGCTGAGGTGTAATCGGAGCGACATCAATGGTCTGAACTCCAGAAGAAGTGAGAGTCGGGACAGCGGGAGCAATAGGAGCGACATCTACGGTCTGAACTCCAGAGTATGTGAGCTGAGGTGTGACAGGAGAGATCTCGATGGTCTGGACTCCTGATTCGGTGAGGAGGGATGCGATGGGAGCGACTTCTATGGTCTGAACTCCGGAAGAAGTGAGATGAGGTGCGACGGGAATGACTTCGACTGTCTGGACGTCTGATGAAGTGATGGTAGGAATGGCAGAAGCGACAGGAGCGACATCAATGGCCTGGACTCCAGAAGAGGTGAGGTTGGGAGTGATGGGAGAGACACCTATGGCCTGGACTCCGGAAGAGGTGAGTTGAGGCTGTTCGGGTTCGGTAGAGACGATGGTTTGGATGTCGGAGATAGCAACAAAGTCTTGGTCGGCTTCACTGTTGTTGTCGTCGGCGACGATACCCTCGAAATCTCCGTCATAGTCAGCCATGTCGAGCTCGTCTTGAAGTGACTCCGCTACTGGATCGATGATGGGATCGGCGGTGGGTCCGGCTTTCTCCTCGACTTTCTCTTCTTGTTGAGCCTTCAGTCTCGAGACCTCCGCGAGTGACTTCTGGAGAAAATCTTCAAGGTGGACGATGCGTTCGTCCTTGACCTTGGTCTCGTGGTTGCGGTCGTTGAGTTCTTTGTGGGCGACCCTTATGTCCTCTTCGAGCTCGCGCCGCTCGCGATGGAGCTCCTCGATGCGCTCCTTGTCTTCCATGGCCTCATGAATGGCCGCCTCTTTCTCGTCGATCTCGGCCTCAGCGCTCTCGAGCTTCAACTCCAGCTCCTTGATCACCAGGTCCTTCTCGTCCTCGCGCCTGTTGGCGGCCTGTCGCTCGGTGGTCTCGAGCTCGCGGTCCGCGTATGCGACTTGGAGGTGGTCGGTGATGTCCTTGTTGGTCGCGTTGGCAGTCGCGAGCTCATCTCTGTTCTCTTGGAGCTGCCTGCGCAGCGAGTCGATCTCCTTCACCTGTGTCTTGATCTGGCCGTCGCGCGCGACCACGTCTGCGTCGCGAGAGGAGCTCGTCGTCTTGAGCTCGGAGACCTCGCGCCGGGAGTCTTGTAGCTGCTTCAGCAGCTCGTCTCGCTCCTGCTGGAGCTGCACCATCCTGTCGTAGTCATCTGGGTCCATTTTGGCGGACCCAGGCGCAGATGCTGGTGCGGGTGCGTGTGCAGGTGCAGACGCAGACGTGGACGCGGCTTGCCTCCTCGTCTTTGGGACGGCAAACTTTCGGTGAGGATGTGCGGACGCGGCCGCAAGAGAGGCGAAGGAGGGAGTGGTGGTGGAGGGGAAGGGAGCGGGGGATGGAGATGGAGATGGAGAAGAGGAAGGGGAGTTGGCGGCAGCAGCGGTGGTGGGTGTGGTGGTGGTGGTGATGGTGGAGGAGGAGGAGGTGGTTGCTGCTGGTGGTGTTGTTGTTGCTGCTGCTGCTGCTGCTGCCGCCGCTTCGGCCTTCCTCTTCTCGGCAACCGCCGCCACCGCCTTTGGATGGCCCTTTCCATTTGCAGCTGCCACGTCCATGGGCAGACCAGCTGGGAATGCGGTCTGGAGGATCGCGACGAGGCGGCCACACTCCTGTGTGGCTTTCGCACACTCCTGTGTGGCCTTCGCGAGCTCCTTTCGCGCCTTCACCAGCTCGCCAGCCATGGACGCTGCGTGCTGCTTGTACTTGTCCAACTCTGAGGCGGTGGACGGCGCCGACGAAGCAGAAGGTCCCGCCATCTTGATGGCGGTTGGTGATTGGTTGGTTGGCCGATCGGCCGGTGCTGATTGGTTGGTTGGTTGCGGTGGTGGTGGCCTCCGCAATTCTGGTGTCGACAGCTTGAGAGGGAAAAAGAGAAGAAAGAAACCTCAAGAACTGAACGAGGAGGGAGGCTTATATACCAGCACAAAGGCTATTGTTGCCAGGCAACAATAACAGCACGAGGGCAGGCGCGGCGTCGCGTTGGGTGTTTACAGAATCACCTTGAAACCACGCGGCGGCGCAACAATAACAACAATAACAGCGGTCAGCTTCACTTGCAAGAGAGAATTCTCTCTCACTTGGTCGGGGGGCTGGGAGAATAGCGGCGATCGGGAACAATAGGAACGGCACGAAAAGACAGCGCTCAATTGGGACGAGTGACTATTGCTCGCTGCGAGGGTGAGTGTCAGTGAGTGATTTTGAGTGATAAATGGATTTCTGAAGCTATTCAGCTTGAGTTCGTAATTGTAATATAGTGTGATGATAGATCTATATAGTGGCTTCAACGATCGAGAGAGGATCATTCGGATTATATCCAACAACCCGAAGGTAGCCCTAGCATGTTATCACTGATGAGAAGGTTGAATTGGAAAGACCCTATCTAGTCTGCGAGGCCTGCAGTTATAGTCATACAATCAAAGAAGTTCTACAGCAAGCATATACCATATTCTAACTTGAATTCTGATGTATCAACTACCAAACAAAATAAGGGTTGCAGTCCTTTCCCCCTGACGCAGCACCAACAGTGCAGCAAAACTGGAGTGCCCACAAGACTTCACGACACGCAAGCACATAAACGCCAATCTCACTGTAAATCATCCCCATCAAAGGCTCAGAAACGGCTTCAAATCCTTCATCCACATCGCCGTACAACATCTCGAAGGCATCCAGCGCACCTCCAACAACACCAATTCCGCGATCCAGAAACTATCACAGAGCCTTACTCCGTTCCTACATGAAGATATGCATCGCCTCAACATCGTTCTTACTCATACCTTTGCAGACCACTATGGTTGGTACAATCGTGTTCCTAAAGGTATTACACCTCTAAGTAAAGGCGGCGACGAGGAACCTCAAGAGTTGGAGAATGAGGATGAGGAAACTCGAGATCGTTATGGTTCCAATGTTGAAAAAGAGATATCCCTATTCATCCATGATCACCTCGACACTATCATCAAAGGTTCTGTTAAGGTAGAGTTCTTCCTTGAGAAGCTCGGCGAGATTCTCCAAATTCAGCGCCAGCAGTTCAAGGATGGTAGTTATCACGGACTTTGGGTTCAACGTTGCAGTTTTCCAGAGGGTCTTGATGAAGAAGTATCCACGCGTACCATATGTTCTGTACGGAAGCTGGTCTACAGGCTCAAAGAGACAGTAGTTCCTTAACTGGTTCAAGGATGCAAGAGATGAAAACCAGGCGCCTAATCCAGAGGACGGAATGCAACCGTTCTTGAATGAAATGAGTCCAGTTGTGTTATTTAGCACGGCAAGGACACTAGGGGCGGGAATTAACCTCCAGCGAGCCAACTATTTGATTATGATGGAGCCGTTAATCGATAGTCATCTCTTGTCACAATGTGTTAAGAGGGTTCATCGGATTGGCTCTACTGAACCTGTACACATCCATACTCTCACTGTGGATGGGGTGATAGCAGAGCAGCATCTCCAGAGTCAAGTGAGGTTGGAAATCCAAGCTTGACCCGAGTCGCAATGACCAACTGGGAAAATAAGAAGGACTAAAGTTCTTAATACACAATGTTTGGTGTTCAAAGGACCAAATTTAGCATAACTACATATCTATATTGTTATGTGACAGTCAACGTACAAAACATTACAAACGAGACGGGCCGTCAGGCTCAAGCAACCTCCTCCGGGAACAAAGCGAACAGAAAAGGAAACTCCATCGACTGAACAGGAAAGCCCGAAAATCTCTCAAACTGGAGGAAGAGAAACAAAATGCGGCTGCATTGTCCGATGCCGCCCAGGATGTATTAGATTCTTTTCGGGTACCTATCGGAGATTCGAATAACACGACGGTGCTCACCAATTCCTGATATCCCATCCCTGAAGCACAGAGGTTGGCTTATCGTTGGCATCCTAGACTTTGCGATCGAGTCCTAGTCACGATGGGCCCCAACGACCAAATTCATACGATTGTGGCATTTACGCCTTGACAACATTCGGACGATAACCAGATGGGATAATCACACAAACCAAATGAGAGAACTAGAGGACGTCGCTATATACCGGTCTCAAATTGCAACCCTGATATCTCGCCATTTTTCCGCGGAAGCTGTCGAATTCGACAACAATGAAGTCCATGTGCTATGCATGGCCAATCCGCATATCAGGAGCTTCTGGAAGTCGTTCAGTGGCCCAACACTGAATTGATTTACTGGATGAGAAGCGATTGCCTCCTGGATCAAATTATATGCCAATTACTTATATTGAGCGCAGTATATGTAGATTTGGCTAGTATTGGAGTATAACAGCACAGGATCATAAGGATCACCTCAAAACACCAAGTGGCCCTCCCGAATTGATCTGTTCGTTTCCTCCCGGTGAGCTATCCACGTTGGGATGCAAATAGGATCCTACGACACGCAGCGACATCCATTCTGACTCCACCTCCGCAAACCGCATTGTCCATCACTTTTCTCACCTCGAAGGATGTTACCGGGTGGGCAAACCGTGTCAAGCAAACCATCTCGAGTGTCGCATCGCATCGCGTCACGTTACATCAAGTTACGTCACGCCTCGTCGAATACCAAATCGACCAGAGTAGCCCCCTTCCCCCCCGTCCCGAGTCCCGACTTCAACATCATATGGGAGGACGTCGGAAGAACGGGAGCGCCAAGGCAAGCGTGGCCCGAGCCTTCGCTTCCGAGCTACGAGTAGAGAGAGGCAGAGAAAAGTACATAAATAGGCAATAATGTATACATTGTACATCATATAGCTGTGAGTGCTATCGCGCGTACATGGTGCGTGCCGTATGATGGATCCGAGGAGGGGGGAGGTTCGAGAAGCTGAGCAGATGTTACGTTGGTACTATGCAAAAGGGCGGTAGCGAGGCTGGATAAGGTGCAATTTGGACGACGACAATGTAGACACGGGGCTATGATACCGTGACCAGGAGGTACATTAGGTACTATGTATACCTCGTCCGCGCTGGAGCAATGGAACGTACTGGGTCGGGGTGCCATTATTGGATTGATTTACTGAAACTATATTGAGATAAGTCGCTTGCGAGGGTTATACTCAGTCGTCATTGGACGTGGATATCAATAGGCAGATCGGTTGGACATTTCTCGGATCAGACCGTAAAGCAGGTGATGAGTGGGACGGACTGGGGTATTACGACGGAAGCGTGGGAGGAGATGACATGATGGCGTGGGGATCAGGGCAGTCAACAGCTGGTACCTGTTCTGTTGGAGATGGCAGAATAGTAAAATGTTGATGGCAAAATTTTCTTTCATATTGGGTTGAAAGATCTAGATTGGCGTGATTCACATTGGGCATCAAGCGCCTCATGGGGGAACGGAAGTGGGATGGGCCATGCGAACTTCGCAACAGCAGCGCAAAAGAATGCGCGCTGTAGCATCCATCCGTCGTACCATCGGTCGTCTCTGAGGCGGCTCACCATGATTCGCAGGTTGAAGACTAATCATTCTGATTCCGTTCCATTTGCGCTCGCGCAAGCTATGCATTAAAAACTTGGCCATCCAGTCATCAAAACATCCTCTTCGTGTGGCTGTCATACGCAACAAATGATGTATACATGCGAAGAAATACTGTGGAAAAATAGATCCGGAAAGCCCTAATGCAACCGTGAAGAGAAGGGGCGTTACTAGAAAAAGACGAAATAATCGCGACATGTGGACGAATTTTGAAGAAGGAAAAGAAAAGGCTCGTTGGGAAATTTTCCACGTAGATTCTCCGAACGTATCGAACGCAGGCTGGAAAGAACTAATCCGGCGGACATCCTAGGTCAGAAGGGACGCTGTCAATGGCTAGATCCAGTATGTGGTGTTGCTGTATCTCATGGTAGAGTCTGGTGGGATCCGGTGCCCCGTGGAAACTACCAGGAATGGGGATGGGTGACGGTGGCCGTAGAAGTGAGCTTTGCTCGATCTCTGAGCTCGCCGATATCTACCACCGCAATTGCAGGTTTGCGCTACAAGTGTCCTAGTGGTAGTAACAACAGCGGAAGGGCTGATCCGGGAACACATTAGAGGCAGATGTGAGGATGAATCGCTCCTGGACTGAAACAAAAGAAATGGAAACAAAAAGAAAAGACTCGTAAAGGTTCCGAACCGGCTTAGTATGGCGTACTCCTCTCCAGCTGGCAATAAAAGGAAATAACGATCTATCCGGTTTCTTTTCGAAACGATGATGACATGTGGACATGTTCAGGGAACTGGCCAATACACGCAACGCCAGGGCTCAAACTCCGGACGCAGGCTCATGAAAAAGGGGGTATCTCCGGACGCACAGGGTGACGGGGTGAATAGGACGGCAGTACCTGGTGGTCATGGGAACTCTACGATCGACATATTTGGGTTGAGGGGTTAAGATGCGAAAGGACAGATTACTGTCGTCGTTGGCCAGGTATTCCTCCCGCTGGTATCGGATATTCTGGATTGCGGCCCGAGTTAGATGATTCTACAGCCTGGCAAGGACACAGGTACTCACCTTTGCCATCCGATGCTAGGTACCATCCGGGTCGCACAGTGCGGCTAGAAGGGGCTTAGCGATATACCAAAAAGTCGTCGGCGAAGTAACCAAAATACCTGCTTGGAGGCGGTGGCGCCTGTTGGGTTTGTGGGCTGTAGCTGTATTGTGGTTGTGAGTATCCTGGGTGGGCCTGCTGGGTGCTATATCCGGGATGTTCTGATCGGCCAGGTTGTTGGGGATATCCTGTACTGTACTGTGGGATGGATTGTGTAGTCCTGGGCTCGCTGCTGTAACCAGGCTGGACCGGGCTGTATCCTTGAGGTTGGGAAGTGGTGTTGTAACTCTGCTGGGGATTTGAATGTGTGTAGTTGGGGGACTGATCGTATCCGCTGCGGGACTGAGTCTGTTGCTGCTGGCGTCCGCCATATGGATCGTCACCAGTGGGGCCGTAGTACTGGCGGGACTGGTGTATTGTCGAGTCCCGATAGGCAGCCAACTGATCTTGCTGTCCTGCAGAAAAGTCAGGGTGTCTCGACTTGCCTTCTCGCACAAGAGGACTACCTCTGCGACCGATCTGTTCTTGCTCTCTTTCCCACCTCTGGGTGTCAAGCTTCAGATCATTGATCATTTCCTGTTGCGATCGCGTTAGTCTTCGCTGCTGCCGAAGAGTCCTGGAAAGAAAAACATACCGAAGTAAGCGTACGATAGGCCGTGACCCAATAACCTGGCCTGCCCTGCGAAACGGTTAGAGACACGATGTCAAAGACGCCAGCGGGCGAGCGGAGATGCAAACCTCGTTCTCTCCTGGCTTGACGAGGGCATCGGGCCCTAGGTAGCGCTGGATATCGGCTTGGATGACGACTCTGGTGATGCCCTCGCCAGGGACCCACCAGTTATTCAGTCGTGGTCGCGCCATGATATGATAAAGGTGAGGAGTACTAGTAGTGAGGTGACGGGAAGAGGTAAAGAAAGGCAGCACTGATGTCAATGCCGGGAGAAGAGGCCAAGGAATACCTGAAGGAACAAGGCGAGAGGGACGGCAGGCTGAAGATAGATAACGGACGGCAGTGGACCAGGGATCAGGCAGTAGACCGTGGGCGTGCGGTCACAGTCAGGGTGTTAGGGGACAGGATCTAAAGCAGACTGCAGCGTTATCAGGTGGAAAAGAGAGAGGGAGAGTAGAGGAGAGGAGAGAGTGTGAGAGAGATCCAGATGGAAAGGCAGGCAGGACAGGGAAGTTGCGGGGTGGACCAATATACCGGCACTTGATGGGTGGCCTGTGACAGAGCTGGAGACAGATGGGCTTGCAATGGGCGGCGTGATGTGCAGATGCAACAGGCGGCGTCCAGATTGGGAATAAGAGGTGGCCGACGACTGGGACAAGGGTAGGCCGAAGATGATCCAGGGTAGTCCAAGAGGTTAAGGTTGGTTACCTGAGTTTCCGTACGGTCTGTGGCAGAGGAGAGTCTCTGGAGAGTACGGGAGTACGGAGTACTGGAGTAGATTGGAGAGTGGAAAAAAAAGACGAAAAGAGTGGGCAGAAGTCTTTCTTTTAAGGCTAGCCCCTTCAAGGGATTTGCGTGTGTGAGTGTGAGTGTGAAGAGTTTGAGTGTCTGTGAGTATGTAATTGTACCGGTGGTAGGAGGTACAAGAGTGATACTTTGACGGTGGCTTTGCCCGACAGGTATGTATGTATGTAGTATGTACACACAGCCTGGTAGTCTTGTCAATTCAAGAGTATAGAGTATGAGGTATGTAGATGATGGTGGTGGTGGTGTTTTGGAGTATGTGCTGTGGTATGCGTGCACGGAAAAAGATGCAGAAACCGTCCCAAGTGGAAACGGACGGTACGGGCGACGGGAGGAATACCTCGGAGGACGATGAGAGAGGGATAGATAGATAGAGAGGGAGGGAGGAAGAGTGTGTGTATGAATTTGAGAGTGACTGGGTGAGGGGCAGGGGGATGATGGAGGGAGGGAGGGGTGGACCAGGAGAATGCGGCTCTTTCGGGTTGGCGATAGAGAGATGACTGCAGTAGAGAGTAGATAATGGTGGAGCGGATGGCGAGAGAATTAGATGAGGTTGAAGCGAGAGAAGTGGGATGGTGTGTGAGGTAGAGTGAGTAGAGTAGAGTAGAGTAGGAGGTGAGGTGGTAGAAAGAGGGAAGAAGAAGGAGAAATTGAAGAGAACGGGAGAGTAGTTAGTCACAAGAATAGAGAGGGAGAGAAGAGAAGAGAGGCAAGAGGTAAGGAATGAATGGAGGGGTCGTTGTTGGAGGCAGTCACGTAGGTAGTGTAGTCACGTAGGTAGTGTAGTGTAGTGTAGTCAGGTATTAGTTAGTTAGGTAGGAACGTACTAGGGGACAGAAGGTGGTGGAACGGGCTGGGCTGCAGTGCAGGTTGCAGCTGGTGCAGGCGTGCAGGCGTGCAGCTGTGCAGGAAGCAGGAAGGTGGGGTGGGAAAGAACAGGGCAGGGGGGGAAGGTGCGGCCAAAACACTGGAGGGGATGATTGATCATTGGCTGAGGAGGATTGGGGACAAGACAGGCAACAACGGACGGGGCGCTGCACGTCACAATCGGTCGGGCATCAGCAGCAATAACTGCATGGACAAAACACAAACAGGGTCTGGTCTGCCTGGCCTGCTTCTGGTTCTGGTCTGGTCATGCTAACTATCGAGGAATTAAATCAAAAGAAGGAAATAGAAAAAGAAAAAAAGAACAAATGAACGACGTAATAGTGAACAGATGTAGATTCCAGACCCTGACTGACTGATGGTAGATGAAGATGCAGTTGCTGAATGCTGATGCTGATGTCGATGCTCAATGCTCAATGCTCAATAATGCCGATGGGTTGGTTTCACACCGAGAGGAGCCCTGAGTCCTGACCGTAACACCGTAACGTTGGGAAGGCTGAGGCGGATGATCCTTTTTTCGTCTTCTTCCTTTTCCCTTCCTCTGCTTCTTCCCTCGTGTCGACTTGACCAACGAAGGATGGACAAGTAGTAAAGTAGTGGAGAGGGGTGGATTAATCGAACGGAAGGAGTAGGAGAGATTCAGTAGTAGAGTGGAGTTAGAGTGGGGTGGAAGCGGCCGAGGAACGATTCGCCCTCCATTAGGTTTCCGTAGCCTTGATGGGCAAAGACGAGGCGAAAAAGAAGGAGAGGAATAGTTACGTGTAGGAAAACAGACACATTGGTAGGTAATTAGAATAATTGCAATAATTACATAGATAGTTACTCGTAGATAGATGTTGTGCAATAGCTATGGGGGGGAGAATGAAAATGCTAGTAGAAGCAGTTCACCCGACGCTGGCCGATTCTACCTAGGTGCATCTTAACACCCCAACATATAAACTCATAACTATGTAGTTGGAAAGCATAACATGTTTCTACTTAATTTCATATATTGTCCTTCCCTTTCTCCCTACATTTTTATGCATTGTCTTCTTCAATAATTAAATACCTACCTAAAGGACGGTGTAATATTACAGCACATGAAGCGGACAATAAATGGGCAGTGGATAGTGTGCAGTGGTGGCCAGCGAGAGCGGATGTGGTCTAGCATGAATGGGTACTGAGTCTCCTGATTGGCTGGAAGACTGTATGCGAGTATACGTGGATGCGTTTATGCGTGCGAAAAGAGTGGACAAGTGGGCAAACGGCATTCTGGGATTATTATTTCACCATCTTGCATCCACCATCTGGCATAACATTAGCATAGCATCATCTGGCATCATCCAGTCAGACTCCAACAGTTAGCTGAGTGCAGTGGGTATCAACAGAACTGAACAGAGCAGAGAGTATGGAGGAGTGGCGGCGTGAGATTTTGCCATGTTCACATCCACCAAGAAATCAACACACCCCACCTGTCCACTCTCAGTCCACACTCCGGCCCATTAATCAATTGTGCCCGTCCTTTTCGCGTCGCTGGGAAGAGTATTGAGGCGACCGTCATTCATCTATGTAGATACATACTGTAGGTACCTACTCGGCGTCGTTCCATTAATTATTACTCAACAATCGAGAGTTTGGGTATCACCGCGCCCAGCCCAGGCTCAGGGCTGGTTGGACACGAACGTGCGTGCGCCTGGGGAAGCAAAGCGTATCGCGGTCATGGTATCAGGTCTGGTCCGCACAGCACGGCCGTATGGTTTGCTTTTCTAGTGGACGGGATGCAATAATTAGTGGGGATATAAGAGAAAATACAATAGAGACCAGAGTCGAGAGGTGATGACGATGACGATAGGGTAGGAAGAGAAGGCTGCCCGGTCAGGTTGTCGTCAGGCTGTCAGGCTGGCACCAATGTCCAAGGAAGGCCACCTAGGTTAGGTCTGTGAGTACATGTAAAGATTTAAGCGTAGGTCAGGTAGTAAGAGTGTACTTTAGTCATTACTACATTACTGTATGAAGGTACTGTGTAGACTGTAGTACTCCGTAGATACTGCAAGAGTGTGCGTGCGCGTGTGCGTGTGTGCGGTGTTCCAGTGGCGTTGGGCATCAATGCAAAGGAAGAAAAAAAACCATCGCCAGTCAGTCTTATTCTTACACAGTTTAAGGTACAAGACGGGTAAGGTACGAGGATGGTCTACAACTACCCAGGTAACTAACTGCCTCAAGCCTCACACAACTACGTCGTACCGACACTAAAACAGTACGGATGCCCAGTGTCCAGCAGCCTCGACTTGCCCTGTCCATGTCCTTGTCTTCTGTTCATTATCATCATCGTTCTATGGCTGGCCCATGTCTACCCAACTCATACCCGCTAACCACTCCAGTACTCCGGACACTAGGCGAGACAACAAAGCCTATCAAGACTGAGAGCCAGTACCAGTACTGTTCCACTACGTCTCGTCGCCTCTCATCTTCTGGATACCGTGAACGAATATCTATTCCCTTCCCGTCCATGGTGGAGGAATTCACGACTCAGAAAACCACTCAGCGTCTCGGGAATAAATAATATTATTTTTAATAGATAATATCGAGCAAAAAAGCAAAATAATCGCAGACCGTCTTCTCGTCCAGGGTTCAAGCCACATACGCCACGGCCTCCTACATCATCTATCGGCCTTTGACGACGAATCCTCCAGAACCTCACGCGAATGATACTCCGTCATCTTTCCCGACCGATGCTCATACAATATAATAATAAGCAGACCACCATACCCATCATCCTTGTCAACCCATCCCTCGGGTCATACCTGATATGAGCGTTTGAGGTATCACCAGGAACTCACCCACCTCTCTCCTGTGTAAACAGTTGTATCTAACAACCAGTAACTACGGTTGGTCATGTGTCACAATTGTGAACCCCCCTTCCAAGATGTCACCATCCCCAGCATTCCCATCCCCACTTGTGACTTGCCATCGCACAACCGCAAAACATATCGATGCGTTCTCTCTCAATTGGCAACTTGCCCATGTATGTACACAGTATGTACACAGTAGATGTACCTTTGATACATTGATGCCTCGGCCATGTTGAACTTCTCCTCTCCCTGTTCCTCACACCGATTCCCGGGTTCGCAAGCGCCCGTCATGCACGTCCGCGGAGCATTTTGGCGATGCCGGGAACGCCCTTCCATCACTACACGCAGTCACGCACCCTCATCCTCCTCACTCTCACACTTGGGCACAACTGCATGCTGCCCGTCAAAGATCGATCCCCAGGAGAACGCCCTTTCGGACATGCCAGGTCGCTATAAGAGAAGGAATAGTAGCACTCCACTATTGGGCTGAGAAAATCCCGCCGCTTCGCATGAGCAAGCTCCATCCTCGAAGCTTCTGCAACCACTATTTGTCTTCGAATATCTGTCCATTCGATGGATACACTACGGATGCCATCCTTACCTCCTCACCCATCACATCGCATCGCATCCTCTGCATCATCGCCCATCACCATCGCCCATCGATCATGGCACCTCTTCCGCCGCACATCGTGGCTGTCGCCAATTAGTCGGGCTCCGCAATGACACTGCGTGCTCTATATTTCCCCCCCGCTCAGTCGTAGCGTATCACGGGAAACCTCAGCTGGCCATAGACGGCCCTTTGTCAGGCACCACTGAGATACGACACGTGCGATTGTGATACAAGGACGCAACTAGCCGTCTCGATGCTGCACCAAGCTGTACGAAGCTGTATTTCACACTGCATGTCGTGCAACCAGTCCAGGAAACAATTGACACAGACGGGGCGACGCACAACGTTCGTTGTAACCGACCACGTCCAAACAGAGTCCAGGACCGATATATCTCGCCTGCACCACCTCCCGTTACCTTCGTCTGGCTACACATGCAGTCCATATTAGTCTGACCTATGTCCCTTTTCGCTTCCCATCAAAAGTTTGTCCCTCTGAAAGCACTGTTGCTTCTGCTGATGCTGCAGCATGCATGCTGGCGGTGTCCTCATCCTCCGTCCCGGAGAGCATCAACCACGCAACCCATCTTTCGCTACGAGCGGTGGAAAACCCCGTCCACTCTGAGGCTCCAGACCTCGTACGCACACTAGAAATAATTTCATGGCGTCTTGTTTAATCGAAGCATTGGTAAGATGAGAGGTTGAAGTGATCGAGTAGCAGATGAGCCTCACCGCCTCTGGACGGGCAGTAAGGTATCATTTTGGGCCTTCATCCCATCGCTTGGCCGAAGGATGCCCGACTGCGCTTTTCCCAACCCTGCAGTCAACAAATAACGTCGGGAAAAAAGAGAGGGCTTCTCGAACACGACGCTCGCTTCGGGATCCATGGGACGCTTCCCGCAGATGCTCGTCGTCGTCGTCGTCGTCTTGAACGAGGCTAATCCCGATCTGGCGGCCTACTTCTTTTCCAATAATGGTCCAGCAGCCATGCAGTAAAACAACATGGAAGTATGGGGGAAATTGAACATGCTATTTCGAACTTTATTGAAACCTAACCTAACTTTCGTACAACCACAAAAGCCATTTGTCTCCAAGGAATCGTCGATAGCTCCAGAGGGCGCGGGGAAATGCCTGCACTGTAACGATATGTTGTGTTTTACAACAGGGACATCGGCGCGACCAATATGTCGATCATCAGGCCACACATACATACCCTCACAACTCCAAGAGTGAAACCCGCAAGCTCTTTTTTAGGTGGACATTCCACTAGAAACAGAGAGAAAGACTCTTGACTCTTGAATCTCTTGACATGACGTTCATTTCCACGGGGGCAAACGGTATCTCGTTTAGGCCACCTCTCCCCATACTAACATGCCTCTCAGGCCTCACTCAATCCGCCGTTCGGCATCCTCCTCTACGCCGAAGCTCTGCCGCAGTGCATCCGCCATCACTGAATCGCGACGCCTGATCCTCACCTCACACGCATCGGATGCAGTCTTCCCCATACATTGGGTCACCCCCAAACACCAAACACCGTGACCGACCGACATGCCGTCCCAGACGTTGCTGTAAAACCCAACCAAACATGACGCACGTTAACGGACCGAACCGCACCCTAATCGGTCCTTTCCTGGTCCCGTCCTGTGCCCTGGCAACGACAATCATCATCTTCTTTCGCAACCGGAAATGTGTCCTAGAACACACGGTTCGATATCCGCATTGAGTTAACCTTTCATTTCTCTCTCTCTTTCTCTCCCAGCATTGACAGAAATTCCCCTGCCCCCGGGATTCCCGTGTGTTGCTTTCCCGCGTTGGGCTGCTCCACCTTCTTGCTTACGCAGTGCGTCGTCGATCAGTGAAATGTAGGTCTTGAGGCGTCCCTTCAATTTCGTCCAGATGCTTCATGCTTATTGAGGTTGGGATGATGGATGGAGCGGAGGTACGGCGTGGGTTTTCATGATTGCGACGACGTTGTCGGGTGTATGGGCGATTGATGATTTGCGAATTACAGAAGGCAACGATCCTGTGTTCTGCTTCTTACAACTACTTTGTAGTTACGGTTAATTGAATAGAAAATAATATAAAATGAAAGTTGTGTACTTTTTCTACGTCGATTCACTCTTATAAGATTCGGATTGTTTTGTAACATATGTTCAAGTACTACTTTCGTGTAGCATTTGTAGATATGCTGTTGAGTGTTTCATGAAATTGCTAGACGTCTGTTGTTGATATTTGGATCGATGACGACATTATTCTTCTCTGCTGAGAACGTTGAACATTGAAAAAAAAAACCATGACAAGATGAAATATGAACAAAATCCAATTCCCCATACATGTAATCGCGTTTCAACTATAAACATTTGTAATGTATCTTGAGGTTCGTGGACTCATAGGGACGGGTACCAAAGTAGATTTCTGAGCCCCCGGTTTTGGTGAGGTGAATGGAAGGGCATGACGCGCAGGCACGGGACCGCGGGTTCTCGCGTTCTCTCGACCTCCCCTCCTACCCCAAACCCTTGTCAAACATTCATCTCAAAACATCGATACATTTTGACTTCATATTTTGTTCCCACAAACTACCCATGACATCCACGACACCCACCATGACATGACCGTCCCACGATGTCCTGCCCCCAACCACAACCACCACCCTTCGACGCCTCCCCCCTCTCCCTAACCTCCCCGCGGCGCCTCCCCAAATCCCGCTACACCTACAAACACCTCTCCCAACTCCGCACCTTCAGCGTCACGACCCCCCTCCGCACAATCGCCCACGTCGACCTCGACGCCTTCTACGCGCAATGCGAAACCGTGCGCCTCGGCCTCCCGCCCACCACCCCCCTCGCCGTCCAACAATGGCAAGGCCTCATCGCAATCAACTACGCCGCGCGCGCGTTCGGCCTCTCCCGGCACATCACCGCCACCGAGGCGCTCAAACTGTGTCCGGAGCTACACCTCCAACACGTCGCGACGTGGCGGGAGGGCGACGCGCAGTGGGAGTACCACGACGACGCGGCGCGCAACATCGCGACGCACAAGGTCAGCTTGGATCCGTACCGTCGGGCGTCGAGGGGGATTCTGAAGTGCATCCGCGATGCGCTGCCTGAGGGGGCGCAGAGGGTCGAGAAGGCGAGTATTGATGAGGTGTTTTTGGATTTGAGTGCGCAGGTGCATGGGGTGCTGATGGAGAGGTTTCCGGAGCTGCGGGGCCCGCCGCCGTATGATGATTTGAGTGAGTACCTGCCGAAGGTGCCGACGACGGTGCTGGATTGGGGGGAGGATGCGCTGGTTGGGACGGGGAGGGAGGACGGGGAGGATGGGGATCCGGATTGGGATGATGTTTGCTTGATGGTTGCGTCGGAGATTGTGAGGAACGTGAGGAGGAGGGTCAGGGAGGAGTTGGGGTATACGTGCTCGGGGGGTGTGGCGAGGAATAAGATGTTGGCGAAGTTGGGGTCGGGGTACAAGAAGCCGAATCAGCAGACGGTCATTCGGAATAGGGCGGTGGAGCATTTCTTGGGGGAAATGAAGTTCACGAAGATCAGGATGCTGGGCGGGAAGTTGGGAGACGAGGTCGTGGCTATGTTTGGGACAGACTCGGTCACGGAGTTGTTAAAGCAGCCTCTCGAGCAATTGAAGAGGTTGGGGGACGATACTGGGACGTGGCTATATTCTACTATCAGGGGCGAGGATAACAGCGAAGTGAACCCGAGGACACAAATCAAGAGCATGCTTTCAGCCAAATCCTTCCGACCGGCCATCAATTCGTTTGAACAAGGCGTGCGGTGGCTGCGCATCTTCGTTGCCGATATATACTCGCGATGTGTGGAAGAAGGCGTGTTGGAGAACAGACGGAGGCCAAAGACGCTCAATCTGCACCACCGGCAAGGGGCGCAGACGAGGAGTAGGCAGGGTCCCATTCCACAAGGCAAACCTTTCACAGAGGAATTGCTGTTCGATATTGCAAAGAATCTTTTGGCACAGGTAGTCGTGGACGGGCGGGCCTGGCCATGCGCAAACTTGTCACTGAGCGCTGGCGGTTTCGAGGATGGAGTCACAAACACGAAAGGGATAGGAAGCTTCCTCGTCAGAGGCGCAGAAGCGAAAGCAATGTTCTCAGCGGCACGTCCCGCGTCAGACTCGGGCCCTGTACCCCCTCCAGCAAAGAGGAGGAAGAAAGGTAACATCGCAAATTTTTTTGGTCCACGAGATGAGAAGAAACGGGATTTCGACGCCGCTCGGGCTGTGCTGAAGGCTCACCGCGAGTCGACAAGAGAGAGTAGTGATTCTGAGGACGATCATATGCCAGAGGAAAGCGATGATCTTGAATCATTTCAAACCGGCGATGTTGATTCCCCTTTCGAACGTCCATCGACCCCAGATCGTCAAGATAGTACGGATTCATTGCATAGAGCTGGCACTCCTCCTTCGGCCCAGATCCCAACTCGTTCAAGACAGCATGGTGAAGAAGAGGTTGAAACAGAGCACATGCCGTCAGAGAATCACGTGCTCCGCCAACCGACCATAGAAAAGTTCTTCTGTTCCCGATGCAATGCTCACTTGCCGACGGCCGAACTGGCAGAACATGAGGACTTCCATTTCGCCATGGATCTTTCCAAAGAGATGCGCCAGGAGCAACGGAACCAATCGAACCTACTGATCGCTGGTCGCAAGTCAGGCTCAGATAAGAAGCCAACAAGGGGTAGGGGGCGGCCGCCAGGAGGTGGCAGTAGTAGTAGTAAAGGCGGTGGTGGTAATAGTAGCGACAAAGGTCAGGCGAAGTTGGCGTTTGGTAGACAAACCTAAAACATGCCCTCAATGTATGTTTCATGGCGTGTGATAGACAAAGGACGATTAGTCTCGCTAGTCGTCGAATACAATCCTGTTTGGCATTTGCTCGTTCTTTGTCTCCCTCCGCGTGGTCTCTTTATACCACTTCTGCGGGTCTCTCCATGCCCGTGGACACTGCCCTTCCTTCAAGTAATGCCTCTCCTCACAGCGCCAGCACTTATGTGGCCTGCGTTTGCCTTTCTTGACAATCGCAGTAGAAACCCGACCCTTCTTCCCCGAAGACCACCCACACGGCTTGATGTCATCCTCAAACCACCACGTCCTACCCGCTTCCACTTCGTCCCTTTTCACCTCCTCTCTCTCCCTCTCCCAAATTTTCTTCACAACCTGCACATCCATCCTCAAAAGCGGCGCAACACAACTCAGCACTCCACACCACTCCTTAACACACCACTCAAACTCACCCCATACCACCGTCTCAACAAGCACCTTCTGCCTCAACTCCGTCGGCAACCCAAGTAAACTCGCCTTCCGCACCTCCCCCATTAGCCCAACCTTGTACTCCGGCTCCCGCAGCCACGGCATGATCGGCGTACTCTTCTCCCGCGCCGCGCGGTCGCGCCGCCGCACACTCTTCTTCAGGCGGCGGACATCCCTCGGTTTGGTGTCGATACGCCCGAACTGTGCCTTTACGGCTTTTTTGGCTTCGGCGCGGTTTTTGCGGTGGCGAGCATTGGCGCGGCTTTTGGCGCTCATGGTTGGTGATGCTGAAGTGAACTTGACTTTGTGTTGATGTGGGTTGGGGGCGTTGGTCGTGAGTCCGGCGGCGTAGGGGGGATTGGCTTGTCCGTTTCTTGTCGTGAGTGAAGTGTCTTTCTTTCTTCAATCAGTGATAGCTCTCCAGGTAAACAGTTAGATTAGGTAGACAGATGATGTTGGTTATGAGGCTTCAGCGGCGCAACTCCGTTGTTGAGGCGAGTGAAGGCGCAACTTTCGCACCGTGTTACTTGGCATCTTGGGAGGATCCAAATTGCTGTTTCGTTGTGACATACCTTTTCTTTGATTTCGATACCGACATGTTCTTCTTTCTTCTCAAAGTCGATGGTTTGTGGTGATGAGGGTGCGTTTGTTCTAGAAAGAAAGAAGAGCCACGCATCTTTGATGGATGGTTCCTGCGATGACCCGATTAGGAAATCGAAAGCACGGGCCAGGCGATTGGTTTTGGAACGCCATGCCTAAATTGGAGTAGTGGAGATTTTCGTCGTGACAGATCAAACATTGCGCACAACTATGGACGACTGGAATAATGGGCAACATGGAGGATTTCATGGAGCGAAGAGCGCGTCAAAGGGAAAGGACAGGCATGGAGAGAATTACCTGCGCGACGTTAGTTGTGGGCCCATCTCCATGCGCTCCTGTCGCTCATAATCAATGTCGTGAAAGGGAATTAAGATTTATCTTCTCAAGTACGAATTAGATTTCGGGCTTTTGTAGATCGGCAACAAAGATTTTTGTAATACTGTTTTAATGCACGGCGATCAGCCGGGAAGACGGATGGTTGTGCAGTTGTGTAGTGAAGATCCCGGGCCTAAATCCAACGACAAGGCTATTGTTACTGAGCATTGGTGAAACCACTACCATCGGTAATGGAAAACATCATCGGTGTTGGTTGGGTAAAAAGCGCCGTAGACAATCCATTAAGCGCTCTCGGGCTTCTTCTCGAAATATCTTTCTTGGGTTTTGTGTTTCATGTGTCCTGGCGGTTAATGTTGTGTAAACATCTGCTGGGGGAAGATTTAGGGAGTGACTAAAAAGTGAGACATGCATGTTGTGGAGATTGCGAAAAAAATTCCGCCCCGAAGGATCATCAGACCATATTGAGATCTCACAAAACAAATTTCACGAATGCACGAAGAGAATGTAAGCTGAGAAGATGATAAAATGATTGTTCCAAATGAGTGACTTTTTCATTTTCGAAATGAATGTTGACAAAGGGAACTCCTATTGAGCCTTTGTGTTTGTTTGTCGCATCAGGCGCTGCAGGCTCTGAAGCGGGTATAGAGATATATATACAAAGAAGCATTGAATCATAAAAGGCTTTCTATAAACAGATTCGTAAAGACGGTCGTAAAGATTGGTAGCACAATGGCCATAAATGATGGACGAAGAAGTTACTGAGCGGCGCTGAGCTTGCCAGTGCCGTAGTTGATGTCCTCGACGGTCATGCCGGAGAGAGGGTTCTGAGCACCCAACATGTGAGGGCAAGAAGGCTGGTTGCTGACGTTGAGATCGAGCTCGCAGACCTCGTTGAATCCCATAGTGCAAGCAGAGTTCTGGATGTTGTAGAGAGCAGAGTTCTTGCCAACCCAGGAGTCGGCGCCGCAGCCAACGTAGAAGCCGATGGAGTTGGCAGCCATCAAGGGAAGCTTGCCATCGGGAGTCTTGATGAGGTCGGCGCAGTCGCTCATGTCGGCAGGGGTAACCTCAGCAGGGATACCGCCGCCCATGGTAGGGTTCGAGGTGGCAGACTCGCCAGAGTTGAGCATGTTCCAGGCATCATAAGAGATGTCGTGGGCACCACCAGACTGATCGATCTGGAGGAGGAAGAGCTCAGCCTTATCGGTCTTGACCTTGATGCAAAGGCTGTCGCAGCTAGGGAAGCTGGGGAAGTAGGCGACACGGTTGGTGTCGATGTGGCAGCCCAAGACTCCGACAGAGGAAGAGAACTTGTCGTGGGGAGTGATGGAGACGCCAGTGGCAGCGGCAACAGAGGCCAAGGTAAGAGCGGTGGCGATGGAAGAGAACATTTTGGCTGTGTAGAGAATGATCGAAAGATATCAAATCTTCTTTAAATTGTTCGAATTCGAAGGAACGTGGTGGTTGTTGAAAAGATTGTTTGTGTTCTTGATAGACACTGAAGGAAGGTATGAATCTTGACAAAGATTCTGAAAGATATGACAATAAGTCAAAGAGTGACAAAAGATGATCAGAGAAAGACCTGCTGAAGTGATTGATGAAGTTCGATAATGGACGAGGAAGTGGATCAATTTATATTCAATGTTCTGGGGCTTGGAAGGCGCCGTCTCACTCAGTGTTCATTTCCGAAGCCTGGTTCCGCCGCCCTACTCGGGACCTGCACCAAGTGCCTCGTGGGGAAGAGCGGCAAGTCTCCCGGCCAGATGCGCCAACCCGACCTAGAGGGAAAAAATCATCTCTAATTCTCCAATTTTCTCCAGTTTTTCCGAATTAGAGCCACTTGGATGAGAGATTTTATCTATTTGGCGCAGATTTGTTGGGTTTACTTCCCCATCCATTATCCACTCTTCATGTCTAGGCGTCTTTGAAGGTTGAAAGCCGTCTGGGGGATGCGTTGTCTGCATTGTCTCCAATGACCAAGCGCCACATGAGTGTCCTCCACCAGGCTGAAAGGTTTCAATTTCCCAAAGGCAGCAACATCTCAAAGAGGTACAGCTTGATGCAGGACGTAGTTGTCTCAAGTCTCCAGGTACCGCTCGCGTGGGTGCAAGAAAGCCACGACATGGCGCATCTGGTACCTGGCGGGCGTGTGAGATCGGCGTGAAACGGCCATGGCATTGGCTGGGGTCAAGTGGGCCTGCGTCGATCTGACGTCGAATGAAACGGCACGACAATGGGAGGCGTTGTGGGCGTTTCCATGGATTGGAAGCTTGACTTCGGGCCGCGCGTGATAACAGCCAGTAGCTGCCGCCCTATCGATAGCAGCGCAAAGAGCTTACGACTTAGTGAGGAGTGCGGTGGACACTAGGCGTGAATGATTTTTACAGGAACCAGAGATCGGCAGCACAACGGTTGAAAGGAAAAGGATGGTGGTTGTCTGGCTAGATCATGATGGAGGGTTGACTTTGTCTTTGGACACTAAGCCTGTTGTGGCAATCGCCGGTGAACTGCCGGCTTATCGATATGACAGCAATCGATTCGGGGTTTCCGTTCTACCTTCCACTGCCAACTACACACTACACAGCAAAGACTTTCTTCCGCAACTCTCCCCGAACCCTTCCATCGCCTCCCTTCCCATTATTATTCATGCTCATCTAGTCATGAGAAGAATTTGACAATGGCCGATGCGCTCCGCCTTCCTGAGAAGACTCTTGCTCATCAAGTTTGCAAACCAAGTCTGGTTCCGCATCGCATAACAGAACTTCTGGTGTACCGTTGAGCAAACTCTGGTTTCCAGCGCGTGGCCATGCGATGACACTCCCATCATCGTCACTGCACACGTGTGGTGCTTGGTACCTCGTGTGCTGTGCCTGCCAAGATTACCGCAAGCATGGCATGGAACCGTGTGGCAGGTTGTCGACACGTCTACATCCGTTCCTTTACAATAGTCTCTTTCTGGTAGCATGCTGGTGGCACTCCCGATCCTCGCTGTGCAGTATGTGACATACCGACCTTTTCAATTGGCTATATCTCATTAGTAGCCTGGTCGGCGATCTATGACAACAACTCTACAGTCATTGCACTACTTCCAAATCCAGAGGCCTTGCGGAAGGATAGGCTGGCCAGGCCTGAGATCTGCCATCGATGCATCGCATACCGAGCATGCAGCGAACATCACGGCGTGCTCTACAGCGATTTACCAGGTGTTCGCTAGTTGGTGCTGCCCTCCGTCATCCCACACGTGTCTTGTGGCCGTAGAATCATCACGGTTGCCTGGACATCCAGTCAATTGTGGTACGCCTCAAGGACCGGTTCCATGTTTTGACGCTGCTTGGTCTGCTTCTCAGTAATCGCCTCTAAGTGCCTCTTAATTGTCATGGCCCCTTTCCTTCCTCCTTCTGGAATGTATCACCGAATCATGACTGATCCTGCGACACATTCCCTGAAGAAGTACTCCGTCGGTGCGCAAATACTCAAATAGCAATGTTTCGATGCTCGACATCTAGATTTGCCTCTCGCTCAAGAATGGTCCATCAACTCAAATATGCTGGAGCCTAGACACAGAGCTACAGGTGATATTTATGACTTATGAATGACTTTAGATATTGTAATCGCATATCCATCGCAGAAAGTCTTGATGGTAAGGAATGCCGATGTCGCCATCGGAGGTTCTACAATTTTCTGGAAGCCGCCATAGTTCCCAGGGTGCCAGGAAACCATTCCGAGTGGCCGGTCCTCGACACTAGTTCTTCTTTTCTTCTAGCGCCCGGTTTTGACAGTTCTCCGGTACAATTCGACTCGTGCTTCTCGAAACGACCACTGCCGATACTTCTCGAAGGTCGATAAGGGGGCAGTGCAATGGTGTACTAGCGGAATTAAACCTCAGTACCTTTTCTAGTCGGGATTCTGGGGCGGAAAATCCCCCACATGACTGGCAGACCCCTTGTTCAGGTACTCTCTTTTCGTAGTCTTCACTAGGGTGCCATAAACAGCCATCAATTCTCGTCTGCTACGAGTAACAGCTCCGAGCTGAATAACGGTACCTTCAAGTTGAGTACGCGGCGCGTGAGTGCTTCCAATCTCCTGAATGGAACTGGGACTTGTCACATTCCTAATGAGGCAAAACTTGGAAATTCCAAGAAGTGTCTCTGGTTGACAATCGGAGCATCTTGGTTCGGTTGGAGACGGTAAAAGTTCTTCAGACTTTTCGAATTTTATTGCCACAGCAGTTACTGCTGCGTCGATTTTGCTCGTATGAGTTGTTTCCAGCGGGATGATGTCTATCGCCATGGTTGAGACCGATGAAATTGCCATTGCCACAAACAAGTGCAGTGCCACTGGCAGTTCTCGTACGATGTACCTAGCCAGCTTTAATTCCAACGCAAGTTTCTCGGTGCGCGAAGCGATTTGTTCAACACAGTTTCCCCATATCTTGACCCACCAAAGCTTGGATCACCGGGACGTTGAAGTGATCTCCAACTTTCTCCACGATCGCCGCACTCCAGACGTTCGCCCGAAGCTCTACAAGTTGCCTATCTTGTTTGACAGGCCGGTATCGTCCCCCGCCACGGCCTCGGTAGTATTGCGGTGGCTAAAACTATGGTTACACCTCGTATTCCGCCGAACTGATAGAGTTTGTGGGGGCCTGGACTCCGGGACGCGTCTGCATGGAACAGTTCGGAATTTGGAAGGATTGCCTTCAGAATGCGACATTTCCGTTCTACCATGTCAAACGATCATCGCTCAAAGATTTCCTCGGATGCGTTACGTCCAATTTTCGTAAGGTAGATGTGATGTGGCCGCCGGTCAATATGCTTTAGTTCGAGGAGACCACCATGTGACTACCTTGACATGGACGTTCAGCAGACTAGGCGCCTGTCCCTGTCGCGATAGTTCGGTGGAGCAAATTTGTGGGCATTGAGCTTGAGCATTAAGCTTGGTATGATTCTAAAGAAAATTTCCCCATGCTCCCATTGAGGAGAGGGTTTGCTTGATTATAATAGTGTTAAAGTCCCCGCACAAAGTCTTCTACCTAAAAGATCTATTCACGTGATATCTGATTGCACGATGCACGAAAGACGAGGGCCATACATTGCCTTCACGAGGATATTTCGATTATCTCGCAGAGTGGAATATACCAATATTTCAACGTCTATTTGATCTGGTCCTGCCAGCTACTATACCACAAAAGCAAAAGGCTTGTTAAAACAATCCTCCCACTCTTTCTGCTCCGACTTCCAGAACCTCCTCATTGCAGCCCTCGCCAATAACGGAGCGGAAGTGCCAGTGTATCTGCTGACCTCTCCGAGTCGCTCATCCACCCAACCTTGCGTCACGACTCCACGATCGGCTGCCTCCACGCCAGCCACCACCAACGGCCACGCGATGAAGTACTTTGTCCGTGGATTTTCCACCGCCTGCGATATCAAGCCATATATGCTGTCCCCATATGATGCGCGCATAGCCTGGAGCTGGGGTGTCGGGTGTAGGAGGGAGTGCTGTTGAAGTGAACTAATACAGTACAGTATCACCGCCGCTTGCCACAGCGATCCGAGGATCGTGAACTCTTCATGAAATCCGTCTCGCTCCTTGGCCCATTTCACCGGCGAGAAGGAATCGACACGCATCAATAATTCCAGTGCTACCAGTTGGCCACTTGTGGTGCTTGTTGCGCCGGCCGCGACTTGCGCTCGCAGGTGGTTGATGCAGACGACATCTTGGAAGAGAGGGCCTGGACAGAGACAGTATGAAAATAGATCGTCGTACATCTCGTCCAGTAACTTGAGAAGTTCCAGATGCGGCGCAATCTCCATATGATCGTCTGCTGGGCTGGTCGCATTGGCAAAAACGCCGATCCTACGAGAGTTGTTAGACCATGAGACTACAAAGAATGGGGGAGCCTGCGAAGAAATACTTACATGATGAACATCAGAATAGCCGATCGAGCATGTGGAGACTCGTGCCAACACGTCGTTATGCCACCCCGCAGCTGGATTAGTCGCGACATTCCATCGATGTGGTATCGCCAGTTCAGCGAAGCGCATTGTTGAAGCTTTGTAACTGAAGTTAGTCTTTGCTCGGAACATCGCTCGTTCTTTGGCTGCACTACATACCTCGCCACATAAGAAGACAAGAATGCTCGCTATGGTTGTATCTAGGAGGATCTTCTGCTTGCGACTTTCGATCTTTTTGGTCAACTCACAGCGATTGATTATATCGCTAAGGTTTCGAATGGCCAATCCTCGATGGTGGTATACCTTCGACCATACTTCCGCATGCGGCAGCTCATTACAGTGCATGCGATACCCAAGGGCGAAGCCTACTAACGTATGATTGATGGCCAGAGGCAGATGATGCAAGGCCGACAAAGGGAATTGGATAACATGCGGGCTAGGCGCCATTTGGAAGACTTCCAACATATGTGGGAAAAGTCTGTCATTATCTGCGATGACAAGTTAGCTATCTCCAAAAATACAAGGCAACGAGTAGGTCGGGTTGGCAACATACAAAACTTTACAGCGTCCACGACTTCGGAGGTGACATCTCTGAATTTGTTACGCGGCACAAACTCGATATCTGCGCAAAGAAATCCCATGTCGGTAACATATTGGATGGCTTCGCTGACTTTGCCCTTGAGCAACAGCGATTCCACCTTCGCACTACTCTTCGTTCCACGGTAGACAAGCGTCGTACCCGCGCCAGGCGGCGGCTCCTTCAGTATTTCTTCATCGTCTCTAGGGTTCTTCTTCTTCCCGCCCGGTACCTTCTTTCCCGGTTCGATTGGAATCTTTCGTTTCGTCCGTGTCTTAGAGGTCACCCTGCCGGGCTCCAGCCATTTCAAAGGCTTCTTTTCATCGTACCCGGGGCACTCCATCCCCGCATTCTGGCATTTTTTACACGCTGGGAGCCCAAAGTCGCAGACAATGCGTCTCTTGAAACACGCCCAACATTGCCGTCTCTGATTCGTTGGCTTATCTGACATTGTTTTGGAAAAGCTCTTCTAATTAATCGTTCACAGTCTAGGGTGAATATACCAAGAAAAAGAACGTAAAGGGACAAAAGCGCGTTCTTATGAATATAAAATGGATACGGGGTTGCCGAAATGGGCGAATTGCGCAGTCCGCAGCCGCTCGGACGGGGTCCCTTGATCGCTGTATAATCAGTTGTGCTTCCCGACGATATGGGGGCGGTGTCGAGGCAGTGAGCCTTGGCCGGTTGAACGAGCTAAACCTATTGGACAACTGGACTGCGAGGTAAAATCACATAAGATGAAAGCAAACACATCGCGCATCGATCTTGATAGAGATACTACACCTAGTTAAGAACAATGCAGCTGAACAATGCGATCTCTGGACAGCTGGATATTCCACCATTGTAAGCCTTAAGGGCCTTGCCAACATCATCTATGCCAGGTCGTCTCACACCTCAATCTGCTCCTTTGCGACAAAATAGTAGAAGCCACAGACGCAGGATGACGCCATGGCCGAATAGTGACCACTGCCAGTACGCGGTCGCTGGCCTAGCGCCAGATTTTATGGGCCGGAAAACTACTAAAGACGGCTCTATGCCCCGAGAATCACAAAAGACGACAGCAGATAGCGTGTTAGGGCTGTGAAGGATTCAAGTTGTTGAAATAAGATTTCAGGAACTTCGTGATACATGCTCTATCTGATCGCCAAATACACTCCGATATCCATCGGATCCCATAAGACTCATGATTACAAAGACTATTCGCTAATACAAACGCCACAGAGATGTTGATACATGAGAAAAACAATAAGAAAAAAAGCAAGAATACAAGGTGCAGAGGGTATTTTGAGAATCCATCCCGCCACACCCCGCAGTGGAGACTGTATCACCCGAACCAAGCTAACAGAAAAAGAGCAACACCAGTCGCGATGCTCACTCACACCATCTCATTATGCTGCTGCAGGTGCTGACGCTCCTTGTGAACAAGCGGCTCCGACCCGTCATTCTCCTCCCAGAATGGCCTCTGCTCGGTCTTCTTCGGCTTCCAGAACCAACCAAAAGGATCGCAGAAGGTGACGAGCCAAGGCCTATCCTCCTTCCAGCCAGGTCCCAAGAGCTCAGTCTTTCCGTCTTGGGCGAGGTAAACATTGTATTTCTCGGGTAGGTACAGGCGGGGATGGGCGCCATTCCAGAGCACGATGGCGGAAAGCATCAGCGCCGCCTCGAAGGTGTAGAAGTACCATTCCCAACGGACGATAGGGCTTAGGTCCATGGGGTCGAAGTCTTCGTCCCGTTTCGTGGGCGCGCTGGAGATCGAGAAGTGCTCGACGAGACGATACACGCAGCGGATGAAAATCAGCGCCATGCTGGTATACAGAGTGATCATGGGGATCTGGACGGCCTTGACTTTAGAGACGCCGGCTCGTGCGCAGCGGCGCCAGAAGATTGCACCGATGACACAGAAGAGCCCAATGACGATGCATTGTAGGAAGAGGGATGCCTTCATGAGGATGTGACCGATGTCGATGATGCTTTGCTTCGCGTCCGGGCGCGAGATCCAAGCGACGCCAACACCGTTGAGGATCTCGACAAAGAATGACAGAGCACCGAAGGTTGTAAGGACTCGGCCGGGGTGGAGTGGTGCGCAGTATGGGATGTAGTACATGATTCGTCCGAGGATGTGGTAGTTCGCGAGTTCGAGCAACGGTGGCGCACACAGGATCAGGATCTGGCTTGCGACGTAGACATCGATGTTATCGTAGTGGTATGATCCATAGACACGGCAAGCGAATCCTGCCGTGAACATGAGGCAACAAAAGGGATGGAGGCCGGTGACCTTGAAGGACTTGTATCGACTATGAATTATCGTTAGCAGTGCAGCTTTTGAGGAAAAGTTGAGGGTATACGAACATGCATTGGAACAAATGGATAAGGCCAGAGATGGCGAACATTGCCGTAAAAATTATAGCAGCAACATGCTTTGGAGCGTAGATGTAAACACTCCCCTCAACAGGTCTACCATCCTGACCTGAGCTCATGATGAACGTTCGTAGTAGTAAATGTGAATGATGTGGTCGTGAAAGAATGCAACTGTGTGTGCCAGTGGTGCCAATGAAACAACCAACATCCAGCCATTCTTTCGTCGTCTTATATCTGTCCCTACCACTGAATGGCTGGAATTTCGACATCGTCAACACTGCCATGTTCGCATATTTCCTCACTCGGTAAAGTATCAACATGAGCGGAAGCTCGTGAGTGGGCTAAACTACATTTGGAAATTTGGAAGGCCAAGACAATGCTCAGCCAGTGACGTAGTAAGCCTATACGATCGCATTCCCTCGACAATCATAGTGAGGATCGTTCAAAATTACGGAAATAACCGAAATCTGTGCAAGGCTTCTTCGTGGCTTTGGCGTTTGAGGCTTCTCGCGCCGGCCCTTATCCTGTGTTGTTGGACTTCCACTAGTTATCTTTTGCAGTGGGTTTGGCAAGGCTTTGATCCCCGAGCTTGTTCAACTTTGCTTGTTTTGGGGGGATCTGCCAGCCTTGCTGTCCCACAGGTAGAAGTACTCCACATCGCCGGTATGATTCGCTGCTATAAGAGTACTATGTTGCGAGTCAGTGATGTCAATGGCCATTTTCTAGCCATCGCGGTACCTAATTATAACCCGCGAAGGATGTACCGCATTATCCGGTGGACTGGCTAAAGTCTTTGGATCTACTTGTAGATCATTTTGGTGTCCTTTGTAAGATCTCAAAATTGATGTAGTGATCGTTTGCATTAAATTTTGGCATTGTTTTGAATAGTAGGTGCGAATACTGGCAATGCTACGTTGCTTGAGAATCGGAACAAATAGGAAGGGTTGGAATTTGGTTTGCAGAATGTAAATGACAGTTAAGTTAAATTTACACGAATTATGGCTCATGAATATACCAAAGATCAAGCTACGAAGGGAAGATCCAGGTGGGATATCTTAAAATATACACGTTCATTATGGCAGCGATCAGAGATTTTTCGTAACACCTGGGCTGATAGCCTCTAGTTTGGCACAAAGTTCGTCCCAAACCCGGTTTTGCGTTTCATAGCCCTTTCCACTCAATACAAAGTCGCTCGGCTTTTCTATACTGCAGTCGCTCAAGTATTGGCCATGAGTTTCAGCTCCGCTCGCTGCAGCATGGACGAGCGTCCTGCTTCCTTGCTCTGTCGTTCGCCCGAGAAGGAAAAGCACGATCTTGAAACCGAAACCATACTCACGCGATAGCTCCCTGTAATTATATTAGGACATGTTGAAAGCAGAAAGTGGGGTTGATTAAGGTTGCTTACGAGTGACAGAATCCTGGGTTGAGACAATTGACTGTGACAGGTATGGCCTGCGCTGCTTTGCGATCGGCTATTGCGCGTGTACATAGAACGTCCAATAGTTTCGAAACTTGGTATCGGTTGCCCATGTAGTCGCCCTTGATCTCTGTTGGCTTATTACTCAATTGCTCGAAGATCTTGCCAATGGGAGCATCGGCCTCAGGGAATCTCGCCCAGAAGTGGACTTCCGATGCGACGATTGTAAGTGTTGGCCGGACGTTGAAGCGGTTCGCCGTGTCCTTCAACTTTGGAAGAAGCCCAAGAGCAAGGAGAAATGTGGAAACAACGTTCACTGTGATGGTGGATTCGTCCTTTTCGAAAACTTCCCATTCGGTGCGGTTGACGCCGGCGTTTAGAACAGCCACATCGAGCCGGGGGAGTTCTTTCTGTGCCCGCGCAACAAATGCAAGCACTGAATCATATGTCGACATGTCGAGTTGCCAGACCTTAACAACTCCTTGTTTACCCGTGCTTTTCTCGATCTCCTCTTTAGCAGCATTGCCCTTGTCGAGCGACCGCACGGCAAGTATTACTGTCTCTGCACCTAGAGCAGTGATGTGGCGGGCTGCTTCTTTTCCAAGGCCAACATTGGATCCGGTTACAATGACGGTCTTTCCATCAAATGAGACGTCCGGTTTCACTGGTGTGTTGAAAAGCTGATTGTATATGAACTGTGGGATTGTCGGCATGATTGCTGATATTTTCGATTGTTCAGAGAAAATTTAGTGGATTGTGAGCTGATTATTGTTTGAAACCTGACGGTCTCGTCATGATTGATAGGTTATTATATACCATTCGCAAGATACGACAACGGCGTGAAATCAAGCCGTCAACGAGTCGGACCCTTGAGGTCGAACTCGGATCTATGACGCAAACTCCGCCTACCACTAGGCCCAGGGCATCGGGGCTCTCGCATGAAACGAAACCTACGAATCATTGGAAACTAGACCTTGTTCATATTATTTCGGATCCTGAAAATTTGTAGAAAGTAGAATGATATATTACAATGAAGAATAGAATATGCACTTTGGTGATGGTACAAAGGGAACCGTTTGGTGGGCGCTTGCTGGTTCACTCCGTCGCCCCAACCAAACATTCCCCCACCACAACTATCACACCTGTAGAACAGACTTCAACTATCCAGATTACCCGTTTCCAACGATATTGAAGATACTTGATCGTTAGCATATCTTGCTGGGCAGATCTAGGAGCCGCGGACGATTTGCAGGCGGGGCTAATCGCCGGTAAGTCCGCTCTCTCCTCTTGGCCCGAAGACATCATACTGTGTATGGTGTAGTAACTCTAGACACCGGAGAAGATGCGATGTCTCTCCTCCGGAATATGTTATAGACGGTCGAAATTTCTTCCGTTGATGTGTTAAATACATAGCGAACGCTCATGTCCTTAAAGCACAGCTCAATGTACGAGGGTTGTAGAAATAGTCTCCTCAACAAGAAACAGCTCTCGACGAAGCAGATCGTCCTTTGCTAACAGTAAAAGCACGAAATTGAGAATACTGATGGCTAGCAGCATCAGGTGTGACGCCTGGAAATTGTAGACTATCCTTAATGTACTATTACTGCTTCAGAACGGTTACGCGCATGTGAACACAAAATCTTCATCCATAGGCTCTCGCTTCTCCCTGTTGAGTAGAACTTGGACATGGCTGGGCAACGCGTGGTACCGGAAGCACCCGCTCCGCAAGACGATTCTCGTCTTTCCAATCGAGGATAGTCATCTGCCTTCCGTTTGGCATCAACCACCAACGTTATTGAAATGGAGCTGATAGTTGACCATACATAAGTCGCGGTGGTCTTCTCCGAATGCAATCCAACTATCCAAGTCTCACGACGACCCATGTCGAAATTTCGTATCGGAAATTGACCCCTACGCGCTGGCGAAGTGGCGCTCTCCTGCATCAACTGAAGGTTGGCCAGCCACTCAACTTCGAATTATGTGATTGTCCACTACCCTTTAGACTTTCTACACGGGCCGTCGATCGCGGGATGAGTGCGCCAACTGCTGCATTATCGTAAGCCATCCTTCTACACAGTACATGAACATGTAGACTAGCACGCTTTGTATAAGCGCTATTCGATTATAGGCAGCTACGCAAACAGCCTAAAGGATAAAGATGTCGCGTGAAACACGTAAATTCGAATGCTGCTTGCCAATTCTTGGAATGAGATATTGAAGGCTTGCATTTGCACGCACACAGCATGACAATTGCATTGAGTAACGCTGTGGTTAAGGGGAAGGGGCTATCCGGCCAGCCGAACGCTATCTCAAGAGGAGGTCGGTTAACGACGTCAAGTTCTAGTTGTTTCGCAAATACACCAATACAAACCTGGATCGCTTAAAAGATTTAACAAAAGAAAAAGGCATTATGTCTTCGAGTGTTATAGCAGACGCATCGCTTTGGGGTATAACGAGTAAATATATGATCAAAAAGGTGCGAACGATTCAGCGCTATTTTTGGCATTGCTCGACCCGTACCGCTGGGCGACCACCAACCCGGTGCGCTATATCACACCAAAAGCTTAAATCTCAGCCTGAGAGCACTTCACCCACGCAGAACGCAACACCTGACTAGGCGATACGGGTTTTCTCTCGTGTTATACTTCTCACTTCTAGCGTGGGCCACTTGGCGCATGAACGTCCTGTAGGCGATGAGAAAGATTTTCTATCATGACATGTGAATCCAACTCAGAGCGGTAATTCCACCAAGAATGAACCTTTCAGCCTCTTCAGTCCTGCAGTATAAGAAATGAAATGATCGGAATGAAACATACCAGGCGAGAACACGATTGGTCGAAGAAGTTAGGCCCCCGTGACGAAGTAGTCAGGTCCGCTTACGCGAGGCGCACTTCAGGACCCGAGATGCGTTTACTGAGATAGGGCATCGAGTGGAGTACGGAGTGGGCTATGGAGTAAGCTATAGGGGCCTCTCAAGTCAGTCACTTGGCGGCAATACTTTATAAAAGCAAAGGTATGATTTTGAGTCAGTGATGATTGTGTTCAAGCACGACCAGCACCTTCTCTACACTTCTATACACATTCATTATGGTTTTCTTACGATATACTTTCGTTTCCTTTCTATTAATCGACACTATCATTGGTGCATATTTTCCTATTAATCGACAAGGTTGGACAGCAACCGCAGACAGTTTCCAAGATGGAAATGAACCGTCAAAAGCTATTGATGGCAATGCGAATACATTCTGGCATTCTCGATATAACCCAGACGATCCCTTGCCAAATTCCATCACCATCGACATGAAACAAAGCTTTTCAGTCAATGGCGTGAGCTATCAGCCGCGTCAAGACGGCAGTGGCAATGGCCGCATTGGACAGCACAGAATTGAGCTGAGCGCAGACGGCCAAAGCTGGGGTCAGCCAGTGGCCATTGGAACATACGTCAACGACGCGACAACAAAACGAACCACGTTCATCGCGAGAAGTGCACGCTACGTACGGATCACTGCTTTGAGTGAGGCCCAAGGCGCGAATAATCCATGGACATCGGCGGCGGAGATCAATGTTTTCACAGAGGCAAACTATAGAAGTCGCTCCGGCTGGAGTGTTTCCGCGGACAGTGCAGAGAGTGCCTCTGCTAGCAATCCAGTATCGGCAGCAACGGATGGAGATGCTGCAACAATTTGGCATACACAGTGGAGTAATCCAACTGCAGCCTTGCCTCATTGGTTTCGAATTGATCAGGGCCAGGCTGTGGATGTTGCTGGTTTGAGCTATCTACCACGAGGTGACGGAGGAAATGGCCGCATTGGTCAATACACAGTCGAGTCAAGTACCAACGGGCAGACATGGACGCAAGTTGCTTCCGGGACATGGCCAGATAATGGAGATGAGAAGTTTGCAGTGTTTCGAACAACTGCACGATACTTCCGCTTGAACGCTTTGACAGAAGCTGGTGGACGTGGGCCATGGACAAGCGCTGCTGAGATCAACTTGCTTAATCCTGCCTCTGTCGCTCACGTTGATCCTGTGCCCAGCAAGGGTATCTGGCTCAACACTGTGGACATTCCGATCGTACCTGCAGCAGCAGCGAATCTTCCTAATGGCAAAGTCCTCCTCTGGAGTGCGTACAGAATCGATGACTTCGGTGGTGGTACAGGGCAGACGCAAACCGCCGTATATGATCCGACCACAGGCGAAGTCACGCAGCGTTTGGTCACAAATAATCAGCATGACATGTTCTGCCCAGGCATTTCCATGGATTTCAATGGGCGTATCGTCGTTACCGGCGGTAACGATGAACAGAAAACCACCATATATGATCCAACAAGTGACCAATGGGTTGCTGGAGCTGACATGAAAATCAGCCGAGGATATCAGTCTACCACGACCACATCCAATGGACGCGTCTTCAATATTGGTGGCTCCTGGTCTGGTGGCGAAGGAGGGAAGAATGGAGAGATCTATGATCCCTCTGCGAATCAGTGGTCACTGGTGCAGAATGCGCTGGTATCCCCAATGCTCACAAACGACAGAGCAGGTGTCTATCGATCCGATAATCACGCATGGCTATTCGGCTGGAAGGGCCAATCGGTTTTCCAGGCCGGCCCGTCCAAAGCGATGAATTGGTACACCACTACCGGTACCGGCGGCGTACAGGGTGCAGGCCTGCGATCTACTTCCCAAGACGCAATGAACGGCAACGCTGTCATGTACGATGCCGTTGCTGGCAGAATTCTCACAGTAGGAGGAGCCCAGCATTACCAAGCGGCCCAAGCCACTGCCGATGCGTACAACATCACAATTGGAAATCCCGGCACAACCCCTCAAGTTGCGAAAACGGCATCGATGTCATTTGCCCGAGGATTCGCCAATGCTGTTGTACTTCCCGATGGTACTACGTTTGTCGCCGGTGGGCAGTCCTGGGTGGAGCCTTTCACTGACACAACAGCTGCGCTGGTCCCCGAACTCTGGAATCCTGCTACTGGAGCCTGGACTCAGCTGAACCCGATGGCTATCCCAAGAACGTACCATTCTATCGCCCTTCTACTCCCTGATGCCACCGTTCTTGTGGGTGGAGGCGGTCTTTGCGGAGGTTGCGGCACGAATCACTGGGATGCAGAGACATTTGTTCCGCCTTATCTATTGAATGCTGATGGCTCACGCAAAGCTCGACCTGTCATTCAAACCGTAGCACAAACCGTGAGATTGGGTGCGTCACTTGCAATTACGACAGGGGGTCAGGTCAGAAGCTTCTCACTTGTCCGCTTAGGAACGGCAACGCATACCGTCAACACTGACCAGCGCCGTGTTCCATTAACGCCTTCAGGCAGCGGTACTTCTTATACGGTAACTATACCAAGTGATGCGGGTGTTGCGCTACCTGGGTACTGGTTCTTGTTCGCGATTGATAACAATGGCACGCCTAGCATTGCAAAGACGATCAAAGTCACCACTTAATGTAATGATTTAATAGATAATAAGGGAGTTCCGAGATAAATCAATATCATTGCGCGTATTTGCATAAGTTGACTTGCTGAAACTAATCATCTTCGCCAATTTTGATGTGAGGCTGCAATATTTTGGTTTATCATCCGAGTATCCGAACGCAACGAACTCTTTGCCTATAATGTACATTTGAATCGTGGGTCTTGTATCGAAAATTCGTAGCAACCTTGTCTTGGTGACCCAGGTGCCCGACCCTCATATTTCTTTTTGGGAATGAGTTCTATGAGGAGGAGTGCTGGTAGCTTGATCTCTATTGGCTTGAGCCAATGCATAACCAACATCGTGGCACCGTTGCCTAATTCGGTAATTTGTTCGCCAAAGTTTTGGAGTCTGCGATTCTAGGCAAACAGGATGTCGATCCGCTGGAACATTTTACAACACATTGTTCTAACCTTAGACTGGGGCCTGAAAACATGGTGTTTTTCTTAGTTATCTGCTCGGCGCGCTGTACACTTTGCCCGGACTGATGCTCTGTTCGTGTTTGGTGTTGCTCAACTGGGACAGGTGAACCACTCCAAGTTTCAGCCACACCTACCCGTAGTTTCGGGGACTATGCCACAATTGCCCGCGCAAATGATACTGGACGATGGAATTCGAGCATGGCTGGATATGAGGCCACTTGCGGACTGAGTAAAATGATAGGAAGCATTGTAACTGGCGACCGATGGGCCTCGAGACTGCAATTGCGCGCGTAAATATGCAGGGTGAATTGAACCTGGCTCACCACGTTTTGTCCAAGGGAATACAAGAGAAAACTTGCATATAACCCATTGATCAGATTTGGTATAACAAAGGGAAACGCCTCTATAATCCGGAGGGTTGGCGTGCTGCTCATTTCCAACTCAGCGTTGAACGCTGTATGCTCCTCCTATGCACTATGTCTTTTCCATCCACTGCCTTTTCTCTCGGACCATCGCGTTGTAATATTCTCATTCTATTCTTACTGGTCACGACTGTTCGATCGTTTTGCTTTACACCCGATGGAGGTCTGTCGTCGGATTTGCCGTGTGATAGTAGGGTAGGAGTGAACACCACTTGCTGCGCAAAAGGGTTTTCCTGCACCGAAGTCAATCTTTGCCTGGATCCAGCAAATGTAAGTTTAGACAATATGAATGCGTCATACTTTCAAATACCTTAAACTGACTTCTCAGATCGGGGACGACGGATTGGCAAAGAATGGCATGTACACACGAGGCACTTGTTCAGACGAATCATGGACGTCGGATGCTTGTGCTCCAATATGTACCACAGGTTGGTGATTTCCCATGCAGCAAATACGAATGCATCGTTCAATTTATTATGTGTAGAAAGGCGTGGCTAACAAGCTCGATTTAGGACAACCTGACAGTGGAGAACGAGTAGTCCGTTGCGGTGATGGTTCTTACTGCTGTGACAATGATGCTCCCAACTGTTGCAAGGATTCCACAGTACGCAAGTTCGACATTGGAGATCCTAAGATATACACACGGATAGGCGAAGTCGGTGGACCGAATTCTCTGAAGCAGGAATCAAGATTGCCGTCTTCCACTTTGGGAATTCTTCCAGCGGAGACCCTCAAATCGTCATCACCTTATTCGGAGACGACATCTCCATCCAATGCCACGGCAGTGCAACAACAACGCGATAACAGTGCTACTCTGATCGGAGTAAGCGTGGGAGTGCCGTTGGGTCTTCTCCTTGTTGCTGCTGTAGCAGGTGGAATATGGTGGATGCGGAGGATGCGGAACGATTTCGCCGAAAGAGAAGAGGCAATGAAGGCCGACATGCGAGCAGAAGTCTACAAGGTTTCCGAGTTGCATTCCATGACCTCTAGTGTCCATGAATTGGATCCTGGTAAACATCTGCCAGCTAGGAAAAGTCAAACGACCGCAGAGATGCCTTGAAGGACATACATAGACTTTGAAAGAAATAGGGTTTTAAAGACGTAATAGGACGAGGTTTGCGAGCCGAGAGAGCAGACCATGTACATGAATATATTCTATCTCAAAAACCATACACTACATCGACAAAGGCTCCATCATGGAGACCCAGCAACCGCAATGACTCTACACGATTTCGCGACTTGGGGGGCCGGAATACCACACAGCGTAGCGTATAGGTCCGTATAGGCATAATGGAGTAATTTCCAGATTCTTGGTCGTGTTTTGGAACTTAAGGCCATTCAACTTTCTGGGGTCAATGTCCGTTTCAAATTGGGTTTCGCCATCACAGGGGCTCTGCGGTAACTCGGCAACATCAACGTTAAGCGAGCGTAGAACGACAGGCAAGTGGTTATTCGTAGAAAATCTCAACGTCAATACCCGAAAGGTTATGACTTACATAGTTTCTGTATCATAGTCATTGGTTAGGTACAATATCGCGATAAGGTGTGATTAGGTTCACTATTAAAGAAAAACCACCATGGGATTATTAAGACCATTGCCTACTTCTACGCGCTTCTCCGTTTGCGAGGGGAGAGCTACAACCCACGATAATTAGTCTTCCCCTTGCCTCAGTTGCCTGTATGATCCTCAATTAGCGTGTGTGACGTGCCGTTGACAGGCGCTAACGTTTGTCGTGGCTCTCGAAAAGGGAAATACGACATCGTCAAACTTCGAGTATAAGTATGGATTGGGTTTCCACATTACAGAAATCAACAGGCTGTGCTTGCATCTACGAACCCATTCTCTACATTCATTTCTTCTAGGGGCAGGACTCCATTTAATCTTTTTACTTTACAAAAACAAAATTCCCACCATCCAAAACCAATAAATCTCTTCGACAATATGAAGTTCAACGCTCTCATCGCGACAATCGCATCCGCTTCTGCTGTCACAGCTGCGGTACTCCCTCGCCAGAACAACGGCGGTGCCGCACAAAAGGGTGGCAACACTCTCGTTCTCTTTGAGATCGGTGGTGTCCCAGGAAACGAGTGCCTCACTTTCCGCAACAATGGTACTTGCTCCCAACCCAACTCTTAGATGACTAGTTATACTAACAGATTCATCGCAGGCGAAATCGTCGATGCTGCTTGCGTGAACGAAGCAGCAGATCGCCAGCTCACACCCGGCGACATCAACGGCACTCCAGTCCTCGTCGTGCAGCGCAGCTTCTCCGCAGGATTCAGACGGGATCTTGTCAACGCCCAAGCATGCGTTGGCTTCAACGGAACTACCTTCCTCGCGCAGGATTGCGCCAGCAATAATCTCGACCCCGTCTCTTTCACGAATGGCCAACTAGTCAGTGCCAGTGGTGCATGCCAATCTGGCCATGATGGCGCGGCTCAGCTTACAGTTGATCCCAATGGTAGGAACTGTGCTGAATTGACCAGCACGGTTGTTACGCCGACTGCTCCTTAAAGGGATGACTATGCGATTCTGCGAATATACACACTATCACAACATGTACATAATTTGGAGTAAGCTGTAAATAAGAAAAAGCCATCCATGTTTGAATTGTAGGCGTGCAAACGCTACATTCTATGAATCGGCCGGTTCTACGTGACCATATTGTGAATGCCTCAGTTGGGTGATAATTACACGGATTTGAAAAGGCCAAAAAGTCTCCGAAGGCTATATTTCGGAAACTTATTCATAAGATACACCGATCGACAGCTCATCGGGACGATATCGACATACGGAACGTCAAACAAATGCCTTGGACTTCAAAGAAGTGACCAAGCCAAGTCCGGCTGAATCATGACTATACACGGAGCAGAGAAGGGATACAGCTGAAAAATGCTTGGTTATGTTCAAGAATCCGTAAATTAAATATATTCTATAACCGCTCTATAACTGCTCGATAATGAAGAATCAAAAGAGGCCACTGAGTGGTCGCTTTACGTGCTAAGCCGCCCTATTCCTATCAATCTCCTTCTTCAGCATGAGGATACAGGTCGCAACAACCAACTCTTCGCTTATCCCCTCCTTCCCATTGATCTCCTCGCCCAAAAGCAACTCACCTCCATTGCCCGAATAGCAAGGCTTTGTACCAGGTGTCCTAGTCTTCTTATTCCTGATCAGCGCAGCCACTCGTCTTCCCTCCAGAGTCAACACCAACGCAGTGCCCTTCTTCCCATCATCGCCAAATCCCATTTCCCTCCTGTATTCCCACGTGAATGTGCGTCCGTCCGGCAGGGGAAAGGTATGCGTCCTTGAAAACCACTTCGATACTGTCTTAATCTGAGAATTCACGGTGTCGATAATGTGAATGATGGGATCGCGACCTGGTCCGAAGAAGTATTCCGTGGCAATGAGTTCTCGACCTTCTGCATCGCTCAACACGCAATTTCCTTTCCACATCTGCGGACGGACCGATTGGTAGGCGATAGTTGAGTCGGGGTTGACGATGTTGATTTGCAGTTCTGAACAGGGTCCAGGCCGTCGAAATGATCCGATGCCTTGTGCGACGATGTGGAGGGACTTGGTGGGATTGAAAATGAATTCTGATGCACCACCAAGTGTTGTGTCGCTCGTGATTGAGGCGGTTTCAGCGATGGTGAGTTCCTTCTGGTCCTTTTCGGATAAGGCGGCGTCCGTGGTCGATGACGCCCATGTTGAATCGCTGAATTTGAATGTGTTTGAGGTGCTCATGTCTATGGTTTATCGGCTTGGAATTATACGTGGGAGTGGATGATTGTTTGTTTGCAGATGAAGGGTTGAAATGGTTGTATATGCGATGGTATGGTCAGTAGGGCTGAGGACGGACTTGTCAACTCAACTTTATACAAAGGAAAGCTACTCATTATTTCCCCAAAGTGGCTCCGGTCACAAAGTCGGGAAGCTTTAGGACGAAACTATGCCAGGCTAACTCGAGGTTGACTATGGAGTCGTGGAGGCTTAGTGTGAGGCTGATGTCATAGGAGGTCCCGTATAGATCGCATTCCACCAAAACAAGCTCTAGGAACTTTCCTTGTCATGCCTCTCCAGTCTGCAGGATCGAATCTTCTGTTGGGTTAGCATCCATCTACCGTAAGTTGTTTTAGGGGGGTACTACCAATCCGCCGGCCCACGTGCTGATGGTGGTGATTGGTATTGGGATTGGTACTAGCATCGCTATCCGAAGCAAAGCCACAGTCAGTCAGCCTTGTAGAGCTGGCTGCGCCGATTCAACCGCAAGGGAAGCCTGCCTTACCCAAAGCGCTGACCGACACAAATTTACCTCATAGATAAACATAACTACTGTGTATACCCGCCACTACTTTCCTAGCCGCCATCGTGGTCCATCACATTTATTCATTGCGAAAACGATATCGATGCTGCTTCTGCGCAAGTTTGTGAAGTGTTTGCAATGGCAAACCCTAGTTATGTTGTAGTACTGAAGACACAACTGGCTAGACACGTAACTATCTAGTTGACAACAGATTATTTACACAGCAATCAATGATAGAACATAGGTTTAGAATCTCCTTCCAATGCCCGGTACCAGCCCGGTACCGTTCATCCCGCAGCCATCGACAAAGCATGCGCTGACCGTATGAATATAGCGAATCTTCCCGTCCTCAATCCTGAAAAGGTGTGAATCAGGTGTGCCCTCAGTCGGCCTTGTGCGATCAAGTCCCGTGAAGCCAAGGAAGATGTCCACCGTTCCCGTCACTTCGTCGACCACGTACCGGCGGTTTGTCAACGGGACATGCTCGGGAAGTCCACCAATGTCGCAAGTATTCGCGGATAGATTGCCTCGTCCGGTATATGCGCCTCCCTCTAGACGCGCACATGGTGTACCGAAAGGTACTTGGACCGTCACGTCGTTGCAGCGATCGGCATACGCGTCTGCGGCAGCTTTCAACTTGTCGCGCGACAACCTTTTGTCTTCGGGTATCGGATCCCACTTCTCCTGACTGTTCCAGTAGAGATAGCCAGTAGCGTTGAATGCCCAGTCGCCTTTGTCCGTCACAATGCTGTCAATCAAGCTCACGCTCCCCTCGTCGTCGATGCTCATTTGAGTGTGCACAACGTATGGATGCTCTGGGTTCGTCACAATGAACTCAGTGAATGTTCGACAGGCCCCAACGTCGAGGGTGTTGCGGACATGGTCCATGACCTGCGGGTAAGCCGGAAGTCCGGGTCCGAGTATTGATGCAGTCTTATTATTTTCCAGATACGTGAGGTTGTAAGACAGGTTGTCGAAGTCCGAATGATGCCCAGCTTGTTGCATGAACACATATTTATCCACTGTCTCTTGGAGGAATTCCCGCGTGCAATTGAATGCAGACGCTGATGATGCCAACGCGGCGAGCGCGGAAACCCTTGTTGACTTCATTATAATTGTTAAGTTCTCGCCTTGTGAGGTATTCAAAGCTCGTCGGATTGCAATGGATGAAAAAGGCTAGGGGTCTTCACTGTTTTAAAGCCAGAGCTTTTTGCCATGGAGTTGCTCGGACCATCGAACAATAATTTGAAAGAAATGAGACTGTGGACCTGGAATCTTCTTTGCATGTTGTTATGCGCAGCAATGGGACTCTCTAACCAATGGTATTCTCCAGGCTCTACATATTCATTCACAGTACATTTGAGCGTGGATACTGGCATGCGAGCTGCGTCCCAAATCGTATATATAAATAGTGTGGGGCATACTCCTATTGGCTGATCGTGCCTGGCAACACCCCACTTCATATATCCCCTGAAGAAGATCCCGGTGGAACTTGTGCATCTTCAACTTTGTAGAGACATACATGCGATGTAATACCCGGCGCAGATTGTTGGTGGTGGAGGCTCATTGGGACCCCACAGGGGGTGAAAAGCCCGCTTCGACGGCAGCGTTGTAGATTGCTGTTTACTTGGTATCGCTAGATGTATCGCACAGCAAGAACATAGGAATCAAAGCACTTTGTTGACGACCATAGTTTGCAGTCTATCGTTCCTCTCACTCGATTTATGTCTAGTATCTTTATTGACCAGAAGCTAAATATTGATATCTATGCTTGCGCTACTGATTGTTGTAACTCTTCGCTACACAGTACTAGTTCTCTCCCTGTCTACAAAACTAAGTCTCTGTGCAACACCGCTGTTATTGTTCCCAGAAATGAGCTACTTTCTAGTGATGGTAATATATAATCTTATTCAGTAGCTACAGGCCAAGCCATATGCACTAGTACTCTAATCGTGTACCTTTATGCTGATTTCCGCACTACATCTTCTCCTTCCTCATTGTTTACCTGTTAGGATGGCTTATTCGTAGAGGACCCAGCAGTCTCGATTTCCCTGATTTATGTGCCTCCGGTCCTCCTAGCAATTTCCTCCATGCCGCCACAATAGTTGTGCCTGGGGTGATTCAATGCTGTTCAACTGTTCGTTGATATTCATCAACTTCATGGGGTTGAGGCACCCCCGCGTGCGATGAACGCGATATTAGGCTTTCAGCTTCAGCAATTCGAAGCCCTATATCCGCGGGTATCATGTCGATAGCGGAGGAAATCTTCTTGAAATGATCGGGAACCCATATATCGTAGATATTCCGGACGAATTTGTATGCGAGAGATCTAGTATCTTTATTGATGATGAATTGGTCAATTGAGCATCGGTAGAATGTGGGAGTTCTGTCATTGATGACAATGTAATGGCCCCATATCCTGACGCCTTCATCATTGTGAGAGATTGAGAACCCACACACTTCTCGATGAAGGTCTTTTTCTCGACCCACCATCTCGAACAGCTGAAATAACCCTTTCAAGGCAACGGTTTGGCTATGTGTATTTTGCCGATCAGCAACGTCGAGCGAAGCTTCTTGGCCTTTTATTTCGCAGGTAAGAAATGGGAAGTACATATTGCATGTAGCAGCAAAATGGGACCAATCTTCCAACAAATTTCCAATGAATGGCTCAAGTTTTCCTCGTTGTTCCTTTGTGAATGCTCGTGGCTCGAATCCCAGCCCGTAGCATGGTCGTGGTTGTAGGTCGTGAAGAGGATATGAATTAATCCAAGCATCACAGTTGGTTTCTTTCAAAAATTCAAGGTGTTTATCGCCATCGACGGCCAAAATTTCGGCAGAAGGAACTATAAGCAGTGAGATGTCCCTAAACACCCTCATCGCGGTTTGACCCCGGATATTGCCAAGGTGCTTTTCGAACCTTTCTTCAGAGAATATAGTATTCTGAGGCGTGGATTGTGTTGACAGTTTTCGGATGGTTTCTTCGCTTGTTCGTGTAATTCATTCTTTAAAATCGGTCATAAAACTTCCGCATTGCTGGAGTAGCTTTGTATACGCATGATTTTTGTATATCGTAGGAGTCTTTACTAATCCAGTTGTAGTTTGCGAAGTGAGACTGGAATTTGAAGATTCCATAGATCTGGGCGTCGCGAGACAATGGCGGAAGGCAGCGATAGGGTCCATTGCTTGCTCTTGTTCTGCTGTTGGCCAGACACTGAAATCGACCCAGTATTCAACAGTAGCTTCCTTGAGCGATTTCGGCCTGGTCGGGAGCGTAGATGTTCTTAATCGTTTCTGAACCTGTCCAGACGTATTATCGTAGGCTTCGTCATCTTCTCGAGGTCGTCTGGATACTGTCGCCTGCGGAGCATATTCGGAGGTGCACACATTGTCTGGGCGTATTGAAAGTGACGAGGTTTTAGGTTCAACAGCGACGAGTGGATCATGCAGTACTATTTTGGGTTCTTGTACACCGACCTGATTCGTTGGTTCTTGGTCTCAAATTAGAGAGCGCACTGGTAACAATGGCACGACGACATACCTGCAATGCCCTGGTTGGACTCTAGAAGTGTCCTTCGCAGATCCAAGGGTGATGAATCACAATCCATGTTGAATTGTTGATTCCAAGATTGGGTAAATTGAATTTTGTTGCGGCCCTTGAAGAGGAAGCAGATGTTGAGATTGTGTCGAATTATACATCGGGGAAGGCGGGGCAGAATGGTAGGAGCATCAGAGGTGAATAATAAACACACAAGAGTGGTGGGCGACAAGGGGTACGTGCATCACCATAGACCGGGCCATGGAAACAATGATTGTATTGGTCAGAGTAGACTAGAAGAACGCTCATACTTCACCCAGCCTCTGCGAGCTTCACTGATTGGTTGGTCCCTGGTAACTGAGTCCGAATGGCTGGTTCCTGGAGGTTCTTGGACGGTTCTCGGGAATTAGTGGTTGTGGATTGTTGAATTTTGTCATTATCATGTCCAGCTGCTGCCTCCCTACTTTGTTGGGATGGCTATCAAATTACCTCAGATCCATCAACTGAGTTTCATGAGGGCCCATGCATAACACTCTCAGGAGGTAGGAACGAGATCCCTTTGGGTGATTACACAACGCTTTGAGCTTCCATCGTGATAACTTCAATGACACTTAATGAATATGTCGTACTCGTCAACTACATCTACTTGAATAACCTGTGAATGAACATACGCGCGAGTTACCGAAGGCGAACAGTCATCATTTAGAGAGAGTTCATAGATAATTCATTTATGACTCCGTTGTAGAGACTCCCTTTCTCCCATATTGGTGCCACCATGCCTCGTTCTATCGGCCGCTCGCAAATGATCGCTTCTGAACTACCTACAGAGCTGCGCGAGATTATATACAGCTATCTACTACAAACTGACGAAAACCCCATCTTCCCTTTCCGACTATATGTCCTTTCCATGGTAAGTAATGCAACCCGACGCGACGCTTGGTTCTACTTCCTACGGACACATGCCTCACGCCTGGGCCACCACGAAGCTCGTCGACATTACATCTACATGCTGGGATTCTTAGGAGAGCAAGGATTCGCTGCAGCGCGGCGCCTCATATTTTCGCAGTTCTCCGCCCAAGTCCCGCGTATGGTGGAGGAGAGAAATCCCAACATCGACCTCATATTGCGATGCACGGGTCTGCGCAAGGTGTGGCTACAGTGGAGCACGAGACAGTTGCTTGGTGAATGGAGGGCGCGAAGGTTCATCGATCTTGACCAGCCGCCTCCGAGGGTTGATTGCGAATTCTATACGCTTGAGGAGGTGATTCAAAGACTTCGTCTACAGTATCTGCTAGAGTCGAAGTCGCTGGAGGTCATTGTGCTGGCTTTGACACCAGCAACATGTGTGCTTCGGCCGGGAGTGGAAAAGACTATTCAGGACGCAACTGTGTTATTGCAAGAATTGAAGGTCTGGATTTGTGAAGGGTTCCGTTCTCGGGGAAGGATTGTAGAAGTTACAGAACCGTTGTTGGCAACGTGGACAGCACCGCATCCTGCGTGGGAGCAAGGGTGAGTCAATTTGTTTGGTGGAAATCGGAATCACGATGTCGCTCATTTGCATTGCTCTGTGATCTATCAACATTTACACTCGAGTCATTATTCAATGATAGTTTCCATAGTTGCCTCAAGAATTAGTATCGCCTAAAATACCACGTCTTCTAGTACCCCGGCAAGTATACACCCAGTTGAATAATCACGCCAAAAGTAAATCAGGACCAAAAGCATAGCCTACACAGTAAGAGAGAACTTTGTGAGCACAACTCCCAGTGTCTCACAAGAATGCTGCAAAATTATCAACAAGAGGAAGTTTTTCTCTCTTCGGCGGTGTGTTTATGTGCAGGGATTCTCGCCTCATATTATGGGCAGTATTGAAGCTCGCCACTTATTGGATGCCTAACATGCAATACTTAAATCTCCCCGATAGCAATGCACAATCAGAAAGAGGCCGAAAACTTCTAGCCACACGTAGCATGACCCGGATTATGAAGAACATGCTATGCAACTATTGAGGCTGCGATCGGGAACTTTTGGGTTCTTACGTCCGTAGAGATTAAAGTCTCCGCGCAAATGTACAAGTGTCCGAGAGATGTTGATCAACAAGCACACGACGACGAATATAATAACAGCTCAGCGAACATGTTTCTAGAGTACAGATTAAAGAAAATCAACCCCAAATCTAATAAACATCCATTCAATCTTTCGCAGCCATGACTCTCACGAGTTCCCCAACCACCGCTTCCAAAACCACACTTTGGATATGGCCAACTGGCCTATTCCCCCGCCGTCTCATCTACTATTTCCGCGCGAAGCAGATCTCCTCTTCCCACCTACACGCCCAAAACATCATCATGGTCCCCGTGACACTCGACATGCAAGCCGGAGCCCTCGTCTCGAAACCGGGGCACGAGCCGCGACCGGAGGGAACCTCCCTTCCCTGCCTCCGCATAGAGCGGACTGACCAAGACGACTTTTACATCCACGAGTCGGGTGCGATTCTGGAGTATTTTGAAGAGCTGTTTGGACCAGAGAAAGGGTTTGTTAATCTCAGAGGCACAACGATGGAGCAGCGTGCTAGAAGTAGAGATATACTGTCTGTGCTTGCGGACGCTACTGTGTGGGGGGTTGTGTATCAGATTCATACTGAAGAGTCGACGCTGATGTGGTCTGGGCTGAGACGCGAGCAATGGTCCGCTGATGTTGCCATGCACGCGAAAAAATTCAAATCTGGTCTTCTCGACAAGTTGGAGAGGTGGGTGGGGGAGGGCATGGCTCAGAAGGGTCGCAAGAGTCTTCGTGCAGAGGACGCGGGCGTTACCCTCGCTGACATCTCTTTGCTGACAATAGTTGAGTACATTGAGAAAACGTATGGTCAAGACTGGGTCGATGGGCACGTGCAGTTGAAAGCTTGGTGCGATATTATGAAGAAAGCAGAGTGGTTCATAGATGAGCATGGGCTCAAAGGCTTGGAAGACAATGATTTCGCGGGGCTGTTCCAGTAGGAAGCTGGCTTTGCACTGAAAGCGAAGAAGGCAAAGGGAGTCACAAAAGAACATGGAGACTGTGATGATTGATTCCGGTGTGAAATTGATTCGTATTCAAACGAGTAGTAGTAAGAGAATAAGCCCAGCAGCAGAGGCTTGCGTGAGCAAACGAACCCAACCTAATTGACTGTAACGCCTTCCGTGATGATTGTATGTACGTATCTCGAGCGGTGGACCCCTACTGCCCTCAAATTCTAACTCCAGCAACGGGGCACACAGCTCCTGCCTCAGCACCTTGTACGCTTGGGTGTGAATGAACCTTGTTCTTGTGGTGCGCGATGGTGGCCTTGGTGACTGGACATACGTCGCCTTCCTTAGCATCGGCTGTGCTTGGATGATCTGGTGGAAGAACGGTGGTAGCGGGGCCAATGACGGGGCAGACTTCGTCGTCCATGGCCTTACTCTTCGGTTGGTTGACCACTGTCTTGAGTGCAGGGCATGCTGTTGCGGTGGGAGAGGAGCCCTCGATCGGGACCGCAGGATGCTTGTGGAGGTTGTGATGATGGTCGGTGGTGGCTCCTACGACAGGGCAGGTTTGGCCATCTTTGGCAAGATCGACCTCAGGGTGATTTGGAGGGAGGACGTCGTTAGTAGTGCCAACTACGGGGCAGACGGAGGAGGACATGGTGTGTATGATTGTGTGATGTACGATTCTAGACCTGGTGAGTGTTGTAGAATGGAGGCAGATCGATATGCGATTCTCGTTGTTCGATGTCTGTGGAAGCGGATGTTGTGGATGTAGGTAGTTGAAGTGATCAATCAGCTAGTCAGTCGAACCATGAGGGGTTGTTGGATGTTTATTATCCTTTTCAAAGCCAGTCTGTCAGTCTTCCACCCCCGGATCCGGCGACGTCAGTGGATGACAATCCGTCGTCTCTCATTGGCCAACTGTCCAGCGCATTGATCAGTCACCTCAAGGGATTCCGCCAAGACGGATACGGACCAATCATGTATTCGCCTAAGGAATGCTCCTTCACCGTACGAGTGGCATCATCGAACCTCACACGACTCATCTGCATCATCTTGCTCATAATCCTAAAGCCTGCGGAGTTCCTGCAAATTTTGGACTATTCCCGTGTGACCCTACAATATTCTAAATGAGCTGTATATATTGTGGGGTAGGATTATGCTCCAGAATGGAAATGTAGGATGAATACCTACCTAGGTAGCTATTTTCAACTCTTCAGTCAGGTAAGGAGAACGAAGCAAAGTGATAACCAGTTATTGCATTGTTACTTAGGATGACCTGAATCTACCTAAGATTGGGGTTGAAGCGTTCGTGTGCTTAATGTCCATCCTTCCTTCGATTGATTGGTCATCGCCAATCATTAACCAGATTGACTACCTCATGACAAAACTCCCAACCACACGGGACACGTAAAAAGACTAATAGGAAATAAAGAGAAAAAAGAAATTGCCCTACTACCACTCACAAGATTCCAAACTATAGAAGAGAAGTGGTAGAGCACACTATGACTATTTGTTCCGTATGCGTAACCTGTGCGACCATAAGGATATCCATGGAGAGCAGGAAACATATGCTCCACACCGCATCGAATTGTCCCTCACCTAGTAATGTTGAAATTCGTATACGATTTGATGACTGCTTGCTCTTTTAGGCTTCCTGGATACCAGAACTCCTAAACGCCGTCGCTCAAAATAATCTTGAATTGCCTCTTCTCAGACGCCTTAGCATTCAGAGGACGTCAACTGGGGCTCAATACTACGAGGTAGTACTGAACCGGCAGACTCGGTGGGGCATGGGACTGGCCAAATTTGCTTCTCGCTTCCCTGCATTTGCTCGTCATGCCCTCGGAAACTAATCAAGATCTGGATATGTCGACCATTGTTCTCGAATTTCTGTCCAATCCAAGCAGCAGCTTCTAACAAGGTCTTGTGTTCAACTTCCATGTGCTTGTAAAAGTGCAACTGGGCCTTCTTCGGCCGGATAACATGGAAGGAAATGAGTTTCAGATTTTGGCAATCGAGTATGTTGCTGAAGCCATAGTGACTAATGAAAGCGTCGCGTTCCCGAGGCTTGCGGATTCTTCTGTTTGTGCTCTCTCTTTGGGTCAAACTGTCAAAATCGAATGCCAATTGGACGATCTTGAGCTTTCGGCAGCGACGCATCAGACTTGTATCCTGGTTGGGCAATTTGGTTTTCTTGGATATATAGAAGTGCGGGAACGATAAGATGCTGATGAGGTCGTAGGCATTCTCCTGTGGGGTGCTAATGGACTCCAGAAATGTCGAAAAGCATAGGACGATTTTGAGACTCCGAGACTCATCGAGCTTTAAGACGATATCATAGGTGCCTCTCAGTTTGGCTCGAGCCAATGAAGCTACGTCTTCGTCGCTGAGGAAATCGTGATCGATAAATAGCTTGGTCAAAGGCTTCTTTGATGCCTGACCGCAAAGGAATAGTGTCCTAGGACCCCAGGTACAACATGGCTCGCCACGGAAATGATGGGAGTGGGTTCCGCAGCCCGCCTCCGATCGAGACTCATCAATGCGAGTCATATCACGATAGGGTTGGATTGAATTTGGTCGCTGATCGAGTACCGAATTTGATGGTATGTTGAATCGCGAAACTGGTTGTAGGCCGAGTGCTGAACTTGATGGCTGGCCGAGTGCTGAACTTGATGGCTGGCCGAGTGCTGAACTTGATGGCTGGCCGAGTGCTGAATTTGATGGCTGGCCGAGTGCTGAACTTGATGGCTGGCTGAGTACTGAACTAAATGGGGATGGCAGGTCAAGTGTTGCAATTGGTTGCAGGTTCACTGCCGATTTGGATGGCGATGGCAGGCGAAGCGCTGCAATTGGTGGTATGTTGGGTGCCGAACCTGATGGCACGCCGAGTGTCGAACTTGATCTTGATGGCGATGGCGATGGCAGACTGACTGCCGAACTTGGTGGCAGGTTGGGTGCAGGAGTTAGTAGTAGGTTGAGTTTTAAACATGGTGCCTGCACTGAATACGGGACCGGATTGAGTATCGAATCTAGGGACATATCGGGGCTCGGCTTCGGGACTGGGTCTATTATCGAATCCAGCGACATGTTGAATTCCGACTTCAGTGTCATGTTGAATTCGGAAGGTCCCGGGTTTATGGTTTGAGCTGTTCAAATCTGAAGTATAGCCCTGGAACTGCCTTAATAAAGGGCTGAAAACCTTCGCACCGTGAGCGGGTTATGGCAACCTGCTGGTGACTGGTGTCTTGATGAGACTGAATTCGTTGCTTGGGTATTTCTGTATTAAACTTCTCGCTGTGTGATATTATGTACTGTAGTGCTGTGGTCTTATATAAAAGTCAAAGACTACTCAGACCCGTGAACTATCTCAACAGAATTTGATAGACGCAACTTTTCTTCCCAGAATTTAATAGATGCAACTTTTCTCCCCAGAATTTGATAGATGCAACTTTTCTTCCTAGAATTTGATAAATGCAACTTTTCTTCCCAGGTCCTATGAACTTCCTATGCATCAATTGGTTGACGGATCCCGAGCGATTGGTCCTACCATAGTTCTGAATCGAAGGACCATGAATCATTGCATTGGCATGATTCAATCCAATCAGTGCCTCCTCTTCCACCTTAGGGGCCATTTTCGTGGTAATGAATCTGGCCTGATGACGCCTTCTATCTCAATGATATGACAATAAAGGATCATTCAAGAGAGGCCACGTGACTGATCTCGAACTGTCACAGAGATATGAGCTATTCAAGATTTCGATGGAGTTGAATATACCATAGGGACAAATGAACATTGCTTGATTCTATGAATAGAATAAATGTACCTCATTTGAACCTGCTGATAGCAGACCTCTCTTGCAACACTGCCTTTCCAGAGGGTGCAAACGTACACATCGACGGTGTTCACCTTCCCAGGAAAGAGGACCAGGAATCATCGTAATAAACAGCTGAATGATAACTTGAGCAGATGAGAAAAATTGTCGAATAATAATCATGTAAGGATGCGCAACTCCTAGGTTGTCTCTATCTGTTAATCTGTTATTGAACTAGATACCTTTAATGAACACCGAAACCTACCTTACATTGTATCACGTCATGATTAATTGACTGCCAAACACGAAAATACAGCAAACCTTTAATAGAATATTGAAATGAAAATATATGCTTTCCATTCATCGCTTGTCCCGAAGAAAAGACGCCTGGTGATAATAGCTCGTTCAAAATTTTCACACTTTCTTCTCCGAGAACGTCGCACAGTGTCGCATATAGAAGCGTCTGTAGTAGGAAGCATTACGGGTACGACCCAAAGTGGGTGGATGGGTAGAGTAAGTACAGAGGGTAGGCACGTCGGGTGATACGCCTGCTAGTATCATGTACACTTTAACCTTAATTAGCTATAATATAGCAAAGAAGAGGCTATGAATGCATATATTATACCTTGTATCTGCTAAAAACACTAACAGGCGTATGACCCAACGTCCCTCTGTAGATACTTTTCACTATCAGTGGGCCTCTAGAGGCCAGTAGACGATGCCTCAACCTCTCTCAGCGGCCCTAATTGATCAATCTACACCATGCCTAGTGCCTATTCCTAAACACGTGGATCCCGAATAGCTTCATCTGTCCTGCTACACAATATGGACATTATCTCCTAACACACCCAATGAATATCCTTGTTTGGTAATATGGAAGCTGCTGCTTTTATTCATCTCTTCTCCGTACTATGTGGTAGGGATGCTTTTCAGGCGAGTGGATAGACTGTAGCACTTTTGTTGATTACCGATCTAGTGTTGGGAGCCTTAAAGTTCATCAGCTAGCTCAGCAGTGTCTGGGCAAGCATTGAGTTCTGACATTGTGATTTCCTTTCAAATATGTGTCATTTTCCGCCAAAGCAAACTCTTCCAATGTGAAAAGTTACGCAGATCGCGGATGTATGGCTTTGTCCAGCTATAGTATGTGACCCTATCAAGAGTGCAAAATTCATAGAGGTGTATGGGCCTAACAAATCTGGGCACCACCCGATGGCCCACTTCCAATGTGGCAAATGATATATGGATCACCGAGGAAATGTAAAACCTCACACGGGCTACTCGTTCAGCCCTGCAGCACTGTCTCTGTGCCGAACGTGCAGGCACCAGAAGCCAAATGTTAGTTGGAATGAAGCATTTTATTACTACTGGGAGAGATTTAATTTCATAAAGCATAGTACACACGGTTTACCTCCGGAGAGAGCAAGTAGATATCACCCACTAGTGTCGGAAGCCATCTATTATCATAGATAGCATGCTTGTCTCAAACGTGGGTTTGCCAATAGCCAGCCTTTAGTTCCACTTACGGAATGGCAACTCCTGTTATGTTCTGTTCAGACTCGAAGGCTTCGCTTCATTGATACAAAGGAGGGGCAATCAACAATTACGAGTTTTGGAAGATTTTTATGTGGAATTGTTTTTCACTCACGCCTCTAACCTGTGCGCCGCTGCTAGTCTACAACGTTTTCTAGGACATACATCAGACTTGGTTCAGAAACAACCCAACGTCGGTAAGACCTTAGCGATCAACCACGAGTCTTGTACAAGTAATATATCTGGGTCTCCGGGTGTTACCCGAGAACTGTCCACGAGGAAAAGCCGTGTTAGGTTAGACAAAAATGTTCGTCTCGGATAGGTAATAGTCACTGGGTCAGCCGCAAATCTTGTGGGCGATGTTCCGGAGAAACAGGAAATTATGTTAAGAAAACGGTAGCCTGGCCATCGACGATCATGGCTGGCCAGCAGAAGGACCACTGTACCATACAAGGGAAGGCTGTCACCCTCAGTTCTCGACGCATGATTATGCACCGAAATAGCGAGCGAACCTCGCGTTTTGATCACACCGAACAATCTAGTACCGCGCGCAAGGGTACGTTACAACAACTACGAAGAACTAGGTCCCCCCCCGAGGGGTATTCGCTACCATTAACAATCTGTCCAGGTCTCCCCAGAAAGGCAGACATGGAAACGGAGCTAAGCTGGTCCTAGGACCTTCTAGGGCGAATCAAGAAATTTTCGAAACATCTGACTAGCCAGCGAGAAGAGTTGCAATGCTCGCATGTAATGTGACCGAAGGTTTTCCAATTCAGGATACTGAGGTCCACTTTATCTCGCAACTAATGAGTTTGTCACCTTGCTGTCAACTTGCGGCGAAAGGTTATACGGGCCAAGCAGCTAGGGGTAATGCAGGGCGGCAGCAGGAGAACCCGACAAAGCAAGAATTGTCTATACGCTGCATACGGACTTTCCGATTCTACTATAACATTTTCCAGCACAACAAACGAGAGTCCGGGGACTTCGACGTCATGAGAATGTATTTACCTCCTTTGTGAAAATACAGTTGAGTTCCTGGCAACCAAAATGCTTAGTTTCGTACTGATGGGTGATGGAAGAGAACTGGTTCCGGTACGCGGACCAATCGCCAGTCTCGGCCACAACGCTAAGTCCCATCAAGACTTCGCCACGGCATATACGGCCAGCTTCTCCGCCCAGGCGTGGGCATACCTTGTCATGTCACGGTCTTCTTTTTGGGGTGGTGTTAATGTTGATGCCGGGGCGCGTGGGGCACGGATCCGGGGAATGGGAATTGTTCAAGACATGTTAAATTCGTGCGTGGTATAAAGTCACACCTTGAGCCACCTCCAACTGAGCTTTCGCAAGCTGCGAACAACAGTGTCCAATACCGACAAAATGGCAGTCACTGATGGAACTTCCGACCCTATCCTTACTCGTATGGTCGAGGAGGATAAGACTCCTTGGTACAAGAAGCCTAATCTGAGGCTCATGTACCTTTGGCTCTTCTTGTGCTGCATGGGCGTTGAGATGACTTCCGGATTTGATTCCCAGCTCATCAACACACTTCAATTCTCTCAGCCCTTTAATAAATGTATGTACATGTTGTCAGACTAAGTATTTCATCTCCGAGTAGAAGTGCTGACCACATCAGACTTTGGAGACGGCGTCAAGAACAAGAGTGGCGACTGGGCTATCGAGGCCGGTCTCCTTGGATTCATCTCCTCTTGCTACCAACTCGGATCTATTCTCGCTGTACCAATCACTCCCTGGTACAACCAGAAGTTCGGTAGGCGATGGTCCGTCATGACGGGCTCTCTGATCATGATCGTCGGTGCCCTTCTGCAGGGATTCGCGCAGCATGTCGCCATGTATATCATCGCCCGTATGCTTCTCGGTGTTGGAATCCTTTTCGCCATTATCTCTGGATCCTCCCTCATTGGAGAACTTGGCTACCCCAAAGAGCGTGCTGTATTGACTTCGCTCTTCAACTCATCCTACTTCATCGGAGCTATCGTCGCCGCCGGTATCTCCATCAAGACCTCTGACATCAAGGGTAACTGGGGATGGCGCATTCCTTCTTTGCTTCAAATTTGCCCTTCGTTGCTTCAGGTCTGCACGGTCTTCCTTCTTCCCGAAAGCCCTCGTTGGTTGGTCAGCCAGGACCGTGACGATGAGGCTTTCGCCGTGTTGACCAAGTACCATGCCGAGGGTGATGCTTCGTCCGCCATTGTTCAAGCTGAGATGGCCCAGATTCGAGCCACCATTAAGCTTGAAATGGAGCACTCTAAGCAGTCTTGGATGGATATGGTCCGCACCGCCGGTATGCGTCGCCGTGTGATCATCTCTGCCTTCCTTGGTCTCTTCACTCAAATGAGTGGAAACACACTGCTTTCTTACTATTCCAACCTTCTCTTTGAGATGATGGGATACAAGAGTAACTATGCAAAGACCAGAATCAATATTGCCAATCAATGCTGGGGTTTCATCAACGGCACCATCATTGCTCTCCTCGTTACCCGCTTCCGCCGTCGTTGGATGTTCATGCTTTCTTCTACTAGCATGCTTCTCGCCTTCATTGGAATGACGGTCTCATTCGAGCGCCTTCGATTCGCCAAGGACCACGATATGATCAACAAGCCAGCTGGCATTGCCGCTCTGTTTTTCTTCTTTGCCTACAGCCCTTGCTACAACATTGGTAACAACTCTCTGACCTACACCTACCTGGTCGAAATCTTCCCCTACGCCCAGCGAACTATGGGTATCGGTATCGAGCAGATTTTCGGCAAGCTCGGTGGTTTCTTCTCGGTCAACGTCAACCCTAAGGCATTGACTGCGATTGACTGGAAATTCTTCGCCATCTACTGCGGATGGATCTGCTTCGAGTTCTCCTTCCAGTTCTTCATGTACCCCGAGACCTACAACCGTACGCTCGAGGAGCTTACCTTCTTGTTCGAGGACAAGGAACTTGCCGACCAGGCCGTTGCTGCCGTCGAGAAGCAGATGGCGGACAAAGACGGACAGCTCACCGAGAAGGACAACACTGTTACAAATGTGGAGAGGGCTATCTAAAACAACACTGGCACTATAGGATTCAACCGAACACAATGTATCTATAAGGGTATAGACAAAGATACTTTGATAGTTGTATATAATTAATCAAGCATACCCTCATAAAATCATCACTCGCTTTCCGTATCGTGTTTCCTGTGCGTGACATGAGATCTGTGTGCACTATGAGAATCTAACATGGACGTAGAAACAAGATACGCCGCGGATTGGTGGCGTTTTTTTCGAAGGATTCGCCAAAGGTGCTTGCCGAACTTGGCTCTAGTAGAAAAGCCTTGGTGATCTTGGAAGGATCTGCATTCAGCAAGGAGGCGTTACATCCAGTTCTCGCTTTGTAATTGTAACGCAAGACACAAGTGTGAACCTGCAAGCCACTGAGTTGCATACATCGTTGCTCTTGCCAGCTAGGGTTTGTAGGTACCTAATAAAGTTATTCTCCGTACATTCGCGGCCATACATCGAGAACTGCCCAACCCCCTACCCAACAATTGTACGAACCTACTAGAGTATCTGGTTGGGCAATTGCATTTTGACGGCAACCCCGGGCTCAGCAGACCGACGCACCAGGGGCATTAAATGCTTACTATTGCAAAGGCGCCGAGTCTCTCAAGGACGAGAACACTCTCTATAGGATGCTGGATTACTATACACATTACAGGTACGGCAGCGATGGCTCCTACTTCCGAAGGTGAACGATGTATTATTACATGCCAAAATGCCATCATAGACATCCTGTACATACAGTTAGTTTCGCGTTATCGGCTGCCGAACCAACATTTCTACACTACTGCTACGGATCCATCGCCTCGCATGGCGATGGGAGACCCAGTGGGGCACCATAATGCCACTCTCCCGCATTCTCCACGTACTTATGGTGGGGACTCCATTCGGTTCTTAGAAGAACAGGGGAAGTCGAAACAGTAACTTGGTAAATATCATCTACCTCGTGTTAAATGCGACAAACGATGGGACACCTCGCATTCTCTTGGAAGAGAGTTTGACCCGTCATCCGGGGTTACAAGGACGAAAAATGTCGCAAGCTTCAACTGTTCCGTACATCCCCTGCATGACATCGGCTCTATATCGAAGTAGGGTGGTTATGCGTTGTTCTGTCGGCATCAATCAACTAGCGGACATACATACATCCTAGGTAAGGCTGCCGAATTCTATCATGCTCCACATGCGATGATATTGTAAAGATTAGTGCCATCCTCTCTGAAAATTTGCGGCTGAAGCACAGAAAGCTACCGGGAGCCAAGACTTTGTCTCCGCTACACTTCTCCAGTTTTGGGCTTTCTACGGGGTCGCTATTATTTGGGTCTCGTATTTTAACCCCCACGCTGGTGGGGTAGGCATTTCCTTGTCTCGTAGCGAACGTTCTGACATTTCTAGTCAACTTTCACATTTAGTGTGGGGAGAATGTGGGATGTAGCGTTTGGATGAAGATTAAGTTTTGCTCTATGGGGGAGATGTTGTGGTCTAGGAAAGGAGATCCCCTGACCGCACAATTCAGATCGTATTCGGATAAACCCGGATGTAAAAAACTGCTCCAGGCAATGAGTGAGCACACGATAACTCTTGAAAGTTCCTTCTTTTGCACTATTGCTGACGACATCGTCGTGAACCTCCAACCAGAGGTGGAGCTCGCATCACGCGATTATTTTCATGGCCAGACATGCCATCTTCTCCGTGTTCGCCACAAGCATCGAGTAGAATTGCTGAGCGCTGTATCTGATTCATGCTGCTAGCACTTCCGGAGTACTCTCTGCGTTTGTCATCCCTTTGGAATCATTACCTATGATGTAAGGTCCGCATGACTTTGCTCACAACCGACTATAGTTTCCCTCTGGGTCAGTGTAGTTATGACCATTGGTCGACAATCACAAGAACGCAAAGGATTTGGTCTCATGAGTATCATGCCATTATGTATAATATATACAGTCTTTTTGACGTGGTCTTGATAAAACAAGACAACACGTGCCTAGGAATGCTGGAAATTTTGAACTAACATTATTGAAAACATACTTTAATTCACGACTTTACCAATTTTGGTTCTGAACGGCAACGCAAAAGCATTTCAGAAACAGACAGACAAGTATGATGTACTTACCAACCCTTAGATACCAGTATTTTGCTATCAAAGTCTTTGATGGTGGATCCTGGTGTGGCGACATTTGATTTCTTTACCCAGATTGCTCGTTCGTGGTCAGTGGACAACACAATGTGGAATGAATTATTGAAAGACTATCATAATGGACTATCAATCTAATGGCTTTGAATGTATGCTCCATAGTACCATCAAACGATTTCTATGTCTGATTCTGGTCACTGATTCGCTACCTACATAATTACAAAGCGTAGATAACAGTAACATAGTACGTTTCTACTGGAATATCCGAAACGATTGCTAAAGATTATATATTTAGCTCCATATGTATGTGAAAAAGATTATAAGATACCCAAACTCGTGTTCTCGACCAAGGTACCCGATGAGTATTATTCACATCTGGTGAACCCTAATCAGCTTCCATCGTGGTACAGCACCAACCATTTCTAGATAGTAAGATGAAACTGTATTGACTTTTGGCAAAGACTGCGAGAAATGTTTTTAATTATCAGGCATGCAATATCAGAGCATGATGAGACTCGCATTGTATGTCTCAACGCAGCGTATTTCGTGAAGCGACTTGAGGATCCGATCGATCTGCGAGCGAACTACCGACTTGATCTCATTTCACAGTACTGTCTGGCATAAGTGTATTGTTCCTGAGCTCAATCAAGAAGGTAGCTGGAAATAGTGAGTATGCGAGGCATTGGAAAAGTAATGAAAACTTCACCCAAAGCCTCAAGAACCCCAACCTTACTGGAAGACCTCGGGTTTGATGCAACCTATAGTCCGTGAGCAGCACAATTAACCATGAAAACTTTTAGCCTTACTAGATAAGAGTCCATAAGAGACAACTGCATGTGTTGGTCGCTATCACTGTGCTTATGTGGATGAAATGTGCGCCTACCACATCACTTCAACGCACGTTCGAGCAAATGGGGAGGAAGCATTACACCATTGCAAGGTGCAAATTGGCCTACAGACATCATAGTTAACCTAGTAGCATCTATTAACAAGCAGTCATTTCATTTCTATGTTAAACCATCCTTATTTTCTACTCGCATGTTTATGAACGATACTATTACAAGTATATACTAGCATGTACAATTGGGGTTTTAGCTACGGAAAGATTGATAGTATTTATTTCAACAAAGTCCAACTCTTGACCTCTTGGAACCAAAACAGATAAAAACAATTTAAGGAAGCGACGGATCTGGCTCAATTACAACGCAGTGGTCCTCTAGTAAGAAGATTCGAACTCCTATATCTGCATTGTTAACTAACACAGGCATTTCCTGTCCTCGCCGTGGGTCTTGAAGCAGGCAAGAGGTAACCTTGAATTACAGGTTTGTATCCTTGGCAAAAACAAAGCTATTGGAAGTCTCTGTGTAGAGAGGGTGCAATTCTTCTTAGAACTCTCTTGCCGGTGTATGTGCAATGAAAAGATCGTCTAGTTCGTGGAACGTTTTGCCCTTGGTTTCTGGGACAGTGAAGAAGGCGACAACGGTTAAGACCAAACCAATTCCCAGGAAGATCAGAGCAGACTTGGCCCCCAGGTTTGCCTCCTCAGTATTGACAAGATAGGGAATGGCGATAGACCAGGCCATATTGACAAATGAGTTCGAGATAGCCGCGAGCGATGTTGTCTTAGCGCGGAGACGGGACGAGGAGATTTCGCCGACGATGGTCCAGCCAACTGCACCAACTGAGGAATAGTAGAATATGGCCCATATGATACAGAAGGCTGCAAGTGCACGGCTATTCCAGACTTGGCCGCGGCCAAAGAAGCCGAGAAGACTGATGACGAGCAGACACACCAGCATCCCGTATGAACCAACGAGAAGCTGTGGCCGGCGGCCGACACGCTCGATCAGGACAAATGCAAAGATGGCAGCAAGCATAGAGAAGGTTATAGAGATGACAGTGATGAGAAATGCATCTGTAACTCCAGACAGGGTAAGGAAGTAGGCAAGGTAGTTGCCACAGATCGGAAAGCCAAGCATGATTTGCATGAACATAGGTAGGCATGCCAGCATTGTGCGTCGAAGATCAGTCTTTTGAAAACATTCCAGGTAGGATGAACTATCAGTGTTCGAGTTCTGTTGACGTTCGTGCTCAAGTGTGTTCTGTATCTCCAGGAGCTCGGCGTCAACGTCGTGGTGGATCGGATCGCGGATCCGTGCCAGAGCTCGGCGGGCGTCATCCACACGGCCTTTGGAAACAAGATAATAGGGGGACTCTGGAACGAATGGGATGAACAGCATCAGAGACAGCACAGCCGGTACAAATTGAGTGATGACTGCTGCCTTCCATGACCATGAACTTCCGATCAAGCTGGTCCCCTGGAGAACGCAAGCCGCGATGAGAGAGCCGAGGATAATCCAGAACTGAAAAAGGGAAAGAGTGAAACCGCGAATCTGGACGGGAGTGACTTCGGACACGAAAGTCTGCGTGTTGGCTTGCATCGAGCCCATCGCTGCACCCATCAACAGCTTAGCGACAAGCCAAACCTTCCAGTCGGGAGAGAAAAGTTCAACAAGAGCACCCGCCGTAGTTAGTCTGAGGGAAACAGAAAGTCAGTCAGTGCCGTCAACGAGATTTTAGGAGACATCTTACCCAATAGTTATGAAGAAACAAACACGACGGCCGAAAATATCGTTTAGTTGCCCCGAGCCCAAAGCACTGAGGATTGCAGCAACAAATTGTACAATCGTCCAAATCAGCTGTCTGTTCGCTGGCAAAGTCCATTGACCAAGTGAGTTATCAAAAACGCCAAAATCTTTAACAAATTCTTTATTGGCTATGATCGATCCTATAAGAGTGAGATCATATCCGATTAAAACCGGGGTCGTAGAGCAGCCAAGAGCTAGTACCACTGGAATTAGTATAGAGAAATTTCGTAGCCATCAACGGAGGCATACCAGCAAGGACTGTCCGCTTTGATCTCCAAAGATACTTGAACTGTGCGCCGAAGCTTGTAGGGGTCGCAGCAGCACTTTGTGCCTGGGCTCCAGTCTCTACGAGCTCGAGAGCGTGTTTGCCAGCTCCCTTTTCGCTAGAGAGCGACATGGCATCAGAATGATACTGGTTGAGTGATGGAGAGTAAGTTTCCTGGGTTAAACGATTCTGCGAACGACTCTGTTTGTGCTGTGGTTGCTGAGCAAGATGCAAATTGAAGGCATGATGTCGGTGGTTTTTGTACTCTGATCTTGCCCTCGATTACCGAACGGGGACCCCAGATCCCGACTTCACATCCCCAGAAAGTTCAATTATCCGCGCACGCTATCTCTGTGGCGTCCATGACAATTGGGATTGGAGATAAGCGCGCGGTATTCGCATTCCGCTCAGTGACTTGGGACCAGAACAGGCGCAGCTCCAGACATCAGGAGCTAATGATCTCAATTTAAGTCGCGGAATTTGCATCCCGCCAGGCACTATACCGAACTTGAGTAGCAGTCTAGTAACGTTATCGACGGTCTGGAGTAATGCATGGCTTGTCCAGGCCTTATCGGCTGACCTGTTGATATCAATCTTAGAGCCGATCAAAGGCAACTTTTAGGCAGCGTGCTGGAAAGGATGATGGATATCAGATGTTGTTTATTTGCAGCTGTAAACGAGCGCTAGGGGAGACTCTCGGCCGGAGAGGCTCTCAGCCATTGGTTAGATAAGGTACCTAACTATTGAGACACCGTACAATGGAGATACATTTGTGTGTTGCCCAATATTTGAGACAATTCTAATTGAAAGCCGTATTAGAAGTGCCATGCTCTCTTACCATGAGTTTCAGTTCGCAATTAGCAAAGTCCACCGGTGATCTGTAATGTGTCAATACAATAGAGGTAAGATCTGCAGAATAATAAACCTGCTATTCCTCTGCATTGAAAACGGTGAAAATGGCCATTGAGATCAGGTTCTACAGCTGTGCTCGATGTGAGAGAGTCCAAGAAGCACTTCATTGTATCCATATAACATGATTTGTGTCCAAACGTATTCTAACAATTTTACTTCTTTTTTTATTGCTATAACTAGCACATATGAACACTCCACTACGTCTTCACCCCCTTATGCGGATGTGGTATCCTTCGGATCGTGAGCAACAACCTCAATCTCAACCCTCATGTCATCTGCGCCAAGTCTCGTCACCCCAACACAGGTCCAAAGAGGCTGGTGGTCAGGCATATACTTTTTGAAGTTCCTGACCATAGCAGTCAAGGCCTCATCATTTAGAGGCACATGGTACGAGTTGACCCTGAAAACTTGAGACCAACCCTTACCACCTGCGCTCTTCAGGTTCTTCTCAACATTGGCAAAAGCAAGGTCAATTTGAGCATTGATTTCCTTCTCGAAGACGAAGTCGTCATGCCAACCACCTGTGGGTAGTTAGATTTACAAAGATGGTGACATTACGAGTGCTCGAGAATGCTCACCCTGGCCAGAGCATTCTATTCTGTCTCCGATTCGGACAGCCTGGCTGTAAGAATACTTTTCCCGGTTGGTGGTTCCAACGCCTTCGTAACTGTAGTACTGGAGATGAGCCATTGCGAAAAGGTGGTGGCTGAAAAAGTCGATATAGACTTGCTTGTTTGTGGAGGGAATCTGTAGGAAATGAAACTTTATAGATGCGAGATCGTGCGCGGATATACTTTTATTTATAAGAATAACTCATTCGCCCGCGATTACCTCGACGATATGGAATCACCATTTGGCCGTTTCCAGTTTGGGCGGAATATACATTCCGCCTAAGCACTAGTGCACCAGCTGGAGGCGATCGTCATACCCCCGCTCAGGTACGGCGTTTATATTCTCGTGCACTGAAACTTTGCATCGCTTTGAACAGAATAGTCCGTTGCGAGCAGCTTTTGGGAACTCCATTCGCTCCGATACAATTGAGATCTGCCGCCTGGACTGATGGAGTCTAGGAATTCGCCTTCCGCGGGTCGTAGGTCTGCAGCGGCAACGGGGTCGCGCAGCAAATATGCCTCCCGCGCGTGTCAGGAGTGTCGACGCCGAAGAGCCAAGGTATGTGATTTGGAAGCAATCTACAATCCGCGTTTATGGATATTCCGGGGCTGACCAAAAGGTGGGCCGCTGGAGCCCCCCTTGCAGTGCTGCGGCCAGAAGCCAACGTGTACCCGCTGCCTGAGTCTCGGAAAGGTTTGTGTCTTCACAAGCGAAGCGGACAACAGGGGTTCAGCTCCCAAATCTTATGTCGACCTATTACAGGCACGCATTAAGCTCCTTGAACAAGTGTTATGGATGCACTCCATCGACGTCGATGCATCGGTTGCCCAGCTTCATTCCCAGCGAACAGAGGTTGCTGCGGAGGGATCTGCTGCAGCTTACTCCTCTTCAACCGTATTTCATGAGATGTGTGCTGATTTGGAGGGTGCCTTTTACGTGGACGAGCCACTGAATCAACATGAGCAGATATCAGCGGAAGCACGTTTCTATGGTGCAACGAGCGGCCGTCTAGAGATATCTTCTTCTCGAGATAGCCCCTCAAGATCTCCAGGACAAGAATCCTCGTCACATATTAGTTTCCAGAGTCCTAGTTCGATCTCGCACTTTAACCGATGGCCAGAGCAGCCGATCCCAACGGAGGCAACAATCATAGACGACTTTGTATTATCGAAAGTAAAAGAAGAGCTCATTGACCTTTACTTTCATTGGGAGCAGCCGTGGCTACAACTTGTCGATGAAAAGCTCTTTCGTAAAAGTCTGCAAACCAATGGGCGCTATTCTAGCCCCCTGTTGGTATGCTGTATACTCGCAGTGGCCTCGCGTTACTCGGATGAAGCTGACGCCCGCAGCGACCCTGATGATCCTAGCACAGCCGGTATAGTATATGCTGAGGCTGCCGAGGCCATGCTGCAAGCCGAGATCAAGAACCCCAGCATCACTACAGTTCAATCTTTGGGGATTTTGGGGTTGTATTTCATTGTAAGTCACGACAGCCGCTGCTCATGTCGACAAGCGTGGTTGACGAATGTCCTCGTAGGGAATTGGATCCGAAAGCATTGGTTGGCTATATAACGGCATGGCAAACCGATTAATCCTTGACATAGGCCTAAATATTGATAGCAGAACGGTTGCTGGCATGGAGCCGTTAACATCGGATGAGGTGCGTCTCAGGAGGCAGATCTATTGGGCACTTTATTGCAATGACAAGCTGGGCGCCAGCTACACTGGTAGGGTCTGCACGATGCTGGTATGTCAAAACGCCCTGAATGTGTGCAGGACTGTGCTGACTTATTGACAAAGGATTCCCAAGCCGCAGTGCCTTTACCCACACCGACATCAGACAGAGATACAGGCGATCATGAGCAAGACTTGATCCGCCTACAATGAGCACTGGCCACGCACTGCCAAATACTGGAAAAAATATTAACACACCTGTGAGTGAGCCTGAATGTGCCATCTCTATCGGTGTTCAGATAATGACTGCCTAAGATATGCACCCAAAAGGCTCGCATCGGGTGCGGAAAGAAAGGCCTTTTTTGACTCGACCATGTTTACCTTGAGAGGCTGGTACTACTCGCTTTCTAAAGAGTTCAAGATTAGGCCAAACAACATCAACAGAGATCAGCCTCTTCTTCCGCAGGTGTGCGTTCTCAATATGGTTTACTATACTTCTGTCGTGTTACTTGCGAAACCATTCCTTCGTTCGGGGAAAGGTGAAGCCCCCGAATCAAACGAAGTTCTTCGGGCGGCTTCATCCGCTTGCCTTGAGGCTGCGACTGAAATCTGCCTCCTTGGTGAGAGATATCGCGAGGTATTTGGGAGCTTTCGTCGAAGTCCTCTGACAGCAACCCACTGCACGTTGACCGCTGCCTTGGTAATAATGTTGGTTAGAGACGACCCAGTAGGAACATGGCCTCAGGCGGATAGAACGAAGCTTGGCGGGTGCTTGCAAACATTACACGAGCTGTCTATCTCCTGGGGCCCGCCTCTACGGTACTGGCGCACTCTGACTAAGATGATCAATCAACGGAAATCTCAGGATGGGACCACTGAAGAGAACTCCGCAGCGGCTGCTAGTGGCGACGATGCACAGGTGGTTGATCCCAACACCATGCCCAGCACGTTCATAGACCAGCCGGATCAACTTCACCTGGGTAGCAAAGCCGAAGTTGCTTCCAGTGATATAAGCATAGAAATCGCATTGCAAGACCCGCCAATACCTGATCAAGATCTTTGGGGGAATGCATCTACAGCACATACGTTTCCAGACGTCGGATGGCTCGACATTGGCGCCTTTGATGCACTTTCATGGGACTTGGCTAGCCAAATAGGACCCGATGGACAAATTTGGGAAATGGGCAGCTCATGGCAAAATGAAGGACATCAATAGGTAAAATCATTTTAGTTTGTACTATAAACGCTTGTATGCTACCGTGAGATGTTAGCCTTGTCGAGCGTCCCAATGACACCATTCCATGTACGATTTGAAGCACCACTTGATCATCTCACGAGCATGCAAACGTTGACCCGAAATTTTGGAATAAAGTTTTATAATGAGATACTCGTTCGACGATGTTATCTTTGTTTCATAAAAGGTGCGTCGATCGGCTCTTGGATCTTCGCAATTACCTTGCCAAATGTTTTACCCTCGACAATCAATTCTAGTTGCTCGGGAATCTCTTCCAAGGATACGAAAGATGTCATTGGAAGGATTTGGCCATTGCAGATGTATCTCATTACCTCCAGGGAAATCGATGGCCCTCCCATGAGAGAACCCGTGACATGGATGTTTCTCTCCACTAGATCGTGGATTGAAATAGACAGTTGCATGCCGTAGGGCACGCTGTAGAAATAATCAGCCGTTGTCACGATGTTGTGTTACATCAGGATGACTTACCCAGAACAAACGATCCAGCCTCCATCGCACACGTATGATTCCACTCTTTGGAACGCAGCCGCCGAGCTGGCAGTAACAATGACAGCGTCAGCCGCCCTGGTCATGGCATGTTGGTGTCGCAACTTCCCGCAGGCCCTAAGAATTTCATTCTTGAGTAAATTACTTGCGTTGGTATCTCCTTCGTCTGATGGCCCCGCCAGTAGTATGTCGGCGTAGTCATTGAAGCCACGTCTGCGTAGCTCCTCCACCTTCCATGCGACATCGACGCCTATGACTTGGGCGCCGAAAATTCTCTTAGCCATGCTTGCAGTGTAGTTCCCAATACTACCAGCCACTCCGATGACGACGACCACTTTGTTGATCGCCAAGTTTGCCGCTCGCAGAGCCATCAAAGCCGCGGCCCCAGAGCATAAGGCGCCACACAAGATTTCGGGCTGTTTAACCCTACTGATTATTTCGTCCGGTATCAACAGCACACTCTTGGTCTCGACCGTCAGATACTCCTGAAAGCAGCCTGATAGCTGTTTTGGCGCGTTCTTCTGATGTGGGCAGGACGTCGGTATACAGGCAAGGCAGTACTCGCAGTGCCTGCAGGTTGAACCAAGATATCTCAAACCGACAAAGCGGCCCAACAACCCAGAATCACAAGCCTTGACAATCTGCCCGATTCCTTCGTGACCTGCAATATGATCCACGCTTGGATATCCTGGAAGGGGTCCTTTCGAGAAAGTGGCGTCCTGGAAATATCTGCTTTCAGCATTGCTTTTTGTGCTTTCTATTGACGGTTTTACTTACACTGCGACAGATCCCACTGTAGCACACTCGAACAATAATTTCGGTCGGGAGTGGCTGCCGAACCGGTATTGTCGCGACGGCAAGATTTAAAGTTGAGGTAACTTGAAAAGTCACTACGGCTTTTTGCGTGGGTGGAGGACATATTTGGGGCAATTGATAAAACTCATCTCCATAGGCGGTAGCAGAGCTTGCACTCGAAGCAGGACTGTTGCTCATGGTCTGAAGATGTCACCGGCGGCTCTAGCAAATATGAGAATAAGAGCACCCCATACGCCACACACTTGGATAGAGCAGACGTTATGAAATAGGGCGAATGCTTGGACAAAATCTGGATTAGGCATTCTTCACTGCATGGGGCATTTATTGTTATCACCGGTGAGTGGGCAACATTGCGGATAACGGCGAACTACTAAGGGCAGCTATGCCTGGATCATCGACCGGGCGGAATGCGTATTCCGCTAATATTTTGCGGGTCGGAACCACGATGCGGAGAAATTATGGAGGAATCTGCATTCCTAATTCAATCTCTGAGGTATTGTTTGTCCTATCTATGGTAGTTCTGTAACTGACTTAAAGTAAGGCATCTATGGAAGACTGTGGTGCAATGCGAAACAATTCACATCACGTTCCACCAGGCCAATATACAAACGAGGTACCATTGTCAAACGTCGAGGAAAAAATCTCTCCTTTTTCCCCAGTCTAGCGTCTTATACATCTGGAACTATTCTTGCTGTCCGTTCATAATTCGAAAATGTCTGCTGGAGACAGCCCAGCCTCTGTGGCATCTCATACACGTATCTCTGATATTCTCGCTGCTCTTTCGCTCGAGGAGAAGCTCTCCCTCCTTGCTGGTGCTTCTCCATGGCGCACTACCGCAATCAAACGAGTTGGTGTACCGCCTCTAAAGGTATTCTTTGGAAATCCTGATCTTTCGTTCCATACTAATAGTCATCTCGAAGGTTAGTGATGGCCCTTCGGGCGCGCGCGGCGAAGTATTTGGCGAAAATGTTCCCGCAGCTTTCCTGCCATCTGGTGTCAGCCTTGGAGCCACGTGGGACGTGAACCTTATGGAACGCATTGGAGGGTTGCTTGCAGAAGAGGTACAGTAGAGTCAGGGACCTAGAGATACCTGCCATCTTAATGATTCATCTAGTGTAAGACTAAATCTGCCTCTGTATCACTCGCTCCGACAATGTGCATTCACCGTCACCCTCTAGGAGGTCGCAATTTCGAATCTTTTAGCGAAGATCCATTTCTTACAGGCAAACTAGCCTCAGCTCATATCCGGGGCATGCAGTCTCGTGGCATTGGTGCAACACCGAAGCACTTTGTTGGTTTGTCACGCCGACTCGTCCGTTGCTGAACCTTTGTACTGATGAATTCCAGCCAACGACCAGGAAACCAAGCGCTTCAAAGTCAGCGCGAACATCAGCGCGAGGGCTCTGCGAGAAGTATACCTGCTCCCCTTCCAAATGATGGTCCGTGAAGCGGACCCGTGGTGCATGATGACCGCTTACAACAAGGTCAATGGCCACCATTGCGATGCGTCCAAGGAGCTCCTTATAGACATTGCTCGGGACGAATGGAAGTGGAGCGGTGTGTTCATGAGTGACTGGGGTGGTACTACTTCCGCTGTTGCCTCAATCAATAATGGGCTCGACCTCGAGATGCCTGGACCACCCCAACATCGGTCTCTGGAAGCCCTCAAAGGGCCTCTCGCGGACGGAGCTGTTGATTTAAAGCGAATTGATGAGTCGGCATATCGTATGTTAAATCTTCTAGAGAGGACAGGCCGCTTTGAGGATGATAGCGACGAGCCAGAATACACCAGCAATGACCCTACCATTGGGGCCCTACTACTTGAAGCAGCGGCAGCTGGCATCGTTCTGTTGAAGAACCAGCCCAATGCTCTCCCACTCAAAGCTGACGAGCAGAGTATTTCCAGATTGGCAGTTGTTGGGCCAAATGCTAAGAGAATCGCGTGGCGGGTGGGGGTGGGAGTAGCTATATCAAGGCCCCATACTGGACTTCTGTTTATGACTCCGTGGAACGTGAGGTCACCGGGCACGGCACTGAGGTTGTATTCCACGAGGGCGCCAGAATGAACAGATATCTCCCGGCGCCTTCAAAAAGCGCCAGAAATCCCGACACCGGCATCCACGGCGCATGTGTCGACTGGTTTTTTGGCCACGATTTCTCCACTGGAGTGGTCACCAAAACGCACATGTGAGTGAACCCCCAAACTTTCCAACGATCTGTTAGCCGCTCTCGCATATTGATTTAGATTGTAGTGACGACCTCTACTTTATAAATTTCGGAGACGTTCCAAAGGAAATTGGCCGACCAACAGACTTCTGCTTCCGAGTTCGCACTGTACTCACGCCCCTCACGACAGGCACACATAAGCTCTCTTTAGCATCGATGGGACCGGCAAAACTTTTCGTGGATGGTAACCAAATTCTACAACAGTCGGGAGATTTCAGTACAAGGGCCAGCCTATTCTTCACGTATGGCAGTGACGAAGTTGTGACTGAACTCTTCATGGAAGCAGGGAAAGATCACGACATCCGGATCGACTATCTATCGCACGACAGACAATTAGACCCATCTATAGCTCCTTTGATGGATCCAATGGAGAACATCTTCCAAGGTGTCCGACTCGGATTTCAGGAAGCCAACGACAGTGATCTTCCCGCTGAGGCTGGCGTTTTGGCTAAGACCTGCGATGCCGCAATTGTCGTGGTCGGACGCGACAAGGAATGGGAGACCGAGGGTCACGACATACCTATCTTCGAACTCCCAGGAGAACAGGTAAGGCTGATCCGTGAGGTGGCGGCCAATTGCAAACGTACAATTGTGGTTGTCCAAGCAGGAACACCCGTCAACATGTATCCCTGGATCGACCAGGTGGATGCTGTGCTATACACGTGGTATCAAGGTCAGGAGCTTGGTAACGCCGCAGCACAGGTTATCACTGGCAAGGTCAATCCATCGGGTAGACTGCCCATTACGTTCCCTCGCGACCTGAGGGACTGTCCCGCTTATTCGTCATTCCCTGGTGAGCAAAACGAATCGCACTACTCAGAAGGTCTCTATGTCGGTTATCGTTGGTGGGACCTGGTTGGGACCAAACCTCTGTTTCCCATCGGCTATGGTCTCTCGTACAATGGTTTCTCGATCTCCCCAGCTGGAATTGACTCTACTACACTCACGTTGGAGAAGGGGGTGACCGTGACGGCCACGGTGCGCAACACTGGGGGATATGATGTTGCTGGTGCGCAAATCGTGATCTTCTTCGCTAAGCAGGTCTCAGCTTGCAGGCTGGCACGCCCGACAAGACATATTTGCGGCTTCGCCAAGACCAGTCGGCTCACGTCTGGCCAGGAGGAGGTGGTCTCGAGTGTCATTGACGCATATGCTCTCGGCATGTTCGATGCGAGCAAGAAACGATGGGTTATTGATGCTGGGTCTGAATTCGAAATCCACGTGGGTTCAGACGCTGAGCATACCGAGTGTGGCTGGCGCATCACTGTACCTGAAGAGATATCATGGACTCATATACTTGGTGACGGAATTGGCCCCGAGTTGTAATTGCATAGATTGATCTAGATATCTTGAGCTGGGCATGTGTTCCAGTGTAGACGGCCGCTTACAGTAACAACCCCATTCTTGTAGATTAATGCCATTGCTTAGATCTACGTTTCTCATTCATAAATGATCATATAAGAGACCATTTCCAGAAATCCAGCGAATGGTTGGCATTGCAGTGTTTCCAGCGGGTCAATATGACAACAGACGCAAATAGCGCCTTATTTGATTGGCTTCCAAGTCAATTCTTCTACAAGTCGTGTTAAACATATCATCAACACCAAATCTCCACCAGTGCCCCTTATCCATCACACTCCCCTCACTCGTCCCGAGGGATTACCATCGTGAAATAAGTACACTCAAAATGGCCAAACAATCACATACGACCATTGGACTATGAAAACAGGGCTTCCCGTTCGCTCAGCCATACTTAAGCATAGTACCGGCGGACTAGTAGTTGAGTGGGTGACCATCAGCGAATCCCCGCTGTTGTATGTTTTTTGATTTTTTTTTTGCCGGTCTGGAAGGTATCGAGAGTGAGGAAGAAAAGAGGGCGTGTGTGGGTAGTTGATACTCTTTTTGACCCTGCGTGGGGGAGGGAGGATTTAGGGGCTGGAGGAAGGGACGTTGGACAGTGAAAAGTCCTTCGGGGACTAATCGCAATACAACTAATTATCTATACCTAGGATCTGGCCCTATTCAGGCATGAAGAAAGCAAGCCTATTGTATCCTTTAGGATCCGAATAGTATTTATATACTGTCATTGGTAACGGATGTCGTGATTTCTACTTAACTAACTTGACGACCAAGACAGGATTTGTGAAAAGGGCATGATGTGGTTCCCATTACTTCCAACACGGGTCATTTCTATCCTAAGTGCGGTCGGTTTCTGGTGTCATGTCATGATTTATGAAGTATCGCATGTTTTCGGTGCATCTGGGAGAAGCGGGTAATCCAGCGGAGTGTATGCCATACGGCAGATTAATTCCTAAAGCTGTGACTATCGAGCGCTCAGGTACGGAGTACATTTTGTCGAGCTTAAATCCAAAAGGGTGGTCATGTTGGTTATAGAGGTCTACGTGGTGCGGAGCCACAGTGCTTCTATGGGTTCGGGACCTTTTATCTAGAAGTCTCAGTCGGGACTAGACTATATCTGCCGCGAACTATTGCAAATAAAGGTGTGTAGTAGGGAAGAGGACGTGAACAATTCTGGAAGAACCAACTTGACTTGAGGATGATGTTGAGCGTGATGATCGCAACGGTGAAGATGAAGCCAAGTCCATGTCGGACTGACTTCGGACACATTGGTTGGCTCACCTGAGTAACGCTTTCGCTTCATGTTTGTACTGCAACAACAGCAATGGGTTGTCCTTTTTTTTCTTATCTTTCGCTGCCACTGCTTACCTATCCAGGGCAATATCAGGCAGAGAGGTATCGAACTACTGGACTATTCGGGAAATCAAGCCAAGGAATGATATGAGTTGACCAATGATATCGCGCTGTGTTTCGTGGTTGACATGACCGAATTGGGAACATTTGCGCGGATATTTTCCGGCCAATAGTCAGCGGCACGCGTGTGCTGTGCAACACCTGCAAAGGCATAAAAGTTGTGTCGCGGAAAAATATAACGGTATAGGAAGGATGAGTACGCAAACCGAGGTTCTGGAGGTGAAGACAAGGTGATTTATAGAGAACGGGCGGTGCTAATCCAACAGCAGGTCCGATCTCATTTTCACTACAAGTTTTCATCAGTACTCAAGAATGATATGTCTGTCTTACCTCCCAAAAGACCTTAAGCACACACTCTCATGTCTTGGGTGCATAGGGTGAAACCATTCTCCGACCCCGACAGCGCAGGGGACAGGGCGTATCGCTTCAGCCTCTCATAACAGCGTTTTGTCAATCTTCAAGCACAACTCCAACGCACAAAGAAGTCGCAATGATGACGGAATTGCGAAGGACCTCTTAATAGGAGACATCGGTTCGTCCGAAAATGTAACCAGATCTCTCTATGGGTTCTTAGGGTGATGGCATCATCCTTAGCAATGGTGCAGTTCGTAGCATGCGTGCCAGGATGCTGCCGGATTGCTTGCCATTTCAACATTGAGATATCGAGGTACGAAGCTCAGCAGCCACTGCACCAAGTCAGCAAAGCTTCGTCTTCGTCGCTCTTGCTGCTCGTCAACTAACAACCTAGGGCTATCAACCGTTCATGCGCGCTGCATGAATCCATGCCTTCAGGTCCGTCGAGCTGTCCCCAAGATGACCGGCATCAATCTTACTTCGTTTACACCACGAACTCGGAATCATCGTCTCCGTGACCGACCCGACCGACATCGAGACGAGCAGTGCCGGGGACAAGGAGGTGGCCACGCTTCTAGTCACACAATAGCACATTGACAGGTACAACTTCGTTTGCGCTTTTACGTTGAGCGATGCAACTCTGGCGAAGAGAGGCGGGATGCGATTGAAGACATAGGCGAAGGGCTGAAGGTGCGGGGGCCATAGTTGACGGGTTGCAGCCAACAATAGTGGAAGGGCACTGCAGTGGAATTGCAAGGTTGGCGAATCACCGATCAGGCTTCAGGTGCCATGGACTGCGGCGAGAGCATCACGGCGATCACGGCTTTCCGTTCACGATATTCCTTTGTCGCCGATTAACGTTTCTCACGAGCGTATACCCGATTTTGGACCACACCGAGTTGGAAATCTGGTGGATGGGATACAGGATTGATTGGGCGGGAAGTGGGAGTTGCTTGAGGAACAACACCATGGCAGAAAACACTCTGATATTAAAGTGAATCAGGGTGTTCCTGACAGGTGCGGGCGTAGTGTTTGGCGACAACGGGTGTGGGCTCCAGTGATGGAAAAATTTGGGACATAATTCATGAGGCATGTCTCGTCACCTTCCCTTGTGCGCTGTAGCGTAGAGGTCATGACCAATACTGAGGACTGTGTGGTGAATTTTTGTATTGCGCTTTACCTTGCATAAAAAGAATATGGAGCCTTACAGTGAATTGTTCTTCGCATCATGATTTCATCCAAGCATAACTGATGAGGTTAGCAAAGTTCAGTAATGTGGGAACGTAGAGCTTATCCACGTACCTTCCCAGCCAAAGTCCTTCATAACGCCTAACCAATGCAATTGTCCTTGAACCGTGTAATCAACACTGCCGGATCTCGTGATCGGGTCAATGCCCGTATTGAATACTGATGAAATAGGGAAATCGGGAGACGCGGATCGGGCTGCCTTAGAGCCTCTTCGTAGTCGGTTATCATAGTTTTCCATCTGTGTCGCGTAATCTTCACCGACGAGACGCATGGGGTCCAGCCTATTCAGTCCGGCAGTTGTGTCTGCTGCTATCGATGAAAGATGGGGAGATACTTTGGCGCCGGTCCGTGAACAGAACCCTTTACGAGCGGCATATTCGTCTTTCCTTCTCCAAGCCTCTTCTGTGATGCTGAAACATCTCTCCACGACCCCAGTGATCATCCGCTTACCCATCGTTGCCCAACGTTCTTTGACCCACTCGCGATCCTCCTCTTCAGTAGCCTCACACCCTGCCTGCATGAGCGGAAAATGGTGTGTGACAAGGGTGGTAGACGACAGAGGGATGGTTGCCAAGAAAACAAGGACTTTCTGACCAAGCTGCCAATATGATGATTTATCTGGCAATTCGGGCACGGCTTGCTGAAGAAGCAAGAGCGTAGCCCAGCGATACGCTTCGGCAGTCTGTATTGAGTCGGACACTGTAGATGAGGGATTGTCGACTCCCGAAAGGTTGACCTGTGGGGACCACCGCTCAATGGCCTTCTTCAATTCGATAGCTCGTGATATTATCGCGGGTGAATTTCGCTTCATGTTCCTAGCACGGATACAGCCGACTATATCCCCAACAGCTCCGATTATTGGGAAGAGTGTGCAGGCGAATCCCATCAACGAATCAGAATGTGGTCCGTTCTCCGATGGATCAGGGAAGTAGTCGATCTGCCTAGATAATGACGTATCTTCAAACGTCGACGTGAGGCGGGCGATGACATCCATGTAGAGGAAGTCGCTGATTAGAAAGTCGAGAAGAGGAGACCGGTTTGGGGTATCTCGAGCTTGTTTCACGAGTGCCCGCGCTCCGTCAATGTGGTGTTTTCCAGTGGGTCTGGTACAATCCCAAGCCTCTGCCCAAGCAAGAGCTAGGGACGCAGCCAGCGCAGCATCAAGAGAAATCGTACCACTGTCAATGTTAGCAGCTAGGTTTTCCATACTGCATTGGACATGTCCGATCGCTTGTGTACGAAGGTCTGGTTGGGCGCGGCTCATATGATAGCACGTCATTGCAGCAACAGCATGATACAGTGCAGGATACTCTTTAGCAAGTGGCCAAACGTACTCCTTCCACGGGTTCACCCCATCGTCGTCCTCAATCGATAAGATGCGGCTGGTGTATTGGTGAAATACAGTGGAGATGATCTCTGGAGTGGCATTCTGGAATTGAGGCTGCCGGAAGATTTCGTTCCAATCCTGTTCGTTCACAGACGCGGAACGGGGCGGAGGTCGCCACAGAGGCCGAGGCGGCACATTAAAGTTGGGAATGTCGTCCATGTGGAAATCGTCCTGTGTAACAAGAGGTGACGGCGCAGCTTGCTCCAGTAATGCATCGAAAGTGTCGAAACCGTATGAACGCCAATCGAAATGATCTTGTGCCTCCCTGGAAGTCTCTCGATCCAGGAACTCGAGATCGTTAAGAGGGGAAACATGTTGCTGATCTCCCAAGTCAACATCTTCTGCCAGGCCTGCCAACAGTACGTCTGAATCGAGCCATGTGGCATTAGGAGAGAAATTCCAACTTCCATTGGAACGTTGATCGATGGGTGTGACCAGTCTTTCTGAAGGCGGGTTGGAATTGGTACTCGCCTGATGTGGCAAGCTACCCGAAGGCTGTCTTTGGTGGTGAGAAGACTGCGAGGGGATGTTGATAGGATTGTTGCCGCTCATCCTACCGAAGGCTTCGTTCACATTGCCAGAAGTAGGAGAGCCAAGAGGCAATGATTGATCATTGCTACGCTCGGCGTTGGATTTGGATGCTTTCAAAATTCAGTTTCGATTATTGAAGTAGATACTGCTCATATTTACCTCCCGAAGGGCGCGATGCTGGGTTCGGGTTTTGGGCCCGAGGCTGGCCAAAGGCTTTCCATTTGAGATCCTTTTTGTAGCCACCGCAGGGAATTCCACGACGGGTACATTGTTGACATGAGGGTTTCGCTTCATCGCACTTCATTCTTTTCGCTTTGCAAGTTAGGCAGCCTGCGCCGTCAGCATATTGTTGTAAGGACGTGCATGTCTGCATGGCGTCATAGGTCCAGCAGCGAGGAATGTTGGGGACGTGCCATTACGACTCTTTGGCTGCTTGCGCTTGATCCCATCTTCTTCACCCGTCTTCTGCACTTCAGCAGTCTTAGGAGCAAGAGGTCTCGGGTTCCTGTTGGCGGCGGGTTTGGGGTCCGGCGTCATGATGATGAGATACGAGAAGATATATGCATGCTTTGTTGGGAGGCGGCATCCGATCCCGTGCTGAAAGCTACGAGGAGGGGGATGAAATGCAAAGACTGAATAAAAGAAGACAAGGAAGGGGAAATATGAGATGCAGGACGCTGGGCAAGATGAGAATGAGAGGAAGAGGCTTGTTGGATGAGACTATGTTGAGTATGGAAAGGAAAAGTCAGATGAGCGTTAACTAGAGCAGTTCGGTGGGGGTTTTTGGGTGCTGGGATTGTGTGTTGTTGGGGTGAGCTGGGCTGGGTTCGTTCCTTTCTTCTTCACACACTGCGTAGGCTTGGAGGGGGTTTCAGCCGATCTTAGGGGCACTTACGGCACTAGAACTTGTATCGTAAGCGACCCCGCATTATCTCCGCGTGATTCGCCTCAATTTCAGACAGGAGAAGGACAAGAAGGGATTGATTGTGTTCTACCGCATCTACACATGAGTCGAGTTTTTCCTCTACTTCTCTTGGTTGTATAATTAGCTGAGTGCGCTAGACCCATTCACACCAAAGTAGAATCAAATCACAGATGTTGATTCGAACAATTCTGTTGCTTAAAAAATATCCCGAACGCCGGACAAAAGATAGCTGACCCCAAAAAAAGAGCCATCCCAACATTGGTCGTCCCGTTATCGCTGCTGTGTAGATCCCATGGCTACATGATGATTGCTTTTGTCGTTCTGTGGGTCAGCATCCAGGAACCGCCTTCATCCAGCGTCATCGTCGAGACAAGTAGATAACACCACCGCTAGATAGATAGATACATAGATAGAGTAAGATGTACGTCACACGCCGTTTACCAGCCTGAGTGGTAATTATTATTGTTCTCCGTTATCGAGTCCCTATCGGTGTAGATCGGAACCGCATGATCCCGGAGCCGCAGGGAGCGACGCAACCAAATACGTGCACATCAAAATGCCACTACCTGACAATCGTCGCGTAGACTCTAGCGACAATTTCATCGTCGTTTTCTTATCTCCAGCAGCGCTGCCGCCGACCATCTTCACACCTTCCCCGATCAGGACAGGCATGATGGCCGTCTCGACGGTGTCGACCAGGCCAGCATTCAAAAGACACGTAGCCAGCTGTCCACCTCCGAAGAGCCAGATGTCTCGTGCTACGCCACCACCACTACCGGCGGCTCCTTTCAATTGTTCTACAAATTCTTCCACGCGCTCTGCAACTATCGTGACTTCTGGGTGTTCTTCGGCCTTCATGCTTTTACTAACGACGATGAGCGCATCGCGGGTCATTGCCCGCAGGGGATTCTGCTCGCCGTACGCCTGCATGGTTTCGTAGGTTTTGCGCCCCATTACGAATGTCGAAAACGATGCATATAGCGCGGCGAAATCAATACTGGTATCCTCGACAATCCAGTCCGTAGTGCCATCCGGAGAAGCTATGAAGCCGTCGAGGGAAACAGCGACGTTGTATCGTAGCCGACGCATTGTGGTTGTTGTTCGTGAGAACGGCTGTGCATATATGTGCAGTCTAGATCGAAGCCCGCAGGAAGGATTGCAGCAGAGATAAAGACGGTCCGACCAGTGGGGGAGGTCGAAATTCGAACAACGGAGAGATAGTCATAACGGCGTGTGACTTATTGTACCTCCTGCTCCCCTACTCCCGTCCTGGGCACTTCCGACGACTCTTGGAGACGATGACTCTGGACCCTGTTGCCGTTTTAAGGTATTCCTGTCTAATCCCGATATGGTAATGCTTGACTAATGGCAACCAATCACATACCGTCCCAATCATGCATACACATTGATCATCCCAGGCATAATAGGTTTAGTTTCCCATTGGAAGAGGATTGCAGTACGGAAGCATGGGGGAGAGTTCTGATGTGTACGAATCAGAACGTGGAGCATCTATTGAGCCGATGCATGCTCTTGTATATCCATAAGCTCCGAGTGAACCTCGCTTCGAATAACGGAGAAGAGAGACGTTGCGTTGCCAACTCACTTGGTGCAGCGCTTTGTGGTGGTCTAGACAGCCGCATGCAATAGGAACATACGAGTACCAGAAACTATTTTTCATGCATATCCTTCGTCATCTGACACCGTCACTAAGCAGAAATACCAACTGGACCCTGGGGACGGATAAGCAAATCAAGGAGGGGTAACTGCGGTTGAATCCGTTCCGACGGTGATTACCGAGAGGCGCCCACAACATAACCAACGATGACATTCATTGACATTGGCCAATGATCTAGTGAGTATTCATCGTAAACTGAGCTACGAGGTACCTATCATATTAGAACAATGTCTTTCATAACCTGTCTTCGAATAATAACTTACTACACCTAGATCCTTCGTTATTGGAACACGCCCTGGTCATCTCACACAACAAGCAACCTCCTCCACAACTAACAATCTCCAATTGTCTGCAAATTAACTCTTCGAAAGTAGCGTTGGCTTCATAACTAAGTGGCTACGTATGGAGGCATTGATTTGGAATTCGCTTTGGTACTAGCCGAGCATATGGTACAATCCGACGATCGCCCCTTTATTGAATAGAACACATGTCACGGGGCGAAATCCCCGGGCGTAAACAACAGCCTCATAAACTGCACGTATGTACCCCGTACTATTAAACAAAGTAGACAGACAGCCTCGTCGATATCTTGGGGGCATATTTCATCTTCCTTCTCTCGTTTAGCCTCACCCTAAAAACGTGACGCCTTTGAATGTGAAACATGTTTCCACGGGAGCAAGATACATTGGTACTAGAACTCTTCACCGTGGTGGATGACAAGGCTGTCGGTTTTGCTTTCGAACTCAACGTAGTATCATTGGCATTACAATACTAACAACCTCCTCGATATTCCTTTACAATGGCTAGCAATGCATTGATGGGTTAGAAACACTGCATAGGGAAGAGGAACGTCTTAAAACTCCATATACGGTGACAATACAGAAACAGAAAAAAACCACAATCAATCAAACTCCCATATTTATATCTACATTCCCCACTGTCTTACCCATCAAACCCTCCAGCCTCGACTTCATAACCTCACCACCCACCTCCTACAACACCAACAATCAACACCACCGCCACCATCGACACAATGCCCCACCCGAAACACATCCTCCCCCTTTCCCTCCTTCTCCCTTTCACCAATGGCGCCCTACCCCCCGGCTACCTCCCCTTTCCCGTTCCTGGCCAAGCACAGTTCAACACGACCATCACCCCCAACATGACCCTCCTGAAATCCGACCGTCTCTCCTACTTCTCCAGCGCCCTTTACTTCTCCAACTTCCCCAATAATCACCCCTTCGCCTACGGGGAAAAGAATGCGGACCATCAGTTCGCAGCGCTGACGCGCGACGTCTTCATCGGGATGGACAAGGTGGGGCGGGAGTGGGAGGAGGGGAAGGGGAAGGTGGGGGACCAGCCGCGGCATGAGGATGAGTGGAGGCCGGAGATCATGAGCGGGATGGTGGTGCGCGGGGATCTGTTGTTTTTGTCGAGTTTCAAACTGAAAGATATGGGAAACGGGACGACGGGGTTGAGGTTCGATGGGAAGGGTGAGGGAGAGAAGGGTAGTCAGGCCAGGGAGGAACTGTATGATGGGTTCGTTTTGATTCCTTTTCCTTAATTCTGGAGGTCGCTGTTGCGGGACGTGAGACGCAGACTAACGATGAGTATAGAGTGAAGGAGTGTCTCGTAGACTGCAAAGACATCTTCCTCGCCGAAGAACCCGTGATCCCAGCTCGACAGCGTCGAGACGATGGCGGTGGCATGCCCGAGGGTCCTCGTTCAGACGAGATAGCCAGATTGAAAAAGAAGGCTACTTGCGTAAGTTTCTCTCGCTACCCTTACCTGTATCAAATCATCAAGAGACTGTCACTGACCTTAAGGAACAGAGCCAATGCGCGCTCCTCCAGCTCTTCATGCACAACGACACCGACCGCGCAGACTGCGACAACGCCCGCTTCGTCAGCTTCAGTCTCACTGAATCCATCACTGCCTCGCCATCCGGCTCCAAGGAAGACGTCCCGCTCATCGACAGGATCAGCATTCTCGACCCATGCAAGGACGGCGGCATCGACGGCTTCGATTGCGGACGCGCCGTCAAGTTGTGCGGGAAAGGGAGTCGTACCATATTTGAGCAGGTGGGGAAGGCGATGTACATGCTCGGGCCGTGGTTTCTAGAGGAGGATAGTATATATGAAGGGGAAGGGAAGGAGACGTTAGTGGAGCCGGAGTATATGTACAATGACTCGAAGAGGTATTTTGAGTTCAAGGGTGCAGGGTTTGATGCGGATTCCGTGGTGCTGGAGGATGTGAACGAGGTGAATTGAACTGCTGGGTCTATGGTGATGGGGAGTACTTGATGTTGGTCTTTGGGACTTCTAGGAGTGCAACGTATTTGGTATTTGTGAAGATTGATTTGCAGTTTCCCACGAAATAGTGCGATTTAGAGTACGCATCCCTTGTGAATGATGTTGGTTCGGCTTGTATGCCTCCTTATTCAAAGATTACACAAAACACATGGGCTTTCCATATTAGAAGAAAGATCTAGACAGATGTATATATCTCAACCGTACGCCCAGCTCCCAGAGCCCAAGACAATCAGCTTATGCAACAAAGAGAAGAAACAGACAGGGCGCGGACCTTCAGTTCTTTTGTCAGTTCAAGCATAAAGTTGATCTCTACAACAATAGATGATGATACTCTGCTCCCAATAGACCCATTTTTCAGCAAACACGTACTCACAATCGATCGACCAGCAACATTAAGATCCCCCAGCAAGCCGACTAGGTTCTCATTTATTCGTGTCATAAAGCCATCGAGCCATCGTTTAGCATAGTTTGCAACGTGCTCACTCTCCGAGTACAGTGTCGTATTGCCGCTCACTATCCTGCCAACTCCGATAGGAGAACGAGGCCCCTTTCAACATTCTATAATTCAAGCACCATCAGAACCCACACGCACCAGAAACCCGCATGCCATCCTCTCCATCAGCTCTCAAACCACCCACTCCAAACCCCATCATCCACCTACCCCACAGCCTGCATCCCAAGTCTCCCCGCCTCCCCCCTCACAACCCCCTCAATCTCCTCCACCAAACTCTGTCCCCTAGGAACCCACCCGAGCACCTCCCTCGCCCTCTCAGCCACACACAGCGAATTCGTCCCCCAAAACAACGACGCAAACTCCCACACCCCATCCGCCTCCTCCCACCCCAACTTCTCCACCTCCCCAGTACCACCCCGCAAGAACCCCTGATTCACCGCCTCCCGCACGACCATCCCCGCGACATCACCCCACGCCGCAACCCCAGACGCCGCGAAGTAGAACCCCTCAACTCCCCACGTGCCGCGGAACGCACCACCCGCTGCGTCCTCGACGAGCGCGAGGAACAGCGCCGACACGTCGTGCACGTGCACCGTCGACCAGCGGTTCTCGCCGCGTTCGACCGAGAACCCGGATCCGCGCTTCAGGATGTGGGACGCGAGTTCGGGGACCTGGATGCTGCGTGTGTTGCCGGGCCCGCGGCCGGGGCCGTAGATGGTGGGCGGGCAGACGATTGCGGTTTTGATGTGTGGGTTTGCGGAGCTGATGTGTGTTATGGTGGCGTCGACGGCCTGGTGCGGGGCGTCGGAGGGGAGGGAGAGGATGGAGTGGATGGAGTGGATGTCGTTGTGGAATTTGTCGCTGTGGGTTCCGTAGGTTTGGTTGGTGAGGTCGGGGAGGCAGAGGATGTCGGAGCCGGAGAGGTGGATGATTGATTTGGTGGCTTGGGAGATGTCGGGGCGTGACAGGCGTTTGGAGATGGCTTGCACGGCGCTGAGGTGCTCGCAGCTGGCGAGGTGGCATATGATGTCGGCTTTGGCGACCTGTTCTGCGAGAAGGTCCGAGTCGTCGAGATCCCCTATGACTGTAGACAAGGAAGGGTACTGGCTGGTGAGCAAGGCAGCCTTTTCGGCGTTGCGTACCAGACAGGTGATATCGTATTCAGGATGAGCCTCGACGATGGTGTAGAGTGCATCTCCACCGATATAACCGGTAGCCCCAGCCCTAGAAGTATCAAGTCAGCGCGGACCATGGCATTTATGGGAGATTGGGTAAACTGACAAGAATATCTTCACCATGATTGAACAATCTTCCTGTAAGAATTGTAATTGAAAACGAGACTTAGGAAAGTGGGCGATCCGTTGGGACTTTATAGTCTTTTCTTCTTCTTTCGTCCATGAACCAATGTCTGATGCATTATAAATGTAGAATCCGACGTAACCCATTTAGGAAATCTTCATCGACCAAATCGTTAGCGTTCTTTGAGATAGGCTATTTGGGGCTTAGCTTCGTTGATCCTCCGCATGTCATATATCCTTGACATCGTCTCTCATTTCTAGCTTCATATGTACTTACCTACGTAAGATACCCAACAACCTCTCACTAAGTCTGAAAGGGAATGAATGACTGACCCCCAAAATGAACCCACCACCACCCCCTCCCCCTCACCATCCCCAGCGCACAAGAACCCTCCCCCTCTCCTGCCTCCCTTGCAAAGCCCGCCGCACACGCTGCGACCTCACCCACCCGACCTGCCACCGGTGCACCAGCACCGGCCTACCCTGCACCTACACTCCCAGTCCCACCCCTCGCACCCGCAGCCGCCGCCCTCGTCCCGTGTCCACCGTCCCCGTCTCCTTCCAGCCCGTCATGTTGTTCCCCCCCAGCAGCACCCGGGACGACGCCGCGGTGCTGTATTTCCACGGGCGTCTGTGGCCGCTTCTTACAGCGTCCGAGGAGCCGAGTTCGCCTGCGGTGGGCGCGGTCGTGCGGGACCGCGTGGTGCGTCTCGCTGCGAGCTTGATGGCGGAGGCGCATCGGTTCCTGCAGGATCGGCGGAGCGCGCCGGTGGATGTGGATAGGAAGCGCAGGGCGTGTATTGAGGCCGTGAACTTGGAGCTCGATCGTTGTTCTGCGAGTCGGGGCGGGGTGGGGAGGGTTAGGGGGATGAAGCCGCTGCTGTTTGCGATTTTGTTGCTGTATTTTTATGAGGGGTATATGGTGTGTGAGCGGGAGGGCTCGACGTTGGTTCATAGCCGGGGGGTTAGGGCGACGGTTGATGCGATGGGGGGATTGGGGAGTGTGTTGGCGGTTGGGGATAGGTCGCTGAGTGTCTTGACGTGTTTGTTTGCGACGGCGGATCTTACGACGAAGATGTTGAGGGGGGGTGCGGCGTGTCTTTCGCCTTCGTCGTGGCGTCTGTTTCCTCCTGACTCGGTGTGGTGGCAGGAACATGTGGTCGACGACGCAGCACCATCGTCTCCGGCACCGTCTCTGGCTGGTGCATTTGAGCAGATGTCACACATGCTGATATACCGGCAATCCATCGTGGAAAACAACAACACACTCTCGATGGACAGGATCAAAGCATTCGAACTAGCACTGCAGCCATCCTACAGCCCCTTCACCTTTTCAGATCTGGACGGGTCGGACGTCCCTTCCAACTCGGAAATGGTATCACACCACGCATTTCTTCGCGCATACCAACACACAGCTCTTGTCTATCTGTACAGGGCAGTGTGCGGTTTGCCGGCGGGACATCCACAAGTCCAGCAGCACATCAATGCCTGCCTCGACGCCATCGATGCGGTGCCTCGCAAGTCCAAGATCCTAAACTGCCTGGTATTCCCTCTGTGTGTTGCGGGGGCGCATTTGAGGGCAGCCCAGCGCCAGCGTCGTGTTTTGGGCATTCTGTTGGCTATCCAAAATCAGCTGAAGTTCACGTCTTTGAAACAGATAGCAGAGTTCTTGGAGAGCTGTTGGAGGAAGGAACCGGGGAATAGTTCGTGGCTTGATACGTTTGCGACACTGAATGTGAATGTAATTAGCTTCTAGAGGCAATCTCATCAGGAACATGCCTCTGACACTTCCAATTTCCGCAGTATCTTCCACGGCTTTGTTTTAATCCAATTGAAAAGGCGTCGTGGCTCATGCGGCCGCTATATTCCAGGTCATTGACATACCTCACCCATACACAGTGGCATGCATCCAGAGTCATATGGTTTGGTAGTATTAGGGTTCGTTCCATCACTCGCCGTTGTCCGACCTGGAACACAAGATAACGGAGTGTGCATTTGGGGGAGCATTAGCATACAAAGAACAGGACAATATGGTTGGGAAAGTTACAAGTACTTATTAACTATTACATCAAAATTGAGAACTGAAAGATGTGCGGTGGATCCTGTTTCCAACACCATTAATGCCCGGGTATCGTTCGCCAAAATGAAATGATTCGAAATGTTGATTACAAGAAACAAAAAGGAAGAAAATAAACCGAAAGTCGGCATGCCGGCCCGCATATCGGCAAGCAGTTTGAGGAGATCATCATCGCATAGGGGGACTCGGATGCATATCGTTGGAGGTGACACTGTTGAATCTTCGCATAGACCCTGCGAGTGTGGCTGTTCTGGTCAAGGGCGCCGACGCCAAAGCAGCGGCCTTGAATTCAGACACGATTCGATCGAACTCGAGACGGTAGCGCTCTTCTTGGAAAGTGAGTACCAATTCTGAGAGTTCTTCGTGTGCATCCGAAGTCGAGCGATGATGGGAATGCTGCGGCTTGGTTGGACCTTCGGAAGCCACCGCGGTCATGTTGGTTACATTGAGAAGGCGGCCGCGAGTTTTGTTCGAAACGGTCAAAGTGACTTCACAGCTGGAGTAAGACAGTGCCGTTGAGGATGTTACTGATAACGGAGTTAGCTATAAAACACATTTTCTCGGGCGGGGCAGCTTACTGCTGCCAGCTGTCCAGAGAAAATCGATCTCTTCATGTAAACGGACTACTAGCTGTGTACCACGTCTTCTTATCGAGTTGTCATCGACTTCCTTCTCGAAGAGCAATATGTCGGCGCGTCCGTATTTTTTGCTCCAAAAATGTTTGTTCTTGGATTTAAATTTATCGAGAATTGCGAAGTAGCGTAACGTCCAGCCCGTCATATTGTAGAGCATGTTAACCATACCTGTCTTGATTAGCATACCGTGGGAGCTTTTTATAATCGCGAAATGACTCACCCACTGGCGGCACAGGCAAACTATGTCTTGTTCCTAGAGGGAAGGTTGCCGCGAAAGAGGTTTTCAATTGGCGGGCGGCACTGAAGGACGCCGTTCTTGAATAGTCGACGGCAGGCTCGCCCCGAATGTCTGAATGGTAGGTCGGTGTCGCGACGTTGTTGAATCGAACCACCATCTGATAAGCATGAACATATTGGTCATGATCGTCGTGAACCCTTATATCCAGATCCACCTCAGGCCACTGGATAAAAAGTTTCGAATCAGCGAATGAATCCTGAACAGTAGTAAGAACTGCTGCACGGTACTCCTGGATGCCTTGTCTACCAAGGTCGAAGGTATGCAACTCTTGCATTTCTGAAATGTCAACCTTGCGGCGGGTCCGAATCTTCACACCATCTTCGTAGGGCAATCTAACGGTATCTATGAAGGCGTATGCTTGCTGGGCATCTTGGAATCGTAGTATGATGCTGTTATTCGGTGATTTTGGTTTGTATGACCAGTCGTAGAGAATGCCGTAATTAGCTGTACGTCGTTCCGTCATCTGATTACAATCTGACCATTGAAGAGTAACGTCAGAACCATCGCAACTAAAACGGATGTCGGCAAGAGGTATCCAGAATGAGCTGCAGCGACGTATCTCAGGTGATCCAGAGAGATAGCTGATGACCAAACGACGCGTTAGCCACCATATTTGGGGCAACGAGATGTTGGCGGCTGTCGGATCCTCGGGTAGGGTCTCATAGACCTGTACCCTATTCTCCCGCAGCTCACAGACAGGGGATGTTTGTATTGTGGGTAGATCTTCTTGGATGGAAGATGAAACGAGAGGAGAATTGAAGATATGTTTCTCGTTCATTTGAGCTGCACAACCGCATTTGACGCTATACATTGCGGGCGGGTCTGGGTCCGGCCTTTGAAAGTCCAAGGAATCTCGAGCTCCAGAGCCGGAAAACGCGGTGGGACGTGGAGAAATCAACTCGGAAGGCTTCGCTGCAGAATGGGTGGAGCCACGCAGGCTATAAGTGCGCATTGCTATGTGTGGAGGTGTAAATTTGGCTATTGGTGGGGGAGATACTGGCTCTATCGAAAAGGGAATGGTGTTTGAGCTCTCGCTTGAAAGATGAGGGCTCTGAGTCCCGGGGGAAACAGATCTCTCACGAGACCTTCCTCTATTCGCCAGTGTGGAAGTGGATGATTTATTCCGGGTAGGAAGTACCAGATAGGAAGCTGGAGGAGAGGCAGGGACACCCTGTAGACCAAGCCCCTCAGGCTGAGGTCTGTCCAGCGAGTAACGGTCTGACAGGCTAGTGCTGTCGGACTTTGCCGAGCTCTTCTGGCGGGAGAGAGTAGAAGTCGTGGCATCTATGGGGAGTAAACTGTCCGACCTTCTACAACAGGAGGCAACGAAAAGGTCTGGTCGTCGTATATCATTAGTCTGCCTGTGAATCATGTCCAAGACTTGCGAGGCTTTCAGTCGATCGTCAGGCTCCGATCTGATCTGCAGGATGTGAGTTCGGTAGCTTAACTATTTCGGGCGAACAGGACTACTTACCATAGGAATGATCCAGTCCAGTGGCAGATCATCTGCCGAGTCATGCCTTTCGCTCCGAATCTTGACGAGCCATGCTTGGATGGCCTCTGGAGCACACCATAATCCTTGGGCACTGGCACCGACGCTGTGTTGTAATAAGAAGTGGTTGACTTCTTCGAGGGGATATCCTTTGATTACGCTGATGATCTCGAGGAATACGCAACCCAAGGACCAAATGTCTGACTTGCTATTGCGGGGATCACGGCCGAAAACCTCTGGGGCACAATATCGTCGAGTGAACTTGAGAACGTCGCCTTCCGTTGTGCTATGTTCACTCTTCGACCAGTCACGTGCGATTCCAAAATCACAGAGATAGATCCGACCGTCGCTCAGTAGAATGTTGCCTGGTTTGATGTCTTTGTGTCTAACCTTTTGCTCATGCAAAAATGTCAAGGCGGTGGTCAGGCAGCCAAAGGAGCGACGAAGGGTAGAGATGTCTTCGTTGGGGAGTGGCTGATCGCGAGCCTGGCGCTCCAGCATGGATTTAAGAACGTCTTTGGCGACGGGATTGAGGATGAGAGAGAAGGAGGTAAGATCAGTGAAACTTGCGACAAAGGTGACAAAGTGGTGGTGGCTGAGGCGTTGTAGGACGCCAACTTCTTGCTCGAATTCTATGAGCTGGTTCTTCTGGGCTTTGACTGTATCTGCGCGTAGGATACGCTTGCAGGCGAATTGCTTGCCTGATAGCTTGTGACGCACACGCACGACCTCGGCAGAACCGCCTCTGCCGATCTTGTCGACCTCTTCGAAATAGGCGCTCCCTTCGCGAATATACTTGTGAACATGGGATGCGGCGGTCAACTTCTCGTCGCTCATCTGGTCGGGTTTGGACAAGACGTGCATCTGAGCACGGCGAAACAAGGTGGGGTTTAGATCGGTTGTCTGAGCAAACTGGGAGAGGCTTGCAGAGGTCATGGGCAGCCAGAAGTCACTGATCTGCTCCGAGTCGAATTTCTTGAATATTTGCCCATCGTCTTCGTACTCGAGCATGCGCAAGAGAGTGTAGAGGCGGGGGTTTTCGCTCCATTGTCTAATTTGGCGGTCAGGATGGCGGGTGAGTAATTCTTTGACGTCGAGGAAGACGGTGTCGTCGATGTATTGGTCGAATGGTTTGTGCGGCAAGGTGTGGTGGAGGAATTCTTCTATCTCTTCTCGGGCGTCGGCCCCGGCCTGGGTGGAAGGTTCCATGACTTTGCATCAGGATGCATCGCAGGCGGGTGGGTTGTCGATCAGTCTGGGGTGATATGAGATGATGATTAGGGCCCAACAGAGGGCAACAACGAGGAGAAGTAATGTCGAGTTGGAAGATGTTAACAACAAGGCGTCAAGAGGGATAAAAAGGGTTGGCCATGGGTCTGACGGCTGACAGCGGACAGCAGGCTGAAATACTAGATACGCTGTGCAGTAAGTAATACAGGGCGAGGAGGATTAAGGCGGGGGTTGGTGGATGAGGAGAGCAGGAGAAGAAGATAATCTAAATGGTGAAGAAACGGAGCGAGAAATAAGGGGAAAGGAAAGGAAGAACAGAACAAGGCGAGGAGGCGATGGTGGAAGAGAAAAGAAGAAGAAGAAGGGGAAGAGTCAAGAGAGTGTGAGTGTGAGTGTGTATGAAGGTGTCAAGATTCTAGGACGGCGCGCAATGATGTAGGAGGGGGTGGGCGTAGCAGCAATTACGAGTAATAGCAATTAGTACGAGTGCGAGTTGTACGACGAGTAGCCTTATGAGGTGTCGTGGGGTATTACCTGCCCTGCCTGTTACCTGCTATCCACTCGTACTGTTCCAAGCACCTAGCCAAGTACCGAATGTAAGTAAGTAAACTATTGCGCCCTACTCCGTTCAGGCAAGCTCTACGCTGTATGCTCTCCTCGGAGTAATCTGTAGTCTTGGTTATAGACGGGGTAATCGTTGTTGTATGTATGTAGTCAGTACTCCTACTCGACATATTGTATACCTTTGTAGGTAGATATATCCCTAGACAGGTAGATAGGTAGCTTATGGATGGTCTCGTGCTCTATATTCAACATTGATCGACAAATTCCGTATGGAATGAATACCTTTCTTTAATGCATAAAGGAAGGGCAAAAGGCTCAGAAGGAAGGAACGCGTCACGTCCTGTCCCTTCGCGCGTGTCACCATTCACCTTCTCGCGTACAATCGTTCTTTCCTTAATTACATATGGATGGATCTACGAGGTAGGAAGTTACGCAGTTACGTAGTTACGTAGGGAGGTACTTGCCATGTGGTGGCCAGGCATGCATCCAGTTACCCCGTACAGACGCACGCATCCGAGGAGGAACAGAACAAACAGGAACGGAGTACTTGGCGGTACTTGATCCACTACCCGCCCCAGTATGAGGGATAAAGTACACCGTGGTTATTTGTACACTATCTCGCCTCACTGTTTTCGCATCGCTTCCCTAGTATTGGGATTAGTTAGGATGAACACGAGTAATGTATTGTAGTTTCTATTCTATCTTCTTCACCGTCCATTTCCAGCTATTATTGTATTACAGTAACTAATAGTGTACTCCGTAAAGTGCCCACCCCCGCATCAAACTACGATTATGTACCCACCCTTGCAACTCCACCCGCCACTGCCTCCACCACCCGCAAACCGCAAACCGCAAACCACCTCCAATCTCCACCTCACACCAACTCCACTCCCTCTCCTCCACTCCCCTTCAAGGCATCTCCCTCCCATCTCCACTATCGACCGATCGATCATCATCGATCAACCGCCTTCTCTTGCCCAGCAAACCGTCCTCCAGGCTTCCCGCTACATATTTCATCCGCAATTACGACTGACCGTCATCATCAAACAGACACACACCCAACCACATCATCCCACCCTCGACCCGGCGTTGTCCCTCGTCAAGGCTCTTCCACTCACACGGATTCACCTCTGTCGCACAGATTGTATTGACAGGCTGCCGGGCCGGGCTGGGCATCGAATACTACTTCTACATTCCTTGGCCTTCTTCTAAGACTCGCACTCGCGTACTTTAAACGCTGCCGGCGAAAGAACTGAGCCACCGCCCATCCTTCCGCCTCATTCGCCATCTATCCATCCTACCAGCTTTGCGTCCTGCCTTACCCTGCCATCATAATGCCACAACGCATTGGGGGCCGGAATGCTTCTGCTGCGGCCGCTTCCCGCGACGCCATCGCCTTATTTTCTCACCGGTGGCGGCCTCATTCGTTTAGGCTGCAGCTCATATGTGATGTGATGTATGGATGATACACAGCACGAACCGTGACCGGGCTGCGCCCCTTGATATTGTATCTCGCCTGAGGCACCTCACCAGTAACCCTCCATCAACTGATCCCGGCTCCGTTTTCCCCTCCTTGCACTTCTGAATACCCAGGGCCATCCCATTCTGTTGAAATATACATGGTCGCCGCCCGTGCCATGCGTTCACTTTGCCCAACAACAGACAAATCGAATTCAACCATCCCCCCCGACCAACATGCAATACCAGGAAAATGGTGTTGCTGGTCGCCATGGGAGGCCCGTCTATGACGATGCGGATCGGCCCGATCGACGGCTTGCTCAACCATTCGTAGGGTGGACCCCAGAACGAATGAACAACAGCGTCGACGTATTCCTTAAAGAATCCGAACTTGAAGATTATGCCGACTACATTCGCCGTGGTGCGTTCCTCGCGCAGTCCAATTCTGCACGGAACAAGATCTCGCTCAAAGAGTCGGAAGCCAGATACTTGGACTTGGAAAATAGCACCAACCGCATCGATAAATTCAAACAGCCTTGGAGATTGTACGCGCTGGTGGGTTGTTGTTCGTTGGGAGCTGCCGTGCAGGGATGGTACGATCTATTCCAACTCTCATGAGATTCTCATACTGATCGTGACCAGGGATGAGACAGCAGTCAATGGAGGTTCGTTACCTGTTTCGATGACGATGCATGCTTTTCACTAACATTATACAGCTCAGGTCTTTTATAAGGAGGCCCTTGGTTTGGATGGTAAAGAGGGGCTGCTTGGACTGGTCAACGGTGCACCATACCTGTGCTGCGCGTTTGCTTGCTGGTTTGTGCTATCTCAATCTCTCCCCGTACAATTTCTGACCCTGCACACCAGGCTCAACTATCCGATGAATAAGTGGTTCGACCGACGTGGGGTTATCTTTATCACCTGTCTCATCAGCTCCCTCACATGTCTCGGCCAGGCATTCCCGCAAAGATGGGAGGTATGCATTGCCATTCTCCAATTCATAATGCTTGTCTAACCTTAGCAGCACCTTTTCGTCGCCCGGTTTCTTCTTGGATTTGGTATAGGCCCCAAGAGTGCAACAATCCCTATCTATGCTGCCGAGGCTGCACCGGCCAACATTCGTGGCGCGCTCGTCATGATGTGGCAGATGTGGACCGCGTTTGGCATCATGTGTGGATACATTGCTGGTGTAGCCCTTGCAGATGTCCGAGATGGAATGAACAAGGAAATCTGCGGAGAAGGTTCCAAGATTCTCCTTTCCTCTCGATGCAGTCTCAACTGGCGGCTTATGCTAGCGAGTCCGGTAAGCTAGCACATCTTTTCCGTCACAATGGCCCGCCACATGCTAATGTGATACAGATGATTCTTCCTCTTGTCGTCGTTGCCTATGTCTATACCTTGCCAGAATCACCGCGATGGCTGTTAAAGAAAGCAAGAGCTGGTAACAAAAAGAAGTATGAGGAGGCATTCATGGCTCTCTGCAAGCTCCGCCATACCAAGCTACAGGCCGGCCGGGATCTCTTCTTGATCAATTACTTGCTGCAGGGGGAAGAAGAGATCATGCAGCAACAGAAGCCCTTTTCGGAGATGTTCTCGCTAGGCAGGAACCGACGGGCCTTGACTGCTTCATTCATACTAATGATCCTTCAGCAGCTGTGCGGAGTGAATGTAGTGGCCTACTATTCAAGCACCATCCTCAAAGACCACGCCAATTACTCCGACATTGACTCCCTGATTATTTCCATGGGTTTTGGGATTATCAACTTCCTCTTCGCTATTCCAGCCATATGGACGATCGATACCTTTGGTCGCCGCAACTTACTCCTTTCCACCTTTCCCTTCATGGGGATTTTCCAGATTGTGGTAGTGATTGCATTTGCGCTGCCTGATAAATCCTCCGCTCAACACATACTCGTGATTCTGGGCATGTACCTCTTTGGTGTTGCCTACTCGCCGGGCGAAGGTCCAGTCCCGTTCGTGTATTCGGCTGAATCAATGCCGCTCTACAACCGCGACTTCGGTATGGGATTGGTCACCAGTGTCAATTGGCTCTTCAACTGGATGGTGTCCATGACGTGGCCGAAGATGAGTAGCGCGTTCACGGTATCGGGAGCATTCGGATGGTACGCAGCATGGTGCTTCATAGGCTGGTGGACGATTCTGTTCTTCGTCCCCGAAACGAAGGATTTGACGTTGGAGGACCTGGACCAGGTCTTTGGATACCGCACGCGCGAGCATATGCGCCACGGCATAGACCAATTGACGTGGTTCATTGGACGATTCATATTTGGCAGGAAGAACTTACGGAAACCTGTTTTCCTGCGCAAGCCGGACCCAGACGAAGAGTTCGACAACAGAGGGGAAACTTACATCGAGTTGCACGAAGACAGGATTACTCGACCCAGGGTGCACACGACGCTTGGGCACTGAATTGCTGTGATGCGACAAGACAATGGAAAAATGCAGTGTATAATGTACATGTGAGATATTAAAAGAATTTTCGGATAATCTAATAGCCATGGATTTTGGATTAAAACGCTCTCGCAGCATACAGAAAACCGTGATGAATTGACAAAATCCCAGGATTTACAAGTCAATTGTGAAAACTAATCTTCAAGGAAGTCAACTTCATTCGATGCCATAGATACAGTAGAAGATGACCATATTAACCTCAACTCGCATTTCGATCTGGCGAAACGACCTTTTATCTACGAATATGGTACGTTTTCCACATGGAATGTCCATGGTTGTTTAACCCAATTCGGAACCCCTAGCGTGAGCGGCCCGCCTTTCTGGTTGCATGTCGGTTATATCGATCCCCATCTCCCCGCGCTTCGGCAACACCACCACTAGTTATATCCAAACTGACGACCTC